AAAGGTCAAAACAGTCTAAAATTTCAGAGTCGAGCAGAAAGAAAACATGAACTTCTTCACCGTGTTTCTTCAAATATTATGAAATTTCACTGAATTAATAAAACCTCAACAGACTGACACAGTCTGACTATTACTGTTTTAAGAATAATACAAATAAGCACCATGAACTATTTACTAAAATGTCATGTTAAGTTTTTGGGATTTTAGCTGATCCTCATTCATGCACACTGTCCACCTACAAACACACAACTATTCATCACACATTTAACAAATGAAAGTACACAAAGGCCAGAGAGACAGAAAACACCTCGGTCTTTTACTTCCAGCATGTGGATTAAATCTGTCTGTTGGAGCTTATTTCAAATGTCAGGAAGCTTGTTGCTCATCAGCACCTGTGAACCGTAACGCCACATTCGATCGCCGCTGAAACCTGGAGAGTTTAAAAGGAAAAAGGCTGAGCCACAGGGAGGCTGCATGATGCTCAAGTGGTATAATGGCCTGGCCTTTTATTGGGCTCTAGTCATGGTGTTATCTGCAATTGCTGTAATGAAGACAGACCTAATTATCTCCACAGACAGAACTCCACTCTGAGCAGGACTCTAATTATGGCCTAAATGCTGCTCTCTTACTGCTCCCTCTCATAACCAGGGGTTACAAGAGGAGCCGCTGCTGCTGCTGTCTGCCTAACATGCTGAATTACAAACACACACTTATCCACACACACTCTCACACACACTCTCACCCTGAGGGCTCTGAGTGTCCAGCTGTTGCGATGCTCTTCTGTGCAGGCATTATGGTTTAAGGGCAGGATTATCTAACATGACAACACACTCTGACCAGTGACAGTCATGCCTATCAGCTGATTAATGAATCAAAGGTCCAGATGTCACTTGAGCAGCATTGTTATTAATACAGAGAGGTATGGTTGTATATCACACCGTGTGCTGCAGCTTAGAAGAGGAGAAATGACAACGAGACGGGAAACAAAGAGCAGCAGATGGATGAGTCCATTACTGGTCCGATCTGAACCCTTTTACACAGAGCTTATGTTAAATGAGAGTAAAGCTGAAATCCAGATAGATCCAGTTCCATACCTCTAAATTTAGACTCAGGGAGCGTTTGTGGTTTTCTTGAATTGATAATCAAAGTAAGGAGAGCGTGACATGAGAGGGAAGGATTCGGTGTACAGAGGGCTCCTGCTCTGGTGAGGCAGTCTTGGTGTCGGCTAATGAGAGCGGCCAACTTTCAGTCACACATCACAGAGACATGCCAGGAAACAAGCTTGACTAATAAAGCAGAGGGCAAAGTTTATCCTCAGATAACAGAGTCACTGAAGATCAAACCAGCACCAAAATCTGCACAGTTACTCAACTCAACTTTATTTACACAACAGAGTCGATCCAAAGTGATTCACAACGACACCGAGGGAAAAGAAAAGAAGAGAACAAACAGACGAAGAAGAGGAGCAGACTGAGTGACACTAATAATAATAACCAGAGCAATAAAAATATTGTTTTCAATCCCATCACTATCATCATCATTCATATTAGTAATAATAAATAACAATGATAAAGACAACACAGATCTACAGAGCTCACAGAGCCGACATGGGAAATGGCTGAGGTACAAAAGTTAGAGACAGTTAAAAGCTCAGGAGTAAAAGTGGGTTTTAGGATGAGTCTTAAAGATCTCGATGGTGGGGGAGAATCTGATGGAGGGAGGGAGAGAGTTCCACAGTTTTGGGGCCGCGATAGAGAAAGTCCTGTCCCCATAACACTTAGTCCTGGACCCTGGGACTGACAGAAGTCTTTGGTCAGACGATCTTCGTTCTCTCATTGTGTGATATGAGGACAAGAGTTCTGTGACGTAAGAGAAGACCGTTCAACAGTCTGTAGACAAACATCAGGGTTTAAAACTCGACCCTGGAGCTGACAGGCAGCCAGCGAAGGGAGGCAAGAATGGGAGAAACGTGCTCCCTCTTCTTAGTTCTGGTTTAAACTCTGAACTTCTGAATTAGTCGAGATAAACAAGACCGAGTGATATTAAAATGTAATGTGTTACAATAGTCGAGGCGGGAGGATATGAAGGCAGGAATGACTTTCTCCAGGTCAGAAGTGGTAAGAAATGATCGAATTTTTGAGACGATGCATGAAGCTGGATTTTATGATTTTATGACCTGATTTATTGGTTTGTCAAACTTTAATCCTGAGTCAAAGATGACAGTCAAAGAGAAGAGGGGGTCAAAGGGCCGAGAAGAGGGGCGATAACGTTGGTCAGATGCTGTGGTCCAAATACAATAACTTCAGTTTGGTTTTCATTGAGCTGGAGAAGTTTGCAGCCATCCAGGATTTGATGTCATAAAGACAGTTATTAAGGTCACTTAGTTTGTTGTAGTTATTAGATATATTATAGATAGATAGAAAGATAGATAGATAGATAGATAGATAGATAGATAGATAGATAGATAGATAGATAGATAGATAGATACTGCATAATAGTGGAAAGATATGTTATGCTTTTTAATAATGTGACCAAGGGGAAGCAAATAGATGGAGAAGAGAATTGGACCAAGTATGGAACCTTGGGGGACCCCACAGGAGATGGGGGCTGAGGAAGAAGAAGAAGAGGAGTTACTAATGGAGAAACTGTTTGGAGGTTTTCTTCTAAAAACAGAGGAGACAACAGGTCACACATGGGAGCTAAATTCACACAACGTTCATGCAGGTCAGATCGCAGTACTGCTGCTTTTGAAAGTGTCTCTAATAGAAAAATACTTGAGTAAAATCTCCTCCCAAACAAAGATGCAGTTTTCCAGATCCAGGTTTGATTTATGGAGATTATACTTTGCAGAGGCTCGTCTCTGTTTGTAAATATGCGTTGGAATATTAAACGAGAAACATACAGCAGAATACGGAGTGATTCATATCGCATGCAGGAAAAAAGAGGAGGATGAGACAAGAGCAGATGATTTCAGAGCTTTTATCCCTTTAGGGAGCCACAGCGCAGCCTTACCCTACAACAGCGTGCCCAGCAGTCAAGGTCACTGAGTGAACAAAAGACCACTGGAGACTCTTTCTCTGCCAACAGGTCCAAGAGTGTATTATTGACGCTGCAGGCACATTCTAATAATTATAGATATTTACTGTGTTATGATCAGTATTGCAGATTTTCTCCTCGCCTCTGTTTGAAAGCTGCATGATCACAACGATCCACTGCTGTGTAGCTTCAGGGTCATGCAGCAGCAGGTTTATATTTCTGTATATGATAGACCAATTTTCCACCAACCATCAAGGGGCCGTGAAAATTACGTCTGGAAAAAGTGAGTAAAAATACAACACCACTCAGCAGCACAGCTTTAATTATTCATAGCAGAGGAATCCTCTGCAAATGTTCTGTTTTGTTTGTTTTATCCATCCATGCATGAGTAGAGAGATTAAAACACATGTGAGCGATAAGAGAGCGAACACGGAGGACTGCAGGGGGATTTGGTTAATGGTGGAAATCAGGGAAACTTAATATGAGTTTCATTCCTGATTAAACGTCCAAATTCAATCTTCATCAAGGTGACACTGTCGAAGCTCAGACCGTCTGTTTGAGAAACACTCATGGAGACATGATGATGGACAAGGTTGTATTTCTGACCACAAACAGCCTTCAGAGGAGGTTGGTATGCAGACTCTCTCATATAAATAATAAAAATATGTTTATTTATAAATATATAAATATCTGCAGCCCAGACAGAATAAATCTAATGAGAACACTCTGCGAATATAAAGCTGGCTGACAGAGCAACGCAGGAAATGAATATCCACACAAAGAGATGAGTGTTGACACCAGAGTCACTGATGCTGCCCACTGGTGCCTTTACAGCTGAACGGCTCAACAGCGTCCTCCTATGGTGACAGAGCAGCAGTACAAGTAAAAACCAGACTGACCTGAACTAAACACACAGATTTACTCCTTTTATTCAAAGAGACTCTTATCTTTATCCATATGACTTGTTGTTTGGTACGAGGGAGTTTTAGGGACAGAAAACTTTGTAAAAGATTAAGAATTTTTTAAGGATTTAGAATTTAAAAGATTTATAGTTTTTAAAAGTAAAATCGTCGTAAAATCATATTGACAGTTAGTCACATTATTCTGTTTGACTCAGACTTTTTAGAGTCCTGATTTTTACCACCATGTGGAGCTGAGGGTCCAAAACATTAGGGACAATCTCAGCAGAAACTCCATGGTCCTCATTTTGGTACAGACAAAAGGCTGCTCAGTAAAACCACCATTTTATCAATACTTTATCTTCATAATAAGGTGAATTATTATTATTATTATTATTATTATTATTGTTGTTGTTGTTGTTGTTGTTGTTGTTGTTATTATGATTATTATTATTACTGTTATTATTATTAATATTATTATTATTATTATTATTATTAGTAGTAGTAGTAGTAGTAGTAGTAGTAGCAGTTGTAGTAGTATAGATCAGGCTTTATCTAGGGGTCCTATATTGATAGGCAAACCACACATTGCACTTTGTTTCTGCATTTTATCTTGTGCTCTCTGTTCATGCAGAAGTACTGGTATGACTGACATATTTTATTCTTTTTACCCTCTAAATAATCTTTAATACTTTTTTCCTCCTGAACTGTTTTTTATGTAGATGTATTTTATGTTTTTTATTTTATTTGTTTATTTCTATGATGTATTTCCGTGTTTTAAATGTCTCTGTCTTCTGCAACCGGATTTGCAAATTTTTTGGACATAAAAAAGTTAAAGTAAAGTGAATTAATTTTTGCAATGTAGCCACTTTACTATGTCTATAACATTGTAGAATATGAATTCTGCTTTTAATATTAAAGTTTGATTTTTTTCACGACTTTATGATCGCGAGAAAATGACTTTTAAAAAAATGCATAAATATTCAGATAAAAAAAACCTCTTTGAATCTTGGATCTAAATGTTTGTAAAATGATAATAAATAATCTGAACGGTGAGGTCGTTGTGCGCAGGCGCAGTGCACACCCAGACCCAAACCCGGAAGCTCCATGTGGATGTAAACAGCCCGCTGTAATCTCTGCTCACATTGAAGAAAGTTCGGTTTAGAACTCTCTCTGTGTGTCAGTTTTTGGTCATTTGACGTGTTTGTTTGTTAGTTAAATGTCTGCAGAATCGCTGCTGTTCATTTATCTGATATTTTAAAGCAGATTAATCAGTTTGTGTTGAAGTTAAAGATGCCAGCTCGCAGTGTTGTTTCCAACGGGATCTCCAGCAGTAAAGTCAGATACTCTCGGTTAAACACTGATGATGACGGATACATCGATTTACAGGTAATTATTATTATTATTATTACAGCCCAGCTCATGTTTATATCCAACAACTTCACCTACAACAAGAGAGTGAAGGTTATAGTCCGTTTAAACCTTAAAAACTCTGATTAGGAGGTGATTCTGCACACTTTATATCTAATTATGAATGAATGAATGATTTTATTTTGGTATGATATGATTGACAGGGATGTAGGCAGAAGTAATGCTTATAAAGACTGACCCCTTATACCATACATGGGTACATTATACAGATATATTCTTCATGTAAATATCAACACTTTAATATATATTTACAGATAGAGTAATAAACATGCTTTACACTTTACATTTTACATTCATAATCAGACGTCATTTTATCTACAATATTGATATATTGAATACAGATATTTGGAGTGTAAAAACTGGATGGTGCTTCTCCATGTTTGGTTCTGTATAAAATAATGTCGTTGAATGCTGCCGCTGACATAAATATATGGACCATCGTGTGAAACTGGTGCCATGAAAGTCCACAGTATTTGATAATGTGTTTAAGGCATAAAGTGTGTTTTATAACCATAAAGCTGTGAATCTAAATCATTCCAGATGATGTATGAGAAACTTAAATTCAAGATGAACATGCAGTTTTTTAACAGTCTATATTATAACATGGTCATTTTCGCTTGGCAATGACCAACATGAAATATCACTTATAATAAATTACACATTTTTCAAAGTTTTATCGCTGTGACGGTCAGTTTTCCAGTCTGGACCTTCCATTTCCGGTCTGTTCAATACCTTTCTGTGAAAACAGTCATTGTGGTGGAAATCCTGCTGTGGCAGAGAAAAGAGCTTCTAATTAAATATTTCTGCTCCTCTGCAGTTCAAAAAGCCCCCACCCAAAGTCCCCTACAAGGCCATAGCACTGGCCACAGTCCTCTTCGTAATCGGCTCTCTGTTAATCATCATCGGCGCCCTTCTCCTGGCTGGATACTTTGGGGTCACTGTAAGTTATAACAGTATTTTATAGTATTTGTTTGAGTGTGTTAACTCCACTGTATCACTATCATACTGAAATGTTAACAGCTGTAAATAACACTCATAGATATCTGTTTTAAACCAAACTTTCTTCATCCTATGATTTCTCTTTTTGTGTTTATATGCTGCTGTAATAAGTAATATATTATCTTATGTTGTGTTTTTTTTAGCATTCAGACCGAACTCTGCCTGTCCTGATCATCGGCATCCTGGTCTTCCTACCTGGATTTTACCACCTGCGAATAGCCTACTATGCATCAAAGGGCTACCATGGCTACTCCTACGATGACATCCCAGACTTCGATGACTGACAGTCTTCCTGCACTCAGACAATATCATTTTAATCTACTTATTCTAACTTCCAGGCACTGATATCTCTGAAAAAAAGCTGCTTGAATGGATTCTGTGAATTACCTTTCTCTAAATCTAAAGGATTTTTATGTTACTGTCCTTACAGCTAATGCTCAGATAGTGGATGCCTGCCTGCTGTAATCAGGCCAGTTTAGCTCCAGACTTTATTTAATTTGTATATCTGCTTTGATAGCTCGATAAATTCATTAAACTATGATTTTATGATTTTTTAAAATTTAATTGTTTGCTGTTTTTATTGATTTAATGGTCACCTTTATTAGGTGAATAACCAAACCTGTCGTTCAGATAGCAGGTATCTGTTAAAGGTTGTTATTATAAGTTGAGGTAGTGTGTCCACATAATGATGAGTACACTGTTTAACGCTGCTGTATTAACCCTGCGGTTAATACTCCCTCACTGTTCAGTCGTTCTTTCGCTGAGGATTTTATGTGATTAATTCCAATCCTCTGATCTCCATATGGTGCACCTGTGAGAGTAAACATTGTTAAACAGGGAAGCACACACGCAATTAAGATGTGACGTCAAATTAACCCGTCTCAACAGCTTTTCTACATTTACCTGTGACATTAACTCATCAGATTAAAGAGACTATTTTAACTGCAGATAGTAGCAGATAATAGCAAACTGACAGTGCCACTGCTCCTGACCGGCTGTGAAAGTGGATTATTTTTGTGTTTATGTGGCTACAGAATTAACTTCTCTGTCAGCTACCCCCATAAAATACCATGTACTGGTAATATCAGGTCTAACACCAAATACTAGTGGAGATTTTCTGCAGAGAAGTGGTTAAAAAGCCCACCCTTAATTATGCAAAACCTTTTTAGAAGGAAGACAAAACTAAAAAACAAAAACCAATCACCTCATTAAAGTCCTTTAACATAGTTAATCAGGGCACAAATACATGTTTCAGCCACAGTGTCTCAGCGCTGCAGAGACTGTGCAGAAATGCCCCAACAAAAGAAGTTAAAATATTACATATTACACACTCTGTCTTTACATTTTAGGCTTAATTTGATGTATATTTCGTCAGACATTAGGGTGTTCTGTTAGTGTACAAAAAAACACACACAAACACATAAAAAGAAGTCCTGAGACAGTTTTCCAGAGGCATTCCAGTAATTTTAATATCTTTGTCTGAGGGAGAGACCATGCAACTTAATAACTGTGCAGATTTATTTTAAGTTATGAGGGTTAAGTCAGAGTCAGACAGTCATAGTGCTACTTCAGCGAAATTTCACTGAATTAGACTTCAGTTTCTGACACTACATGCACCATGCAGCTGCAAACACAGACAGTATTTCATGTCGTCCATGGTGGGGTCTGCTATTAAATCTTTTAATACTCACTAACACCCCCTGGTGGTCAAACAGATTATTGGCTCCGGATTGGCTGTTTTAAAACGCAACAGGCCAGAGAAACACGCCCCCTGCTGCCCCAATGACCAGCCGTCCACACCTTCATCATCCATCAGCTTCATCAGGTCCATCAGCTTCATCAGGTTTAGATTTATATTTCACCAACTCCATGCTCGTTTTAAGAGGACAGCTTTAGGTAAGATATTGAGAATAATTGACAGTTAATAAGATTACTCTGGTATTTTATCTGAAGTTATGTGACTTTATGGTGTTCAGATCATATCTTTCAAATGTTATTCAGTTCACTGACCGAAAAAAACACGTCTACATTAGACAGAGGTTTATACTTAAAACATAGAAATCAAAACTTACCTGATATGAAAGAGATTAAATTAGCTTTACTATTGATTAAAACAATAACGACATGGTTATATCCTTAGTTCTAACTAAATATTTCTGCTTCTCTGCCGTTCAAAAAGCCCCCACCCAAAATAATAAGTAAAAATAGCCAAAATAAATGTTAAATCTATTGAAATGACAGTTTAATACTTTAAAAAAATGAAGGTTTGTGGAGAGAAAATTGGCGCGCTTCTGCTAGCTTAGCGACTAGCCGTTAGCTAAACTGAATAAGGATCCTTGTTTCTACGATTTTGGGTCGTTATTTCACACATTTTAGGATATACTTATATCATTTAACACCCGCATTTTAACTTCCAGATGTGTCACCACTGGATGGTAAGCTAACCCACTAAACTGGGGAGATATATTCAGATTAAACAGAATTTTAACTCTGAATTATCGTTTGTACACAGTTCAGATCTGGTTTTATTTCTCTGTAGATAAAGTTGTCAGATGAGCAAAACCTAAACTGTCTATTTAAAGAGCTTTTCGTGTTTAAGTCTGTTAGTGTAATCTTAAAAACCTTTTAAAGAAGACACAGTTAGCTCTAAAACAAGTGTATGTTTTTGTAACACTGAGTCCTTTTTATTGTCTCCTCTAAAAATTGACCTGTCATTGTGCTCTCTCATCCTGGACTTTAAACTTTATGTTCTCCGGTCAATACAGACAATTTTTAATCTTTAAAGCAAATCATAAATGAGGCACAACAATATTCATTATTTCCTATCATCACTCATGCTAATATTCCTAAATTCATACAGAAACCAACATGAGTAACTATAATGAGTCCAGTACAGAATAAACCTGAAAAGCTGTTTGTTATGATCAGTGAATTCAGTGACTGTCTAGTTCCTGCTGTTTCTGAGATTTGACTGTTTTTTTTCTGCCTGTTGTTCAGTCTTAGTCTGACTGACTGTTCTTGAGGTGCAGCTTAACCTGATCATGTTAAATCATGTTCTTGTTCAGCTGATCTTCACCAGTATCATGCCCAGCTGCTGTTTTCGCTGTTTGTTTACTACACCCTGAAATGATCACATGCACCTCCATCACTGGTGGTGCTGCACAGGCTTCCATTATGTGCGCATGATCATTTGTCATTTTCTCAGCCATAAATACAGGCAGACATGTTTATATCCGCTGATAACATGACCACCTTTTTTCAGCATGAATCTAGCTAAAGCTGACTGATATATACCGATGATATGATGGATTCTTATATTCAGAGAAAACGTGTTCTGGCTGTGATGGTTTAGGGGGTGAACTGATTTTAGCTTTTGTATTCAAACAGGTATTTTAATTTCACATACAGTTAAAGATGCGATCTAACAGTATTTTAATAAAGCATGTTTCTGCTGTGCATCTACTGGATACTGTACCAAAAAAACAGACATATTTCTCCCTTTACGTGTGAATTTTCCTTTTGTTATGATCCTGAGATGTTTCCCACGAAAAGGCGCTTTTGTCTGAGGCGCTAAAGAAGCAGCAGCATCAATTCACTCAGTGAGAGGCGGAAATACAACACAACACAATAATGACTTTCAAAGTAAAAGAGAGTTTTTGTTCAGGAATTCCCAAGCCGAACACGACCATGAACATTGTTATATTCACACTATTTCACAGAGTTCAAAGACATCAAAACAATAGTTTTTCTGACTTATCAGACAAATACAAAGATGTCACAGTCACCTTAATTTAAACTTGCAGTTTGTCTTATGAATGTAAGGATGTCTAACCCATGTTCACACGGGGCCATCAATTAGACAGTAGCATCTGTTTCTTCAATGTTTATCAACATGTCCTCCAAGGACTTCATTGTGGGCTTCGTGTCCCACTGGACACCTATATTCACACGGTTCCTCTACCCTAATATTGATTAACATCAACATATTTTAGCATACAATTTCAGGGAACTCTTAATGTTTCATAGAGTTAAATATATTATCCATTCAGACTGTCAAAAGTTTAATTGTAAGAGGGCTACCGGGCATCCCATCGCAGAGGTGTCTGTCCAATGCTCAAATCAGGTAATGATTGAATCGTTAAAAATGCTTACCTTTTTTGGTGATTAATCCTGTTCATGATGCCAAATTGTAAGGATGCCTAGCCCATGTTCACGCTTTAAAGAATGGAAGGTCCACACGAATGATCATTTTGAGAAGCTTTACTGGTTGCAGATCTGGGTTACAGCTTCATCACGCCACAAGTGTAACAAAGACTGGTCAGAGACTGTTCAAGTATATTTAGCCGTTTCCAAACATTCTGCTTGAATCTTGTTGACCTGAAGGAAAGTCCATGTAGAATAATAACAAAGCACGACCTATTTTGGGAGCCTGAGTGATGTTAAACATGGGTAAACATCGGTCCTTGGTGAGGATGGTTGTCGGAGGCCGATGGCTCCAGAAATCTAGGACCAAAGTATCTGAGGTATTTGAGTGACACAGCTCCACCACCCTAAAGGCCGACAGGACTGACTACAGAAAATCACCCTAACACTAGGTTCGGGTTAAAGGGGCAAAGACGGTTTTATTGAAACCACGATGTGAATGATGATGGTACAGGACCTGTCATGTTCCTTTAGTTTAAAAGCGAATCCAATCAGGGGACTTTATTTTGAAAGGCAAAGCCGGAAGTGTAAGTCGTGTGTCCCATGTAAACAGACAGTATTAGAAAGGGCGGCTGTAGTAGAAGGGGGGAGGAGGGAATGGTAATATGGGAGGAGGAGGGACAGGGGGAGAGTATCAACAGCAGGACAAACGTGTAGTCAGTCTGCTCCTCTTCTTTTTCCGAGGAAACTCTTCAAAATCAGCTCTTCGTCGAAGGAGAACATCCTCCTCATATTTATCAGATTAATTTCTAATATCTGAAGATTTCGGACATTTTCCTCAAGTTTCGTACAAAGACCTTTTCGGACCGAGAGGCCAAAGCGTGGAAAGTTTAAATGGACTTCAGATGGGCTGGTGTCGGACTCATGAGGGTGGACTGGGTCAATGGATGTAATTGAGTTTCGATAATAAGTCATATAATAACCATGGATTTATGACCCATTGATTTTTCATTGACTGGCGATCCACGAGCGGACTGTGGGAGAAAAATGTGATCCCTGCGTTTTCTTTCTTTCTTTCTCTCTTTTTGTTTTAAATTAGTCTTTTTAATTAATCAGATTTACCTCTTATTAAAGGAGGGACTGTGACTCCTCGGTGTGATGAGAAAGAAGAGCATCTATGGATTGACAGATTAGACTCTCAGATCCAAGTGAAAAAGTGCCTCGAGCAAGGTAAGGAGCAGAGCCAAGGCATCCACGATTAGACCCGTGTTTCTCCTGTACTCTCGTGTTTTTCTGTGTAAAATTCACGGCTGTATGTCTGAGGTTGGCTGTGCTGTGGCCTCTTTTGTTTATGTTTACTGTATCAGGTTCACCGCTCCTAATCTCTCAGATTTTATTCTCCTAAAACCCTGCTGAATAGGTTTAACACCCTGTAATGACCCAAAAAGTGAACCCTGTACTGGGATTAAAATAGTGAGAACAATGGTCATTTATATTGCTGTGATTTATTGATTTATTTATTGATGATTGGTGGTTGATTTTGAGCATCAGGGCTCCTTCTCCCCTCGGCTGGTGTCAGACTCACTCAGGCAGACAAAAGATGCACCTGTTTTTCCTTCTTTAATGGGACGTCTGGTGATATGGAGGTCTGAGCATTACATTCTCTGCAGGGGTGCAGAGATAAAGAGCTTGTGGCTCGGTGTGTGCTGTAAATGTATCAGACTGTGTTTTTGCCTGCTGCTCCACATGGTGCAGTGTGGCACCATGGCACAACTTGATTTGGGATATTTTGGAGAGAGCTCTGCAGCCGTGTTGTGCTTTTGACATGATTTCTCTCCTTTACTGTCGCCCTGTGTCTCTTCTGTGTCTCTTCTGTGTCTCTGCTGATACTGGTTGGTGAAATGAGGTGCACAGAGGCAAACATCCCTCCTGGTTCCTGTAATCCCTGGCGTGGGGCTGAAGGACTGTATAGGTCCTCTGTTTACTTTTATAAATGTAAGCTTCCTTGTTAATCAGCTTTAGGGTTTTAGTCTTAATGTGTTATTTTCTCATAATACTCCATAGAAAACTCTACGCTTTCGATCTCCTGTCTGTCACTAATTTGTAAATCAGTTTCTGCGTCTGCTGTTGAATTATTTACGAGCTGACAGCTACATTCAGGAGGCAGATTTTTGCATTTTCCTTCCAGTTATAAAAGTCTGATGGATGTCAGCTCAGGTTTCTTTTTTACACGGTGATATGAAACATTTGAGTGTTTAGCTCGCCTTGACACTTCACCAACATGCTGTACTGTTTTAAATCACCGTATGGGAAACGGCGCCCTGAAGGCAGGCTGTCAGGCAGGAGGAAAGTGATTGTATAGAGCAGCAAATTATTCATGAGTTTGAAAGTGGTTCCTCCAAAATCAGTGTGAGCGGTCAGTCAGAGTCTACAGGACAGGAAATGCAGATCTGCGCCACGGTGTTGAAACTCAGAGTCTGGTGCAAATAAAGGTTGTGATTTATGAAGTTTTAATGCCATGTAGAGGATTAATGTTTACTGTTGTCTTCTGAATGTGTAGTACATGAGCTTTCATTCTCCACATCTTGGTGGAAACAGATGAAGCAAAAGTAGATCAGCTCTACGTAAGCACAGTCCAGGCCGTGCGTTCACACTTCGTCTCTTCAGTTTGTTACCGTTTTGCCTTTTGACCCTCAGCTGCTCTCAGTCTGGCGTTCAGGATAGGCTGCATGTCTTGGAAGTGGCCTGATGGGACTGACCCGCTCCTGACGGGGAAGGACAGGGACGGACAGAGACTCAGGACTTCTGTGCTGTGAGAAAATACACTGGTGTGTGTGTGTGTGTGAGTGGGAGTGGGAGTCCTCTGCCCTTGGTGTAGTAAAAGCAGCTCAGTCAGTTTTTCTGTGTGAGTGACCCCCCCTTACATAAATGCTGTTAAACCCTGAAGCAGCAGCAGCACCATGTGTTACTGTAGGTTACCAACCATCTCTGTGTTAATCCATATACAGTAGGCTTTCCCCGTCACGAGACCAGGGCTGCGCTCCCGTGCACAGCGTGTACCACACTGTTCATTTCCTCCAGCGACAGCTGAAGTCAATAATGCTGCTGCTGAATTAGGTTGCTGTGCCAGAATCAAAATCCATGAATTGATCGCTGATCTGTGGAACCAGTTGAGACTGAATTGAAAGTTTACTACCTAGTAACCCGAGAGTTTCTGTGCACGAGTTGAGTAAAGCTTTGCTGTTGTTGGATCGGTGATGTCTCCGTCTGGGAGTGAGATCGCTCTTTTGACCCGGGAAAGTTGGTGCAGGAGTCACACCTGAGGTTCCTGTTGTACTCTGAGACTACGGCCTGTGTCGGGATTAACGAGGATTACTAAGAGAGTAATGCTGCTTCTTATCAGGCCTGTATCTGTCGCGAGCATCACTTTGGGTGCTGCTTAGGTACTGAGGGATAACAGACACCCTGACACTGTCAGGGTCAAAAGTGCAAAGGGACACCCATTAATGAGGTGGATCTGATTTAATCATCTATCCATGCATGTGTTATGAAAATAAGAAGAGAGAGGAGGAAATCTTATATCCTTCCGTTTATAGACAAGAAGTACAAAAGTTTATATCCACAAAAAAACCCCAATATAAGAGAACTAAATCAGGCATTTGTCTGAAGGGAAAGAAGAGAGAGAAACAACATGAACTCAGGGTTCATATCAAACTTACCAAAGTCAGGAAGGACTTGACTCTTCTGTCTCACAACTGTGTCAGTATTTTCTTTAATGTGTGGATTCCTCAGGTTAATCCGATGATTTTACTGTTTTATTGGGAACATTTAACCTACAGGTGGTCTGTTCTCCTCATAACGTTCTCCTATGACGAACTAAATCTGTAAATTAACTGTTAATGAACCACGTTTGACTTGAAAAACAATGAAAGAGATGTTCACATCAATCAAACCCTGACATTTAAGGAAGAACAGAAACTCTTCTAATAAATCAGTTTAAACCTCCTGATCAGTTCATTCAGGAGGACGTTACCTGCTAAAAAACTGAACATCAGACCATCGAACCGTCTGAACAACACTTAATCTTTCTGCTCGTTATTCAGTGAAATGTGATGTTTTAACTGATGGTTTAACTTTAACTTATTCTGATGCAGCTGTTACCAACAAAGTCTGCAGAGATGAAGGTGTTGTTATTCTGTTTGGACGAGAAATCAACAAACTTCATCGCCGTCACTTCTTCACTGGGATAAAATAAGTGCAAACAGCTGTGTGATCTCTACACATGTTCTCTGCACACACACACACACTGATCCAGTTTTTGGTGACTTGATTCACTCATGATTGACGTCTACACACGGCTTGTTGAGAGAGTGTCCTTGATTTGCTTCGCCAATTCGAACCCTAATTTGATTAGACTATTAACACTCAGAGCAGAAGGGCAGGATTAGTCTGGGGTGTTACAAACGGACCGTCCAGAAGGCTAAGTCATGGCGACTTCGAAAGCAATTTGTGTCATTGAAATCCAGAGAAACGGCGGACTAGTCAGCTCTGGCTGCTCGAGCCGTTTAGTGCTGAGGCAGTGATTTTCTACTGACTGTGTGTGTGATCGACTTTCTCCAGACCGAGTGATGATTGGAGGATTTATTCTTCAGTCATTTGGGTTTTAAGTTTGAAGTTAGTTTAGTTTATTTACACATAATGGAAAAAAAGTAGGAAGTCTTTAATATTGAGCAAAAGGGTTACGAAGACGGACGAGAGATCTAACAAGCAGCAGGATGGACGAGTTAAGAAAGAAGAGTGGTGTAGTTATGAGTCTGCAGGATATTTATAACCAGATGAATGTTTTTAATACTTTCTGAATAATGATGATAAAGCTGCTGATGTAGATGTTCTGTATGTGGGTGAAGTGCTCCTCTATATTCCAGTGTGGACCGATTAAAGGAAGTCTCTGTTTTATGCCTGACTGTCTGAGAAGGACTTGGAAAGGTTCTGGAAAGTTCTGGGCTGGTCTTCAGTGAAGGGCACATATAGAAACACAGATTTGATGAGTGTCGACATTAAAAACCGATAAAAGTTTGTACTTCCTGAAAAGAGGGATCACTCATCATCCTCAAAAACAAAATGTTTTTCAGACGAGTGGGACGAACGTCTGCCCACCCAGGACATCCTGTAAGGATGAATTTAAGTGACGGGTAAATGTTGGCGTGCAGCAGCTGATAATTCTGTCAAGTTTTCCTCTCATGCTCCTGTGAGGAGATGAGGGTGTGGGAGTAAACCCCTCTCGCGTACACGTGTGTGTGTGTAAATGTAAATGAATCCAAATCCACTCCTGTGTTTCCTGAAGTAAATCATCATATGTGAAACACAACAGCAGTTCCAGATCAGCGGGGTTATTATTAGATCAGTCCGATGAGGCGGTGCAGATCTCTGCTTGTTTCCAGACGTGTGATAGACTCTGTGTTTTAATTCAAACAGCTGGGATCTTTGTGTGCCTCCTGTCTGTGTGTGTGTGTGTGTGTGTGTGTGTGTGCACGTCAGTGTAATGGTCCCTCGCTCTGCTCTGCTGCCTCAGGAAATAACCTGGTTGTCTTCTATCTTCCCCTGCACCTGCAGACACAACCCCCTCCAGGTTCCCCCTGTGAAACGTCGGCTCAGTGTGTCTGTCTGCATCCTCCTACAAACCCGCCACGTAATGTTGAAGCTCTGCAGAGAGAGCACTTCTCATCTCCAAAGTTACCTGAGGTTTCGACACAGGCGCAGTTTCAGATGTTTGGTTGGATCTGGAACTGTGATGCAGAAACCATCATAGTGAATATTTTGACGTCTTTAATGTTTGAGAATCAGTCTTGTTAGTTCTGACTCCCCTGCTGACTGCTGAGATGTTTGCTCAGTCGGGGTGATAATCCTCCCCTCGTCACAAACATTGGGCTGAAGTTCTTCTGACATGCAGTAATCACCAACTTACTTCAGCTATAATTCATGCCCTACATCCCTCTCCTCTTTGTCAGCTTTTACCCTGAACATCACCTCACTTTGCTGGTTGTCCTACATCTCCAGTCGGAGCAGAAGTCAGCTCTGTGTTGGTTGGTTGAATGCCTCATCATCTTCCTGCCGCTCTATTCTGAGCCGTTTGTTAATCAGAGTGCAAACAGGACTGCTTAGAAACCGGCGAGAGCGCGTCGTCATGTGGTTCTCGTGTTCCTGCAGGACTTTGGCGGTTCTGTTAGCGGCTAATATTCAACACTGCCTACCTGCTCTCTAAGAATAGAGCCCCTCTCATGTTACTTTAAATGAACTCAGAGTAATAAGTGTGTATTAGAGGGACTCACTTAAGGAGGGTGTGTGTGTGTGTGTGTATGTGCTGTTCTATTATGTTTGAAGGGCAGCGACTTGAACTTGTGCTTCCAATCCAATTTGAGGTGGAGGGCTTCATGACCTGCAGCTGTTGTCTCATTAGGAGTCAGAGGACTGCGCTGCTGCTGCTGTGTTTGCATGTCCTGTTTGTGAATTCGAGGGTCAGATCATGAAGTGTTTCAGAGTTTGATTAGCTCCTCTGAATGGCCTCTCTATTTCTGGCCCTCTGGTTCCTTTTTAAAGCACCGCTAATAGGATCACATCTGGAGTCGTGGACGCACACAGACTTCGATAGCGCTCGTGTCACCTGTTGATCGCTGCTGGCCTATCTAGCTTGGCCTAATCACAAGCATCAGGTTAATCCGTGCACACACTCACAGCCTCGTACAGGTCTTCCTTATAGAAACACACACACACAGTAACACAGCATTCACACACTACACACACACTACACACACAATCCCATGCTCCACTGTTACTTGTTGGAATAGCTTATTTGCTTTAATCCAGCGCAGCTCAGACATGCAATTTTCCAGAGGATTTAGGGGTTTCAAAGAATACAGTTATTTATTAACCAAGAAGCATCTGGAATGCCGTGTAGTTGTTGGATTATGTGAGATGATGTTAACTTGAGGGATTACAATAGTCTGTTGGAGGATGTGAGGGATGTCCCAGCCCAGCTGTGAAACTGGAAATGGTGCTGTAGTGGCGCTCTGCTGATGGGATGTGCGGTCCTCTCTTCCAGGTCGGGCGATGTGTGAAGGAGTGTGACGGACGGCCATGGGACTGGAGAGACGGTGGCTCCAGGCTGTCACCACTGCTGTAGCCATCTGTTTGCTAAGTGAGTATGCTAATGCAAATATGGATCCAACGCATATATTAACGTGATTCATTTCTCCCTCTAGAGTTAAAGGATGTTCACAAGATTTCACTCCGTACCATCGTGTCATAAAACTGTGAACTGTGTTTTATTCTGTTAACTGTTCATTCTCAGCGTCAGAGTTTGAGAAGAGTTTTTATACAGCTGTAACTTTAATCTGTCAGGGGTTTTATTCTGTAATAAGACAATATATGGTTTATAATTTTTTTTTTTGTGATGTAATAAAACATTATATTTATTTTTTTTATTTAACCTTTATTTAACCAGGTGAGGCTTATTGAGATATAAAATCTCTTTTACAAAAGCGACCTGGCCAAGAGGCAGCAAAGTTACAGAGTTACAGTAAAATCATTTAAAATAAATAACAATAACTCAATAAGAAATACAATAGAGTACAATAAATAAAATAGTCAGTGATAGAATAGAAGCAGTGTAACATCTTGTTAAAAACAGTCACAAAGACCAATGCTTTCCAGAATTTTCACAAAGTCCTTTTTTAGTTTTTTAGTTCCTTCTATATAATTTATAATTGTCATTGTTTAATAAGACAGCAGAAGAAAACTGTGGGTTCGTCTTTTTTAACTTGTTGAACAGACAAAAAAAAAAGTCTCAAATCTGTGAAGCTGACATGGATTTATCCCCAGCATGTGTAAACAGGACTGCAGATACATGCAGATTAATTAGGATTATAATCTACTCTGTTGGATCATGATGATAATATTGTTTAACACTGTTTTTTTTTTTAAAATTAAATTGTGTGGCATTATGCACATGCAGTGTTAATGCATTATGTAATGAAGTTTACAGCGTTCATAAGTCTACGCTCACTTTAGGATTTGCAGGTTTGGATTATAAGTTTTACAGATGGTGCCTAATTAAAGTATCAGCTGATGAATGAAAAACACGTCACAAAAAGAAAATCTAAGAGTTGTCTTTCTTTGCAGGATATTTTACTGTTAGTGAACAGACGCATTAATGATATAAAAGCTCCTTTTTCTGTTCGAGCTCGGCGGTTTTAAACCAGCCTGTTTTGCCCGTTAGTCTCTGCGGTGTTTTGCGTAGTTTCACCTGAAGTCAGTGTTTCATCAGGACCTGCAGTATGTGTCACTCGCTATAGTAAAGCCGTTCCAAACCGGTCGGCATATGTTGGCCTTTCGATGCCTGCATGAAGCCGCCTGAGTGACACTATGCTGAATCTGGCACAGCTCCCGTTGCCTTACATTAGAGGGAAAGTAAAAAGAGGAGGGGGGCGCGGCGCAGACAGGAGCGGACCACCGAGAATGAGGCCAAAATCCAAGTTAAATAATATCTCTGGGTGTGGATTAAGATCAATCTGGGATTTGTACTACCCCCAACCCTGGGCACGCTTCAGTGTGTGCGTGCATGTGTTTTGAGGAGGGGGTGGTGGGATTGATTGAGCTGGTCCGCAGACCATGTGTGGACCCCAGGGGGTGGTGGGAGGGAGGTCGGCTGGAGAGAGCGCAGAGGGTCCTGCTGTCCTGCATCAGAGAGTATCACCACCACCGCCACCCCCCCCCTCCTGAGATTAAAGTAATCGCTGGGCCAGATGAGAAGCAGGCCAACACTGGCACCCAGTAGCACACACACTCACATGAGCACATGGCAGTGAGCGAGGGAGAAGAGAGAGAGAGAGAGAGGAGAGGCCGCTCCAGGTGTCACTAATGGGATTTCGGTGTGTTTGCAGGCTTTGCAGCGATGCGATCTTGTGGCCAAATGGCTCACCATTGTTTGACATGTCCTCTGATGGCCCAGGTTGGATCAGGACTCCCTCTGGGGATGTCATTCACTCCTAAATCCAGCTCAGCGTACGCGTTCATGACAAGTCAGCTTTTTAAACCTGGAGGTCTTCTTGATCACGCTCCTCGTTTATCTGCAGAAATATTCTGCTAATGTTTCCTGAGCTCAGCGTGGCGAACTGTCCTCCTCGCAGGAATGACCAGAAGAATTCCTGCGAGGTTAATCCGGCCTCTCTGGCAGCAATAAGTCTTTCAACAGGCGCATATTTCTCCTGCCATATAAAGCATGATTTATGTCTGTATTTACATTTTTACTCTTTATAGCCTTCACTGCTATCTGCAAACGCTCAGAGACAATCTCACGCTCTATCTTGTTGGTATGTCGCTGTCTTTGCAGGTGTGTCTCAAGGCGAGGCGTCGCTGGTTCGTGCCAGAGAGGGGGGCTCTGCAGAGCTGGGCTGCAGTCTCACTCCCACAGCCAAAGAAGCCACCTCCCCAAACCTCTTTCCTCTGCATGTGGTGGAGTGGGTGCGCCTCGGCTTCAACGTTCCCATCCTCATCAAATTCGGAGTGTATGCTCCTCGTGTTCACCCGAACTACAAGGGTAAGAGTCGTAACGGCGAGCTCCATCACACACTCCTCTCAGAAAACCGTAGGACGCGTGTTTACCTGACTGTAGGTCCGGAGACAGTTTCTGTGTGAGACCTTTGAAAACTCTGCAGACTCTGGAGCTCTAATCACAGTTTGTTTCTGAAAGTCTTCAACAGACTGACCGCTGGCTGACAGATTTCTCCAATTATGGTTTTAGAAAGGAAGGGAGGGGGGTGTCCATGTGGCAGCGTTTCTCTTTTACCACCAGTTACACATGCAAGTGTGTGTGTGTGTGTGTGTGTGTGTGTGGGCACAGGTAGGCGTAAAGAGGTTGCACCTGTATTTATGAAGACTTGGGGAGGGGAAGTCTGGATGAAGCAGTAATCCTTACAGACTGCAGACCCTGTCATTACTGCTGCTGATGTTTGCAGAGCAGGAGGGGAAGGACCGGCATGGAGGGGTTTTAATGGAGCCAGTTAAAGGGGGGGTGGGGGTGCAGAGCTGAAGGAAGGAAGGGGGCGACCAGGAACGCCGTGCATCCAGGGATTAGGAGTGTAGGTGGGTGGGGGTCCTGGTGGTCTGATGACAGTGTTTTATTAGTATGCTGAGGGGTGACCCAGTAAGAGGAGATTGTTGTGCTGGAAGGAGCGTGGATGAAGCACTGGGAATAATGGGAGTTTTCTCGCTGGAGCCCTATAATCCTGTTATTGTCTCGCAGAGGACAAAAGACAAAGAGGGGTATCACAACCTCCCTGTGCTCTGCCAAAGCTAACAGGCACTACTAGGACACCCCCGAAATCCCATACTGTCCCAACTAGGTCAGGGAAACGACCACGAAACAGTGAAAGACCCCGTCTTTGAACGGGAGGTGGTTCTGAAGCTCGCTTCTACCACCCAGCTGACTCAGGAACCACAAACAGACTCCCTCTGCTGAAGAACGGTGCTGCATGTGTTTACACGTTAGACCGTTAACCGTGTCATTGTTTCGAGGCGGTCATCTGATGCACACGCCGTCATAACGAAGTAAACAACAGAGAAACACGGAGAAGAGGACCCTGATGGTTGTCCTCATATTCTTGAACCCCTGCATGTCCTCGTCTGGTGTGGGCTTCACTGTCCGCCTCAGATCTCATCTCTCCCCTCCCACTGGAGGCAGATGGCTGCATGTGAAGCGTGTCAGCAGCAGCAGCAGCAGCAGCAGCAGCGCTGTAGGTCTAATGTATTCTACCCTCAAATTAAATGTCAGGGGATTTCAGTTTTAACCACAAGACAGTGAAGAAGGAGAAGGAGAGCGTTTCCTGATCTTTGTCTGGGCCTGTCTGAGATCAGCAGCAGGATCAGATCTGCGCCGCTGTTCAGCTGTTGTTCAGGGTGGATTTGCAGCTGAACTGCAGCGTCTAATAAAGTTAAGTGATCTGTCAGATTTCACTCTACATTATTAAATCAAAGTGATATCCTGTCCTCCTCCTCCTCCTCCTTCCTTTGGTGCTCTTCAGCTGCTGCACGTCTCAGTAGGCTAAAATAAAACATAAAACACGGTCCGTCCGTCTGTCTGTCTGTCCCCGCTCTGCTGCCTTGTCTCAGCCTCACTGATGCTATTTGCCATTTTTAGAAGCTGACACCAAAGAATCAAAGCGGGCGATATCACCGATCCATTAAAGCTGCGTCTTTTTGATACGATATCAGGTGTATTTGAGATCTCAGGAGTGTCCCGGCCTTAAACAGAGCGCTGTCCTCCTGTCGACCCCCTCAGACACCAGCCTGTCTCAGAGAATCAGGACGGTCTCAGTCCCCCTCATCCCTCTTCCTCTCTGTTTCACACCCAGCATGCCCTGCAGGGCCGAACATTAGTGGACTCACAACAAAGAGGAAACAGCCGAACAGACCGGGACTGACACGCTCTTCTAGTCTGTTTGAAGTGAATCTGTTGAGACGATACGTCCAAGTCTGCTGGTGTCAGGACGGTTTACTGTTGCAGAACTAGATCAAATGTCTCCTGAGTGCTGAAGTAAATCAGGAGAGACTGAGAGCCGGGAACTCCGACCTGAGGTTACAACCACAATGGGCAAACCCCCCCCATCCCAGCAGGCCGCCACCGCACTCGCAGTCTGACCTCTGAACGCCGCAGAAGTTAGGACTAACAAACATGAACAAGTCAGGCTCACACAAACCCAAACCAACGAACCCTGGACTTTCTAAACCCCCCACCTGAGGTCTCTTGTGTGTAATCTAATATTCAAACACACCTCTGTTTGAAGACGGCAGAAAATAGAGCAGCTGAAAGATGAGACCGATCACCTCCGCTAACCAGTTTTTCCTCCAAAACTCGACCTGAGTGATTCATGGCAAACAACCGCACAAAGAAAGGAGAATAGATGGCCGACGTTCAGGAATTTTCTGTTTTAAAGCTGTTAGAAAATCTCTGTTACCTCATTTATGTGTGTGAGGTAAGAGGAGCTGCTGCGGAAAGGTTTTTTCCTCTTTACACGCACAAATCCACGGCTCTGTGATCGATTAGATATGTCCCTGTGATCGATTAGATATGTCCCTGTGATCGATTAGATATGTCCCTGTGATCGATTAGATATGTCCCTGTGATCGATTAGATATGAGAGGACTGACTCTCAGGTTTTTCCGACCTTGCCTCTTTTATTTTGAAAAGTTTAGTATCCTGATGATGGGGATTTTTGTTTTTTTCAAGTGTTTCCTCGTCGTTATTTTTCCGGTTAAGGATCTAAAGTCAAATTTAGGCGGCGGTTAATTATTAACATGCGTGTTATCTCAGTCTGAACAGCAAACATAGTTGAGGATCTGTGCAGGAAAAACCCGCTCTGATGCCTCTGAATCTGGACTTAACTCTGTGTTTTAAAGCTCCAGTGAGGAGGTCCGTGTTTATGTGGATTTGGGCGTCATGATTTCCAGTTAGATTAAAAAGTTTTACTCCAGAGTTCAAAAGAAGGTTCGTACTTTAGATTAAAAACAGGGACAGTCCTGACTGAACTGCGTGTGCTTTCTGGTGCGAGGGTTAACCGAGCCGGACGGAGCGAGAGGGGCAGAGTTAACTGTAATCTATTCCACGACAAAGAGCTATTCATAAGAGGGTTAAACTGATTAGAGAGACAGGAGGATTGAAGAGAGAAATTTGGGGGAGTGGGAGGGGTGAGCTGTCAGAGCCGGGGGGCCGGGCCCAGACTTATGATTGTATTCAAATCAAAACACATCCCACAATGCACCTCTGCCCCCGACTCTCTTATGCACATACGGATGGACAAAGAAAAGCAGAGCTGATGCTTCTGCAAACAGAATAATCTGTCTTCCTCCGCCGTCCCCCTGCTATTGTATCACATGTGATCCACCGTACAGAACCCTGGTGCTGCTCTGTCAGTCAGAACCTCTGAGGCTAAAATCACCCGTTGGTTTAATAAAGGCGTGTCTGAGACGCAGAGTGGGTAAAATGTCGGTGAAGAAGAGAGCTGTTTTACAAAATGACAAATAATCCAGTTTGAAGCTCCATCGGCGCCCCGCTGAAACGCCATTGTTTCACTGTCAGAAACTCTTAATCAAGCTGGTCGTTAAAAAAAGAAGAGGAGATCAGGAAGACAAGGCCGGCTCCAGGCCAGCCGAGTTATTCCTAACCCGCCACCCACTGGGCCAGAACCTGACTCCCGCTAATATGGAGAAGAGGGCGCTTCTTAGAGGTTCACACAGCACTCACGGATTAGCCTTTCCATTTATTACCCTTGGCTGCACCGCGGTCCAACCTGTTGGAAACAAGGGCTCATTTCAAGATGGACTGGAGGCTGTCATGTGATAGGAGGAGGAGGAGGAGGAGGAGGAGGAGGAGGACGGACACGAGAGAGGAGCAGCAGCTATTGTTTCAACCCAAGAGTCTGACCGTGATGTTGGTCTCTGGAGGACGACTTGTGGACATTGTGCTGATGTAGAAACCGGGGAGGGGGGGTGATGAATGTGTCTGACGGGGAGTTTGGGATCACAGAGGTCAGAAAGGTCGAGCTCTCATTGGTGTTCAGAGGATTATCGATGCACACATTTGGAGTAACCTCGCCATAACCTCAGGCTGAGTGTCTCTTTGAAGAGGTTCCCATCAGAAAATAAGAAACTGTTGTTTTTAAACTCTTACTCTGTTCAATTATTAAAGTATATATCTGCGTTTTAAAGCTCCTGTGAGGGAGGGAGGAGTGGAGTTTTTGAGGAAAAACTGAAACTCACAGTGACGCCGTTTCAAAGACTGAAAAGTTTAATTTCTTCCTTTTTAACACCTGAAACTGGAGCGAGGTAACGCAGCTGCAGAAACAAACAACCCTGATTTTACTTTTTCCAAATGACTTGTTCACAGTTAAGGCTGTATTCATGGGTTAGCAGGCTGGGGTTCTTTTAAAGCTCCTGTGAAGAGATTTAGGTTTTTGTCCGTTTTAGCGCCTCCTGTGGACAAAGCGGGTTCTTGTTTCAACAGAAATCTCGTCCTGCTGATTTTTATTTTTTTTTAATGAAGTGAAACTCAAACAATCCTTGACATCATCCCAGGTTGTGTTTGACAGTGCTGAGGACATGAAAAAAGACAAGAGAGAAAAAGAAAATCCACGGGTCACAGAAATGTGAATAAAGAAGTGGACAGTTTTGTGGGGTCCCCCTCACTTAGAGAGATATCACCTCCTCACAAAAACCTCAGACCTCAGTTGTAATTTAGCAGTTAAAGCCTCCACTCCACACTCCTCCCTCAGTTTCTGTTTCCACTGTAGGTGGCTGTGGATTCGTCCATTTTATTGTCACCATTTTCCTTCAAGAGTTTATGTAACAGGTGCTTTTGGTCTCTAGTGTTCATGTCTTCAGGAGTTCGATCGAAGAGAAACTGACTTGGGGTGAATAATAATATATTAATCCCCAGAACTTTATCGATCTCGCTCTTTACCCTTTTCCAAAAATGAAGCATCATTGTCCAGTCCTAAAAGTCGCCAACCGCTCCACATCCTCTCCAACAGTAAACTGGGTTATCGACGAGTTTAGAGACCATGAAGGCGTCTGAAAGAACTTTGTCTTCACCTTCCAATCAAACTCCTTCAGTGCTCGTTGTTTCCCATTCCCCGTCTTCAGTTATAATATTTAACTCAAGCTCCCGTTTGTTTTGAATATAAAAAGTTTTGTCTGGAATATCTAGTAACAGATTTCTGTATTTATGGGTAATTGATGTTTAAATATATTAATAAAGTAAGTTTCTGTGTTCGTTGGAGTATTTTTACTTATATCCCAGTCCTGATGGTCTGTAATTTAATTCCTTCTCTGAAAATACCGGAACATGTCACTTTGGGGTAGACAGAATTTATCTCATATTTTAATATGTCGGACTATTTCACGTGTCAGTCATCAAAACAGGTCTGACTAAGGCTGATACCGACCCACCTGCTCCACTTTAGAGCAGAGATATTTAGGATCCATACGGTGGTTTTTAACATCACATCAATATCGACTTTGTAATGACGTCAAAAACCGCTAACAGGAGCTTTAATTGTGCATCAGAGAGAAAAACAACAACAGAGCAGAGGGCAGAGCACCTGCCGAGCTCCATTCAAGATTCCAGTTCAAGTCCGAAGATTCAACATTCAGACGTGAATAAAACAACATTTGTCACACGGCGTCAGGCTTTTGTCCGTCTGAAGACTGAAAGGAAAGCCGTCCCTCTCTCTGGCGTCTCTTTCTTTTCTCTCTGGAGGTGACGGGTTTTTTCACCCTCCATGTTTTCTCCTTCTTGTAATTTTTCAAATCTCTGACAGTAAGAGCCCAACCCCCCGTCTGTATCATCCAGCCTCCCTCGCCCTGCGTTTGGCCCCGCCATGTTTCTACAGCAACTGAATTCAAATCTAAACCTACAGCCCGGGCTTTTCTTGGTCACATCGCTATGGTAACCTGGGAGAATGAGGAGTGGGGGCTGCCGTCTCTTTGTAGTGACGGACAAGAGGGGAGGCTACGGGAAAGGGTTAAGTGTTGGACAGTGAAACCAGAATTCCCCTGCAGGGACCCGAGGGTGGGGGGGGGCAGGGCTCTCTGAATTTTTGAAAATCAACATGTAGACCGACCCACGTGGTCCTGGACCCACGAGACCCGCACACACGGTCAGCGTGAGGGATTTTCAGAACATGACAAGAGGCGTTATTCTGAGCTGCAGTGATCCTGTCATATTTTTCCATGTGAGGATTAACTTTGTGTTTAAGAGCGTTTGTATGATTTCACACGTGAGAGTGTTTTTCTTCTCTCCTCCTCCTCCGCCTGCAGCAGCAGCAGCAGAAAGGTTTTCACAGGAAACACCTCGCTCCACGAGGGAGGAGAAAGCCTAAAGTTATCCTCACACACCTGTTATCATCTCCCTGCACATTTCCTCTCTCTCTCTTTGTCTCTCGCTCTCTCTCGCCCTGCCCGGTCGTTTGACAGATGCAGACTGAAATGAGAGGCGTTCATTTCTTTTATGGTGCCTCTCAAGTGAACACCACCCATCAATTGCTGCTCTGCCTTTGGGGAGGTCAGTCAAACATTAAACCTGACTATTAAGCTCAGCAACAGGCCCGCTCAGGAATGCAGGGTTAATTGTTAGCTATTGTCGTCTGTCTTTACTCTCAGTGTGTGTTTCAACCCTGCCTTTAGGCCGCGTATGAAAGTCATCATAGCTCTCAGGCTCGGCCGTCTGGAGGGGAACGGTGTGAATACGGAGGATATTGTCTTTCTCTTGGTATTGTTGTTTCTTCAGGGTTACAGAGCGTTCAGTAATCCTCTGCTCCTATCTGTCTCCTGTGTTAGAGTGACGACAGCAGCAGGTTTTCAGAGCAAACGCAGCATCGGAGAAACAAAAACACTGAAAATACAAATCTACAAACACAACAGGAAAGAAAACATCATTAGAAATAGAGCGATCAATCAAAGACAGGATCAGGACAAGGAGATCCCCGAGGCTGGGATCATGTCTGCAGACACTGTGATGATGGTCTGTGGTCTACAGTGGAGATCACAGGTGTCACAGTTTACACACAGTGACTGAAACTCTTGTTTCTAATGACGGGATGAAACCAGTAAATTTAAAAAAAAACAGTATAATCCAGTTCAGAGATCTTAAATTCTCCAGTACGAGGCCGTTCTACTTCAAACTCTAAGTTTTTTTTCCCCTCACGTCTGAGCTGCTGTCGTCGCTGCGCTCTCAGCTGAGGTCTACTTTTGGAGACCTTCTCTGGACCACGCTCTCTGCTCCTGATGTTTCCTCATGATTCCTCTCGATTGTTTTTCATTCTTCTTTGTAAAATTACAGTTTAATGAAAGTAAATGTGAAGCATGAGGAGCTTTTAAACACGCTGCGGTAAAGACGGTCTCATGTGGAGATAACAGCCTGCAGGAATCACAAGCTCCCTACTTCACCGCAGTGCACCTGTCCAGGTGTGCAACAATATTTATCCTTTTAATATTAGTTTTTAAAGTTTGATGCATTTGAATTATCGTCCAAAAACAGTCCTCTTCTCCTGGAGCCGCTGTGTTTTTCTGTTTTGTGCTGTAGTGTGTCATTTCTGCTCGGTTGTGTTTTTATTGTGAGTATGAAGTGAAGACAGGGTTTGGTTCTGAGCTGTTTGTGAGTTTTCTGAGAGTAGGTTGGAGACCAGGTTTGGAGTTCACACTTTAGAGGACAAGAGGAAGATTTGTAGAAAAGTGTTTTTGAACTGGAGAAAAACTTAAACCAGCAGTAATAAACACTCTCTCCAGTAAATATGAGGGTCAGAACATCAGCCCTGTGAATGTGAAGTATGATCAGAGATTATGTTTGTATTCAGAGTTAGTATTTACTCGCAGCGTCAGTCCCGTCAGCTGCAGATATGCACCGGAAGTTTCTCCACGTCCTCCTGTTTACTTTCAAACTGCAGACCGTCGATGAACAACGTGTGAGTTTCTCCCCCCGCCTGCATCCTCCTGTCGTTTAAAGCCCTGAGATTGAAGGGGGGAAAAAAGAGTTCATTGAGAGGCAGAATAAAAGGGTGGAGGGGAGGGTGGGTGGTGGTGGGTGGGGAAGGGTAACTTCAGTACCCTGAAAACCAGGCTGCAGTCACCAGGCAACCAGCAGATCAAGTTTCAAAGCCTGACAAGGAGCCGTAAGAAGTAGAGAGGGAGTGGGTATGGATCTGTGTGTGTGTGTGTGTGTGTGTGTGTGTGTGTGTGTGTGTGTGTGTGTGTGTGTGTGTGTGTGTGGGCTCACTCATGGACCCATCTGTGTCTTCTGATGGTTTTCACACGAGTTCATTGTTCCTCCCTAACCTCATCGATGAAGAGGACGGTCTTTACTTCAGTCTGTGGTTCTGCTGCAGGTCCAAACACCTCCTCTCTCTTCTAGTGTTCAGATGAATCTCCTCCTGGCTCTGCTCTCCATCACCTCCACCCAAAACCCTAAATGACAGGAGGTCATCTGTAATCATGCTAATCTTTACTGTCATCACTGCAGTGATTCATGTGTTTGCTCTCTAACTTTGGACCAGGACTTCTCCTCCTCCTCTCCTGTTTGTGTTTTAGGAAACTTATTCAGAGGTTTTCCCACGGCTCAGATCCTGATGAGTAGTTTGGGGCATTAACAGACACCAAAAGTACCCCCACCCACCACCACCACCACCACCACCACCACCCTGCTGCTGCTAACCAGGGACAGAAAAAAACACTAAAATTACGTGTTTGTTTTTAGTGATTTTGGCTTCAGTCTGGATCACAAACTAAAGGGTTTTAAATTCTCACCTGATTTTAAAAACTGATTCAGAGCCCAGAGATAATAATAATAATAGTAATAATAATAATAATAATAATAATACTGCTACTACTAATAATAATAGTAATAATAATAATAATAATAATACTAACAGTAATAATACTACTGCTACTACTAATAATAATAATAATAATGATAATATAAAATATATTATTTATTATTATTATTATTATTATTATTATTATCTGTAAAGAAATAACCTGATAATCTGCCTTTGCTGACTTTGGTTGGAGAGAGATTGGAGCCTACGACTGTCTTGTCTGGTGTGTACCAGTTAAACGTGGCGCTCTCTATCTCCACCATCTTTTTGTTCAGGTCACATGATGATGATGATGATGATTGGATGGTTGTATTGCCCGTCATAAGTCGTGGTGTTTGATAATCAGTCGTTATTCTCTCACTGCGTGGATCGGTCGGTGGCGTTGACTGTGGCCTTTGTGACTCTGCTCGCCGCGTCCTCTAAGCCTCCATCCTGCATGTGCTGACTCTGCCTGTCTGGCTGTTTGTGTGAACGTACGTGGGCTCACCCTCTCTCTCTCTCTGTCTCTCGCCCCTTCCTCTTTGCCCCCCCCCACCCTCACCCCTCCTCTCACAGGCCGTGTTTCTCTGACCCGTGGCGCCTCTTTGCTGGTGGAGCGGCTGACCCTGGAGGACGAGGGCTGGTTCGAGTGCCGCATCCTGCTCCTGGACAGTAAAACGGATGACTTTCAGAACGGCACATGGACCTTCCTCTCCATCACAGGTGCAGCTCTGCAGGAGTTTGGGGCGCTGTTCCTCTCCTCGCTTATCTCTGGCAGCGTCCGTGTTTAGAAACGCCTCAGTGTGGATCCTGGCAGGATGAATCTCTCCGCCTTTTTTTAGCAGCGTATGGCGGCGTTTTGTCTGACAGTCTGTGAACACATCACGTCTCATCATTGGGCAGAGAGCTGCTGTTACCCTAGGAGATCATTTTAGCAGAACAGCAGAGTAAATATGTGGGGCTAAAGGTGAAAGGTCAACCCTCCTAGTGTTTAATACACAGACTCACATATGAAGCTTGTATCAGAGTATTAGACCACTGCACATGTTTAATATAAGTGTGTGTTCTCTCAGAGGATGTGTGTTAATCCAAATCCAGACATGACAAAGAGTCTTGGTCTTTCTCACCGATGACATAATTTACCCAAAAGCCCGTCTGTTTCCTGAGAGTGTGACTATTTTTAGCCTCCATGAGGAACAACCATGAATGTGTCAGTGTCCTTTAACCGCCGAACACACGTATCTGTCGGTCCAGAGTTTTGATCTGGAGAGTTACTGCTTCTGAAAAAACATCAATCACCTGAAAAAGATTCAGTGAAATCATTCGAACATTTCCTCTCATTTCTGCTCAAACTCTCATCAAACATTCAGTCAGTGAAACAAATCCTCTGTAAAGAGCTGAAACAAAAACCTGATGCATTTAACACAAGAGTGAACCTCTGCACCAGGTGAACAGCGTCAACTCAAAAATCCTGTTGGCTGTTAGGAAATGTGATTTAGGAAGGAAGTGTGAAGGAACCCTCAACAAATAAAGTCAATTAAATCAGTTAAAATACACAACAGCCGTAAAAACAGTAAAATAAACAGAGCAGGAAGAACGGAGAGTAAAATCATCAGAGGAATTAGAAGATTAAATAAAATGTAAAATTCTGATAAAAAGGATAAAAGGAAACAAATATAAACAAACATCATGAAGAAGAAAGTTTGAAGAAGTGATTTAAAGAAGTCACTGACCCTGAAGATCCTCTCAGACGAGTCTTCACTCCGACTTCACCTGGAATATTTCCTGATAGGTCCCCTGATATCATTTCATTATAGAGTAAATAATAATAAACAGAATCATTTCATGATAAATTATCATTTAAATCACAGAAATCAAAGTTACTGTGGATGATGAGTGTTTGTGTGGATCAGCTGTTCACTGTTGATGTCTGTGTTTCTGGTCTGCGTCCCTCATGTGAATATGTAAATAATAATTCATCTTTAATCTCTCTCTCTCTCTCTCTCTCTCTCTCTCTCTCTCTTTGTCGCAGCTCCACCTGCCTTCATTAAGAAACCTCCGACCTTCGTGGAGGTTTTGCTCGGAGACTCTCTGACTCTCAGCTGTGGAGCTCACGGCAACCCTCGTCCAACTGTCGTCTGGCACAAAGACGAGAGCCGAATAGAGAAACATGAAAAAATAAAGGTGAGATGGTGAACAGATGGCTGCATTAATGAAATACTTGATAATTCACATGTTTCTGTGGGAGTTTGAACCTTTGCTGCTCCTCTGAGGTGAACTGCTCTGATCTGTTGTTGTGGTCTCCACTGAAGCTCCAAATCCTGGACTCTCTCTGATCCTCTTCACCTCCACCCCCCCCTCTAGGTGCTCAATGGTTCCTTGTCTTTGGCCTCCGTCACAAGAAATATCTCAGGAGTGTATACATGTCACGTGTCCAACTCGGAGGGGAACCTGACCCACTCCACACAGCTGCAGGTCAAAGGTCAGTGCTGGACTGTCACTCATCAGAGAGAGAGAGAGAGAGAGAGAGAGAGAGAGAGAGAGTCTCTGCTTCTTCTTCCATGTTTGTCTGGTCTGTGACAGAAACACTGAAGTCCTTCTTCTAAATCTTCATATTTGTCCAGATTACTACAGAGTCTATACTGCCCCCTACAGTCCACTCCTGCCGCTGCATTTACTCCAGGTTTCTAACAGTCTGATCTGTGATCCAGCTCAAACACTCAGAGGACCCTCCCAGAGACCTCCAAACAGTTTGAGTCCCGGCCTAGGAGCCGGTCAGACTCGTTCAGTATGAGGTTTTCTTTGAGAGCTGTGATTGGTTAATCCTCAAAGAGAGATAAATGTTCATTGATTGATGACAGGACCAGATCAGACTGATCACGGTATCTTTTTCTGATGTGATCAATATTTCTGTTGTAAACGTTTCTTTAAAAGTTTGACGTGTTTGAAGCAGATGCCGTTTCTCCACATGCTGAAGGTCTTAGATACCTCAGGTCTTCGATACCTCAGGTCTTCGATACCTCAGGTCCCAGATACCTCAGGTCCCAGATACCTCAGGTCCCAGATACCTCAGGTCCCAGACACCTCAGGTCTCAGATACCTCAGGTCCCAGATACCTCAGGTCTTAGACACCTCAGGTCTTCGATACCTCAGGTCCCAGATACCTCAGGTCTCAGATACCTCAGGTCTTCGATACCTCAGGTCTTCGATACCTCAGGTCTTCGATACCTCAGGTCTTCGATACCTCAGGTCTTAGACACCTCAGGTCTTCGACACCTCAGGTCTCAGATACCTCAGGTCTTAGATACCTCAGGTCTCAGATACCTCAGGTCTCAGATACCTCAGGTCCCAGATACCTCAGGTCTTAGATACCTCAGGTCTCAGATACCTCAGGTCCCAGATACCTCAGGTCCCAGATACCTCAGGTCTTAGATACCTCAGGTCTCAGGCAGACAGACCATATCCATGTTTTTCCAGCAGGATACGATCAGCATCTCTGTACGAGTTTAGAGACTGATGTCTGTTTTTGTTAAAGTATTTCGACTGCAGTCTGACGGGTCAGAGAAGTCAACCTGGTCGATGTGTTCAGCTTCTTCTTCTTCCTGTCGGTGTGGTTCTGTCCTCTCTCAGTAAAAAGCCTCTATAACCTGTCAGAGATCAGCTGTTTCATTTACTGATATCTCGCTCTCATTTCTGATCGTTTCATTGGCTCGTAGATGTGAGTGTGACCAGAAACACAGTTTTATCAACGGTGTTTAATGAACTCACTGTCGGTTGGTTTTTGTCGTCTGTCTCTCCGTCTCTCAGTTTCTCCTCCTGACAGTATTTGACGCTCAGAGCTCTCTCCTCTGTGAATCGTAACTTTGAGGGAAAATCAAAGTAAATCGTCTCGTTTCTAAGAATTTAAATATAATTTTTATAATTCAGAGTCTGAATCTTTGTGAATACGGACAGGTTTCTGCATCGCTGTAAAAACACCATTTTGACTTCAGGATGTTTGTGTTTCTAAAAGGACCTCCGATCATCATCATCTCCCCGGAGGACACCACCCTCAACATGTCCCAGGATGCAGTTCTGCAGTGTCAGGCCGACGCCTACCCATCCAACCTGACCTACGAGTGGTTAAAACAAGGACAGAACGTTTACCACATCGAGTGAGTCAAACCCGAACCTGATGTTATCCATCATGTGATCTTATTTCAGCCTCAGAGCTGCTGATGTGGATCAATCAGAGACCTGAACATCTTTAGACGTGGAGGTCAGATACAGGAGTCCAGAACCAGGACTACAGGCTCCGTCATGAAAAGACACACGCGGTTCTGGCGGCGTGGCGCCCCATGACCGTGGATCAGGATCCATGTGTGGGGTTTCCTTGAATTTCTCTGTATTTAGTCACACAATGATCTATTCTGAGTCCGTCTGTAAATATACAGCCTGGATCAATAGGGCGAGTTTCCAAACCACACCGCTAAGACAATCAGAGCCAATGAGATTATTGCTAAGACAATTATATCGTGTTGTCACGGAGACACAGGAGATTAGCGTTCAGACGGCAGTTTAATTTCCCAGAATCCTTCTCCGTGTGAAGATGGACCTTCAGTTTCCATTCAGTCTGACTTTGGTCTTCTTCTGTCGGCTTCAGGTCCCTCAAGTCCAGAGTGAAGGTCCTGGTGGACGGGACTCTCCTTATTCCTAACCTCATCCCAGAAGACGCCGGCAACTACACCTGTATCCCGACCAATGGGATCCTGGCCCCCCCCTCGGCCTCAGCACACCTTAAAGTCAAACGTAAGGGTCCAGTCTGTGTGGGTCTATAAATCCAGGATCATCTTGATGTGGTCTTAAACGAGTCCCTCTTCTTCCCTCAGATCCGGCTCGAGTCGGCCGAATGTCTCGAGAAACCTACCTGCCCTCAGGTATGGAGGGGGTCATCGTCTGTCCGGTCCAGGCGGATCCTCCTGTTCTGTACGTGAACTGGACCAAAGACGGGACCAACCTGAACCTGGACAACGTCAGTAAATCCTGCAGAAACACTCAGAGTTCGTGTCCGATCAGAACCTCAGGTCTGATCGTTGTTCTTCTTTTCACTCGTTCAGTTCCCGGGTTGGATGGTCAACGCCGAGGGATCCGTGTTTATAACAACAGCCAATGACAACGCAGTCGGCATGTACACCTGTACGCCCTACAACAGTTACGGCACCATGGGCCAGTCTGAGCCCACCAAGGTCATCCTGCAGGTAAGACCGGGCTCTCTGTCTGAAACCATCACAGGTAAGTGGGCCTGTGGTTTTACCGGGTCAGGTGATTGGACTGGACCACTGTCCCGGTCCTGGTCTAACAGCACTGAGTCAGATTCAGTGACTAAAGTCAGTTTCATTCTGTGGTTCTGTGGAGCATTTTCAGAACCACTTCGATCGGTCTGAATCGGACCGAGGGACGAATATGAGAACATGGATCCCAGACCGTACGTATAAAGATGTTCCTCTCTCTCTTCTCCTCCAGGACCCTCCATCCTTCAAAGTTCTGCCCCGGCCAGAGTATCTCCAGGAGGTGGGCAGAGAGCTGATCATCCCCTGTGAAGCCATCGGAGACCCTGCTCCAAACATCACCTGGAGTAAGGTAAGGGGGCGTCATCAGTCTTAAAGTGACAGCACCGCCTGTGTGACCTCATCGACCCTCCGGTCTGAACCTGTCCTCATTCCTCCTCACAGATTGGCCCCTCCCCTCGCTCCCCGTACGCCGTGTTGGCGAACGGCTCCCTCCTGCTGCAGCCGCTCAACAAAGACCACCAAGGCGGCTGGGAGTGTTTGGCCACCAATCGTGTGGCGACTGTGAGCGCCGGTACCGTGGTCATGGTGCTCGGTGAGTGACTGACTCCTCCCCCCTGGCTCTGAATTTTAGTCGATCTAATTTGATGATCAGATATTTGTCGATATATTTCTGCTTATTGATCGATTAGATTTCTGCTGGTTTAAAGTCTGACAGTGAAGTGGACGATAAAGTGGGGGGTCCTCTTTTGCTCCTCAGGTACCAGTCCTCATGTCGTGTCCTCAGTCCTGGTCACCACGGAGATGAACCAGGCCAACGTGTCCTGGGTTCCTGGTTTTGATGGTGGATACACTCAGAAGTTCACGGTCTGGTGGGTCCATCTATGATCCTGTAGATCTGAGTTGAGGTTAAAGCGTGGACTGCTCCTTTAGTCTCCTCCTCCTTTAGTCTCCTCCTCCTCCTCCTCCTCTTTAATGGTCCCTCTGGTCTCTGCAGGGTGAAGCAGTCCTCCAGAGGGAAACATGAGTGGGCGTCTCTTCCTGTACCCACATCCAAGAACTACCTGTTGGTGACCGGACTCCTCGCCGGTACCGGTTATCAGTTCAGCGTCCTCCCTCAGAATAAACTCGGTTCTGGACCTTTCAGTGAGATCGTGACGGTGCGAACACAAGGTGGGCGCTCCACTCCTCCACCCTTGACTTCCTGTTGGCTGTAGCTGAACATCTCTAACCTCATATCGGTTCCTCCTCTCAGCTGTGCCCACAGAGGAGCCCACAGTCATCACCGACCTCCCAAACCTGGAGCCCCCCATCCTGCTGTCAGCCAACCGGACCCAGCAGGGGGTTCTGCTGCAGTGGACCCCTCCTGAGGAGCCGTCCTCTCCTCTGACCGGATATGTTCTGAACGCTCGCCGGGATCAGGGCCACTGGGTCATCCTCAGCAGCAACATCAGCGCCAACCAGAGCGAGCTGCTGGTCCAAGGACTGCTGAGGGTAACCATGGTTACTGAACGTAGACGCAGCAGCTCTGATCTAGTATATCTATATCTATATTTAACTGTATTTAAAGGTGGTGTAGTCAGGATCTGAGGAAGTTCCAGTTTTTAGGAGAAACCTTGAACACCAAGAGACCAGATCCTCAGACCCAGGTCCTCAGACCCAGATCCAAGCTCTAACCCTGGTCTTTGTCCCTCAGGACTCCACCTATGATCTGAGGCTGATGTCTCGCAGTCATAAAAGACTCAGTGAACCCAGTGAGTCCGTGAACGTGTCCACCATCGGTAAGAGTCTTCAGAAGAACTCAGGAACAGGTTCAGGATCAGACCCGGTTTTCCTCACCTGACCTGCTCTCATCTGTTTGCAGGGATGGAGGTCTACCCTCTGCGTCCAGGATTCCTGGAGTTCATCCCTGAGCCCCTGTTGGCCGGCGTGTTAGGAGGAGTCTGCTTCCTGTTTGTGGCCATCATCCTCTCATTGGTCACGGCGTGCTACATGAGCCAGAGGAGACGCCGGCGCCGCAGGAAGAGGAGACAAGGTAGGAAACTTGACTCAGAGCTTTGTGAACTTGGATAAACCTGCAGACAGTGTGATGAACGTTAGCGTGAAGAGCAGGTCCTCAAAGATCATCTCTGATATCTTCTCATACCCGTGTCCTCACTTCCTCTCAGATCTCCCGTCCGCCCTGCAGAAGAGCTCGTCTCCAGAGTGAGTGTCCTCGCCGGCGTCCATATTTAACGTTTCTGTGTTTTGATTGAAACTTCACATCTTTGCTCGTCTTTGTCTCCGTCTTCTTCACTCTCATGTCTCGTCTCTGTCCTCCTCAGACCTCGCTCGCCTCCTCGCAGCCCCGACAGCGTCCTGAAGCTGAAGCTGTGTCCGCCGCTTCCCTTCTTCCCAAACTCCTCCTCCTCGCAGTCGGACCGCTCGTCCTTCGACAAAGGCAGCCGTGGAGAATACCACGACCAGCGGAGACAGCTCCTGTCCAACTCCTCCCCTCCTCCACATTACACGCTCTTTGAGAGCCACCTGGGGTCTCAGGCCCCCTCCCCCACCGCCCTGGAGTCCATCTCCAGAGGTCCAGACGGACGCTTCATCGTCCAGCCGATGTTGGAGAGCTCCAGTCCCTCCAACAGGAAGAACTCCAACAGAGACGTCCTGCAGATTAACGGGGGGACGGGAGGACTGGGCAGCAACAGGACGTCTCTGAGGGACTCGCCAAAGTCCAGCATCCTGAGCTCCGATAGGGAGGAGAGGAAGGACTCTCCTCTGACCGTGGACGTCCCCGAGCTGAGCAGACCTCCTCCTTCTCCTGGACGGGTCCGAGCTCTGGCCAGAAACCTGTCCCGTCACGGCTGCTTCTACTCCGACGACGAACACGGGTCCGAGGCGCTGCTGGAGCGAGCCAGCTTCTACTCGGACAACAGCGAGAAGAAACCCAGCGACTCCCTCAGGAGGGGGCGCATGCAGGCCCACCCTGAAGACCTGTTCCCCGGCCTGGGCAGGAAAACCAGACTCCTGGACCGAGGATACCAGGCCATGGAGAGTCAGCTGACCAATAACAGCACGCTGATGTCACAGCTGGACGGCGAGCTGGAGAGGGAGAGCATCAACAAGTGTGCTCAGCTGGCCAAGGAGAGGGAGGAGATGGAGAAGGAGCTGGAGAACTTCACCTCCGAGCAGAGGAGCCGAGGGAGGGGGGAGGGACCTCAGGGAGACGCCTCCAAACCAGAGGGGGAGGAGCAGCAGCAGGAAGAGGAGGAGCCTATCTGGAAACCTCAGGACGTCACCATCAGACACAAACACAGACCCTTGGGTCAGACCAGCAGGGTCTCCGATTATCGCCGCGCCTGTTACTTCGGCAGCACCAGCAGTCCCATGGACCGGGTCCAAGCGTCCCAGATCCAGTGGGACATCAGTCCGGTCACGTCCAGGTCCAGCCTCATCCCCGTACAGAGTCCCCGGACCTGCAGAGAGACCACCCAGGACTCTCTGGACGTGGACTCGTCTCGCTCCCTGGTCACCCAGAACACCTCCCTCCCCACGCTGACCCCTGACCTCACCTCAGAGAGCCCCCCCATCCTGTGTCTGCAGACCCCAGAGAGAGCCCGGTCCCTCAGTCCTCAGAGGGGTCCAGAGACCACAGAGGAAGGGGGCGGAGTCACCAGGAGCAGGCATTCGTACGCTCAGTCCTGGGACCAATCAGCTGACAGGGACAGACCCCCCGGTGACCCGGTCAGGGACCCCAGTCCATCCAGTTACTCCACCCTCCCCTTCGAACATCGGGGCGGGGGGGCCAAGGCCAAAGACAAGGACAGCCGAGCGCGGGACGAGCGGGGGGGCTTTTACTCGGAGTTAGAGAGGGAGGGGGTGAGGACCCGGTCCAGGAGGAGTGACAGGTGTCTCTTCTCAGACAGTCCCAGTCCAGTCTCCACCCTGACCCTGGTGGAGGAGGGTCCGAGCGACCAGTCCCAGTTCTCTGTCCCGGGGATGTCCGGGTCCTTCAAGACCAAACCTGCAGCCCCCTCCCCCAAAATGTCCCCCCTGCAGACCAGTGCGATCCTGGAGTATCTGAGTCTTCCTGGTTTTATAGAGATGAGCGTGGATGAACCCGTGGGCGGTCCTGAGGATGCCGCCGCCGCTCTGAGTCAAAACTCCGAACTGTCCCAGCAGAAATCTCCAGGAACCAAACCGGACGTGGTCCCGAAGAACTGGGAGGTCCACGTCCAGGAGAACCGGGACCCTGACTCACACCGGAGGGTCTGCTTCGAGGAGATCCACTCAGGGGGTCCAGCAGAGTCCGGCTTCCAGAGTCCAGCTGGGAGGAAACAGAACTTCAGAGGAGACCCTCCAGATCCTCCAATCAGAGTCCGCTTCCCAGACCAGACCCGAGCCATGTCACCCGGTCCAGGAAAAACCTGCAGGCAGATCTACGATGAGAAGACCCAGCTGAGAGGCTGGACCAGGACCCCAGACAGACCAGAATCCAGACTGGGACTGAGGTCTGCTCAGACCCTCTTCAGCGCAGCGAAGGGCGTGGCCGACATCGTGGTCAAACATCGAGACAGTCAGGACTCTCTGCCAGACCGACCCCAAAGACCCCCCCCTCAGAGCCGGGCCAACAACATCGCCTCCAGGATCTGTCAGGCCCCCGTACCCCCCTTCCTGAAGAAGTCCTTGAGCGTGGGTCCCTGTCGGACCCTCTCAGGTCTGGGCCCCCCCCCTCCCTTCCTAAAGAAGTCCGTCAGTCTGGGGTCTCAGAGGTGGGAGCACTTTGAGACCCCCAGGACCTACATCTCAGAGAAGTCCTACTGGGACGAGTTCCCCCACCCGGACCTCAGGGTCAAGTCCTTCAGTCTGGGTCGCAGCCCCCCCTCCTTCCCCCGACCCGGACCCTCCTGGAGGGAGTACGCCCCCCCCTTCAGAGGACCCAGCATGGGGAGTTTAGAGAGACTCCACCCCCCACAGAGACCTTTAGTCAGTCCTCCCTACCTCACTCAGACCGCGTACCCCCCCCGACAGACCTCAGTGTCCCCGATCCTGGAACCCTTAGACCCCCGACGACAAGCTGCTGTTTTCCCAGAATCCTCCAGGTGGTCCCCCGTCTACCAGGACAGACCTGCACACTGGGTCCCCCTGCCCCACTCCATCCCTGTCCCCCATTACCAACCCTGGCCAGCGTCCAGAGAGACCATGAGGCCCCCGGACCCCCCCAGGAGGGGCCCCCCTAGGTCCTACCTGCCTAGAGGAATCAGCTGGCCCTCGCCGTACTACGCCGCCCCCTTCCCTCCCAGAGAGGCGGAGGGCTACAGACCGCCGGACCACCGGGAGGGGGGGAGGGCGAGCTACGCCAGTCAGAGCAGCGGGAGAGGAAGCGCCGGACTCTTCCGTCAGTCCCTGTCCATCACGCCGACGCTGCTCAGCTCCCCCGAGACCACCGAGGAGAGCGAGCGGCACCGAGGGGAGGCGGAGCTTCCAGAGAGGAGAGCCAAAAGGTGAACCCCCCCCATCTGGATGGTCTCTGCTCACACACTGGAGGGTCTTCATCAGAGCGATCGATGAATTTTCCAACTGAAGTTTGTTTTGATTTCCTGTTTCCTGTTTCCTGTTTGTTTTCTGACGTTTGTTTGTGTCTCGTCTCGGTAGAAGGAACACGTCAGTAGACGAGAGTTATGAGTGGGACTCTGCTGACGTGTGCGTGGACGCCGAGGTCCTGGAGGCCACCCGGTTTGATCAGTCACAGGCAGCTTCACGGCGAGGGAGGGCGGAGCTGAGACCTGATCAGACCGGTGGCGTCCAGGACCGTCATCAGAAAGGTGAGTGTGTGTCCCCCCCCGTCCTCCGTGTGTGTCGGCGCCGCATGTTTCTGTGTTTGGTTGTGATTGGCTGGTTCTGCATGTGTCCACCCTGTGATTATTGTGAGCCTGTGACCCATCCGTCATTCCCCTCCCCAGGCCCGCCTCCCTCAATCAGCCCGCCAGTTTCCATTCCTCCTCGCTGCCAGTACAGCCGCTCCCTGAGCGAGGCGCGTTTCAACGCTCTCCGTCAGGAGTACCAGGAGTACAGGCGGGCTCAGGAGTCCATCTGTCCCCATGAGCCCTGCCTCGCCTCCGGCCACGAAACCGACTCTGACACCAACTCGGCGCTGCTCTAGCAGCTGGACCCGGTCCGTTACTCTGCCCGCCCTCTCACCTCTGTCCTCTTCTTTTCCGCCTGCTCCGCTCGCACGCCTGCATCCTTTTCCTGCCTGTTACTGTCCCAAACATGGTCTCTGACCTTCATGCATGCTCAGACCTCTGCTGCGTCATGAAGAGGTTCTGAACGTTCTCCTAACAGCCGCTCTGTTTGTCTCTCTCAGGTTTATCAAAGACAGAAACCAAATAGGAGATCAAATCATCCGTCAGCAGCGGCGCTCTGGTCCTGGAGCAGCTCACCTCACTCAGAACTCAGAACTCCTCCTGTTACAGCGGACCGGACCCTTTATGGTTCTATCAGCTGTGTGCCATCATCACAGAACTCATCAGAACTCTTTTTCTGCCGTGTAATGAAACTGAGAAGGGATTATTTATTTTTATAACTATCTGCTGAAACTGCATCTAGGATTTTGTTTCTATAACTTTGACAATCAGGTGCACCCCCCCCCCCCCCTCCCTTTGTTAAAACAGAAGGCTTTATAAAAGCAGCAGCAGCAGCTCCATCATGACGGTGTTATAGTGATCATATATGTGCCCATCACATGGAGGACACCTCTGTGGGTCTGAACCTCCATCAACACTCTTTATCTGTCTGTAGTGTGACCACGGTGCTCAGTGCGTTTCTCCCATATGACCCCAGTTAACGTTCGTAAAGATCACATGATCAGACACCTCTGGACTTAGGCGCCGTGTCCACAGACGCACTTTTCTGCACTGGCAGCAGTTTTCAGCTTTTTCGGTTGTTCTTAATCTTGACTGCCGACTAATCCATGAGAGCAGCTAAACGTCACTTCCTGCTGAATCACTGATCCTTTCTTATGATTTGGGCTCTTGGTGGCCATGAAATCAAACATGATTATCCTTCAAAAGCCCCTAAAGTTCCCATTTACCACCATTTAAACCACCATTGACTACTGTCACAACTTAAGAGCAAAGATCTTATTCAGTAACCATGTTCTGCTTTTTTCTTTCAAGATTTAATGAAATGAAAGTAAATCTGAAACATACAGAACATTTAAAAACAGAGCTAACAATGTAACAGCTCTAGAAACAGTGACCATAGATGGAAAGCGCTCTGATAGAGAGGTGGCGGTTGCTGCCAGCACCAGAAAAGGCCTCAGAGGACGCCGCTCCGGTTTCTGTTGGTCTAATCAAAGAGTCACTGCGTTAGAGAAGTCTTGTCCTGCTGTGGTTTTCCTGCTGAATCCTGTTTTTGTATCTGTCACTACAAGTTTCCAGTGTTGAGAGTTTATGAATTCAATCGTTTGTGATCGTCCCCCCTGTGTTTGTTCAAATGTACAAATGTTTCTATGTACCTAAATGTGAATGAATCCTTCTTCGGTTGTATATTTCACTTCAGCCTTTCATCAGAAGAGGAAATGCTACTTCACTCCACCTGAATCAGTCCACCTTTGCCTCTGAACTCACAGAAAAACTTTAAAAACAGGGAAAATGATTTCTGCCTTATTATTGTGGATCCAGGAGGAACTCACCAGCTGATGTTTGGAGGACGAAAAACTGACCTGAGGACTGAAAACACTGAAAGTTTTTAAAAGGGTTTAACTCATATGCTGAGTCTGTATTTATTAAAGTGAGTTATGATATGCAACGATGTTTACAGCTCACATCTCTGATGTGACGGCAACACTGTGAATATTTCATCCACTTCTGCTCTGTTCGGAGTTTTGTGCCCATTAGACGACAGTTTTTAGTTTTTTCCCCTTTTTTACTAAAAAGTGACTCAAACTGTTTTTAATGTCTCCTGACAAACCGACTGAAAGAAAATCTTTGTAGCTAAACTTTATAAATTTGTACTGTATTAACTTAAATAACCAAGAGAAGATTCTTCACATGGAGTGAATATGCATTTCTGATGATGGTTTTGGACGTTTTGTACAAACTGGAAATTTTTATTTTTGCCACGTGGTTGTTTTTGTCATTTTTATATGTTTGTAATGAATAAATTGTTTTATTCTGAATAAGAAAAGCCTATGATTTATTATTTCTGCTGTAAGGAAAAGCTTTTTCTTCATCACAGTGATATCCTGTCCTACAGTCTGATTTCAATCACCTCTCCCTCTGACAACAGTTATCATGTTGTTAGCTTAATATTCTTTCAGGGCTCAAATAAAGGATTCTGCCTGTTGTTAATCCGTTTTTGGTGAGTAAATAATGTCTTTTAAAGTTGCAAGAATCGTAACGGTGTGTCATTATTTTTATGTCGGGGGCGCTTTTATCCACAAAAATTGTCGTTTTGTCCGTAATTACTCTGAAACTACCGGCTAAGCTAAACTAGCTTAGCTCAAACGCAGACGTGTCTCATTGTTGCCGCCCCCGTCCCGGTGAAACGGTCAGACGTTTAAAAAAGGGTTAAAAAAACGGTTTAAGTTGAGTATTCCGTTATCGTGGTTCACATTGTAAAAGACTGAAACAATAGAGAGGTGTTTTCAAATGCTTTAACATTTTTGGTGAACTTAAAATAAACGTTTTGTTTGTAAGTTGTAGTAAGAAACTCTAGAGGGCAGCACTGAGCTGGCTGCTTTATACGGATCACGTGACAAGCCGTTGCGGCGCCATTAGAATTTGTAGTTTTATTGATACTTTTACTAACCAACAATTTGTTAATGTGCTGCACTGAAAGGAAAACATGATTTTGTACATTATTCTTATCCATTTCATTTCATGATAAAAATAAAACAAGAATAAAGTGCAACAATAACAATAATCTTTATTTGTAAAGGTAAAATATATATATAATCAAATCCATATTTAAATAAACAGAAGTCTACATAAAAATATAACCAATAATAGCAATGATAGAAATGATCAAAAATAAATTTTAATAGTGTTATAATATAAACATTTTAAGTATTCATAATAATAATCATTTATTGTTGTTTAATCAATCAGTTGAATGTCATCAGCCAGGGTTAAGGCTCACGTTTATCTGTAATTTTACCTGGATAAATATTGTCCAATAATCAGTCATATCAGTTGTGTTCCTGTGTCTATACTGCTCTGAAATCCTCTAAATGTATTTAACCATCAGCATTTGATATTGAAGCTAAAACTTGTAAACAAAAGAGAAAAATAATGATATTTTTAACCATCCTTCATTGGCTTTTATTAACTGTGAGTAATATTTGTAACTGTTATTGAGTGTTATCTATAAAAGCATCAGACCTGGTACTTTTTCAAACTTTAATGTGCAGCAGTTGTTCACAAGTTTCTCAGGCAGCAAACAAGTTATGTCAAAACTGACCACCAGGGGGCGCCTTTTCTGTATTATGCCCATTGCTTTATCTAACTAGGTCCTGAACTCCAGATCCTGAAGTCTTCTGTTCCTCGTGTTTGATCCTCAGGTGTCTGCAGGAGGACTGGAGACTTGGCGCTTCGTGGGACCTGCAGAGGACAGCGTGGGTGAGTTGTGTTGTTGGCTCAGCCTCTTCAGGGTCTTCAGGGTTCCTATTAGTGTTTGTTGATGTCTTCAGCAGCTGTAGTGTTCGTATTTTATGTAACTAAACATTAAATGTGACAAAGCTCTGGGAATATGGACCTTAAAGCTCCTCTGACAGACCACTAAAGAGTCTAAAACTGACACAGAAACACTCAGCGCTGACAGACTTTAACTTCACAGTAAAAACTTCAAACTTTACTTCAAACAAACCTGCTGAACACTGAATTACACACTCAGCACTGAGAGCGGATCTATCCCTACACACCTGAGCTGGATTTAAAAAGTCCACCAGGTCAAAAACAAAAGTTACAATCTGAGCTGTAACTCCAACCTTTGTTCCTGATACATCTGCAGTATAAAAACACAACAGCAGCTGAGAGTTACATAAAAAACAAACATGACAGCTGCTGAACAAACATCAACAACACTATGAGGAACTGGAGACCCTGAAGCACTGAGCTAACAACACAATCACCAGAGGGAGGGACCCACAAGTTTATAAATAAAATAAAAACACACAAACACAGTGTGACTCTGTGTCTCTTTATTTTAATCAGACCACACACACACACACACACACACACACACACACACACTTATGTCTCCCCTCACGTCAAGATTATATGTATGGTATAGTATTATGAAAATTTCAAAATTTATCATTGATCAAATATTATAGTACAGTATGTCAAAGTATAGTATTATAAAAAAATTCAAAATTGTTTTAAAAAATGTCATAATATAGTTTTGTTAAAATGTCTTAGTATTGTATTTTTTAAATGTCATAGTATGATAAAAAAATTAAATTTCTGTAAGATAAAAATGTCTTACTATAATAGGATTTAAATGTCAATGTAGTTTGTAAAATATGTTATAGTATAGTATGATAGAAAATTACAAATTCTGGGTGAGAAAGTGTCATAGTATAGTATGGTTTAATTGTCAAAGTATAAAATGATGAAATACTATAGTAAAGAATTATAAAAATGTCATAGTATAGTATGATAAAAATTTCATTTTTTGTATTAAAAATGTCAGTATATTATGATCAAAATGTCATAGTATCGTATGTAAAAATTCTCATTGTAAAGTACAGTGAAAAAAAATCTATAAATTTTGTATAAAAAATGTCAAAGTATAGTATGATAAAAATGTCAGGATAGTATGATAAAAAGTTGATCATTTATTATAGAAAAAAATATGTAAAAGTAAATAATGATAAAAATGTCATAGTATAGTATGTCAGAAAATTCCATAGTATAGTATGATGTACAGTAAATTTAAAATTTTTGTATAAAAAAAAATGTCAAAGTATAGTATTATAAAAATGTCATAGGATAGTATGATAAAATATGTGATTTTTTTTGTAGGAAAAATATGTCAAAGTAAATAATGATAAAACTGTCATAGTATAGTATGTAAGAAATGCATTAGTATAGTATGATGTACAGTGAATTTAAAATTTTTGTAGGAAAAAAATGTCCAGTATAGTATGACTAAAATGTCCTATTATAATATGGTAAAAATGTCATAGTGTTGTATAATAAAAATGTCATATTATAGTTTAAACAAATTGTCTGAGTATAGTGTGTTAAAAAATGTCAGAATACTGTGATAAAATATTTCAAATATCTGTTTTTAAAAAATGCTGAAGTATAGTATGATAAAAATGTCATAGTATAGTATGTTTAAAAAATTGTCATAGTAAAGCATGACAAAAAATTGTGTATTAAAAAATGTCAGTATAGTATGATTAAAATGTCATAGGATAGTATGATAAAAAAGTTGATCATTTTTTGTAGGAAAAATATGTCAAAGTAAATAATGATCAAAATGTCATATCATAGTATTTCAAAAATGCCATAGTATATCAGATGTAAATTTAAAATTTTGTAGGAAAAAAATATCAAGGTATAGTGTGATAAAATATTTTAAATATCTGTTTTTAAAAAATGTTGTAGTATAGTATGATAAAAACGTCATAGTATAGTGTGTTAAAAAATGTCATAGTATACTATGATAAAAAAAAATTCAAATTTTTGTTCAAAAAATGACAGTGTATAGTAAGATTCAAATGTCATAGTATAGTATGTAAAAATTCTCATTGTAGAGTATTGTAAAAAAAAGATTTAATTTTTGTATCAAGAAAATGTCAAAATAGTATGATAAAAATGTCATAGGACAGTATGATAAAATATGTTATAATTGGTGGGAAAAATATGTCAAAGTGAATAATGATAAAACTGTCATAGTATAGTATGTCAAAAATGGCAATAAGTAAATAATGATAAAAATGTCATAAAATAGTATGATATAAATTTAAATGTCATAAAAGATATTTAGTATTTGTTAAAATGTCTTAGTATTGTATTTTTTAAATGTCATAGTATAGAATAAATAAAAAATCACAGTAAATTTCTGTAAGATAAAAATGTTCAAAAAATGACAGTGTATAGTATGATTCAAATGTCATAGTATAGTATGTAAAAATTCTCATTGTAGAGTATGGTAAAAAAAAGATTTAATTTTTGTATCAAGAAAATGTCAAAATAGTATGATAAAAATTTCATAGGACAGTATTATAAAATATGACAAAAATCTATTTGTAAAAAATGTCAAGGTATAGTATGATAGAAAGGTCATAGTATGGTATGTTAAAAAATGTCAGTACAGCATGAGAATTTTTTTTTTTTTTGTAATAGATTTGTCATAGTTTAGCATTACAAAAATATAAAAGTACAGTTTGATGAAAATGTCATAGTATAGTATGATAAAAAAATATTTTTTAGTATGAAAACTGTCATAGTAGAGTATGTTAAAATTCTCATTGAATAGTATGACCCAAAAAATTCAAATTTTTGTATCAAAAAAATGTCATAGTATAGTATGATCAAAATGTCATAGTATAGTTTGATAAAAATGTCATAGGATAGCATGATAAAATATGTGATCATTTTTTTGTAGGAAAAATATGTCAAAGTAAATAATGATAAAACTCTCATAGTATAGTATGTCAAAAATGCCAATGTATAGTATGATGTAGAGTAAATTTAAAATTTTTGTAGAAAAAAAAATGTCCAGTATTATATGCCTAAAATGTCATTTTATGGTATGGTAAAAATGTCATAGTATAGTATGTTAAAAAAATTGTCATAGTAAAGCATGACAAAAAATTGTGTATTAAAAAATGTCATTTATAGTACAATTAAAATGTCATAGGATATTATGATAAAAAAGTTGATCATTTTTTGTAGGAAAAATATGTCAAAGTAAATAATGATCAAAATGTCATATCATACTATAGTATATCAAAAATGCCATAGTATATCAGATGTAAATTTAAAATTTTGTAGGAAAAAAATATCATAGTATAGTGTGATAAAATATTTTAAATATCTGTTTTTAAAAAATGTTGTAGTATAGTATGATAAAAATGTCACAGTATAGTGTGTTAAAAAATGTCATAGTATACTATGATAAAAAAAATCATTTTTTTAAATGACAGTGTATAGTAAGATTCAAATGTCATAGTAATTTATGATAAAAAAAATTTCAAATTTTTTCATAGAATAGTGTGATAAAATATTTTATAATGCTGTTTTTAAAAAAATGTTGTAGTATAGTATAATAAAAAATGTCATAGTATAGTATGAAAATTTTTTTTTAATTTTTGTATTAAAAATGTCGTAGTATAGTATGATTCAAATGTCATAGTATAGTGTGTTAAAAAATGTCATAGTATACTATGATTAAAAAAATTCAAATTTTTTTAAAAAATGACAGTGTATAGTATGATTCAAATGTCATAGTATAGTATGATAAAATAAAAATAAATAAACTTCTCATGGTGTAGTATGGTAAAGAAAAATCAAATTTTTGTAAAAAAAAAATGTCATAGTATAGTATGTAAAAATGTCATAGGACAGTATGTTAAAATTTCCAATGTAGAGTACGTTAAAAAAATTCAAATTTTTGTATCAAGAGACTGTCATAGTATAGTATGTTAAAAATGTCATAGGATAGTATGATAAAATATTTGATCATTTTTTGTAGAAAAAAAAATGTCAGAGTAAATAATGATAAAAATGCCATAGTGTAGTATGATTAAAAAAATTCAAATTTTTGTATCAAAAAATATCATAGTATAGTATGATAAAAATGTCATAGGATAGTATGATAAAATATTTGATCATTTTTTGTAGGAAAAAATAAGTCAAAGTAAATATTGATTAAAATGTCATAGTTTAGTTTGTCAAAAAATGTCATAGAATAGTATGATAAAAATTTAATTCTATTGTATTTTTAAAAAGTCAAAGTAAAATAAGATAAAAAATTCAAAATTCAGTATAAAAATGATCACATTATAGAATGTTGAAAAATGTCAGTGTCGTATGATAAAATGATTGAATTTTAGTATGAAAAAAAAAAAAACACACAACAGGCGGTTTGCTCTTTTTCTAAGCATTTATTATTTTTCTTGTAAGAAGGTAAAAGACACCAGTACAGAGGTGAATGTTGTACTCAAACACCAACTTCCTGTTCTTCTTCCTCTGACTCTATCCGTCACGTTACTTGGTGGACATGCGCATGACGTGTTTGACCATGTTTCCAATGCCGTCAAATATATAGTGGTAATGATACTCTGTGTCCCACATGAAGGTCGGGGTGCTGACCACTTTGTTCTTCTCATCCACATAGGCTTCGTGAGAGGGAAAGGTCAAGGCCAAAAACTCGAGACAATTCAACACAAACACACAAAAGAAGCTGAAATGTTCAAGTGAAAACAAACTCTGTGGAATCACAACAGCTCTGAAAGGATATGTATGGCTCACGGACGTTGTGGCGAGCACCCATGCTCTTCACGGTCTGCACCATGTTGGTGTGAGGCCAGTTGCCCCAGCGGGTGTTCTCATCCCTCTCGTAGCCCATGGTTACCTCGATGCTGGGCAGCACGCGGCAGGCCAGCACGGGCGCCATGCTGGCCAGACTGAAACAGCAGCAGACAACAGGTGAGGAGGCGTTAACAAGAGAAGAGAGAGAAACAGAGGTGGTCAGGACGGAGGAGTCAAAACTGAGTCAGTGGTGTCCTGAAAATGTGACTTTCCAAACTGCAGAACTCACTCTGAGTGTCCTCGGGTTCAAAGACTACAGAGGACAGGATTATTGTGGCTGTTTATTATTAAAACATGATTTTAAATTAAACTATCTATGAACAGGCAGCATCTTTAGGACAAAATAAATAATTTTCCTGATGTACCGAGGATAGATTTATGTGTCCTGCACTGCTAAACTCAACCTTCAGTGACCTGGATGTCAGAGGGTTTACACAAACTGAAGCTCCTTCATATGATTTTCTCTGGCTGGTAAAACAGACAACAGTAACTCTGAGTGGATGCAAAACCCTTCCTTCTTTTCCTCATATAGTCTGTGAAATAGTCAGCGGTGATTTGAGGCTGCATGTGGTTAGTGTTCAACCTGAAAACACTGGATTTGGTTTGCAGCCAAAGTCTGTGAGAACACCTGTGCGGGGTGCTGCACCTGTCTTCATGGACATACAGTATGTTCCTCTGCACAGTGTCGACTGTAAACTTCAGGCATCACCTCCTACAAACTCATCTCTTACTGTCACTGAGTCGCTCTGCGGCGTGATCCTGGGAGTGAAACAGCTGAGTGGACTTTGGCCATCATGTGGCTTAAACACTGTGATGCTTGTTAAAGGAATTAACCAAGATTTAAAGGTCCTGAGTTAATGCAGCAGTCTGAATACCACAGCCCACTCACAGCACTGCTGCACATTCAGATTATGATGCTGAAACAAAGTTACTCAAATAAAGACTTTTATTATGGAAAATTCGACCTCTACAGAAGTTCATCTGAGGAATTCATTGACTGTGATATTCTGCATGTTTGAGATGAGCCCCAGTTTGGCCTCCATACGTCCTGACATTGTCTCTCTTATGTAAATGATATAAAACACATCAGCTCATGCATCAGAGAGTTTCCTGACCACAAAGTGCACAAAGACAGGAAGCTCAGCTCCAATCTGTTCTGCAGAAATGCGTCTTTCTTTCTTTCTTTCTTTCTTTCTTTCTTTCTTTCTTTCTTTCTTTCTTTCTTTCTTTCTTTCTTTCTTTCTGCCAGAGTATTTGAGGCTCTGCTGAAGTTCAGCTTAATTCCGGATAGTTTTAATCTGCTGCAGCTCACGGGCTCTAAACATCTCCACCATCCGTCTGCGAAGTGAACCTTTCCAGTGCCACACAAACACAGTGACCTTAGCCTCTAATCCTGTAAGCCAGCGTGCCTCAGAGCGAGACGTTACAAAGAGAAACCAGCCGACGACTCTGCAGCAGACATGAAAATATGGACCACAAAGAGGACTTCATAGTCTCAGTACACATGTTTATTCTGCACATGCAAACCTCTTCTCTTCAGGGTTTTGAGTTAAAGGAACATCAGTCTGATTCAAACTTTGTCTTCTGTACTTCTGACTCAAACACTGAGGAAATCTGAGGAGACACCAGGAGCTCCAGGAGGTTTTGGCTCTGCTCTCGTGTTTTTGGACCTGTTGTTGTTTAAAGTTTTGCAGCTAAAGTGGAAATGTGGAAACTCTAACTCTGCTGCACATTGACACCCTCCTGTAAATTAACGGCCTCTTTGTTGTTACCTTGATAAAACCATTTATTCACTTAATCACTAATAGGAAGAGATTACTCCTGTTTTATACAAGTAAATTAATGATTGACGTCCAAAGTCAACATAACATTGAACTTTGTCATTTTGTCATGGCGACAGCTGCGTCATCCCCCTCTTATTCAGCTCCAATCTGTAATTCCTGTAATCCTGCATCTCCTGTCATCTCTGAGCCGCCTCACATTCACCTCAGCTATAGTAGCCAAAGGATCAGCCACTCCTCACCGGATCACATAGTATATGTTAGCCGGTTCTCTGTCCTGTCCTGCCTGCTCTCATCGATGGGATTTGCCTGAGCCGACCTTCACGTTAGCTGATGTACGATTTTCCTGTAAAACTGTTTACTACACCTGCTCCACCTGCTGTGATCCGCCTCGCACATGAAGCCATGAAATATACGTCATCATTAGAGAAGCAGGCGTTATCTGAAAATGCCTCATTGTGCATCTATAACAGTAATATCTACGTCTGTGTATCTTTATAATGTAAAGGTGTTGATGATGTTATTTCTCCGTATTTACTTACATGTCAGCTCCTCTGTTTCCCTTTCTACAGCTGCTCCAGTGTCCCAATTTCATTACAGGGATCTTTTAAATCGCTTTTGTTTATCCGGGATAATGTCGTCTAATTTAATCTGATTTAAAGTGACAAGAATTAATTGCTGTCTGCAACTTTGCTCCATATTCAAACTTCAAACCTGAACGTTCAGTTATGGTTCAGCCTAAAACTGTGACTCATTGATCGTTGTGATTGATGATCGATTATGATCCTGCAGATACTGACCCGATCGGCTTGCGTGAGCGGTGGAACTCTTTGAGGACTCTCTCCACGTCGCTGTGCAGCTTGCAGTCTTTTCCATCCTTCATGAAGGAGGACCTGAGGAGTTCAGAGTTCAGCGTCAGTCAAACTTTCGGGTCATTTCACTCGACTTCACCTCACACAGAATGAACTTCTCCTCACAGGTTCTTGATGATGCCGTGGCCTCCAGGGAAGATGACGGCGTCGAAGCTGTTGACGTCCAGCTTGGACAGGTCCTGCATCTGCATCATCCCCTGACCGTGACTGAAGCGAGCCGCCTCCATCATCATGTTCCTGTGAGAGGGCCACAAATAATCATAAATACTGCGCATGGAATGAGTGAAGTCTGGTGTATGAGAACACACACGGACCCCCTGACCCCTCTGAAAGTCTTACCGGTTCTCTCCGGAGCTGGGCTGCTTCTTCACGTGGTCCATCACATGCATCTGCTGCTGGTTTGGAGCAAACATCTGGAAGCGAGCGCCGTTACGGCTCAGGTGGTACATGGTGCTGCAGACACAGACACCTGAGTTACTCTCTCTCTGTTTGCTGATGCAGAAATCAAAGTGTGAAATTTCTGATACTCACTAAACTCCCTCGTGGACGTCGGTCCCATCCCACCAACCACATCCTGAGAAAACCTGCAGCACAAACACAAATTCAGACCGACTCCTGACTGCGTCTCCTTCTCCTCACTAATGGACATGTTTGTCTCACCAGTGCGATGTTGGTGTTCCCCCAGTTGCCGTAGTCCCCCTGGTGAACAGAGCAGACAGGCTGGCGGGAGAGGACCGCCATCGTCTGTTTTGACAGGATTGTCCTGGACGCCAGCATTCTTCAGCTGTAACCTCAGAGTTTTCAGGAAGAAGGAGCGGACGGGTCGACGCCGGGCCTGTGCAGACGCTGGGTGTAGTTTTGATCTGGGTGTAGCTGTGTGTGTGTGTGTGTGTGTATATATACCAGCAGTGCAGCCAAGTGACGTGACCACGTAAGCTCCACTTCCTGGGAAGAGCCACCTCTTCCTCGCCTCGGATGGCCTCGTCTCCTGATTCTCCTCATCGAACCCCCCCCCCCAGGTAATACCCCGTCTATTCATCTGATTAACTTAAGTTCATTTGGCCCCGGACAGTTACAGCTTGGAAAGTGCAGCTTTAAAGCGTAATCTAAACGCAGTGCTGTAACTCATGAACTAACCCTAACCCTGACCCCGGCCCTTATAGAATTAAACTCTTTGGCACCGCATCAGGAGAGGGGATCCTGCAAAAACCCGGAGAAGACCTGGTGCAGGTCTCTTCAGGACAGAAACACTGAGTCTCGGACGTCGCTGCACACGCTGAAAAGATGCAGAAAAGGTTTTTCTCGCTGACTTTCCAAAGGGTCGTAGAGGATGTGAAACTAGGAGTACACTCTGCCCTTTAAAGTCCATTAAGGTGTAAGGCTCTTACTTCTGTAATGCCGTGTTGTGTCTCCGAGGTCCAGACAGCAAACCCAGAAATACCCTCAACAGACTGAAATGTCCCTCACAATATTCACTTCTGCCAAACCGCAGCGTCTGAGCGCCGCCTGGACCAATCAGTGTGAAGTAACAGAAGACGACGGTGAGAGAGAGAATATGGCATTTCTTTTATTATGACCACTTTTTATGTATAAACAGTCAATATTTACAGACAGGTGATGGAAGTAAAGCAACAATCTGTGGAACAAAAACGCAAGAAAGGAGAAAACGAAACGATTAACAGTCGACTAGAGTCACCACATCACAACTTTGAACCTCAGGAGAGATTTCCTCAGGAGGTTCTGACCCGAGGTTTCAAATCTGCACACAAAAGAACTCATGCATAGAAAACACAAACTGTCACACCAGGAAATCACAAAGTACAAATAAAGTTTCTCTCATAAATCAAATACAAGAAACATGACGAAGGGTCGGGGTCACCGAACTTCACCGGCTGAAGTGAAACAGAAAAGTTTGAGGTTGTTTCTCCGTGGCTCGCTCTCAACAGGCAGCAGAGGCCGAGGCTGATCCTCTCAAACTCTCACAGAGTTTTAGAGCATTCTCGCGTGTTAATTCAAGTACAGACGTGATGAAATCAGAGGAAACCAGAGACAGGCGTCTACGAAGCAAAGGGAGGGAGGGAAGAGAGAGAGAGAGCGCCAAGAACTAAATAATAAATAATAAAAAGACGAAGAAGAAGAAAGTCCATCTGATTTAAAAGAAAGAAAGAAACTCACTCCTCAGTGTGTGTGTGTGTGTGTGTGCGTGTGTGTGTGTGTGTGTGATGTTTGGGTCAAATTCTAATCATACAACACAAACTTATCAAAAAGGACATCAAAATGATGCTGAACGAAGCTCCGCCCACGTCCAAACACCAGCAACAGAACCAGGTGAGGACAGCCCCGCCTCAGATTCTGGCGCTGACCCGGCTGGAGCTGCTCCTGATGAGCCCTGCTGAGCGAGCGCTTCTCGCACTTTAGTTTGCTTCACATGTAAGAACCGAATCCTAAAAGCCATTTACATGCAAATCACTAACGACTTCAGTGGTGAAAGAAAGAATCGTCGTCGTCGTCATCTTTAGGTTTCTGCACCACGAAAAGCTTTCATGCACCCGAGCACCGTCAGGAGAGAAGTTTCTGCACCGTCTGTGCGCGCAGTGTTCAGTATGGAGGGTAGTTTGCAAAGATATCCATTTGATAAAGAGTGGGATTTACTCATCAAGCCAATAGCCGTGCTGAGAGAGAGAGAGAAGCGTGTGTTAACAAGGCCGGTCTGGCGGCGTTAGGGCGTGTAGGCGGGCGGCGGCTGAAACTGATTAGCAATGTCATAATCGGCAGGAAAAGTTTCGCTGCTGTCCTCCATCTCAGACAGCAGCTCTAGAGCCTGCTCCTCCTCCTCCGTCGGGTAGTGGCGCAGCAGGTTGGCGGCTGTGGCCAGGATGGAGGCGCCTCCGGCTCCGGCCACCAGGTAGAAGCTGATGGCGAAAGTGACGTAAATAAAAGAGCCGTGGTACTTTTTGTGCTGCTGCTGTAGAGACAGGATGAGCTCGGAGGCCCAGTAGCAGAAGCCGATCACGGTGGCGCACTGCAAGACTGAGCGGAGAGAGAGAGAGAGAGAGAGAGAGAGAGAGAACAGCTGAGTATCTGAATATCACAGACTTTAGAACACCTGAGGGAGGGGTCTGAAAAATAACCTGACTCTGACTCATACCTGTTAAAATATGTGCAAACGCGTATCTGCGTGTGATCTTGAGTGCAGGATGTTTGGGGCCGAAAACGTCCAGGAGGAACGCCGTCAGGCTGCAGAGGATTCCCAGGAAACAGAAGGCAGCGATGACCCTCAGGAGCAGGATGGTCTGTGGGTTTACGCAGTAATCTGGAGGAGACGGGAAAGAGGGGGTCACAGGTGAGCGTCAGGATTACACACCTGCAGCACTCCACCGTTAAAAACTGGTTTATAAAAAAACTTGTTCTGTCGGTTTGATCTCGTCCTGCTGCTTCTACCTCCTCACAGAACTTTACTCTTGGTCTCATGTTTTATCTCGTTGTTCTGCTCTCAGAGTTTTCTTCAGGTTTGAGTTCTTCTGTAATTTCACTCTTTTTGGGTTTCTTCTTTGTCACGTTTGTGTATCAAAGTTCTCTGCAGAATCATGTTTTAAAGAAGTTTGGTGATTAAAATTATTATTTACACTCAAGATAAACCGATTAATCATGTTATAACTACTGCCATCTCATCTCATCGGTCCTCATGAGGCTGGAATCAAGAAGATCTTTGTTTTTTTTAACTTGATTTTTTATTTTTAGTGGTGGAAAAATGAGAAAAAATGAGATTTATACATCACTTTGTTTTAGAAATTTTAACCAGGATATTTGTGTTTTTTTTTTCTCTGTACAAAGTTCAGTTCAGGTTGGCAGGATAAAATCTGTTTTATATTTTAGTTTCACTTTCATTTATTCAGAAGTTTAATCATGTCGGTATTTTAGGACCACAAACTAACAGACTAACTAAATAAACGATTTCTGTCCAACTATCTGGAAAGGAAGTAAAAAGAAACTTCTTTTTTAAACTACTCCTCCATCACATTAAACTCTAACATCTCAGTGTTATCTCAGCCTGAAACACGTTTTAGATCAAGTTTAAGTGGATCAATGAGAAACACAAATACAGTCTTTACAGTCTTTATGAGTCTGTTGTGGTCGGTGCGATCTTCTTCAGTGCTGGGGCGGCGGGCTGAGGGTCTCTGACTCCAACAGACTCAATAAACTGATCAGAAAGGATCAGGTGATGTTGCGGAGGTGGAGCTGGACCCCCTGCTGTCCAGGGCTGCTGTCTTTGTCTGGACTCTGTTTACTGTTTATATACAAACTATTTTACTGTGTTGTTTATAGTGTCCATACTTGTTTATTATCTCTTTATTTTTACTTATTTGATCTTTTATTGATCTCCTCTTTCTATTTTATTTTTACTGGAGTTCCTGAAACAAAAATCTGTTTCCCCCGGAGATTATTAAATGATTTCTGTTTCTAATCAAACCTGATCAGTTTTATTTAAGTCCAGACAGAGACTTTTATATCGACGATGGAGAATTTTACATTTAGAAAAGAGGCTGATATCAATGTGATCAATGTGAATATATCAATGTCATTGATCAGCTGATTATCAGTCAGATAAAGATGATCATGTTCAAATTTATCTTTTCTCTCTAAATTCTGTCTCATGTGTCGCAGACTGACCTGCTGTTTTTTTCTCTTCTGAGTCTTCAAACACGTCCGTCACCTCTGAGACCTTTAAAGATTATTTCATATAAAAACTTTATTTAATATTAAATCTTATTTTATAGAACTCCTGTTTTAATCTGTTGTTCTGGTTTTTCCAAAGAGTAGGGCCCGACCGATTTATCAGCGAGTCGATTAAATCGGCCAATTTAATCGACCCCCACCCCCCTAATAATCGGTATCGGCATCAGCCCCCCAAAACCCATATGGGTCGGGTCCCACTACAGGGTCTTGTTTTGGTCCTCACCGTCCAGAAGTTTGGGGTCGATGTACCCGAGGACGTCCGCCACCCCCAGCTCCTGTCTCGGGCAGGTCCCTCCGTGGACCCGGAGCCAGGCCGGTTCTGCCAGGGCCGTGCAGAGGGCGGTGATGGACAGGGCTCCGGGCAGGGCCGACACCAGGCTCCGCTCCGGCTGTTTGGGCACCGAGGTCCCCCCTCTTCTCCGGCGGCCTCCGGGGGCTGCAGAACCCGGCGGGGCGTACATGCTGGTCGGATCCCCTGTTAGAGTGGTTCTGGTCCTAAAAGGTTCGGACTGTCAGTGAAGGTCCGGCTGACAGGCAGAGACCCGGTCCAGGAGGTTCTGATGGACCTTTAACAGGTTAATTCTTTAGATTTATCTGATTTTTAAAGTTTTAATCCGCAGAATTTCTCCAAACGGACCAGCTGAGTTCTGGACCGACGGCAGAATCAAGTCCGGAACCTTCGGGCCTGTTAGCTTTGTTGTTAGCTTCTCCGGCTAACTCCAGGAAATACAAAAATGTCAAAAAAACAAACTTTATGGAACAAATGAGAGAAAGTTGAACCTCTTAGTGATCCAGAAGAACCCTCAGATATAAAAATTTATCAGTTTGAGCAGAAAACAAAGAGAAAAACAAAACAAAAGGAAGCTGACGGTCCGAGGCCTCCTACACTAATATACACTTCCTGCTCTTTAAAACAGTCTTCTTCGACGGTTCAAATGATGCAGCAGAACAATCAAAGTAGCGACCCTCCTCCACCCAGTGGTGACTGTGGTTAATACACAGTTTTTATACACACACCAGCGAACAGTAAATGTGAATTAAATCATTTTCAGCTCATTTTTGTACATAGAGGGACAGTTTTAAAATAAACTGTTATTTTTAAATAAAAAGTTAAAAAGGTTTGAGAATAAACAACATTTGACGGGCATGTATCCAGACATTTACTTTAGTTTAGTTAAGTTTAGTTAAACTTGTTAATCTTACCCCGAGATCTCTGATAAACATGAGATCATCTGAACTTGTATCCTCCAGGCCAAAAAGTACAAAACAAAAACATAGAAAAAGACTTTGTTACCTTCAGTGTGCAGAATCGCAGCACGTCATCGTCAGGTCTATTATTTTGTTTCTCAGCAACCCCAGAACATAATCCCATTATCAGAGCAAACAAGCTTTGTCAGAGGAAATGAGATAATTCAATCTGCTGTTATTGTAAAATAAGATTTGCTCCTCTAAGACAACAAGAAAAACAAACTGAGTAAAAATCAGTGATGGACGCGTGTCCACTGAGGGCCTCAATATGAAAATAAATGTTTCATTGAAAAGGACTTTTACTTTAATACAAGACATGGATGTTTTACTGTGATTTATTGACTACTGTCATTTTCTTTCAGTATCTAAAGTCATTAAGAGCAAAGTAAGAAAAAAAACCCGACAGTCTATGAAGAAGTCCTTTAATAATCACAATAAAACAAACAAACAGACAAACAAACAAACCGGCATAAAGTGGTCAGAATGTGGTCATTTAGAAAATAATGTTAAATTAAAGAAGATTATTGTAGGGAAACAAACTGCATTTACAAACTAAATAAATAAATTAAATGTTTCTTTTTGTGTTTCTAAATGAACAAAACGAGAATTCTGAATTTGAGGTCAACTTTATTATAAATAACTGAATAAATAAATCACAGCCCTGATTTATGAGTTAACAAATAATTTTCTTATTCAACCAGAAAAACAGAAACAAACAAGGAGATGATGTTTATTTGAACATCATTTAATAAACTCAGTAATTCAGAATAAAATGTTTTGAATAAAGTCACTGATAGTTCTGATAATTCTAGAAAAATCTTCTTTAATGAAACTCGGAGCAGTTTTTTTGTTTACTGTTAATTTAATGCAACTCTAAGAAATTTAGGAACATTTAAGATCGTTTTCAGATCGTTCAGCTGAGTTTTTAGATTGTTCCCTCTGTTCCCGGAGGGTGGCGGTAATGAGTTTAACTCAGTTTACAATTTGGACTACAACCAAAGAAGAAGAATGCTCCCACAATGCAGCGCGAGGAGTCTCCATTCTGCAAAGATGGCGGTATTTCCGCTGCGGTTATTTTTCTGAACTTTGAAACTTTATTTTCAGATTTTAGTTTATTAACATTTTCTTTATTTTCCAGGTTCTCAGAAACTTTCAGGTGGGTCACGGAGTCTGTGGTTCCGATTGTCAAAGCTCGTCGTAGTTTTTTTAAATTAATATATATTAACCGTTAACGGTCAGAGAGAGAGAGAGAGAGAGAGAGAGTCCCCACCTGGACCGGAGCCTAAACCTGGTTCTGAACCTGAACCTGAACCACTTCCACAGATTTATAAACCCGAGCCTTGAGGAGTCATGAAGGAGGGTCTGAGTCTGGTCCAGAAGCTCAGTGGTCACCCGGACTCTCGGTGCTGGTTCGTCAGCTGGAGTCCAAACGGGACTTTGTTGGCTTCCTGTGGGGGGGACAAGACGATCCGGATCTGGGGACGAGAAGGTGAGCTACCTTTAGGGCTGATCGGGACTGGGCGATATCGATATATGTTTGAATGAGATTTGGAATTGGACCAAATAGATATATAATGACATAGATGTAGATAGATAAATAATAGATATACAGATATTAGATGCTGTTGTTGACAGGCTGGAGTTTCTTGAAACAAAGAAGGACACACTTGTCTGTCCTCTAATGTGGACATGAAGACAGCACCGACTGTTTATTAGTAAGAAAGAAAGAAGAGGAAATGTTTACGGAGTTCATCGTCTAGTTTTAAACTATTTTAAAGAAGAAAGACAGATAAATAATCTCAAAATGATGTTTAAAAATTATTTTCTTAAACTTTATTTTGTTCTGTCTTCATTCATGTAAATGCTGACCTTACTAGAGTTTGTCAGATTTAATTCTTCTGTTCGTTGTTTGTTAGAGAGGAGAAGAAAATCTGTAATTTGATTTTAATCGGTTTTTTATAGTTGTCCAAATGTTGATGCTTTTCTCATATAAATACATTTATTTCAGAAAAAGATGGGCCTATTTTACTTTATAGGATATTTTTATTTAAGATATATTTTTCATTTAAATGTTCACTTTATGGAGCTCCAATGAAAACAAAGGTCCTCCTGTGGTTTTAGAGTTTTTATGTTTACATTTTATTGTTCAACTACTTGTGACATGTCATATTTGTCTTTAACTGTAACTCTACATTTGTTCTCACTTTGCCAAAACAGTATCAGGATATAGATCGTATATCGATATTCAGCCTAAATGTATCAGGATCTGAGTTCTGGTCCATGTCGCCCGGCCCTCGGACTGATGATGGTTTTGGGGTGCCGGCTCCGGTCTGAGAACCAGATGAATGAGGGTTCACAGTAAAACTGACCCTGTTTTAGCAGGAGACCCTCTGACCCTGTCTGTTCTTCCTCAGGTGAGTCCTGGGTCTGTAAGAGTGTCCTCGAGGATGGACACCAGCGGACCGTCAGGAAGGTGTCCTGGTCTCCCTGTGGGAACTATCTGGCCTCCGCCAGTTTCGACGCAACAACCAGCATCTGGAAGAAGAAGGACAACCAGGACTTTGAGGTTAGAGACCAAAAACCTTTCACTGCTGATGATGAATCCTCCTGTCCAGGTCTGACCCTGAGCTCTGAACCTTTCAGAGTCTGACCGTGTTGGAGGGACACGAGAACGAGGTCAAATGTGTGGCGTGGGCGCCGTCTGGGAATCTCCTGGCCACGTGCAGCAGAGACAAGAGTGTGTGGGTGTGGGAGGGTAAGTGTTGGACCTGCTGACCCTGAATCCACCATCCTGGTCCTCTCTGACGATGATCTCTGATGTCTCTGTGTCTCTCAGTGGACGAGGAGGACGAGTACGAGTGTGTCACAGTCCTGAACTCCCACACACAAGATGTCAAACATGTTGTGTGGCACCCCACTCAGGAGGTAAGTCCCCGTCCTGCCTGTGCCTCAGAGTGTCGCTCCTTCACCTCACAGCAGGTGTGTTTCTGTGTCCGCAGCTCCTGGCCTCAGCGAGCTACGACAACAACATCTGTCTCTACAAGGAGGACGACGATGACTGGGAGTGCAGGGCCACGCTGCAGGGACACACGTCCACGGTGTGGGGTTTGTCTTTTGATGCGGCGGGACAGAGACTCGCCTCCTGCAGTGACGACCGCAGCGTGAAGATCTGGAAGGATTATTCCAGCGGGAGCGGAGCAGGAGGTGAGTTTAGAGGATCAGTCCTTCAAGAAATGAAGATTTTAGTTCAGGAGAAAAATTAACTCCGAGTTTGTTTTCAGGAGATTTATCCTGGAAGTGTGTTTGTACTCTGTCAGGATTCCACGGACGAACCGTGTACGACGTCGCCTGGTAAGTCCCTCCTCCTCTCAGACCCGTTTGTGTCGTATCTGAACCAGCGCTTCAGTGGGTTTAATAAAACCTTCTCTCAGGTGTCGGCTGACGGGCGCCCTGGCGACAGCCTGCGGAGACGACGGGGTTCGGGTGTTTAAGGAGGACGAAACGTCGGATCCGGATCAGCCCGTGTTCTCCCTGTCCGCTCAGGTGACCAAAGCTCACAACCAGGATGTCAACTGTGTCAACTGGAACCCCAAAGAGGCGGGACTGCTGGCGTCCTGCAGCGATGACGGAGAGATCGCCATCTGGAGGTTCCAGGAAGAAGACTGAGGGAATATGATCACGCACGCCTCTCCATGAATGAAAGGGGTCTCTGCAGGTCACACTGGGACCTGGTCCTGAGGTCTCCACGTTTACTGATCCGTCTGCTAATTAAAGAATTCAGCTTTTTTTTATTTTCCTAACGTGATCGCGCTTCTTCAGATGTCTTCATTAAAGCTCAAATAAAAGTTTGATTATTTGTAAAAATAAGAGAGTGAATAAAGAGAAAATGTAAGAACTGAGTCTTTTATTGTGAAAAATATTCCAGACAGAACGTCATCCTAAAAACATTTAGAGCAGAATCAAACATCAAAACAAAACACTTAATTTTCACTGGAATCACAGCGTTTTTACTCTTTATCTGTTTCTTTCTCCCTGACAGTAAATCTGTGAATATAAAGTTCGATCATCCCTCTGTGATCAGAACAGGAACTGGAGCTTCAGTGTCATCAGTGAAGAGAGTCCCGAGTCTGTGATACACGTCTGATAAAACTGATCCTGGTCTCTATGATCCTGGTCTGATGAAAACAACATAAAGAGGACGATGACGACACTGACACGCTCGAAAACAGGAAGTCTGAATATCTACATAAAAAAAACTGATCCCTCTCAGAGTCTCCGGACCCCGGACCCCGTCCCTCTTCAGTCGGAGTCGCTGTCTCCGTCACTTTCAGCCTCCTTCACGTCGATGTTGAACTTGTACTCCTGATCACAGCCCATATACGCGTCACTCATGAAGTACAGCGTGTAGTTATGGACGCCCATCGCCGGGGCGACAAAGTCCAGTTTGACCTGCAGAGAGAGAGCGAGAGAGAGAGAGAGAGAGCGAGAGAGAGAGAGAGGGAGGGAGGGAGGGAGGGAGGGAGGGAGAGAGAGAGAGAGAGAGAGAGAGAGGGAGAGAGAGAGAGAGAGGAAGGGAGGGAGGGAGAGAGAGAGAGAGAGAGAGAGCGAGAGAGAGAGAGAGAGAGAGAGAGAGGGAGGGAGGGAGGGAGGGAGAGAGAGAGAGAGAGAGAGAGGGAGAGAGAGAGAGAGAGGAAGGGAGAGGGAGAGAGAGAGAGAGAGGAAGGGAGCGAGAGAGAGAGAGAGAGAGAGAGGGAGGGAGAGATTTTTAATCAGGACAAATGTCGATGGTTTAGAAAGTTCACTCGTTCTTATTTTTGTTTTAGGTTTTTGTTTGGAAATTAAAAAAATATATATTTTTTTTTAAACAAAAAAAAAAGGATTTGAAGAATTCACAGGTCATGTCAAAGTTTGATTTTAAAGACTCATGATGGGATTAGATGATCAGATTAGAAAGATACACTTTATTATGGTGCAGTGGGATCCAAACTTCTGAAGAGACTAAAGTTCAGTTTTTATAAGATTTGTGAAACTGACGCCTGCTGAGATGATCAGCTGACCCAAAAACAGAAATCTGGTTTTAAACTTTACTATGAGTGAATTAACGGCTGAGTCAGCGGACAAACAAACAGCTGACTCTCTTCTTTTTTAATCTGAGTTCTCATCCCTCATCCCTCATGTTTCTGACCGTCCTCCTCACCTTCGCTTTCTGCTGCAGCGTCAGCCTCTTGATGGAGATCAGACTGTTAGATTTGGGGTCTCCGATCACGACCCACCAGCCCTCCTCACGTTTCTGAAACCAGAACAAACGAAAGAGTCAGAAGACGTCAGAGAAGATTAACTGATTCAAACGCAGAGAGACGCGCCGCTCACCTGAGGGAAGAGAGGAGCGATGACGGGCCCGGTCACCTCCTCCTCTCTCTCCAGCTGAACCTGGACCAGGACTGGACTGCCGCTGTGGGAGAACATCAGCACACGTATTAAAAAAACACACTGTGATGAAAAAACCGACCAATAGCTGTGCAGCATCGGTGCGTTCGAACCTCTTGATATTGTCCTTTTCTGCCACTTCGTAGGACAGCTCGATGTTGGGGTAGCGGTTACAGAAACGAGCCACGTCCGCCATCTGAACGTCTGAGAGCTGCAGCAACGCCGTCCTGTCGTCATCCTCCATCTCCATGATGTCGAAGATGCTCTCCACGCCCTGAGGAGGAAGAGGAGGAGGAGGAGGAACAGATGAGATGATGGTCCATGTTTATTCAGAGATCTGAGTTTGTGACGGCTGACTCACTTTGTCTGTGCAGCGCTTGATGTGCTCGGAGGTGAAGAAGGGCAGCTGTTTGAGGTACGAGTCCTTGGACCACATGGCCTGAGTGACCATCTGAGCCAGCTCCATGGCAGCGAGAGCCGGACTCAGCCAGCCGTTACTGGACAACACGTCCACACAGGCCTGGATCAGACGGACGGCCTGCAGACAAAACACAGGAGTCAAACCCAACCCAACAAACGTTCAGGTTCCTCCTCCATCATCCTCAAACCTTCTCTGCTCCGAACCTTGCTGAGGATCTCCTCGGTGTCTGACTGCAGCTCGGCGCTCAGCTGCATCCTGGACAGGTGAGCCTGCAGCAGAAGGTTGGTCTTCACGTGAGGATCGTTGAACTTCGGGTTGTTGAGTTTGTGAGGAACCTTCTGAGCCAGCTGGACGAATAAAAACAGAGTTTGAAAAACGAGTCGAACTGAAACAACTTTGAAGAACAGGAAACGAAATCAGCCAATCAGACGGCTCCATCCCCCTCTGGTTACCTGTCTGAGAAGAGTGTCCTCGTGGTGTCTGATGGGGATGTTCTTGTACTCGGCGGCGTTGGAGATGATCTCAATGAGTCCACGGATCTTGGTCTTTGCATTGAGGGACATGCTGAACAACTCTGTGGACCAGAACCAGAACCAGAACCAGAGTCAGAGTCAGTAAGACTAAAAAAGACGATCACAGATAAGTGTGGAGATCTGTTGGAGGTACAGACCGATGGTGGTGTAGTTGATGTAGTAGTAGGCGGCGATCATGCCCAAGTTGAGCGGAGCGACGTCCATCTCGTCCTCGATGCTGATGCACTTGGACTGCTCCAGGTCGTGCAGCGTGTGTTCCACCAGCTCAGACAGGTGGTCCGACAGGTGACGGTGGGACATGCCTGACCAGGAGAACACAGAACTGGACCTTTACAATCCTGAATCAGAACCAGAACCTTTTACAGTGACCCGTTTCTCAGACTCACCCTGCAGGTTGTAGTAGTTCGGGTTCTGGGTCATCCGGCGGTAGAGGAACGTCCAGGTCAGGTAGTCTACGGCGTCCTGCTTGTTCTCCACAGTCTTGGTGACGATCTCAGCGTTGAAGTGGTCGTGGAGACAGTGGTCCAGGTGAGACTCCACGGGCAGAGGTTCATACAAGAACTTCTTGAAGAAGTCCTGAAGAGAAGAGTCCAAACAAACAGTTTTTCAGTTCAGAACTTTCACAGAACCAGAACCTGGAGGATCAGGAGGTCTACTCACCTTCTTGGAGCCCTGACACATGATCACGCAGCGCCCCTCATCATCCAGCATGGGTCTGTTGGCCTTCCCCACCATCTGGAGGACGTCATATATGGGATAGTCCACATACCTGAGGGGACCAGACAAAGACCAAGAACCAGAGTTCATATATGGGGGTCCACAGAGAAACCGACCCGGTGTCAGAGTCAGAGTCAGAGTCCAGACCCGACAGGAAGACCTGACCCTCTAAAGTTATGTAGTATTTAAAGAGAGTCCACCTAAAACCTGAGATGATCAGAAGATCTCTTCAGGATCCACAGGAGGATCATCACTTCATCTATAACACACAGGAGAGTTCTGATTGGTCTGACTCACGCGTGGATTTTGCCGTTGTAGTACTGCGTATCCATGACGATGACGAGGTGTGCAGAGATGTTGATCCCCCAGCAGAGCGATCTCGAGGACACCACCACCTGGACAGCACCTGCAGGGACCAAACAGACCAGAACTTATCACCGACCCCAGACCACAGCAGACCTCAGAGCTGATGTAGACCCGGACTCAGTCCTACCGGAGTTGAAGAGCTGCTCCACGATTCTGCGCTCCGTCGCTGACAGACCCTCGTGGAGGTATCCCACGCCGTTGGCGAGGGTCTCCTTCAACGTGGAGTCATTGATCTTGTCCAGGAATGGAGCGAGGTCTTTCTCTGTGCAGTGAAGGAACCTGCAGGAAGACGACCATATTTGGTATTTAGTCTTAGGTATTTAGACCCACCCGAGTCCTCATCCTGGTCTCATCAAGACTGACCTCTGAGGGACCACGTCTGCGGCACAGAAGGTGAGGATGTCGATGGCGGTGAGGCGAGTCTGTCTGCGGGACGGGACGAAGACCACGGCCGGCTTAGAGGGCGAGTGCTTCATGATGGCGTGATAGACCGGCTTCGCCATGGACAGGAGGCGGGTCTGAGTGTGACTCACGTTGAAGCCCTGAACACAAGAAGAGCCAACAACCAATCAGAGAGCTTATATCATGTTTCAGACCTGAGAGGTGTTTGATGGGACCTCCTCTCTACAGACCTGGATGTGGAGCTCCAGAGGAACGGGTCTGACGTTGGGGTGGAAGTTGAAGGTGGCGGTGGTGCTGCAGCCCAGCCAGTGAGCCACGTCTTTGGCGTTGGACAGGGACGAGCTGAGGGCCACGATTCGGATGGGCCGCTCAATCTGAGAGGAGATGTACCTCATCCTGGAGCAGATGACCTCCAACACGGGCTGATGACCACGACAGACAGACGGACAGATGTTAGGATGAGGGACTACACCGCCACGAGGACGGACCTGTGACACGTTAGAAACCGGACTCTGGTCTTACCCCGTTCTCTCCTCCGATGAGGTGCGCCTCGTCCACGATGAAGAGGCTGACGTTCTGCACGTTCTTCCTCTGTTTCCAGCGGCGAGACAGGATGTCCCATTTGTCGGGGGTGCTGACGATGATGTCACCTTTCCCCAGGAGTTTCAGGTCGGTGCTGGTTTCTCCGGTCAGCAGGACCACCTTCTTGTTCAGGACGTCCTGGAACTTCTGATGCCAGTCCACAAAGACCTGAGACACAAAGACCGCCGTTATCTCATCATGAACGTGAACCTTCGCCGGAGCGATCGGTGACCACGACCTTTTCAGAGAGAGTTCAGACGAGAGGATTCGTTCACTGGATCATAACTGTGAGGGACACGCGGACCGGACTTCGACTCTGACCACAGCGCTAACTCCTGGAGCTCGGTGGGTCACTAAGGAGCTCCTCCTCTGACTCGGCGACGTGAAATCAGGAACTAAAGTTTCATCAAAAACAAGCAGCCTAAGAAAACCGGAGCGACCCGTTCAGTGGGTCCGGCCCCCGATCCTCAAACAGGACCCTGAAGGACCCCTCACCTGTTCAGCCAGCGCCTCCATGGGGGTGATGTAGACGCAGCGACCCTCGGCGTTGTGCAGCAGCATCCTCAGGATCGCAAACTCAGCACAGATGGTCTTTCCGCTGCCGGTGGGAGCGCCAACAAACACGTTATCATCGCTGTTGTACACGGCGTTGAAAACTGAAGGGACAGAGGACAAGAACAGGTCAACACACCTCTGTGGGGTCAAAGGGCACGTGAGGGTTCAGGGTTGCTGAACTCGGTACCTTGGGTCTGGATCGGGTTGAAGAAGGGGAACTTGTTCTGGTAGAGAGCCTCGAAGGCAGAGTTCCGGAGGGCGGTGACGGGCAGCGGCTGCAGGTCGAGCAGCTCGGTGGGCGGAGGATATTTCTCCGGTAGGATCAGGTGACGGAACGACACGGGCAGCTGAGTCTCACAGGCTGAAAGGAACCAGAATCAGATCAGAACCGGGACACGATGAGAACGCTCTGATCCACGTCTGAATCTCGATACTCACAGAGCCATCGGTCTGAAACCACACGGATGAAGTACTGCGGCGGCAGAGGCTCGAACACGGGGACAAAGAACGTCACCAGGTGTTCATCCTGGGCGTACTTGGCTTTGAGCAGGAAGTACTCGTGATGCAGGATGACCTCGCTGTCCACGTCCTCCACCAGGATCCAGAACGCTTCAGAGGATCCGTGAATCTGAGAGCCAGAGAGAGAGGAGGTCAGAGGTCAGAGGTCAGAGTACGGACAGGCGGAGGCCGCTGCAGCAGGTTCAGGTTTGAACTCTGACCTTGTCGTCCCACTGGAAGTCCGGGGTGATGGTGAGCTCCACCTTCAGGGTGGAGCGGGTGATGGGCTGCAGGTGCACAGCCAGGTCCAGTTTGGGGAACTGGTGCACGTATTTGTGGATGGTCTTCCCCATCTTCGGCATGCGGATCAGCTCGCCGATCTCGTTGTGGTTGAGGTCGTAGAGACGCTCGAAGGGGAAGTTCTTCTTCTCGATCTTCTTGATCACTTCCTCTGGAAGCTTCTTGAACTGCCGCAGAGGAGACATGGACTGCCACCTGTGAGGAGGACACAGGTGATGACACACCTGCTCTGACCAATCAAACACAGGCGTGCTGTTTTAGGGACACTCACATCCTCTTGTCAATCATCTTGCAGAGGTTCATGGTCTTGTCCGTCAGCTGGGCCCAGCCTCTGTTCAACACGATCTCAAAGATGGCGCGCATCAACCGTCCAGCGCTCTGAGAGGAAACACAGTCGAACAAGGTCATATTTTTAAATCATTAAAAACTTCATTTATTAATAAAATAATTTAACACAGAACAGCTGATCGTTTCCTTCAGATCTGATCAGGTTTGGTTTGATAGTTTGACAGAACTTTGTGATTCAGAGGAGGACTACTCTACCTGTGTCACATAAACCATGTCGGCCATGAGAGCGAAGCCCTCCAGTTTGAGCTGAGAGATGAAGGCCTGCAGGAGAACGTTGATCTGGAGGATGAGAAGAAGGTTAGGGATGAGGAGGAGAAATCAGATCAAAGAAACACGAGACACACTGACCTGGCCGTAAAAACCTCAAACAGACGAGATGAAATAAGTAAAAAACAGACTGGTTCTGAGTTCTACCTTGGCGCTGGGCTCCTCGATGCTCTCCTTCACAGGGATGGGAACTCTCTCCAGCAGCTTCTGCAGCTCCAGCTTCTCCTCCTAAAAGATGGAGACCATTCATCAGTCTGAACTCATTAAATCGTGTTTAGAGGTTCTGGTCGAACCGCTGTGACCGTACCTCTCTCACTGTGATGTTCCTGAACTCTGAGGAGAGCGAGAAGACCCTGAAGAGCTCGATCTCACTGAGAGTGGGCTTCAGCAGCTGGTTGTAGGTTTGGATGGAGTCGTGGGTGATGTAGAAATGACTGGCGATGCGTCCCAGGTCTGTCACCTTCAGGTAAAGAGGCAGAGCGGTCCAGAATTAAACACCTGAGGTCCGTCTAACAGTTCAGGATCATAGGGCGGGATCGTACCTGGAAGGTGCCGGTCCTCTTGTCGTATTTGACCAGACTGTTCTTGTCCAGGACATTGGCTGCCGTGTGGACCAGGTCTGTCCTGCGTCTCTCCAGCAGAGGGTCCGAACTCCGGTCATCATGGGAGACCCCGTACAGGGTGGGGTTCCTCAGCATGCGCACATACAGGTACGTGTAACCGAGCCAGTTCACCGCGTCCTGACGAAGCAGACATGATAAATGTTGGAGTGACGACAGGAAACAAGAACATCAGCTCGTCTGATCATGCGTACGATGACGTCACTAACCTTGACCGTCTGCACGTTGCCCAGGACGATCTCGGCGTTCAGCATGTCGGGCAGTTTCCCCACCATCTGACTCTCGATGGGCAGCTGCTGGTTGAGCAGAGACAGGTAGTACTGCAGCTCTCCGTGGGACGTGATCAGGATTCCCTCTCCTTTAGTGTCGTACTGAGGACGGCCGGCTCGACCCAACATCTGAAATATACCAGAAACACACCGAACAATGAGTTATAACTACGGGTTATTACTGTAGGTTATTACGTTATTACTGTAGGTTATTACTGTAGGTTATTACTGTAGGTTATTACTGTAGGCTATTATTACTTTAGGTTATTACTGTGGGTTATTTAGGTTATTACTGTAGGTTATTACTATAGGTTATTACTTTAGGTTATTACTGTAGGCTATTACTGTAGGTTATTAGGTTATTACTGTAGGTTATTACTATAGGTTATTACTGTAGGTTATTACTGTAGGTTATTAGGTTATTACTGTAGGTTATTAGGTTATTACTGTAGGTTATTACTATAGGTTATTACTGTAGGTTATTAGGTTATTACTGTAGGTTATTAGGTTATTACTGTAGGTTATTACTATAGGTTATTACTGTAGGTTATAAGGTTATTACTTTAGGTTATTACTGTAGGTTATTAGGTTATTACTGTAGGTTATTATCACTTAAGGTTATTACTGTAGGTTATTGGTTTATTACTGTAGGTAATTAGGTTATTACTGTAGGTTATTACTATAGGTTATTACTGTAGGTTATTACTATAGGTTATTACTGTAGATTATAAGGTTTTTACTGTAGGTTATAAGGTTATTACTGTAGGTTATTAGGTTATTACTGTGGGTTATTGGTTTATTACTGTAGGTTATTACTTTAGGTTATTACTGTAGGTTATTTAGGTTTAGGAAGCATTTCTTCATGTTTTGGTTTCACAGCGGGACACACTGACCTGTAAAATGTCCAGAGCGCCGAGCTCGGTCCACCTGCCCTTCTCTGGGCTGTAGACCTGAGTGCCTTTAATGATGACGGTGTGAGCGGGCAGGTTCACACCCCAGGCCAGCGTGGCTGTGGACACCAGGACCTGGATGTGTCGATCAGCGAATAGATCCTCCACCAGCGTACGGTCCACTCTGGTCATACCGGCGTGATGGATGGCGAAACCGTACGGCAGAAGATCCTTCAGCTCCAGGTTCTTGAGGTGAAAGGTGAGACGTTAGTCTGATCGGAGACTCTCCCCGTACTAAACTAACTCTCCGTTTCTCTGCTGCAGTTTCAGGTTAGTGTTCTGGTCTCACCTTGCACTGCTCTGCCTCAGTCCTCAACACTTCAGTGGAAGCGGACCCCTCCCTGAGGAAAAGACCCAGAGTGTCCTTCTCCAAGCACATGTCTCTGATGGCCCGGGCCGTCTTCCCCGTCTCCTTCCTGGAGTGAACAAACACCAGCACCTGACGGAGACGAGCAAATTCAGAGATTTATCCTCAAAACTTTAGCAGTAAAATCAAACTGAAGGAATCGCTGCCTCTGATCTCAAATAAAAACCATCTGGTTTCACATCATCGTTGTTGTTGTTGATCGGTGTTGGTTAAACTGCAGAAACTGAATTACAGGATTTTTAACTTTAACACAAAGATTCTTCTTCTTCAGAAAAACTCGTCTGCAGGTAAAAGGAGGAGATCAAATCTACACTCAGGAGAATTAACATACGACCCTTAAAAGCTTTTCTGCATCATGTTCTGATCACGTCTCCAAACTCTCGTTTTGACAAAGTCTTTTCTCATTTTACTGTGAGTCACATCCAGTCCTCATATCAGTTATAGGCCTCATGATTAATCAATATCAGCCCTGAATAATCAATATGGACTAGACCCCAACAGAAAGCAGAAGGAAGTCTTGGTAAGTAAGTCTCACCTGGTTCTTTCCTGCGTGCTCCATGATCTTCTCGTACACAATCTCATTCATGATCTGGAAACGCTTGATGGCCTTCTTCTCGGTGATGCCCACATACGTCTGCTCCAGGGGAACCGGGCGGAAACTGGAGAGAAGACGAGAAAAGAGTCTCAGAGGCAGCTGTGATGAAGAGGAGCCGAACTCATGAAGGTCATGTGATCAGTCATGTGTTCATCTTTGGAGACGTCTCCAACCAACAGACCTGTTATCAAAGTAGAACAGTCCCTTTGCAGGATCCACTCGCAGACACGTCGCCACGTCCTCGTAGTTGGGCAGTGTGGCGCTCAGGCCCAGCAGACGCACATCCTCCTGAGTCAGCTCCACGTTACGAATTGTCCTCGCCACCAGAGACTCCAACACAGGTCCACGGTCATCGTGCAGAAGGTGGATCTCATCCTTCAGGTCACATTATTACAGTTATTTTTAGTTTTTTATTATACGTCACCTGAACCTTTAAATGGAAATCTGCTCCATTTTTAAAAACGCTGCACTTACAATGATGATGAGCCGCACCAGCTGGGTGTAGGTCCGCTCTCCACCTTTACGGGTGATGATGTCCCACTTCTCAGGTGTGCAGACGATGATCTGTGTGGCGTTTATCTCCTCTTTGCAGAGCTGGTGATCTCCTGTCAGCTCAGACACGGTGATGCCATAACTCGCCAAACGCTGAGGAAACACCAGAAGACGGTTAATCCCTAAAACTCCTCAAACCGGATTTTTATTGAAAGAGAATCTTCGTCCTGTTTGTAGATTTATGAATCTGCTGACCTTACTGAAACTCCCGACCATCTCCTGCACCAGAGAGCGCATGGGAGCGATGTAGATGATCTTAAAGTCGTCCACGTTGATGGTCCCGTCCAGGTTGATGTGTTTTCCGATCTCTCTCAGCATCGCCATCAGGGCCACGTTGGTCTTACCAGCTCCCTGTGTGCACAAAGAAGACCGTAATTACAGGAGAACACGCTCCTCAAAAAAACTTTCACTTTGTTTCTGGTCTTCAGAAAGGTTAGTTTACCGTCGGCGCACAGACGAGCAGGTTCTCATCCGTCTCCATGGTGGTCTTGAACAGCTTGCTCTGGATGCGGTTCAGGGTTTTGAACCCCTCAAATCCAGCCTGTGCGTACTTGGGCAACTTCTCAATGGCAACAAGCACCTGCAGACACGTTGATATGAAGACTTTAAGACGTGAACACCTGTGTGTGTAAACTACTCATCCTGCAGACTCTCGTACTCATGATAACAAACCTCATCGTCAGCGAAAGGCTTGGGTTTGAGCGCCGGGACGTGGACTTCCTCATAACCTTTGCGCTGTTTGCGAAACGAGCCGTCCGGCAGCTGGCACCTCTTGTTGGCCATGAAATGACTCCCCTGTGTGAAGGCCAAGTCCTCCAGGTCCAGCAGCTGCCGAGAAGTCATCGACTGAAGGAGAAGGAAAACAAACGAGAGGTTAACTCGGCGTCCCGCCTGTTACTTCACTGATCAGAGCGGTTCTGGAGGAAATGAGGATCACCTCGCCGTGGTCGATGTCCATCGCTTCCAGGTCATCAACGCGAGACTTCCTCACCCTCTCCCTGCGAGATCGCTCCTCCTGAGAACAGAAACACAAACAGTGAAGATGTTGCTTCAGAAAAGGATCTTCGTTGGTTGGTTTTAAATGATCATTTTGTTTCAGAGGGCGGAGTCTTACCCGGATAATGTCCTCCTTCTCCGTCTCTTGCAGCTGGTAAAGGATCTTTGAGAGCTCCTGATCAGACTCCATCTTCCCGATGATTCTCTCCTTCTCTGCTTCGCTCTGAGCGCTCGCCAACATGGTGCAGTACTGAACTGTGGACATGAGGACAGTTTCAGAAGTTTAAAACAACTTCACGGGGCACATGATCAGGTCACGTGTGACTACATCTCCTGCAGCACTTACTCATGCGGCGGTGCTGGCGGAGGATTTTGATGAAGTCGAAGGTGTTGAAGCCGAGCAGCAACACCAGCTGGTTCTCACACTCTCGGTCATCGCTGGCCGTCTGTGCAGAGAGAGAGAGAGATGGATGAGCAGGTCTGGCAAATCAAGATGAGTAAGTGCTGAAGTAAAGATGTCAGATTTACCTTCAGGATCTCCAAGACCTCGTCAGCTTTCTTCTGGGAGACGATGGCGTCGTCATAGAAACGACTGAGCTGACGCTGGAGCCAGAAAGCATCGATATCTCGAGGATGAAGATCCTTTTTCTTCACCGTCATCACATCCCCTGTGGCACCGAGCTGAAAAGAAAAAAGTCATTTATTGATTTTAAAGAAGTCTTCAGCGAACGGTCGTTTATCTTTAGAAACACGACTCAGTGGAAAAACAAGTCTCTGATTTTACTCTTACGTTTGCTGAAAGAGTGCAGCCCAAATCTGCCTCCTCCCCTTCACTGTCTTCATCCGAGTGTTCGTCTCGTACTTCTCCAAACTGGTCTTCATCCCCTTCCTAAACGCACAGAGACAGAAATTAGAGTCCAGGGACTAAAACTTGAACTTCATTTAAAACTCTGGAATCAGAAACACGGCCGTACCTCCTCATCGGATTCAAACTGCACATTCACACCGTATGTTTCATCGATGTTATCATCTGCAGAGGAAAGACACAATCACAGGAATCATCCCACTGTAGAAAGGTCTTAATCCACTTATTTTCATTTATTAGCACTACGTTTGTCTTGTGTTCTTACCCATGTTCTGTAACTCCTTGTCTCCTCCATAGTCTGTGATCTTCTTGCCCAGATTAACCAGCACATGGTACCGAGTGTCATCAGCCGGTCCTAGAAGTTGTTCTACTTCACGACGCCGTTCCTTATCCCTCATTTTATCATTCTTCAACACTGCCAAGACTTCATCAGCAGCTCCACAGAGAATATCACGAGGCTGTAAGAATTCACATGAACAGTTAAACCTCCGTGTCAAACAGCTCTATAAAAGCAGCAGCTGTTTCTCGGCGGTCTTCACTGACCTGATCTCCCAGAGCAGCGTGGATGAAGCTGAGCAGAACCTCGTAGGTCTCTCTGGTTTCTTTGGTTTTGGGTTTGTAAACGATGCCCACCATCTCATCGATGCCCTCAGACAGCAGAGTAAAACCTTTCATTTTGTTGATGTCGTGTCTGTCCTCGTCTCTCTTTCGCCGCCTGGAGGAAAAGACCAAAAGCAAAACTGAGGCTTAAAAACAACAACACCACCTCAGTCAAACTCTGCACATCAAATCCATCCCATAATAAACAACTGAGCCAAACTCCACTGAACTCAGAGCACAGATTTCTCCTCTCTAACAGGCGGCGTTAACATGGATTAGTCAGAACTTTGAGGACTTGATGTTTGTTTGCAGTTTTATTTTGGATGAGATCATTTTCACTTTATAAACACTTTGATTTTTATTTCAAAGAGTGAAACACAACTGTCAACATCTCTACAGCTGAACAAGATAAAACATGAATAAGCCTGTATGATCTGTATGAAGTTTACAGCGTCCTGAAAGTTAGCGGTAGAGCTCCTGTCGAGAGTTCACTGTGTTATATCCAGAGAGTGTTTTTTTTTCTTGTCTGAGTTTACTGACTTGTCTCGTCTCTCCTCCAGTTTCTGAGGTTTGGTCCTCTGGGCTTTGTCTCCCATCTTCGTCCCGTCCAGCTTCCCCACCAGAGACAGCACCTCTCCGGTCGGCTCATCTCTGCGTGTGCGGTCGATCAGGGAGCGATCGGCTTGTAACACCAAGTTTGAGTTCTGACAAAGTAGAGGAAAGCGAACATGTGATCAGCCTGTAAATCAGTCAGTAAATCAGCCCCACCTCGCAGACAAAGACATCCTTATTGGTTTAGAAGAGGAACAAAAAGAGAAAGATTTTGGTTTTTTTGTTATTACTTCTTTTTCTTGGAAATGTCACAGACACAAGACAAAATAGACTGACTCTAAACCGAGCTTTGACCACTTTCTAAATGAACTGAAGTAAAGCTGCACTGTTATTAAATCAAGACGGCTCTGAAAACAGACTCTGTTTTGGACAAATATCATAAAGATCATTGATCATCTAGACGACTATCTTTTCTCTTACTTCTTACCTGGTATTTATTTTCTTACTGTTATTTATTTTGTTTGTTTGTCTTGTTGATTGTTTTTTCTGGTATATTTATAATGGTATATCGTAAAATGTAATAATGACAAGTAAAAAAAAGAAAAAAGAGCCAGACCTCTGGTTATCAGGATTTTTAACTCCACATTAACCCTAGAAGACGATCTCCGGGTGATTTTCCCCCAGTGACCAAACCTGTTTTTAGGTGAACTTCATGATGTTGTGTTTGTCTGAGTATCACGGGTCTCTGAGTATCTTCAGCATTTCCTTTGACATCTTTAAAGACATATTTGTTTCCCTGATTTTCCAAACCCTGTTTTTTCCTACAGACTCGTGTTCACAGGGTGATTTTAGTAATGGAGGGTAAAGTAGGTTTGGGTGGGTTTGATAGCTGCATGTAGGGAATAAGGTCAGTCAGAGCGGTCCTGGAGTTTATATGTTATCTCTGTTTAGCACAGTGATTATGAATAACTATCACAAAGTCGTGATTTTTAAGGGAATTCAGATGGAGATCAGAAATATTGGAGTCAGCTTTAATCATTTTTACTCCAAATCTGACAGATTTTGTTTCTCTCTCCTGTTATTGTGCCGAGGACCCTGAGTCTGAACCAGGGAAGACTAACGTGACCCAGTAAAGGCTGGAAAAGAAAATAACTTTACAGTATATATATCTATATACTGGTCCCCTCATGGCTCTTTTCCCTCCCTTTGGACATTACACAGTTAAAAATAAAAGAAAACTACTGTAATTCGTCATGTTTTTCCTATTTTGATGATGTACTTTTTCTTGAGTATATTATTTCAGGTAAAAATCTCCTGGTGATAGTGATGATGTTACTGATTTTAGTGTTTTACGGTTACAGTGAATTAAAACTCTCAGACTGCTGAAACTGACACCATTATATCACTAAAAAACTAAAGTAATTACTCTCTACCTGTTTTATCTGTAAACTGAGTGAATGTTTAAATCATCCCTTGGTGTAATTAACAGTTTTTTCCCCTCTTTATCGTTCATTAAAACCTGTTTTATACTCACCGCTTTATATTCGTACTGCAGACTCCGGGCAGTTACGTCCGCCATGTTGGCTCCTCTGTGTTTCCCTCTTTAAATGATGATAAAGAAGCACAGAAACACCCACAGAGTTCACGTTACTCTGTCTCTTTATGTCCTCACTGGAAACACGTCTCTCATGTTACAGACTGTGTAGCCTGAGTTTGTTTTTTGGAGAGAAATCAGAGTTTAATGTAAGTGCGCCTCTCTCTCATACGTTACTGCAGCGATGCTAACACGAGCGAACAACAAGCCGCCGCTGCTGCTGCTGTTTCCGCTTCCGGTGTCTAAGGTCAGAGTATGCGCAGAGAGGAGAGACAGACAGCGCCCCCAGAGTTTGAACTCTCGCACCTATGAGCAGGTGTCTGAGGGTTTACCTGAGCAGGTAAGAACAGATATCTGCTGTCATTAAGAGCTCCTTAAAAACTGAAATATTTGACCCTGTTTAATAATTACTAGTTTAGTTTCAGTTTATTTGACAGCTGAGTCAAAGTTTTGGCTCATTCCCTGTAATAAGATTATTATTATTATTATTATTATTATTATTATTATTAGTATTATTATATTACTATTATTATTATTACTTTTAATATATTATTATTATTATTATTATTATTATTATTATTATTATTATTATTATTATTATTATTATTATCATTATTACCTTTATTTAACCAGGTTTGTCTCATTGAAATCCAACCTCTCTTTTGTTATAGAGACCTGGCCAAGAATGTCAGCACATTAAATTTCAATAAATTATCACATTAATCATATAGAATACAAAGAATAATTGAATTTTCAACATTAGTTAAAAGAATTTACAAGATTAGTCAAACATTTGCACTTCAATAAAACATTTGCCTTCCTGAAGCCTGGATGTGACGGAGTTTATCATGGATTTGAAAACATTCAGAGATACCAGACTTTGGAGTTTCAGGTCTGATTTGAAGACGTTCCATGTACGCAAGCTGAGGTCTCTGCACAGGAGCTGTTTCATTTTCGATTTACTTCAGTTTGACTTTTAAATTGTATTTTATTTTATTTGGTTTATTCGTCTTTTTAGACTTTACTTTCCATGTTTTACGGTGGCCCCAAATCTCAGCTGCACCAACGTTTTCTGACTTTAATAAACTACTAAATTAAACAAATGTCACAAACCGCAGAAATTCAAGAGTTCAGTCAAGATCTTGGTGAGGAGATTTTTTATTTCTCTTATCGTCATATAATAACCAAGTTTAATAGTTAAATTCTGAACAGTTTTCAGATGTTTGCAGGTATTTGTCTTATTCTTTTTTAAATCTTAAATGAGCTTTCCCGACTGTTATAAAAGTTCATCCAGACAAGAACACCAGAGCTCAAACTCCAGGAAACTCTGGAGCAAACTTTGTTTGAGTTCTGTTAGAGGCACACAAACCTGGAACAGATTATTGATATCAGAAGACGAGTAAAACTTCTGCACTCTTATAAAGCTCTCAGATGAACATGATGTTTCCTCCTCGCTCTGATGGATGCTCCACTTAAAGCTCATTTTCTCCTGTATTTGAGTTTGTTTTTGTAGCTCGTGTGTTTTTTGTAGGACTGAGCCAATTCCTGCATATTTACACTGATGTATACTGTACTGAGTCTTTACTGAATTCCCTTCTTCATGAATATGTCGACACTTACATTTGTGTCTCAGTTTTGTCATTTTTTGCCTACCTCTGCAGGTGTGTGTGTCTGTGATAGATAAAGTGAGTCCAACGTTCACATCCAGATGGCAGCAGAGAGCGGTGTTTTCAGTTTCAGCACCATCAGCAGACTTCCACTTGTGTGCGGAGGGAGTGATCAAACCACGAAACAACAATCAATGGACGGGCCGCTGACCCCCTGAGTCACAGCCGCCCCCATGTGTGCTCTGAAGCTCCCTGTAGGTGAAACCACATGTTTGTCACATGTCTTCATGCTGTTAACATGCTTTTTTGTTTTTTATACACATGAGTATGAAGGTTTTCTCACTTGTGGGATACTTTATTCTCATATTTCTGTCATATGAAATGCACACTTATAAAAATGCAGCAGAGGCAGCAGCTCATAGAGAGAGAAGCTGCAGTTGGTGTGGGTGTGACCTTGTTCTTGAGCAAAAAGACTGTTTATATCGACTGTCTGTGGCCTCATATTACTTCCAGCCCATCTGCACATCTGGCGGTGACATCTGTCGTTTTGTGTCGGTCAGGATCTCTGATGGTTAAGATCAGCTGAGCCTCCATCTTAACCTCGGTCACACCCACAGACGGACTGAGAGAGACAGAGGGGCGACACAGAGAGAGAGAGAGAGAAGGGCCGCACACATCAGTGAAACAAATTATAGGTTCATGTGGGGGATGATGAATTACTGACACAGGAGAGTGTGTGTGGAGCTCTCTCACACACACACACACACACACACACACACACAGTAAGTGTGATTCAGAATGCCTGCAGTTGTTCCAGGTCATATTTGGAGTGTGCTGATCCTCTTCTCGTCTGTCAGCGGGTCGGTTATGAAGTGCTCTCCTCTGTCCTCTCCGGTTCAAAGGACATGCAGTCTCATGATCAGCGGCGTGGAGGAGGACGGTGCGGGCTTCATCACCAGCTCAGGAATATGTGGAGGTTTAATATTTAAGAGCTGCGAAGTTTCCTCTGAGTGTAAATAAATCCTCTGTTCTACCTCAAAGTTGTGTAACCACAGTGTGTCAGTGTGTGTGTGATCTCTGCTGCTCTCTGTCACACGAACGCCACATGAACACACCTCAGCTGTCCGTGCAGCTGTTACTGTGACACCATCTGTGAACACACTCTGTGCAGGAGCTCCCAACAGGAGTGTGAGAAAGCACACAGTCTCTGAAACACACACACACACACACACACACACACACACACACACACACACACACACACACACACACACACACACACACACACACACACACACACACACACACACACAGAAAGTCCTCCTGACTTTCTCTAAAAAGTTTCCGTCTGGTTTTAAATTCTGCCTCAAACTGCAGATTTCCTTTGAACTGATGATTTCATGAACTCTGCTGATTCTTTAACTCTATTTATTTTATTTTATTCTGTTATATTATTTCAGTTTGTCTCTGTATACACAGAGACAGGAGTGCAGTTATCAGGGATGTGATTAAACCAGATGGCAGTAACAACATTTTAAGATGCTGTGAAATGATGATTTTTCTGTTAATCACATAAAACCACAGAAATAAACAAAGATAATTCAGATTATGATTAATTTCTATGATGTAAACTGTCCTTACTGTGTTTTCTTTTCTTGTTTTATACAAAACAGATTTCCTTCAGCCTTTCCACCAAAGTTCCTGGACCTTAGGAAGGTACTGTCCCTCATGCAGAAACTTTTCTCAGAGGTAAATTCGTGGATGTCTTTTCTTCTTTTGTTTTCTGTTCTGCTTTTGTAAACTCCTGTTTTTATAAGTTAATTATTAATATTATTATGAGTTACTGCAGTCCAATATCATGTAGTTCCTCAAAAGGTTCTTAGTTCCTGCAGATGAGAAGTACCTAAAGGGAGCAGATAGTGCTCGGGTCCACATGCTCTTCAGTTATCTGCAGAGTTCTGGACCTCAGGGACATTAGAGCTGGTTTAAGGACCTGCAGAAACAGCGAATCATAACAGCACTTTACTTTAACATGACGCTGCTAACTGAACTGTGAAATAAAAACATCATATTCACACCTGCAGCTGTCCTGGACCTCATACTTCACTGTTAAACTCACAGTCAACAGAATTCAGAGTTTTCAACATCCTACAGAAATAAAGCCTCTCTGCTCTTTTCCAGATGATCTTATCAAGTATAAAGAGCTTGTGCAGCACTTTGGTTAACTGCAGCTGTTTTTAAACCTGGTATAAATAAACTTGGACTGGACTTGTATGTTCAGTACCAGTCCTGTTTTGGTCCATGTTTGTGTGTTTGGAGCAGGAGTGCTTTTCTTTCAGGGTGGAGGATTAACACTTCCTGTGTGACCCAGACGAGGTTTGGACAGGAGTGAGATTTACAGTCTGTGCTGCCAGGACTCAGCATCAACACGAGGATTCTAAAAGAGGCCGGGTCAGGCCGGGTAAGGTGTCTCTACCAGGTAAAGCTGGACCTCCTGACAAGCAGATACTTTACTGCTCTGCTCCTCCAGAATATGAACTCATAACATCATGAGCCGCTTCATCTCTGACCTGCTTTACTTTTGATTCAGTAGGAGCTTTAATAAAGCGGTTGGCTCTTCGTCAGGCTGCCCTTCTGACCCAACAGGTTTTTCAAAGGTTATAAAAAGTGCGACGCTGCTGGAGGTGAACCTCTGACCCAAATACAGACCGACCAACAACACGGAGAAAGTCAACAGACGGGGAGGCGTGGTAATGTCTCTCTGTACAGTTTTATTTACATGATACTATTCTGTTGTAATGCTGGATAGCAAGATTATATGTAATACATAAATAACAACACAGTTTGTTGTTTTTTTCTTTTTTGTACAAATTTGCATATAACTAAGAATCATAAAGGAAAAACTCAAACAGATACATACAGTTGTTTTTAAATGAAAAACACATCCTTACAGGGAGGGGGGGGACACGAGTCACAAACATACGTGGTTTTAATGTGTCAGGCAGCCATGAAAACACACACCTCTGCACAAGAATGTGCACGCACACACACACACACACACACACGTCTTTACGTTGCTCTAAAGCAGACACACGGACTTGTAGCTGTTAGACTGATGAGAAGTTACATCTAATCTTGGTTTCTATTATTTTCAGAAATCTAGCTCTGGCATGCTCCTGTAGATCTGTAAACATGTGCTGATAAACCGGGTAGCTCCACAGACGAAAGGGTGGGGAACAACGCACACTCACACACTCACACACGCACGCACACATACACACTCACACTCTGTGCTCACATGAACGTCTGTTAGCGCATACAAAAAGAAAAAGTCATGGTTCACATACCCTAGTTCCACAAATGCACTGAATACATGCGCTAACATCAGTACAATATCCATGGAGGAGAGAAGCTCGTAAAAGAAGAAGCAGAATTGTCTCTCAGCAAAGAAAACGTCGGAAACCCTAAGAGTCGAGTGATGCCGATAAATCTGAAACACTAACGCAGATGAAGAGTAACTCATGCATTTATCCCATTCATTCATTCATGCTCCTACAATATTGATGCTTAAATTCACCAAGCAGGCCGGCCGGGGAAGGGTGCCGTCCTTCCTCTCAGGCCACACAGCGGCTCACACAGCCCTGCACCAGGCATCTGTGATTACACCACGAGCTCAGAGCTCCGTTACCCATCATCATCACCACCAACATCCTCATCATCATCGTCGTCGTCATGGAGGAAAAGTTCAGAGCTCAGTGAATGGAGTCGTTTGTTAGTCCCTGTCTAGCATGATACCTCCAGCAGCCTCATCACAATCAAACCGATCAAAGAGGGGTCACTGAGGCTGCCCGTCAGGGTGATCTGCTGGGGTCCAAGCTGATGAAAACTAAGTAAAAGGGAAGACGAGGAGTTGAACACAGCAGCTGTGAGGTAGGTAAAGCTAGGAGAGACAGAGACAGAGTAACAAAGCCCCTTGTGCGCGGTGGGGGACAGTTGTACGGTTTCTCCGAACGCTGACTGACTCCAGTACCGACGGAGCTCAGCTCAAGAATCTACGAAGGTCGAGGGAAACAGCTTGTGTGGACTGTAAGTGTGTGGTCTGAATGTTTAAGAGGACCTGTCAGCGTCTGACACCGGACAGGCTCGGACTTTAACGGTTTGGCACAAAATGGCGCCTAGTGTGGGTGAGAGGAGCACAGCATATCCTGGACGTTTAGCCTGGGCTGCTCTTAATAAGACAATACATACTCTTAGAAAAAAATAACAAGGACTGAACGGCGGCAAAGTCACACCACAGAAAACAGAATAAAACAAACTAATGAATTAATCAAATTAAAAGAGAAAAGTGATCATTCATGCATCTCCCTCAGACAGGATCTTTTCTTTTTTTCTTCTTTTTTCCATCTTTTCTTGAGGTTGTCATTTTTAAGTCCTTCCAATCCTCACGTAGCCACCAACGCCGGCGCTCTTTTTTTTCAAGGTTCACACTCATACTCCAGTCTCTGTCAAAGTCGTTATCATGGATCCGTGCCGCCGAAGCTCTCGGGGTTTTTCACATCTATATTCTCTGGATCTTGTCGGCGACCACCACGGGGTTCTCTTTGCGGATCTTGGCGGCGGCCTCGGCCTTGTAATCATAGGGGCAGTTGTGCTTGTCGGAGTACCGGTGGATGCCGCAGAACAGGTTACCACAGCGACAGTCGAACCCTGGGAGAGTAAAGGTCAAGGGTCAGAGCAGTAGGAAACACACCTGCTCACTCAGTTTGTTGACATGTACAGGTAAGTCTTTGTCTTTGTTGTAAAATCTGAGGTTTTGTTTTTGAACCTGATTCTTGCAACACTCCACGTTTGACTGACAGGCCAAAGTCAGGCGTGCAGATTTGTTGAGCATGCTCAGAATGCTCATGGACTATCGAGGTGTGACAACCTGACTATGAGAAGTTTCCAGTCAGACCAGTGTGTTAACACGGTCCAGTTTCAGTCTGATTCTGTGATGACTGAGAATAAAACGTGTTGAATCAGAGGCACCTCTGTGTCACTCACCTGTAAGGCCCACCCTTTTACGGCACATGAAGCACCTATTCTTCTTGGGTTTGGGGGTGTCACCCTTGCTCTCTTCGCTGCTGGAAGAAGCTACAGGAGTTGGGCTAGAAGCAGCAGGCTGGCTAACAACTGCATGAAAGGGAGACGACAGAAGAGAGAAAATTAGCCGTCATGCTCGGATAGATGAGAGGAGCAGAGTCCTGCTGTTTGTTCTTGTTACAGCTTCAGGTTGTGCACTTTTATCCAGAATGATAGTAAAGGATGTGGAGTATCTGATCTCTAAATTGGTCTTGGCAGAAAACGGTACACTGCTCTGAGAAAGCCTGGCAGGCAGTACTCAATCTGAGAAAGCCCTCCGGTGTCGAGGTATTTTTAAAGCTCTATTTTTAGGCTCCGTCTCTTTCTCAGAGGCTGTAAGTAAAACCAACAGTTGGGTTCCAGGTATGCAGCGAAGCATCAAAAATAAACTGCAGCTTCAGTGGGTCCTACAAGGTGATGTTTGCCCTGAGAAGTCTCCCACATCTGTGTCAAACCCCCCGCTTGTTTATGTTCGTGTGTGCCGTACCAGGCTCTAAGGGTTCGGGCTTGTCCTCTCTCGAGATGCTCATCTCTGTCATTTGTTGAGTCACAGGGAGAGATCCTTGAACAGTTCTGCAGAGTGAGTTAAAACAAAGAAGAAACAAAGATGAGCTGAAGGTCAGCTGAGAGCTGAAAACCAAAGGGTTGATGATTAATCGGAGAAAATACTGACCTAGACATGTCTGGTGAAGAGGCAGGGGAGGCGTCAACCTTGGCTAGGCTGGCTTCTAGTCTCTGGATGGCTGAGGCCTCTGAGGTAGGACTACCAGCTGAGCCTGAACAAAAACAGAGTCAGACAAAACTTTAACGGACATTTGTCTCCTAATGAAGTTAAAGCTTCTGTTTGTGTTAAAGTGGCGCCCCTTATGAAAATAGTTTTAAGTGAAATGTTTCAGTGTTTGCTGTAGAAAAGCTAAGAAGACGGTTTATTCAGGGTGTAGTCGATCACTGGGTCAGACACCCTTCACTGTTTACAGAAATACACACTAGACTGTAAATTCAGTACGTGGTTTAGATAAAGAATATTTTAATATTCCTGTACTGGAATTAAAACCTTCATGAAACACATCAGGTTCATGTTCAGGTTCATGTTCTGCAGATTTATGATTCATGGTCCCTTCAGATGTCCGGGTGTGTTAAAGTGTGAAAACAGGTTGTTAGTGTCGCACTCTGTCAAAGTTTGACCTTTGACACGTCTCAAAGACTGAACGCCATCTAACCTTGAACACTGTAATAAAGTAAACCGCTCTCTTTCATTACAGCGACTGGAAAAACAAAGACGGGTGTGTGTGTGTGTGTGTAACTCCTCCGTCTCAGCAGATATTCAGGTCAGTGACTTGTCGTCGGGTTTGTCAGACTCACCCATGGGGCTGAGGGGGCTCATACGATCGCTGCTCTGCTGCCGCGTCAGGTGTTCCTTGTAGCAAACAGAGCACATACCATTGGTTCTAGGGTTGCCATAGAAACCACAGCCTGTGGCACAGAGCATGGGCACCGGGCTCTGGTTGGTCTCTTGGGCCATTGCTAAGGGAGGAAGAGAGAAAGAATATTTATTAGACTGACAGTCACACACAAAGAGCATCGTTCAGCAGGAAGAACACAAACACGCTGTCGGTCTGCTCACAGAGGAGCTGGACGTACAGACAGATAAGAGGAGTCATGATATGATGAACAACATGTCTGTCTGTGACCTGCTCCGTGAACGCTCCTCTGTGGGAAGTCCAGAGAACAAACAGCGCTCAGTGAGTCCTGCTCAGTGAGTCCTGCTCAGCACCTTGGCAGAAGCCGGACTCTGTTCTCTCCCACAGCTTTGTTCGCTGATGTGTCCCCCTTTCTCCTCCCCCACATGACCCTCCTGTCTCTGTGCTGGGGTTGTCCTGTCTTTAGAAGTTACCCTGAAGCCTTTCCTTTCATATCTGATCTCAGTCACCCCTCTGCCTTACAGCTGCAGAGATAGTTCTGTTTTATGTCTGAGGAGGACGTGTTGTACAGAGGAAAATGAGCTAATGCATCATAATTGAGCATCATGATCAACACATGACTCTGCAACACCCTCATGTCTGACTCATCTGGGCCACAAAAGGAACGAAAACAGGCAGTGACACCGACCAGCGTCTATCTACAGACACACAAGGTCAGAATAAAGAAGAAGAAGAATGTAGGTCGAGAGTTTCACTGACTCCTCCCTCCTCCGCCTCGGCTTCTTGCCACACATGCAGACTTCAAAACTTCCCGAGTCATTTCTCCACACACACACGCCCATAAACACGCGTGTGTGTGTGTGCGTAACTTGGCGAAGCAAGTAGCTCGATGACGTCGTTGTTGCTCAGCTATGTTGCAATGTAATACAGCAGGAATTTGTGTGATAGGCGGCGCAGCCTTTGAGGTAAACAGACGAGAAGCACCTCGATGAATGAACAAACAGTCAGACAGGAAGTTTCAGATTAGTTGGGTAACAGGCGTCCTGAGTGCCAGTCCTCCCCGAGACTGTTTTTACAGATCAACAGATCAGCTGAAACCAGACTCCCTCCCCCAGAAAAACACAAACCTGCCTGCACACACAGTCAGAGCGGCAGATTCTCCCTGTAAACAACCTTTAGCCCTCGGTGCTGTAACATGGCAGCTGCTCGCCCGTGTCGGTGTGAAGCTCCTCTTTATTCCACTCACAGACACAAACAGGGGACAGGCTGGCTTCATGTTCCAGGAGAGGCTGCCAGTTGTTTCAGAACGTCCTGTCAGTTCATTCGAGGTATCCCGACCTCACCAACAGACTAACAAGTGCTATTAAATCCTGAGCCAACCCCTCCCTTATCCCCCCTGCCCCTGCATGCTATCGCTGCCGTGTCAACAAAGGGTTTCCTTGGAAAAGCCCACAAAGACCTTCTCTCCCTCAGCGTCACGTGTTCAACTGCTGACTGCTGAAAAATACCAGACAGGAGGACCAGGCTGAAGGCTTCAATCTAACAAGAAGAAGGATTTTTCTTTACATGTGATCCATCAGATCATTTTCTGTAACTCCAGAAACTCTCATCAAACAAAACACCTTCACCCTCGACTGCTGCAGCGTCTAAATAAAGAGGCGTCACTTAAGCTGATCACATCTGATCATGTAAACAACACAAAAGGAGCCATGTGAGCGCACAGGTTCACCACGTCTGTGGACTTTTATCACAAAGGAACAATAGACTGTGTGGCTCAGCTGTCATGTTTGGGTCCAGCTGTCAAACAGCTGGTTTACTGACCTCATCTCTGCCAAAACCTTTCAAAATAAGAGACAAAATCACTCAAAAAAACAAGACTGCTGCATGTCTGTGAGCTTTTAAACATCTATCAAATTAGAGAATCCTGTTTGTGATATTACACTAAAATATCTCAGGATGGTCTCATCACACTAATTTGCAGCTACATTGATGCAAATAAGGGAAACAAAGACCTGTAAAAACTGTACTCTAACGTTGAGAGCTAAATTCGGCCTTCTATGGTGTATAGTGTTTTGAAAAACAACATGAACATCCATCTGGGTAAGTCAGGGGGTTTCCAGCTCAGGGTAGATAACAGCCCCTATCATTAACCAACAACTTCCTCCTGTCAGATGAAATACTAAAATGTTCAAACCTGCGTAACTTGAAGTTTGTGCGGTTTGGTTTCCAGGCAGAACAGACAACTGGAGCTGGTCTGAAGAGCAAATGTGAAAATCTCCAGCTAACAAAGAGACTTAGCTCCTGTATCAGCTGCAGGCTCAGCTCATATTTCAGGCCCTGATGGACTCAAAACTACTGAGTCACACTGAGGGACACAACAGAGAAACACCACAGAGAGATATTTATTCTGGTTAAAAACGGACATGTTGTTAATAATAATGATGATGATGAGAGAGGTGGAGGAGGTCAGCAGCAGTTTTCTGTAATAACCCTCAGTCTAGACAGTCTGCTCTCTGCTCCCTTTGTTTCTTCCTTTGTCTACAATCTCTCTGCTTCCTGTTTAGACATCGTTTTGGAGCTCCTCTGTCGTTTCACAAACTCACCATTTTATCTGTTTTCCACGAAGCAATGTGAACAACCACCATTATATAACCACTCTTAAGTACTTGGTACCGACTTGGTGTTGCCACAGAGCTCCAACAAACACCGACCATCGTTGAAACTACTGCAAAGGCTCGGCGAAGCTTCGCTGGCATGTCGTTTAATATTTCACCAAAAAGCTCTGTAGTAATTTCAGGGCAGCTTTTTCGCTCTACTTGCCTTTTCGGCTTATGAATTTTCTATTTGTAGACAGGAATTAGCTGGCTTTGGTTCCCCATCCCCCAGCTCGGGGCAGATAGAAAAACAGGAGACAGCTAACAGCAGCAGTATCGAGCTCCCTCCCTTGTTTTTCTCCTCAACCAGACGGAGTCACGTTTGAGGGCTTGTGATATTCCCAGTCAGGAGGCGGACGTGATGATGGCGGTGACAACTTTAGCGAACAAAAGACCGAAAAAGAGGCTCTTTCATCGGTGTTTCGACAAAAACAGTGACCGTGTTGACTGGAGACTTTCAGCTAAATGCGTCGGTGGTTGTCGTAGTTACAGGGAGCGTGAGGTAACAGCTGTTTTAACAACGACGACGACCACCGTTACATTCGGTTGAGAGTCGCCAGTTTACACGGTCACTCGTTTCGCCGAAACACCACAGAATACGGTCACGCATACACCACCTGACCTTTCAATCCAACGTTAAAGGTCGCCATGACCGACCACTAACCGGTCCAAAAACACCCCTTCTTTTTCAGCATTTTCTCTCACCAAACACACTGACTTTTAATTTAATCCTTGTTTGAACAGAAAGAAAAATAATCCAAGATTATCACCTGCTAAAAATCGACGAAGTTTCTCGCGAGACGACAAGGAAAGTAGCCGTTTGTCCTGGCTGAAGAAACAAGTCTGGGGGTCTCAGGGTGAAGTAATGTCCGTTTGACCGTCTGAAAGTGTCGTTAGTGTGTGGTTGTTCCCCCTGACAGGCAGTTCGGTGGGTTTACTCGTCCCTTCCTCTCCTCCGTCCTCTCTTCCTCTCTCTGGCCGTCTCCCGTTCCCTCTCCGTGGATGTTTGTTTCCTTCTTTAGTAAGAGGAGTGGCGGGTGATGTCACGGGGAGAACAACGTGTCGCCATTGGCTGCCCGCGGAGCCCTCGAGCGCTGTGTACAGTTCTGCGAGGAGGGGGTTAGTCCGCAGAGCGCATGCGTTAGAGTTGCATTATTACACATCCATTCGTCATCCTCCTACAAGGCCACGAATCTGTTTATTGAGTAATCCACACAAATGAATGGATGAGTGAAGGAGGAGAGAGGTGCTGACATGACTGAATTAGACAAGACATGAATGACGATAGTGTCCGGGGAATACCGAAGATTGTCGAAGATTTAACATGTTTGTCCTTAAACCCACCTGCCCTGCTGTGTGTGTGTGTGTGTGTGTGTGTGTGTGTGTGTGTGTGTGTGTGTGTGTGTGTGTGTGTCTGTGTGTGTGTGTGTGTGTGTGTCAGGAGAGCAAAACAACAGCAGATTTATAACTGGAAAGATGGGTTATTATGAGTGAGTGACAGTGGACTGCCTACTCAACTACTAACACACACACACACACACACACACACACACACACACACACACACACACACACACACACATTATCTTGACATTTAGAGTGTAAACATGTTGTCTGGAGTCTAAAGGCAGCTGGGTTAGGGTGAGATAAGCCTACTGTCAATATGGAGGGCATGTATCAGGGTGAATCCATTATTACTGTTTCTTTACAAAACAGTTTCGTCGCATGTTTGGCTTTTTTTTTTCAGATTCAGATTCAGATAACTTTATAAATCCCCTACGGCTAATTCACTTCACAGAAACTCGCCTTGTTGTTCAACGATCAGGAACAGACAAATATCAGACATTCACAGCAGCATATGGACCAAACATTCCCCTGACAGAACCACAAATCAGCAATAAATACATAACCAGATAATGAATACATGTTCAAAAAACAGTTCACAGTAGAATGACTAAAATGCAATAAAAAATGATGCAATAAAAAGAGTTAAATAAGAACTAAAACAATCCTGACGCCCCAATTTCAGCACAGGCCACCAATCCGCTTCTTCCGCTATTTTTAAATCTTAAAACATTTCTTTTATTTGTTTTCTACAAATACACATAAAAACACAATATTAACTTGACACTGTTAACTACTTTAAAATGTCATTTAAAGCTCCTACAATTAGTTTTTTTTTTACAGTAATAGACAGACTGAAATCCTTATAGATGATTTGTTTTTCATTTTAATGACTATCAGTGACAAAATTGTTGATTTTCATTCATCATTTTTAATGCATTTAACCTGTTCAAGTGGGTTGATATCAGCTAAGAACCTAAGATATCACCTTTTTTTGTTATATCTACATGAAATACTCATAACAAATAATATATTTGACTGTTTAAGTCAGCAGGATATGGTTTTATTGTCCAGAGTCTTATCTTATCCTGCCCAGCTTTAAACAAAGACCTAACTACTCAATGCAGAGGTCCATAACTCATAAGAAAGTCTTCACCTAGACCAGGAGCACACACACACACACACACACACACACACACACACACACACACACACACACACACACACACACACACACACACACACACACACACACACACACACACACACACTCTCTCTCTCTCTCTCTCTCTCTCTCTCTCTCTCTCTCTCTCTCTCTCTCTCTCTCTCACTTGTGTAGTTAATAGGAGAGTGTAAACACGTCTTCTAGGAGGTTACAAAAGATAAGAGTTAAACTGAACCAACGGATCAGGACAGTTTCAGGATGTGCAGCTGTCAGAAAGCTGTTGTGAAATCCATATTAGATGACACTCATTTTTCAGGTCAGAAATAACATCTATTCACAGTTTAATAGTGATCCCAAAACCCTATTTGGACTATGCCTCTATAGTAGCAGGTCAACCTGACTGACCGACAGTTTTTGTGTCCAAGTTTCTGGTGGGTGTGTGTCTGTAGATGTGAGTTCTGCACATACAGATCACTGAGCTTATGTCCTCAGTGATCTGTATGTGCAGAAATAAAAATCAGGTTTCAGGTGAATCTTTGTAAAAGCCTTAACTGGAAATGTCACAGTCTGGTTTTCATGGCTGTCTAAAAATTAAACAGGGTTTGTGATTAAACAAGGGGACCTTTGTCCCAGTGCCGCAGGACTTTCAATATTGTTGCTACAGCCCTGGAAATAACCAACTTTCTCATGCGATCCAGATTGTGATACTGGTTATAAGGAGAACCGTGATCAGGTTTAACAGTCACTGAGATACAAACATCATTGCGTGAGGGTTTCTGTTACATCAAGATTGACTTTGTTTGTCCTTATTTTTTGGCACCAGCAGATTGTATCATCTTCTGCCGATGTTTTGTGAAGTCTGAAAACACCTTCCTTCCTCTCCCCCACAGTCTGTCGTTTGTAATCTCTAGTTTACCCTGCAGGTCTAACAAGTCCTGACATATTCTTCCACCTTGTCTGGATAACGTCACACACATCCCCCGGCACTGCAGGCCACGCTCAGCAGAAAACAAACACTCAAGCAGGCAGGCAGGCTGGGTGTGTGTTTGTGTGTGTGTGAGAGAGGTCGAGGGAACATACTGTCACATATCAGCGAGTGGATTCGTGGAAACTTGGTACCCCAGAACAGTGTGGAAACGACCTGCCGGCTCAGTCTGTTTGCTCCAGTTTGAACCAGAATACATGATGAAACTAGAAGTGGAGAAACCCAGCGAAAGTAAAAGTAGGTCCAGCTGCTGAACTTCCCCCAGCTTTCTGCAGGGGAATACACACAAACACACACAAACACACACACGCAGGTCTTCACCCACTGGACTTATATTGTCTTTGTTATATAACATGTACACAAAAAAAGGTAAAAGGTTTATTTCTTTATTTCAACACTGATCAACAAGTTTAAACAAACAATTCAAAGCATTATGCAGTGACCAAACACTGTTTCTCTTCATCAAAAAAAGGAAGACAACGTCAAATATACTGTATATATATATATATATATAGAGAGAGAGAGAGAGAGACCTTTGGGTTAATCATGACTTTCAATTTTATCTGCTGTCAAGTTTTTTCAGTGAAGTATTCGACTAATTATGATGTAAAAATAAAGCAGAATGAAAGGCACAAATACAGAGTTTAAATTTAACTCTTTGACAAAAGCATCTTTATTATTTCACAGTAACACATCGGCCTATTTCAAATCAGAAGAGTTAAAAGAATAAACAGTGTGGATCTCTGTGGTTCCAGTTACCCTCAGCATCCACTAAGTGTTTAAGTAGCTGGAGAAACATCGACTGAGAAAAGGTGCAGTATCGGTGTCCAAGTGTGTGTTTACACATTTCATTACACTGCTGCAAGATACAGGACTTGTTTACACACAGCAGGAGACACTCAGGCATGCACACACAGACATATACACACACACTGCGCTGTTCCGCCCTACCTGCCCTCCCTCTGCACATCGCCTCCTTCAGAGGGAGGATCAGAGGAGGAATGACTTCACCCCATTATTACACCTTTGGACCTCTGACATTGCAGAGGAGGAGTAACAGGAGAATTATTATCTGTCCCTTTAAATTTCTGTATTTAAGTGCCAAATATTAGTTTTTATAAAACGATGGTTCACACCAAAGTCAGTGTACCAGTGACAACCCCGCTGTGAAGCTGTTTAATGTCTCATTTCTTCTCTGTTTTCATTAAAGATGATCTTCTTATACATTTCTGTGTGTTTGTCTTTTTTCAGTTAAACTGTACGAATCAAAGAGACTCGATAAGTGATAAACCGTCTATGGTGGTACTCTGAGGATTTACCTTGTAATGGGCTCTGCTCAGCGTTCAGCAGACTTTCATTAGTCTCTGATAAAAAACAGTTCAACTTTTGTTTCAAATTTACACTCCTCTCCTCTTGGCTTGATTAAAACAAAGAGACACACACTTATATTAACAACAATAAACGTCAGTGTCATGTGATCTAAACGCTGCTGTCTGTGATGATGACGGTGATTTTATTTACATACAGCCAGAATGAGAGAGGAGGATCCTGTGAGGTTACTCACTGATGAAAGAGAACTCAAATAACCTAATCAAATGATAGTGAAGACCTGAGGTGATGGTGGTGGATACAGTAGGCAGGCGTGTTCCAGGTTTAAAGTCTGTCTCCAAAATCATCATCATGTGGCGTTTAAATGCAAATCTGTCGTGCGTGTATCAGTCACAGCTGCTGCACGTTTCTCTCATTACATGAGCTCTTCAATATGAGGGCAAAGAAAGCACAGAGAGGCAGCCTGTGTTTTACACTGAGCTCTTTGTGTGTGTGTGTGTGTGTGTTTTGTTTAAGCAGAGGCAGAGAGAAGGAGTGTGTGTGTGTGTGTGTGTGTGTGTGTGTGAGGTGTATATGTCTGTTTAGTATGTGAAGGTTCACGGGTTTCAGTGCAGCTGAGGAGAGAGTGGGAGGTGTCGAGTATCTTTACCCATCCCCCTCACTGTCATAGCTCAGACTCTGTGTGTGTGTGTGTGGAGGTTTCACTATTACTGTATGTATGTGTGTGTGTGTGTGTGTGTGTGTGTGTGTGGGTGGTTTGGTATAATGGTGCTGGTGGCTGAGTTGGAGGAGAAAGGCGGGGTGATAATTCTCCTCCACGACCATGACGTGTGCACGTGAGGAGCTGAAAGTGATGATGTTACCATGACAACGGATGCATACAATTTGCAGTGATGCTTTCTGTTGTGTTTCAGTCTGCTCCTCATGTGAGTGTGTGTGTGTGTGTGTGTGTAGATTACTTATGTGGATCTGGAACAGCCTGTCTGTAGTTACCAGGCAGATATTGGCCCGTCCAACACACACACACACACACACACACACACACACACACGCGCACAGAGGCACAGCTTGCCCGTGTCTGGCGTCGGCGTGGTGAGGCTCTGTTGATAAAGGGGCTAGTGGTGGAAATGGCAGCTTATCCATTTACATAAGCCGTGTGCGGGCCTCGATAAGCTCCGCACGGAGGCTGTTTAAAACCTTCACTACAAAACTTGATCCCCCACCCGGGTCCGTCCACATTCAAGTTCATGTGCAGCCTTTCAACAAGGGTGTGACGACGCTTGTGTGTGTGTGTGTGTGTGTGTGCTACAAGTGTGTGTTAGTGAAGAAAAACATGACGTGAACAGAGGGGGCCTGTCTGAAAGATTCGGGGAGATCAGGGACAGCTTTGTTGTAAATCCGCTGTACTTTCAGTCCCATTTAGTCTGAGGTTGATGTAATTGTTGGGGAGACTCAGGTGGAAACATGTGAGGGTGGAGACACCGGGGTCCCAGAACCTCTAAAAGTCTTAAAAAAGAGTACATGTTAGAAAAATAAAGCGACTAAAGGACAGAGAGAACCACAACGTTGAGGCTGACATGAATGTGATGTGCTGATTCAGCAGCGGCGGCCCATTCAGACCCCTGAGTGCTGCTGCAGCTCCTCTCCTCGCTCATGAATGTGGTTCTTGTTATCCCTCACAGGGAGGAGTCCCCCAAAACTTTCCCAGCTAACTGAACCCCCCTCTTCTCTTTCACTCTCTCACACACACACACAGAAAACCTCACCATACATGGGTATCTGAGCGCTGCGATGACCTCCTGTGTGTGTCACTCAGAGTGTGTGTGGAGCGAGAACTTGCAGGAAAGGAGCAGATTTGCAGAAACGGAGTGTTCCTGCAGCTGCAGAGTCATTTGCATGCAGTGAGTGTGTTTAGTATGGGACTGTATGTGCAACCACATGTTAGCGTGTGCTGAACAAATGTGAACCCCTGCATGTGAGTGTGTGTGTGTGTGTGTGAGAGTGTGCATGTGTGTGCAGCAGATGTCCTGTGTTCTGTTCTGTTCCCCAGACTGGTTGGTCTTTGTTGCTGCTCCCTCGTGCAGACGGGGCCGGCCACGTGCTTCTCTGTCTGCAAGAACAAGCCACGCCCCCGCTGCTTTAATCTGTCAATCGCTGCATCCAAGCCCCGCCCCCAATAACACCCAGAGGCTGACAGGCTCCGCCCCCGTGCCTGATGACGCTGTTTTACTCACGCATACTCCCCATGCTCTCTTTACTCACTCCCACACTGTCTGTGTGAGGCTGAGCCGTGAGCACGCTCTCCAACTGTTGAGCAACACACTTCTTCTTCTTCTTCTTCTTTGTCTCTTTAAATCTCCCTGTTTTACATCCTCCTGTGTCAGTTCCTCTCTCCTCACTCTAAAATATCCCTGCTGACATGTCTTTGTCTCTTTTTTTACTTCCATACTTGGAGAAAATTCAGTTCTCAGCAAAAACAGGAAGAAGGAATTTAGCAGAGAGGGGAAGAGGGGAGGGAGACGTGGGCAGGGGCGAGCTTTCGAAGAAAAGACACGTGTGCACGGACGGAGTGAAGCTGCAGTTTGAACATTTATTCCCTGTTTTCCTGCAATAAGAGTTTAAATGACTTTTATTAAAATCAGGGAGGTTATGAAGACCTGAGACTGTGATGGTCTGATGTGGATCTGAATCAGACCACTAAACCACTCAGTGAATTAACCAACAGGAAGTATGTTCTGACTCATGAGATTATCAATAATAATAATAATAATAACCTGTTATTGTGCAGGTACCAGCATTACTACAGGTCAGAGGAAGTGAATCCAGATTAATAAACCAGGAGGAGCTCGAACCCTGATAACCGTAATGACAGGAAACGGACAGAAATAATCATGTATTTACAAAATACCTGTGAGGCCACCTCCAGCACACCTGAAACATGGCTGACATGAACACCTGAGAATTAAGGTAAGAGGGAATTCCAGGAGCTGTTGTTGAAGTGGTCTCTCTCTCTCTCTCTCTCTCTCTCTCTCTCTCTCTCTGATGCTGAAAAACAAGTTTAACCGCCGAAAGACAATCAATCGTCCCAGACTCCAGACTCCAGGTAAACACCCGCCCAGGTATCAGAGGAGGCTTCACATGATCCGTCTGCTCTTATCATCTGTAATGACACGTCTCTGTGTTTCATATCAAATCCCTTTGGCAGAAATGTGACTATGACCTGAGTCACACCTGATTAACCTGCACTCCCCTCTCCGCTCCCACCCTCTCTGACAAAAACAGACCCGTTTTACCCCGGGGGGCTCAACGCCCTGCTGATTTACATTTCGTGTCAACAGTGGAGCAGCTGAGGAGCTTTTATTGCTTCACAAAGTTCACAGAGTTGATCCTCATTGACAGAGAAAGAGGCGCAGGGTCACCTGTGCCCGCAGTGTTTGAGCAACACCCTTAAAGCTCCTGTGGGGAGTTTTATAAAGTTTTATAAAAACACACGGAGATTCATATAAATGAACTTTTTAATCTGGTCTAAAAATCCCCCTTTGACTTAAAGCTCCTGGTTTGTGTCAGTTTTGGAGCCCCTCAAAAGCTTCTTAAAGGGGAGTTCTTTTAAGGAGCGTCTTTGTGTGACAAACAAAAGTGAACAAAACCATCAGTGACAGGAGTGATGGTTTTTATTTTGTGATTTTGATGCTTTAAAGTGAAGGAGTGGGTGTCAGCCGAGCAGCTGAGGAAACAGAATCTGTATCGATGATCTTAACATATATTTACAAAAAGATGTTTTTATCAGACTATTACAGTCAGCAGGATCAGTTTTTTTAAGTCACTACTTAAAGCTCCTGTCTTTTTTTCTTTTGTTGATTTTGGCGCCCCCTGTGCACAAAGCAGTCATTGCTTATCTTGGCCTCTGTGCTCCTATGGTGGTCGTCTGACAAACATCTCATCCTGCTGATTTTGACAGTCAGTTGTTTTATTTACTCTGAGTGTAAATCATAAAGACTGGGCTGTTTGTGTCGCTGTAGCCTGACACCTGCCCGCTCACCCGCCCGCTCGCTCACTCACTCGCTCGCTCTCAGGTTTAAAAAAACTATAAAATAACAAACGTCAGTCTTAAAGCTGATGGTCTTTTTTCTGTTGTATGTCATAAAAAAGTATCAATCTGAATTTCACTCTATTCCATACTTAAAAAAAACAGGACAAGATGAGCAGAGACGAATTTGACATCGGGGGCGCCAAAGTTGACACAGCAAACGTTCCTCACAGGAGCTTTAAGTAAAAAAAGTAAAAATGTTTTGTTTCCTCATTTTTTGTTTTACTGTTTTTTTTTTCCTTATTATCTCTGTGTTTATTGATTTCTATCATATATTTGTCATTTTATCAAATATCTGCTCAGTTATTATTCTGGATTTGCATTTTATCTTCTTTTTACTTCCTTGTTAATCATCATTAAATACTTCAACATCATATTTAAAAAGAAGAAAGGTGATTTTCAGACCTTTAAAGTCTCAGACCATCTTCATGCTCCTCCTGACGTCATGAAGTTTCCAGAATTATTCGTTTCTTACAGAAAACATCAGCTTCATAAAACACAGACTTCCTCTAACTGCAGCCTGTTTTTCCTGCTTCTCTAACCTGAAGCCTCTCTGACAGACGGATCACCTGTTAGTGAGTCTGACACATAGTGAACATACAGGCCTCTTTAAAGTCTTTAAACCAACTGAGAGATAAACTGTCATCCAAACACTGACGGCTGCAGGGCATCGCTGTGGACACACTCACACCTCGCTCACCAGAACAGAATTCAAGGAAACACAAAAACAAATAAAAGCTGTTCGCCAACTAACTTTAGAGAGATGATTCAGCAGAGGAGGAAATCCAGAAGTAGTAAACTTCAAAATAAAAGCCTGACTAAAGGACGTTTTCAGTCATCTCCAGAGAAGTTTTAGTCTCAGGGACGCTGATCTGGATAAACATGGATGTGAACATCATTAGAAATGTATGAGCAATAAAAAAGTTTCCATGATGATTGTGAGAGACATTGACTTTCACCTTCTTTCACAATAAAGCAGTTATTTCATGGGAGAGTCTCACCTTTACTCAGTTCATGAGCTCCACTTTAACCACCAAACGATCCGTACGAATATCTCCAAACAAAACAGTGATAACTCATCATCACAAAGAGAAAACCCAAAACAAAATCAGACAGTGAGAGTAAAGATTTCAGAAAAAGTGAGACAGTCTGTAAAAGTTTCCTCTTACTGATGTTGGTTTGCATGTCCAGGTGTGCAGAGATCCTCCTCAAGGAAAAACTCAGAGTCAATTTGGGACGAAACTTCAGACAGCAGATCCGTAAATTTCCTGGAATAAAGATAATCTGTGTTAAAATAGTTTAATCCCCCTTTATTATCTGTGTGACACAAACACAACAGTGACTGTATTTATCAGGTTTAGACTCACTGAGGAAGGTGGAGGCCAAGATAAAAATCATGGATCATCGTTTTATAACACCTCCATGGACCAAAACAACAACAGAGGTGGTCAGAAGATCTTTGATACCCAGACTGTTTAATTCTTCTGTAAACAGGAGATGAGACTCCAGATGAACAGATTTCCTTTGTTGATCAATAAAGTTCTTAGATTGTATATGAGCTGAAATATTGACCACAGTGAGGTCTGGAGTCTCTTTAGGTATTTTAAATAAGAAGGATTTTAATTTGGAGAGAAAAACAACAAACAACAGTTCAACTTCATTCATCCTCCAGGAGGCAGACAGAGCTGGAGGACAATAATGTAAAGTTATCTGTCAGTTTTATTGTGTTTTAGTTTGATAGAAATCTCATGTGTAGTTTTGAGTTTGATTTAATTCAGAATCCTGATAGTCAGTCTGTGCTGTGTCCCCAGGTGATGATCCATTTACAGTCAGGTAAACCTACTAGTGCTCTCTCTCTCTCTCTCTCTCTCTCTCTCTCTCTCTCAAGTACCCTCGCTGACCTCCCTCACCTCTCCGTTCAAAGCTGCACTCATAGCTGCGTCTAACTTTAGCAGGAGGACACTGATCCCTCCACCTACGCTCCCTGGCCCCATATCACAGGAGTGCATGTACGTACACAAACACGAGAACATGCCTGTGACGCGCTCCACACGTGCAAAAACACCCACAGACACACATGCAGGAAACAAGGCGAGATAAAAATAATCTTTCCCAGAGCAGAAGTGGGTTTTCCTACATGTTGGAGCGCAGCGCAACATCGCCCTCTGCAGGTGAGAGTGAGGGGAGCCCACCTCAGGTCTGCATACCTCAGTTTAATAAATGTACCTCACACACACACACACACACACACACACACACACACACACACACACACACACACACACACACACACACACACACACACACACACACACATCATCCAGGTGAGCTTCTTCATACTCCTGTTTTCATAAACTCGTGTCTATTTACATGTTTATGTTGATTTTACACAGACTGTCTTTGCTTTAATACTTTTATTTACAACAACAACTAAAAAAAACAACAAAAGTATGCCACAACGTTCCTATTAAAGCTACAGTAAGGAGTTTTTAATGGATCATAGACTGACTGAAACTTACAGCAGAGTCTTTCTGTGATCAACAAAAATGAACAAAACCATCGGCAACAAGTTTGACAAATTTTAACTGAAGGTCGAAACTTCTGGGAGGGGGCGCCAAAATCAACACAGAGTGAGAGATTCTCACAGAAGCTTTAAGATATTAAATAAACCAACTAAACCGTTTTCTTCGAGGTTTTTGTCTTTAAATGAGACGTGAATCTCTTTCTTCTTGACTCACTGTGATCTAACCAACCATGCAGGACTGAGTTTATCTGCATCAGACAAACACTCACACACACACATGCACACACACACACACACACACACACACACACACACACACACACACATGCACACAAACACGCTTTTTAAAGACGATCGTCATTGTCTCTAAAATGTCATCGTAATTATCGTTTTATTTGAAGATAATTTGACAGGATTCACTTTGAGTTGCAGCTGTCTTTATAAAAAACCACAGAGGATATTTTCAGGATTGATTCGTGTTTGTAAAGTTACTAAGACGTTCGTTTCAGGATTTAAAATTCACCTCGCAGACAGAAACGACGACCGCCGTCAGGTGTGTTTGATTATTACCTCGAGTCACCTCCCACGGCGGGGTGAAAGACAGAGTCCTGACCCGGACTTTGGCCCACTGCTCTCTTAACCCCTCATGTTTTTGTCTGCAGACACACACACACACACACACACACACACACACACACACACACACACACACAGCTGCATAAAGGCCGTCATAACTCTCCTGAATTATTGATCAGCAGTGAAATTGCGTGGCTCTAGGGTTTCCAGGCTGTCATTGTCCCTGTTTCGGGTGGATGGGTGGCGAGGAAAAAGTGAACTTCTCATGCGAGTTACTCATCATGAAACAGTGACACACACACTCTCTCTCTCTCTCTCTCTCACACACACACACTCTAACTTCACCCCCATGGCAGTGCTGGTCTTGGATAACCCTCATCCTCCCCTGTGAGGATGCAGAACCAGTCGGACCTCTGAAACCTGCAGCTTCACTCCACAAAAACTGTGGCGTTCGTTTTTCGGAGGATTCGGACCATGAGAGGAAGATGCCTCGCAGCAACCTCATCACCTCTGAGAACGACAGTGAGTACAGATTTATGACGTTTGTTCACTCAGGATGTTCATTATCTGTTTGTGCAGAAACTCAAATCTGATCTCAGGATATTTTTGCAGAATCTGCTTGAATCAATTTGTTGTAAATATTGACATCTATCAGAAGTCCTGGTGTGTTTATGACAAACAAATGAGTTTTGAACAGAAATGTGTTTTTTTATTTAATAAAGCCGAGCCCCAAACTAAGAAATAACAATAACTTAAATATTCATAATAACAGTCAAATAAACGCGAACCCTTAATGTTCGATATCGTTGCTGAATCGTCTCTTTTCACTCAGTTGCATATTTGTGATCTGGCCTCCCACCCCCGACCGTCTCCCTTCATTAGGCCTTTGTTTGCCTCCTTTGTGCCCCTCCGCTGCACACGACCGTAATGACCCGAGCGCCGGCCACTCCGGTTACATTAAGGACACACATCAAAGAGCCGAGTCCATAAATATCAGTCCAATTTGTCAGAGGTCCTCTTTGTTTCCTCTTTTAGTGCGGCACAATGGCGCAGGTCCACAAAGAGGTGAAAGGGTCAGTGTTTATGGAGGAGAGGAAAGAGATGGATTCATAAAGCCGAGGTCGACAGAGGTGAGAGAGGGAGCCGAGGTCAATTCAAGAGAGAGACATGAGAGAATGAGGAAGAGGAGGGTCTGATGAGAACCTGAGATTTCATTATAGGAGGGGTTTAAAGGTACTATAAGGGGTTTTAACAGGGTGGGTAACAGATTGAGACTTTAGAGCAAACAAGACCGTCAGAGAAAAGTGAGATGGTCTCAGTAAGTGCCGTAAATTTCACAAACAGATAATGTACAGATTTCTGAAAATGTTGGAGTTTCAGTTTAAATCAGTTTACAGACAAAAATCTGACAGAAGAGGAAATGTTGATTTTTTTATGTTTTTGTTTAACTCAAATTTCCTCTTTCCAACAGTCGAGATCGGACTGGATCTAGCAGGTGAGAGTTTCTTTATTCTGACAGGAGGATGATGATATACAGAGGATAAATGTTTTTATGTTTAGTTTCTTATTTTTTCCTTTTTATATAAAAAAACATTTTTAAAAGTTTCTTAAAAATATTTTTAAAAGTTTTAAAAAATCAGTTTTTGTAAATTTGGGAAAACTCTTATTTCAGGTGACGAGGAGGAGGAGGAGGAGGAGGTTTCTACTTTACAAGAGGAGCAGAGAAGAGAAAGACAGAGAGGAAGACGGAGGGATGGAGACAGAGAGAGGAAGAAGAGAAAGAACGACAGGAGCAGAGAAACATCGACAGCAGGAGAGGGTGAGGAGGAGGAGGAGAAAAGAGAGAGAGGGAGGAGAAGGAGAGAAAAGAGTGATAGAGAGACAGAAGGGAGAGAGAGAAACACAGAGGGGAACGGCAGAGGAAAGAGTGGAAAAACAGAAAAAACGAGGAAGAATATAAAAAATGAAAAAACGAGAAAAATGGAGGCGGAGGAAGAAGAAGAGGCTGGAGAGAGAAAGACGAAGAAGAAAAAGAGAGAGGAAAGAACCAAAGAAAGAGAGAGAGAAGAGGAGGAAGAGAAACCAAAACTGACGGAGAAGAAGAAGAAGAAGAAGAAGAAGAAGAAGAAGAAAGTTGAAACGAGGTAAAATCATCATCATCATCATCATCGGTGAAATCTAAAAGCTCCAGAAATCACAGAGTTACAAAGATGTTCATTTCTTCTTCTCCTCAGTTCAGAGCAGGAATCCAGTGAGGAAGAGGAGAACCAAGAAGAAGACAAAGAGGAGGAGAAGGAGGTGAGGCCCGAGTCTCTGACCCCAGAGGAGCTGGAGAAGCTGAAGGAGGCGGTGGACGAGAAGAAGAAGCTGATCCAGGGTCTGAGGGGGAAACCGTGGCCCATGAAGAAGAAGCTGCTGACTTTACGGTAAATGATCCGTTATTAACGTCAGACCCTCACAGGACCAAGATCTGATCAGGGTTCAACCATCTCGTTCTTCATGCAGAGAGTCTCAGGAGTTTGTGGAGAAATATGAAGGAGCTCTGGGGAAGGGGAAAGGAAGGAAGCTGTACGCCTACAAGGTCATGATGACCAAGGTGAGGAGGACGCACGTTTACCACCAGCAGGTAGGACAGGAGGTGTGGACGGTTCTTTCAGATCATCTGACCTTCGGTTTCTTCTGCAGAAATGGATGAAGTTTCAACGAGACTTTGAGAACTTCAAGACCGCCTGCATACCGTGGGAGATGAAGATCAAGGAGATCGAGAGTAAAGTTTGGAGTATTTCTCAGAGTTTGATACTGATACTTCAAAATAAAAGTATAGAGCGACCTAAACTCCAGACTGAGAAAATTTCAAAATAAAAGCCTAACAAACGATGATTTTCTGAGGTCCGGTCTTCTCCAGAGAAGGTTTCGGTCTCAGATCTGCTGATCGATCATAAATCTGAACATGTTAGAAATGGTCATGACTGTTGGGATGACCACACTTCCTTGTTTCTCCTCGCGCTTCCTCTCAGGTCATTTCGGCTCCTCTGTTGCGTCGTACTTCCTCTTCCTGCGGTGGATGTACGGCATCAACATGATCTTGTTTGGTCTGACCTTTGGCCTTGTCATGGTCCCTGAGGTACTTTAGCCCCTCCCTCTCTTTATCACAGACCTTTCTACCTCCTTCTCCTCTCCCTGATCCTCTGTCTCGTCTCCTCGCTCTGTCAGGCGTTGATGGGGCGTCCGTACGGCAGCATCCCGAGAAAGACCGTCCCCCGGGCCGAGGAGACCAGCGCCATGGACTTTGCTGTTTTGTGGGACTTTGGCGTGAGTTCCTCTGTGACCTCCTGATGAGGACTTCTTTGTTGTAGATCATCTAAACTTGAGTTTTCTTCTCTCAGGGTTACGCTCAGTATTCCGTCCTCTTCTACGGTTACTATAACAACCAGCGTGCCATTGGCTGGCTCAAGTTCCGTATGCCTCTGTCGTACTTCCTGGTTGGTGTAGGTACGGTGGCCTACAGCTACATGGTGGTCATAAGAACGTAGGTTTCCTCCCTCTCCATACAGACGCCTCCTCTCTGGGAGGTCTGATCTCACTCTGAATCCTGGTCCTGGTTTTAGGATGGCCCGGAACGCCAACGAGTCCGGGGTCGGAGACGATAACAGCTTCAACTTCAGCTGGAAGATGTTCACCAGCTGGGACTACCTGATAGGAAACACGGAGACTGCAGATAATAAGTTCGCCTCCATCACCACCAGCTTCAAGGTCAGCGCTGACGGTGTTTGGTGACGCTCCTCTCGGTGAATCTTCATGAATCTACATCCTGTGTTTCTCCTTTTACTCCTCCAGGAGGCGATCTTAGAGGAGCAGGAGAGCAGAAAAGACGACAACATCCACCTGACGCGTTTCCTGCGTGTGCTGGCAAACTTCCTGGTCTTGTGCTGCTTGGCAGGAAGTGGATACCTCATTTATTTTGTTGTGCGTCGCTCTCAGAAGTTCGCCCTGGATGGACTGGAGAATCACACGTGGTGGGAGAGAAACGAGGTGAAGACCTCTCCACCTCTGCGCAGTAATCCCGTTTAATCTGAGCTGATGAGCCTGTGTCCTCCTCCAGGTGAACATGGTGATGTCTTTACTGGGGATGTTCTGCCCCATGCTCTTCGACGTCATCAGCACCCTGGAGAACTACCACCCTCGGGTCGCCCTGCAGTGGCAGCTGGGTCGGATCTTCGCCCTCTTCCTGGGAAATCTCTACACCTTCATCATCGCGCTCATGGACGAGATCAACCTCAAGGTGAGAACCAGAGCGGGCCGATGTGTCAAACACTCTTGAACCCTAACCTGAGGTGTTCACCTTCCATGTTCTGCAGAGAGAGGAGGAGAAGATCGTGAAGTTCAACATCACCATGTGGGAGGCCAGTCTTCACAACGCCACCGAGTCCGAGAACAGCACCGCCGCCACCGTCACCATCATCCAGCCCGCTGACGTCCCCAGAGGGCCGTGCTGGGAGACCATGGTGGGGCAGGTCAGTGTGCTCACCTGTGACCCACCAACCACACCGCAGGGGTCGAACCTGACACCTGTTTCTTCTTTCTTCTTCAGGAGTTTGTCCGTCTGATCATCTCCGACACCATGACGACCTACATCACGCTGCTGATCGGTGACTTCCTGAGAGCCGTGCTCGTTCGTTTCCTCAACTACTGCTGGTGCTGGGACCTGGAGGCCGGGTTTGTGAGTCATCTAGGAGCTCTGTGTCTATAATCTGACATCTATAATTTATTCTAATCTGAGTCTGTTGACCTTCTTCCTCTGGAGGTAAATTTAATGAGTTATTTCTGTTTCTGAAAGCCGTCTTACTCTGAGTTTGATGTCAGCGGAAACGTCCTGGGTCTGATCTTCAACCAGGGGATGATCTGGTGAGAAAGAGACCTGAATGTTGAGGTCAGCAGATCTGATGTTTCTCTGACCTCTTCTGATAAAGAACAGCGCCACCATGACTGTGTTATTTCATGTTTCCTGCAGGATGGGAGCTTTCTACGCCCCCTGCCTGCCCGCCCTCAACGTGCTCCGCCTCCACGTCTCCATGTACCTGCAGTGCTGGGCCGTCATGTGCTGTAATGTCCCCCAGGAGAGAGTCTTTAAAGCCTCCGGCTCCAATAACTTCTACATGGCCATGCTGCTGGTCATCCTCTTCCTCTCCACGCTGCCCGCCATCTACACCATCGTCACCATCCCTCCGTCCTTCGACTGTGGACCTTTCAGGTGAGGATGCTTGTCTAAGGAGATGGAGGTTTACCTTCAGATCACCTGATGATGATGATGATCTCTCTGTCTCTCAGCGGGAAGAAGCGAATGTTTGATGTGATCCAGGAGACTCTGGAGTCGGACTTCCCCGCCTGGTTTGGAAAAGTCTTCAGCTACGCCTCGAACCCCGGACTGGTGCTGCCCTTCATACTGCTGATGGTGTGAGTGTGTCAGGCTTTTATTTTGAAAAGTGTTTCTGTCATGCAGGTTACTTTAGATATCCCATGCTCTTATTTTGAAGTATGTTCCTGGTGGATCAGAAATGACCTTTTAAAAAACATCTAAATGGTTAAAATGACCTTCTGTCTGTCCACTGTGGCGGCTCCATGACTGAAAAGGTTAAATTAATCTTCTGTCTCGTCGTTCAGGTTGGCCATTTATTACCTGCAGTCCACGTCCAAGAGCTACAAAGAGGCGAATGTGGAACTGAAGAAAAAACTCCAAACGGTGACTCAGTGATTGTTTCTGTTTTTGACCGCTGTGGTAAAAAATGAAATAATCAGTTTCACAAGTTTACACTGTGACCACTCTGGTGGCTGCAGTAGTCGCATTAGCATCATCAGTCCAGCAGGGGGCAGCAGAGGAACATCTTACAAACTCCAAATGCATCAGCTGACTAAAACAGACACCGAGCATCCTGACTCTTTTCATCTCCTACATTGGCCCAATTCCAAACCACCCCCTCACTGACTCATTGACTTAGGTGCGCGCTCATGTGAGCTCTGTAAGGGCTTGAGGGTTGTTCCAAATGAAATCGGTAAGTCAGCGAGGGCTCGGGAACGCCCCTTTCTGCACCCTTTCCGTAAGTCCGTACCGTTGAGGACTTTGGCTATGAAATTGCCCACAATTCATTGCGTTGTGGGCGTTACTGGAGGACAGCGACGCAGCCGGGGCCAGGATTTAAAAAGGAACGAGGCCACGAGCGTCTCAACGTCCGCGACAGACACCAAAAATGACGGAGATCATGGCGAAGAAGCTCAAGAAGAAGCAGTTCATTTAGGATCTAGGCGCACCCTTAATACTCTAACATGGATGTTCCGCATCGTGTATGGTGGGCGCCGGAATGCCAAGATGAACAAGAATGCACTACATTAACATGGATATAATATTATATATATATATATATATATATATATATATATATATATATATATAGTACAGGCCAAAAGTTTGGACACACCTTTTCATTCAATGCATTTTCTTTGTTTTCATTACTATTTAAATTGTAGATTCTCAAAACTATGAATGAACACATGTGGAATCATGTGCTTAAGAAAAAAGTGTGAAATAACTGAAAACATGTTTTATATTTTAGATTTCTCAAAGTAGCCACCCTTTACTTTTTTGATAGCGCTGCAAACTTCAGCTGTTCTCTCAATGAGCTTCATGAGGTAGTCACCTGAAATGGTTTTTACTTCACAGGAGTGCCTGAAGTAACCCTGACAAGGAACTACTGTCATCAAGAGCAAAGGGTGGCTATTTTAAAGAAACTAGAATATAAAACATGTTTTCGGTTATTTCACACTTTCTTTATAAGTACAAAATTCTACATGTGTTCATTCATAGTTTTGATGCCTTCAGTGATAATCTACAATGTAAATAGTCATATAAAAAAAAAGAAAAGACATTGAATGAGAAGGTGTGTCCAAACTTTTGGCCTGTACTATATATATACACATATATGTGTGTGTGTGTGTGTGTGTGTGTGTGTGTGTGTGTGTGTGTGTGTGTGTGTGTATACATACATATATACACACACACACATACACACACGCATGCGTTATTCTTATAACAAAGAAAATTGATTTTTACTTCAAACTTTTATCTGAATCAATACATTTTATCCTGAACTAACACTCTAAAGCAGTGATTACTTTCAGAATCTAGTGCTTCAACCTTTTAACCATTCAATATCACTTAACCTATCATTAATGCTGGTTTTATAATTTATCAATCTAATCATTATTTACCAATTACCTGTTGTCTATGTTCAAGAGCAAGTGTGTGCAAAAGGAGCGGAACAATGTTGGCCTTTCTTCTGCAACGTCGCTGGCCGCGAAATAAATGCAGAATTAAGAGCCCAGAGAGGCAAGTGTCAGTCGCATCTTTGGTTGTCAACGTTGTCGTCTATCGTCAAGGTAACGTGGCACGTCACAAAGGGCTGTTCCATTGCTTTTATACCCTTTTGGAGCCCTTAAACCCTCCCACACTCAAGCACTTACCAGCTGACTTAACCTAAGCTAATGAGGGTGCAGGGCTTGAGGGCTTAGGGTGGAGTTTGGAATTGGGCCTTTATTTACAGATGTTTCAGGTAATTGACTCTAAGTTAGTTTAAGTCTAATTATTGTTTCTGTTTTTGTTTCCAGCAAAATGAGGAGAACAAGAAGAAGAACAAGCGAGCGGCGCTGAAGGCCCAGATGGACCTGGAGGAGGCCAGAAAAGCTGCAATAAAGACCCCAGAGCACCAGAAGAACAACAACGCCTCAGTGAAGGTCCCGGAGGGTGAGGAGGACAAAAATTCAGATTAAAAATTAATGGATGAATGAACCAACTTAAGAGAGATGTTGTTTTTTATTTACCTCCTTCACTGATATTATGTTTCCACGGTAACGTCTCCTTTCCTCTGCAGACGGTGATGAGCAGCACAGAGGAAGTCAGAGACAGAATAACTGCAGGAATGGACGTAACCTTCCTCCACCCAGACACCAAGAACAGCCTCCTCCAAACACCAGAGCTCCTGTGTCCAGGTCGTATCACTATGGCAACCAGGGCCCCCCCGGTTACCTGCCGGGCCACCCTCGCCACAGTGAGCCCCGGATGTGCAGGGCGCCGAACCTGCAGAGACACTGAGGAGTCAAAAGAGCGAAGGACGCAGATGTCAGTCATTATGAAGCACTTTAATCAGAGGTCTATGATCACTGTGACCTGAGGGGGGCGCTCTCTGAACTGTGCACATTTCCTCTAAGATAACAGTGTTATTTTTGTTAACCATGTCTATAAATCTATAATAATATCAACATTTAAAGAGCATCAACTCTTCTTCTTCCTAGGTGTAAACTCATGATATCAGGACCTGATTTTAAAGCTGCTCACTTATAAAAATCTTCTTTTTCTCTTGGTTTTCTTTAAAGACAAACGTTTACTCCACACACTCAGGAGCTGATCTCATCTGATCATGTCCACTTAGTTTCTTTACCTTCATGAAAACGTTAAACAGTGGATATGGATCTGCTCTGAGGTTTTATTACGAGTCAGTCTGTCTGTCTTAACTTCATCTTCTCCTCTCTGCAGCTCTGACTCTCTCTCTTTCGCTCTCCCAGATCACCGTCCCTCTTGTTTGACTTCACTAACTTGTTTTTTCTTCTATGGCTCTGAATTCATTCTGCTCTTGCTGACAGACGTAGCCCTGAATCAGATACCACCACCTCCTCCTCTTCTTTTCCACCCGGTGTCATTTATGCCACTCTTGTGCAGTTGCATAAACATGTGCAGTTTATTGGATGTAAATGACCCTCAGCCCTCCTTATGTTCACTGACAGTAGCTCAGTTCACCCCTTCATTTGCAGGAGTCATTCATTTTAGACGAGTCCTTCTCTGCCTCTCAGACTGAGACACTGAGCCCGTCTGTCCTCTTATCTGTGACTCGGATTAAGTTGTAAACATTTAATTCGACACGGAGCCCGTTTAACCCGGAGAAGCGGGTTCAAATGGACCTCTAACTGGATGGTTTAAACCTGAAACTCAAACATGCACAAAAAGAGGAGGATTATTTCGCTCAAATCGTCCAGAATAACTTACTTCATCATGGATGTCTGACTCCTACCATCTGATAACAACATGTCCACGTCCTGCGTCCTCAGAGTTCATCCTCTCCTCAGCAGCTGGACGGCGAACGATCCTGTCAGTCAGATCTGAAAGTAAAGTGTGGTTTCATTAGTCAAACTTTATTCACCTGAAACTCGATCTCTGTGCGTCCTTTCAGAGTCCTGATTAACTGAAACTGAAGATGTGTGCGCTGTGAGGGCGGCATGTATTTGATCTGAATCATTGAGGACAACAAGCTCATAAAGCTGCTGACAGGAGATCACAGAGCCAATCAGATCCACTCATGATCAATTCATCAGCATTAAGAATTAACTCTGCAGATATCTGAGACAGAAGAGGAAGGACCTGGTCTTCACTCTTCATCACCACATTATTTCATGAATACTGATGAGATTTTAGAGAAGAGACCATCTCTGTCTCTGGATTAAGACCACCTGACTGTTTCAGGGGGGCTCCAGAAAACTGAGCCATGAGAGGTCCACTCAGGAGCGGATAACCTCCGAGGTCTCTGCTCCGAGATCCACAAACATGTTCACCAACAGAGAAGAAGGACAGACGGAGGGATGGAGGCGCTGGTGTTTTTTTTATTCAGAGCGTTTTACTGTGAAGTTCTGGAAACTTCCGCTTATTTTCATGAGACAGCTCAAAAGTGAAGTAAGTCACAGGATCTCCATCAAAGATCTAGGAATAAACAACAGAAGAACATCTCTGTGTTCTTCAGTAAGAGCTTCAACAAATGATCAAACAAAGGAGAGGGACATTAAACTAGTGATCCGTTCGCAGGTCACACCCCTAGACTGTATCTAGAATAGACGCCGTCTGCCTCCTCTGGTGAAGCCACTCTGAGAACAGCGCCCCCTGGTGACGGGTTGCAGTATAGGTCATAAATCCTGCTGTCTGAGCCAAGCGTCATCACAGCGACTCTCCCGCCGAATCCGTACAACGCTACTGCACAATGTTGGTTTCAGGAAGTGGAGAAAAATCGCAGAAATACCGAGAACTTTTCAGCTTCAGATCCTTAAACTGGAGGAAGGAGGAACCAAGTTGTCCAGAGTAAATACAGTCTATGAGAGGGATATTAAAGTAGCGATCTGTTAGGAGGTCACACCACAGAGCTCGATCTCGCCTTAGCTAGCTAAACATCTCAACATGACAGAGATACAAAGATACGATCTTCTCTGGGATTAAAGACGGTCATTTCCAAAAACAGATAACATGAATAAACGTCACTTTCAGCGTGAAAAACAACCTTTGAACTGAGCTCGTTACAATCATACCCAACATCTAATACAGGGGCCCAGCAGAGGGCGCTACACCTGCTGTCCCCATCACCCAACACCCGAAAACATTCAAATAGACAAGATTCCTGAGAAACGGCTAAATAAAACATGAAAATACTCATTTATGAAAAACAAAAGACACAGTTTTAAAGTTTAGTATCAGTTACATGAACAGACGAGGATGAGGACGATGAAGAGGACTGTGGGTTTAAAAGCAAATCTGTTCGGTCGCTTTAATCTTAAAAACATTCAGATTAATATGCCGCTTCAAAGACAGTCATGGAAAAATACATGAGAGGGACTTCATCTTTGACTGTTAGTGTTTTAACTCAGATCAGGATATACTCGAGGAACAGCGAACAACCATTCGCAGACAGACCATTTAACCAGTCACTGCTAATATTGGGTTTAACGGAGCTTCATGAACCAATTCTGAAAAGTCTTTTGATGGTTAAAACACATATAATATAGATATGGAATCGCCAACATGTTCTATATTTGAGAAACTAAGGTCAGATCCTTTTCTGTCCATCAGCTGACCTGCAGGATCATGACGGCATTTTAACTTCATACTCGGAGTGACGACACCGATGAGAAAAAGTCCACAAACAAAACTGTCATGTCTGCAGAAAGTGAAGGAGAGAGGAGGAGGAGGAGGAGGAGGAGAAACACATGAGATAGTCTTTCAGGCTCCAGGTCAGCGTTCAGACACCTCAGGACTCTGTTTCTCTGAGTCTTTACAGCCGGACGTCTCCGGTTTCCTCCTGCATTATTCAAAAGGTCACATCTGACATTTGACCAAAACTAATAAAGGTAACGTCTCCATGTTCGCAGCTGAAACAGACAATGTTCAAAACTTTCACCTCCTCATACTGTCAGAGATATAAAACCTCTGAAGAAGATTCAGGTTCGGGGTTTTTATTCAGAATCTTCTCAGTTTTTCATGAATATGTCGAGTTTTCCTCAGACAGAGCAGAGCAGGTGTGCAGCTCTCCTCTCATGAACCCTGATGGACCTCCTCCTGTTCCAGGTGGAGGAGTGTTGTAGATCAGATAGAGTAACATTAGTGAGCTCGGTCTGAACCCTGTAAACACACAGAGAGGACACCTGTACACAGAGTTTAAACACACTTACCTGTTTCACTTTTCACTCAGGTTTACTTAAACTTTCATCCAACTTTAATGGGGCGGACCTTTCTGTCTCCTTCTGCTCAGGTGTCTCTGCGACTCATGATCACTTTACATTTATTACCTTTGAAACAGACGTGGGGATTGAAGGATGTGGTCAGATATTTTACCCCACCATGATCATAAAATATCATAATGTTGATGTTGCTGTGACGGTCTATTTAAGAAAAACACGAAGATAAAACAACAAACCAAAGAGAGCCGAGCTGCTGCTGCTGCTTCTGTTTTATGACCTGTGGTAACCTCAGCTCTGACCTCACACTGTAAACTTATTTTTAGCACATAATCAATAATTGATCATTTTAAAAACACATTTCTGGTCAATAACAGTATACTGTTAACGAACACAGAACATGTGAAATGTAATTAATTTGATTGACAGCTCTCTGTGCCCCCGCCCCTGATTATCACCTAATGCTCTCTGTGACGGTCGTCAAGGAGCTTTAAACAGACGCACACCTGTTCAGTCTGTGTGTGTGTGTGTGTGTGTGTGTGTGTGTGTGTCTTGGCTTTTGACACAGGACCTCCACAGGTGTGTCAGCTGCTCTCACTGACTCATGATGACGAAGAGTCAGAACCGAGAAAAAGGAAGACGAGCAGGAGACAGAGACCAACGCAGCTGAGAGAGAAACGAGGAAATGCCTCCAAAGAGGAAGAGCGATGCTGTTATTAAAGTGGAGGACGGTGAGAGTTTGTTTTTTATTTAAATAACTGTCTTTACTTGTTTTTACTCTTATTAAAGTGGAGGACGGTGAGAGTTTGTTTTTTATTTAAATAACTGTCTTCACTTGTTTTTACTCTTATTAAAGTGGAGGACGGTGAGAGTTTGTTTTTTATTTAATAACTGTCTTTACTTGTTTTTACTCTTATTAAAGTGGAGGACGGTGAGGGTTTGTTTCTGTCTTTACTTGTTTTTTACAGCCTGAAGTATTCGAGTCATTTCTGAGTTTAAATCTAAGATGGTGGATGAAATAAGAGTTTGTGTTTCTTTCTCTGATCACAGTTGGGATGGATGTTGATGCTGTTGTGGACAGTGGAAGTGAAGGTGAGTTTATTTGCTTTTTATTAAACACTTAAATAATGTGTTAAACTGTAATGAGTGTGTATGTAAACTATCTTTATTTTTAAATACAGTTTTTTTCCTCCTGTGAGAAAGAAACACATACAGCCAATAAGAATACTTCATGAAATACTGGATATTATATAATTATATTAGATATTGTAATAATACTGAAGGGAGAGCTCTCAACAGGAAGGACAGATAATAATAATAATAATAATGATAATAATGATAATAATAATAATAATAATACTAATAATTAAATAAAATAAATATAATAATAATAATAATAATAATTAAATAAATAAAAAAAATAATAATAATAATAATAATAATAATAAAATAAAATAAATATAATAATAATAATAATAATAATTAAATAAATAATAAAATAATAATAATAATAATAATAATAATAATGCTTTTATTTCTGCATCTTTTCTGTCTTGAGTTTAGGTTGCTTTATGTCCTGTTTTGTAAAACTGTGCTTTTATTTTGAAATGTGACCTACTTCTGGTTGCTCCTTAGTTTCTGAATTAAATGAAAACAGATAAAAAACAGTCAGAGAGTCTAAAAGTTGAATTGATCAGTAACCTGGAGAGACTCTACTGTTGTTTTTGATCAATAAAAAATCTTAAATATCAGATGGAGCAGATTTACAAAAGGGAGTGTCTCTGTAATAAGATGGAATATTAAGAAAAGTAAAAATATTTAAAAAGGTTTTTTTCATGGAATGAAATAAAAGTAGACGTGTTGTTTGTTTTTTTTGCAGATGAGGCGAGGAGGAGAGCTAAAAACAGAAGAGCCAGACCGCAACGCAAACCCAAACGGGTCAGTGATGATGAGGAAGACGAGGAGGACGAGGACGAGGCGCCGAAGAGAAGAGGACGAAAAAAGAGGGCCAAGTCCAGAGACAGTGATGAAGAGGACGAAGAGGATAACCGCAGTGTGAAGAGCAAAGGTTCGAGGGCCTCCAGGAGGAAAGCTGCTAAAGAGGAGAGCGAGGACGAGAGCGAAGACGAGCGACAGAAGAAGAAGAAGAAAGGAGGGAAACCCGTGTCCAAACAGGAGAAAGAGGAGCAGAACAAGGAGAGGAAGGGGAAGACTAAAGGAAAAGAGGGGAAGGAGAAAGAGAAGGACAAGAAAAAGAAGAGTGGGAAGTTTAGCAGGTGCAGTATTCTCTGAGAGGTGTGTCTCTCACTTACCTGCACGCTCCACACACCTGTATGGACTCTGTCCAATCAGGCTGCAGCAGTAACTCTGACGAACTCTGATGGAGAGAAAACATCAACTCTGTTTTTATCCTGATTTTACAGTTTACAGCTTTCAGAACACGCCTGCTGGCTTTTTCATTCTGCATGTAAAGTAAAGGGAGTTCAGCCATATTTGTTCATTAATGATTCACATGACGGAAACAGAGCTGAGCGTCCGGAGACGTCACCGCTTCACTCTTTAAAACTGGCTGCTGTTGTTGGTTCGAGACAGACATGAGAGTTCATGAAGGAGCTGAAGGATGTTTTTCAACCTGTTCATGATACTGAGAGAGCTTTAAACAGCTTTATTAACGCTCTGATGTTTATTTTAATCATTTTTGACTTTATGAAACAGGGCAGCTGAGGAGAGACAGGAAGTGGGGGGGTGGGGGGACCGGGGACTGAACCAGCAGAGGAGTGTAGCCTCTGTTTCAGACTGTGAGGCTTAGTGTACCATCGTATTCAGATTATTTCTATGTTTAACGCAGAGTTTCAGTCAGATTAGAGCTGTGACACAAACATTCGCTCAGCCTGTTAATTGACCTGATGAACACTGTGGTCATAAATTATCCTCATAACAATATTATTATTATGATGTTTACAGAAACATTTAAACTTCATGTTCTTTAACTGTTTTCTTTCAGTTGGACCAGAATTCACTCAGACTCCAAAATAAAAGCGTAGATTCTGATCAGTTAGAGATCCACTCTCTTCCCGCCTTTGCTCAGTTTGACTGATTATGTTGTTTTATTTTGAAAAACTCCATAAACATCATGATAATAGAGTTGTTTTTTATAGTTCATGGCTGCGATAATCATCTATAATACATATACAGTAAGAAGATCTGACAGTCACTTTAAGGTGATGAAGATGTTATATAACCCGGTTGTGTTCTCGAGGCCACATGACGTGACCGCTCTCTCCTTTACCAGCTCCTCCTCCTCTGACTCTGACGACCCTTCCCTGTCGGAGGGAGAGATCGAGGCGCTGAAGGAGCAGGTGGAGGAGAAGAAGAAACTGATCGTGACTTTGAGGAACAAACCCTGGCGTATGAAGAAGAGACTCGTAACGCTGAAGTACGACTAACAGGCTCTGTCTGACATCCGTGTGGTTTCTCCATCACTCATGTCCTGTACATGTGATGCTGATCTTCATTAAAAACTGTGAAATGTGCCTTTAGCTGTCTCTCTTCACACTTCTGTGTTAATCAAACAGACTCAGGACCACTGTTGACCACATTCATCCTGTAATCTGAGATAATCTGCAGGATTACAAAAACCACTCTGATCAGATTGCTGCTGTTAGGAACCATCACACCTCCACATAGATCCTCCTCTCTAGACGCGGTGAAAACAGATCTCACAGACACATGCTCGGCTGGTCGTGGTCCAGCCTGTTAAACACGCTCCTCTCAGCGTAAACACATCCGGCTGTGCTGCCAGGGTTCGTGTAGATCAGTGTGTGTTTGTGTGTACGTCTCCACATCTACACATCAAGAAGGATAGGTGATCTGCTCTAACTCTTTCATGAGCTTCACACTCTTTAATGCATGCTCAGATTAACCTGCTGCTGCATGCTGATTGGTCCTCCTCTCTCTGCATGTAATCACCATAAATCTGTAATCTATCCCAATCCTGTCGGTTTTTATCACACGTCTTATGTGTCTTTCTCAGGGAGGCTCAGGAGTTTGTGGAGAAGTTTGAAGGAGCTCTGGGGAAAGGAAAAGGCAGGAGGCTGTACGCGTTCAAAGTCATGATGACCAAGGTAATCTGCTCAGTCTGGTCTCATGTGGTCAAGAGCAAAGCGGCAACCCCTGGCCTTGAGAAGTGAAGATGAAGTAGAAGTTCCAAAAACTGCAGTTCCACAAGTGTCCACTAGAGGCTGGCTGCAGAAGCTCCAGAATCCACATACACACTCATTCACAAAAGCTCATTTTAGAGCAGAAATAAACACCGTTGCCAAGGTGATGATGTATTAACCACAGCCTGGATAGCACTGACTGAACTAATCTGAATGATTTTGATATTTCCAGAAACTGATCAAGTTCAAACGTGACTTTGAGAACTTCAAAACCGCCTGTATCCCCTGGGAGAGGAAGATCAAGGAGGTAGAGAGTAAGTGTGACTGAATCTGAACCGCTGAGCGACTGTTTTTCACGACGTTCAAGAGTCACCGAATCAACATCTCCCATTCCTGATCTCAGGTCACTTTGGATCCTCCGTGGCGTCCTACTTTATCTTCCTGAGGTGGATGTACGGGCTGAACCTGGTCCTGTTTGGGCTCATGTTTGGCCTGGTGGTGATCCCTGAGGTATGTTAGCATGTTCTCCTGGACAGAACATACGATGAACACGTTAATATGTCTTCTGTTTGTCTTCTCTCTCTATATTCAGATCCTGATGGGTCTGCCATACGGCTCCATACCCAGGAAGACTGTTCCTCGAGCTGAACAGGCCACGGCCATGGACTTCTCCGTGCTCTTTGACTTTGAGGTGAGAGTTTGAGCTTTAACTCGTCTGAGAGCGAGAAACTTCCAGATCTTTGAGTTCAGATCTTTGTTTCCTCCTCCACAGGGATACCTCAAGTACTCATTTCTGTTTTACGGCTTCTACAACAACGAGCGGACCATCGGCGTGCTGCAGTTCAGACTTCCTCTGTCGTACCTGCTGGTGGGAGTCGGCATCTTTGGCTACAGCCTGATGGTGGTCATAAGAACGTAAGACGGAGCGCACCCTGCAGGACAAACGTGATTTTAAACCGGAAAGTATTCGTCTGTTCTGAAGGTGTTTTCTGCTCTCCTCTCAGGATGGCTCGTAACTCAAATGAAGGAGGGGACGGAGCAGAGGAGGGAGAGTTCACCTTCAGCTGGAAGATGTTCACCAGCTGGGATTACCTGATCGGAAACCCGGAGACTGCAGACAACAAGTACGCCTCCATAACCACCAGCTTCAAGGTTAGCAGGTGTGTGTTAACCTGTGGGTGGAGGTTTTTGTGGACTGAAGATACGAGAAAACTGTAGATGTGACGTTGAATTAAAGATGCCGAGTTTCCTCACATTAACACCACCTACTGTGGAGTTTCTGCAGCAGAAGAACTGAACAGAAACCCTTCAGACTCACAGCGTCCAGTTTTCTTCATACTTGTTCTTCTTGAGAAATTTATGATGATAACTGGGAGAAGAACAGAGGAACTAGGGCTGAAGTTTGAAGTGATTGTTTCTCAGATTGATTTCACTCTGTTGTAGGAGTCTATCGTAGATGAACAGGAGAACCAAAAAGACGAGAACATCCACCTCCGACGGTTCCTGAGGGTTCTGGCTAACTTCCTGATCCTGTGCAGCCTCGGAGGAAGCGGTTACCTCATCTACTTCGTGGTGAAACGTTCGCAGGAGTTTGCAAACATGAAAAGTGAAGATCTCTCGTGGTTTGAGAAGAATGAGGCGAGTTCACGTTCAGTGACGTTTTAGGATTATTGATACGAACAGAGAGGAGAAACAGCTGATGGTCACTCTGATGTTTCAGGTGGAGTTTGTGATGTCTCTCCTGGGCCTGGTGTGTCCTCCTCTGTTTGAGACCATCGCAGAGCTGGAGGACTATCACCCCCGAGACGCCCTGAAGTGGCAGCTGGGTCGGATCTTCGCCCTCTTCCTGGGAAACCTGTACACCTTCCTGTTTGCCCTGTTCGATGAGGTCACTGCCAAGGTGAGACGGAAACACCTGTTGGTTCCTGTAACTGTGGCTTACTTTATCATCCTTCAAACAGAAACGTCTTCTTCAACCCAAGGACCTATCCTGAAACTCTGTCCTTGGAGGTAAAAGTGCGATTTCAGGGCGGTTCACTGAAATGAATTTGTGTGGTGTTTACAAGCCGACAGCGAAGCTCGGTGGGCTGCTGTCAGAACCAGGTGTGGTGTCACACCAACTCATGTTCAGATGGAAACAATGGAAACTGCTCGGGTAGATAAACCAAACCTAACACTGTTTCCATCCAAGTAAGACAGTAGAACCAGCTGATTTAGACGAGGAAACATGGGAAAACTGCACCAGGAAGATCCCCGAGAAAAAAAACTAAAAACACTGAATTTGAGGGTTTCTTGTAGCGAGTTAGCATCCAGCTATCAAGTCAAAGCTGCCAACCTCTCCAGCTCAGGTGTTATGAGGAGAAGAGGATGTTTTCCACAGCGACAAAATCAGAATTGAAGTCGGTACCTCAAGAAGTTTTTCAGAAAACTGTTTCAAGGTTAAAGGAAGCTGACGTTAACCTGTTGACAGTTCGACTATCGCCCGTCCTTCAACAGTGTAGAGAGACCCTTTGAATCCAAACTCTGTAGGTCCATACAGAACCACGGGTCACTTCAAATCTATCGAGACATCTGATCTTTCTCAAGTTGTCTGTGATGTTTACATGACACTTACATGAATTATCGCCTTATTCCGATTAAGACCGGACAACTGAAGGTCATGTAAACACTTTAGTCCGACTATAATCAGAGTTTAAGAACTCAGATTAAAACACCCAGATAATGAGATTGGAATTAGATTTTCTCTACCATGTAACCAGCGTAGTCGGAGTATGATCACAGTCAGCTGACAGACTCCACACAGGTCTGAGGGATCCTTTCAGGTGGCCAACACTTCATTTCTGTGTTTTTCTGGAGCTTCATCAGTAAAATTTGACGTCATGAGTTCATGTTTGATGTTCTTCAGCTGGAGAGCGAGAAGGCCATCAAGAACGCCACTGAATGGGCTTTGAAGCAGTACGTCGCCAACTACAGCGCTCACTACAACACCACCAACGTGCCCCCTCCAAACGTTCACCCGGCCGATGTCATCAGAGGACCCTGCTGGGAGACGGCGGTGGGAATCGTCAGTAAAATCCTCTTACAGCAGGTTCAGTGATGAATGTAAGACTGTGGAGGTGAAGAAGTCAGACTGTCTCTGTTTGTTTCTGCTGAGCAGGAGTTTGTGAAGCTGATCGTATCGGACATGCAGGTCACCTATCTGACCATCCTGATCGGAGACTTTGTGAGAGCTCTACTGGTCCGGTACCTGAACTACTGCTGGTGCTGGGACCTGGAGGCCGGGTTTGTGAGTACTCACAGAGCGGTTTGGGTTTCTATGTGAACTTTAGGAGATTTTATTTTGTTTAAACCAGATTATGAATCAGATTATCTAATTACATCTTGGCTGTTACTGTCTCCTGTTCAATATTTAATGATCTGTTAACTGTGTTAGAGTTCAGGCCTGTTTCTCAGGTCTGTCCTGTAATGTGGATGTTTTGGTTTTTACAGTATCTGTTTTAGTCATGGTCGGCCATGTTGTCTGACTAACTTTAAACAGTACGAGAGATCAGCTCTGTTTGTTTTAGAGTCAACCTGATACTGACTGATGAGATGTGGTGAGACAGCTGAACCCTGGTCTCCTGTGAAAGGAGAGACGGACATGAGAACTTAATTACAGAGAGGGAGGGAGAGAGAGAGAGAGAGAGAGAGAGAGAGAGAGAGAGAGAGAGAGAGAGAGAGAGAGAGAGAGAGAGTTAGTATCTTCACTCTTGTCTGTTACTTCAGGTCAGCTTGTTAATGGTGTTGTTCTCTTGTTGGTTGCAGCCTTCATACGGAGAGTTTGACATCAGTGGAAATGTGCTCGGTCTGATCTTTAACCAAGGAATGATCTGGTGAATAAAAACTCATTTATTCTGATTTTCTGTCGTCTACTGGGCTCCTCTCAGTGAATATTTCTCTGTGGTCTGTTTCTAATGTGCCCATAACGACAAACTGGTCTGATCATTGGGACTGGATCCTGCTTCTTTGAATAAATAAAGATAAATAAAGTTGTATCTAATCTAATCTAATCTGACTGTGCACTTCTAAGACTCTGTCACTAACCCCGCCGTCCCCCTCAGGATGGGGGCGTTTTATGCTCCAGGTCTGGTGGGTTTGAACGTTCTGCGCCTCCTGAGCTCCATGTACTATCAGTGCTGGGCGGTCATGTGCTGTAACGTCCCTCATGAGCGAGTCTTTAAAGCCTCTCGCTCCAACAACTTCTACATGGGTCTGCTGCTGCTGGTGCTCTTCCTCAGCCTGCTGCCTGTGGTCTACACCATCATGACCCTGTCCCCGTCCTTTGACTGCGGGCCCTTCAGGTCAGTCATGGAAAAATACAACAATACAAAAACAAAAGCATCAGAGTTTAACTGAATAATCCAGACCTTGAATGCACCACTCCAAAGAAAACCAGTATATTCCAGTATATTCACACTACTGTGACTTCTATTACTAATGTGCTCCCACTAAAACTACCAATAAACCTCTCAAAGTGTCTCACCAGCAGAGTCCGACATTTGATCCTTATTTTTGTTGTCCTGCAGCGGTCAAGAGAAGATGTACGACGTTGTCATGGAGACAATCGAGCAGGATCTGCCCTCCTTCATAGGAAACATTTTCACCTATGCCACAAACCCTGGACTCATCCTGCCCGCCGTCCTCCTCATGGTGTGAGTACAACTCCAATGCAACCACAAGGGGGCACTGTAGTCACACATTTCCAAATGGCACTGGTTAGACATACAGTCATGTAGCTCCAGAACACATCTTCTCTACATGCAGTCCTCCCTGAGCAGTTTTCAGTGGTACACTGAGAGTTACTCTGTTGTGTTACAGGTTGGCCATTTACTACCTGAACGCGGTCTCAAAGGGATATCAACAAGCAAACCTGGACCTGAAAAGGAAGATGCAAATGGTCAGTAGGAGTGACCTTCTCGTTCAAATAAAATCTTTTTTGTGCAAAATGTAAGCAACTGTTTTCGACCCTTCACACGTTCACAGGCTCGAGACGAGGAGAAGAACCGCAGAAACAACAAGGACAGCACCAACCAGGTGATGAAAGACCTGGAAGACCTGCTGCCGGACAAATCTCTGATACCTCCTCCTGTTGAGGAAGAGCAAGAGGAAGAAGCGCCCCCTCCTGGTACGTTCACACACAAATGAGTGATTTAGTTTATGTGGCGTTGTCCATTTTGACGCTTCGCTCTCCTCGTTTCTCCGCAGAGGTTGTAAACAAGAAAGGCAGCAGGTCTCCCAAAGTGAAGCCAGGTGCAGCAGGTAAAGGGGTCAAACTGCAGAAAGACGTGTCATTGGCTGCTCCAAACCCCAAAGCTCCAGTGACCCGCCCCCCAGGACCGAGGAGACCCCCTCCTGGAAATGCCAGAGGGCCTCAACCTGGATCAGGGAGAGGAAGAGGTCGGGGTGGGCCACCAAGAGAATAAAAAGGACTATGGACTATAGAACGAGGACGACCAGCGTCTGCTGACACCGACCTCATGGTTCGAGGTTTTAAAGGAGGGTGCCACAAGAGAGACCTTTTATTTTTATACTTTTAGTCTTTAATGAGATTTACTGTGTTTACATTATCAGTCACATTTATCAAGAACATGCCAATAATGAGACCTTTAAGGCCAACATCATGATGGAGTTTCAGCTGGAGACAAACACTAATAACCACCATGTGAGTATCCTTTTACACTCCTGTACAGTAGAGGGCGCAGTTCACCTTTAAAATCAAATTATAATCCGAAATTGAACAAAGAAGAAGAACCAGAAACTTTGCTAGTTATTAAACTATCAAACTCTAAAAGTCTATTAACTGTCTGTGAAGAAAGAAGGATCTAAAGACAACTTTAACAGGTGAGATCACGATTTAACTGCTCAGATCCTAACGGCGGTCCTAATTCCAACTGCGCATGCGTTCACAGAGCTTCGCGCTCGCGGTTAGCACACAGGCTAACGTTAGCTTTGTAAGCAGAACAAACGGGAGAACAACGTTGAAATAAAACCATCCACACCTGTTTTCTTTGTTCTTAGACAAAGACTAAATGTTCAGGTCGTCTCACCTTCAGCAGTCCTGTCAATCATCTCACGATGCGCGTGGACAGGTAGACCGGTCTGATCCAGATCGTCTCTGTAAACTTATCAAAGTAATACTGTCGAACACACACACAGTAAATAACATCACTTATTCATTTAAACTTTGTGATTTTGCGTCGATATAAGTAAAAAGCCTAAAATAACTCAAATGATGTTGGTTAACCATATAAGGTTTAAACTGACCTCCAACTAAACCCCGCCCACCAAAACGTCATACATTTTAATGAGGCTAATCAGGTGTGTACCGTCTTAAAGTGACAGTCACACTAAACAACTTCATTTCCTGAAACCAACATTGTTCAGTAGCGTTGTATGCATTCGTTGGGAGACTCGCTGTGATGACGCTCGGCTCAAACAGCGTATTCCCACAGGTGATCTACACAATCTCTGTCCTCCCATTGGCTGTATCAGGTGTCAATCATAGAAAACATGAACCCCCTAATAACCTTTAAAAATGGAGCTGTACAGAAAAAAGAGGACTTGAGCACAAACCAGTCTGACAGTAACTACATGTCAACATCACAACCAGGGGGGAGAAACATTTATATTCTGTGTCATTCATTTATAAAGTTTGTCCACAGCTCCATAAGGAGGCGGGGTTTATGACCTATACTGCAGCCCGTCACCAGAGGGCGCTGTTCTCAGAGCGAGGAGGCAGACAGTGTCTATTCTAGATACAGTCTATGGGCGAGAGGGTTACAGATGTTCAGTTAAATAAATCAAACATCAAATTTGTTGTTTTTTCTAGAATAATGAAAGAAAATATAAAAAAGAAATAAAAACACTGAAGTTCATGTTATTCAGACGACAGAGAATCATAGTTAAAAACTCACTGTTAATACAGTCAACTCTTTCATTAATTTCATCCAGAAATCCCTGTAAATAGGATGTAAATGTATTTTTATTTTTTGTATAACACCTGTCTATTAAAATAATTCTTTTCTGTCAAAGTGCTACTGAAGTGGTTACCTGAAAATAAAACCCCTCTCTCTCTCTCTTACACTAACTAACTTACACACAATATACACGACAGTAGAGAACATGCTGTCCACTAAATATGTGAATACATCTGAGATACAACATTACAGGAACTTTTACAGATAAGAGTCAACGATGATCAGAGGTGGAGGTATCTCTGACAGTAAAATAACATCATCACAGAGTTACAGAGAAAATGCCTTTAAATATGAAAGTCACTCGATTCTTCTCCATGATCTGAAGTTCATCCAGTCCTGTAGTCTGACTGTGTTAGGAGTTCTTCTTTGAGATTTTGATGGTGACTGCTTTGACCTCTGTGTACTCCTGAAGCGCGTATTCCCCCCTGAAAGAAAAATGACAGCAGCTGCTTATGTCAAGAAGAAGAAGACATTTTACATTTATTTTCCCTTTAAGAACAAAAGTTTATGTGGAAAACCTGCAGACACCAACCGAACTACAACTCCACAGGAAGCAAAGTACAGAGAGGAAGCTGACCTTATTTTAGGAGTTCAGACATTTATCTAATCACAACCTAAGTGGTTTTATATAGAACATTAGATTTTTGATATATGTACTTGTCCTCTCTCTGTCAGTCAAGATTCAGGATTGGTTTATTTGTCACATGCAGATTAAAAATAGTCAACAATGCAAGAAATGCCCTGGATGAGAAGAACCGCTCCACCCAAAGAAGTACGAATAACATGCAATAAAGTACTAAGAAGAATATAATAGAATAAAAATATAAAAAGTATAAAATAAATATTTACAAAGTGCACAAGTAATGCAGTAGCTGCTGTCAGAGTGTAAATGTATGGGGGATAAGTCAGTGGGATAAAGGAGGTATAACTGACATATTGCACAGTTACAGCAGAGGTATGGACAGGAAATAAGTAACAGATATAAATCATTGTTACCAACCGTGACAGATCGAACAGAGTTTAAAAAGGTGTTACTCACAGTTCTCGACCATTTCCTGACATCTTGAAGCCGCCGAACGGACACTGAGCGCTCATGGCGTTGTAGCAGTTCACCCTAAAGAGAAGGAAACATTACATCCTCCTCTCAGCCTGTATTTGAGTTTTTATAAAAAACTGCTATGACACATGAAAAAGTGTTTGTTTTTCTTCTTGTTATTAGATTGAATGTTTAGGTGACCCCCCCTGGACTTCAGAGGATCGGTGGATTTGGTTCCTACCAGACCATGCCAGCCTGCAGAGCAGAGGAGACTGTGAGGGCTTTGTCGATGTCGTTGGTAAACACTCCTGCTGCCAGGCCGTAGTGTGTGTCGTTGGCTCTCTGGATGACTTCCTGAATGCTTTGGAAACACATGATCTGCTGCACTGGACCAAAAATCTGAGAGAGAGAGAGAGAGAGAAGAGCGAGGGCAAAGATGAAAAGGTTAGTGGAGGAGGAATTTCACGACGGTGTGGTAGATTTAGGACTCGGACGATCACGAGGAACATCAAATCTGCTTCTGTGTGCGCAGGTGTTTCAGAACAGGGTACCTCTTCTTTGGCGATGCGCATTTCATCGGAGACATTTGAGAAGACGGTGGGCTGTATGAAGAGTCCCTGCTGACCCCACTGGGAGCCCCCACACTCCAGCGTGGCCCCCTCCCTCTTCCCACTCTCTATCAGCACCATTATTTTATCAAACTGTTTCTGGTCGATCTGCAGAGGAGAACAGGTCTGATTATTCTCGTATTGATGCTGTTATTGATCATGTGATTAACCTCGGTGTCCTGTACCTGTGGACCTTGGTCAACACCCGGCAGCAGAGGGTTCCCCAGGATTTTGGATTTGGCTTTCTCCACGCTGAGGCGGACAAACTCCTCGTAGATGGGCTCCTCGACAAAGACCCTGGAACCGGCCAGACAGCACTGCCCCTGGTTAAAGAACAGACCGCTGTGGGCCTGCTCCACCGCGTACTCTACTGCAGGACCAAGAGAAAGACAGGAGAGAAGCTGCAGCAGCACGACTGTTGACTGAGAGTCAGGAGGTGATACCATCGAGTCTGTTAACAGATCCTTTCTTCACTCACAACACCAGTAAAGAAAATCACTTCAAATTATTAATCAATAAAATCTGCTGTCTGTTCTGCACTTTTTCAAACTTGTTTTATACGATAATGTTCTTCAGGACTGTCGCCATATCAGGGTTTCAGCTCCATAACTGTGTTGTTGGAATATTTATGGAGAACTTGAAATCATAATCATAAACACCAATAAATCTCTGAGTGTCTGTTTTTTAAAGTGTCTCATCATCTTTCAGAGGGATGTTAAAACTGCTTCTTCTCCTTCGGCCCTCCTTCAGTTTATGACGTGAAAACCAGCGTAGAGGACGGCTAACATGGACTAATGCTGTGACTGTAAACTTATTTCAAACACAACTTTAATTTCTTTAAAAAACAATAACAGTTTGTCTATTCCTGTGTATCACGAAGAGTCTGTAATTTTAGGTCCTGTTCTCCTCTGAAAGTAAAACTCAGTGAAGTCCCCGTACATCTTTAAATGAGGTTAATTTATAAAAAACAAACTTGAACTTTAGAGAGACTTTAAAGTTCAGACTCACGGTCACAATCAGCAAAGACGATGTTTGGGTTTTTCCCTCCGAGTTCGAGTGTGACTCTCTTCAGGTTACTTTCACCTGCAGCCTTCTGGACCAGTTTCCCGACCTGGTGACCAAAGACAGCGACAGGAATTAAGTGAAAGAGTTTACACCAACAGGAGAAAACAAGATCAATCTCCGTAATTTGGATTCAGTTTCAGCAGATACTGACAGCAGTAGATCCAGTGAAGGCGATTTTATCGATGTCCATGTGGTGAGAGATGGCGGAGCCCGCTGTGTGACCATAACCTGTGACCACGTTCACCACACCTGGAGGGAAACCAGCCTGAGCGACAGAGGGAGACGTCAGACGAGTTCATGTCTTATTATGTCTCATTATGTCTTATTCTGTCTTATTCTGTCTCATGAACTCTTCGCTCTTACATCATCGTTGTGAGTTAGAGGTTAATTTGCAGATACCTCTTTGATGAGTGCGGCCATGTGCAGGGCTGATAACGGGGTCTGCTCAGCAGGTTTGATGACCACAGTGTTCCCGCAGCACAGAGCCGGAGCGATCTTCCACGCAAACATCATCAACGGGAAGTTCCACTGCGGCGAAATAAACATGTAAACATGTTTTTCACGTCCATGAGTGACAGCAGCGGGCCCACAGAGAGAAGACGCACAGAGTTCGTGATTTCAGGAGCCGGGGTTTAATCCTGTGGTTCTGACTACTATTTACAGTATATGGATGTCTTACTGTTGGAGGCAGAATAATAACAATAATAATAATAATATTAATAATAATAATCCTCAGTCCACATTCTGCTGTTTTCTCTCTTTGGTACTTTTGATTTTAACCAAACAGCTGCTTCACAAGTAAGAACCGTCAGACTTATGATCAGAGTTTAAGCACCAGTGTTACAGTTTAAGTTGTGACCCTGTTAAGTGGTGACTTTCACTGCAACGCTTGTGTGGTTGTCGTGGAAACAGGCCAATGTTTGCCCGTTTACAGGGTCACCAATGAATCTGCATCCATGCCCCCCTCATCTGTACCGTTTACTCATCATGTCCTCGTCCCTCCCGGCAGAGATGGAGGAGAACTTTGTTAGGAATAAAGACAGAAGATGACGTCTCCTCCAGAACATCAGAGAAAGAAAAGTCTGTGTCCTCTTTATCAAAACATTTAAAATCAATTATTGTTATTTATATATATATGTATGTATATTTAGTGCTTCTCTGTAAACAGTCTTCTTTTATAACGTCTCAAATACACTAATTATTGATGAGGGGCTGATCAGTATCAGTGACAATAGAAACCATGTGACTGTTTTTTTAACATGAACAAACATCCTATCAGTTCTCATCTGTATCTCTGAAGATCTGAAGTGATGAAGACTTACAGGAATGATCTGACCACAAACTCCGATGGGCTCGTGTCGAGTGTAAGTAAAATACTCTCCATCTAGAAGAAGGATTGGACAGCTGTTAGCGCATCATTAAACATTTTCAATATCAACATGGAAACATCTACAAACTTTAAAACCGGTGTACCCACCTACAGGGATGGTTTTACCGTGAATCTTGTCCGCCCAGCCTCCATAATATCGCAGAGTTTTAATCGTGGCCAACAAATCCACAAAGTACGCCATGAGGAAGACTTTTCCAGAGTCCAGACTTTCTAATGTCTGAAAATTAAAAATACAAGTTTACCACATTACAGTGATTCAACATTATTCTGAAAAACAGGAGTTTTCCTGCGTTTTCTCACCGCCAGTAGTCGCCTGTCCCGCTCCACTAAATCAGCAAGTGTGTTCAGTAGTTGACCTCGGTCTGAGGCGTCCATGGATCGCCATGGTGACCCCGTCTGGAAGGCGGCTCTGGCACTTCTCACTGCCTCGTCTATGTCTTCCTATGAGAGGTTTGAGAAGATGAAGTGAGAAAAAACTAAAAGGTGTTCTGATCTTTTTACAGGGAGAAGAAGGTTGAGGTTTCTGGACTCCTGGACTTCTCTCTGACACACATGCTGTTGAGTTTTTCTTCACTCACTTGGTCCGCCTCCTCGACCTCACACAGCTGGTTTCCTGTGGCGGGATCAAACACTGGAATTTTTCCTCCGCTGCACGAGTCCTGCCACTCGTTGTTGATGAACAGCTGTGATGTTGGAGTAAAATTAGACGTGAATGAGACACAGAGAAGTAAATTCTTCCAGTGCATGTATTCCTGGTGGGGCATCTCCCCTGCAGATTGTCTGAGAGCAGATCAAACAGAGTTTATGAACCGTCTGCAGCCTGACCACCTTAATAACAGGCTCCTTTTATTTACACAGGAAACAGTTTTCATGCTGTTTTCTTTAAAGAGATGCATCTGTGTGCTGGAAAGATTAAAGGTTTTTTTAAGGTAGATCATTTTAACATAAACTCTTATAAATACAAATTAAACAACAACCAATAAATGTATTCTTTTCATTTTTGACTCTTTAAAATCTCAGACTAACAAAAGTCAAGACAAAAGTTTGTGCTCAGGGATTAAATGACAGAATATAATCTGTAAATCCTGGAATATTCATAATTCATGTGGAAGTTTAAACATCACCGGTATTTTCCCTGTACCTGGATCGGTTACAGTTTACCTTGGTGTAGCGAATGGGAGGGTCTGAGATTGGCGTGGGCAGGGCGTGCGGCTCTGCTCCATCTACGTGAGTCCGTTTCAGGCTCTGGTCCGGATCCTGGTGGTTGTACCCGTTTCCAGAACTCATGTTGGCATGCTTTCCTGCAAAAATAGAACATAACAAATGAAAGTCACTGGCTTGCTCAGCGCACACGTGTGTGTTGGCGAGTACAACATGTGCGTGTGAAGGCTTGATTGTGAAAGTTAATATCTGGACCAGTGAGTAAGAATAGCCGCTTTCATGTTTCATCATAACCCAGAGAGAAACGGAGCCAAATGAGGTACTGGCATCATCAGCAGGGTAACACCACGAGGTTAAGGGTCATGACTGGCACCGTAAAGTCGGGCCTGCTCTGAACAGTGGACTGAACTGACCCTGTTTGAACAGAATAAAGAAGCTCAGAACATATGGCACAAAGCAGGAACATATACATATGTATACTACAGTCACATTTACTGGAGGGTTCAATAAAAGAGGGAAATTTGGACAAAAGGAGAGTTATGTAAAAATGATAAATGCTTCACCTTCATGCAAAGACCATAAATTATAATCTTTGGTTATTCTCTGAAACAAAAACAACCCTGAAAATAGAATAAAATTCACCTTTTTATGAATATGAGCAAATATAACTCTACATGTCCTTTTAAAAGTTTTCTCTTTGAAATGTGTGTTTGGTCACTTTTATAACAGCTGATGTAATTATTTAGTTTTGCTCCTCACTTTACAAAATAATTCCTGTTTAAATTCATATTATAGAAAAGAAATAAAAATAGGGAAAGGAGTTTTAACATCTGAAACACATTGATATAATGTCGAAACTGAAATAGAAAGATAAGATATTCCTTTGTTAGTCTCTCAGGGGGAAATTCCACATTTATAGAAGAGAATAAATACAAAAGAGAAATTTAAGGATAAAAAAACTAAAGAAATTAAAAAGAAATTGAGACATGTTGAATAACTAATAAAAGGACTGAAAATTTCCTGTAAAATTATAATTAAAAAGTCATAAACAGATTAAAAAAGAGTTAAAGTAACATGAGAAGCAGCTGAACCTGCTTCATTTATAAACTGTCTTCAGTAATTAGCCTCTTATTTAATTAAAGTGTAAAATTATTGTATATTTTAGTTTCTGTATTAATATTTAAAGTTGTTGTTACCGGTCAGGGGTACAGGTGGGGCTCCTCCTCCGCTCTGGGCTGATCCCGCTCCGGTCACCGGCATGTTTCCACGGTCCTCCCGGCTCTCCGTGGACCTCAGACCGGGCAGCAGCTTTATACCGAGCCCGCCCTCGGAGTCTGTCCCCCCGGTAAACTGCGGCATCAGAGAGTACAACTCCAATATAAAGGAAGAGAAACGAACGAGAAAACTAACAGGAAGAGGGAGGCTGCACAATAAAATAAAACACATTCACAAAAAGAAAAAAAGAAAAACACAGGTTTAACTTTTGTAATTATGAAAATGTAGAAACTTTTAACCTTGTTACACTCATTTTCAATTAAATATATACGACAGTATAGCAAATTTAGCAGGAATTGTCTCTGTTTTAAACAATTTCTGCGTGTAAAAAATCTCCAACTGTCTGTCTTATTTTGAAGGTCTCTACAGGAAGCAGAATTCTATGATTTTGTCTAGCTTTAAGGCAGGAATATAAACACGAGTGCCCTCTAGTGGGGACATATGAACTTAATTATTAAATATAAAAAAACAGACAAAATGTAACAGATATACCCAAACAACTTATATGCACATTTTATTTTTTTTTTAAAAGGTATGTGTTGTTTTTATTAAAAATAAATAAATATTTTTTTTTAAAAAGAGAGAGAAAAAAAATTAAAAATTAATAAAAATAAATTTTAAAAAAATGTGGCCGTGTGAGATAAGAGTCAATTTCAGACTTAAGCTAAGGTTATCCAATAACATCACCTAGGGAGTTTCACCCCTGGTGGTTTTCATCCCTATCCTGAGCTCACGTTGGCCTGTTTCCCTGCAGAAAATGAACAGAACAAATGTGAGTCACCGGCTGAAGAATTTGATCAGGGTAAGACTGATTTTTCGTGATCTTCTTTTATTGCTAAATTGCTCGGCTGACTTTCCACATTCATCACATTTGGAGAACGGGCCAAACTAGAAGGCAGCCGACATTATTGAGAGGATGTTTACTTTGATAGATCGACCTCCTGCTGCTTCACTGTCTCCCAGGAACAATGTGATCACATAACTGTGTCTGGTGCGCCTATTTTAATCTGGGCAGTCTGGAAATACACACACTGCTCACAGAACCGTCCCCAGGGGAAACACAGCCTCTGTCATTAACCCTTATTAAATAATGGAGAGCTGCGAACAGCGTAAACTCTTCTCACATACTAATCTGTGTAATGCTGTTTTGGCTCTTTGTTTATCTGAAGTTTGTGCAGACAGGAAGTGGGTCTGTGGGTAATTGTACGGTGTTGGTGTATAGAGCAGAGTGGGCCCCAAAGAAAGTATTAATCAGTTAAATATTTTTGATTTATCAATTTGTCAGCAGCTCAGCAGATGAGAGTAAAACCCCACACACGACAGTCCACCCTCACAGAGTCATATTAGTACAAAATCCACGATCAGATCTCAGCGTAGAAATACTGCAGTTACACTGATGGTTTCTGTCTCCAAAGTATTCTGGTTCTTTTTGTGGTTTTAATAGTGATGTCCACGAGTGTCCGAGTACTTGCTCCTGAAACAGGCCGAGCACTGGTGTGATTTTTTACAGGAAAACTCTATAAAGAAATAAAAACAAAATTACATGATGGTGTTTTTTTCCGTCTTAAAAGCTGTCATGTAATGAAGAGACAGACTTTCATGTTTCCCATGTACAGATGTTTGCAGACAGAGCTAAACCTCTCAACTTAACAGAAGTCTGTTTTAAAGTGAGCACAGACAGTTTACTCCTCACTCTTCATCAAAAGAGGATCCACTCCCACTGTGAGTTTTTAAAGGGATATTCTGCTGTGAAATTAGTTTAGGGTCAAACCCACCGTAACACAGAGTTAGACCCCCCCTCCAGAGATGAATGTTGTCGACCGCTTCCTTCTCTAGTTATACCAACTTTAGTAACGACCGCAGGATAGAAATACAGAGAGCCACGCCCCCAACCAAAACGCCACTCTATAGCCACAAATAATGCTCAGAACAGCACCTAACTTCATCAACAGGACATATAGGGTCACAGACATAGTACTATATTCAGAGTTGTTCTAACTCCTAAGAAAACAAACTTAAGAAGGGGCGTTTCTCCACTTCTGTAGTCTATAAGCTGGGCCAATAAACTTCTACTGTAGTAAAATGAAAAGGTAAAGGTGTTTTTATTGAGCCGAATTATCAATAAAATCATGATTTTGTTAACAGGTATGGATTTATGTGCTGTTGAGTTAATATATTTGAACAAGAGCACAGTAAAGTTAAATCAGCTAATTTTCCAATGAGGTTCTGTTACTGAACGGAACTACACCATGTTCTACTGAGGTTAGTACATATAGGGTCACAGACATAGTACTAGACACCAAACATCTTTTTAACTTTGACTCATTTCTTTAGCAAAGAGACTAAACACAACTCACCTACTCTCTTCCAGCAGACGCTTGTTTGTGGGGAAGCCCTGACGAGTCGATCGCAGAGTGCAGCGGAGTTTCGCAGCTCAAGGAAGAACATTTATGATCATTACCTCATGGAAATGTGATCAGAGTTCTTGTGTATCTTGTATGTGACCTGCAGATGCGGTAGTTCTTCTGCCTGAGCGTCTCGGTCTGATTTCATTTCCATTTAGTAAAAATCATAAATTTTCCGCTGAACTCGGTGATCGACTGAATGAGGATGAAGGTTTAAATACTGCCGGCTGTATTTATCTGTCAGCTCCTCAAGTGCTCATACTCTGTCATATTAGAGCCAAATCCTCATGGATCCTCCTAATGCTGTTTTGCTTCATACTGTTTAAACACAGACAGACATGTTCAGTCAGTCAGTGAGTCTCCATCCAGCAGACCGAATGGTGAGACCGGTCTGCTTCAGTTTGGGGAGAACATGGAGCAGCGGGTCAAAGGAGCTGTCGCCTGACAGCACCGGGTGTCCCACAGTTGAGCTTGAGCTACAATGACGTTTGGGTAGAGAGAGGAAGAACGATGGAGACGAGGAGATAGTGAGAGAACGAGGGAGGAGGGGGTTGAGTCAGAGATTTAAGGAGGGAGAAGAAATGACAAGTTTGGAGGTGTGAGAGAGAGTGAAGAATTCAGTGAGAGACAAAGTGAAGGTCAGAAACAGCAGCTGTAAAAATGAGATTCTCATTTGTGTTTTAGCAGTTATTAATATTACTGTGGTTATAAAAGACTCATCATTAACTGCCTGTCAAAGCTTTACTGGTCAGTTTCTCCTCACTGTACCTCCTGAGGAGTTCTGGGTCAGTGATGTCCCTCCTGGTCCTCCAGGGTCTGACAATGTCCTCTGCTCAGATTCAACATCAGAAGTTCCAGGTCATATTTCAGTGTTCGTAGTCGCTCTTCTCAGGATAAAACATGATAAATTCCTTACGCCTTTCTAGAAGATGAAATGGGGAAAAAATACTGGATGTCCTACATGTGGATAAATCATGAAGAAGTGTCCTCTGGATGTTCTTCCTGCACGATAATGTTCTTCTGGTTCTCTATCATGAAAATATACATTTTAAACTGTTATAGCAGCTGTATGAATAATTAAAAAATCCTCCTTAAAGCCTTTACTGTCCTGTGCCCTCCTGGTTTGATGTTCCTTTAGTCTGTGAGATGTTAGAAAGTTCCCTCTGGATTCCCTGCTGGGGTTCAGTCATAAAATAATGAGCTCTCTCATATCTTTCGAGCTTGAAAAATCCTCTTTTATTTCCATTTTTCATAATATCATGAGTAGCTGTCCTTTCAGATTTGTTACAGATGTTGACTCTCGTACCTTTTTAGAAATTAAAAACAACATTTTTCCTCTGGGTGTGAATAAACAGTAGAAATGATCCTCTGGATGTCCTCCTGGTATGAAAATGCAATTTTATGGAAAAAGCACGAAAAGTGTCTTTAGAGCGAAACACGACAGAGTCACTTATAGAAACTTTTTTGTAAATGAAATTAAGAAGAGCACTTTTGACGACCTAAAAAGTGTCCTCTGAGTCCCTCTCCAACAGATAAAATAAAATAAGGTGGTAATTTAATCTTTTTACAGCCTATTTGTGGCTGAGCCTGATCTAATACTCAGAAAGTCTTCTTTATTATTGAAGTGTTATTTTAGGATTCTTTAATAAGTCAGTTTTAAAAAGACCGTTTAAAAAAACTGTGTGGGACATGAAGTCAGTCTCAGCAGACAGAGAGCGCCCTCTGGTGTCATATGAATAGAAGACAGTGAATAAATGAATGCCCGGGTCACTGACCCTGTTGTGGAGGACTCACTCAGATCCTAATTATAGCCCAGCTTTAAAACAAACAGCTGATTACATAAAGTTTTTGTTCTCATGATGAAGCGGACGGTCGTGGTTCATGTTCAGGTTCCTCAGATTTTATGTTTTTATTCTTGAATATTTGAAATAGTTGTAAATTTCTGCAGAAGACAAACAGCTCAGACTTTGTTGGGACAGAGGGAGCAGAGAGGAGGGGTCTGTGACGTGAATGGTTCTGGTCCGCTGTCAAACGGTGCGGTCAGCGGTTGGCCAGGACATACCCTTCCTTCACTCTGAGCCAACTTTGTCACCGTTTGCGTCTCTCTATTGTGAGCGGGCAGCAGCTCCCTCTGTGGGGGGCCCGGCCGCGCTGAAAAGGACGTCCCAACCAAGAGTTGGTCCAACGGGCTGCAGATCAGACCTGAACTTCTGCCTGCTGCAGCACTCGGACCCGTGCTCTGCTGACTCACTCCAGGTCTCTGCCGTCTCAGCGAACTGATCGACCACGCTGCAGGGTGAGTTTCCTTCTTCTTCCTAACGGCCCCGTCGATGCTTCCTGAAGTTTCCTCCTTATTTTTGTTTAAATCTTTATTTTGAGCACTAAGAATCATCAGACTCTCTCTGTCAGTGTTTGTATTTTACCTCCAGGCAGGATGAGACTGACGTTTGGGGCTCCTCAGCCCATGAAGGAGAGCTCCTCCGCCTCTGTCTCTGGTGTTACTGTCGCTCTCTGTCTGCTCACTCTCCTCCTGATGGCGCTCAGAGGACGGAAGAGCCAACACCATCACTCCCAAACCAAGTACCCCCCACCTCCTGGTCCGACTCCCTGGCCTCTTGTTGGGAATCTCCTCCAGATGGGGGAGCAGATCCATCTTTCTCTGACACGTCTGAGGCTCCAGTACGGGGATGTTTTCCAGGTAAAACTTGGAGAAATATATTTTTATTAAAACAGGAATGATCGTGATGATTTCATGATTTTCTGACTTTTCACTCCAGCTGCGTCTGGGATCTCTGACTGTGGTGGTCTTGAGTGGATACTCCACCATCAGACAAGCGTTGGTTCGACAGGGAGAAGCTTTCGCAGGAAGACCTGACCTCTTCACCTTCTCCGCTGTAGCTAACGGGACCAGTATGACCTTCAGTGAGAAGTACGGGCCGGCCTGGATGCTCCACAAGAAGCTGTGTAAGAACGCTCTCAGGTCGTTCTCACAAACTGAACCCAGAGGATCAGGAGCCACCTGCCTGCTGGAGGAGCAGGTCTGTGCAGAGGCGGCGGAGATGGTGGCGGTGATCCAGAAACAGGCCGCCGCAAACGGCGAAACAGCGGGCGTCGATCCGGTGAAGGCCCTGGTGACCTCGGTGGCGAATGTCGTCTGCGCTCTCTGCTTTGGAAAAAGGTACGACTACAACGACAAGGAGTTCCTCACGATCGTTCACATCAACAACGAGGTCCTGAGGATCTTCGCCGCGGGGAATCTGGCCGATTTTTTCCCCGTGTTTCGCTACTTTCCGAGTCCGTCTCTGAGGAAGATGGTCGAACATATTCGCAGGATGAACGGATTTATGGAGCGGAGCATCAAAGAGCACATCAACACCTTCGACAAGGTGAGGAGAGAGAGAGAGAGAGAGAGAGAGAGAGAGAGAGAGAGAGAGAGAGAGAGAGAGAGAGAGAGAGAGAGAGAGAGAGAGAGAGAGAGAGAGAGAGAGAGAGAGAGAGAGAGAGAGAGAGAGAGAGAGAGAGAGAGAGAGGGAGAGAGAGAGAGAGAGAGAGGGAGAGAGAGAGAGAGAGGGAGGGAGAGAGAGAGAGAGAGAGAGAGAGAGAGAGAGAGAGAGAGAGAGAGAGAGAGAGAGAGAGAGAGAGAGAGAGAGAGAGAGACGGCAAAATTAAAAGGGGAACAAAATTAGTTTTTTAAAGTTTTTAGAGAGAAATAAAACTCAGTTTTTTAGAAACGTGGTCTGAAATGTTGGTGATAATGTACATTTTTAAAGGTTTAAATCTCCTAAATTAAAATTCATATTGATGCTTTTTATGATAAACAAAAGACCATCGGCTACAAGAATGATGATTCACATTTTAACCATCAAACATTTCAAACGTTATAAACGTGCATCACAATAATGACCAATTAGAGGTTTGATTTCTGTGAAAAACCGACGACACGAAGGTCATATCAGATTCTCCACAGCCATATGAGGAGGATAGCATGTCTTCTCTGGGTGTTTTTCTCGGTCCTGTCCCTCTAATTTGCCATCTACAGTTGAATCTTGAATGGCGTTCATACAGAAGTAGCTGTGAGTTCAACTGTAGCCAAAAAAATAACAAACAAGTTCCCTGGGAGGGATCTTTGTTCTTGTGCAGAGTGGCTAAAATGTTTGCACGCACGCTAATTGGGAATTAGCATCCCACTGGAAGACACGTGTCCAGCTATGTAACCGTCTCTTTTTAAGTCACTGCTGTTATGAATTTGTACATGATGTGAATAAAGATAAATCGTTTCAGAAATGGAAAACTAATCTTAGATTTGATTTGATATTTGTGTGTTTTTGCAGAACTGTATCCGGGACATCACAGACGCTCTGATCTCACTGTGTGAGGACCGAGAGGAAAATCAGGAAACCTCTTTACTCTCCAACACTCAGATCATTCACACGGTGATCGACATCTTTGGAGCAGGTACGACTGTAAACGGATTAAAAATAATAAGATTAAATGTTTTATTATAATGAGGAAAGTCATCCTGTTTTGGTTGTTTGTGGTTTTATTTTTAAGGGTTTGACACCATCATCGCTGGTTTACAGTGGAGCCTCTTGTACCTGATCAAATTCCCAAACATCCAGGACAGAATTCACCTGGAGATAGGTGAGCAGCTTTTCAAGATCTTTATGTTATTTAAACAACAGTGAAAGAGTTTAAACTGTTTGAATAAGAGTCCTTTTTAAAAACAGAAGTAATTATTAGGGCTGGGACTCGATTAAAAAAAATAATCTAATTCATCAGAGGCTTTGTAATTAGTTAATCGTGATTAATCACATTAATACAGTGACCCATAGAGTTTGTTAGTTTTCTGAGGTGGATTTACTCGTCCTCGCTCTGAGTCCACTCAGGTGTGGGTCGCTGTACTAAGAGTCGGACTAACGTTTGCTTCCTCACGAGCTGCAACATGTTTAGCGTTCAGGTGATGCCAGAGGTGATATTTTTTTTACGTAGGTGGTAGGGGAAGGTCCCGCCTCCTTCGCCTCTGATTGGCTAGAAAAGCTGTAAACGTCATCACACGCTCAAGCTGAACACGGCTGTCGAACATCAAACAGAACATTACAGAACATTATCGCAATTCTGAATCTCCTAACCTTAACCTGACAGACGATGAGGAACAACCAATCAGAGCCCAGCACTTCAAAAAAAAAAAGAATCGCCATAGCGGAGGGTTATACCTGTTGTGGTGAAATGCTAATTCTATTTTCGCATAGTTTGGAATCACTGCTGCACTCGATCACATTAGTGTGCACCGGTATAAACGGTATACCTGAAACTCGTCCAGTGAGAAACGTTCTGCGGGGCAAAAATACAGTAGGGGTGAATAATATATGTTAACATTTTTAACGAGATAATATTACTATAATTAATCTATCACAGTTACTGCGTTGAAGTCCTGGCCCTCACAGTTATATAAAAATAAACATGCGTGATACTTATACTATCCTCATAAAACAGCAGAGATGAAGAAGCAGCAGCAGCTGTTAGTGTGCTAGCTTTAGCATCCCTCTGAGAGATTGTTTTAAAAACTGACATTACAGATTTATTATAATTCTAAATTTACACAGATGTGATGTGGTCTGTCTTTGAGTAGATGTTTGCTCTTTGCCCACATTCAAAGAATAACTAAAGATGAGACGGAATAAAAGTGTGGATGACCTTTTCTGAATGTTAGGGAGGAGGTAGGTCTTTACTGAAGTTATCAGCCTTAAGTGAAGGAAGCTGGACAGAGAAATCAAGTTTTAAAGCTCTGACTAAATAAACCCCCGAGGCTCTTCACAGCGGAGCGAGCAAACCAACGCCATCAGCTGGAGAGCCGAGAGAGTCTCCATCGAGCTCTTCAGGGCGTCCGAATACTCTGATCTCAGTTTTACTCTTAAAGATTTAGGAAGTTCAGTTTCAGACATGACTTCATGTGAACCTTTATTACTCCTTAATCATAAAGGAAAGTGAATTTAGGAAAAGGACTCATATTTATGGAAAAAGACAGAATATGATGAGAAAGATGGTTGGACCCAAAACCAAACCTTGAGGGACACCACGAGTAAGAGGCGGTCCCAGAAAAGCAGCAAAGTCTATGAAGTTCTGTGTTGTTCCCGCCTTTTCTCTCCTTTCCTCGGTGTTACTGATGAGTTTTTTTATTATTTAGTTTACTGTAAATATTGTAATATCATATTTTATGGCCACAGAAATCATGAGGTGAAAATCCGACACGGTGACGTCATTAATGCCGACGAAGTGAGGCTGATTAGTGTTAGGAATGCGTTCAGTCATAAAGGGCAACTCATTGTGTTTTTGGGACAAACCACTAATGAATGAAGACTGGTGACGTCTGGAGAAGAGAGGAATTAAACTAATGATGCAGACCGGAGTGAAACTGAACTCCCATCTTTTAAAACGAGCTCAGAGGAAACTGAAATCTGCAGCAGATCACTTCCATGTAACTAACTCATTATCACACAGGAGTAGCCAGGCCATGTCTATTAGGAAGTATCAAAGTTTTCAAGCAGAATCGACATCATAAAAACCCCACAATGGCCAACCCGATGCCCCTGAGGAACAGACAGCCACTGGAGAAACTCACAAAAGATCAGTCCAATTTGCTGACGCCAGAGCCACTTTTGAAGTGGGTCGACAGAACCGTCTGTTCCAAGGCACGTTGCATTTTCACACAGAGAGAGTGAGGGAGGGGAGGGGGGTGAGAGAGAGAGAGAGAGAGAGAGAGGGAGGGGGAGACACTACGAGGAGACAGAGTGATTCAGAACGAGGGAGCCGAGCACAAACAGCCAGAGACAGAAGGAAAGGCTGGAGAGTTGTTCCAGATCGACACAAAGGCCGAAACACGCAAAGCATCGATCACACGCAGACGAGCAGTCTTCAGTTCTGCATCACGTTCAGTTTTCTGTGATTAAAACAGATCAATAAATAACCTGATATTCATTTAAACAGAAACCTCATTAATAAACGAGTCAGAGCAGAAGTCTGGGAGCGTGGTCATTTATAAATACTCACATTATTATAAAAGTCAAAACAGAAATCATCTGAATTTTCCAGGATAGACTCCTCTAACTCTTCATTTTTAGATCTAGAATAAAAATCTAACTACGATGTAGAAAGGTAGCAGAAAAAAGAATTAAAATAAACGATAATAATAATTGATTTGGTATTGACAAACCAACCTTGGAGCTGAATTAGTGTGATCATTTTCAGGGTCTAGATAAGCCGTCTAAATATGTTTCATACAGAATAAAAACTCCTCGTCAGTTTTAATGTTTTTTTTCTCTCTTAGATGAAAACATCGGCTCAGCCAGACTCCCTCTGTTCTCAGACAAAGCCAAGATGCCGTTCACAGAGGCGTTCATTTATGAAGTGTTTCGTCACGCTTCCTACGTCCCGTTCACCATCCCTCACTGGTGAGACAAACAAACAAACAAACAAACAAACAAACAAACAAACAAACAAACAAACAAACAAACAAACAAACAAACAAACAAACAAACAAACAAACAAACAAACAAACAAACAAACAAACAAACAAACAAACAAACAAACAAACAAACAAACAAACACGGTCCATTAAAGTTGTTTACAGTGTAACTCAAACTCTGTTTTTTCTCCGTCCAGCACCACCAGAAACATCACCCTGAACGGATATTTCATCCATAAAGACACGTGTGTCTTCATCAACCAGTTTCAGGTCAATCATGATGTGTGAGTGGATGTTCACAGTTTTCTCTTCATTAATGTACCGTAGAGACGTTCACAACAAATATGATCTCATGATGCCTTTAAGGAGAGCAGGTCTAAACCAACCCTTTCTTTTTTATCTTTTACAAAGATTGAGTCCCGTCTTTTAAGATCAGATCTACTCCTATCCCATTTTGGTCTCTTAGTGGAGAAGAAAACCTAGGCAGAAACCTCGAGCAGAACCAGACTCATGTTAGTTTACTGCTGGGACTGTGATGAGATTACAAAGAGGGTGGAGGGACACACAGATACATGGAGGATTTTTAGTGAACAGTTCCTCTTCATTTGTTCCTGTTAATCTGGGTTATAAAGATCTTCGTGTTTTTCACCTCCACAGAGATCTCTGGGGTGACCCCGACACGTTTCGACCTGAACGCTTCCTGGGTTCTTCAGGAGTCCTCAACAAGGAGCTGACAGAGAAGGTTCTCATCTTCGGTATGGGGAAGAGACGCTGTCTCGGCGACGGATTTGCACGTTTAGAGATGTTCATCTTCCTGACCACGCTGCTCCACGGGCTGCAGATCGAAAACGTTCCGGGTCAGGAGCTGGACCTCAGCACTGACTTTGGTCTGACGATGAAACCTCGTCCGTACAGGATCAGGGTCTCCTCCAGGGTTTAGTGTGTCCAAAAACACAAATGATACTCAGTGTGGAAGGTCTGTAAATTATGAAGAGTCATTATATCAGGATGAGGTTTAAAGGGACATTTCACTGATTTTGAGGTGAGGTCAATAGTAGGTGATGAATGATGGTCGGCTTGACTTCTTTACTGAGACACAACAGAAAACCTGAACGCAAGCTGGGCTACAGTTTTCTGTAGATGAGATCAAATTTAGTCAATTCTGAGTGATTCTGACCCGAACACTCGTCTCAGATCCACTCAGCAGAACTTTGACATCAGAAAACCTTCTTTTCACACATGTTCATGTTCCTCCACATGCAGCATTATCAGCTAATCAGGTCTGTGATGTACGAGCCCCTGATAGTTTGTGAATTTTAATTAATTTTTACTTCTTAATTGTCTATAATGTTCAGCGCTGAAGGCCTCAGAACTCTGACTCTGAAGAAACTCGAACATTCAGCTGAAGACGGCGGGTAACAGACAGTGTTCAGTACAACAGTGGACTCTGGCTGTCTAACATCAGTCTGGTCCTGCTCAAGGTTTCTGCCTGTTAAAGTCTTTCCTTGCCGCTGTCACTCATGTTAGATGAGATGAGGTCATATCTGTCTCATGTTTAGGTCTGATCTTGATCATTTATCAAACAATGGGCGTGGTCTAGACCTGCTATTGTTTTTGGAAAGCATCTTGAGATAACGACTGTTGTGATTTGGTGCTATATCATTAAAATTTGATTTGATTTTTGGGAACTGCTGTGGGAATATTTGGATTTTCCACGGGTGTTACCAAGGCTGTTACCTGGACATCCAGGTAACCACCAGGTAACCTGAGATCCCTCCTCCCTCCTGTTTGTGACCTGAGTCGCCTTTTTCCTCCCTAAACTCTGCTCCATAAAGGCGTCCACAGTAAACAGAATATCATCACTGCTGTCAGAATCAGCTGATCAATGTTGTGCAGGTGGAAGAACATGTGTGGTGTTGTTGTTTCCTCAAATACTGCAAAAAATTGAACTTTGTGATGGAAAACGAAGAGCTGAAAAGTTTATCAGGAGTTTAAACTCAAACGGAGAAAAGTGTAAAACGCTGCAGCAGACTCAGACTGTAGCTTGTGTACAGGTGAACATCCATTCAGCGGTTCACCTGTAACTCACTGAACCTCACCTCAGAAACTCTGAACTCCCTCTAAGACCTCCGTTTTTACCTCAGAGTTTCTATTAAAACATTAAAAGGGAAAACTACTTTATGTGTTCATGTGTGTCAAAGTGTTAAATCTAAACTGCAGTATTGTAGCCTGTATGTAACTCTGTATTGTACACAGTATTAATGATTATTGAGGGTCGTTCAAAGTGCGTCTGTGCTTTTACTTTGAAGGGTAGAGTCACGCCGCTTTTGTGTCCCGCCACATTAAAATTGAAAGTAGCTGAAAACTAATTAAAAGCCTTTATCTAAAGTTATTAGCTTCAGTTAAAGACTGAAGGAGTTTGTTTTAGATCAGCGCTTCAGGCCTCAAACTGTGATCACGCAGGGTTCATCCTCACTCTCCTTCTCTCCTCTGTTTTCTTCCTGTCCTTACTCTCCTTCCCTACATCCTCCCTCTCTTCTCCTCTTCTATTTTTAGTCGCTGTAAACAGTTCAGTAAACACATCTCCCATTTCTTCTGACACAAAAATAAGTCCTAAGACTTACAGTTTGGGTCCCTTGTCTCCCTGAACATCCCCTGACCCTTCAGAGCTGCATCCTCCCACACAGACAGATTAGATTCAGGCCCAGACGTCCATGAGGGTGGGACAGAGGACAGACAGAGAGTGTGAAATCAGCCTTATCTCATCTTATAAGCTGAGTGTAAAACATGCATATGGACAAAAGAGAACGGCGAAGAAGAAAAATTATATGAAGTTATGAAGTCCTGACGACGTTATCGCTTTTAAACTTCAGTTCACCCGAGTGAAGAGCGACTTCACATCAGAACGGTTTTACTGACGAGTCATTTTATTTTTCCAAGGATTCAAACTTCCGTCTTTATCGTCGGGCAGAAACGATTCCTCGGATAACTCGAGTAACACGAGTCTTTTTTTAAAACCAGACTGTGTCTTTGTGAATTACAACTTTCAGATCTACTGTGTGTTCTAAATACCTCTAATAACCTTTATTTGTAATCAATAAAACTAAAACACTGAGTCCAGAAATTAAACTCAACATTCTGTAGTGATTAAATTATTAATGTTATGGTGCACTGAGAGTCTGTGTCTGTATATTAAATAAATAAGATTAAATTTGTGTTTAATCTCGGCATGTGAGGAGCTATCTGAACATTACTCTGTACTCTCTCTTGTGGTTTTAATGCTCATGTCATACTGTACATTTCTTGTAAGTTTAAGTAAAAATACTTTTGAAACATGTTTTTATTATTTCCATGTTTTTTTCTCACATATAAAGTTAGAAAATGCAGCAGAGTCTTCTCCTGACCGCATCAGGATTCTTTCTTCTGCCAGTACCGGAGTCGCCTATTGACCATTTTTCTGGACAGAAGTCAAAGTTTGACTAATTCTCATTCTTTAAAATATCAGCAGAAAAATATTCATGAGGCATCTTCTAGGTAAATTAATTAAATAAAATATAGAATAGACAGACATAAATAATGTACACAAAACAAATATAATAATAATAAGAGGTGTAAACAAACAGGAGAAGGTAAAGAAAAAGTACTGTACCTGTTAGTAAGAGCACCATGATGGAAGTAATGGGTGAGATAATGGGATAAAATGGGATAATACATAGTATGATACATATGTATACTATCATATAATGTGAATGTTTTTACTAATTTGTGATTTGCATTGTCCCCATCAAATAAATAATAAAATTACATCATCATATACAAAAACACGTCATTATAATAAGTTAAATGTAAGTTTACATCATAAACCCTCATCTGTCTGTTCTTGCTAATAAAGCAGAACTGCCCTCACCAAGATGGCGGATGCACTAAAGTTGATGAACACAGTCAGTGCGTCGCCTACGTATATGTCTGTATGTCAGATCCTCTTCTATTTAAGTTACTGATGACGACAATGGATTTCTAAGTCAACGATTTTAACAGGTAAATCAACAGGTAGATATGGAAGTTTAAACTCTCTTCAGGGTTAGACGAGGCTCTGACATAAACACATGATCCCTGATTTTCTAACTGTGACGTCCAATAACTGCAGTGAAGTGATAATAACCGTCAGTCGGTCAGTGTGCGGTCGTGTATCCAACCTTGTGCAGCGGTAAATTGGTTTGTGTAGATTAATTAGTAAAATACACTGTGAGGGTGAGACCTCGGCCCCTCTCTCTGTCCTCTCGGAGTCTTTGTGTTTCACTTTGTTCTAGCTCACAGAGCTCACAGTATGGCTCAAACATTAAAGAATAACAAATCACAGCCAACATGTGCTGAGAGCCTCCGATCTAAAGCAGCCAATGAAACCCAGCACGCAACGCCAGGAACCAGGGCTGGAACGGGGCGCAGGGCTTCAGGGGCCCGCAGCGTGGATTAATGCTGCTGAGAAGTGAAGACCGGGCCCACATGCAGACTAAAGACACAGGTCTATGGTGACATGGTGCTGAGAGGGAGACAAGAAACGAGTCAAAAACCTCTCAATCCAGCAGCTGAGTTAATATTTAATCTAGAGTCGACTCTACAAAGAAGCAGCGTGATCTTATGTTGGTGTAACGCTGACAAACGCAAAACTCTACAGGTTTAAGTTTTTATTTAAAGGATGTTTCAGTATTTTTGAAGTGAGGCTGTCTGAGTGACATAAATGTATTTGAAGATCAGCTTTGACTCTTTAAAGCTCCTGTGAGAAGTTTATTGATATTCACAATTTTAACTTTTTATAATAAAGGGGGGAAAAAAAATCAAGGACAAGCCCAACGACGTTAATGCTGTAGTTTCTAATGCTGAACAGAGGTGCGAGGGGGTCGATGTCAGAGAAGCAGCCAAAGAAACAGCTGTTTTATATTTCCTCCAAAGGAAGAAGTGGAGAAACTTCTGACATAACAGCAGAGCAGGAGAGATCCCAGCTCACCTGGGGGTTACCTGGTGATTCAGGTGTGTAAACTGTGAGCTAACGCCCTCAAACAGAGAAAACTCTGGTCTGTCAGGACTGAGACTTCGTACCAACAGGAACTCTGAGTCTCCAGATCTAGCAGTTCAACCATCACCAACCAGAGTCCACAGCTGTACTGAAGACTGAACCCTGTTTGATACCAACTCTCTTCAGCGTTCAGGAGTTCAATCAGAAAATCACACTTGGATAAAAACACGTGTCTGCAGACTGAGCTTTCTTATTCTGAAGTCCTGATACTGTAACATGTAGAGCGTCGACTTTATTAAACCAAGATGATCGCTCAGACTCCGCCCCCTCTAGCCTAGCTTGCATGCAGGTTCGTACCAGCAGCTCCTCATCGAAGAGGCCGAGCTGACCGGCTGATTCACTTACTAATGACATCAAAACACTGAAACATCCCTGAACGACGGCCTGTAGTTTCCATCCTGAAGCTCTAATTTTAGTCACGCCCCTGCCCATCTGAGAAACAGAAATAGGACGGGGTCTTTGCGTGTAGGAGAGCGCTGGTTCCCAGTGTTTTGGTTTGACCCTGGAGCAGGAGGAGGTCTCTTCAGACTTCACCTTTCAAGCTCTAATAGGCAACAAACTCGCCGGCTGTTTTCACAAACAAAAGGAGGCAAACTGAATGACCAACTGACTTCCACGCTGCCTCTACAGTTACACACGGGGCCCTTTACTGTTCTGAGGGGGCCTCATTCTATAGAGTCGGGAGGCAGCACCCATTAACAATCCGCACGCAATCCTGTGAACGCAACACTGAGTTTGACCACGATGATGTCATCATCACAGCGGTGAAATAACGTTCAAGTTCAGTGTGTTTAAGATCCGACAGTAAAGGTTTGTTGTTGTTTTCTGATGATCACATGGTCACTCTGATTTCATGGATGATAGAAACTCTCTTAGATTAACGAATCGACATTCCTGAAGTGTCGGCAGGTAAAGAAGAAAATTCATTAGAGAACCACAACAAAAAAAAGTCGGGTCTCTGTCACATTCATGTTTATTAGATTTAATGAAATGTTGAGTTCTAGTAACTAAAACATAAAAGTGAAGATGCTGTCATCAGTCTTGTTAATGAAAAGTCAGTGTTGTGGTCGTTGGTGTTTGTGTGTACTCATCAGTGTGAGTTTGTTTCTGCACATTTCTCCTGATCCACATCATCGTCGTTGTTGCTGTTGTAGATCAGTTTGTTGTCACTGTTAGACACTCAGAAGATGATATAATGAAACATTACAGAGTTTTTTAATGACCCGTGTTCAGGAGAAGATCAGCAGCTTCGTCCTCGGGTCTTCAGAGTTCATGTCCTCTAAGATAATGATCCAAGTTTGACTTTTACCTTCATGTTGTCCTGACTTTAAATGTCCTCCTCCTCCACCGTCTGTCCTGACCTCAGCTTCACGATCACCTGAAGAACAGAAACAGCTGTTTGTATTTAATCGTACTTGAACATATAAACTTGTATTTTCAGCCTCAGTCTCACCTCTTTCAGCTGTGCGATCTCTTTGCTGTCCACGTTTTTCTGAGCGTTGTTGGTTATGGCTTTCACTCTGGTTGCATATCTGGAAGGTTCAGAGAGTCCAGGTTTACTTTGGAGTTCAGAACTAAATACCTGATGAAGGTTTCTGTCTCGTTCTCCTACATTAGAGACGTGAGGGTCTCCTCCAGGTTTCCCTCTGATGGAGAGATGTTTACGATCATGAGAGTTTTGGCGTTTCCACCCAAGGAGTCCTGCATCACCTGAGAGAGACGACACACATGCATCACCTTGGACTGACCTCTAATGTTTCAGTGGATAAAATCACAGGTAGCTTCATCACCTGAGTCAGTTTGCTGTTCCTGTACGGCACATGTGGCAGCTCCGCCGACAGCGCCGATATCACGTCCCCCAGAGCGCTCAGAGATTTGTTGATAGAGTTCGCCTCCTGCAGCCGGAGGAGAGGAGAGTTTAAAGGATCCATGAAGGATGTCTGATACTTCCATGGTCCAGTACTGATGTAACGTATGAACAAACCTTCAGCTGGTGGTCCTTGGCACCGGTCTTGGCCGCTCTCTCGCTGCCTGCCAGATCCACCAGACTCAGCTTCCCAGTGCTCACGCTCCCGTTGGTCAGGTTCCTGCTCTCCACCATGATGCCAACAATGAGATGAGAGCGAGAACTCTCCACGTTCATTTCTTGGGAAGCAAACAACACAAAAAAAAAAAGACCCTGAAGGGATTAAAACTTCTGCGATTTTTACAACAAGACCCGGATCTTTAAAGCAGCCATGCCTCTACAACATCCACAAACACACGAATGAAAATTCACTCCTCATGTACTGTGTTCTTTTACAACAACTGAGCTGTGAAAACTAACGCCGTACTTTGGACCAGAGTGTTTGAACGTTTAGTGATTCTGCAGCCGGCCTCTCAGGAACCACAGGTCTGAACACTTTCACATCAGCTGAGTTCCCCTGTATTCTGATGAACCCTGGACAGTATCCTTGTGAATTCATCTTAGGCCCGAACTACACGAATGCGGATATATTTCAAACCGCACTTATTAATGTCCGATTAGGCCTCCCTACCACACCAAAACGGGAGTTTGGAACACTCAAACCGGATAAATCTGAATCCGGAAAAACAAGTGGAGAAATAAAAAAATATCTGTATCCCGTATCCGTAGTGGATTCGTGTGGTTGGACTTTTACGGATCGATGACGTCAAATCGCAGCTCGCGCATGCGAATTAAAAAGAAAAACAACAACAACAATGATGGCGGACAGACAGGGTATTCTTTACGCTTGTTTTGTCCTTTTGGGGCTAATTTCAGCCTTGCAAGTGAACCTTGTTTTATACAATTACATCGAGCAGTCAGCCAGCTCACAGACGCGTCTGCTGCAGCCAATACTTTTATTGGTCACATGGTCCGTCACATGGATTCGACGCACTAGCGTAGCTTCCGCAAACAATGCATGACGCATCACGCTGTTACGATTCATCGGCCAATCAGGTAGCTTTGTTACTGAATGTTTTTTTAAGCGGCACCAGATAGGATTGAGTTCGAAGGCTACGTGTGGACGCAGATATTTTTGAGAACTAACACGTGTGGACAGATACATTTATTTAGACGGGAGTACAAAAATATCCTGATAAATAAATATCTATATACGTGTAGTTCGGGCCTTAGTTTATTTCAACATCATAGTGTTCGTATAAAATCAGCTGTTATTCCCTCCACAGCCTGAACTCTGTGCAGTTACTGTCCCCTCAGAAACAGGGAGGATATCGTGCAGCACTTTGGTTTTTCTGACAGAAATGTTCCAGTTAATTACAGACTGTCTTATTTAAATGCAGCACATGAGAAACTGGAGTGAGAAGGTAGTTGATGTTCACTGAGTTTTAACGGACCTGAACTGTGACTCTGATCTGATGGAGTCGCTCTCAGTAACCCTCCATCACCTGAACTTTGACTAAATCTTGTAGATGATCTGCAGATCTCCATCAAACAAAGATCCTCCTCTTCCTGCTGATCCTCTTCTTGGCAGCTCTCAGTAATGATGTACCTTCTGCCGTCCCCTCACACTGACTGTAAGTAACACAATTAATCCAAACCATTTAGCAGGGGCCAGTATGAACTGGGCGCCGTGGCACGGTACTGGGGACTCACTGGTGGCGGAGATGTGTCGGTTGGCGCAGGCCTGCTGAAACAGAGCGTAGAGCTCCTGCGCACTAGAAGCCTCCTTTGTCTCTGCTCCTTGTGCGAACACAACCCCCTTTCTGTTCCTCTTGATCTCCACTCGCCTGGCCTGGCTGTGGGACTGAGGCTGAACGTGGGCCTCTCCGGCCTGGCTCACAAAGAGGTCCTGGAGCCTGTCGTTGTAGAGCTCCAGCATGTAGGCCGAGACCTGAGGAGCACAGAGGAGGACGGGGGAGAAGTTTCTAACCTGAAGATCAGATCTGTTCACCTCCTCCACTCAGGACCTCCTGTCTGTTACCTTAAAGTCAAACTTGGTGCTGTTCTCCTGGATGAAATCAAATATGGCGTTAAAAGATCTCGGTATGACCCCGAGGTTCTTCTGCTCTTTGTCCCCCACCATGGTGAAGGTCTTCCCCGATCCTGTCTGACCGTAGGCGAAGATGCAGACGTTGAAACCATCGAGAGCCGACTGGATCAGCCTGTGGAGGAAATACACCCTGAGCTGGGTCTGAGCTACAGCTCCACGTGACTCTTTAATAAGAGTCTATTGAACTATTAAAGGGATATTTCACTGTTCTTGAAGTGAGACTGTATAAGTTACAGTAGTAATAGTTTTATCTACAAAGGGTGGACCCTTTAATAAGGTACTGTAGAGAACCTTTATGCAAGCTAGGCTACAGTTTTCTGCAGACACGTCGACTCGACCAAACAGCTGATCAGACGAGCACGGCTGTGTTTCACCTGCAAAGTAGACAAAAATAAATTCCCCTTCCGATGTTAAAGTGCTAAAAAAAAAAAACACTTAAACCGAGACGAGAGTTCGGGTCAGAGTCTCTAAAAATGAGCTCAGTTTGACGGCACAGACTGGAGTCCAGCTCGGTCTACAGCAGGTTCTCATATATAAGGGTCCTTTATCTTTTGTGACTAAAACTCTCAACAACAAACTCAAACAACTTCACCTCAAAAATTGTGAAATATCCCTTTAAAGTTACACAGGTGACTGTACTTAACATTTGCATAAACTGGGTATCACTATGTACGTGTTTTTATGTTCTTACACATTTGGATTTACTTTCATGTAGACCTCTGAAGATCCCGTGTCGGGCCCTGTCCTCACCTGTGGGTGTCCTGAAACAGTTCCTCCTGAGACGCTTCAGCGCTGAACACTTTATCGAACTGAAACTCTCTCTGCCCACGAGGAGTTTCAACCGTTACCGAGAAATCGTCGAGTTTCTCCAAAACGACGGCGTCACCCTGGGCGACCTCAGTTCTGCTCACGGGTCGAATCCGACAGAAGACTCTGATTTTACCTGAACAAGAAAAAGACATCGATGAATGTCCTTGAACCCTCAAATAAAGACCATCACAAGATTTTCAAGGCCGGCCTGGAGGATTTAAAACCTTCAGGAGTAAAATCAAAGTCCTACATTTGAGGGTTGATGGTCTCACTCTGAAGTTGACTCAGTCTACCTTTCATGTCCTCCACCATGTTGTAGTACTTCTTCCTCAGAGTCCTCTCTGTCGTGTAGTTCTCAATGATCTTCTTCTTCTCCTCTTTAATTTGCTTCAGCTTGAAAAAACAGAACAAACATGAATTCATTAAAAACATTTATTCAGATCTACGACACAAAAAAGTCTAAAAATCTCAGTTGAAGATGCAGACGAGACGCGTCAGAAGAAAGGAGAAAGGTTTTCTGTTGGAGTACCAGGAGCAGCTTCTTATAACCACCATCTTTGTTTCAGAGACAGAAAACTGACCTGATCCTGTAACAGGAGGAGCTGCTGACCAACGCTCTTAACTCCGTCTGCGGCTCGACTCGTCCCTCGTCCCAAAATGTCCTCCAGCTCTGAGACGTCATCGATGTCTGACCACAACAGACATAAAGAAATCTTGATATTCATGTTCACAGCAGCTGTTAATCTGACGCACAGGGAGGAGTGATAAATGTGGCGTCTGATAGTCAAAGGACTCCTGATGCTCGGTGTGAAACTTCATTGTTTGGTTGATTTCTCTGCGCTGCATGTTCAGCTGGTTAAACAGACATTTATTCACCGTTCATGTGGGGACTCTCTCCACTTCTGATAAAGTCCAACGCCAAGAGACAGATCTCAAACCCTCGCACTGTTTCTTGGAGTGAAGACAAACTCGATTCATCGAAACTGAGAAGAGCAGAGAAACCAGACGGATGAGGCACAAAAACTGAACCTGTTCCTGGAGGGGTCAGACTTCATGTAGATAAACCAATAAATCATAGATCATGGATGATCTCTAACCCTTCTTGGTCAGCAGTCTCATCTTCTCTGTTGTCTCCGCCTCCTTTAACCACCTGTAGACGGTCCAGTTGGTCTTTGGCCTCGACCAGAGCGAGCCGGTTCTCCTCAATCATCTGGACCAGAAGGTTTCTGGTCTCAGCCGCTGCAGTGCAGACAGTGTGAGCCTGGAGAGGAGAAGGAACCAGAAAGGGTCGTATCTGAGAGTATTTGGAGTTTTTCAGCAGCACAGACGTGGGAGTTTATCTGTCCGACGGTCAAACACCTGATGGATGAGTGTCGGCAGGAGGACGCTGCAGGGGGGCAGAGGGACGGGGGGGACGGGGCTCCTCTCGGCCTCCAGCAGCTCCGTCAGCTCTCTCTCCCTCTGATATAAACTCTCCTTCAGCTCCTCCAGGCGAGCTTTAGCGCCCTCCAGTGGCTGGTCTGAGTCATGGCAGGCCTGCACATGAACCCACTTTAAAGGGTCAGTTCAACAAAAATCACAGCGACATATTTACACATTTAAACTCAGTGAACAGGTTTGATTGTTTTTTGTTGTTTCTAATTCATTAAATCGATTCCTTCTATTTCCCTCTGCTGTTTCTAACCTGATATCACTTTGTTGGTCCTCCTGGTCTCACTTTATGTTTTTGGGCTTTTCATTTCATATATCATATTCAGTGTTGCTTTGAGTTGTTCAGGTTCAGGTCGTGGTGCTGAGATTTATTTATTTCTCTGTTTCTTCTGGGCTCTTTCTTTGTCCTTGTTTATATTCATGCTTGGATGTTTCAGGACTTTGTGTTTTAAAACGTGTAAAGTCAGTGTTTTTATTAATAGTAGTAGTATAATTTATATTCTACTGTTGGTCCACAGGAGGTTTCTGTTTCCTGCTTTATAAACTTTGATAATCTGACAGTATTTGTGTCTCGTATTTGCTGCAGATTACCGTCACTGACTCAAACCCACCGCTGACTCTTGCTCTCCTTTGTCCCCGGAGTTTCCACCTTCCTCCTCAGCTGCTTCCTGCTGCTCCTGCGCTGACACCAACAACATCTCTTGGACTTTTCCCACTTCCTGTCGGGCCATTTGGAGCTCCTGTATCGCTGCTCAGATTCACAGGAAATGAGCAGAGGTATGTGACATGAACAGGTGAAGGATCCTGCAGGTGTTCGTGTCGTAAAGGTGTGCAGACTCACTGGAGGCCTGGTGGCTGTGCAGGACGTCCAGCCTGTTGGAGAAAACTTCCAGCATTTTACTCTGAAAGGGGAAATGAGAGCAAAGTCACGGTGTCAGAAAAGTCTAAAGTTGTATTCAAAGTGGTCACAAGAGGGCGCTGTAACACAGAGAGAGACATGAGTATGTAAGGCCTGCCAGATTTGTTCCAACCTTCTCTCTGTGCCACTGCAGGGCCTCCTCTTTACTCCTCCTCCTCTCCGCTCTCTGCTCCTCCTGCAGCCGCTCGATCTGCAGCGTCAAGGCCTGCAGGAAACACAACCAGGCGAGGACGGTTATATATACGCTCCAAAGAGAAAAAAACAACATCTAACGGCTGAGATATATAATCTGTAACATGCACACCAACGTGACGTCACCACGAGTTAGAACAGAGTGTGCCAGAGGAGCAGGAGGGAGGAGATCAGAGACAGAGGAGGAGAGAAAGACAGAGGAGTGATGGAGGGAGAGACTGAAGAACAAACTCTACAGACCGAGACTCTCCTCTCCCAGTCCTCCTCCTTCTTCTCCACCTTCTGCTGATAGACGTCCAGGATCCTCCTCAGAGTGTTCAGTTTGTTCTGGTGGTGAGATCTGATCCTCTGCACGGTCCACTCCTGACCACACAGGACAAGATTTAACACACACACACACACACACACACACACACACGCACGCACGCACACACACACACACACACACACACAGCAGATACCTGATTCTCTCGCGCGGTGACCTGAAAGTTCTCCTCCAGCTCCTGAACCATCTCCAGGTGTTTCCTCTTCATGGTCTCCATGTCTTCAGCGATCTGCTCAGAGGAGGAACAAAACTCAGTGTCCCGACACCGTCAGTCAACAATGAAGCTGGAAACACGTCCAACTTGTTAACACGTTTGAAGGAACGTAAACATCACCGCCACGTGGGAAAAAAAAACTGCCTCTGGCGTTTTAACAGATCCTACCTGCTAATTCAGAGATAAATTACAGAGATGAACACAGATGTTTATGGTGGTGGAGCTACGATCATGATGAGAGATGAAATAATAGAATATCCACAATGTTTATCCAACTGTCTGCATATCCAACTGTACGCTAACGGAAACAAACGTCTGCCTTGATTTGATATAACTCTTTTCTGGCGTTGGTTTTGCTGTGCAGAGTTCACCTGTTGTAGTTCAGGAGTTTTGACCAATAAGAATCAAGTATCCAACACATTCAGGTGATTGGCTAGAAAGTCAGGTAATAAATGTCAAATGACCCCTTGGTAGTCCAGAGTAGGCTTTCTCATGGTCCTGGGTCCTGTTTGATTTTCTGTCTTCATTCATTTTCTATATGAGAACTTATTAAATACCTTACTGATACTGATGACACCATTATCTGAGTTTTTACAGACTTTCATGTTGTTCAGTCTCATCAGCAGAAACTTAAACTTGTTTCAAACTCAGTTTTTGTTTTTCTCAAGTGAACGTCTCACCGATCTTAACGTCTCAGAGAAAGTCTATCGTTGTTTACTATCAGCAGCACTCGATCAGGTCATATTTACAGCAAGCTCTTCATGGATTATTACCCGGTTAAATAAATAAATAAATGATGATCAAACGCCCTCCGGGGTCACACCAGCACCATGAGGTCAGCATGTGAGAGTGAGCCAGAAGAGGGCGGAGTCTCAAACAGGCGCTCTATTGTGTGTGTTTGTGCTGTAAAAGTTATACTCAACTGTGGAGTTCGAGTACTCTGTAAAAACTCTGATGTGAAACAAAAGTGGACCTGTGGAAATTTTAGTTAGCATAAACCACACTGACCAGTAGAAAGCAGAAACAAGGACTGAACTGACCCTGAAGTAAAAGAGGAAACACCTTCTTTCTTTAAAAAGACCTGATCAGACCGTCACGCTCAGAGAGGTCAGAGTTTTACCTGAGTGATGTAGAGTTCAGCTGACTCATAGGGGATGTAGATCTTGACCTCTTGTGACCTCTGTGCCTCTGCAGGCGGAGCTGCATTACTGCTGTCAGACAGCTGAGACTCTGATGATCCTGCAGAAATAACACGGTGAGCTCCAGCAGACACACAGAGACACAGAGGGATGAAGAGGACACTAAAGTCAAACATGTTCTCGTGTTTCTACAGCACCTCTGTTGGCTTCTGGTCTGGGGGGTTTCCTGCGATCTGCTCCAATCCAGCGTCTGAAAGCGGCCCACTTCTGTGTCCACGAAGTTTTGTGAGGGATGACGGCTTGAACAGGAAAACAAATGTCCGGAAACATTTGAAAACAAGTCAGAGAGAAAAAAGAGAGGTGTGAGAAAGACGACCAACAATCAGAGTTTAACCGTCTGAAGTTATTCCTGAAGATTTAACAGGCTGAGTCATCAAAAACACACCGTTAACAAAAAAAACATTTAAATGAAAATCAAATTTATATAAACGAGGTTGACAGACAAATGTCATTGGTGAATATTTAGTGATTTAAAACATTTCTGTTGTGTTTCAGGAAGTTTTAATGTCTTTATTTAGACGACAAGAAGCTGGTTAGAGGAGGAGACTGAGAAACGGACCAACGAGCTGAACTCTATTTAACTTTAATTTCACTGAAGGGACACTGCTTTAAGATTTCTACACCAGGATGAAACCAGACGACTGTTCTTTATCTTTATCACACTTTTAAAAGGTCCAGATCCAGAGGACACTGTTTTATGATTTAACTATGGGCAGAATTCATCGGGCATCCAGGGGCCTTTTTTTAAACTTCTTTAATTTGATATGATCTGTGTTCGGGACACGGTTTTTAGTTTTACTGGACAGAGGCAGAGATACAGATGTCACTATTATATCCACTGGTAGGACATCCAGAGAGGACTTCTGTGTAACTTCATGAATCAGTAAATGTTGCTTCTTTTTTAGTTTAATAACAAAATACAGTGAAACATGAGTTCTGGTGCATCATGTTGAACTTGTTTATTCGGTTTAAAACACGGTTTACATCTTTGGATTTGAAGTCAGGTCACAGTTTGATATTTCAGAGTGTTGTGGAGGTTAAAATCAGAGTTTATTGTATTTTCCAGAGAAGAGTCGGGTTAATGTGCGATGCGGAGAAATTTCAAAAATGCTCTCCCCTCTGAACTCCCACCCTCTCCTCTCTGAGTTTCCTCAAACAGGAATGTGGGTGTGTCATCGAGCTTCGACTTTCCTCCCAGAAACACCTTTTAGTGGAGAGACAGAGATTATGTCACAGATTACAGAGAAAAGAGGGATTAAAAAAACACACTGAGGTTATTTATCCATCAGAGCAGAGAAAAGTTTTTATTTTAGGATGAGTAAAGAAAACTGCTGTTTGTATAAATGTGTGTGTGTTTCTACACTTGTGAGGACCACAGCTCTTCTGAGGATAATGTGGTTTCTGTGGACCTTTAGAAAAGTCCACGCTGACATGATTCTTGGCTGAACTCCTTTGAATAAATGTTCTGTAGTTTTTTAGATAAACATTTAGTCTCTCTACAAATATATCATGAATACATCTGTCGGTCTAACCTGTTGGTTTGTCTTTGCTTTGGTCAAACTGTGCGTGGTGAATTATTGGACATGGCCTCTCGTCTTCCAGCTCCGACACACTGCCCGGTAAATCCGCGTGAACCGGCGCTGCTACGGGGGCCCGTCCAGGTCGCAAGGACACTACAGAGTCCTCGGGACATGAAGACCTGTTCGTCGGCTCCCAGGCACCTGAGGACAAATATAGAGCGAATGAAAAAAATCTGAAAATCTGTTATAAATTTAGGTTATAAAGATTTTGTTATAAAGCTCCTGGATCCTGAAGAAAAAGACAAACTCTTTATACGTGGAGATAAAACCAATATGGTTGGATGAGGGTGGAGATGAACAGTTAAGGAGGTGAATCTGCAGCTCACAGATAATGAAAACATCTGGACAGAAGATGGAGGAGGAGATCGCTGCGACATAATGAAGGCATGAGGCTCACTTTAATATAACCAGCTGAGCTCTGCATGCATGGAGCTGAATACACACATGCACAAATGTAGAGGCATGAATTTGTTCAGTAGCAACAGTCGCTCTCTCACTGACAGTAAAGATATTTGTGCACATGCTCAGTCTGTTGGCATGTCTGTGCGCTCAAGAGTCTGGAGTTTTCATGGCCTCAGATCTCGGCCCAGACCCTGGCAGGAACAATGTGTTACAGCTGCTTCACAACAGATGCAGCCGAGCGGCGAAAATACTTAAACCTGGTCGAGCCTCAAACGTCCTCCTGCCACACACGCCATAATCCCTCAGACTGACCTCCTCCACCAAATATGCATAAATCTGATTTCTATGAGCGCAGAGGTGTCTTTACCACCATGATGATACATTAAAGGTGTCGCATGAACTCGTGTCTGAGGTTGTTTTTGTGTTTTAGACTCACAGTGTTTTCCTGCTGGAGCCACAGAGTGATGTCGGCCCACTTTCTTTCCCAGGAAGGTCAGCGAGTATCCGCTCTCCCCTCCAGAAGAGTTCATATACATTCTGCTTCTGTAAAGTCAGCTGGCTTCTACTTCTGCAGTCGTGTCTGGTTTTTGTAGGAGAGCATATGCTGCAGGATCTGTCCAAGAGAAAAAGGGTTAAAAAAAATCACTGAAAAGATCCTAAAAGGGACAAAATCTTTACGTTTACATTCAACAGAAAAACCCGCAACATTGGAAACTGTGTGATGAACTCTCGTTCAACTCCGCATTAGCTGCAGATGTCAGAAAGCTCACGCAGCAGATTCACTCAGCGAGGGTAATCCTTTTGTCATCCTCGTCGAGCTTCTTTAAGCTTCGAGCTCCTCGACAGGAAAAACCAAGAAACGCTCAATATTTGATCATGTGTCTGTTCCTGTTTTCAAACTTCCCCGATTTCACTAATCGGACTTTTTACTCGACAGATAAAAGAGGTAATCCAGGATCTTTGACTCAAAACTGTCTTTTGTAAAGATTTATCTCAGCAGCATGAAAACTGATTTCACATGAATTTATTTACATTCTTATAGGAAACACTTAAAGAGTAGAAAATGTAACAAATTCAATCTAAACAGATCATATAATTCAAAGTTGTTACCTGCTGTCCTTGTAGGCGGTCTGATCCTGGTGCTGCTGGGTGCAGGTCTGTGTCCATCCTGATCTCTAAGGGGAACCAAACTCTCAACAGTGTTTAAATATTAAACCTGCAGATGAAGTTTCAGCAGGTAAAGAGATGCCCCAAACAGTCCTCAGGTTTCAGTGTGTGAGATACAGATTGTAAGTGGATGCGCGCACACACACACACACACACACACACACACACACACACACTCATGGTTAATGGACACAGCCGTATCACTCCCTCTGTTTTGTTTTTGTTTGTTTTCCTGGAGATCTGACTCTGACTGTTATTATAGGAATGAGGCTGAACCTACATCCAGGTAAACCTTATATAGAAGGAGCTGTCATGATACGTCAGGATAGAAGACACACTGATATTGTGCTAAAAATAAACATGCATCACAGCTCAATTAACCAAAACACTTAATCTCTGCATGTTTCTTTTTTATCAATAAACTCTTCAAAATAAAACCACAAGCATGCAGGACAGGTGGATGTGAGTTTAAAGATTTCCATAAATATCATTATCTGAGACTTAAACCCGTTTCATGGATGTTGCTGCTGATACCTGCTCCTGTCCTCCTTTGTTCAGTTGTTTTTGATCGAACCCCTCTGTCAGGACTTCTATAGACCACATGGACCATAAAACATCAGTATGGCAGCTTGAGCATCTGTTCAACACACCTGACTCAGAGAGGGATCCACACATGAGGACACTTTAATGAGAAATCAGCTTTTCTTAAACTGGAAGTAAATACTGTCCCGACTTTATCCAACAGTTTTTACCTCCAGTTTTTATTTTAGTTAAAATAAGAGATTTAAGTTTTTTTAGGTTAAACTGAGGGACATCACGTCATTACAGTTATAACAGCTCTGGTTCTCACAGGATGTTATTTTAGTCACGTCTCATTTCAAAACTTTTAATCACGTCATTTCAGGCCTGTAAGGTCTTGAAAGTCAGACTCACGCCTCCAGGATGATGACACAGCGAGACCGCAGTGATGGTGTGTCATTAAACCAACTCTTAACCACTCTGTGTGAAAACAGTACGCTCCGTTCAGGCTCGTTTGCAGCAGGTAGCGTCAGGTCTCGGTCTGTGCTGCCATGGCAACCACCACACCTTAAAAGGAACTCCAGACCTCATCCAACCTCGAGAAGTATGACGGAGGAATTCATACTGGTTTTCTGGTGAGCGCAGACCTGGAGGGTTCATGGATTCATCTGTCTTCGTTTCTGCAGGAGGAGCGAGAAGAGCGGCGATGTCAACAGAAAGACTGAAATTTATTCTTTTATAAAAATCAAAACATCTCGATTTCTCAGGACTGGATCCAGTCAGGAAGAAAAAAACAAACACCCGTCTGTGTGGAGCTTTAAAGCTCCTGTGAGGAACTCTCAGTTTGTGGTCCAAAAATGCAGCTGTTTTAAGATTTTTTATTTAAAATATTTACAATAACTAAAACATTTGGAAATCAGAAATCAGCAGGATGAGATTTTTTTCTGAAGACAGACTTTATTTAAGCATTTTGAGGACAAGACGAGCAAAGAAGACGATCAGGACAGTCTAAATTCAGAGACCACACTAACAGCACAGAGACGATTCTAAAGTGTGCTGGGGCCTCAGGCTAAAACTATCGAGGGGCCCCTCTGACAAGAGTTAAACATATGAGTTATCTGAAACCAATAAAAGGGGGCGGAAACAGAAACTTTTAAAAAAACAATTATCATTAATGCTACATAACTTGGAAATATTGTTCTAAAGTAGAAGCTCTGGAATGTTTTTACACAATAGCAGCAATTCACCTTTGTTCTGAGAGTCTGTGTCTGAGACTTACTTCAGTAAATGTTAAATCTAAATCTTAAATATAACATTTAGATTTTTTTTTTCATGTCTACACATTTTTACTGAATAAAAGAACATGCTGTTTAACATGAATTTCAGTCTCAAATGAAAGAAAAACGAACTGAATGTGAGAAAAGTGAGCTAAATCTTCACAAAATGTCGCTCATAAAGCAGTGACTGAATTTTTACATTTGGCCCTCCATAGAAAAAACACTGTCTGAATTTTAAAGCATTAACAGTTTAAGAGTTAGCTTAGTTAAGACACAACTTTCATTAATAGCGTCTCATTAAAATTGAAAGCTGTTGTCTGAGTTACCTGTTTTTACCTAACACCGGTGTTATGGTTACTTTGGTGAAATTTCAGTCTCGTACTTTACAAACACGCCTTTCTCTCTGTCCGCTAACCTCGCGAGACTGTGCGGGTGCGTGAACTCACGGTAACAGCGAGCGGGAAAAACTCAGGCTAACATCTCCTGCTAAGCTAACACAGCGAACTAACTACCAAACATTTCACAGCCAACTTTACACCAAACCTTTGACCTAATTTCAGTGAAAGTGTTTGACAAACTTCACTATCTGCTCCACTTACCGCTGTTTGTCTTTCTTTCCTCCTGATCAGTCGCTTCACTTTGATTGACACTTCAGTAAAGATGGACGTCGGTCACGTAGCAGTGCGACAGGGATCACATGGGGTCCTTTTAGGGGGGGGTCCGTCTAAGATGTCATTGCAATTCGACCTCTGATCGTTGAAATTGGTTAACAGACTGTATTTAATAACACTACATAACATTACAACATTTAAGGACATTTTTGTGGTGTAAGGTTCGTCAGCTCTTGGGGGGCCCCTAGTGGCCTGGTTTTATTGGCGCTTGGCAACCAAGTTAAGGAGCATTACCGCCACCTACTGGATTGGAGAGTGGCAAAGAAAACTAGGCAGGTAAAAAAGCTATATGCCCATCTACACACACACACACACACACACACACACACACACACACACACACACACATATATATATATACACAATAATTCAGTCTTCCTCAAATACATCCTTAATGACTTGAATACCCGAACAGATTCTCTGCACTGAGATCCAGATTTTTGGCCCGAAGTAACTGCCTGCTTTGCCTGTTGACAAGCTCCGGTTCTGCACATGCACGCTTTATATGAACTTTTAAATGTGGTCATTGTTGAACTGATGTCTTGTCAATATTAATTTTAGTCTCCCTCTCTCTATGGGAATCCCACATGATGTTCCACAAGCTGATCTAAAGTATATTTTAATGTTTACAGAATTTTATCTCAATCTTCTGTCATTTCTGATTTTATTTCTAGAGGCATAGACAGGGACAGGGGTAACAAATTAACCATAGCTTTAAAAAAAAACACGTATGCATGGCATCTACTTTGTATACATTATGTTTAATACATTTCATCAAATAAACTTAGATAAACAGACTGTCTTGTCCTCAGGGGGGCGCCACATTTGACACACCAAAAGTTCCTCACAGGAGTTTCAAGTTATGATTTGACCAAAACTAGACGAAACTTTAAAATCACGGTTTATGATAGCTTTATAAACTCTGACAATGAAAAAAGTTCAATAAATATGTAAATTTAAACATTATAAATCCATATATGTCTCTTTAGGACCAGGTTAGGACTCCTCGTCACACAGACACAAAAGCAGGAAGAGAAAAGGAGACTGTCGTTTTGGACTGACAGCTGATAGTCTCTTATGTATGCATGGAGCAGTCTTTGTGGTTCTTCATGAGATCCTTTCTAACAGCTACAACCTGAGAGTTCATCCGCATCTGTCTCTCAGTTCCGACCTCTTCTCTGACTTCCTTGTTTTACGCGCCGCCGCCGCGCCCTGACGCAGCGCCTTTACGCGCTGCTGTTTCAGGCAGCGGTTCAATCCAATAGCAGCTGTACAGCGGAGGATGGGTGGGTCCGTTACTAGGTGGGGTTTATCATGAGTATAAATAAACTTCTCCGTCTCTAAGAGGTCCCTGGAAACTCAGTCAGACTAACTTTTCAGCTCCAGAGCCGCTCGGTAAGTTTCCTTTACTCTCTTTAGCAGAAATCTCTGACTTTGACTCTGAATCTCAGTTTGTGAGTTTGTTAAAGTTTGACAGAGAGGTGATGATGGTTTCAGTTCTCCTCTGTTGTAATGTACTGATGCAACCAGTGAGGGTGTGGTTGGGGAAAAGTGGCGACCATTTATGGATTTATGCAAGAAAGAAGTGAAGTGTTGAGTGGATTTATGAACAGTGAAGGGCCTGAAGAGCAGGTAAAATGAGAGTAGATGATGTTTAAATACATTTTAAAACAGAATAAATGGACCTGAGTTGAACGTGGGTGTGGCAGACTGTCTCCACATGCTCTCTATCTTGTAAAACCACAAAAACATAAACCCAGAGTAAACACCAGAGAGGACTGAGCTCTCCAAGAGTGGATTAAGACCAAAACATCTATTCTTTCTGTTTTTGTGTGTTTTATTGACGTTTAAGAGATAAAAACTGAAGTAGAGATAAGAGGATGAATAAAAAGAGGTCAGATCACCTTTGACTTCCGATATGAAGAGTGTATCCGGCTGATTTAATCAGTGTGCTCCTCTTTGTCACCTGATACTGAGTCTTTTCTCTTCTTATCTTTTTTCCCTTCTTTTCTTTTTCCCCCTCTTCTCTTCTCTTCTTTTACATTTTATTTTTCACATATTCTCTTGTCTTATATTTCCTTTTGTCTCCTCACAGACAGACCCCAGCAGTCCCACCATGTCTTTCATTGAAGCCCTCCTGCAGCAGACCGTCTACATGGGCATGCCCGATGAGTCAGTACGTACTGTAACTTTGTGGTCTGCTCTGGTTGCTAAGGCCAACCACTCTGTGTTTTTTTCTCTGTTTTTTTTCTCTTCCTGTGGTATGTTGGGGTGGAAAAATCTATCAGGCGGAGTTTAGAGTGAGAGAGAGAGAGAGAGAGAGAGAGGAAGAGAATGAATGAGCTGGAGGTTTGAAGGCAGAGGGAGTAAAGAGTGAGCGAGTGTCTCTGAGCAGAAAGATAAAATGCAAACAGTCATTAAAGTGAACGGGAGGCTGAACTACAGTAACAGATTAAGAGCGGAGGATGAGCGGGTCGTGTTCGGCTCTGAGTCATAGTAGCAGGAATTTGAGCCCCTCCCATTATGAACTCTGCAAACAGAACCAAACGCTGCTTCTGCTTTCTCAAGACGACTTTGGAAAAGTTTCACAAGTTTGTTCTGCAGGATTCCTGCTCCGACCTCTGCTCTTGATTTGAAACTGAAGTGTAACATCTGTATCCTGTAGTAAGTGTGTAATTTGGGGCTTTAAAAAGACACTGCAGTTGTATTGAGGGAAACGACCTTCTGGAAAGTTCTCACAGGAAGGAATAAAGTCTCCCATACATCTTCTTTTTATGTCTAAAGCTGGATGCAAACACTGTACAAGGCCAGACATGAGCTCAGTAACAAACCAGCCTTTGATGCATGTAAGGCATCTGAAACATGCAGGTTTTCACTCATGCACATCCTTCAGCTGAGCTCAGATATTTACTAAACACACATGAATCTCTTAGGTCTCAAAGAACGAGGGGACGGTGACTGAAGCTCCTAACTTCTCAGCTGATGGAGACGCTGCAGTCCTGGACAAAGCCATCAAAGTGAAAGGTGAAGTGAAACACACCCACAGGGCGGCTCCGACACGTGTGTGAACATGTCATGTCTTTGCAATGCACCTCCCTGAGGACTGCGTCATATCAGTCAGCTGTTATCACTTTGCTGCCCTCTGCAGGCCACAACGCAACACTCCTCCTAGAAAGGTCTTAGTCATGCACATGCAAAGACAAAAACCGAGAAGTGAATTTACTGAACATCAGGGTCTGTGTGCAGGTGTGGATGAGAAGACCATCATTGAAATCCTGGTGAAAAGGAGCAACGCACAGAGACAGCAGATCAAAGAGGCGTACCTGAGGGCCTGCGGCAAGGTAACCACGACGACAACAGGAAACTCATCATCAGGGACGCTGCTTTCTGGTGGTTTGTCACTTGTGATGTTAACTCTGCTGCTGTGCTCCTCTAGCCTCTGGACGCGGCCCTGAAGAACGCTCTGAAGGGAGACCTGGAGGACGTGGTGTTGGCTCTGCTGAAAACTCCGGCCCAGTACGATGCCCAGGTGCTCAAAGGGTCCATGAAGGTACACACACACACACACACACACACACACACACACACGTATCATGGCCTCATCATCATGTGTTATTTTTGGGTGCACTCTGACATCCGCCCACTTCCTGGTATTCATGCGGCGTTTTCCTATCAGAGGAGAGAACGGCGAGTTTGTTTGATTTGGACGAGTAAAGAGTTGATCTGTTCCTGCTCTTATCTGGGAATCCTTTCTTTTTAGGGTCTTGGCACCGATGAAGACACCCTGATCGAGGTCATGGTGTCCAAAACCAACATTGAGATGATGGATGTAAAGAAAGCCTACAAGGAAGGTGAGCGCCACCTATCTTTGAGCAACAGTTATGACTTCCTTTAGAAGAAGAGGTGAAGCGTGTAGAAGGAGCAGGTTTGATGATTTAAAATGAGTTTTTCATATGTTGTGTTTTTGTCTTTACCAAGAATACAAGAAGGACCTGGAGGACGACATCAGAGGAGACACCAGCGGAGACTTCAGGTCTGCTCTCCTGGAACTGTGTAAGGTAAGGAGGCCTCAGCTGAGCGCCGTTAACTCAGGTGTTCATCCCACGAGGCGTCATGTTGGTGATGTTGACAAACCACGAGATCGCTGCAGGATTAGAGATTATAAAATTATAATTTACTCTATAAAGAGACTTAAAAAAACACTTCAACTCAGCGACTGAAGTGTGAAGAATGAGAGCCTGTAACCGGAGCAAAGGTCTGACGGATATAAGTGATTCGTTTTATCCTCATTATTAAGATAAACTCAAATTTGGGAGAAATCCTCTGAGTATGAGCGTGTACTCTAACCTGCTCGTTTTCACGGTTTTATTACAGGATATTTAAGACGTCTGTTCTGTCCCTGGACCAGGATACATTAAATCAAAGGCAACATAACACTCCCAAAGGCGGCTTTACAGCAACAATACTTTATAAAAAAACAAACAAACTCACTCCCTCATTACACACACGGGCCGACACCAGGACAATCAACTTTTATGACTTTTCATCTCTGCATCCTGTGAGGTCGAATATACAGAGCTCACACTCACAGCTGCATCGATATAAGGAGAGACATTATTGAACAAAGCTGCAGAGTGTCGGTGCAGACGGTGTTTCTTTGTCCTGTTGTTTCTCAGTGCATCATTAATATTTTTGTTGTTTGACACTTTAAAGTTTTTGAAAAGTTTGAAAAAATTATGAAAACAGAATTTAAACTCCGTAAAAAACAAACGATTGTAACACTGTGCACGGTAAATCAGAAACTGACCTTGTGACCCGTTAAAGAACCCGTCCACAACACCTCACTCTTCTTTTTCTGGTTGTTTTCAGCCCCTTTAAGTTCATCTGTTCCTCTTCATCACAGGCCAGCAGAACTGAGGGCGTGTGCGAGCAGATGGTCGACAGCGACGCCCGCTCTCTCTACGAAGCCGGAGAGGGAAGGAAGGGCAAAGACTGCCACGTCTTCGTCGACATCCTGACCTCCAGGAGCTCCGCACACCTCCGTGAAGGTCAGAGTAAAATCTGTGTTATTTTTCAGTGTGAGGTTCTATCAGGAATAAAACGTTTCATCTCGTCGTCTTTCAGTATTCGAGAGGTACAGGAAGTACAGCAAAGTGGACGTGGCCAAAGCCATCGACCTGGAGATGAAGGGAGATATCGAGAACTGTCTCACTGCTATCGGTAAAAACCTTCCCCTCCTCTGACACCTCTATCTGCGTCAGCATTCACCCACAGATAAATGCATGGACTGACTTTAATCCTGTTTTATAACCGCAGTGAAGTGTGCAGCAGGCCGTCCGACCTTCTTCGCTGAGAGGCTCCACCTGGCCCTGAAGGTGCAGTATTAACAAACTGCTGCAGACCATTAGAGGATGCATGCATGGTCCTGTACTGACTGTTTTTATTCTGCTCCCCAGGGAAAGATTCCCAAAAAAGGAGTGACTCGCATCATGGTGAGCCGCTCTGAAATCGACATGAAACGCATCAAAGAAGAATACAAGAAGAACTACAGCAAAACCCTCTACCAGGAGATTCTGGTGAGGAAACATCTGACTCTTAAACATCTGACATTAGAGCCTCTCTATGTTCACACGCTGTCCCTCTGTCCCTCAGGATGACACCAAAGGAGACTACGAGAGGATCCTGCTCGCTCTCTGTGGAGAAAACTAAAACCCGGTCCAAGAGAGCCACGCTTTTCTGATTGAAGATCCGGCAGCGAGTCCAGCTGTGGAAAACCACCTGTTATCTCCTGACACGTATCGTGCTCTGTGAGGACAACAGTCAGCCTGTGGTTATATTTAGTAAATATTCACATTATCCAGCTAAGATTGGCTCACAGATGTTTTCTCTTCAGGTTATTCCAGCTCTCCTGTATCAGTATCAGTCCACAGTATTCTCTGCAGCAGGTGGAGCTTCATGCTCCTTCCTCGGGTTTTTGTTGTATATCTGGTCCTTGAAGAGAAACTGAAGTCACAGTGCAGCTGCCAACAGATGTGTTAAAGATTATTATGTGCCAAATACAGTATAATGCAGAAGCAGCATCAGAGCAACACGAGAATCCTGCCAATAAAAGCTGTTTGTACAAAAACCTTTGTTCTCTTTTTTACACATCAGACGACGAGAAACAACATGTGAGATCCCAAAGTCACTCAGCGAGGATGATCTCACTGTTACCTGTTCACAGAGGAAACGTCTGCAGTACAACAGGATTAATGATAACAAAGGAGGTTGATACTGTGCTGAAAATAATCCTGCAGTAATTCTGTTTATAGTCGTGGTCCTTTACAACGATTACCATGTCATGAAACAGGAGAGGTGAAGAAGAAGAGCGATATACTTTATAGAGCAGTTTTCTAAACTGTTCATTCAGTTCAGATACTTATGGTCTTTACACTTGAAAATAAAAGCACAGTTTTACAATACAACCAAAACACAAGACAGAGAAGTATGAAGATAAATCAAAAGATAAGGCCTGCAGAGACAGTCACTTCTTTTAAGTTAAATTTTAAAAAATCACTTTTACAGACTTGTTTTTATGTGATGCCGTCTTATCATTCATCTCTTTTACCTCTATCTTATTGAGATAACACCTTATAACAGTGTAAAAATAAACTATAACAGTCTATAAGAGTAATGACAGTCTATAACAGTCAATAACAGTGTAATAATAGTCTATAACAGTCTATAACAGTAAAATAATAGTCTATAACAGTATATAAGAGTAATAATAGTCTATAACAGTCAATAACAGTGTAATAATAGTCTAGAAAGGTGTACAAATAGTCTATAACAGTCTACAACAGTGAACTAATAGTCTATTACAGTCTATAACAGAGAAATAATAGTCTATGACAGTCTATAACAGTGTAAAAATAGTCCATAACGGTCTATAACAGTGTAATCACAGTCTATTATAGTATATAACAGTATAATCATAGTCTATAACAGTGTGATTATAGTCTATAACTGTGTTATAATAATCTATAATGGTCTATAACAGTATAATAATAGTCTATAACAGTGTTTTAATAGTCTATAACAGTGTAACAATAGTCTATAACAGTGTGATTGTAGTCTATAACAGTGTAATAATAGTCTATAACAGTGTGATTGTAGTCTATAACAGATTATAGTCTATAACAGTGTAATAATAGTCTATACCAGTAAAATACTAGTCTATAAGTGTTTTAATAATCTGTAACAGTCTATAACAGTGTAATAATAGTCTATAATAGGTGATTATAGTCTATAACAGTGTAATAATAGTCTATAACAGTATAATACTAGTCTATAACAGTGTTTTAATAATCTGTAACAGTCTATAACAGTGTAATAATAGTCTATAACAGTATAATCCTAGTCTATAACAGTGTTTTAATAATCTATAACAGTGTAATAAAAGTTTATAACACTTTAATAATAGTCTATAACAGTTTGTAACAGTATAATAACAGTCGATAACAGTGTAATATAGTCTATAACACTAGTAAACGCCTAAGTTCGCCCGCCGCAGAAGGGGGATGCTGTCACTGAACCTGGCAACCTGTCAGCGGCTCCCACACACTGTCTAACCCCACAGGAGGAGCTCCTTCCCCGGTCTGCTGAGGCGAATCTAACCCGCTGTCTGTGTCAGTATGTGTCCAAGTTAATCCGGTAACAGATAAGGATGATTATCGATGATGGTAACAGAGGAAACAGTCAATAAATCAGGGTTAAAGGAGGTTCTTTTAAAGCTAACTCATATTAGCATGTCAGCAGGCTAGCTAGCTGACAGTTGGATTGACAACAAACGGATCCGGTTTTTATTGAGTCCGAGGACTGTCCGGGGTCCAGAGTCCTCTTAGAGTTCTGGTCCAGATGAAACCATAAAACCAGAGTCTGTTCAGAGGGAACCTTTAGGACTTTTCTGAGCAGGAACCGTTTGACTTTGAGGAGCTAATGTTAGCTGGGTTAATGTAACTGAGCTGAGACCAGGACCAGGACAGACCAGGACCAGGACTGAGAGGGGTCCTTTTAAGGCTCTATGATAGACCTGAACCCGTTTGAAGACCCCTTTAGGTTTTATATGGGACAGACTGGAATACAGGCGTCTAAAGGTTTGGACTAAGATGATGAGGGACAAAAGGCTGAAGAGTGACTGAAGATCATGTGTTAGAATGAGAGGATAATTCAGGATATGATCATCTCTAAAGTCGATAAGACCGATATATTTAGGCTGAATATCGATATACGATCTATATCCTGATACTGTTGAGTTACAGTCAAAGACAAATATGACATGGAGGACCTTTGTTTCTAATTGGAGCTCCATAAGGTGAACATTTAAGTGAAAATAACCCGTAAAGTAAAATAGGACAATCTGTTCCTGAAATAAATGTATTTATATGAGAAAAGCATCAACATTTTGACAACTCTAAATGGACGATTACAATCAAATTACAGATTTTCTTCTCCTCTCTAACAAATCCACAGATGTAAACAACGAACAGAGGAATTAAATCTGACAAACTCTAGTAAGGTCAGCATTTACATGTATAAAGACAGAACAAAATAAAGTTTAAGCTCAGTTTAAGAAAATAGTTTTTAAACATCATTTTAAGATAATTTATCTGTCTTTCTTCTTTAAAATAGTTTAAAACAAGACGATGAACTCGGTAAACATTCCCTCTTCTTTCTGTTTGACTCTGATAAACAGTGTTTTCTTCAGGTCCACATTAGAGGACAGACGAGTGTGTCCTTCTTTGTTTAAAGAAACTCCAGCCTGTGAACAACAGCGTCTGATATCTGTATATGTATATATGTGATATGATCGAATTCCATATCTCATTTAAAAATACATCTATATATTTCTTATTTCGATATATCCCCCTTTAGTTTATCATTTGAGTTTATATACCATGAGGTGTTGAGGCCTCTGCAGGTGAAGGTCACTGTGTCTGTCTTCAAAACCAACCAGGATACAGCAATGCTACTTTTTGATTGGCTGCTTGGTAGCTATACTTCATTTGATTGGCTTACATGTGGCACACAGCTTCTGAACTCTCTCGATTCCTCCCTGTTCCATCGTTGAAGAGGTTAAACTCGGTGGACGTCACCGTGGTCATTTAAACGCGTGAGAAATATAATGTGTGGCGTGTGAACGGGTGGGAATTTGTGAGACTTGAGAGTCCTGTAGAAGTCCAGCACCATTAAAACTGACCCTCTTTGTGTTCCAGGTCTCTCTCCATCCGGATCAGCCTGTCCACAGAAACCAGAACCAGGACCATGACCTGACCGATGGACCGCTGCAGCGTCAGACTCTGGAAGTAGATCATGAACGACAAACTGGTCTTCCTGGGCCTGCTCTACTTCGTCCAAGGCATCCCCTACGGTCTCCAGTCCTCCCTGCTCCCGGTCTACCTGCGTGGAGCCGGTCACTCCCTCACCCGCATCGGCTTCACCAAGATCCTTTACTTTCCCTGGGTCCTCAAAGTGCTCTGGGCCCCCCTGGTGGACCGGGTCGGTACCAAGCGCCGCTGGCTGGTGGGGACGGTTTCTGGTCTGGCTCTGACATGCCTCACCAGTGCCGCCCTGGCCCCGGAGGCCCATATCTGGGGGGTAGCAGGAACTCTGTTGGCCATGAACAGCCTGGCATCGGTCCAGGATATCGCTGTAGACGGGGCCGCCGTGGGGTTACTGAAAGGTCGGGGGGAGCTGGGTCTGGGAAACACGGCACAGGTGGTGGGCTATAAAGCCGGGTCGGTCTTTGCAGGAGGGGGTCTGCTGGCAGTGATCGACGTGGCGGGATGGAGCTGGATGTTCATGCTGCTGACGTTCGTGTACGCAGGCGTGGCTCTGTTTGTGTGGGGGGCCCCTGTGCTGGACGATGAGACCGTGAGGGGCCAACAGGCCGACGCCAGCAGGAAGGGGGTGCAGGGGGCCGACGCTGTGAGGCCCTGGAGGATCTGGAGGAAGCTGCTGGCAGTACCGGGAACCCCGTGGACAGTCCTGTACGTGCTGACGTACAAACTAGGTGAGTCTGATTTACAGACACTCGTGTTTCACAGAGAAGGTCGGCAGGTAACGATCAATCAAATCTAATCAGACTTTAATACAAACCGGAGAAGAACCAGAGGGGAAACGTTCGGTCCGAAGTGACCAGTTAAAGGGATATTCTGGCGTAAAATTAATTTAGGGTCAAACCCACCGTAACCCAGAGTTAGCCCCCCCCTCCAGAGATGAATGTTGTCGACCGCTTCCTTCTCTAGTTATACCAACTTTAGTAACGACAACAGGATAGCAATACAGAGAGCCACGCCCTCAACCAAAACGCCACTCTATAGCCACAAATAATGTTCAGAACAGCACCTAACTTCATCAACAGGACATATAGGGTCACAGACATAGTACTATATTCAGAGTTGTTCTAACTCCTAAGAAAACAAACTTAAGTGGGGGCGTTTCTCCACTTCTGTAGTCTATAATCTGGGCCAATAAACTTCTACTGTAGTAAAATGAAAAGGTAAAGGTGTTTTTATTGAGCCGAATTATCAATAAAATCATGATTTTGTTCACAGGTATGGATTTATGTGCTGTTGAGTTAATATATTTGAACAAGAGCACAGTAAAGTTAAATCAGTCAATTTTCCAATGAGGTTCTGTGACTGAACGGAACTACACCATGATCTACTGAGATTAGGACATATAGGGTCACAGCCATAGTACTAGACACCAAACATCTTTTTAACTTTGACTCATTTCTTTAACAAAGAGACTGCGGGGTGCCGCAGCTCAAGGAAGAACATTTATGATAATTTCTTCATGGAAATACAATCACACCGAGACGCTAATCAAATAAGTTTCTGCTTTTCACAGTCGGTGCGTCTGCAGTTTGAAGGAAAAAAGCAAAGTGAGAAATTCTCAAACTGCAGAGGCTAAAATATCTGAAAAGTTATGAAAACAAATGAGAGAGAATCATTAAAAAACAGATTCATGTGTGAGTGGAAGAGACACAGAGTGAGCTTTATTATTGTTGGTGAAGGACAGATGGAGGTCTGGATCTACTGGTCCTGATTTTACCCTATTTAGAAGTTTCCTCACCGACACTAACAGATTCAGAGGCAGAGAAACGATCTTTAGTGTTCACTCCTGCAGACAGGTATCCATGGAAACATGAAGACAAACACACACAGACATCAAACTGTGAGTGAAGCTGATCTATACCCTCTGATTCTAGTCCAAACTGTAAACAGTCGGAGTGTGTTATTGAAAATGTGATTGGTGTAAGCTCCTGAACTCACCACTAGATGTCTCTGTTGGTCTGTTACTGAGGAGTGATGGACCCGGTGAAGAAGTTGTTGAAGTTCTGGTGGTGTGACAGTTAGTTAGCAGGTCTGTTTCTTCAGTCTGAGAGGAAGTGTTTGTTTTAAACGCCACAGAAACTAAAGTTAAAACCTCGGCGCTGCAGAACGCCACACGAGTTTAAACGAGTTATTCTGACTTTGTGGTCGTGAAGAAGAGTTTGTTCTTCTTCTGAGAAACTGTTGAAGCTCTTCTGGATGTGAGTGGGAGAGAGAGTTGATCTGACCAGAGTTTGCTGTTTGGTAGCAGAAGGGGATTATGTAAGGATTAGAGCGTCTTTGTGTCTGTGCGTTTCAGAAACTGAAATGGAAGACGGAGCAGCACGCCGTTCTCTGTCCGTGTGTGTCTGTGCGTGTGTGTGGGTGGTGGGAATGTAATTGTCTCCCCCCATTTGCATAGTGTATGTGCTTGAATGTATATGCCTTTGTCTTAAATGTGTGTGTGTGTGTGTGTGTGTGTGTGTTTTTGAGGGTGGCTTTGTAATCGGATGAGCAGACGACACTACGAGACAAATATGAAGGCTGGCTGGACCCCTAATCTGTCTAGGGAACAACCCCCCAACACTCTCTCTGTCGCCCTAAAACACACACACACACACACACACACACACACACACACACACACACACACACACACTCATTTACAGTGATGCTCATCGAGACTTCATCAAACTGTTTTCCTTATCGCTGATTCCTCGGCAGCCTTGTCTGGTGTTGTCACTTCCTGTCAGAGCGGAAGAAACGTTTCACCTGAACGGGAAAAAGAAGAAGAAGAGAAAGTAGAAAAAGAAAAAGTAAAAGAAGAAGAAGAAGAAAAAGAGAAAGAGTAAAAAAAAAGTAAAAGAAGAAGAAGAAGAAGGAGGAGGATTGTGTAATAGTCGAGTTTCGGGCCTGGATGTGCCGGCGTAATTGCCTCTGTGAGACAGCATTGTTTTTGTTCAGGGGGTGTGTGGGGATGTTTGTGCGCGACCGGTGATCTGCCTGTCTGAACCCCCCCTGACACACACACACACACACACACACACACACACACCCCTCTCCTCGTCTATCCCTAATGAACTCCAAGTTTGCACTTCGTCCAACACAGCCGCCAATCACTTGGACTCTGCGGTGACCCCTGTGCCAGAGTCCAGGGGCATGATGGGAGGACTGTCTGGGGAGGCCGGATGGAGGGCGAGGGGGGGGGGTTAAAGAGAAAGTTTGGGAGAAAAAAGAGGAGAAGAAGAAGAAGACGGGGTGATCAGAGCTCAAACTCAAATGTTGGAGGTAAAGTTTCAAAAAGAAACCCTGACTTTTGTTTCTTTATCAACTTTATTTTTACTTCGTTTGACGACTGAAGTGAAAATACGAACACTTCTTTGACTTAAACGACCTTTTTCCTCGTTTTTTTACAGCGTTATTATTATTTCAGGTCTGAGGATGACTGATATTATTGGAGTTAAAATTAAAACTCGGTCTGAAGGACCCCCTGTAGTTCACCGAAGAGCCCCCAGGTGAAAAACCTCCTCCTGAGAGACACGGCGGCTCTAAAGAGACCCAGAATACTGCGTTAGTTCTTTCTGTGGAAAAATGAGTTTAAATAAAGTTTTTTATCGGAGCAGAACTAGATTTCACAGTTTCACAGTTTTGCCCCGATCATTCGAAGTTCTGGTTCTAGTGAGTCCAGTTCGCAGAGACCCGGGAACCAGCAGGAGCAGGTGAAAGTGTTTTTGGGTGGGTGATGGATTTTGTAGATTTACAGGGTGAGGTGGAGAGAGAAAGAGAGGGAGACTTCAGGAGGGAGAGGGGGAGTATTTTCCAGGGAGAAGGAGAAGGACTGCAGGGAGGGAGGAGATGAATAAATGAAGAACCACCACATGGTGCCCTGAGAGAGAAACGGAGCGAAATGGCCTCAGAAATAAAGAGACAGTGATCTTCTCTGAGACACAAAGGTGTGAGATCTCCTCCTCCTCCTCCTCCTCCTCCTCCTCCTCCTCCTCCTCTGATCTGTTCAACTTTAAAATGTTGATTTTATTATCGTCCATCTGTTATCGATCATGAGGCCGGTCCTGATGATCAGCTGATTATTGTTTTGAAGTTTCCCCCTGACGGACTAATAAAAGAATATCTTATCTCTGAGTACATGTACATGATGTGAAGAAACGACAGAGAACTTTGTTTTTACTGCAGTTTCTTCTTCAGCTGCTCTGGTGTCTGCATGTCAGGACGTCTGCGCAGACTACAGCTAAAAATATGAAATATGAAGGTTTACTCCGTCATCATAAATCAGAGTGTGTGTATTAGAGGACTGATCTTACCGGACACAAAGGTTCGAGTTTACAGCTCCTCTGAGAGGAAACAAAAGGAAACACCGGCGTATTTAACAGGTTATAAATATTTCATCGTTTCTGAGTAAACGGAGAAAAAACTCCGATCAGGTTTGGACTCTCTGCTGCTGCTGCTGAGATGGATGTTGTTTGTTTCTTCTCAGAAATCGAGTGTTTTCCCATGTTTCTAAACCCTGCAGGCCACCGAGAACTCCCTGACATCTGCATTGATCTGCAGGGACACCGAGTGTGTGTGTGTGTGTGTGTCTGTGTGTGTGTGTGTGTGCGTGTGTGAATAGACTAATATGCATGAGATACTTTGGAAGTGTGTATAGCAGAGCTCCGTTTACTGTTTGTCCTCAGGGAGCCTGTGGAGCTGAGAGGTGTGTGCACATGTGTGTCCACATGCGCTTTTGTACATGTGTTCATGCTGTGCCTCTGTGTGTGTGTGTGTGTGTGTGTGTGTGCACGCTGCTCTAACATGTGGTATGTATGAACCTGTGTGTTTACCGAGCTCTCAGCAGGGAGTGATATTGTTGTTCTGCAGGTTGGCGGTGGCGTGTCCTCGCTGATCTCTGCTGCTCTGACGGCTCCTTTGTCTGAACTTCTGCGTGGACGTCGGGGTTTGACCTCTGTGTCCTCGTTGACCTCTCACCCCCCTCTCACTTCTCTCTCACCCTGAGCCTCTCTGATATCAGCCCCACCATGGTGGTGTGGTGGTATCCTGACCTCATGGTCCTAAGAGTGAGGACAGTTTGTCCTGTGTTTAGGTGGAGCAGCTCAAAGGTCTGTCAGGATGGAGTCAGCCTCCGTCTGCAGAGCTGAGAGAGCTCAGTGTTTGTTCTGTGGTGAAGAGCAGCGCTCACAGGTGAAGGTCAGAGCTGAAAACAGAGGGACATTCATGATAATATGGATTTGATGTTGATTTAGTCTGAGTCGAACCAACATTAGAAAAAATAAAGAACAAAAACAGCAGAAATCAGAGGAGTGAGTTTGTCACAGTCAGGTGAGTTTTTCTCTCGTTTCTCGTCTTCAGAAAAAAAAAGGAACAAACGTTTTTGTGTTTTTGTTTCGGGGCTTCGACCTTCCTGTTTGTGTTTGAAGACTCATGTTGTCAGGACCAGGAGCAAAAAAAACATCCTTTCCTCTCTCTCTCTCTCTCTCTCTCTGTCTCTCTCCCTCCCTCTCTCTCCCTCTCTCTCTCTCTCTCTCTCTTTCTCTCTCCAACCCCCCCCCCGTTTTTTAGTGTTAAATGATTCGCCGTGTTTCTGTCGTCTGCCTCTAATGTAAACACAAACACACAGCCCGCCATCTCTCCCCTTGTTCCTCTCCACTAACCTCCTAACAATGTCTCTCTTCATCTGCCCCCCCCTTTACTCGTCTCTCTCTCTCTCTCTCTCTCTCTCTCTCTCTCTCTCGCTCGCTCTTGTTCGGCTCACATCTCCTCATCTCTGTTTTTAAATAAGTGCGTTTTGATTGTCACTACATCTTTGTTTTTGTGTCCTTCCTCCTCTCTCTCTCTCTCTCCCCCTCTCCTCCCTCGTCATCCCTGAGTTTCTCCCGGTCGCCCCCTCTCGCTCTCTCTCTCTCTCCCCCTCTCTCCTCCCTCTTGCTCCCGTTCAGTCCTCCCCTCCTCTCCTCTCCTGCTTGTTTAATCTTTGCGGATGTCTAATGAAATCCCTGCTGAAATGGACAATTGTTGCTTTGAGAATATTTATAGAGAGGAATAATCAGCCCCCCCGCCCCCCCGCTCTTTAAAGAAATAATTAGTTGAAGGGAGGACTGTGAACGACGAACGCAGCGAGCTTTGAGCTTAACAACGGGATCGAGAGCACTGAATTATGGGTAAACAACCGCCGCATCACGGGCCCTGCTGCTGCTGACGATACTGACTTCATGTCGACTGAGACGCTCCTGACAGAAAGAGAGGACCAAAGTCTGATCTATCATAGAAATTTAACAGTCTGATCTATCATAGAAATTTAACAGTCTGATCTATCATAGAAATTTAACAGTCTGATCTATTATAGAAATATAAAACAGTCTGATCTATCATAGAAATCTGAAGCAAACTGATCTATCATAGAAATTTAAAGCAGTCTGATCTATTATAGAAATTTAACAGTCTGCTCTATTATAGAAATCTAAAGCAGTCTGATCTATTATAGAAATTTAACAGTCTGATCTATCATAGAAATTTAACAGTCTGATCTATCATAGAAATCTGAAACAGTCTGATCTAACATAGAAATCTGAAACAGTCTGATCTATTATAGAAATCTAAAACAGTCTGATCTAACATAGAAATCTGAAGCAAACTGATCTATCATAGAAATTTAAAACAGTCTGATCTATCATAGACTTTGAACTTTGATTCGAACCCCTCGCCCTGTCAGATTGAGGGGGATGCTGGGATACGTGGTCTTCTTTAAAGGCTAACATCGCCCACATTAACGCCCTCTCTGTACAGATTGTTAGCGCTGAAACACGAGCGCCGACAGAAGCGAGAGAGAAAAGCGTTTCCTGCTCACAGGAACCTGATTTCCTTCTGCTGGGTTGTCACGCCGCCCGCCCGCCCGCCGTTCCAGCGGTGACACTCTCGCTCTGCTGCTGCACCCCCGATCACTGGGAGCCTCTCAGTTTTCTCTTCTTCTTCTTTTTTTCATTTGCGTCTGTTTCATCTGCCTTTTCTCTCTCCTCTCTCTCTATTTTTGTTTGTCTCCTGGCTGACTGAGTGAGTGAGTGAGTGAGTGAGTCGTCGGCGGCGGCGGCGTCGGTTGTGTTGTGTCGTCTTTGACAGCAGTCTGGGAGCCGAGCTGTCACTCACCAAACTCCTTGGTCCCACTGTCTTTCTGAAGTCAGTCTCCATTAATATAATAATGGCGTATAGTGTGAATATTTTACTGTAATGTTGAGCGGAACATTACCCTCGTCTGAGAGAAAGTCTGACAGAAAGTTTTTATTTTGACGGCGAGGTCTTTGAGAGGTCTGTTTCATCTGTGGAACTTTCTCTGGTTTTGTTGTGTGTTCCTCTTTGTGCTTCAGGAAAAGTGCGACGCCCCCGTTTGATAAAGTGACGGAGGCTTTTCGGTTTCTTGTCAGGCATCTATTATTGACACTTTCCAGGAATAGGCCTAGGTGTGCGGCGTGCTGGCGTGCGGCGTTTGATTCTGCAGTTGTCATCTCAGGAAAGGCGTGTTGTTCAGTCTTGCAGGCTAAACAGTTTAGTACCACTTCCTGTCTGTGTTGGACTGTGATTGGATGAGACGTGTGTACTCAGATGATGCTTAGTCATGAACTGTAACTACTTCCTGTTAGGATGGCGTTTAAACACACCTATCATTGATACCTGTTTGTATTGTTTCTGCCATCAGGTGAGCAGGGCGCCGTGACCATGTTCCCTCTCTTCCTGTTGGATCATCACATGACGGCCCGAGAGCTCGGCTTCTGGAACGGCGTCATCGCCATGGGCTTCTCCATCTGCGGGTCGTCCCTCGGCGGTCTGCTGCTCGCTCAGTTCAGGTATCCGCCGCCGTCACTCTCAGCATCACGAACTGTTTTCTCAGATGAAATGGCGGTCTGAAGATCCTGTTAGATTTAAAGACGACAGATGTTGAGATGAATCAGCTGTTCAGTTTCAAACATGTAAAGAAAATAAAAATCTAAATATTCTTCAGGTGAATTTTTCTTTAATCAAACAGACGATCAAAAAAAAAGGAAAAATTCATCTGGAATAAACCGAGTTCAGTGAAAACAGAGGCGGTTTGTTCCTGCTCTAGACTCTGATCCCACAAGATGTTCTCCTACCATCATCTTCATCTTCATCTTCATCCTGCTCCTCCTCCTCCTCTTCCTCCAAGCCTTCTCTGTCTCCTTCTTTCCTGCTGCTCCTTTCCTTCTCCCTTAACTCCTTTCCTCCTCACTGTGTGCCTGTTTTTTATTCTCTACCTAGGTGAGTGTGTGTGTGTGTGTGTGTGTGTGTGTGTGTGTGTGTGTGTGTGTGTGTGTGTGTGTGTGTACAGTAATTTAAGTAAACATAGCCTTGTTTGAGAGCTCAGGGACCCCCTGTGTCTGGTGTGTGGTGTGAGAACAGCATGAGCAGCAAATCCATCACACACTCTCTCTCCTGAGCGTGCACACATACACACACTTACACATGCACACACACATGCACCCCCTCAGGGTTTGATCGCACAGACAGCATGAAGCTGTAGTTGGATTGAGTTCTCAGGTTTACAGACAGACTCTGAGATTTCAGGCGGTTTGATTTGTTTGTTAAAACTGCGTAATTTCCCTTTAATGAGATAACGAGCCCCTCTCTCTCTCTCTCTCTCTCTCTCTCTCTGTTTGTATGTAACCTTTACATGTTTCCCTCTCAGCGCTCCGACTCTCTGCTATTTGACCGCCACTGTTGTATAAGGTCGTATGTCCTCCTCCTCTAGGATCACAGTAAACAGCAGCAGCAGCCTATGGCCAGAGTGATGTAATGGGACTATAAATAACAGCCGGTCTGAACGCAGGATCGAGTGTTAGTCAGGGTTAGATCACACTGTATACATTACTGTGTAGACTCTTAGACAAGTCCTACAGATCTAGACCTTTTATTTCTACTGTAGCGTCTCAGACCAGATCTAGACCTTTTATTTCTACTGTAAAATCCAAGACCAAATCTAGAACTTTTATTTCTACCGTAGACTCCAAGACCATTTCTACACATCTGTACCTTTTATTTCTACTTTAGACTCTAAGACCAGATCTAGACCTTTTATTTCTACTGTAGAGTCTCAGACCAGATCTAGACCTTTTATTTCTACTGTTAACTGCGAGACCAGTTCTACACATCTATGCCTTTCATTTCTACTGTAAAATCCAAGACCAAATCTAGAACTTTTATTTCTACCGTAGACTCCAAGACCAGTTCTACACATCTATACCTTTTATTTCTACTATAGAGTCTAAGACCAGTTCAACAGATCTATACCTTTTATTTCTACTCTACAATCCAAGACCAGATCTAGACCTTTCATTTCTACTGTAGACTCTAAGACCAGTTCTACAGATCTATATCTTTTATTTCTACTGTGGACTCCAATACCAGATCTATACCTTTTATTTCTATGGCAGACTCCTAGCCCAGATCTATACCTTTCATTTCTACTGTTCAATCCAAGCTCAAATCTAGAACTTTTATTTCTACTGTAATCTAAGACCAGTTCTGAAGATCTATACCTTTTAGTTCTACAGTAGACTCCTAGACCAGATCTAGAACTTTTATTTCTACTGTAATCCAAGACCAGTTCTGAAGATCTATACCTTTTAGTTCTACTGTAGACTCAAAGACCAGTTCTGCAGATCTATATCTTCCATTTCTACAGATTTACCAAAGAGAGAACCATCTTTGTCAGGGTCCAAACTTTCTTTCCAGACCCTCCTTTCAAACCCAGACCCCCGTTCCAAACCCGTTCTGAACATGTTTATTTTCTACATAAGAACCATCTTGAAGAAAAGTCGACTTTATTCTCCTCTCGGTGGTTCGAGCCTCGTCCTGTCCAGGGTTCTGGGATCAGCAGTAGTCGTTGTTTTTGAGGCAGTTAACAGAGCCAGGTGAGGTCTTGTTCACTCAGGTAAAGAGATCACCTGGAGGAGGACGTGGAGCGCTCACTCCTTCACTAACGTGTCTCCTCTTCGCTCCTCCGTCTGATGTCATCCTTTTTGTCCCGCAGACTCCCGAGTTTCTGTAAAGTGACACGAGCGAACACAGCGAGTCTCCACAGGCAAATTTTCTGTTGAAGGAAACGAGCTTCAAAAGACGTCATTGTCACTCTCCAGATTTCAATCTTCAGGTGTCGGAGCCGATAAAGGCGGAGAAATGTTCACACGCTGACAAAGACTAAAACGCTGCTTTAGGTGGAGAAGTGAAGACTCAGTCACCCGTCACTCTGAAATCAGTGAACGAGTTAATGCAGTAAAATAAGACTAAACATGATAGGAGGTTTGATAGAGGACAATTAAACTTCACAGTCTGAGCTCAGAGTAACACGACTGCAGCTCACCGAAGTTAGGACGTGATTAAATGAAGCTGAGACTTCTCTCTAACTTTAACCTCAGACTTTCACTTTTTTATCTGACTCTGTTACGTTCAGGTTATAATCCCAGCGACTGTCAGGCTCACACAGTCTCATAAACACACACAGACACACACAGAGGGAGCGGTTGGTGTCCAGCAGGCCGTGGTCCCACCTCTAAAAGCTCCTCTGGAAGCTTTATCCTCGGCACCATCAGAACCGGCTGAGTGGTCAGTGAATGACCCTCTTTACAATCCGCCACCAGCAACCTGAGAACGAGCTATTCTTACCTGGGCCCGGCCCGTGTGAGGTGGCAGCCAGGCAGGTTCTCTTTCTCACACACACACACACACACACACAGAAACACACAGAGAAACACACACACACAGCATCTCCTGAGAGTGTGTGATATGAAAGGCTGTCATTGAGCCGGGAGGTAAAGAAGCAGAGAGAAGAATGTCTTTAGCATGTGAATGATGGAGGATTGGTTTTCCAGCAGAGGGTGAGAGAGAGTGAGAGAGTGAGAGAGTGAGAGAGTGAGAGAGTGAGAGAGTGAGAGAGTGAGGTTTATGAAGAAACAAACGCAGCACAAAGTTCTTCACATGGACAAACAGAAACAACCAAAACCCTCATCCAAGGTCAGGATGAACACAAACGAACTAAACCGACTAAAAATGAAACAACAGGAACAAAGAAATCAAACTAAAACTGGAGCTGATCAGGAGTTTAAAGGGATATTCTGGTGTAAAATTAATTTAGGGTCAAACACACCGAAACACCGAGTTAGACACACATGGAAATACAATCAGACCAAGACGCTAAGACAGAAGAACTACCGCGTCTGAAAAATGATTAATATGGTGATTATTACTTAAACGATAAAGAAATGATCATAAATGTTCTTCCTTGAGCTGCGGCACCCCGCTGTAGTCTGTAATGGACTGGCCTGAGGTCTCACTACAAACAAGCGTCTGCTGGAAGAGAGTAGGTGAGTTGTGTTTAGTCTCTTTGCTAAAGAAATGAGTCAAAGTTAAAAAGATGTTTGGTGTCTAGTACTATGGCTGTGACCCTATATGTACTAACCTCAGTAGATCATGGTGTAGTTCCGTTTAGTAACAGAACCTCATTGGAAAATTAGCTGATTTAACTTTACTGTGCTCTTGTTCAAATATATTAACTCAACAGCACATAAATCCATACCTGTCAACAAAATCATGATTTTATTGATAATTCGGCTCAATAAAAACACCTTTACCTTTTTATTTTACTACAGTAGAAGTTTATTAGCCCAGATTATAGACTACAGAAGGGGAGAAACGCCCCCGCTTAAGTTTGTTTTCTTAGGAGTTAGAACAACTCTGAATATAGTACTATGTCTGTGACCCTATATGTCCTGTTGATGAAGTTAGGTGCTGTTCTGAGCATTATTTGTGGCTATAGAGTGGCGTTTTGGTTGAGGGCGTGGCTCTCTGTATTGCTATCCTGCGGTCGTTACTAAAGTTGGTATAACTAGAGAAGTAAGCGGTCAGCAACATCCATCTCTGGAGGGGGGGTCTAACTCAGGGTTACGGTGGGTTTGACCCTAAATTAATTTTACGCCAGAATATCCCTTTAACATAAGGAGATAAAAAACTGAAACAGGACATGCGGATAAAAATGAGAAGAAACCCAAACGAGATGATTCAGAGTTTGAACTTCTCAAAGTTAATCAGAGATCTTGTCTGAGAGCGTGTCCTCCTCCTCCTCCTCCTCCTCCTCCTCCTCCTCCTCCTCCTCCTCCTCTTCGTCTTTTTTACACATTAATAATTACATGCATAAAAAACATAAACAAACACACACAGTCCTTTGAGTGGCAGGCGTCCTCTGAGTGATTGGCATCACTAATCCCAGATGTCACACAACAGTGTGTGTGTGTAAATGTGTGTGCGTATCAATGTGTGTGTGTGTGTTAGCAGTGATTAATTATGGTCCTCATGCTGGGGATCTCCTTAGGTTATTGATTACGTCACGAAGCAAACCCACAGGGGGATGATTTTCTCGCACTAACAGGGAATCAATTAGTGTCTGGGGACTTGTTTACTTAAGCACGTGCACGCTTGTAAGGAACTGTGTGTGTGTGTGTGTGTGTGTGTGTCAGCCTTCAGCCTCTGTCTCCACCATGATCCTCCTCCTCACTGAACTTGCTGATCGTCTGCCTGATTCTCGCTGTTTCGGTTTCTCTGCAGCATCGGCGCTCTGATGAGACGCGTGTTTGTGCTGAGAACCATCAGCATGGTCTTCCAGAGCTCGCTGCTCACCGTGCTCGAACCGTCGCCCACCATGAAAGGTAAGAAAACCCACTCTGACCCCGCTTGTCATTTCACGCCACAACGGCGCCGATCCAGTCCTGAAGATGAACATGTTCAAACGCCAGACCCTGATCCTGCTCCCACATGCTGTCCTCCTTTGACCCGCCAGTCTCCTGAATAAACACACTGAACACACACACTGATGAACATGCAGGTACATGTAAACACACGGCCTCAGGTCACTGATGTTCCAGGTGAGCTCATAAACACACCTGAGTGAGGTCAGGTCGGCCTGATCCTCCTTCAGGTGTGTTCTTCAAGTTCTAAAGTTCTCACGGCTCCTTCACGTCCCGATATAAACCACAAACTGCGTCCTCTGACTCCGCCCCCTTTCCTAACAGCGTGTTGGCTCAGATTCATGCTGAGTCAGCAGGAACTCAGACTGAGACACATGTACGCTGAGGCTGCTCTCCTGTAGACGTGTGACTCTCAGGTCATACATGAGGACAGAGCTGTGTAGAAGGTAACACCCCAGAGCTGTGTCGGACTCTCCGTCAGAGTTACCCCCGATCTCCACCTTCATCCTGGTCGTCTCCTAAAAGGTCGTATCCTCCGATCGTAGCTGATCGTAACCATTCAAGTTAACGTGTCGATTTACACCGACTTCTTTCCGTTCCTCTGCGGATCAAAATCAAAATCTAAGACTCTTTTGGAAAGAGTGTAAGTCGCGATTCCTGCTGTCTGTAATCGGCCACGAAATTTGCCTCTCAAGTGGATCTGGTAGGAATTTGTGGATAGCGAAAATCGGAGCCGTTCCGAATGCGATGAAATTCCTGGTTAGAGCGTCTCGGTCAGAGGATGAAGTCAGGGTTTACAGGAAGAGCGTCTTTATCAGAGTCCTGGACCGTTTCTCTGAACTGGACGATGTTTCATCAGTTTCTCTAAGTTCTGATCAGCAGAAGAAAAATAACATCTACATCTAAAGTCTATGTTTCTAAACTCTGATGTTCGTGTGGATCTTTGTTGAAACTTTCAGACGTCTGTACCTGTGATGTTCAGATTCAAACCGACTGTTTCTTCTTTAATTAGCTAAAAGCTAAACGAGGTTTTCTCATGTGGAAATGAAGGAGGCTATTTTCAGACTCGGATCAGATCGAATGTTGATCTCGTTTGTTTTTACGAACAGACAGAAATAATCAGCAGGAGTTAGAGAGAGAGGAGCTTCAGAGAAGTTAAGACTGAGAGATATCAGAGTCCACAGACCAGGCAGACCTCTGGACCGGAGTCTAGTCTTTAGACCAGAACATGCTGAAGAGGACTTATAGACAGTTGCCCCCCGCCCCCCCAGTCTCTCTGTGTTCAGTTATTAATGTCTGAATGACACGTCTGATTCTGTTTCACAGTCGCTCTCAAAGCTTTTGGGATTCAGATCGTCGTCGTCGTTCATCTCACTCAGATCCGTCTGTTCCCCCATCAGGACTCTCAGACTCTCAGACCCCCCCCCCAGTAAACCCAGAACAAAGATCTCAGGAAGATCCTAAAAACTGAGAAGAGAAGAGGAGGAGTTTTCAATATTACATGATAACCCTCCGCTTCACTACAGCAGCAGCAGCTCCAGTCTGATCACTGACTCTGACTCCATCATTGCTCTCTCTCTCTCTCTCTCTCTCTCTCTCTCTCTCTCTCTCTCTCTCTCTCTCTCTCTCTCTCTCTCTCTCTCTCGCCCGCTCACTCACTGACTGACTGAAGAGTCTGATTCGGGAAAAGCTCTGGCGGCTTGAGTGAATAATTCAGAGACAGATCTGCTCTGTGGTTCCTCTGTGTTTCTCTCTCCTCCTCGTCCCTCAGAGATTCTCGACATGACGATGGGGGGGGGGCGGGGTTACAGCGGCGGCGTTTCTGTCTTTGTCTTCCTGCTTTGACTCCTGAGCTGAATCCAACTCTGATGAACTGAAATGATGCTTCATCTGCAGAAAAACTTGACTTCTCTCTCTCTCGCTCTCTCTCCCTTCCTCTCTCTCTCTCTCCCTTCCTCTCTCCCCCTCTCTCCCCCTCTGTGCCCTCCCCCCCCCCCCTCAGGTATGGCCGTCCTCAGCATGAGTATCCAACACTTCCTGGGCGGTCTCATCACCACGCTCACCTTCACTACCATGATGCATTGCACTCAGAGGGCCGAAGACGGTATTCAGGTAAATTCAGTCTGGAGCGGCTGCTGTTCGTCCCCTTCTCTCCTTACCATCCTCCTTTTCTCCTTCCTTCCTTCTTTCCTCCCTCCCTCTCTCTCCTTTCCTCTCTCCTTTTCTCCTTTCCTCCTTTTATCCCTCCATCTTTCCTCCTTATATACTTTCCTCATTTTCTTCTTTTCTTACTCCTTACCTCCTTTCCTGCTCCCCCTCTCCTTCTCTTCCTCCTTCCTTCCTTTTCTTCTTCTCTCCTTTCCTTTCCTTCGCTCCATTCCTTCGTCTCTCTTTTCCTCCCTTCTTTATTTTCTCCTTTTCTCCTTTCCTCCCTCTTTCCTTCCTATCTTCCTTCTCTCCTTTCCTCCTTCCTTCCTTACCTCTTTCTCTCCTTTCCTCCTTCCTTCCTGCCTGTTATATAATTTTACATCATTGTTTTCGTTGAAGGGAATCCTCAGACCACACCTTTGTCCACCTCCACCTGTCAGTCCCATCAGCTGTTTGCACCTGCAGAATCTCAGCTTCTCATTGCCCCCCCCCCCCCCTCTCTCTCTCTCTCTCTCTCTCCCTCCCTCTCTCTCTCCTCTTTGACATAACTCCTTTTGTCCTCCTCCTCCTCCTCCTCCTAACTGGGCCATCGCTGCCTCCAGGTGATCGCTGTTCACACCGCCATTCAGACGTCACTCAGTCAATCTCTCAACGAGACTAATTATCATTTAAACGGCCGTCACTTTAAAAAGAGGAGAAGAAGAAAAGAGCGACCAATCACAGGCGGCGACTCGGACACAGAGACCAGGATCCAAACCAAACAAAGACCGTCGACACGGCGCTGATGAGAACCTCCATCATCTGAGATGTTCTCATGACACATATCCTGTCACTCTGTAGAGTGTGTGTGTGTGTGTGTGTCCTCACTGTGAGGGGAGCATGAGCCCCCTGTGTGTGTGTGTGTGTGTGTGTGTGTGTGTTATTGAAGGCGCTGCTATCCGGTGGCAGAAAGCTGATCGTGTGAGTGCTTGTTAACGATCCCCAGGAGAAAGAAACTCAATCTGTTAAACAAGTTGCTCGGAATAAAAGCTCTCCACTTAGCTGTGGTCACACCGAGCTCTGCAGCCCCGAGTCTGAACTCACCACCAACACACACACTTTTATTACACACTTCTGTTACACACACAGGTGACTGTCGCCCAAAACGCTCAAGATGAGATGGTTCATGGAGGAAAACGTTTTCTCTCGTCTGTGAAATTATGAGGAGGAATAAAAAAGTCTTTTACGTATTTAAACGACCTAATAATGTTAACGGTCTCTCCTTTAGTCTGATCAATAAACTCTGAGTGGTTACGATCAGCTCAGTCGGAGGATACGACCTTTTAGTCGACGATCAGGATGAAGGTGGAAATCCGGGGTTAGGGTTAGAAAGACCAGAGTTCATTTGTAGTTTATGTTTCACTTTAGAAACACGGACAGATGTGGACCATCTTCCATTCGAACCTTCATTCAACGCTGCAGTACCTCTGATAACCACAGGGGGCAGTAAAGTTCTAACCTGAGACTGAAAAACTCGAATCACTGCCTCTGATTTTTCTGAACAGATATTTATCGTCAATATTTCCTCTCCTGTTTGTTGTTGTTAGAAACTCGGAGTCTGAGTGGCGCCCTCTAGTGGATATGTTGCTTAAAGTTCATTTCAACACAAAGTCTGAAGGCCGTAATGATCACATGAATTTAAATGTAAGGGTTCATTAGTTTAATGTCAGGAGAAAATTAACGAGTCTTCAGCTGAGATCAGAGTAGATCAGTGTAACGCTAATATTGACGAGGTGATCGGTCAGCTCTCTCTCTCTCTCTCTCTCTCCTTCGTTTCCTCTCTTTCCTCTTTTTTCTGCTTCCTGAAAATCACTTTTTTTTGGTCTTAATTTTATTTATTATTTTGATAATTTGATGATTTTTTGTTCTTGTCTAAACTGTTTGGATTTGTAACCTGATCTGATGAACCGTCACCTTTTGTTCCGGCGTCTTCTTCTCAACTTTCCAACGTCTCCTTTCTTTTCCAAACCCTCTCCTTCGTTTCCTTCACTTCCTTCCTCCCATCACCTCCTCATACCTCACCGCTCTCTCTCTCACCTCCAGGCGACCCACTACAGCTTCCTCGCCACTCTGGAGGTGTTGGGGAAGCTGACGTTCAGCGCCCTGGCGGGGGGCGTGGTGGACTGGTTCGGTTTCCAAGTTGCCTTCCTCTTCTTCCTCACCCTGTCTGCTGGGACGGCTCTGCACGTGTGGACGGCCACCTTCACCGGTGCTCTCAGGGAACACCAGCTCAAAGAGCAGCCCAAGTGAGGTCCGGGTCCGGGTCCAGGTCCTGATGAAGGACTTCTGCAGGTGCCGAGCAGCGTTAAAAGACGCCTCAGAGTCCTCTAATGCAGTTAATCGATCACAGCGAATCATCGTAGTCTAGAAATCGGATAAGTTTACGTTCTTGTTCAGCCATTCTTGAGGAGGATCAGCCATGCTTTAAAACTCTGACGATCACAGAGTTCTTCGTTTCTCATTGCACTGAAAAAAAAAAAAAAAAAACGCCTTATTTTGGACTTTTGCTTTGAGTCGATAAGAAGAGTCTTAATATTTCTGTAGCTTGAAGACGCCTGCAGACGCAGACGCAGCGTAGGTCAGGGTTAGGGTTAGGGTGAGCACACGCTGAGTTTTCAGGACGGGGTCAGGGTTCGGGTTCGGGTCAAATCTAGTCAAAGCTGTTTTTTCTCATCTGAGCCATTTGAACGTGTGAATAAGCCAGCAATAAGAGCTGCAGCTACGAGCAATACTGCGACCTATTTACAGCTTATTCCATCAGATCGTACTGTATATGAATCTGTTTTCCTTTGTTTACACTCACACACGAACGATTCTCTGCTACCTCCGATCAGCGCCGTCTGTCACATTTAACATGAGCTCAGTCTACAGTAGCTGCACAGCTTTAGTCCTTATAGATCAAACTCAACAAAGAGAGAGAGACTGTGATGACGGAGCTGCAGCACTAAGAGGGTTTAAGTGACTTTGAGACATAAAAGTACGGTGGCCTGTGAGGGGAACGATCTGCAACGACTCATTAGATTTTCATGAGCTGTAAGGTCAGAGTTCATACAGACTCACAAACACGATGATTCAAGAAGACAAAACACAACAACTGCATCAACAGAAACACGACGACGCTCAGACATGTCAGCGATAGTGCTCCGGGCCTCTAGGGGGCGCTGTGTGGAGCAGATGATCGGTGACGTGAGCTGAACAGAAGTAGTTCGTTAACAATCAGGAGTAACATGGAAACTGCAGCAGCTGCAGGGATGATTGGGCGCCATGGCAACAAAACACGTGATTTGGCAGATCTTTCCTCCTCATGAAGATCGTTTGAGCCGCTGCAGACTCGTTCGCCTCGCCCGCCGTAGAGAACGAAGAAAGTCGCAGCGACGTCCTTTATCCAGCCGACAGCAGCTTCTTTAGGGTCGATGATCTCTTAGTTTGAAGACTGACAGCTTGTAGATCTGCTCAGCCTCACATGTTGCATGGCGCCATCATCGCAGTCCAAGAGTCCAGACGGTGAAGAACCTCAAAGACCCGGTCCACTGGAGCTGGACTTTATAAACTGATTCACTCATTCATTCATTCATGTAATAATATGTACTGTAACCTACACTAACTCTCCATGGTACTGTATACGAGTATAGAGACACTTCTCAGAGCTTCAGATAGGAATGTTTGAACCTTTAAAGGGATATTTCACTCTTTTTAAAGGGACGTTGTTGGAGTTTCGTGTCACTCGTGTTGTTGTAAAAAAAAGTGTGACTGACTTTAAAACGACTGAAATGTCCCTCTGAACGGATCATGTTTTAGTTTAGTCAGCAGACTCAGCCAAATGAAGCAGGTGGTCACTTCACTTCCTGTCAGTTTCACATTCAAACGTCGAACCACGTCCTGACTGTGTCGGCGTGGAGACAGGGTCACTGTCGTCAGATTTGCACAAAAATAAAAAAGCTGCTGAGTGAACTCGGAGTCGGCGTCTTTCTTTGACCTCCTCTCTTCAGCTCCTTTCTCCAGATTTCACCACCGTTTCTGTCCTCGGGGCGTGAGCGGCGGCTCTGTGTGGTCACCTCTGAAAATCCTCCGTGGTTTAAAGCCGCTCAAACACAACACTGAGTGGCTGAGGGGCGAGCGGCGTGAATAGAGGCCGTGTCACAGGATCCACAACCCTCAGAGCTCTAATGACACAACAAACGCAGTGAAGGAGGATTAGAGCGGCTTACACGGCCCCTCAATACACCTCCACTTCACACTTTCTCACCCGGCCTCATTATTTTCAGGGCGTTGTGTTTGTGTAGCGGGAGAGAGAGGGCGGGTTCGAGCGCGGACTAGGCTTATCCTCTCAGAAACAACAGATCTGTTTAGTTTGGAGTCTTTGGACAGAGACGTGAAACCGCAGCTCCATCAGATCCGACTGAAGAGAGTCTCTGACTTTAAAATTTAACTTTAAATTAAATCAAATAAAAAACCTTTAGACTGACGCTGGTCTGCAGGAGCACCAGCTGATCTTTATAATCTTAGAAAAAACACCAAAGGTTTCTGTCAGCAGATTTAACAGTAGTGACAGTTTTATCACGAGGATTTAAATTTATTCATTTTTATTTATTTGTTTAATTTTTCACCTTAAAGATCCAAAAAAGGCCCAAAAATGCAGCGAAACTCAGTCTTTAAACCTGAGAGGAGGTGGTCTGAAACCTTAAAGAGTTTATCTGAGCAGACTAAAGTAAGAGGAGGGTCTGAGAGTCCTAAACAAGAGTCTCTACACTTCTGTGTTCTGGTGAATCTGTTGGTAAATATAAAATATTGTCTCATTGAATTAAAGACACTGGGAAGAAAAATTACAAGGAACAACTGAGGACACAAACAAACACAGTGAACCAACCAGAACAGAGAGAAGACAGGGACTATAAACACAGACAGGTAAACGAGCAACTGGTGAGACAGACGAGACACAGGTGAGACTGATGAGGGATTAACGAAGGAGGGAAAATTAGGGCTGAGTCTGAAATTAATCCCTGACCCCCATATGTGGTTTTACTGTATATCTGACTCTGTAGTGAGCTCAGTCACCGGAGGTTTCAGACACTACATGGCAGACTAGGGAAGTAAAACCAGACTAGAAACACAAGGAATCAACTCCTACAAAATAAAACAGGAAATAAACACTGAAAACTGATCTTTAAAAAAAAACAATCAAATCAAACCTCAACACAGAGTAAGATTTACGACTTTAGTTTGATCTTTTGTGATTTTTTTTGTCAGTAAGACGAAGGTGGACACAGACTGAACTTATATTTGTTCGTTGTTTCCTCCTCCCTGCAAATCATGCCGTGAGTGAGAATCGTCGCAGACTCGCTGTTTGAGGGCTGAACGGTCCTCGCCCTCCTCACTCTGTGCTTTGGGACGGCCTTCAATATGGCGGCGCCTCCGCGGGGACGCACAAACAGAGGGCGAGTGTGTGGGGGGGCGGTTTGGGATTGCGCCTTTAAATCTGGGGGGCCGGTTTTGGTCCTGTCCTGGTCTGTCTCTCTGTGTTCAGTGTCTCTTGGTTAAAGTCAGTAAAAGGTCAGTGTTTAAAGATCCGACTCTTTTAATAAATATTTATTCGACTGTTTATTTTCTCTGATGTTTGTTTCTGTTTCACAGTTCAGAGTTCGTCTCTTTCTGTCTTCACAAGAGAACCTTCGTTTCTCCTCGTTTCTCTTTTCACAGTTTTTATCAGGATTATTATTCCTGAGGCCCAAAGTGGATCCAGAACAGACCCAGAACAGACCCAGAACAGACCCAGAACTGAACCAGATCAGACCCAGAACTGAACCAGAACAGACCCAGATCTGAACCAGAGTGCATTAACTCTCACTGAACGCCTGTGTGCAGACATGAGGCAAAGGTAGAGGAGTGGTCCTGATCCAGCAGTGCTGATGAGAGTGAGACCCCCCACTGTGGCTGCCAGATTGGCAGAAACCCCCCGTGGAGAGAGTGCATGTCTGGGGGCCGCCCGCCCGCCCCGCCGTGGTTACTATTGTAGTGATGCGTGCTGGAGATGATGCCTCATGTCCGGTTAGACTTTGTGCGACGGTAACAGTCGTGTAAATTGCATAAGATTGCATCAAAGTGAGCGAGACGCTGCGGGCGGAACCTGAAGTACTAAAACTTTCAAGCATGGCGTCATCAGGGCGTTATCCAATCAGAGCTCGGCTTTGTTACAGAGCCGCACTGAGTGAATTCCTGTGCTGGTCTAATCAGAGTCAGATTCCCCGTATTAAAGCGGAGTCTGGTCCGTCTTTATGTCCGCACATATTCAGTTTCACATTTTAACAATCAGTCTGGACACACCGCCAGCTTTATCGGCCAATCACAGCAGAGGGATCGGCTCATTCACAGCGTGCCAAGAGCGCTCTGCTGATCAGAAGAGGCACCCAAACAAAAATCAAGAAATATGACGGAGAGAGAGAGAGAGAGAGAGAGAGAGAGAGAGAGAGAGAGAGAGAGTGCTGACTGTAACACCTCCTGGCAGGTAAAGTTACCCCGGGGTTGGGGGAGAGAGAGAGAGAGAATGCTACATGTTTTAATCTCAGCAAACAAAGGTGTTGTATCGCTTTTTTCCCTCGCCTTTGTCCTCCGTCTCCTCGGGGGGGAGAGAGGTGTTGGCTTTTTGCGCTGCTTTTGTCCCGTGGCGAGCAGAATGGCCTTCTGGGAAACTTGAGTGGGCAGGTGGAGGAGCGTCAGGTGTCACAGTGTTTCCTCCACCGGTGTTTACTTTTTGTTTATTTGCAGAAAGAGAGACATGGACACCTCTCCCTCTCTTTTTCTCTCCCTCTCTTCTTCCCACCGTTCGTCCTTTTGTATTTCTCGTCTGTTTCTGAGCGGACTCTCCTCCTCCTCCTCCTCCTCCTCCTCCTCATGAGGCCTCCACACTTTCATCGTCGTTTCTTCAATCCAGCGCTCTCTTCCTCAAAGATTTAACCTTCTGTACGAGTTTAAGAGAAGGACACTGTCCAATATTCATCTAAACTTCTTTTATCCAAATCTGAAACCAAAACTAAGAAAACCAGAAAACTAAGAAAACCACTCCAAAAGATCTGAAACCAGGAAAACAGCAAAAGATTCACAAGACGGTTAAAAGATCTACAGCTGTATGTTTCACGTATATTAACCACGAGTAAGAAAACAGGAATGAAGAAGAAGAAGCAGCTGTTAGCGAGCTAGCTTTAGCATCCCTCTGCGAGATGAGTCAGCACTTTTAAAAACTGACATTAAAGTTTTATTAAGTTTACTGATTTAAGTTTAATGATCTGTTCAACAAAATACAAATCAATCAATCATGTCAACCTGTCTTCTCAAACATAAGGGCCTGTGTCCACTGAGGGCATTTTTTGGCACTGGCAGCAACTTCAGCCTCATGTTGTTTTCACCACGTTAATATTACAGGGTTACAGTGTGAATTCACCCTGAGAGAGAGAGAGAGAGAGAGAGAGAGAGAGAGAGAGAGATACAGACCAGGACAGAGACACTGAAAAGGCTGAACCTTCATGACGAAAACAGGCCCTAACAGTTCAGTAACTGCTGTTAGTGGACACAGGCCCTAAGTTTTCAGACTGACACGACTCATTCAGTCACGAAATGTCGTTTCACTGAACTGATGACGTTCACACATCACTGACATGTAGGGACGGGTCCTGAATTTTTGTGAAAGTCCTTCAAAGTACGGATCTGCACTGCAGGGCCAGCGACAGGAAAACTTCATATCTGGTTAAGAACAAGATTTTTCTCAAAGCTGAAGAGTGAACAGTGTTTACAGACTCCTGCATTCTCCTCTTTTGTTCATTTGTCTTAAACTTATTTTCCCTCGTCACACATTTTAGAGGAACAGAAGAATGAAGAATTGGTTTTAGTTTGAGCATTATTAAGAATAAACACAGTATAGTTGCAGTGAATTGTAGTTAAAAGTGTTTTCATGTTGAAGTTTATATATCAACTGCGACGTTACGACACAAACAGCTGGATGTTTTTTTAGTATAGTTGTTAAAGTTTATTTATTTAAAAATAAAAGTGTTAAATTGAAATATTTTAAGATTTTATTATTTAACAAATTAATATTTACGACCACATAAACACGCATAAAAAGTACCAAAAATTGGTACCACTACAGATTCCCAGGTTCTGGGTACCGGTACTGTATCGGTTCAAACGTGAAAGGACGTGAGGACGGTCCGAGAGAGACTGAAGTGTTTCTGATTATTCTGGTGATTTCTCAGGATTCAGAAAACCTCAAAACGTTCACCAACTTTAAATCAAACTGTAAACTCTCTGTAATAATAATAAATGTTATTTATAATGCACTTTTAAAGAGCTCAAAGACGCTTTCATAAAAGAAATATTGAAGTCTTTTAACATTTTGTATCGTCACCCTATAAAAATAAATCATCTCTTAAGATAAGGCCGTTATTTTAATAGGGTGACGATATTTAGGTTAAAGGGTTCAGACAGGTGGACATCTACAGAGTTCATTATAGTGAAGCTGCTGGTTAATAAAACCTGCAGTAAATATTTAGTGTCTGTGCGTGCAGATACAACGAAGTGAGAGAAAGAGAGTTTTTCCCGTAGTTTTCACATGCCCCTACAGCAGCGAAGGCCAACAGAGGAAGAGGAAGAGAAACCGGAGAGGTGTCTGCAGATCTGTGTGGAGGAAGCAGAGGAGCAGCATTAATGCAGGAGGAACAGAGGAGCAGTGAGGGTTCAGTTTGCTGTGAACGAAGACACAACAGCCGAGCTGAAACTTTAGCCCCAGAGGAGAGGAGAGAAGAGCGCTGCTGCTGTATTTTCTTCCACTGAGGCAGGCAGATATCTTTACCTGTGACAACACACACACACACACACCTGTGAGTGGATCACATGACCTGATCAGCAGTGTGGGAACAGAGAGGAGAAATCTCCACACTTTGGAGCTTCTGCTCAGATTGATCTGTTTTTATCAGATACAGGAGCTCCAGCCGCTGACGGTGATAATCCTGCTCCTCTCCTCTGAATTAACACTGTTTGAATACAGTTCATTTAAAAAATCAGCCTCTTAATCCCCGCTCTTCATTTAGAGACCGACATTTTCCATTTTGATGAGAGTTGAATTTCAGATGAGCGTGGAGTTCACCTCAGCAGCCTCAGAGCAATAAGAACAAACCCGAGCGCACAGAGCAACTCCACGTAAGAATAATTGTATGTTCTGTACTCATTTCATTAATAATACACAACTAATTTTCATACAGGATCCCTGCTCCCTGCCAACATAATCACGGCCGTCTATTTTTAGGAGCAGCTTTTAATTGGCATGAATATTCCAATGAGACACAAGAAGAAGAAGAAGACGAGAGAGAGAGAGAGAGAGGGAGAGAGGGAGGAAGACGGCAGAGTGAAGATCCTGCTCAGAAAGAGAGGGAGGAAGAGGAGCAGGATAATTCCAACTACAGTACAGTACAGTAACATCTTCATCCTCCTCATCTTCATCACGCTGTGGTTTGGCAGAGAAACAAACATCTTTAACAGAGAAAACTGTAGAGATGAGAAAGTCAGATCGTTTTTTTAACCACTTCTCTGTAAAAATGACTCTTTCATAAAGTCCAAACTTCATCATTTATCTTCAGGTTTTCATGATATCAGGATTTATCGTGTCCTCTCACTGTCAGAGGAGTCAGCCTGTTTACAGTCGGGTCGGTGTGTGCAGCTTTAAAAACCAGGAGATCCAGATTCATTTACAATAATCAGGATTTCTGATCCATGAAACCAGCACAGACTCAAGAAGACACCTGAACTTCCTACAGGAAGAGCATCCAGAGCAGCTTTTTATAATCTGATGATTCAGATGCTGGTGGGTGGGGCTGGACGATAAAACGATAACGATATATATCAAAAACTAATATCAATATAAAACATGATCAATATCCTTTTCAATAGTCGTCATTCTGACATGTTTCGGTCGACTATACGAACAGCCAATGAAAAGGGGAGTTTCTCCGGGTCTGAACCAATCATGTTCTGAATTAGAACCAAGTATCAACCAACTGCAGCGTCGTAGCAGACAGCAGCTCCACCCAACCATAGCACTTTAACAGGTGAAGCCGACAGCACTGTTGGTGAGAAACAAAGAAAATGAGTGCTACCCCCGACAGAAATGACCATGAAGGCTCAACAGATGACCACATCAATGTCAACCACAACACTGGCGTTAGGAAAACGATATACAAATATCATTTTTATATCCTGATATTGATCGATATCAGCTGATATGAAACAAATATATCATGAAAAATACTTCCCATATGGCCCCGCCCTACTGTGGTCTCTCAGGGGTCTTCTTCTCATGTTCTCTCTCTGGTAAGTGTATCCAGAGGAGACTTGGACCACTTGTTCTTGTTGGAAAGGCATCCTGAGGGTTTTTGAATTACATTTTTTTTATCATGGAAGGACATCCAGATGTCTCTTCTTCCAGTTAGATCGACTTAAAGGACGTCCTGAATAAACTTCTTCATGTTGAATTACTCAGAGAAACAACTTCTTCAGTAATGAACTTCTAACGGTAATGAAGTCCTGATATTCTGGTCTAACTGTGAACCCGGATCAGATGGAGACGTTCAAAAGTCCAGTTTCTAGTCCTCTTCTCCTGGTCGGTCCTGAAGGTCCTGAGGTTCAACCACAGACGTCTTCTCGTGTTGGAAACAGTCAAAGCTGGGAAGTAAACGTGCCTTTACACACACTTAGAGGAGATCAAAACTGTGTGTGTGTGTGTGTGTGAGTGTGTGTGTGTGTGAGAGTGTGTGTTGGAGGTGATGGAGCTCCTCTGTGGGGAAACAGGCTAAACCTCGATCTGGTCCCTCGGTGATGGTCTGGGATGTGACAAGCTGCCATCTCATATGGTGTTGAGCCTGAGTCACTGAGCTCTGGTCCGCCTCAGTCTGCAGACCCCTTCAACACACACACACACACACACACACACACACACACGCTCCCCCAGCCTCATTTGGACCATTAGGGTTGAGACAGGAGAAGCCTGATTTCTCGAGCACACTCCCCGCTCCTCCTCTTTCATTTCCTGTCATCTCTTCCTCCGACGCCTTCCCTCCTCTCCTCCGTCTCTCTGGACTCACACGTGGACGACCCGTCGGGACAAGTTGTTGACAACAGAGCGCCGAGATGGTGTTTTCAGGGTTCGGCTCTATAAGCACGCCTCCACGTTCATGAAGCACTTTTAGGTCATTTTAATCGTCCATCCATCCATCCATCCGTCCATCCATCCATCCATCCATCCGTCCATCTGTAGATAAACTCAGTGAGGGTCTGCTGTTGGCAGTCGGACCCTCTGGTGTTCCTCATATTTCAGCGTTTCTCTCTGGGACTTCATTCTTTGACAAACTTTAGCAGAAAACTAACTCTCTCGTTCTTCCAGAACATTCTCACAGAAAAGTTCTCGAGTGTTTCTTTAATCCAGAGTATCCACGGTTCGAGTGACGTCAGCGTTGTTACAGAGACTCTCCTGGTCATGTTGGTATGAATCAGTCCTGCTGCGGCTGCGTTAACTTCTCTTTATCGTGTTTTCTTAATAATATCCAAAGAGCAGAGCTGCTAACAGGGGCGGATCCAGGAGGGCAGATAACATCGGAGTGAGCCCCCCGATGGCCACCCCACATTCCTACACTCTGATTGGCTCTGACAGCGAGGGGGCGGGCTGTCTTTTGTTGGGACTCACAAATCTTTGAGATGTATGAAGACATAAATTAAAACTATGAGTGTCCCTTTACAGCTTTTTCACTTCCGATACGTTACTGAAATTGCAGCCTTCAGTATCGGCCAATACCGATATTGATCCGATATCGGCATTAACTTGTGAATGATACGTTTTTCACTCAGCTGTAACGTCTTTTTCGGACTTTGACGACAAATACTGCCACACTGACATCACTCCCACTCCTCTCTACTTTGTTGGTACCTTCGTTCACACTGATGTTGTCATCATGTGGGTTCTGCATACTGGATCAGGGCGCTGCTAGCTGGAGGTGCTGGAGTGGAGTCTGGAATGGACCGCTTGTATCGGAGTGCTGATATCAGAGATTCTGGATGCAGGCCGATATAAACCGATATTTGATTTTCTGCTAATATTGGACGGATATCTGATATCAATATCGTATCAGGACAGCCCTAATTAAAACATTATTAGAAATGGAGGATGGCTGTGAGTCGATCCTGTTTATAAGTGAACATCATTTTGTTGTTTTATTTTCAAGTTTTCTGTATAAATTTATGTCGTTATCATCGAGGTGAAAGTGTGATATCCTGACGGTCCTACGGTTCAGACTTTTATACATTGATCAATTAAAGGTCTGTGTTGGTTTGTGAGGGAATCAATCAACATGATCAGAACGCCTAAGTACCTGCTTTCTCCCTAAAATGTGTGTGTGTGTGTGTGTGACGAGTGTGTTGATGTGGAGAAAACATGAAGCGACGAGGTGATGGAGCGAAGAGGAGAGGAAGGGTGGAGATCTGAGGAGGAGGATGAAGGGGGAGATAGAGAGCCATTACTCCACTGTTTGACATCATCTGGGATTCAGCCTCAGGCCAGAACCACTAATGGGGGTCTCTCTCTCTCTCTCTCTCTCTCTCTCTCTCTCTCTATCCTGTATCTCCATCACACACACACACACACACACATGAACACACACAAATGCACACTCCGTGTTCATGTATGAAATCATGTATGCCCCAGTGCTCCGAGCTGCACAGGCATGTGAACACACACACACACACACACACACATGTATGAACACAAACATAGACCTATATTAATGTAGAGTTAAAATAACAAACAGTTGAATCTTAAACGTCCGTGTGTGTTTCCTCTAAACCGCCTCCATCATCGTCGTCTTCGTGGTTATTTCAGACTCGTACTGTACGTGTCGTTCTGCAGGATCCACTTTGTTTCCATAATAAGGTGCCGCCTGTTTCTTTACATCCTATTTTCCTGATGCGTCACAGTTAAACCGATCTTGTGTTATGAATCATGTCGGTGTTGATGTGTCAGTTTAGACCCTCTCTCTCACCCTGTACCTTGAAAGCCCCTCCACTTGTGCATCTGGTTCGTCTTTGAAGGAAAAAAGGCTTACAGTGCCACGCTGCCGAGAAAAGCCAACTCATCCCCACCAGCATTTGTTGTGCTCTGCTTAATCTAATTCAAGAGCGAAAACCCCGCTGACAGCAGCCTGTGTGCTCCGAGCGGCGAATCATCGTCTTACAACCAAAATAAAGATGAGAGCAGAGAGACAGAGGAGGTAATGAAAGCCGATAAAAGGAGACAACAGAGGAGGAGGAGGAGGAGGAGGAGGAGTACGGGAGAGGTGGGCCGCTCACAGGAGCAGAGTGATGCAGACAGCTGGACGTGGAGGTTTTAATCTGTTTAAAGAGGATCTGCCCAGTTCAGGCTCTCCTCCAGAACAGCAGGCCCAACACTGCAGTTATGACAGCGAGACGACAGCATGGGACTCCGAGATGACACCGCCGCCGCCGCTGCTGCGTCTGTGTGTGTGTGTGTAAGTAAAAGAGAGCAGTGCTGGCATGAATCTGTGTGAAGAAGAAGAGAGAGAGAGTCCAACGATGAGACAGCCAGTCAAAATGTCTGCAAGTGCTGCACAGAGCGCTGTCAGATAAACTTCGCAGTTTTCCGTTCAGATTTGTGTCGGACGCCAAACGGCGGCTGTGATGCAGTTTGTCGTGGACGAGCTGAACTCAGGTGACAGCTGTGATGTAACCGAGGTTTACAACTATAAAAACATCCTGATTTTAACATGAAAATCCTGTTTTTCTTGTCTTCATGTTTGTTTGATGCTGCAGGACGTATCATGAGAAAAACAAGTGTGAAATTGTATTTCTGAGTATTTCTTCATTCAAATCTCTGTGAATCTCTGTCAGACACAAACAGCAGGTTCAGATTCAGTGAGATTTCCTATGTCACAAATCTAAGCTCCGCCCCCAGAGTCCCGCTGTGCATGCCAGACTCAGGGAAATAGAGAGGATGATCCTGACCTCTCTAATGTAAGCGAGTTCAGGATCCCAAAAATGTGAATAAATTTGAGACACACATCCTGAAGTGAGCTGAAATAAAAACTGTCCTAATCTCACTAATTTATGAGCAAATCATACATGAGCAAATTTACTCTTACAATTTATATATTTTTTTTTTCCACAGAACTGAAAATTCATTCTCAGAAAATATTGTTTCCTCATAAATTTAAAGAATAATTTTTAAATATAAATGCAGATTTTTTTTAATTTCATTTGCACACAGTTGTAAATCCATCCTCTCAACATATGGACTTCTTGTTCCTACAACAATGTCATTTGTCCCTCACAAATTTGGCTCTTAATTCTCACAAAAGTTAAACTTTTAAAATTAGAATAATCTTCTTCTCCGTCATAAAAATTTGTGTACTATTGTTAAAATTTCAGTATCTGTCCTTCAAAGCGCTTTAGTGCTAAAAACGGCAGTTCACTAAGTGTCCACTAGAGGCTGTCTACAAGAGCACCAGAGCCCACATACACACTCATTCAAAAAGACTTATTTAGAGGAAAAATAAACAAGTTTACAGCTGGTTAAAAAAAAAACTGGTTACAGGATCGGCCAATCAGAGACACCGTTGACTTGACTGAATAAAATCAATAAAAGTGGACGAATCAATGATTCAGGTAAAACGGTTTCATTTCACAGATTCCCAATATACATGATCTGTGTGTGTGTGTGTGAGTGTGTGTGTGTGTGTGTAGTTGACTGGGTGTGTCAGCCGCTCCGTTGTTGACTCTTTCAGACAGGCTAACAGGCTCTGCAGGCCTCAGGACTCAGAGACGCTGATGGGAACACTGTTTAATTGGGGTAATCGCCGCGCTTTTAGGGACCTGCTTATTAAGAGAAACCCCTCACACACACACACACACACACACACACACACACACACACACACACACACACACACACACACACACTCGCTCCAGCATGGACAGACAGACAGGCAAAGTGACAGCTCTGCCTCTCACCATCCAGTGACTCCTCGCACATCCTGAAATCAGCAGGCCGGACGCAGGAAATAATCGTGTGTGTGTGTGTGTGTGTGCGCGTGTGTAACATGGTGGTCTCTCAGAACTGACCCATGTAAAAAGTGAATAACATGCTGTAATATTAGTTAGTATTCAGAAACAGGCGGCGCCCTGATCCTCAGTCCTGACTGACCTCTGGTTGACCTTCACAAACAGCCCGTCACGGTTCCTCTGAGTTCCTCTGTGTGATTTTCTCTCCTGATCTTTATGTCTAAGTTGAATATCTGACTTTATCTCAGTTCTCAGTGAGCATGCTCAGTGTGAACCGAGCTGCTGGTAAACAACAGTTTATTCATTGTGTGAGACAACAATGACGGAGACTGTTCGATTCGTCTCATCCGCTGTTATTGTTGTTGTTGTTAGAGAGATGTGAGGATTAGACACTGTCTGAATCAGACTCAACCCCCCCAAACACACACACAAAGACACACAAACCCACATAAACACACACAAACACACACACACATATAAACACAGACAAACACACAAAAAGTATCCCCCAAATTTCACACACAACATTTGGACATCTTTTTTTTCATGTTTCACTAGTTTGTGGTTTCTCTGTCCGACCCTCTGAGAGGTGACGATGAAAAAACAATCTCAGTTTTTCTCTGTTCACGTTCAGGATGAGAATAAAATTAATTGCTTAGTCTGTGGCTTTCCACTAACTTCTTTATTGACATCTGGTGTAAAAACTCTAAGATTAAAGTTCAGAACGATACTTTAATGTCAGGATTAAAACAAAAGTCATAACTGTAACATCTTAGAAATCTGAATTCAAAAATCTGATTTAAATCTTAAATTTGGTTAAATTTTTTATTTGAAAATTAAATAAACGTGAGAAAACTGAAAAAAAGATTAAATAAAGATTTAGGTGAGTTGGAAACTGTAAGAAAAACATAAATTAATAAATTAAAAATATATATTTTTGTCTCAACTTGAGAAAATACAAATCTAATTATAAGTCTACAAGTTTAGTGAAGTCAAATTTATCTAAAAACTAAATTAAATAGAGTCAGAAATCTGTGAATATTATTCAATATAAAAATTTACACTGAAAATTCAAAGAATAAAAAGTCAGAATTCTGAAAAATTTAGATTTTAATTAAGAAATTAATGAAAGTGTAAATTTAGAGAAAAAAAAGATTCACTCAGAAATTTAATCCTAATCCTAATTCTCGAATAAAACTCAGAATAATTTTTATTATGAATAATAATTATTTCAATCTCAGAATAGAGACGGAGAAATTCAGACATAAACTTTTCTTTTCATGATTAATTTGAAATATTGACGTTCATTTTAGGTATCTGAGGGTCAAAAACAGAAATCTGAATTTTTTAGGAGGATTCTGAGATTAAATTCTGAATTCTGACTTTAATTCGACGATACTGATCATTTCACTGTAAAAAACAAAGTCCTAACCTTCTCCCAAACTTCTTACAGACCAGACTGGGATTTTCTCCATCATTAAAGAAAACAGGTCTGAGTCTTAATCAGGATCATCTTAAACTAACCTTCATTATTTCATATCGTTAACCCCCCCCTCTCTAATTATCCGTGCATTCTTCACTTCCTGAATCTCCACGTTTCACTCTCTTAGCGAGGCGAGGATGAGGATCCACTTTTCCCTCCTCGTCTGCTGGTCCTGAGACAAAAGGCCTTTTATGGTTTGTTGTGGTTTTGCTGGTCTTACATGTAGAGGTGGCCCCGGCCCCGGCCCCGGCCCCGGGGTCCCGGTCTGACTGAGGGTCACTCCATATTGTTTATGAAAAACAAAAGGATGATGACGTGATGCCACGTCTAGACTCCATGCTAATGAACAAGGTTTATGAAAAAAAAACTCTCGCCAGCGTGTGTACAGTATTTTCAGAGCCACGTGATGATGCGCACACACACACACACACACACACACACACACACGCACACACACACACACACACAGAGTGGCAGCAGACACAGTGGGAATGATTATGGTAATGATAATAATCATGGCTGTCATCACCGTCTCCTCCACCATGTTAAAAATTAATCTGAGTTAACGGTAATCCACGTCTCCTCATTAGATTACTGGTGTGGGTGGGGGGGGGGGGGGGGCTCACGGCCATCTGTACATCATTAACAGAGTCTCAGTGACAGCGCTCTCCTCTATCACCCACTCTTCATCTATCCATCCATCCATCCATCCATCCATCCATCCATCCATCCATCTGAATCATGTCGATGTTTCTCCTCTCTGTCCCTCTCATAGACTGTATTTACTACGGATAATTTGGCTCCGCCTCCCGCCTGTATACGGATTTGAAGACGAAAATTTCTCAATATTTCCACGAATTTTCTCCACTTCCTGAAACCGACATCGCGCAGTAGCGTTGTACAGTGGGAGAGTCGCCGAGAGTCGCTGTGATGAAGCTCGGCTCAAACAGCGTATCCCCCGGTGATCTACTCAATCTCTGTCCTCCCATAGGCTGTATCAGGTGTCAATCATAGAAAACATGAACCCCCTAATAACTTTTAAAAATGGAGCTGTACAGAAAAAAGAGGACTTGAGCACAAACCAGTCTTACAGTAACTACATGTCAACATTACAACTCCTGATCAGAGCTGAGATGATTCTTCACAGCAGGTGTCAGAGGTCAAAGGTCACTGACAGAGCTACACGGCATTAGTGCTGAAGATGAAAGTCGCTCTAAAGGACGAACAATAGATAGATAGACAGATAGATAGATAGATAGACAGACAGACAGATAGATAGACAGATAGACAGATAGACAGATAGATAGACAGATAGACAGATAGACAGATAGATTGATAGATAGATAGATAGATTGATTACTGGATCCGTTGGTGAGGTGAATTTCATGCGGATTACAGACAGCAGTAATTGTGAGAACTCACAAGAACCCACAGATTCACGTTCAATCTCACGATAACGAGTTGTCTCTCTAAAGACAGACACATAGACATATAAGCAGTAGATTGTGTCCTTCCAGAGGAGGAAATCTACTTCTAGACTTCTAGAATCAGCATCTCCTCATCCATGGTGTCATCGGGGTGAAATGACGTCTAAAAACCTTTCACTTGTTCGTCTCCGCCCGTTTGCATGGTGTGAAATATGATCCTCCTGAAACACGGAGTGTTTTATTTTGAAAAGAAGCCGGATGTTTTATTTTGAAGTCTGTGCCCGACTTCCTTTCCAGCACGGGTTAATCTGTGCTGAATTTATCCGCCACGCTTGGTTACGATCGGATGATACGACCTTTTAGGAGACGATGAGGATGAAGGTGGAAGTTTGGGGTGACAGGAGAGTCAACCTGAACCTCCAGTCATGCTGTGTCTGTTTTTTTACAGAAGGACTCTGACTTCTCTTTAGAGTTATTAATGAGACAGGACAACAAAAACACAGGACAGCCCCTCAGAGGTCCAGACTTTTTCTTTCAGAGTCTGTTTCACCTGGATGTGAAATCTTAAATCCATAACTTTGTTTGCTTGTAAAGCCGTGTTGTTGTTGTTGTCGTTGTTGTTCTTCTTCTTCTTCTCGTCCCTGCTGGCTGTTTCCTGGTGTTTACAGTCTGAACGCTGAGCTACATTCACCTGCAGGTACAGGTCTGTCGGACTGAACGCACAGACATACGAGTTGTAGATGTTGTTGTGTTTCCATGTTGTTCCTCTAATAAGACAGAAGCTGCAGACTGGACCAGCATGTAATTAAAGAGAAGGAGAGGGTGAGGATGAGTCCAGAGGATGACTGCGAGGCCCCTCATAATTGATAACATCTGTGCCTTTATTTCAGTCTGCTGAGGGCGAACTTCCTCCTCCTCTGTCTGCAGCACTAATTCACAATTCGACACACACCGAACTACAGTGAGGCGCACTTTTCAGGGCTGTTTTCAGCTGAACTCACAACATGGTCCATCTCTGCCTCTGCTTTTCAACTGTCAAGGCTTCCCCATCAAAACCCCGGCGCTGCTGAATGAGAGCGACAGCCGAGCGCTGCAGACTCAGGTGTGGTTTCACATCACTTTAACCTCAGACGGCGCTGCAGCTACCTCATCTCCTCCGCAGACGAGCGGCTCATCAACTTTTCCTGAGACGTTTCAGCCGCAGAGGAAAGTGTGGAAACAAAGAGACCGAAGTTCAGCTGCTGCTCCTCTCAGGCCTTTTGTCTCTCTGTCAGAGCCGCATCGATTTTTCTGCTGACTTTATAGACAGCTTGGAATATTATTAGGGGGCGGAGCCACAGCGCTCACAGTGTGTGTATGTGTGTGTGTGTGTGTGTATTGACAGATGGTTGTCATTGTATGAAAGCTGGTTTGCACATTCATGTAATGGAGGCAGAGAAACACAGCAAACATATGCAGCGGACAGCAGGACTCGCTGACTGGAACTAAAGGATGCTGCTGCACGTTCACAACGCACGCCAAACACACTCGGACCGCCGCCATCACATGCACGCTCGATAATATATGAGCAGCGTGAGCGTGTGACGCAGGTTAGTGAGGCTCATGCGTAATAACATGTAGAATAGAAACTGAACGTCCTCTCTGAGGTCGGGGTCGTGGTCTGACAGGGGTTTGATTCTGGACAGTGAGGGAGGTCAGGGGTCAGAGAGAGGGATGATGGGAGTGAGGTCTGGGCGTTAGTTAAAACCTCAGGATACATCATCACTAATACAGGGGTCTCACTAAGATACGTGTCAGGATACAATGTCTGTGTCGTCAACATTTGAACATTTTTGAGCGGTCCGCTCTTTCTGACTGTAAACAAAGCCGTTCTCCACCTCCTCTAACCTGATTGGTTGTGAGGCAGACGCTGCTTCCCCGTGTCGTTCAGGAGTCCAAACAAAGTTAGCGTGCTACAATATCGGACAGTAGAAACCAACCAGAAAGTTCGGAAAATTGTCTGAATCCTCCTTTGGACACGACTGCCGACACAAGCAAGAAAACACTCAAACATAAACAGTCAGCAAGAAAACAGTCAGCAAGAAAACAGTCAACACCAAACCGGTCAACAAGAAAATGGTCAACACCAAAACAGTCAACAAAAAACAGTCAACAAGAAAACAGTCAACAAGAAAACGTCAACTATAATCAGTCAACAAGAAAACAGTCAGCAAGAAAACAGTCAGCAAGATAACAGTCAACAAGAAAACAGTCAACCATAAACAGTCAACACCAAAACAGTCAACAAGAAAACAGTCAGGAAGAAAACAGTCAACATCAAACCGGTCAAAAAGAAAACAGTCAACAAGAAAACAGTCAACAAGAAAACAGTCAACCATAAACAGTCAGCAAGAAAACAGTCAACCACAATCAACAAGAAAACAGTCAACAAGATAACAGTCAACCACAATCAACAAGAAAACAGTCAACAAGAAAACAGTCAACCATAAACAGTCAGCAAGAAAACAGTCAACCACAATCAACAAGAAAACAGTCGACAAGAAAACAGTCAACCACAAACAGTCAACACCAAAACAGTCAACAAGAAAACAGTCAACAAGAAAATGCTGCTCCCCCGTGTCGTTCAGGAGCCCAAACAAAGTTAGCGTGCTACAATATCGGACAGTAGAAACCAACCAGAAAGTTCGGAAAATTGTCTGAATCCTCCTTTGGCCACGACTGCCGACACAAGCAAGAAAACAAAGTAAATACCGGAGACTCTGGAGGAATAACGGGCGCTTAAAACGGAGGTAGACCGGACAAGAGCTAAAAAGCCGGGTCAACATAAACGATGGGGGACGCTTGGGGATCTTGGTGACCCTGTAACCTTTCTGCTGGACAGGTAAACCGCTTTAACAAAGTAAGACAAGTGTCTGTAACAGAAGTGTTTCTTGTCAAACGGACCTGCTGTAGCGTGTTGTAGCGCCATCGCTAAACTGTCCTCCCTCAGGTCCTGGACTATGTCACTTTATCCTCGTTGTAGAAGTCCTGCAAACATTGACGATTTGAGCTTATAAACGAAAACTCGAGGCAGAGAAAATTCCTCCATCATTTTTTGTAATCGAGATACTCAAGAAATTGTTTCAGCGATCAAAACAATCAAAGTTATTCAGAACAGGCTGTTACTACAAAACCAGAATCTAACCTTCACTGATAACATCATTACATGTTAGATTAGTGTGATTTATCTGAGGGTTAACCCTGACCATAACACTAACCCTCATAAGACCAATTCTGCTCTGTTTCTGAAGGTAACTTCATATCTGAGCGGAGGAAAGTTACAGGTGGAGTTCCCCAGGGCTCCATCCTGGGTCCTCTTCTGTTCTACACCTGCATGCTTCGACAGGCCCGTATCAAAGACAACAACAGAACCAGCTCAGCAGCCACAAACACAGAAGACACACATTTATAATGATCATATGATGAGGACACAATAAACTCTCCTTCCCTCTTCACCACAGCGGCTCTTCTGCTCGATCAGACCAGTGTTTGGTTAAAGTGGAGAGTGAGGCTGTTGCAACATACTGGTAATAAAAAAGGTTCTTTAAAGAATTAAATATTAACACTGATTAAACACATCAAGAAGAAAAAAACATGAAGAAGAAACTTGAAAAACTCAGAAGACGATGGAAACAGAGAAGCAATAATGAGAGTCAGTCTGAGCTCCACCAACTCACTCTCCATTAGTCTGTGTTTGAATTCCTGTGTGTGTGTGTGTGTGTGTGTGTGTGTGTGAGAGAGTGAGAAGACCCCCACCCTCCTGCTGGCCCCGCCTCTCTGTGCGCAGCAGCCTAACCGTTCCTGACAGCCAGTGGCTCATTAGAGCTGCTGTTCTATGTTCCTACGTCCGACCGCTCGCTCCCTGTTTCCTGGACCTAACCCCCCAAACAATCCCTGTGTCCGTGTGTGTGTGTGTGTGTGTGTGTGTGTGTGTGTGTGTGTGTGTGTGTGTGCGTCAGCTGGCTATACTCAGGCCTGAGTTCGGACAGGCGCAGGGGACAGGGAGGGGAGGGAGGAGGGGAGTCAGGGCCTTTTCACCGGCACAAAGACATAATTAACCAAATTGGCAAATAGTTTGAGAAACCGCCTCCTGACCATTGTGTGGAGCCTTCGGTTACCATAGCAACCCCGAATTTGCTTGTATTTTATGTGTGTGTGTGTGTTGTGTCGGACGACCAAATTAAAAGTCACTAACGATTATCAACCACATCATCCAGGACCACACACACACACACACACACACACACACACACACACACACACACACACACACACACACACACACACACACACACACACAAACAGATTTTTTTTAGCTGAGTCATCTTCTCTCCTTAAATTACCGTAAATTCTGTAATATAGACTGTTTCCTTTTACCGCAGGATGAGTCAGGCCTTTATATGAAGCAGGCTTGTATTTGAGGCAGGCCTTTATTTCACTCTGAGTAATCATAAACTATTCTTGTTTTAGAACAAAGTGAGGACCTGATTCACTAAACCTGTGCAAGATTAACCCCCACATCCAGAATGGCTCCTATCCGCAACGGCGGCAAATTTTGCCGTCCGCCAATTCCTACCAGATCTGCACTCACGCGATAACGAGTTGTCTCTCTAAAGACAGACACATAGACATATGAGCTGTAGATTGTGTCCTTCCAGAGGAGGAAATCTACTTCTATACTTCTAGAATCAGCATCTCCACCAACATTAGTCCTGAAAGAAACACTATCGAGCCGACAGCGCAGTCTTCATTCATGTTGTCAGGATCAACTCTGAGTGATGAGGTCAGAGCGTGAAGTTAGGGCGCCACGACACACGACCAAACGTTAAAAACACCAACGAATCAAACGGCGAAGAATCAGCTGTTTGTTTCTGATGTGATATAAAGATGATCACATGACTGTCACCCTCATGGCTTCACACTTCTTATCCATCCCAGAGCTGTGTGTGTGTGTGTGTGTGTGTGTGTGTGTGTGTGTGTTTGTTATTGTGTCAGTCAGCTGACTCTCTGTGAGTCAATCAAACATCGATCACTGTAACAGTGGGACAGACATCAAGGACAAACTGCGTGTGGATCAATAAATGCACGGCTGCGCTGTGTGCGTGTGTGTGCGTGCTCGTGTGTGTGTGTGCGTGTGTGTGTGTGTGAGGTTGGAGCTGCTACAGAAACTAAAACACTCGGTATTCAAACCGCAGCTGCATAAGACATGAGTTTATCTATCAAATATAGATTTCAGAGCCGCAGCAGCAGCAGCAGAAGTTGTTTTGTTCTAAGTTTAGTCCAGAGAAAGTTGCTGCTGTTTTCCCGGAGTTACTGTAAGGTTGCGAGGTTTGTGTCTGTTTGTTTGTTTGTTTGTTTGTTTGTGTGTCTGTCTCTGCGTTGCGCTCTTCCTCCCGCCCGCCCGCCCGCCGACTCCAGCCCCGTTTTGAGGTTACTTTCTGTAAAGTTGTGCCTTTTGGCACCGAGCAGCGTTGTGGTTTGGGAGCTCGAAGCTTGGTTAAAGATAAACTTCAGGTCTGACTGAAGAGTTCACTCTTTCTCGCTCTCTTCCCCTCCCTCTGTCTCTCTCTCTCTCTCTGTTTCTTCCCCTCCCATCCCTCGCTCGGCCCCCAGAGTCACAACAAGAAGCAGCAAACAGCTTGTGCATCGTTCGTACCAGGAGAAAATGCCCCATTTTCATCTGTTTGAATCTGACATTTTTGGCACATTAAATATTGGACATTAATAAATTAAATGTAATGAACTGACATGAAAGGAGAAAAAAGTCCAATGGTACAATGCGAGGAAGTATAAAAGGCAAGAGTGCAAAAGGAGGAAGCAAAACAACAACTCCAAAGAAGGCGCAAACTTTTTTTCTTTAATTCCAATTAACTCTCGCCTTCTGCAGCCATCGGAGATTATTTTTCATGTTCATTTATTCAAACAAATATTGAATAATTTATCGCAGTGGGAATAACAACACGAGGAATCACAGCTCTGGGTGCTGGTGGAGGAGAGAGGCCCGTCTGTGAGGAGGAGAGAGGCTCTTCATTAATACGACTTATTGGTCATTTAATCTAATTAGACCTCCGCTGTCGGTTTTGTAAGAGTGAAAAAATCATCACAGCTGATCATCTGTGACCAGCGCCGCACTCACTTCCTGCCTGATTGGATTTATGTGGCGCTCTGAGCTCGGTCACATTATCTGTAACATCATCTCGTGTACCTTTGTGTGCTCATGAATATTTCACACCTGTACTTAGCGTAGGTGCTGCTCCTGTCTTATCTGTGTCAGTGTGTTTATGTGTGTCGCTGGCCTGTATGTAGGTCGCTGTAAGTGACACCCGGGGTCACACCCCATGATTGTGTTGCATAACATTTGGACTTCCACGGGTCTCTGAGTCCTCCTCTCTCCGCCCATCAGCCCACCTTTAAATCCACCTGCTGACCCACGGCGCAACGATTGATCGATTTTAGATCCTAATCGGATTATTTAATGATGACGATATTAGAATCAGAATTGTCCAATCGGTTTTCCTCTCTATCACGTCTCGCGCCTTTCGGCCACCGTAGGCTCCTCCTTCCATGCGGTTCCCACACACACCAGTGTAAACAAACATGGCGTTTGTAAAAGAAGGCGATAACTTCATGACGAGAGCGAGTCAGTTGTGTTGAAACGACTTCACAGTTTCAGATGAAGAGCAAACCACCAGAGATCTGCTGATCCGAGAGACGGCGGCGGCTCTCAGGTAACCAGACTTCAGGTGGTGCTCCAATTAAATAATCAATCAATCTTTATCCATACAGCGCCAAAACTAAACAAACGTTATCTCAAGAGGCTTCACAAAAAAAAGACGTGAGGATGAGATAAGATCGAGTCCCACTCTGATTTCATCTTCATTTATCAGCCTTTAGAAAGTCACAGAGGAGAGGAGAACCTCCTTTAACGGACAGAAACCTCGAGCAGAACCAGACTCATGGTTTTAAAACCTTCACTGACTCCGCCCCCTTCACACCGCCGGACAATCTGGTGAGAAGCTCTTTAAAACCGTCTGGTAATCGGCCCCAAACCTGCATGTGAACCCTGATCTTTAAATAAACTTGTGATACCTGTGATCTTATTTTTATTTTTACCAGAATGAAAAATGTTGAAAAAAACATACAAACAAAAAAAAGTCCTTGAGTCTGATCTACGGCCCCGAAGGTTTTCATTTTGGGCGATCACGGTTCGATAAGATGGTCATAAAAATAAAATCTCTCTCTCGGCGCATCGATCATCATTCCTGGATGTAAATTTCTGACATTGTTCAGATTTTTGAAGGTTTTCTAAAACATCTTTTCTGCTGAAGGACTCAGAGCAGAGGAGACTCTCAGGTTTTCAGTTCCTCAGAAATAAACTCCATGAATATGAACAGCTGTGGTGTCTCTCTTCATGCTGACCCGCCTCAGGACCAATTATCTGTTTCCTCTCTTCCTCCATTAGAGGTCCGTGAAGAGCTGACAGGTAGACACGAGACCAATCATCCGTCCCCAAACTAATAACAGCAGCGACCACGACTGACAACACGGCGTCCAATTTACATCGACGTCAGCGTCACAGAGGAGGTTAAACCGGCGAAGACAGACGAGTGTGGAGACCGTGAGGGAGAGGAAACCTTCAAAACCTGAAACTGCAGAAGTAACGTGTCACATGACCTGTTACAGCCAGAACACATGACTCAGTAACACGTTACCTGGTCCGACAGGTGAGTTAACCCGACAGAGAGACTCGGTCTGGACCAGAACTCTGAATATTGATCAGTGATCGAAGGAGATTTTAGGGTTCAGGTTTTCTGAAAACACTCTGAGCTTCTTCGTCTTTTTCTTCGTCTTCGTCTTTTTCTTCGTCTTTTTCTTTGTCTTCTTCTTTTTCTTCTTCTCCTCCTCCTCTATCTCTCCTGACTTCACTGACAGCTTGGCTCCACCACTGAGGTGCCAAAAAGTGGCACCAGAACCCCAGATCTCCCTCCTCCACCCGTCCTCCCCGCCCAGAACCTCCCCGTCACCCTCCTCTGGATCGAGTCCCCCTCAGAGGGTGAGGCCGGGTCTACACCGCTGCGATTACAGAACCAGAAGACACTGGAGTCCTACGACCAAACCAGAGGGGAGGAGGGGAGGAACGATGGCGGCGGAGGAGGAGGGGGACGGAGGAGGACTTCAAAAACCAACAACAATAACAAGAAAACAAACAAGAGAAAAAAACACAAGTGAGAGAAGAAGAAGAAGCAGCAGCAGCCAAGGTCCTCCGACTAATTAAGACGATGAGCATTTCTTATTTATGAGCTTTAATGAGCAGCTTTTCAATAGTTTGTTTTTGCCTAATATGAATATTTCCTTTTCATTATCGAACACAGACGAACTCTCTCATTCTTTCCAATAATCACATCCTGGATTTTCTCCTCCGGATTCTTCGCTTTTAGTTTCTTTGTTTCTTTGTTTTTCTGCAGATGAACTTCGGAGAGTTTCAAAGATCCAGAGAGTCCGAGGATTCCACGGCCTGAGCGGTTAACGCCGAGGTTTGAGTTTTAGAGTGATTATTATCACCTGAGAGAGAGAGAGAGAGAGGGAGAGAGAGAGAGAGAGAGAGAGAGAGAGAGAGGGAGAGAGAGAGAGAGGAAGGCTGCAGGGTTTTTTCATTTTTATCATTTCTACAAAGATCATTAAATTACACACGGACAGAGAAGTTCATTCATCAAAAATCTCATTTATGTGATTCTCTCAGTCAGACTGATATTTGTGGACTGATTTGAAGACCTGAAGCAGATTCAAACTGTCCTCAGTCCACATGCAGACCTGGACCTGGACCCTGAACAGGATAAAGTCACGGCGGTACGATGGTGTGAAAACCCTGATCCGGTCTCAGACAGACCTCCTGGATAAAAGTGTCTTTCTCACACTAACAGGCAGCCGTTCATGATCAGGTGTTTCTCCTCTTCTCTGTTTTTAACCCATTATGAGTCACAGAGCGCCAAAAACCGGCGTGCAGCGAGGGCGGATTGATTGTTTTCAGCAACATTATCATCCCCACCAAAAAAGGAGACACGATCGATGATCAGAAGTTCATCACAGTCGTGTTTACCTCCCGCTGAAAAGACCAACGATCCTCTGATCGTCATTAAAACCAAATCATCATCCAGACAAACCGGGCCCAGAGCCGGATCCACTCAGACCCCCGTGGGTGAAAACCAGGAGAGGGATCGATGTGTGTGTGTGGGGGTGGGGTCAATCTACAGCAATTCATCTGTGTGTGTGAGTGTGTATGAGAGAGAGAGAGTGTGTGTGTGTGTGTGTGTGTGTGTGTGTGTGCGCGCCCTGTCTCTGAGGCCATATGTTCGACTGTAATTACACACACTCTTCCTCTCTGTCAGGTTGGACTTCCTGTATGTTTGTTTGAAGTAGGTTTGGGTGATTCGGTAAAAAAAATGATCACGATATATTTCGTCATATCGCCGATCTCGATTATTATCACGATTTTTCTTTAAACTGTCAGTTTTAAATCATCTGAACTAAACACTAAAGAAACTGGAGATTAGTTCAAGATTTTATGAACATACGAAGTCAATAAAGAAAATTCAATAAGATAAACAGAAAAATATTAAAAACATTTTAATTCAGTAAAACAAATGTAGATAAAAACTAGATAACAGTGAGCTTGTTCACAGTCTGAGTGTTTCTGCAGGAATGAAAGAAAAATAAACAAATGTCCCCTCAGAGAGAATGAAGACGCCTTAAACTGTCAACATTAGATGATGTAAACGTAGATGAGATGATTGATTGCTTTGGTCTGGTGTCTGTACCGCTAGTTGTAGCTAAACTGCTAATGCTACTCGTGTTTTCAGCAGTGACAGGCTGTACAGACTCCGCCCACATTTTCATACTTTCCTCATAATCACTCGGACTAACCGCCGACATACCTTACACATCGGCTTAATTGCTCAACATCACTTTGGAGATACCTGAACCACCGCCACACAACCGACGATCAATAACTTCTCAACAATAACATCTTTGGAGGATGATAAAGTCACGGCTGACATCTATTCTGCTGCCCTCAGCTCCATGTTCGGTCAGTCTGTTTATTTCTCCTTACAGAAGTGAGCAGGAAAAGCTCGACTCTGATTGGCTGTTGTGACCCAAATTTCCACCATGTTTGATCGGGTAAATACGCTCACGGCTGATCACCGTGATCGAACTGAAACTTATCACAATCATCGATCATGATCCTATAATCGCCCAGTCCTCGTATGAAGTGTGTTCTTCTGTGTCCAACCTGAAACTAACTTCACCGCAGTATTTACAGGAAAAAAAACATTTGTTTCCTCGGCGGATTTGTTTTTTTGCACATGTGACCCTAAATATATTTTACAATTCACACACATCTATTTTTAGTCATAAATGTGAGTGAAACAGTCGCACTGTGGAGTCCTGGTTTAGGTTAGGACAGGTCTGAGTCTGATCCCGTCTTTACATCAGAGTCTGATCTAGACCAGCTTTTCTACGTTAAACATATTTAAGAAAACTCTCGTCGTGAAATGGCGAAATAGACCCCGCCCTGTAGACCCCACCCTGTAGACTCGGCCCTGTAGACCCCTCTCCACATTAAGCCCTTCTGTGCTGTGAGTGAATTCATCAACTGTGTGTCCATAATTTCTCTGTTTGGTTTTGATGTGATTTATTCTGTTGTGTGTTTTCTGTGTGTGTGTGTGTGTGTGTGTGAGGGTGATGAGTTGTGACAGGTGTTGTGGCCGCTAGTGCAGTGGGAGGAGGCGGGGTGTTGGTGGGGGGGGAGTAAACGAGAGCAACACAGATGATTATTTAATTACTGTCTAATACTCCGCACCCCTCCCTCCCTCCCTCCCCCTTTACTCCTCCTCTCTCTATCTTCCCCTTCTCTTTCTCTCCCACTCTCTTTGCCCCCCAGCCCTCCCCCACCACTCACACACACACACACACACACACACACCTCCTTCCTCCGTTTTCATCCTTTCTTTATTAATGAACAATCCGGGCCTTTCTACAAATCCACCGGGGCTTACTGCACCCCCCAGACACTCTGTGTGTGTGTGTGTGTGTGTGTGTGTGTGTGTGTGTGTGTGTGTGTGGTAAAAAGGGGGGTCTAGTAGGCTTCTCTCTTAGGAGGATTCACACAAACACACAGAAACACACACACACGGAGAAACACAAATTTCCAAACCGATCAGCGCCTCTACCTTCTGCGTCTTACATTGCCTTAAATTAATGCAAGCAGGATACGTGTGTTTGTGTGTGTGTGTGCGTGTGTGTGTTTGTGTGTGTGTGCGTGTGTGTGGTTTGTGTCTATGTTACTCAGATCTTTTCCTTCATGCATGTATAAAGTAGAAGTTTGCAAACACAGTTTAGTCTCAGCTCACCTCGTCTCGGGCCTGTTACACACTCGTGCATGTGTGTGTGTGTGTGTGTGTGTGTGTGTGTGTGTGTGTGTGTGTGTGTGTGTGTGTGTGTGTGTGTTCAGGTGAGTGTCAGTGTGTCATGTTGCCGCTGACAGTGACAGTGTGTGTTGCGTCACTCTAACCCAGTTCTGTCCTGATGGCGGTCTGCAGGAGTGCAGCGGTTGTGTAGAGTGTGTGACGCGGCAGCAGGTCCTGACAGTCTGCAGAAACAACCGAGAGGAGATCAGAAGAGGGGATGGAGGTCGCCACGGAGACCGCTCTCGCTTTACAACACCACCAACACCACCACCAGACCGGCTTCACTGAGAGGAGGAGGGAACAGAGGCCAGTGTGTCAGGGTGAGAAATAAAGTCGAAGTGATTTATGATCCAGAAAAGTTATAATCAAAGTCGAACACTGAGAACAGAAGAGAACGACTGACTGAGAGCGAGATCACCGCCTACTGATGACCAAAACAACAACAGCTGATGATTAAACAGCTGATGATTAAACAGCTGATGATTAAACAGCGCCTACATGTCATAACACAGTGGTTCTCAAGTGGTGGGTCCGACCCAAAAGTGGGTCACGTACATGTTCTGGACAGGTCGCCAACCGCTGGTCAAAAAGTAAATATTTAATGCGTAGCTGATGTTTGACATGTGTTTTATTTTGAAAAATACCTTATTTTGAAATGCATAAAAGTCAAATTTTTAATGTTGTTGGTCTCCATTTTGTGTAATTTGATATTTTCTGTATATGTAACTTCAGTAGTTGTCATCCTCAGTTCATGTGTTGTGTATTTATGTTAAATATATATTTACGCCTTTTTTATCATAGCTACTTAAAGATTTTATTTTCTTTTTTAATTAATTTGTTTGGTTTGAATTCTATTAAAGTGGGTCGCCACTAAAGGATTATGGGAAAATGTGGGTCCCAGAGTGAGACACGTTGAGAACCGCTGACATAACCTTCAGTTTTAGTAGATCTGACAGGATACAGACTTTCACCTCACCGTCAAACTTCAATATAACTCATAAAACATTTGAATCTCAGGCTTTTATTTTGAAATTCTACATGCAGACCTTTGGTGACTGATTTAAGGTCATCTGCAGCCTCAGTTCGATTTGACAAAGGGGAGGTGTGACCTTCTCTGATCGCTGCTCTGGTTCCTCCATCGTCTCTCCTCTGAACCTCTGAGAAGTCAATAATAATCAATAATCTGATTCATGGTGATGATGTCAGAGCTCACTGATTGGTCAATATTAAACAAATTCAAATCTGTTTTTCTGATTAATTATAAACACAGAACAGTGCTGTGATATTTTTTTCTACTTCTTTGATAAAAAAGCTTTTATTTTGAAGGAGACGCCATTATTGAACCTTTTCAGTGTCCACTCTGTCTCCTCTCACCTCACCTCGCTCTTCTCACCTCACTCTCTCACCCCTTTTCTACACCTCACCTCTCACCTCACCACTACATCTCCACACCTCCCTCCCCTCGCTCCCGCTCCCACTCCCACTCCTCCCCGTCTTCCCCTCGCCTCCTTCTCCCCTCGCCTCCCTCCCTGGTTAATAATTCAGCAGCCGTGCACACATGAGTGGTCATCGGCCAGCTTCACATGAGGGATCTGGAGGACAAATGAACCAGAAGGGTGGAGGAATTAAAAACTTCCCCACGGCTCCACTACAGGGCCGGAGGAATCTGCCGCCGTCTGTGCGTCCTTTCCCTCTCCTCCCCCGGCCGCTAAATGTTAGCACGCCTTTTTCTGGGTGGGGTGGGGTGGGTGGGGGGCTTTAAATGCTAAGTATGCCCTGAGTGGGGAGGTTGCAGAGTGGGGACCGCCTGGTGACATTTTGTCTCTTCACAGAGCTCGTCCCCCATTAGAGATCTGCAGAGACCCGCTTTGTGTCGGCGTGGACGCGCTGGTCTCAAAGACAAACATGCGAATGATAAACACGAACACGGTCCAGCACGCCGACATTTACCCGTGTGAAGAAAGACGCTCATGAATAAAGCAGCGCCCTTTCAAAATAAAGTACATTTACATGATTTTCCTGTAAGGACTGAATGTTACAGAGAGGGATGAACTTCAGGACCTAAAACAGGAGGGGGTGAAAATACGTGACGGGGATTCATGTGTTCATATGTTCTATAATGTTAATGTTGATGAGTCATCATGTCACATTAAAATATCACTGATGTACCTGAGAGCCAAGCGTCCCAAAAACTGGACACGGTCTCTGAGGACCATCCCCCCTGAAGTTTAAAATAAGGGTTAAATCGTGACGACACACGACCAGGAGATGGAAGAGACGCCAAGTTAGACTGAAGGATGCTGCGTCTCCATGGTAACCACTAACAAAGCCTCCGTTACCAACCAAATATTGGGCCACCGTACCCGAATAATAACAGGTCTACTGTTGTTTTAATCAAGTCCAGGACCAGGACCAGGCTGGAACCACGTCATGAACCCGGGTCTGTCCTCCATCGCTTCAGTCATATTTTAATCCCCGCCCCCTCAGCCGTCAGGACTTTTACTACATCGAGTCTAACTTCACAGCTCAGCGCTGTCACTTCCTCAAACCATCTATCCTCCATCTTGGCGAGTTTGAGTCCACGCCGCAGAGATGGCGTGTTCTCCATCATGGAGGGCGGCCCTCATTCTCTGTTGACTGAACCTCGTTGTAAATAAACAAGGACAAGGAAGGACGAGTCAGCGACAGGCCGACTGAGAGGAAGAGGAAGAGGAAGAGGAAGAGGACGAGGTGTGATCTGTTCCTACATCCTCTGGATTTCACCACGGCAACCGTCCTGTCAGTCAGAGCGCCAAGGAGCAAGCATATGTCACAGCACGGTCGCTATGGCAATGACAGGCGCACTGATGACTCAATGTGACACATGGAAATACAACAAACAGACTGCAGGCCCACAAACACACACACACACACACACACACACACACACACACACACACACACACACACACACACACACACACACACACACACACACATGAGTCAGAGAGGCGCTGAGAGACATGATGATACCAGACAACACAAATAAAACAACACACTGGCATATGCACAACAACAGCACACACACACAGAGCGCACACACACACACACACACACGCACACACACAAACATTTATTAAAGGAACGACTGAACGTCCCTTTAAATCAAACAGGAAGTCAAATTAATGAACCTCATGGAGTCAAGAGGAGCATTAAAGGAGGGCGCCCTGTAAAAACCACAGAAGAAGAAGAAGAAGAAGAGCGGCAAGCTGGCGTCACTCTGAGGCATCATGTGACATCACAGGGTGGAGCAGGAACAGCCAATGACACGCTGCCAAAGCACAGCACATCAAATAATGCATAGGTTAACACCCTGAGGATGAACACAACTACACACAACTACACACACATGGACCTGCATCACACACACACACACACACACACACACACACACACACACACACACACACACATAAAGACAGCTCTGTCTAAAGTGTGTGTGGTTCAGTGTTGGTCCTGTCAGTATATGATCCATTTTTGCTTCTTTTTAATAAATTTGACATTTTAATAATAATAATAATAAAACTTTATTTTTTTAAAACATTTTTATTTTAATGAAGAATTAAAAAACTGTCATCTGAGAAATCCGACGCTCTGACTCTCCACAAGTCGTCCTTCAGGTCTTTATCTTTGTAATATTTGTGTCTTTGATCAAAAATCACTCTGTTCTCCGACACGTAAACAATCAGCCGGTCGGCCATGTTGGATAGACCGGTGAATCTGACGTCACAACAACACGCAATCTGATTGGTCAGAAGTGGACACACAGTATGAGAAACTTTAGAAAAATCGACCGTGAACCAAAAAAGTAAATGCAGTAATATCACAGGACGGGAAAACGTCGCTGATGTGACGCTTGTATTGACAGGATACGGGTTAAAAAGAATATTGACGTCTGAAATAATCGCACAGAAAAACGCTCCCGGTGTGAAAGGAGCTTAAGACTCGATAACAACAGTCATCAACTGATATGCAAGAGACACAAGAACTCCGCTGCACTCGGTGATCGACTCGTCAGGGCTCCCTCACAAATGGGACATAAAAAACGCTGTGCACAGATGCTGTCAGGAGGACAAAGAGCAGAAATATGGATGCAAATTAAAGTATTTGTACACGATATCGATGCAAAGTTTTCAATATCATACCAACATCCCGTGATTTCCATGTTCTCCAGACGCTCTTTACGGAGTTTATGTTAAATGTTTCTCCATCCTGTCAATCCTCCATGAGGCGTTTATTATTCCAGGCGAATCAAACATGGATTTATATTGTTGAGGAGACAAAGCTGAAGAGTGGATCACAGAGACGATCTGAATAGGAAACATGAGCTCAGCTCTGATTTTTCTTCCTCCACACGAACAAAAGCAGCATTAGTGCAGAGAGATGAGAAACACTCGTCTTTCCCTGTTTTTGTCCGCCTGAATACAGCGAGTGTAACACTGATGCCGCTGTGCTGAAGTACATGGATATGGTTTTTGTCAATATTTGGCAGCAGCAGCAGCAGCAGCGGGTCTGCTCGTAATCTCACAGGTAATCTTAGACGGGACACCTGCTCCATTGTGGAGGAGAAAAACCACTTCTACTGTCCAACACCTCCAGGAAACCCGCTGTGAAGGTGTGAGGACATGAGAACGGGTTTTTGGACTTTATCTGTTCCCAGAAAGGTGGGTCTGCCGCAGGTGACTAAACCAATCAGGACAGACCCGTTTAGGAGGACACGTCATGGTTTTGGGTGAAGAGGCTCGGCTGTGGAGACTCTCAGTGTCCGGGTAAAGTGTCAAGAGAGAGGGGACTTGTGTCCACGTTGGGTCCAGTGGGTGTGCTGGTTTAACGAAGAGGCGTGGTCAAGGTCAAAGGTGATGCAAGGTGGTATTTTTGAGGAAGCAGACCCACAAAAACCTGGTCCGACTTTAGAGAGCGTGTTACTGAAACAAGAGTTCACGTCAAAGCCGCGCTCGCTCTCATGAGGTCTCTTGTTCGTTTCTCATTTTGCAATCGTTGTTGTTGTGCCAAGAAACGCACGCCCACCGAGAACTGCATCCACCTTGCAAAAACGCGCACCACTCATAGTCGAGTGGTCCATGAAAATGTACGATTTCAAACCCACAGAGTTCTTATTTGTTGGGATAAACAGTGATGAGGAATGTTTCCAAAGTCATTCCCGGCGTTTCTTAGATACATCGCCATGACGACCCTCAAACGATATATCGTGCAGCCCGACACACAGCTCAGGGGTTTTTGTCCAGTCCTCATTCCTGCCATTTTTATAGAGACTAAAGAAACCAGAGGGAGACCAGAGTCCACCAAAGTCCACCTTCAGGGCGAAAGTAAACCTGTTTGCAGTCTGGTTCAGACATGGTCTTGGCTCGGTGGTCCGGACTTTCAGGTGTTTCAGGGCTCGATGTGAGGGACCAGAGTTCATGGTGCCCTCTCTGTGTTTTAGGGGTCAGCACCTTTATTTTCTCTCCTTAAACAGCGAACTTTGGTCGGACACGCCTGTTAGATCATCTCCATGTTAGATGGTTTAAACAGAAATCCTCTGAACCGCCGGTTCACCTTCTACCTGGATTTTCTTTCCTGATGTTTAACTTGAACTTCAGCTTCGAGCAGAAATTCTTTCTGTGGTTTGAAAAGAAGCTTCATTCAAATTTCATGTGGTCTAAGTACAGTAGGAGAGAGAGAGAGAGAGAGAGAGAGAGAGAGAGAGAGAGGGATGGAGGGATGGAGAGAAAAGCCCTCACATGAGAGCGGAGGAATGAGCTTTACATGTAGGTTTGTCTAGACACTCAGGGCATCTCCGGCACAAATGGAGCACTTTACAAGACAGACCCACCCACGAGTCTCATCCTCTGAACCTCCCTCCATCCACACACACACACACACACACTCACACACACACACTCCTCTTACTAAAAACACACATCTTCATCACTATGATCTGTCTGTTTCAGATTGTCTCCTCGGGCGATGGGGGGATGGGAGGAGAGGGGAAGCCTTCGCCACATTCCTTCACTGACACGCTCCTCTCTGCTTTTCTTCTTCTTCTTCAGCGTTCATCGCCGTTGTTGTTGCGTTCGTTTTGAGGGGGGCAGGGTGGCGAGTCCTCTCAGCTCGAAACCGTGTCAGAGGATGTGGACGAGAACTCGACCTTCAGAAACCAGATTAAAAATGACCTTTTACTCGCCATCAGCTGTCGAGACGCCCGGTCAGATCTCTGTGACGTGTTTGGTTGTGGAGGTCGTGGGGTCGCTCACCTGTTTCCTGTTTATTAGTCAGTCTGTTAACGTTCACACAGCCCTGCTTTAATCAACATGAGGAGACCAGAGTCAGGGACCCTCCAGTAAGATGAAACCTGATTGGTCCCTGTCAGCAGGTCTGATGGTCTGATGGTCCAACCAGTGACATCACACGATCTGATTGGCTGTGGGTCAACATCACATGACTCACACACTTTAAACTTTGGATGTGACGTCATTTCCAGCCCCGACTTCTGACTTCCGAGGTCTCTCAAACGCAGCGTATGGTAGTCAGTTTTGACCTGTGTCCGCCAGTACGGCAACTCCACTGAGACAAACTACCTCACAGCGAGGAAACTCCGGCTGTAAACTACCTGACATACAGCGGATCGGGATTAATGAACGCTGTCATACAGTCTGGTCCCTACAGCAGCTTGAAACCCTGAGATTTAGAGCTCCCCCTGCTGACCGGCTGCAGAACGGGTCATAAATTCTGCCAACAGAGACGCAAAGATTCGATCTGCACGTCTCATAAATTCGGGACGTTTTCTTCGTGAGCGTGGACGTTTAAAATCCGACAGTCGAGTTTAATTGAGAGTTTAAAAGTAAATTATAGTTTTTATAAATATTTCCCTCCACAGAAACCGAAGGAGGCGAATCACAGAGAGACGAAGTGTTTGGAGAGGAAGACTGATTTACCTGCAGGTTCAAATTACAGACGGTGTCATAATTGTTAGTGCGTGTCGGGGTGTGTGTGTGTGTGTGTGTGTGTGTGTGTGCTGCCAGTACAATGATTGGGGTTATCCATTATTGATGATGTCCTGATGAGATCAATCAAGCCTGAGTTTTCTCGTCTTTTGGCTGCTGAAGCTGATAATAACGCCGTTATGACATACTAATCGTCATGTCATGAATATTTAAATCACAGGGAACACACGCTCCATATTCATGACCTCTCCGTGTTTTTGTTGTGCTTTTTTTTCTCCTGCCGTCTGGAGAGACACCCCCCATCATGATTCTCCCTCTTCACTCTTTCATTATCGAGCCGCTCATGTCTTCATCTTCTTCTCTGTGTTTTAAACTCTGGAAGCTCCTCGTCAGTTTGCACGCCGGCGCTCTCCTCCTCAGCCGTGACCAGACGTCCACAGAGGACCGAACCACATCTCTGCAGCATCCCCATCTCTTCTTCTCCTCTTCTTCTTCTGCTGCTGCTGTATTGTTGTTTTATTTACCTCTGAGACAAAGAGCATATTTATTCATGACTCACACAAAGTGCCTGTAAAATAAACATTTGTTTCCTCCTAATGAAAAGCGTGTTTCTGAAATGAGTTGTTTTGTTTCCTGCTCGACCCCGAATAACTCGCTCTGGATAAAACAAACGTGTTTGTTAATAAAAAGGCAATAATGCGATGGCTTACAGTGTAAATGCATTTGTTCCAGCAACTATCCTGTGGAGGCGCATCAGTAATAATTCATAAACAAAAGAGCTAACTGTGTTCATAATTCATAAGAGGAGAAACATATACACTCCAGTCGACGACGACGCTGCTGCAGCTCGCTGGGCCGGCGTGCGGCAAACGAAGTGTCCTAAATTAGAGTTTGACGAGAAGAAACACGAGGATGTTTTTTTTTTTTAAAGAGGGAAAAAAGTTTAAAAAGTTATTAAAAAAATAATAATTCAACAAAATCTGTAAAAACTTTAAAATTTCCTGCTGCTGAAAAACTAAAACTCACGATTCTTAAAGACTATAAACATGTAAATATGTTATCAGACAGACACGGACGGACCGACGCTCAGATCACAGGTGTGTGTGTGTGTGCATGAAAGTGTGTGTGTGCATTGTGTAATAAATACTCTTTAAAACACTCACACATCAGTTCATAATAATAATAATAATAATAATAATAATAATAAGATCGTCGTTTAGTTTCTCCTCTTAGATTTCTGTGTTTGTCTTTAGTTTGTTTCTGTTTCTCTGGGTCTGAAGCTGCTGTCTGCTAACACACACACACACACACACACACACACACACACACACACACACACACACACCCATCACCCCCTACTCCTGATAGGCCAGAGGGGTTCCATTAGCCCAGACCACCTGCTGTGAAACACCCACTCATCCTCTCTCCCTTCACTCGCTCACACACACATGTCCACACACACACACACACACACACACACACACACATGTCCACACACACACTCAAGCTCACTCTCACGCACTTGTGCAGAAACCTCCCGTCCTCCCTGACTCACAGTTTCTGTCTGCCGAGTATCAAACTACTAAAACATGGAGTCTGTTTTTAATGTTCTTCTTACTTTACAGCCTTAAAATAAGTGTTTGTGTTTCTACTGCAGCCAAAGGAAGATTATCTTATATAAAATAATATTATAATAAAGAATTTATGTTTCTAAAAACTGAAAATCTGAGAGAAATGTTTGATTTCATCGTTTCACTCGATGTCAGTAAAATAATTTCAACAATCTCAGGAAGACTCTGTCCTTCAGTCCTTAAACATTTATGCGTTTACCTGCTGAGAGGAGTCGTATTTCAGAGACTGAGGGTCTGTGTTTACACTGTTAAGTAACAGTGAAAACTGCACCTCACTGAGGGCCGTGCAGAGAGAGACCGCAACGACCGAACCAAAGAGTGTCGGGACACAGACATCGATCAGATACAGAGAAACTTCTGTCCAAACCTCCTCCTTCTCCTCCTTCTTCTCCTCTTGTGTCCTCCTTCCTTGTCCTTGAATTTCATTTCTCTGCACCCCTCCTCCTCCCTCTCTCCCTCCCTCTCACGCCCCTCCTCGGATCAGCAGCCGTGGAGAAGACGAGGCGATGCGCTGCAATTACTCTAATTGGTTGTGACTTCTTCATTTACATGACAAGTGCACGGCGGTCCTGGGAACCAACGGCCTGCTTTCTGCACCCTGTCGCAGCTCTGGTCAGCCCGGGACCTCCGTCCTGTGAGCTCCAAGAGGGGAGGGGGGGACTATGAGGAGACAAAGGGGGTCTGGCATTGGATGGTTTGGGGGTTCCTCGTGGGTGCAGGGGTCCCAGACCGCAGGAGTAGGTGAAGGTTGTGGAGTGATCAGGAGGAGGACTCTGAGGATCTGACTGGTGAGAGTTTTGTGAGAAAAGTGGTGATGATGAGAAAAGACGAGACAGCAGATCAAGTTCAGACGCTCGTCCAGATCTGAGGCTAAACCCTGATCCTGAAGTCCCCGTGTCCCCGGGTTAGGGGGACTTGGGGGAGTTTTACTCCTTCTGGGGGGTTGAGGGTGGTGGGATTGTTGGCTGGACGCTGAACAACAATGTTGTCTGCTTCTCAGCATTCCTCCTGCTCATCGTCACGCTGCTGCTGCCACCTCCACCGCCGCCGCCGCCGCCGCCGCCGCCACCCCAACAGGGCAGCAATCTCAAACTGCGAAACTTCTCATTAGCGTGGCTGCTGCGCACAAATGCCTGTACACACACCAACCCTCTGTCTGTGTGTGTGTGAGTGAGTGTGTGTTCTGCAGTGTTAGTTTAAGCATGATGAGTGTACTCAGCTGAGCCATTCTTATGCTAATCCAGGAGTGAGGTATTCACTCTGGTGGGCGGCTCTCATGTTTGCTTTGCAGATAAAAAGGAGGTTTATTACCAGCTAAAGTTCACTTGTCAAGACTAATCTCATTTAAACAGCCAGAGAGCCTGAACACACACACACACACACACACACACACACACACACACACACACACACACACACACACACACACACACACACACACACATTACTCAGTATGTCTGCAGTAAATCACGGTTTCTTTGAGAACATCTACACCTCCATCTACTGTGATCAAGAAGGAGTGAATCAAACTCACCGACATGAAACTACAAATCATCGAGATTTTTATGGTTTTCAGATGATTTCAAACCAACTTTGTCCAACAGGTTAGTCACATGACTCTGGAGTGGGAATCAACGCATGGAAAGGACAACTGGACTTAGTCGGAAACATCTAAACTGGACTTAGTTGAGACGTTTCGAACTAAGTCCAGTTGTCCTTCCCATTTAAAATTAGAAATCACTCAGTCCGTTTCCATGACACTCAAGAAAACTGAATTATCGCCTTATTCCGATAAAGACCGGACAACTGAAGGTCATGTAAACACCTTAGTCCGACTGTAATCAGAGTTTGAGAACTCCGATTAAGACACCAAGATTTGATTTTCTCTACCATGTAACCAGCGTAGTCGGAGTATGAAGCCACGCCCCCGTAACCCCGTAACAAAACCCCCAGAGTAGAGGAGTAGCGTTGGTCTCATCTTTAGAAAAAGTAGCGCGTCCATCATGTCGGACAAAAACAACGCTGTACGATGCTCCATCTTCTTGTTTCTCCAAAATGCCCAGCAGCAGTTGTAGACACTTCTGAATACGAGGACAAGGAGAGAGTCTGATTCAGAGAAAAAGACGAATTATGAGTTTAGTCGATTAAACTGTGACTGTAAATGTACTGACTGACAGCTCAGAGAATCACGATCAATCACGTCTATTACTTAAAATATTTTAATCACCTTTGAATAAAAAACTTCTCAGAAATGTCCTCCATCTTTGACGGAAGATAAATGTTCACAGACACCATCCAAAGGTTACTGTAGTTCATCATCAGCTGTTTGTTAACTGGTTCGTTGGACTGAAAATGCTTCCCTTCCCTTTCCTTTATTCGGCAGAGTCCGATCTTCAGTCGATGTCTCGGCTCGGACTTTAAACAGAGACCAGATCTTTCCAACACTCAGACTCGGTCCTTCACTGACAGATTTTGTATTTTGATGAGGAGTTGTTCTCGCTCCTCCTGGGGGATCCTGAGGCGTTCCCAGGCCAGATGAGATTATATTCCCTGCAGCATGTTCAGCGTAAACCCCGGGGCTGAGACCAGTTGGACATGCCTGGAAAACCTCCAAAACAGAGAAGGGGGACCAGGAGGCACGCTGATCTGATGCCAAAACCACCTCAACCCTCTCTTTGAGCCGCTCCACTCAGAGCTGCATCCATATGTCTGAGGTTAGGGTCTGACGCTGTGAGCGTGCCCCGAGTTTTCACTCATGAAGCTGTGCCAACGCCATGATGGTTATCACAGAGCCTCACTGATGGTTTATGTGGTCATCTGAAGATTTAGAAACAATCAGGTATCAACATTTCTGACAGAGGCTAAGGTAAGCAGCAGGCCGGTCCGTTATTCCCAATTTTCATGGCTCCGGAAGAGCGGCGATTTTTGTTGTCCGTGAATTCCTTCTGGGTCTGTTTAAGAGGCGAATTTCATGGTGGATAACAGACAGTGGTAATCTGAGAACTCACAAGAACCCACGGAGTCTCTATGAAGACTGACACATAGACATATAAGCAGTAGATTGTGTCCTTCCAGAGGAGGAAATCTACTTCTAGAATCAGCATCTCCTCATCCATGGTGTCATCGGGGTGAAATGACGTCTAAAAACCTTTCACTTGTTCGTCTCCGCCCGTTTGCATGGTGTGAAATACGATCCTCCTGAAACACGGAGTGTTTTATTTTGAAAAGAAGTTGGATGTTTTATTTTGAAAAGAAGCCGGATGTTTTATTTTGTGTCTGTGCCCGACTTCCTTTCCAGCACGGGTTAATCTGTACTGAATTTATCCGCCATGCTCCGGCGTCCAGAAAAAATAGAACTCTTGTGATCAGCTGAGGAGTCCGGCGATCCGCAGAGGAACGGAAAGAAGTCGGTGTAAATTGACACGTTAACTTGAATGGTTACGATCAGCTACGATCGGAGGATACGACCTTTTAGGAGATGTTCCGGTGAAATTTGGGGTCACCAAGACAACAATAAACTCTGAAGACATGAAACTGTTTCAGTCTGCCCCTGCTGGATGTTTCAGGAACTTCCTCCAACCAGTCGGTTCAGGCTTATCGGACCGTGATTGGCTCTCATGACCAACAAATAAAACACGATCTGACTTCCAGCACCGTGTAAACTCAGATTAACCCTTCACACTGGTTTCAGGTTTTAAAAATCAAGATAATATAAAAATCATAGATCTTTACACTGGTGAGGACCATTGGCTTTTGGAGGACATAAAAAGATCTCCAAACAAACTCCTGTCAATCATGTCGAAAAACTCCTCACAGGAGCTTTAACTGCAAATAGATCTCTCACATAGATCACAGCTCTATAATAGAAGCTGTAGAACATGTTCATGTAGATCTCTCACATAGATCACAGCTCTATAATAGAAGCTGTAGAACATGTTCATGTAGATCTCTCACATAGATCACAGCTCTATAATAGAAGCTGTAGAACATGTTCGTGTAGATCTCTCACATAGATCACAGCTCTATAATAGAAGCTGTAGAACATGTTCATGTAGATCTCTCACATAGATCACAGCTCTATAATAGAAGCTGTAGAACATGTTCATGTAGATCTCTCACATAGATCACAGCTCTATAATAGAAGCTGTAGAACATGTTCATGTAGATCTCTCACATAGATCACAGCTCTATAGTAGAAGCTGTAGAACATGTTCATGTAGATCCCTCACATAGATCACAGCTCTATAGTAGAAGCTGTAGAACATGTTCATGTAGATCTCTCACATAGATCACAGCTCTATAATAGAAGCTGTAGAACATGTTCATGTAGATTCTGTGAGTTCGGATTAGAAACTTCATGACTCCTCTTTTATTCGTCTGTCTGTTTAATCTCCTCTGTGTGTCTGACCCTCTTGTTCCCCCCTCTGGTGATCTCCACAGGGTCTGACCTGACGTGAGGTCAATGATGTCAGTCTTGACCTGTGGTGACCCCTGTGAGGACCCTTGACCGCTGAGAGCTCCAACAATAGAGTGTCACCCTCGGGGGTGAGGAAGAGGAGAAAAGGGACCGTGACGAGCGGTAAAACAAGTCTTAAACTCACCTCCTTTATTCTTCTTCTCTGATGGTTGGGGTCTGACTCCGGGTTCAGGTCCAGTCCGGGTGTTTCCAAACATCAGCGCTCGGTCGTCTGAGGAGGTCACTGAGACTCTGAAGCTGGTTAGGAGACAGGAAATAAGAGAAGGAAGGAGGAAAGGATGAGTGTAGGAGTGGTACCTGGATTAAAGTCAGTGCTCTTTAGTGTGTAACCTCCCCATGTGATGAATATCTAATTAGACTTTTTTTTTAATACACATCGTAAAATCCAATTAGTCCACACAAAATCAGAACATTACTCTCCCAAGGTGACAATAGATTAAAATAGATTGGCAATTTCATCTGATCCTGTAAAAGATGCTTCATCTCACTTTTTTCTCATTAATCTGCCGCTGTCAGCGCGAGCGCCGTAATCACTGAAACCGGCGCCAATTCCAGGCCCACATATCAACTTCCTGTTCGATGGTTCGCACCGCGTTCAGAAACACTCAAATACAAAGTCTGAGGGAAATCTAATCTACATTTATGTCCTCAGGACTGTTTTATTATGTCTTAAAAAAACTAAAAGGTTTATTTTGTTTATTTAATCAGTGTTTATGTTTGAGAATCAAATATTTCATTTGAAAATAAATACTATATTTTGTTTTATTTTGTCTGATGGCGACACTATGACTCCCACCTTAACTAGTCTGAACTCTGCAGGTGTCTTTTTGTTCACATTACTCATAATCTAACTGCAGTTCCATGAACGCCCACTAGAGGCTGGCTGCAGAAGCCTTAAAAACCACATACACAACCATTCAAAAACACGCTAATCATTATAACTGTAATACAGTTTCATAAAATCTGCATATTTGTCCAGTTTAATTAGGTTTTAAAAACTCTACAAACATCTCTTTATGTTTCTAGTATAGATAAAAACATGTGAGTTACCTGTAGACTTGTAATTTTGCACTTAACCAAGATTTCAAAAGTCTTTAAAAACCATCTTTACAGCATAAACAAACACGTTTACAGCCTGCAGAGCCGTGAGTTTAGTGCTGTAAGTCGAGTGCTAAAGTCAAAGGTACATTTTCTAAATTCCTTAAATGTAAACACATTTTTTGGGGTTAAAAAACGAGCTTTTAAATGAACTTTTACACCTTCAGAGTCTAATATTTCATGTCCAGACCTGGTTGTGCAGGTTAGAGCTGAACAGACGAAACAGATGTAAAAGGTTGTAGTGCAGAGTGAACTGAAGTTATTACAGTAAACTGAACTTTAAGTGTGCACACACAGGACCCAATCAACTCTTCATATTTAAGTCACTAAATTTAACCATTTCAGTATTAGAGGATTGGTTCTTGGTACCGATAAGTGATCAGTGTCATACATGAGTGAAATGAAGGCCGCTGAAAAAAAGATGATTTAATGTTTTCATGTGCAGTGGACCGAAAACTTCAGCTTTAAACTTGGAGACCAAATCTAGTCCTGCTGCAAACTGAATGACAGTAAGAGTCTGAGATGCATTCCTACAAACTGGGACACTGGAGCAACACGTATTTTATATATGTTAAATATTACATATCGTGTGATTTTTCGTTTCTGTGTTTCGTCGGATCGTCTGATAAAGATGATAAAATGTTCATTGATAACTCAGAGGGAAATAACTTCTCAGGTTGAACTTTGAGGGTTAAACTCGATCCAGTCCTGTGCAGAGCTCCGGTCTGACTCCTGTGATGAGCCGAGGTTCTCCTCCATCACTGATCACCTCTGTTAGCATCTATCTGTGTGACTGTGACCTGCTTACAGTTTACAGCAGCAGCAGCAGCAGCGTTGCTTTCAGGTTGCATCACTCAGACCTGCAACTGTGTTTGCACGGCTTCCTCACTTTGAGCTAATGCAACTATCAAAGAGCGCGCCTGAGAAACATGCTCCCACTGCAGCTCAGGAGTGAATTCAATCAAACAATCCGACTCAGCTTCAATCTTATCTCCCTCTCAAACACACACCGCAGCTTTTCTTCCTCACTTCCTCCTCCGAACTTCGCCTCCAGGAAGCTGCTCGGCACTTTGGCAGCCGTAAACGCCAGAAACACGGCGATATAAAGGAGCGATTGTTGGTTTTTATTCTCGTAAGGCTTTGTGTCCTGCTAAGATAGTGTGTAAGGTGTGTTCAGAATCAAAAACTCTGCGTCTTTTGTCGAGTCTGTGAAATTTACACTTTTTTAAAAACTGCCTTTTGAAGTTTTGGCTCCTGAGAGAGAGAGAGAGAGAGAAAGGAGACAAAGCTAAAGTATGAGGTGTGTAACAGGACAGGACACACACACACACACACACACACACAAAAACACACACAAAAACACACACATAAACACACACACGGTCTCTCAGCAGGCTGCCAGGTTCCTTCTGAACAAGCCAAGGATGAAACCCAAAGCTAACGTGTGTGTTCTCGCTCTGACCACAGCTGCTCCGCTCTCACGCTCCCTGAGGTGTGTCTCTCTCTCTCTCTCTCTCTCTCTTTCACACACACACACACACACACACACACACACACACACACACACACACACACACACACTATAGGTATGAGATAGCGTCTGAAACTGAACAAACACGGAGGCAGAGGAGAGGTTGTCGTCCTCTGCTCTCCTCTCATCATCTTATCAATCAGAGCCGGGTCACGACCACAGAGGCAGCGCAGATGAACTCCCGCCGCTGCCGCCACAAATGAGGAGGGGGTGGGGGGGTCATGACCACGGTGGCACAGGAATGAACCCTTGACTGCCACCAGGAGACCATGAGAGGAGAGAGAGAGAGAGAGGTGTAGGATGTTATATTGCTAACAAATTAGTTTTGGCTCGTCTTCAGAGATCGGCCGTTTTGATTGGCTCCCCAGGTCTCTCCGGCACACAGCAATTAGGAACCACACAACCCCTGCTCTCCACAGAGACAAAAGCAGGAGACGCTGCTCCTGCTCCGCCACGCCGGCTGAACCCTGGCTGGAAACGTAGAGGAACGAGGAACGAGAGAGAAATAAATTCACTTTATCGTGAAGAAATGAAGAAAGTAAATTCAAACTAAAACTGAATTAGTGTCTTTTCTCAAACACTAGATGTTCCTCTGCCCACCTCCTCTACATTATCCTGCTCATAACACCATCACTGACTCAACAACTTTATGACAAATATTAATTTAGAAGTTATCTAATTATGTTAATGTTGCAGCAGACTGAGGACCATCAGTGACAGCAGATCTGGATCTGAGTTAGTTCACCTGAGACAGAAGAAACGACCAGACCTGCTCTGTTCTGGTACCGTGGGTCAGAGAAAACCTGAGAAGATCAGACTTTGGACCTTTGGAACAATCCGCCCTCGGGCTGCTGTCTTAAAATATTTAGACGTAAACAAAGTTCTCTCTTAGTATATATGTAAATTAAGTTCTCTCTAATTATATACAGTATATGTGAATAAAGTCACCTCTTAGTATATATATATATGTAAATTAAGTTCTCTCTTAGTATAAATAAGTTAATATTGTTCCTTCTTAGTATATATATATGTAAATAAGGTTCTCTCATGTTGCTCCTATAATAGATGTTTTGTAAACAGAGAACCCTCTTGTTGTCATTTTCACTGTTAAATGTCAAACGTTTCTCTGGTTCTTCTTTCTGTTTGAATCCTAAATGTCCTCTGCTCCTTTTTTATTGGATTAAAATCTTAAACTCTCTGACAGCTTCTTTAATGTTTTAAATGAATTGTCCTTTAGTTTCCTTTTACCAAATAAAATCCTAATAGTTTAACTAACTGGTAATTTTACCTGGTTGTCAGTTTGGTTGTTGTGTCCGGTGTGTGTCCTGAGTAGGTCTGGGTGATTTATCAAAAAAAATGATCACGATTTATTTTGTCACATCGTCCGATCTCGATTATTATCACTATATTATCGATATATTATACTATAAACTAAAAAAACTAGAGATTAGTTCAACATTTTATTAACATACAAAGTCAATAACAAAGAAAATTAATAAGATAAAATAAAATAAAATAAACACTTTAACTCAACGGAACAACATGTTCTACATGCTCTCCTGTAAACATCTCTCTCTGAACATCTGTGCATGAAATACAGCACTGAAGCATGGATGTGTGGAAAAGGAGAATTTCAGTTTCAAGAAGGCCTTCATTTGAAATAAGGACCACAGAGAGAGGATAAAGAAAATGAGAGGATGGAGAAGAAGAGGAGAGGACGGATGAAGAAGAGGAGAGGATGGAGAGAAGGAGAGGAGAGGATGGAGAAGGAGAGGAGAGGATGGAGAAGAGAGGAGAGGATGGAGAGAAGGAGAGGAGAGGATGGAGAATCACATTTAGTTCAGATTCTCGACACTTTAGTCTAAAAATGTGGTGTGAACTTCTCTGATTGATGTGTTGGGTGTGAAACATATGCTTCACTGTGCTCAAGGTGACTGTGTGTGTGTGTGTGTGTGTGTGTGTGTGTGTGTGTGTGTGCGTGTGTGTGTGTGCTGTGGTCTTGCTCACTTCCAGTCAGTCCCCCTGGAGGGCTTCACTGCGTGGTCACTGCAGGGCGTCCTCCTGTCCTCCCCTCTCTTCAGCCACAACATCCTAACACAACCTGACACATCCTCTGTCCAGCTACCATGGATGTGTGTGAGTCTGAGTGTGTGACTCTGTAGTGTGTGTCTAAGTGTGTGTGTCTGTGTGTATTGTGAAGACTTTAATAAACAGCGCTGTCCTGAATAAAGACGTAAACGTTCGTCTCTAAAGTTTCTGTTCGTTCTTCAGGTGAATTCAGAGAAAATTCATCTTCTCTTCATCACTTTGTCGTTTTTTTTTCAGGAACGTATAAAAAATTATCCTAATGTCTGTAATTTTTCAACATTTTCAGAGCCTTTCTGGATCAATCAGCTGTTTTAATGAACGAGTGAATTATTTATGTGAAACTCCTGGAGGACAGAAACACTCTCCGTTTTCTCACATCGTGTGTTTTTGCATATTAGCATAAAAGTGAGACGGCCTGTTTGGATCCGTGTTTCCAGCTCACACCTGCAGATTTACGCCGTTTAACGACAGTCAGAGGGAGAGTCACCTTCACCTCAAACACACAGATATCTGTGGGTGAGACTGTGACTGTTAGATCCAGTCTCCTCATTGAGGGATGGATGTAAACTCCTCAGACGACTGAGTTCAAGAACTTCTGCAGCATGTGAATCTAAAGTTTCGGAGCTAGTTTTAGAGTTTTTTACGTATCTCAAAAACCTGCGCGGCATAAATCATGATGAAGTTATCGATCTGTGAGGAAATCTCTCTGTTTCTTCCTCCTCACCTCACCCCAGCTCCTCCTCCTCCTCCTCCTCCTCCTCCTCCTCCTCCTCTCTCCGATCTCAGAGAAAGTTAGAGAGGAAGTTCGCTCAACTCCTGTGGCTTGGGTGGCTTTTTAAGTCTTCTTTATTCATGTGTTATTTGTTTATGTGGATTAATTATTAAAAATTTGGTGCATTTTACAAAGGTTGAAGTCTGCAGATAATGATTCCTCTCCATTCTCTCCCAATGGGTTGTGTTTGTAATTTTCTTGAATATAAAAGTTGCATAATTCATGTGTATCGGCGGGCCACATCCATTAATTATGTCAGTCTTTTAGGTGCTCGCGTCTTTACCACGTCTTCTTCTTCTTCTTCTTCTTCTTCTCTTCCTTTCATTCTCTCTCTCTCTCTGTTTCTCTCTCTCTCTCTCTGTATCTCAGCAGAAGTAAAAAACCTCCTTTTGAGCGTTTCCTCCTCTCTTCCTCGCTCTTTTCTCGCGGATCATGAGGGTCAGATGGACCGTGTCCAAGTTTGAGCGGGAGATGAAAGCGAGCGGAGGAGAAAAGGAAAAGTTTGCTGCGCTGCTGTGATGTAAATGCCCTTATTTAGTAATTTATAGAAGAGGGAATTGAGCACAACTCTGTGGAGATTCATCACTTATTGATGTGTCTAATCTTTCAGATCCTGCCAACATGATGATCATGATCTGTGTTAGCGTGAGACGCCTCACCCCCCTCCTCTCCTCCTCCTCCTCCTCCTTCCCTTTCCTCCCCTCTCTCCTCCCCCGAAACTCTTGTTTCTGTCACTTTCTCCCCTCTTCTCTCCACACATCCACTTTGACTCCAAATATTCAGCGTTACAAAATACCCCGATAAGTCTGTCACATTTTAACGTGGCGTATCGACCACGACGACGACGCCGATAACACTGACGAGGTTTGACCAGCGGAGAGGAAGAAGAGCTTTTTATCTTTTTATAAATAAAAACAGATTTTTAGTTTTTTTTTAAAAAGAGAGAAATTAAACTGAGACAGAAACATTTTCTGATTTTAGCTTTTTAAAGGTGAAGATTTGTGGCTGTAAATTAAGAGTCTTTGCTGATTATTAGTTATTTTAAAGACGTCGCTCTAGAAACTGTTTTCTCTCTTTTATTTCCAAAAATATTATCAATACATCCTGAAAATAAGCCTGACATAAATCAAAATTGAGGATAATAATTTGTTCTGTTCATCTGAGTTGTTCTTTTTTTGGGTTCTGCAGAAACTGAATCCAGACGTTATCCGACTCCTCTCAGTGTCCTTTTTAAAAAGCGTTGTCATCGTGTCGTTTGTCGCCGTGGTTCCCGTCTGACCGCCTCTTTCACTCTTGTGGGAAACTCTGACCTGTGAACACGAGAGCGTCTTTCCTCTTTGTGCAGAAATAAAAAAGAAAGTCCAGCTCCTCCTCCTCCTGAAAGACTCGGACACTGTAAGTCCCTCTGACCTTTGACCTTCAGTCCTCCACCTTCAGCCGCTCTCACCCTACATTCAGAGGAAACTCAGCTACTCAGCGTGCGTGTGCATGTGCGTGTGCATGTGTGTGTGATTCCTCTGCATAATGAGGCGCTCAGATGTACAGACGCGGTTCTCGGTTTTTAATCGATATTTGAATGTTTTGCTAAACTGCACAATAAGAAAACATTCACGTCTGAAATAATACAAAGAAACTTGTTTCCTACATGTGTGTGCATCTCAATAAGCTTCCCTCCTGGCATAATAAGGCCTCTCTCTGCCTCCGTCAGATGAAATAATGTGTGGTATAATCAGACGCGGTTAACAAAAGCAACAGCAGGAATAGGGAGAGAAATCTATGCACATCTAAATAATACAACCATCAGTATACGCCAAATCTCCCCGGCTACAATCTCCCCCCTAAGGGTGCATGCCTGGAGCTGATTTGTATACAAAACAAATCTAATGTATGCTTTCAACACATATTTAACATATGCCACTCACTGATAAATTATTCACCAACAGGAGCTTCAATTTTTTATCGGCAGCGTTTCTTCTTTCCAACGAGTGATGAGGAAACGGGAGGAGGACAATGGAGAGGAGAGGAAACACGGCGCTGAAGTTAACTGAACGGAAAAGTCTCGTTCACCTCAGCGGGAACGTTTCAGACTCTCTGATTTTCTTTCCTCCTCTTTAATTTCTCTGCAGGAAAATTTAGCGACACAGTCGAGCCGTTTGTCCGAGCGCTGACACGACTCTTTGTTCAGAACTGAATAAAAAAAAACACACACAGAGGGGCGTCAGAGGGAGTCAGTAACCCACATCTGCATGTTGACTAACACAGGAAGTCACCCTGAAGGTGACCCGCGAAGGCTCGCCGCGTTCAGGAGGTGATTTGTGACACACAGATGATTCATAAAGCGGCGAATCGTTGTTGGAGATAAAAGCGTTCAGGTGCATGAATAAAAACACGCCGCCGTGCACAGACGCAAAAACATGGAAGGTAAATGCACACACACACCTGCCCCTCTCAGAGAGTCACAGTGAGCATGCTCCGTGGGTCCGTGTCTCTACAGATGCTGTGTGTGTGTGTGTGTGTGTGTGTGTGTGCCGTTGTCTCTGCCACAGGCGTGTTTACTCACTCATACACACACTCGATAAAACGCTCACACACACACACACACACACACTGATGTGAGCAGAATCAGCGCCGGCTCGCTCGCTCGCTCATGGCCTCAGCTCCTCTGTGTGTCTTTGCCCTCAGCGCCGAGCGGAGACGAACAAACATGTCTGACAGGATTGATGTCACAGGCTCACGGCGGATCGATGAAAACATGAATCTGTCGATAACAGATGATCAGCTGGACCCGAATAACTCGATCAGATCAGAACCACTGCTGAAGTCCAAAGAGGAGCCGGTTCTCCTCGGTGCTCCTCATGAACAGAGAGGTTTGAACCCTGAAGGGGACTCCTGAGGACCTTCGCCTCACTACCCCCCCCCAGGTTCCTCAGATTAGAGCGAGGGCGAAACAGTGACACCGTACGGCCCCGTACTTTTGCAGCGTTCGTGTTGTGTGGTCCGAATGAAACACAAGCACTAAAATAACATTCGCAGATGCAGCCATCTTGTTTTCGGCCTCTGATTTTGCTTTTTTCTGACTTGGAAATGAAACGTCGTGAACTCGGGTGTGACGTCATTTTCAGCCTCCTGTGGTAACTCACAGAAAACACAGGTGAGCTCCACGGCCGAGTCCCAGTCCAGAGGCCCCAGGCTTGGCCGTTGTTGCCTGCATGGACCAATCACATCGGATTGAAGTGGCCTTTACAGAATGGCGTGATTACATCAGTAAACTGATGGTGATGTCACGCAGCATCACTCTGGTTACTAAGCGACCAGTAGCTACCAAGTTAACCAGTTTGCATACTTCTGTGCATGTCTGTCATGAGTCGAATTCTTGATGAATTCAGAGTAAAAAAACACCACAAAATCACCCTCACTGCTTCATAACTTCACTCTTTCATTCTGCAGATTTTAATGAAAATAAAAATAAAAAAAAGGGACTTGGTGGAGAAAAAGACAAAGACGTTGGTTCAGCTGAAGAAACGTTCAACCATCCGTCCTGTTGACCTGCTCTGGACCTTCAGCAGAGATCTTCATCCTCACGCTGAACTAAAACTGTTATTTCCAGTTTTTGTTTGATCGTCGTCTCTTAATCTCTCAGCTGCTGTATCTTCACCATGACGACTGATGGTGAATAAACCGTCACAGTGGTTTCGCCGTAAAGGCCAAGATCGTGGCGTTCTCCAATCTGAGCTCTTAAGAGTCTTGAAGCTGAACGGACTGATGGAGTCGGTCAGAACCTTCATTTCTGCTGCGGTGAGTCAGCTCTCTGTCATTCACACTAACCTTTAAAAGCAGCAGACAGACCTGTAGGCTGAACAACACTGAGATTTTCACTGAGAGTGAAAATTCATCATCTGCAGACAGAAAGGAGGCGGGGTCAGGGTCTCCTCTGTAGTGACTGTGACCAGGAGGTGAGAGTCGCTCAGTTCGTTTACAGTCTCAGTTTAATCAGACTAACCTCATAACTCGTCTTCTTCTCTGAATCAGTCTTCTCTCCTCGTCCTCGTTTACATGCAGCTGAGAAAACTGAATTATTGACGTGAACGTGTCCTCCTCCCCAACACTAGGGGGCGATATGGGTCTTTTCAGCAGCGCTGTTTCCGACCCCATCCAACCGTCAACAACAACAGCAGGTCGGTGTCAGACGTCAGAAGTGTCTACAACTGCTGCTGGGCATTTTGGAGAAACAAGAAGATGGAGCATCGTACAGCGTTGTTTTTGTCCGACATGATGGACGCGCTACTTTTTCTAAAGACGAGACCAACGCTACTCCTCTACTCTGGGGGTTTGTTACGGGGTTACGGGGGCGTGGCTTCATACTCCGACTACGCTGGTTACATGGTAGAGAAAATCTAATTCCAATCTCATTATCTGGGTGTTTTAATCAGAGTTCTTAAACTCAGATTATAGTCGGACTGAAGTGTTTACATGACCTTCAGTTGTCCGGTCTTTATCGGAATAAGGCGATAATTCGGTTTTCTTGAGTGTCATGGAAACAGACTGAGTGATTTCTAATTTTAAATGGTAAGGACAACTGGACTTAGTTGAGACGTTTCGCCTTAGTTGTCTTTTCCATGCGGAGATTCCCACTCCAGAGTCATGTGACTAACCCGTTGGACATAGTTGGTTTAAAATCATCTAAAAACCATAAAAATCTGTTTTATTTCTGATCATTTTAACCCTTAAACTTTTTTAAACTTCGTCCCTTAGAGTTCTTTGTTCTCAAACTCCGATTATAATCAGACTAAGGTGTTTACATGACCTTCAGTTGTCCGGTCTTTATCGGAATAAGGCGATAATTCGGTTTTCTCGAGTGTCATGGAAATGTTCTGACTGCTGCTCCTCTTAGGAGGACCTGACCAGGAGTTTAACGGGAGGTCAAACTTGAAAAAAGTGGATTTATGTTTGAATATCTTAAACTCCTGTAGAGCCCGTCTCAGAAAGTTGTAGCCGAGGTAACGTTCAGGTTCTCTCTGCAGTTTCCTGTTAAAGAGGTCAAACCCTAATGACAGATATCTGCCAACCTTAGACTTGAAAAACAGTGAACTAGCCCTTTAATCTCCTACAGCACAGTCAGATCATGAAGGAAACATGTCTGTGAAACATCGTTTTTTTAATCTGAATATTTTCATGATTGATCCTTTTAAACTGAAACGCAGTGATTGATTATGATTGATTATGAAGGTGTAAACGTACAGACACACACAGGTATAGAGAAGATCTCACGGGCCTTCTCTCCACTTTAACCTTTCCTCCCCTCCCTCGCTCGCTCACTCTCACTCCCTCCATCTCATCGCCATGATTTTCTCTCTCTCTAAATGCTCGTCCGTCCGTCCCCTCTGCCTCTCCCTCTCTCCTCTGTCGCTCTCTGTCGCTCCGTCTCTCCTCTCTGGTAAGAATAAGGAGCAGCAGTGCTATTCAGACCGGTAATTACATTTCTGTCCTTTGTTGGAGCCGAGTGTTATTTTCCATTAATGGCAGGACATGTTATATAAGAGGGTCTTTATGGGAGTGATAATGGTCGGGGACAGAGGAGATGACGAGCTGGCAAGTGTATCAGCGATGCTCTTTTTCACAGCGAGGGCACGGCGGAGCTTTCATTAGTCCTTGAAGAGTACACACCTGACCCTGCTGACACCAAACACACACTCACACACAACAGAGAGAGAGAGGCGGCTACACACACACACACAGACACACACGGCACATCGACACACTGCCTTACAACCACGCGGTGTGATCGGCGTGGTTCACACACTCACACAGCAGCGTCGCTCACCATTGAGAAAAGCAGAGAAATAGGCCATGGCGATATGCTGATGCAGAGGTTATGCCCACTTTCACGGTATAATTTATTCATCTGTTGTTTGCAAAATGATGTATGAAATATGGATGGTCTGAGTTTGGCTTTAATGTTTCATACGACCATGACTGTGGGAGCAGGAAGGCAGAGAAACACGGCCTCTGCCAACGCTCGGCGAAACGACGCTCAGAGGAAGGATGGAGGAGGAGGAGGAGGAGGAGGAGGAGGAGGCTACCATGTTTATTTTAGCAGTCTGCACATTAACTATCACTTACTGTATCTTTATGGAAATACGCACGTCTGCAGCTGACGGTCTGTTAAAGAAACAGGAAGATGATTCAAGCAGAAGAGGAAGTTCAGATTCAAGTCGCTGCACAACGTCAGACTTAAAACGAGCAGAAATGTTTTTCATTTTCATTCAATAACAGATTTTCAAGTCTGAAGCTCATATTTCTGCAAGCATGCGGAAACAGAGCAAACACTGCAGTACCACCAGAAACCACAGGGGGCAGTAAAGAGAACACTTCAACCCGTAGAGTCTCTAAAGCATGAAAATTAAAATCCTACCTTTAAAACTGAATCTCCATCGCCGCCATCTTTGTTATCATAAACCTCGATTCTTCTTCTTCTTTGAGGTGACTTCTGGGTCTGAGCGGCGCCATCTAGCAGACGTTTGGCCCGACATCCTGAAAAAGATGCACATAAGTGTTTTAAGTCTACGTCACGATTTAAGGAAATCGTTAATCATATTTCGAATTTCACTTCCGTCACAAAGTCACTTTATTTCTGCAGATTTTGTACAATCAGCTGTTTTTTTAATCTTTATCTCTCAACTTTCTTTTATTTCAGCAAAAGCTAAACTACGGAAGCAACTGGGAACAACTAAAATCTGTGTACCGAATTTTTCGCTCTATAGGGCGCACTTAAAATCCTTTTGGCTGGTAGGAGCGCTGCTCGCGGAGTTATTGAATGAGTTAAATAAAGTTTGACTTATCTGACTGTTTTGTTTGGCTTAATGCGCTTTATAATCCGGTGCGCCTTGTGTATGAAAATAGACACGAGTAGACACGTTCATTGATGGTGCGCCTTATAGTGCGAAAAATACGGTGTTTAAACATGAAGCCCCGCAGTGCAGCTCTGTTTATCTGTTTATGTATAAAAGTTAATAAATGTTTAACGTGAACTTTAGCGCAGCACAGACGTCAGACTTTAGACCTCAGACCAGGTTTTTGTTGGTCTGAGGCACACATACTTTTAGTCTAAACACCTCATTTCCAGACCAACAGAGAGTCTAAAGGTCAGGGGTCACGATCAGCTGTTATACTTGAGCACCGTGAACAAACTTTTGCGGAGTGTCCTGTATGTTTGGAGAAAAACTGCGTCTGATTGGCTGTAAAGTGACGAGTCGGTTTCTCATCAGAAGATTTCTTTAAAAAATAACATCTTCATGGTTTTATCCTGAACTTTCACACGTTTTGACTCTAAAATCTGTTTTTTTTTTTCGTGCTGGTGTAAAATTCTCCGTCCAGAGTGAAGAGCTTCATGTCTCTTCATGTCTCTTCATGTCTCAGCGCGCCGCCTTCCTAATTTCACGTATTTGTTCTTGGTACATGAAATAACCCACAAAATGACATATAATGATGATAACACCGTGACACTGTCAGGCATCATTACGGCTCTTATTCCAGGAAGTCACTCGAACACGCCGGAGAATCCTGACAATGACCACGACCTTGGTGACCAACGCCGTCACCGTGAGAACTTTGCATGTACAGAGGTTTATGAAAACAAGGACTCTATTCTCCCACAGGTTTTTACACCTCGCTCAGAAATGGCGGTAGATTTGGCGTTTCCTGTCACAGCTGTACGTGCACAGCTGACTGGGACCGTATGGATGGGTTGCTGGGATGTATGGTTGGCTTGTAAATTGACCGTCATTGATCGTCTGCAGCTGTGGTTTTCCCGTGAGGCCCGTCCATGAGGGGATCGATGCGCTTTGGTAAAAGGTGAAACATAAAGCTGCTGCTGTGTCCCGTAATGTGGATTAGACACACATCAGTTCACACACAACATCAGTCTGCCTGTGCGCCGCTCCTCCATGACGACCACGACGACCATGTGGAGGTAATGTATGGGAACATGATCGTAACGCTCTCTGCCAGAAACACGTTTTCTCTCTTTCTCTTTAAAACGCAAAATGGAATTTAAATAAACTATGCTAATGAGAGACTCGGATGTTTTTCCAACCACGCAGCCATGTAGCGTCATTTTTATTGTTACAGCAAAGCATGATGGGAGGTGACAGTGCAGCCTGGGGCAACACGGGTGAAAGAGAGGAGACAGAGATAGAGAGAGAGAAGCAGAGGACGAGGCGAGCTCTTCCTTTACATCCGACTAAACATCCATGAAGACGACGTATAAACGCTAAATAAAGCCGGACCTCCTCTGACGTCAACGCTGACAAACATCAAGAAGTACGACAGAAATACGAACTTATTAATGTCATTATAATCTGTTAATTAGGGCAATAACGTCCCAATATGATAAAACCAGATTTTCTGACTGCAAAGGCTGCGAATTGACTGGTCACATGATCTGGTCACGTGACTTGTGAGCTAACAGGAAGAACAAAATTCAAAACAGAAAAACTGAGTCGGTAAAAAAGTTCATAGTGAAGAATTTTGTAAATATTTTGACTAACCCTGTAAATATTTAATCTTAAAATACTTAAACATTAAAAACAGTTAAACTAAATCTGTATCTGTTTAATTTTCTAAAATCAATTGTAATGTTTATTTGTTTTACAGATATTTGTTCTATCAAATGTTATGAAATATTAGCATGAATTAAATTATTTGAAACCTCAGAATTATTTGAATTAGTTATTAAAGAAATCTTTGACTGTGCTGTTATTCTGAGATTTGTTTATTCTGTTTTTATAACTTTTATATCTGTGACTGTTTTCTTTGTGCTGCTAACCTTCTTGTCCAGGACACTCTTGTTAATGAGATTCTTGATCTCAATGAGATTTTCCTAGTTAGTTAGTTAGTTAGTTTAGGTAGATAGATCTCTAGATAGATAGATGTCTAGAAAACCAGGTTTGGTTTTTGATCTTCTGATCTCTATACACTCTCTCTCTCTCTCTCTCTCTCTCTCTCTCTCTCTCTCTCTCTCTCTCTCTCTCTCTCTCTCTCTCTCTCTCTCTCTCTCTCTCTCTCTCTCTCTCTCTCTCTCTCTCTCTCTCTCTCTCTCTCTCTGTCTGTCTGTCCCTCTGCTTTTCAGACACACACCTGACTCCTCCTCCTCTTCTTCCTCCTTTTATATGTTTATAATAATCTTAAATCTAAAAATATCCTGAGGTATCAGACGTGATCCTGGTCATTTAAAGGTCACAGCCAGGAGACAAAACCAGTCCCCACACACACACACACACACACACACACACACACACACACACACACACACACACACACACACACTCTTGAGTAACAAACAGATGTAAAAATCCTCAGAGTCTGATCGTATCTGAAAGTCAAGTTGTTTGTTCTGGTTCGGGGAGGATGTGTGTGATTGATTATGTGCTTTGGAGGATCAAACATGGCGTCCTTCAGCTCCATCATTATTACATGTGCAGCAGGCAGAGCTAACATTGCAGAGTAATCATAACAACATCTCGGCCTCATAATGCCCTGTAATGAGATTTCTAACCACACCGCTATTGATTTCAGCCCCCCTCCTCTGAAAGAGGCTGAAATTGGTTTCTGTCGCTGAGAGGAGCTGAAAAAGAAAAACGAGAAAAAAGAGAAAAAAGAGAAGAAGAAACCTGATTGTTGTTCTGGAAACATTTTCTCTGCTGTTTTTAACAGACGGAGGATCATGGTGGTGGGATGATGATGATGATATAACCAACGTTGGTGTTAACAAAAGCATGAGTAACATCTGTGCATGAAAGGTGAGTGTACAGCCATCCATGCATGTGTGTGTGTGTTTACATTATGGACTGTATATATGTGTGTGTGTGTGTGTGTGTGTGTGTCTTTATCAGAGGAAATTAGACCTCATGGTTTAGAGGTTAGTTAACACAGTCAGTCACAGTATCATGATCATGGCCTCTTAATGAAATTATGAGGTATGATATTTTACTCCATCTTTTTCTGGATTGTGGCTTTATTTTGAAATATAATCTACTTCTACTTCTATAATCTACTACTTCCTGTTAATCATAAGTTTCTGATCTGAGTGAAAAAGGTCAAAAAGTTCTGAATTGATCAGTAACCTGAAGAGACTCTGGATGTTTTTCCTTACCACTGTTACTCATGTCAGATGGGTTAAATCTGTTGAATCATTGTTTTATAATTTATCAAACATGAGCGTGGTCTAGAACCTGCTCTTTTTCTTTGGGAAGCATCTTGGGATGACGACTGTTGTGAATTGGCGCTACATAAATAAAATTTGATTGATTGATTGAGATTCTGACATTGTTTTTTTTCAAATTCATGATTAAACTTGAGTCTGATCATCTCTCAGAGCGATGCTAAAGCTAGCTCGCTAACAGCCGAGCACCTCGTTAAATTGTTCAGGTTAGGACAGCAGAAACGAATCTGACAGTCTTTCAGGGAGGATTTAGGTTTTTTAGTCTTTTCAGAGTCTTTGTGCTGAAAACAGTAACTACATCTATAAATTTTCTTTTCTTTTATTTTTAATACCTGTTTCTCTTATTTTCTATTTTTTAAGTTTAATTTTGTATTTCTATTTTCTGAACACTGAACTCTAATTTTTAAGAGGATCAGGTCTAAATTGAGTCCACAATGAACCCGTCTGTGATCATGATTTTGTGCAAAAACCAAAAAATCAAACTCTGGACTAAAATGGCACGGATGTCACGGCCGATACTTGTATGACAGCTCCAGTCAGAGTCCACCTGTATTTGTGTTTCCAGGTGAGAATAAAACTGAATCATTATCAGACACTCAAAGTAAAATCCCAGAATAACAGACAGCAGCTACAGAATAAGAGACTGAGATCGACTCGCTGAGAGACTTCATATGTTTTCTATCAGACCTGGAGTAAACAAAAATAAGAAACTAAAGGACAGAGAAGGGGCGAGAGGAGGAGTCAGAGGAGGAGCCAGAGGAGGAGCCAGAGGAGGAGTCAGAGGGAGGTGGACGGGACATTATTTATGGGCTGGGAGGACGGTAACATGAAGCTACATCACAGAGCAGGTTCAGGTCCTCTGAAAGCCAGAGAAGACTCACTTTCTCTCACTCTACATCAGGATAACACTCTGAGAAACACACACACACACACACACACACACACACTGATACCATTCATCTATCAATATTTCAGTGTGGAGGACAGGAGCTGCTCCTGTTACCAGGCAGACTGAGAACAATCGTTTAAAACTTTACAACGATCACAAAAAAAGGACAGAGGTGAGAATTTAACGACATGAGAGACTTTCTGCTTTAACCCGCATCAATCTGGGTTTGTGGAGTCCAAACCCAGACCTGCAGGTCATGCTGCTGTGGTCATTCCTGGACTCTAATAAAATACATGAAAAACACAGATTTCTAACAACTAACAAGAAAGACGTAATCGCACAGAGAAGGAGCAGAGTAGAGGAGAGGAGAGGAGTCATTATTCATTCTGATGCTGCGCCTCCTTATTTACTCCTCTCTGTATTCAAACTCAAAAAGCTGAAGATGATCCAGAGAAGCTGCAAAACACCAGCGTACTTATCCCATCATCAAGCACAGGAGTCAAACACGTCACAGCATTTAAAGGGTTAAAGTCGAGAGGAAGAACATTTATGATCATTTCTTCATGGAAATAAAATCAGACCGAGACGCTAAGACAGAAGAACTACTGCGTCTGTAAAATGATTAATATGGTGATTATTACTTCAAGGAAATGATAAAGAAATGATCATAAATGTTCTTCCTTGAGCTGCGGCACCCCGCTGTAGTCCGTAATGGACTGGCCTGAGGTCTCTCTACAAACAAGCGTCTGCTGGAAGAGAGTAGGTGAGTTGTGTTTAGTCTCTTTGCTAAAGAAATGAGTCAAAGTTAGAAAGATGTTTGGTGTCTAGTACTATGTCTGTGACCCTATATGTACTAACCTCAGTAGATCATGGTGTAGTTCCGTTCAGTAACAGAACCTCATTGGAAAATTAGCTGATTTAACTTTACTGTGCTCTTGTTCAAATATATTAACTCGACAGCACATAAATCCATACCTGTTAACAAAATCATGATTTTATTGATAATTCGGCTCAATAAAAACACCTTTACCTTTTCATTTTACTACAGTAGAAGTTTATTAGCCCAGCTTATAGACTACAGAAGTGGAGAAACGCCCCCGCTTAAGTTTGTTTTCTTAGGAGTTAGAACAACTCTGAATATAGTACTATGGCTGTGACCCTATATGTCCTGTTGATGAAGTTAGGTGCTGTTCTGAGCATTATTTGTGGCTATAGAGTGGCGTTTTGGTTGGGGGCGTGGCTCTCTGTATTTCTATCCTGCGGTCGTTACTAAAGTTGGTATAACTAGAGAAGCAAGCGGTCGACAACATTCATCTCTGGAGGGGGGGTCTAACTCGGTGTTACGGTGGGTTTGCAGAAACCTCGAGCGGAACTGGACTGATGTTAGACCATCGTCTGAGTGAGAGAGAGAGAGAGAGAGAGAGAGAGAGGGAGTCAATCATGGAAAAAGTCTTTTTTTCAGCTCCTTGATTTAAAAGAACAAGTTTTCCATTCCTACCAAGTTTGCTGAACTTTGACCCTGACTCCAAACATGTTGGTGAACGGTCTTGAGTACATAAAGACGGTCTACGCTGAGGTCCACAGTCTGCTGGACCAGGATAACCCGGATTTAGGAAGTACTCTGTAAAACACCATGTCGACTAAACGCAGGTCGCTGCTCGCTCTGAAATATTCACGATCTCCTGATGATTTGAGGCTCATCTGACTAATGCAGCTAATGTGCCCCCCCCCCAGCCCCCCCACAGCAGCATCATCTCCCCTCCTGAACCCAGACCCTCATTGGACTGAGGGGCTGGGTGGAGGGTCTGAATCAGTATCCAGGGAGAAAGGGGGGGATCACATCTGGACCACAGACCGAGCGAGCGAGAGGAAGAGCGAGGGTGGGGAGGGTGCAGCACAGACTCATCTGAATGAATCATGGCCCTCACACACACACACACACACACACACACACACACACACACACACACACACACACACACACACACACACACACACACTGTCACCCCATCTACCCTTCCCCACAGCGTGTTGCACCCTGCAGCAGCAGCCATCGCCATCCAGCTGCCGCCGACTCCCCCCTCTGCACACACTCCACAGTCACAGTAACACTGCAGATTACACACACACACACACACACACACACACACACAGACTGTGTCCAATCGAATGTTCAGCTCATCTCTCTCACGTTTATCTCGCCGCACAAAGGAAACTTGATTGAAAGTCACATTAACTCTCTTTCATTAAAGCTCCTCCTTCATCATCGGCTCTGAAACTCGGAGATCTCCGATCGATTTAAAGGTCCGGCCCGCGGTCCTGTTCGCCGGTCCTGCTGTAAATATCATCTCCAAACTCGTGGCATTTACGCTGACATTTCTACCTCTCTGTTTGTCTTCACTGACGGCGTTAATGTTTGCGGTGATGCCCGCCGTGCCGCCGAGCCTCCTTACAGGAACTTTGCCCTCAGCTTTTTTCCTCTGAGTGTGTGTGTCTTTTTGTGAAACAGCAGAAACACACACACACAGACACACACACACTCACACAGGCAGGCAGTCAATGGAGCTCCAGTGTGCTGCGGTGATTGTGCTGGTCAATGTGCTGCTCTGTGTGACTGCATGCCCCCAAGACTGAGGCTGAGTCTAGACACGAGTCAGCCAAGCCGCCCTGCTGACCTATATCCTACAGTTACACTAAGAGAGAGACATAGAGAAACAGAGAGAGAGAGAGGGAGAGCAGGATGGGGGGATGAGAGGAGAGGATGCAGAAAGTGAAAGGCTGCCATAAAGCAAATTGAGAGGAGAGGAGAGAGACGGGGACGAGAGACAGAGCGAGAGAGAGAGAGCGAACAGGAAAGAGGGGGATGGCGAGGGGAAAAGTGAGGGAGCGATGCGGCTATGGATAATTCAGAATGAGTTAAAAGGGGGAAGGGATGGGAGGAGAGGAGAGATTGGAAGTGGCAGCCACTAAAGCAAAGAGAGAGTGCTGGTTAAGTACAGTATGTAAAGCAAAAGAAAGAGAGAGAGGGGCGAGCGAACGAGCGTGCAGAGAGACTCCCAGGAGGAGGCCCACACACACACACACACACGTGAAATTATCTCTTTAATATCGGCGAGCCTCAGACATCAGGACGCCGTCATCCGTCCTCGTAACCATAACTGCTTCATGTAAAGAACAAAAGTGTTTGTGATTAAACCTGAAGACGGTTTCTGTAAGGAGGGCAGTCATGAATTAACCATTTATAAACTTTTAAACTCTGCAGCATCAACACCGTACCGACCGACCGCCAACCAACACGACGAGTTACGGGAATCTCCACGACCTTTGAACTGTTGGGCTTTAAATCAGAAAACCATCTTCACATCGTTTGTAGAAACTTTAAGACTTTTGAATTCATGTCAATAAAACAAAAAATTACTATAAATTAATGTCAATATGAAGACTTAGAGAAAGGTACAGATTCCTTTCATCAATAATCAATAGCTGGAAATATGTCGTCTGTTAAGTCTGTTAAGTTTTCCTTTAATATGTTGTTAACCGCATTTTACTGGTTAATTCCTGTCTCTCAGAGTGAGTAGGTCTCAGATGCAGATGATGAGGAAGCAGGTCAGCGAACGGCCGATATCACATTTTTTGTTTCGTTTTGTTTTTTGTTTTTTGCAACAATTGTATGAAATGTCCACTAGGGGGGTGTCTGCAGAAGCACTGAAAACCACATACACACTAATTCAAAAAAGAGCTTAAACAAGTTTTTTATTATTTTCACACCTCAGTAAATCTGAAGTGAGTAATTAAGTAACGTCGTCCAGGTAGGGCTGCTGCGCAATTTTGGCCAAAAATAAAATTTTAATTTTTTTTCTCTAAAAACTCTAGAAACCACTGAAAACGATGTAGTTCATGTGCCAAGCCAGTAAGTGGCGCTGTAACGCTGCACAGGAAATGCATAAAAGACAGAAGAAGAGTTCAAAGCATGTGTATAAAGGTTGTTTCAGCGCCATAATAGAGTTACTCTGTGTGTCACCTGATCGTTTCCAGAGATGCAGATAGACATCCACACGGAGATGAAATGGTCGTCGTTTACAGATTTATTCACTCTCTGACCCGTTTTCAGAAAGTACCGTTTACAGTCACCTGAAACGCCGATACGACAAAAAACTTTAGCGTTTACTCCCGAATTCGTTTCCGTGGTGACGGGTTGATACCGCCTTCAGACAGACTTTACAGCGGGGAGTGGTTTACTCTTCATCTGAAACTGTGAAGTCGTACCAATTCAACACAACTGACTCGCTCTTGTCCGATTTAACCACGAAATTATCGCCTTCTTTCGCAAACGCCATGTTTGTTTACACTGGTGTGTGTGGGAATCAAAGGAAGGGGGAGGAGCCTACGGTGGCCTGGGGGTGCGAGACATGATAGAGAGGAAAATCGATTTGAGGATTTTAATTTTTCTAACATCGTCATAATCAAATAATCTGATTAGAATTAAAAAAATCGATTAATCGTGCAGCCCTACATCCAGACTGTGTCCATGTTTATAAAGTCCGTCAGCTTTACTATGAAGTCACAGTCTCGTATTTTAGCACAGTATCGACTTCTCTTATCATCAAACCCTGTACTCTGGGACAGTAATCGTTTTGTCTGAGCTCACCTGACGGTCACAGGTAAAGCCCCTCACTGTTAAAACCCTGACATCTGTCCGGGTCACATATGGAGGAATAAATCTCCATCATTACTGAAAATGAAAATGTTCCCGTTAGAATCAGCGATGGTGTAAAAACCCGAACCACTGCAGCAGCGTCTCCTCTTTGTGGAGGTTTGTACACACGCCGACTCACTAAAGCCGCTCGGTAACAACTCAGTGTTTAGCATCTCAACCATAAAGCTGAATGGACAAATCATCATCTGTGTCTTTCCAATTTCTCTTTCTCTTTTCCCCATTACTCCTGCTCCCCTGTATGGGAGAGTGAATAGGCCCAGACAGAGGAGGACAAAGACTTAACATGTTTTTCTCTCTTTTCTTCTGTGCATTGAGAGGATGAGCTGGACTGTACTAATAGTCTTTGTGTGTGTGAATGGGACAGAGGGCTTTTTGTGTGTGTGTTCCAGACAGCGGCGCATAAGGCAGGACTTAAGTAGATGTTCGCCAAAGCGTACGTAATGCCAGAGAAATATCAACTAATCCCTACACTCTTCTGGCCTGTACCCCTCCCTCAGCATCCATTCTTCTCCTCTTCCTACTCACCATCATCACCATCATCATCATCATCATCATCATCATCATCATCATCACTGTCACAATGCTGAAACATGTATTTCTCTTAATATGACCGATTTTTTAAAAAAGAAGAAAGTCTGAAAATCAAAATTAATCCTTACAGAGTGTACTGCACACACACACACACACACACTCTCTCTCTCTCACACACACACACAGGCATATAAACTCCATGGGGGATTGTTGTTGTTTCTTAATCCCGGTGGATTAACAGACTAACAGACTCATTTTACCTCAGCCCAAACAAAGAGAGATGTCAAATCATCCACCCAACGCTAAAGGTGATGATCGTATTAACATGATGAAGCTCTCTGTCTTTATGACTGAGGGGGGGGGGGGTTCGTGTGGTGGGACTTATCTGGACCCCCCTGTAGAACCTCACCTGTTGGGACAGACTGGCGTGCCTCACACACGCCGCTCTGGTTTATATTCTACGTCAGCTCGCGGCGTTGCGGCGCCCGGCTCTCTGACTGCACAGAAGTCATTAGCCGACGTGCTAACTCCAATATTCTCACCGAGCTGTGAGCGTAAACTGCTTAAAGACGTAATCTTATATGCTCGGTAGGAAACGCAATGTTCTGTCAAACAGTGGTGCTGCTGCAGAGAGGCCGCTAATCCACATGCTAGACTCCAGATTAACCAGAGGGGATGGGGATGCAGGCGAGGCGAGGGAGGGGTTAAAAACACGCCGCTTGGACCCACCCCCACCTCATCATCACACACACACACACTCAGAGGATCGCGCTCCCCCTCCCTTCAGATTATAGCGCTTAGTGCTGCCCCTGTGCGACAGACAGTAAAGAGGATCTCTGGGCGGCGTCCCCCAGGGCCCCGTTATTGGTCTTCTAAAGAAGCCCCCCCAGACTGGACACCTACAGATAGGGTGGGGGTCAGGGGTCAAGGGGTAGGAAAGGCTGTGAGATGGAGAGGTTATAACAGATACATCTGTTTGTTTTGATGAGAGGGATTACGGCGACTAAAGAGGAGAGTGCGGCGTTTTAGGAGAATGAAAACTGAATCTGATCGACTTCCTATCAGAGCCGGCGATAAAACGATAACGATATATATCAATATAAAACATGATCAATATCCTTTCCAATAGTCGTCACTCTGACATGTTTTGGTCGACTATACGAACAGCCAATGAAAAGGGGCGTGTCTCCGGGTCTGAACCAATCATGTTCTGAATTAGAACCAAGTATCAACCAACTGCAGCGTCGTAGCAGACAGCAGCTCCACCCAACCATAGCACTTTAACAGGTGAAGCCGACAGCACTGTTGGTGAGAAACAAAGAAAATGAGTGCTACCCCCGACAGAAATGACCATGAAGGCTCAACAGATGACCACATCAATGTCAACCACAACACTGGCGTTAGGAAAACGTCGGTGGTGTGGAGGTATTTTGGTTTTTGGAGGTCGGACATGAAGCAGAGTAATGTGGACTGTAAATTATGTCGAGTACATGTTCTCACAAAGTCGGGGAATACCTCAAATCTTTTTCACCACCTGAAGCAGCGCCACGCCGCAGAGCACGCGCAACGCAAAAGGTTACAAACCCCGAGAGGAGCGAGGAGCCGAAACAGACGACCATTCAGACGGCTTTCTCCAATAAACACTTTTACATTTTTATATCCTGATATTGATCGATATCAGCTGATATGAACAAAAATAGATCCTGATAAACTTTCTCCCAGCTCTACTCCCTATTACTCAAGACAACGCTGCAGGAAGTGACATCATAAAATGACTCTTGAAAGGCTGAGAAAGCGCCCTCTGGATCAGACCGGGTGGTTTCCTCTTCAGCCCTCTTTCAGGAACTCTCAGTGAATATTAAATGAAGACGCTGATTTGCAAAGCTGTTGCCGTATCCTCTCTTGGTTTATATCATTACCGACCACTTCAGAAAATCAACACAACCATCAAGTACCCCGCTGAACATGAAAGCCTCGCACAGTCCCAGTCTGCAATTTTCTCCTGATTTCAACGTCGACGTTTATTAAGCTCTCCCGAAGAAATCGACGACGGCTAAATTATTTTGAGAGAGCGCCTCGGGCTACAGCCGCGTACTCGATACTCCTACCAAAATATATATATAATTATATAAATATATATATACGTATTAAGAGGAACAAGGAGGAAGGAGAAAAAGGGGGAAATGACTGAATCAAAGTAAAACTAGATTTAATATCTTAATGGCTTTGTGTCAAAAAAAAGAGAAAAACAGATAATAGAGAAATCCAATTAAAATCTGATGATTGGCACAGTGAGGTAGAGACTGTTTGTCTCTATATAAAGCTTTGATTAGATGATGCTCGTTATAGTATCAGCCAGTCTAATAGGTTGTATATTTTTAACTCGGATTTACCACGGGCTCCGAGCACTTAACACAGAAAAAAGGTCCGAACACAAATAATGGAGCCGGTCTGTGCAGACGCCAGGATCAGGCTCTTTGATTTGCATGACCAGATGAAATTATTCAGAGAGAGAGAGAGAGAGTGTGTGTGAGTGTGTGTGTGTGTGTGTGTGTGTGTGTGTGTGTGTGGTGAGAGCTTCCCCTAATGCCTCTCAAGGTGACTCGGCCTTCCTCCTTCAGGGCTTTCCTTTCAATTCTTTTTGGGATTGAAATTATGATGAAGTAATTTTTCTGCAGAAATTGCCTATGTCACTTGTGGTATCTCTCGGCAAATTTCTCAAGTGTATTTTCAATCTCTCTCTCTCTCTCTCTCTCTTTCTCTCTCTGACTCTCCATCTCTCGCTTTCTTTCTCTTTCTCTCGTTCGACACGTCGATATGTCAATGTCACATTTCACCGCCATCGCAGCGAGAAATGAGAGGCAGTTTGGCGTTTGAGAGGAAGAAGAAGAAGAAGAACGAACCTCTCTTTGCTGTTTGGACACGCAGTTATTCTACTCTCATATATATATACAAGAGCAGAGCGAGACACGTGCAGAGAAACTCACAGAGTCCCAGACACATGTGCCCCCCCCTCAAACACACACAGACACACACAGACACACACACAGACACACACAGAGTTATAGTCTCAGAGTGAAAAATCACCTGCTTGTTTCAGGGGAAAATAAGAGGCAGAGAGGAACATGTCGTCAGATCGGAGAGGGAGATTCCTCAGAGACCTGTGGCCTAATTTCTTATTTTCAAGAGGAAACTTATCTAATTATATATAAGTTAACTTCCTAGTGGTCGATTCAAGGGCAGCGGCGCCGACTGATACGAATGAAGAGCCTTAAAAGAAACAAGGATAACACATTTACATCCTGCTGTTTCTGTCGACGTTCGTCTCCATCCCTCAGTCCTCTGTTCACATCAGGAGCCTCAGCACTGAGCACGCTCAGATACCATAAGTGTGCGTGTGTGTGTGTGTGTGTGCGTGTGTTAAACATGCAGGAGAGTGTATTCTGAAATAATTAGGACAGTTGTTTCTCCTCCTGTTTGCTCAGTTTTAACAGCAAAAGTCAAAGATGAACAAATCCAGATTCTCTCGCTCGGTCGTGTTAATTCATTCACGCTCAATCCACACAGATTATGAGCTTTAATTCACTTATGTGCTGGTATTTCCCCTCATATGATGCAGATTAATGCAGGAAGGTACTTTAAAGTCTAATCAGATCGTCTGCTCGATGGGTGGGGGGGTTGAAAGTGTGAAGTGTCTGCTGGCGGGACACGATTTCACAGCAGGCAGCGGGTTTAAAGTTTTCTGAACAAAACTCGGAGGGCCTCGGTTTCAGCGGAGCTTCAGTCTCTTCAACGTTTTCTGGAGTAAACAGAGTCAGATATTATTATTTTTACAGAATATACAAATAAACTCAGAGACAAACTCTTAAATATAATTTAATGTGACTCTAATTTCGGGTTTTTCTCCACTTCCTGAAACCAACATTGTTCAGTAGCGTTGTACGCATTCGGCGGGAGAGTCACTGTGATGACGCTCGGCTCAAACAGCGTATCCCCCGGTGATCTACTCAATCTCTGTCCTCCCATTGGCTCTATCAGGTGTCAATCATAGAAAACATGAACCCCCTAATAACTTTTAAAAATGGAGCTGTACAGAAAAAAGAGGACTTGAGCTCAAACCAGTCTGACAGTAACTACATGTCAACATCACAACCAGGGGGGAGAAACATTTATATTCTGTGTCATTCATTTATAAAGTTTGTCCACAGCTCCATAAGGAGGCGGGGTTTATGACCTATACTGCAGACCGTCACCAGAGGGCGCTGTTCTCAGAGAGCGGAGGAGGCAGACGGCGTCTGTTCTAGATACAATCTATGGTCATCATCATAACTCACACAGAGATCCTCTCTGTGCTTTACCATCTTTGGAGAAATGCTTTTATTTTGACACTTCAGTTTCTCATTTGGGTTGCTTTTTTTCCTGTGCTTTTATTTTGAAGTTTATACCAGGAAACAGTTACAGAGCAGTTAGAGAGTCTGAAGGTTGAATCGATCAGTAACCTGAACGAAGTCTCGCTCCAACTAATAAATCTTTAACGTCCGTTTTTTAAAGAGTGATCGTCTCGCAGAGAGTTGCTAAAGCTAGCTGGCTAACAGCTGCTTCCTATCAAAATAAAAGTCTCATTATAAACCTGAATCTGTCCACCAGGTTAGAGAAACTATGATCCAAGTTTTCTGTCCCTCATGGACAGTTTTCAGGTTTTCCTTCTGGTCTGTGAGACCTTAGACCGACGGTTCATCTGGACTTGTTTGGTTCAGGTCCTGCAGACATTAACAGAGTAAAAACCAGAGCCAGACCACCTCACGTCAGGGTCTAAGCTCACCCTGCTGAGGTTCTGGTCCTCATAACGACCCGTTCCTGAGACTTCAGCCCTCACTCTAAAACTCGTCCTCTTTGGTTCTGATCTGAAGAGTCGGACTAACTAAAGTTCTGGTGCTGGCTGAGATGTTTCTGGATCACTAAAGTCACCAGGATTCATCCTCTGGGCACCATGAGTGTCTCCTGACGATCCTTCCAGCAGCTGTTGGTGTATTTCAGACCGGACCAGAGGGGTCAGAGGGTCAACAGAACATGACCATCCCTACAGCCACGCCGCCAGCAGGGCTGCAAACGGGAGAACCACGAGGAGGTTCGAGAAGGTTAACGCTGAAATAATGAGGAGGTGTGAGGGACTCCAAGAGAGTCCACATCCATCAGGACTGAGTCAGGAACCTGGTCGGTCTGACAGGTGGAGGAGCAGACAGAGATGGAGATCTGAGATCTGAGGAGGCCAACAGGAACAGACAGTGAAACATGGCGGCAGAAGGACCTCAGATCCCATCTCGGCGCAGAGTGCTGCCTCTCCTCCTCCAAGTTCAGCCGCCCTCAGGCGTGGCCCGGTCTGCTTCTCCTGCTCCCTCTCTCCCTCTCTCCCTCTCTCTCTCTCTCTCCACCATATGGACGGAGCTCTGCAGTATATCTCGTCAAACACAGCCTCCATCTTCCTCTCTCTTCCTCTCTCGTGTTTTAAGTCTTTCTCTCTCTCTGGCTTTGGGGGAACAGTCACAACTTGGCGATGAGGGGTAATCCGTCTTAATGTGGTCCCAGACCCTCAGACGGATCCGCGTCCGTGCAGATCACATAAGGACGAATGTTCCTGCTCTGTTAAAAAGAAATGTCCCTGACCCCCCCGTCTTTTCTCCAGTCTGCCCGTCTCTGAGGAGCGTTTCATCCTGACCAGTCTGGGATTTTATCACGCTTGCTTTGGTCATTACATCACAATTATGGAGCTGTTGGTGGAGGAGGAATCAGAGAACGGGGGAAAAAAGGAAGAGTGGAAAAAAGCGACAGATGAAATGTAGGTCAGTGGAGATGTGCTCGGGGCAGTTTCTCTCTCTCTCTGTTCCTCTCTGTGTCTCTCTCTCCCTGGGCCACAGCTAAAGAGGCTAAAAGAGACCGGGGGTGAAAGTGCCTCTCCTCCACACCTGCCCCTCTCCTCTTCCTCGCACGGCGAAGCTTCCTCCTCTGAAAACCGCTCCGATGACAGACGCCGAACGCTGAGCGGGACGCTGAGCGTGTCTGACAGCAGAGACACCGTCCTTTGTGCAAACTCACGGTCTGATCCGTTTGTAGGTTTTGGTCAAATGTCCCTCAGAGGAGCAGCAGAGGTCAGACGGAGAGGGTCCTGACTTTAAGGTGAAGGTGGAGTTTTATTTCAGGGTCCGATGAGATTTAAACCAGGATAAAAACAGAGGCAAAGATCGACGTTTAATTTTCTGAGCTTTAAAGAAACGTAAAAATATTCTCTGATATTTAGTTGGAGACGTCTCGTCGTTTACTCATCTGAAGGTGAAGTAATTCTCTGAAACTGAACTATCGGAGAGGCTGCTGTGTGCAAACTTTGGTTAGAGCTGCGTTAAAACATCCCGCTCAGCATCGATTACACAACAGAGCAGGACTAAAGGTCACACACACTGATCTTACCGCCTGTTTTAACGGCTGACGTGTTTTAACTCTTTAGATTCTGCTTTAAATAATAAACAACATCGACCTCTGATCTGAAACAAACACCTCAGTAAAATACGTTAAAGTCGTTCCTCCTGCACAAATATATTGTCCACAGTCCGTCCTCTCATCCTGGGGAAAGTGGGACTGACTCCCCACAGGAGGGGGTCCATGTGGGTCCATGTGGGATAAAAATATTCTTTGTTTTTATTCTTTTTAAAATGGAATAAAATAAACTAACAAACTCGGGTTTTGATGATAAATGTTGCAGATGTGAAATATCACATTTTGTAGCGACACTAAGTTGTGGTTTTATCTGCTGCTCTTCTGTCGGTGGATTCTTTAGTTCTGAGGGTTTAACTGTGTGAGGCCGACCCCCCTTTAGGCCGTGATATCAGGGTCCAAAGTGACATTTTTACAGGGACCAGAATTACGATCAACACCCCTGATAACATCTCTGAGAATATGAAGGTCCTGCATCGAGACAAACACACATGTAAACACAAACACACACACACACACAAACACACACTCATCCTGGTTTCTACACAACACCAGTCCAGGTTTAAGGAGGACTACAGAGATCTGTTTGAAGGTTGATCAGCTTTAGTGGTCTGCATGGATCGATAAACCCGCTGCACACACACACACACATAAAAAAGCTCCAAAGTTCACACACTAACACACGTAGAAAACTAAATTTAAAGGAGTTGATTTTTCAGGCGACAGTTTAAAGTCACGATATTTAAGAAAAACCATCAAACCAGCCTGTAAAACCAGCCTGAAACAGGCGTCCACCCTCATGTGAATCCCCTGCAGCCTCCCCTCACTGGGTCAGTCTTTGTACGGTCCTGTGGTCCGACACAAACCTCCTCCTCCTCCTCCTCCTTTTTCCAGGTCAGTATTTCAGTGTTTCTCAGAGGAAGGAGCGGACCCCACCCTGAAAAGCATCCTGTGGACACCTGAGAGCGTCACCTGAGCTGCTCCCCTCTCTGTGACATAAGATCTATTAACGCTCACATACATGTACGACCCCGACAGGACAAATGTGCAGATTTTAACACTCTACAGACGCGCCCGAGGAGAATAATCAGAGCGTGAGTATTTACAGTGACAACGTCAGCGTGAGATCATCTAAATTCACCGCTGAGGGAAACAGGAAATCTCTTTATTTCTATTTACAGATGAACGAAAATACCAGGAGGATTCTGGACTGATGTAAAAATCAGTCGACAGGCGAAAATGATCCAAAAAACAATAAAAGTCATGGACTCATTTAAAGACGAGGAGTTCTTCCTTCTCTTGAACCTTTTTTCTGTTTTAAATGTAGAATAAATTTCAGACCTCTCTAATAAATAATCTCTCTCCTCCGGGCAGAGTGGATATTTTCTGCTGGATGTGAGGCCGGATTATAGACGGACTATTTTTGCAGGGAAACAACATCAAATGCATAAAGATGAGGAAATGGAGAAGGTGACATTAAAACTTTGCACTGGCTGTTAGCGGCAGAGTGCGCTCAGGCTCTGTGTGCACACTGTCTAAGTGTGTGTGTGTGTGTGTGTGCGTGCGTGTAGGCTCAGGGCTGGAGGAGGCTGAGCAAGAGAGGGAGAGAGAGAGAGAGAGAGAGAGTGGGAGGAGCAGAAAGTGCTCCAGTCCAATCCGGGCCGCCGGGTAAAGCCTCTCCTATCCGCTCTCTCCTCCCTCAGCCCGCAGAAAACAGTGAAACCCTCCCACAGAGGTGAGAGCGCAGATGTCATGAGAAACGCGACCACATCACGACCAGAGCGCACAGACCGACCGACGCACCGTCCGACCTCAGCCCGCCTCAGCGCGCCCCGCTCTGGGATGCTTTTAGCGCACAGACCGCTCCGCTCCGGGCAGCCCGTGGATCCTCTGCTCTCTTTTCGTTCTTGTTGTTATTTTTAACCGAGGATCCCCCCCCCACCCACCACCCTCCCCTGAACCCCCCCACCCCCGTTATTAGTGTTTGTTTCTTCATGACTGCTGCTTTGGGAGGAGAGCCTCAGCACCAGCTCCAGCGACGCCAACACCATGCGAGGTAAGACCATCCCACTGCTCCAGACTGCGCCGCACTTTCCCCGAGCCTCATCCCGCTCAACACACACACACACACACTCACACACATTCACACACACACTCTTACACACACGCGCGCGGCATGCTTCAGTCCACATTTGGCCTTTAAAGTTTATTTTGGGAGTTTTGAGCTGCGGAGCTTTAAGAGCCGAGCAAAGGGCGAGCGGCTGAATTTCTGCGTAAAAGTTTATCCGGATCTTTCCTCTCTGTGTGTGTGTGTGAAAGAGTGTGTGAGTGTGTGTTTGAATTTAAGTGTGTGTTCGTGAGTTCAGAACAGGCCCCACAGTTTTGTAAATCCACGCGTAAAAGCCGCTGGAGTCTGTGATTGCAAATGAAAAGTTGCGCGTGATGTTTGACTAAAGCTGTTCTCCGGATCAGATCAGAGCAGGTGACAGAAACCATCAAATATCTCACAGATCAGGAGCAGAACTTTGTTGGAGACTTTCAGGCGCTCCACTAACCCATTTCTGCTCCTCTCCGGGATGGTGAAATTCAACGTCAATGCGCGCACACGCACACGCACACGCACACACACACACACACACACACACACACACACACACACACACACACACGGAGAAGTAAAAGCAGCTCTTTCCACTCTCATTATATCAACCTTCCCAGCGCCTCCTTTTAAATTCTCTTTCTTATTAAGTTGATTTGTTTTCTCCTCTGAAGTCTGAATATCTGACCTGATTATGATCCACTCACTCTTTCAGGATTTCTATTTATTTACTCTCCTCCATGTTGTGCAATTATCGCTGAGGCAGAGTTGCAGCACTCGTTCAACTGGATGATCTCCTCCTCCAATTAAAAGTCAATCTGTTTGAGAGAGGCGGGTCCTCTCTGCAGCTCTAAACTCTCTAAACTCACTCTGAGGAGTTTTTTATGTCATTTTACTGAAACAGGGAGGATTCTGGGAAACTCTCAAAAGTTCAGAGTTCAGTCCTAAAAACAGTCATTCAGATTTTAGATGTTTAATATCAGAGTGAAAGTTTTCAGGAAACTAATTTAATTTTTACTCACAGTTTTAAAAACAAATAAAGAGAAAATTTTATCCAACAGACTGAGTTTTAATGGAAGAAAATTACTACATTAGATCTTAATTAAAAATTAAATATTTTAAAATGTAGATAAAAATGTAAACATGAAAAACATCCGTCTGTCTGTCTGTCGTTCATGTTGGATGTGAATCTTTCTGCAGCTTCAGCTTCAGGCCATCAAACCTCGGGCAAAAAAAACATGAGAAGGCCAAACACCCCCCTCTCCATCTCTCTCTCCCTCTCTCTCCCTCTCTCTCTCTCTCTCTCTCTCATCCACCTTGTATTTTATCCACCTTTTAATGGACCCTGCGTCTGCTCTCGTGCTCAGGATGTTTTGGGGGTTTTACAGAAAAGCTTCTGCTTTCACTTTACAGCCGCGGTCGGCAGAGGAGGCCCCTGAAGCGTCTCTCTCTCTCTCTCTCTCTCTCTCCCTCTCTCTCTCGCCCCTCGTTCTCTACGTTTCTCTCTCTCTCTCTCTCTCTCTCTCCATCTTCCTCTCTCCCTCTGCACGCCCCAAAGGGTTTTGTCAGATAGAATTAAATCAGTGTGGGCCGAGCGGCCCCCACTCCCAACCTGTGTGTGTGTTACTGTGTTACTGTGTGTGTGTGTGTGTGTGTGTGTGTGTGTGTGTGTGTGTGTGTAGTCTCGCTGCCCTTACACAGAAATGCGCTCACAACCACAAGGTTATAAAAAATGGAGGCCCCTCATGAGCCGTGGTAATTATCATTTAACAATAGCCACAACTCCTGCAGCCCTGACTGACTGGAGATGATGTCACCCGTGGCGTGGACGCAGAAATAACAGACGCCATCGTACGAGCGAGCCGGCCTTTTCTCCTCCTTCCTCCCAGATGAGGAGGATGATGGTCACAGGGTCGTGTTTACCTCTCTGTTTTCACTTGTTGATGCTTTAGAAAGAGTCGTTTTTATTCGGTTAGAGAGCCGAGAGTTTCGACAATTTTGGATTTTTGAGGGAAAAAGTTTGTCTGAATAAATTCACACTAACTGAACTCACATTAAGACATTTTCTGCTTTAAATTAAATTAAAATAAATTAAATTTTCTCGATTTAAAATGAGTCATTAGTTCTGAAATCACAGCATGGACTAAACGCTGAATTCAGTCGTATATGAAGTGAGTGCTAAAGCGTATAAGCTCGCTGTAAGCCGAAGAGCTTTTCTGCTGCTGCTGCTGCTGCTGCTGCTGCTGCGGATGAACCCGGGTCAGACAGGTCAGGGAGTTCAGAGGTGGAGGGAACAACGGGGGATGACGGGTTCGCCGCGCCATTTGATCTCCTCTGTTAGTGATACGTGTCAATCACAAAGTCCCGCTCCTTCCTTCACCTCCAGAAGAGATAGAGTGACAGAAACTGGGAGAACGGGAGAGAGAGAGGGACAAAACCAGTAAGACAAAGACAGGCGGAGGAGTGACTCTTCAGCCTCGGCGTGTGTGTGTGAACAGGAAGCTCCAGAAATCAGCAAACATGCACACGTATCCCAAACAGCAGCAGCTGCAGCAGCAGCACGCATGACGGCCTCATGCCAATAGAATTAGTCCATCCGGGTTTACTCTGGAGGCTTGTGTGATTATCGATCATCGGTGCGATTTAAAGCATCCCGATCAATTCTCAGTCAAAGCCAACGGAAGCAGACTGTTTAGATAAATCTATGGACGGCTTCATTTCACCGAACGCGGGAGAAAAACCTTCATCTGAGTCCGAGGAAGTTTGAAAACAAACGTCCACGACAGGCAGGAGGTTAATTATGTCGTTAGGAAGTTACTGATGACTCTTTATTTTCATGGATCAAAACTATGAGATAATAAAAAGAAAGGTGGAGGTACAGGCTCTAATGTTCATTCATAAACTCGTCACCAATCAGCTGATGATGGAGAATAAACAGATGACAGAATATTAAACAGATTTAATATAAAATCTTCATGTTTGTATTGAACTATCATTATTTACTGTTTTTTATTTATGTGGTTTTTAACGATGATTAACAGTTGATAACAGAGTGATTTTAGTTAATTTTACATCATTATACCAGGATCAAACTGAGATTTTAACCCTTAATTAGACGTTTGCAGTAATTAAAGATCTTAATTATCGATCAGGAGGAGCTTCAGTTTGTCTCTTGTTGTGATTTTTTTGTGGGTCAAACGTTGTGTAAGAGTGAAAACCGCCAGAAGCTAAAAAAATAAAATAGAAAAGCGTCAAACTTCCTGCTGATTAACGAGGCCGTCTTTTCTGAGGCGGCGGCTCCGACCCGTTCTCGAACAGCGGGTCAGCACACGGGTTCTTACTGCTCCCTTTGTTAACGTGAAATCACTCATTCAACACCTGAGAGGACACCTGGCTGACTGAAGCTCCGGTCTGTTGTGTTTTCTGTCCCGGTGTGTCGCTGATTATTGTGTTGTTTATTGTGTAGTTGATTGTGTTGTTGATTGTGTTGTTTATTGTGTGTGTGTTTGTGCTGACTAATGGCCCGGTGTTATGTAAGAAGAGAGGAGAGAGAGATTACCCCGAGCCCATGCAGGCCACTCTGTTAATCCCTCAACACAGGCCTACTGACTGACTGAGGCTCTGCCACACACACACACACACACACACACACACACACACTCTAACTGTCTGTGCACCTGTCCTCAGACACCCTGAACCTCCTCCTCACCAAACTTGTCTGCAAAACTGTCTACAAAAAAAAACATCCCACCATGCTGTGTGCGTGCATGTGTGGGCATGCATGTGTGTGTGTGTATGCGTGCATGCATATGTGGTGTGTGTGTGTGTGTGTGGCCCTCATGGTCCCACTGAGCCGCTATCATAGCCGTGTTTGTTTAGCATGCGCCCAGCGTGCTCTCCATGTTGGTTTTATCCCTCGGCGGCTGTCTGGGGGAGTCTAGGCAAACAGTTTCCCTCCTCTCTCTCTCTCTCTCTCAGTTCTCTCCGTTTCTCTCTCTCTCTCTCCTTTTTTAAATCTTTATACTCACAAAGCGTGGGCTATACCGCACGCTTTGGTTTGTGTCTCCACTTTATCTTAGCCAGGAGGGATTTGAGCCTGAACCACTCCTAAACTCTAAATCTGCCTTCAAGTCATTCAGTCCTCTGACAGCTCCTTCTGTTTTGTCGGTTTTACTCATCCATGAAGGCGGCACGTCTCCATGGACTCACAATGACATCCAATATTCACATTTCCTTCGATTTGCATTGAAGTAGGAACCAGGGGAAGAGGGTGAGCGCGCTCGTTACAGAGACGAACGCTCAGAGAGAGCGAAGATACGATTGGAGGCTTTCATGAAGAATCTGCTGGTAATGAGACGGTTAGAGGAGGAACGGAGTTTGTGTGTCTGCTAATCAGTTTGGTTTAGAGGAGAGACACACAGAGGGATGTTTGAGGGTCCAAAGTCAGAGAGGAGGTTCACCTGAACTCCTAAACTCGGCCTCAAAGTCTCATTATTATCTTTCAAACTCAGCGAATCGCAGCTTTGCTTTCTCTTCTCCTGAAACGTCGCCGCCGCCGTCTGAACTTTGGAGAAACACGTCGAGTCGTTTTCAGCTTTAAAGTGAATCTACGAGAAACTGGAGTGAGAGAGGAGCGAGTGAGGGAACGCAGGAGAGAGAGAGAGAGAGAGGAGAGAAGGGAGGCTGTGAGTGAGAGAGATAAGAAAAGAGAGAGAGAGAGAGAGAGAGAGAGAGAGAGAGAGAGAGAGAGAGAGAGAGAGAGAGAGGCTCAAGAGTTATATAAGTGTGCATATATGTGTGTGTGTGTGTGTGTGTGTGTGTGTGTGTGTGTGTGTGTGTGTGTGTGTGTGTGTGGTTTACTTAGGAGTGTGTGTGCATAAGAGTGAAGGCTGGGTGCAGCAGGATGAGTTTACTTACATGCATGTTCACACACACACACACACACACACACACACACACACACACACACACACACACACACACTCCTCTGTCCTGATGTTACACACACTCTCTGCAGCTGCTCTAGAAGCAGAAGCTGCAGGAGGAGCGAACAAAGTCCAGACCTGAACACTGAGAGCAGATTAGTCCCTATAATGTGGACTAATCTATAAAGACCACATCAGCACACATGCAGACTTCAGGACCTCCAGTCTGGACCAGAGCTGGACCGACTCGGTCTAACGTCAGTAAACTTCCTCCTCCTGGTTCTGTCTCAGTTCTCCACCTGTAATCTGAGCGTATAGATGCTGATGAATGTTTCCACTCTGTGTTCAGGTGTTCAGAGCGAGCACGTCCAACAATAAGCCTTTAATATGACTTAGCCCAGTGCCGCATCTTTTCTTAATGACAAAGATTAGCCTCTTTTAGTTCCTCTAATCCCATTGAAGAGTCTCTGATTAGGTCCATCTTTTCTTTCCCTCTTCCTCTCTCTCTCTCTGTGTCCAAATCCTCTCTTACCTCTCTTAACCTGTATGTACAGAAAGTGTGTGTGTGTGTCAGTGTGTGTGAAAGTGTTCACATGTCCTGATCCGCGGCTGCTGGTGCGAGCTCTCCTGTCGTTCATGAAGCAATTATGAAACTAAGACTGAGGCTGCTGCTTCTCCACGCCGAGTTTGACGCAATTCTGTTAAATCACGCTGCGAGAGAGAGAGAGAGGGAGAGAAAGAGAGAGAAAACAGGTGAAGAGCAGAGCCCTGTGATCGTCTTTGTGATCAATCTGCCTCTGTGAGAGAGAGAGAGAGAGAGAGAGAGAGAGAGAGAGAGACGCCCCTGGGGCCACTTTGGGGAGAACCTTGTTAGGCTGAGTTAAATTGTTGCCCGAAATTGTTGCCCGAGGCGAGCTATTACACACACACACACACACACACACACACACACACACACACACACACACACACACACACACACACACACTCTGACACAGTGAATTGCAGAAACATTCGAACCTTTTTCAAACACATGAACTCTTTGATGAAACGGTCTTTATCCTAATGAGTCAAATGTCACAGCAGCAGCAGAACAGAGTGAAGAGTTTACAGAGTCACATGTGATATAAACCATAAATAAGAGACTCTTATTTTAATAGATGACCAGCTGTGTCTAAAACAATTTCATCCAAAAAGGTCTGAAATGATAAATGAGAAAATGAGGATTTAATTACTGAGATGATGACGTTTTAAAGAGGAGCTCCCTGCTGAAACAAAGCTGAACGTTTCCTGTCGCTGAAGTTTGCGTTTAGTTTCTGTGGATTTTACTCTTCTGTCTGTTTGTTATTGACCAGAGAGCTTCGCGTCGGTCTTTCAAATGTGAGAAATAAACAGAGTAAAATAAAGCTAATCTGCTCTAATCTGCCCACTCAAAACTGATATCCTCTCTAAATAAAAACGTTTTTTTTCTCATCCTAAAGAACAGCTGATCGAGTCTAAAACAGTCATAATAACACCGTTTTAAATCACCTCTCTTATCTAAAGTATAACCTGATACTTCTGTCTTTTTCACTGATTTAATAAAAATCCATTTAAACTATGTCACTAACCTGGATAATCATGTATATTATATTTCCTGTGCTTAAAATAATGTATTTATACTCGACATGAGTATTTTCTCTTCTTCATATTTTCTGATGGTTGAACAGAAATCTAAAGTTCTCTGAGGAGGTGATCGTTTACACAGTCTGGTGTTTTTTTATTAATGGGCTTTAAAATCAGATCAAATTATTGTTGATTAATTTTTATATTTTAGTTTTTTGTGTCGTACCTAACTGATGAAAAATCTACTTTTTTATGGATTATCTGACGTCACGTTTTGCATTTGGTAAAATTGATCAATTTTGAGGCTTTTTGGTCTTTGACAGCGCCGGGTCCAAATCTAACCCGTCTGCACATGCCGGACACTTCCTGTGTTTTGTGTTCATATCGGGTGTAAATAAAGTTTACTCCTTTAATCTGCTCAGATTATGAACACCTGAATTTTGTTTTTTCTCTTTGTGTGTGAATTAATTCACTAACTTAGTGACATTTTCACTGCGTGAGTCCAAACATGTTAATTTATGCTCGACAGTTTTCATTACGTCTATTTCCACGTCGTGTTTTCACGACTCAGCAGATAATCTGACCTCCTCCTTCGACGTCTGTCTCCATATAACAAAAAAGTCCTGTCATTCACTCTGTTCCTGTCCGATCTCTATACCAACTTTATTTTTATTAGCTGGTGTGAAAAGTGTCATGACTCCTGGTGTGAAAACAACATCAGATTAAAAGTTCTGACTTGATTATATTTTGTTCTGATAATAAAATATATTTATTTTCAGGGGCTCTCCAGAATTACATGTTTATAAAACTTAATAAAATACCAAAACTAGTCAGGAAAATATAAATATATACATGTTAGAGGACAAGACTGCAAAGACTGCTTTGACCACAGGGGGCGCCAAAACTGACACAGACTGAACGTCCCTCACTGGAGCTTTAAGTCTGCATGTTTATAGAAGTTTAAAGGAGTTTAATTAATGACAGAAAAGACAAAAATTTAATCAGATTTAAAAAATGACAGAAATCTATCAGATATTCTTATTTATTCTTCAAAGTCAATTTAACTTTCTCACGTCTGATCCCACCGACTGATGGGTTTTACTGTGAAAGGTTTAAAATTAGACGTTTTATTTTGAAATTTTAGATTCCAGCTGAACAGAAAGAGTCCCTGACATGAAAACAGCAGTTTTCTGTAAATCACTCCGAGGATGTTCCCGCTATGTCGCTATTTTTCACTCTCTCTGCACTGGAATAGCCACCTTTCCTCTCCCTTCCCCCTCAAACACACACACACACACACACACACACACACACACACACACACACACACACACACACACTGTCATCTACAATTAGACTCAAGAGAAACACCACAGGAGGAGGAGCGTGAGGTTAAAGGAGGATGAGGACAAAAGCAGAAAAATGTTATTTTCTCACCTCAAGAATCAAACAACCGGATCTAGTGTGTGTGTGTGTGTGTGTGTGTGTGTGTGTTCATGTCTGCACATGTGTGTTAGTGTGCAAACGTGTGTGTGTGTGTGTGAGGCGTTAGTCCACACACAAATAAACTCGAACACCGCGGCCCTGCTTTGTGTTTTAGCAGCTCAGCGAGCACATGTGCACGTCTGAGGACGGGACGGCGAGGCGTGAGGACGACAGTAAGAATAAGAGGGCGCTGGAGGTGATCAGTGTGTGTGTGTGTGCGTGTGTGAGGGAAAGAGAGGGAGAGGGAGAGCGCCACAGTGTGTGTGCGTTCTCACCGCTGATTGCAGGACGGTAATGACCAGATGCAGACCTCTCACACTTGGACTTGTTACTTCCACTCTGCTGCCCTCGCTCAGTCCTTAAGGAAAGGTCAAAGGCCGGCAGGGTCCTACAGGTCACCCAGGGGGATGGAGTGTGTGTGTGTGTAAATGTGTGTGTGTGTGTACAGTGACCATGAGAGACAGATCTGAGAGGGCAGATGGGCCGACTGTGTGTGTGTGAGAGCGCTCAGGCCGGGGTTGGGTTTACCCCGTGGATTTTTTCCCACGCCTCCATCTCTTCTTATCCATCTGAGGACACACGCTGCACTCACTGTGTGTGTGTGTGTGTGTGTGTGTGCGCGTGTGTGTAGAGAAGGAGAAAGGGCTAACTCAGACATCGTGGTCGTGGTAAGGTAAAGTCTGCTTGTTTGCAGTCATGCGTTCACTCAGGCATGTCTGAATGTGCCTCTGTCTGTCTAAATGTGTCTCTGCAGGAGAGTGCACGAGTGTGTGCACGAGTGTGTGTGCATGTGTGTGTGAATCGATGCTCTGGATCACAGCCAGCGGCCCCCTTCTGTTCCCTCTCCGTGGCGTCCAATCACGCCGCGGCACACTATTCTATGAGCAAACCGCAGCTGATCCCAGACCTGCTATCTGAGCAATTACCCAGAGTGCTTTGGGGCTGCATGGCAAGCTGGACAAGCTCATGCCCTCTGACATAGAGCATGGGGGGAGGGCAGCGAGGCTGTTTTTCTGACTGTGCGTGTGTGTGTGTGTGTGTGTGTGTGTGTTGGCAGGGTGAGGGATGGGGGTCGATGAGGATGGACTGATGGGAAAAGAGGAGGCTGGGGGAGTTTACGGACGCCGCTCATGCAGCAACAGTGTGACTGTCTACATCACCGAGTGGACAAAGACGTGCACGGCGCCGCCGAGGGATGGCGTTGGGGGAGGGGAGATGGCATTATGATTATTACTATAACAGAGAGAGAGAGGAGGGCCGACTGTACGAACAAAGAGACGGAGCAGGACGGTGTCAGAGAGGACGCTGCAGGTCTGAGCGTGTCAGGGACGATCAGCGTCTTCGATCGATTATCAGATTTATGAAAACCTTTTGAGGTAAACACGCTCCCCTCTGACCTTCAGGAAATGACCTTCATATTTATGTTTTACCTTCTGAGGCAGGAAGTCTACGGTCCAAAGATGTGAAAACAGAAACACGCTGGTCCAAATACGAGAAACACGAACGATCGCAGAGTCAGACTGAACGAACCTCTTTGTTTGACTTCAGGAACTTCGGCAGTTGTCAAATATTTTCGTTCTTTATCTGAATCGACACGTTTCTATCCTCCTCGACTGCAGCATGAATATTTATAACATAAACATGTTAATATGAAAAAACAGAGAATAACCTTTTATCTTTACTGTCATCATTTTAGATTCTCAGTTCGGGGTTTCACGACAGATCGTCTTTATTGTGATATTCACAAACATGCACAGTCGTCACACTGACAGACGTCCTGATGATTCTTCGATAAACGGCGGTTAGAGAAACTGACGCTGTGCGGACTTTAATTCTGCAACTGTTTACATTTTTTCAATCAATATTTATTTATATAATATCAAATCACGACAGTCACTATCTCAAGATGCTTTCCAAAAAGAGCAGGTCTCAGTGTTTTTATGTCTTACAAAGACTAAACTGACTGTAGAATGTAAACATAGACGTCATGACACCGCCGCGTTCACAGACACCTGAAAAACACTGAAGTGGGACTGATGAGACTTCTTATTCTCAGATTTAATCTCCTCCAGGAGTCCAAAATAAAAACACAATCTCAGTCTCTGTCGTTCTCAAACTCTCTGCTTTTATTTTACTTCCTTTTTTCCTGATCGGTGAATTTAAACTGTCGTCTCACTAAATGTCATAAAATAAAGAAACTCGGAGACTTCATCAGCGGAGACGTCAAACAATAAAAGCAGGTTGAGACTGAACCTCTGTGACCGTTTATAGACCGCTGACTGTGACCCTACAGTTGAGAAGCGGCGCTGTGAGAATTAGAAATATTAATAATTATAAATAAATGTTGATGTTTTAATATTCATCCTCACAAACAGACATTTTAACAGAAACATGATCAGCTGATTAAACCTGCTGCTCTGGTTCTGCCTCAGGTGTGTGTGTGTGTGTGTGTGTGTGTGTGTTTTCCTCTTGGTTGGTTTTCTTGCATCATTTTGTGTAACCTTTAGCCCCTCCCACATTGCTCTCTGATTGGCTGGACATCAAATGACAGAGGTTTGATCCAAAATCAGTCTGTAAATGCAGCGGCTCATTGTTTAAGTAGTGTACCCAGGGATGGGAATTGAGAACCGGTACTCAACAAGAACCGGATCCAAATGGTTCAATCCATCGACATCATTTACATTTTATCTTAACGATTGAACGTAAGTAAGCAGAAACACTCCGGAGCGTGGCTTTATTTACCTAAGAAGAACAACAACGTGGCGTGCGATGTTTGTGGAGCAGTGATAATATGCCAAAGTGGAAACATCAGCAGCTTAAACATTTGTCAACGGGGCACGGCGTCAAACATAAGGAGTCACATGTATCCGCCGCTCTCCGCTGGTCGTCTCGGCACGTTTGATGGGTTTGATTATTTTAGACTCTCACTGAAGGTGGCGTCCATCTGTTTCTGTTATCAGGGACTCAATAAAACTTTGAGTTAATGGTGAAAACCTTTAGTCTACTTTTTTTTTTCATTGATAAGGGAATCGTTAAAGAAATGAATCGATAAGCAGAATCGATAATGGCATCAATATCGATTAAATCTTATCAGTTTCCATCCCTAAGTGTACTCCTTATATTCACAATCTGAGCAACACTGAAGCTCCTCTCTTTTAAAACTTCAATCATTATTAATAATCTTATTTATAAAAATAAAGCTAGTGTTATATTTGTTGATAAATTTGTGTTTTTATTGATCTCTCATATCGATAATGTACGACATCGATGCGGCCTATTTTCAGCGAGACAGAAAACCGTGTCTGAACGTTCCCTCTTTTCTAAAGTTGGACAAACTTTGACATTTTTACTGAAATGCTGATCGTTCTATTTAATTATTGGTGATGGTACCGGCCCTGAAAATAAATATTGGTCGACCTTCAGAGAAATCAAAGATAATCGAATAAAAAGGTCGGCGAGGAGAGCGTTACGCGGTCTGGTCTGTTCGTGTTTTTTCTCTCTTTAAAGTCCTGATATTATATTTTATCGTCAGTGTTTGTTGGTTTGGAGAACTTTTTAATATTTTGTTCTTTTAATTTTAACATGAATGTAGAAGGAAATCTAAGAAGAGACAAACAGGACGAGAGAAAACGGAGAGAAGTTTGTGGTGGTCAGTGTTAAAACCCTCAAACGTCTCCTGATAGAAACATTTCCGACTGATAATTCACTGATGTTTAGATTTAAAAGACAGAAAAAGAGGACGTGCGGCGTATAAGAGCGATGACAGTGATTCAAATGGACTTTGTTTTTGGTATTTTTTAAGAAAAGCAGATCGTCCACACGCCTCTGCATATGTTTTAGGATCTTCATCAGACAGACAAGAGAGAAAGTCTGACAGTCTGTTTGAAACAATCTGCATTGTCGGAGTTTCATTGATTTTAATGGGACAGTATGATGTGAAAACATGACAGGAGACACAGGGGAGATAACCCAAGCAGCACCGCTATAAGCTATTCCCAGCTGTGTGTGTTAATCCACTCAGCGATCACGCCACCAAAAGTTTCTCTCGCTGTTTTTCATCATCATCGGCAGAGGGAGAAAAAAAAAAAAAAAAGAGGAGCGCTTGTTCGTCTCTAAGCTCTGCAAGACGGGGACGAGGACGAGAGAGTTTGAGAGCTGAGAGATGGAAATAGATCATGAAATACAGAAACGGGAATGATTTCTCAGTCACTTAGAGCGAGGAGGAACAAGTCAAACAGAGTGAAGCGGAGTGGATGGTGAACAGTGATAGCATAATTCACAGTATAGAGACATCTAAGAGCAGCGCTGCAGCTCCTCACATTTAACAAGGAGTGGTGGGGGGTAAAGTGCTGATCTCCGCCGTTCTCCCAGAAGAAATCTAGTTAACTGGCGAGAAGCTCTGCGTATTTTTAATGAAGAGGAGAAACCACCCACATCCATCCCCGACAAATCAACCCCAGGGACTCCAGCAGGAGCCGTGTTTGCATTTCTGAGGCAAAAGTTAGCGGAGAGAGATTTTTAACTGCGCCGAGAGCGGCTGCTGCTGCTGCTGCTGCTGCGCCAGCCTCCAGTGTATTAAGACCTGTGTGTGTGTGTGTGCGTGTGTGTGTGTGTTTCACCCTGCAGGCTGAATAGATAAAACATGCATGTCCAGTCTGGTCCTCTTTAAACACAAATACATACATGAAACTAAACATGTACAGCAACACCTAGTGGCTTAAATCTGCCGTTACATCGCCTTTATAGAAAAGAGGAGTCACCCTAGCGTGGTCGTGTGTGTGTGTGTGCGTGCATGCGTGATCTACTTCCATGGTTTAGAGGAAGTATTGTTAAAATATTGGTGTGAAGCTGCTCCTTTTCTCTCGCAGATAATTAGGACTCTATTTAGAGAGAGAGGGCCAGCCCAGGAAATACACAGGAGAGCCTCACCTCATTAAAAATCAATTATCATAACACACGTGCCAGCACTTCACAGCCCTCATGGCCACAACCAGCTATACACGCACGCCCGTGCACGCTCACGCACAAACTCGTGCACATGTGCAGAGTCTTGCTGCAGCGCCACTACAACTGCGCTCCCTGTAAACTCGGCTCCTGTCCGCCTCCCTCCCTCACTCCTTCTCTCTCTCAGGAGATTGCTCAGGCCTGATCCTCCTCTTAGCTGAGGAATCGCCAGCGCTGCAGTCTCGCTCTTACATAATAACCTGAGGATAACACTCAGGCGCCTGTTTGCAGAGGACACTGTCAGTCAGCTCAGAGCGCAGAGAGAGAGAGAAAGAAAGAGTCCTCCCGTAGCTCAGAGCGACATCAGAATCTGAAGAGAAAGACTTTCAGGTTTTGTTTGGAAGTGGACGCCTGTCAGTGAAAATCTGTCTCTGAAGTTTTGCTCTTTTATCAAAGTCAACTTTCACTTTCGCTTTAAGGCAACAAGTTTGTTTTCTGGAAGTGAAAGCATGAAATCAGAGACAAAAGTGCATTATCATCGTCCTCCAAAGTTTGGACACAATAGCGCTTCCTCTGAGCGTCCTGAAGATAAGCCGTCCTCACGCCGCTGTAATCCAGAGGAGCAGCAGCGGGCCCGCATTGTTGAGTGGATGTGGAAGTGGGAGTCCTTTCTGAAAACAATCCCCAAAGCCTGAGCCGCCGAGAGAGGCCGACAGGACGAGCGCCGATGATACACCGAGCTGGCTCTGCACGCCGATGACATCACTTCCTTTAAGAGTGTGAGAGCTTAGCGCATCATCGCTGTGACAGCCAGACGAGTGCAGCGAGTGGGCGGTCACCCTGGCAACAGCGATGCTGTCATGACCGTCTCCCTATATCCTACCTGACAGTCCCCGCTGGCGACGAGCACGGCACACACTCGACAATGAACACACCCACACACACACACACACACACACACGGAGGCAAACATTTTGTCAGCACGTACACACGTACACACACACACACACTTTATCTGTGTCTGTCTCTTTCTTATAAGTGAAGCGCTCACTCACAGCGTCTCAGAAACACTCGGAAACAATGCTCATGCCCACACGCCTCCACGCGCTCCTCTGGGAATAATTATGTGATACAAAGAGGGGACGGATCTCCCATGGGGCAAACACAAGATATAATGTAATCACTGCAGAGACAGTAAACACACACACACACACACACGAGTCTCCTCTGAGGGGCCTCTTCTGTAAACCTGCAGAGATGTTTCATATGTAGATCCACAGACAGCAGGTGTGGGCTGCGTTGATTCAGCTCGCTCTACCTCTCTCAGATTTGTTCTTTAGGATGATCGTCTGTGCGCTGAGACGATTCTTTTATCCACAGAGTGAAGGTGAGAAGAAAACGTCCTGTCCTCTGTTTACCGCTCCTGCCCGGCGTGTTGCTAACAGCCATGGCGGGGCACAACTGACCTGTTTTACGGCCTATAAATAGTGCGATGCGGGCCGCGTTCATTGACAGCTCTGTGCATGTGTAGTCTGTGTGCTGTCCCAGTCCGGTGCTCTGCTCTGACCCAGTTTGGAGCCAGTTGGCAGAGAAATTGGTGGAAATGGGTCACGTCTTGAGCTGCACCAGAACTCGCAGCGTGAGCCTCGCTAACTTCAGAGAGCGGCTCCAGTGCGTGTTGTTAGTTTATTCACGGACGATCAGCTGCGCGGTTATCTACCGCTGAGTTTAAGGAGCGAAACGTGAAACATGATGTAAGAGACGAACAAAGAGGTTCAGCTGCAGAGTGACGTCGATGAAGAAAACTATGAAGGCATGATGGTTTCTGAGTGACTGCAGGTCAGTCAGAGGTTTCAGGGGTGTTACTGCCTTTGACCACAAGGGGGCAGACTGACCAGTAAGAGAGTGACAGAGAGAAAAGGTTGATTGAAAAGGTTATGACGTGGATCTATGAGTTCAATCATCATCCTCACTTTCTCCTCTAACCTGAGGAACCTTGGGGATCGAGGGGATCGTGGGGGGGTGGCTCTGAGGAATCACCTGTCACAGCTGACTGTGTTCAGGTGGAGATATTCTGGTGCTTTCTAACGTGGATGGTCTCACTCAGGAGTGTAAGGACATCTGATAATACTCAGTCGCTTAGACAGACAGAACAGACTGTATTGATCCTCATATGGGATTATCCTATTATATACACAGCAGCACGCACATTCCTGCACAGACGCTAAGTAGACACATCAATATCACATCTATCATTGTACAGTCAGGGATTTAGTGTTAGAGTAAACCCTGAATAAAAAAGACTATCAAGTTATGGAGGCCTCGTGATTGTAAATGAAGTTGAGGAGATAGTTGAGCAAATATGACCAGATTTAAAAAACAAGTATATCGGTACATGTGGGTCTGATGACAATACAAGTTATTCTAAAATGACAATAAAGTTTATTGGAGCGATCTGAGATTATTTTCTGAGGAAAGGTTAAACTGTTTTAATACTAATGATAACTCAGATCTTAAAACATCCTAAAAATCATCAAACCACAGAGCAGAAACACATTTAAACCTGAAGTAAAAATTACTGAGGAAAAATACATTTAAAAATCACTAAATACAGTTAGTTACTCAGCAGAATGGCCTATTAAAGTATATTAATTGTATAATTTAGGTATAATGTCAGCATCATTCACTTTAATTGCAAAAGGGCCATGGACCAAACAATCCATTATTCACTGACATGTAAAGACTAAGTGGATTATAATACAACAGAAATAGTCCACAGGTCAGTCCACAATCTGAGAAACCAGAACCAAAGATCCAAACTAACCTTCGAACTCCTGCGGGCAGACGACTGTGACGGTTCTTAACGAGGTTACAGACGGACGTTTGGAGAAACTCCACCTTCAGGTACACCTCCGCAGTTACCTGTAAATACAGAGTTTTACGTTAGAGTTACAGTTATTTGTTCTGTGTTCGAGGATTCAAGGAACTTTATCTGTCAGACGCCACACCTTTGACAGTCTGTGGTATGACATTTGTACCCAGGTCCGTTTCCAAGCCAAGAATAAAATACAACACAATAAATAAAAATGTAACACAATAGATAAAATACAATAACAAAGAGCAAAATGTAAACAGTGCAATACACACCAGATACCGACTAGTTTTCTAACTACAGTAAAACTTCACCTTGTGTCCAGTCTAAAGCACACCTGTACAAAAATCATCCTGTTTAATCAGCATCCTGATCTGACACAGATTTAGACTAATTTATCAACAAAATTAGACAGAAACAGTTTATCTTTAGTGAACATACAAAAACTCTTCTTTGAGTTCAGCTCATGAAAAATGGGAGCAAAAACTAAATTGTTGTTTATATTTTTATTTAGTGTATTTTTGTTGTTGCAGATAAAGTTGGAGCTCATTTTAACTTCTTTATTTACACACTGACAGGTAGACTAATGATCTCCTTGTTGCTAATGAAGATTTACTACAGATCTAAAATGTTAGTTGTAGTCACATGACGTTTAATCTGAACTCAGGTGACTGTAAAGTCGACACAACTAACATTTTTCTCAGGTGGGAGTAAGCTAGTGCTAGCTAATGCTAATGCTAGTTTGTTATGCTAATGTGTCGTTAGTTAAACTTGTGTGTTGTGTGTTTCTCTGTGAAGTTATTGTGTTTGTTTTCACCTGTTGTTTGTGTTAAAGTTGTTCTTCACTCAGTCCGAGTTGTTGGCAGATCCGCAGGTATCCGAAACTGACTCATTTCCGGTCTCGTTTTCGCGCCAATTAAATTAAATCCGGTACAGAAATGGCGGATGGGGTAACGGAAGTAGCTGTTCACTTTTCAAAATAAAAGCTCGCCATATCTATAATAAAAGCTCATCCGCTTGAGGAAAGGAAGAAATGAGTGTCTTAATGATAAAAGTGAGAATAACATTCTTTATTGTTATTTTCACTTTTATTAAGTTAAATTTCTTTTTGTTACAGAAATTCCAGTGCAAATAACTTAGAAAGAGGAGATAAATAATATATACAAAATACATAAAAATAATCAAAATATGTAATATATTCAGTTTAACAATATACAAGTTTGTACACTATATACAACACAGAATAGTAAAATAGTATGTATATGATTCCACAGCTGAAAGGATTTCTCAGTAGAGCGTGAAGTCCGTCTGCAGAAAACTGTAGCCTAGCTTGCGTGGAAATCCTCCCAGCAGTCCCTCATTAAAGGGGCGGAGCTGACCGACATCCACGGTGGCTAAAACACAAACAAGAGACATATACTTCACACAGCCTCACTTTGAAAATACTGAAACATCTGAACCCAAAGATCCACTTTAATTCTGTTGGATTTCTCCAAAGATGACCAAACACAAACACATTCACACACACTCTCCATAAAAACCCACACTGACTCTAGATCCAGTTTGCGCTACAATCAGGCTAACTCTGTCCAAGTGTTATATCTGAACCTGAGTTAGTTTGGTGTATTTCCTTGTTGCTGCGGTCAGTTTAGACCGAGTTTATGAGGAGTTCGTTCCAGCTGGGACAGCACAAGCAGATTAGAGATGAATGGCTGCTTCAGCTCTGACTAAGCCAGCGCTCATTAGAGGAGGGAACCAGCTCGTCGGGAAATAATTTGGGATTAAATAGGCTGTCTAATCTCTTTATCGAAGGTGTGCCATCTCAGCAGACACACCTGACCACGTCTGTAGTCATCTCATACCTCTAACTGGAACTCTGAACCTGCAGAGCGACCGGGACAGATGCTTCTGTCGTTACTGTGACACACTTCCATGTTCATATCCTGTGACTGTGCATGGAGCTGCCTATACACAGTGAGTAAGGCTGGAGAGTAGTTCCTGCTGAGGTTTACCTGTGATGGCTGTAGTTTGTGAGTGTGTGTTATAGTGTGTATTTGTATGCATGTGTGAAAAAGCGAGTCAAAGGAGGAGGAGGAGGAGGAGAGCGGTCCTTCAGCGGTGTGACCCGTGTTCTCATTATGGCAACCTTTGTAACCTGCAGGGGTCTCTCCTTCAAATGTCACACAAAGAAACTCCACACACAATTATCACTGACATGAGTGAGTGTGGGCGTCTGTTCAGACCATTAGAGGAACTTCTCCAAGGACGTGCAGAATATCCAGATGTCACCTTGTTCCTGTTAAGCTGCAGTCACACTCGCTCTGTTTGCAGGAACATTCACAGGGTGACCAACAGCCAACGAGGCCGTGTGACATTTCCTTTGACCTCAGAGACACAAACTGAGACCTTCTTAACTCTGAGTTTGTCCTTTAACACATCTCCTTCCTGTCCTCTTTGTCTGCTTTCAGCCCAAATCGAAGTAATACCTTGCAAAATCTGCGGAGACAAATCATCAGGTATCCACTATGGCGTCATCACGTGTGAGGGATGTAAGGTGAGCCTCTGCTTCTTCTCGGCCTCACAGTTGTGCACGCTCAGTCCTCGTCAGGCACACCTTTGTATTGACTCTCCTGTTTGACCTGATCTCACCAGGGTTTCTTCAGACGGAGTCAGCAGAACAACGCATCGTACTCCTGCCCGCGCCAGAGGAACTGCCTCATCGACAGAACGAACCGCAACCGCTGCCAACACTGCCGCCTACAGAAATGTCTCGCCCTGGGAATGTCCCGAGATGGTGAGGACGAAATATACTTCTATTTGTGCAAACATGCAAACGCACACTGACCACAGATGAACATGTAAAATAATTACCTGTTAATCCCGGGGTGTCATGAGTTTTCTTTCTTACATTTTGTTTCTTTTCAACTTTTACTTCCTGAGCGAAACAAAAAACAAGGTCAACAGCCGTCTGAGAAAAAGATAAAAACATCAAAATAAAAGAAAAAGCTGAAGTTTTAACAGGATACAGAATAAAATAAACACAGTTGAAGAAAGTCAGACATGAGTTTGTTTGTTGCTGAAATAACAGGATCTGGTTGCTCTCTTAAGTCTTGAGTGATCTGGTGGTGGGCTTCAGGATTTCGGTCCTTTCACAGAAAATCCGTCCGAGCAGATCAAACTTTACAGTCAGGACTTAAAGCTGCTCGGGGGACTCTGCTGTGGTCTCTTTAGTTCTATCATTTTGGAGGCTGGCAGGAAATATTCCACACTCAAGATCTTACCTTCACTTATGTGGGACAGTTTTGTTTTGTGTGATAGTTTGACCTCCTTTCTCGTTTTGTCTCGGCGCACAGCGGTGAAGTTCGGCCGCATGTCTAAAAAGCAGCGTGACAGCCTGTACGCAGAGGTCCAGAAGCACCAGGCTCGCCTGCAGGAGCAGCGGCAGCAGCAGACGGGGGAAGCAGAAGCCTTGGCGCGCGTTTACTCATCCAGCCTAACCAACGGACTGTCCACCCTGAACCATGAAATCGGGGGAACCTACGCCAACGGACACGTCATAGAGCTGCCCAAGGGCGGACACGGGAACGGAGGAGTGGTCCCGGGCGGATACTACGGGATGGACTCCACCCAGCCGTCTCCTGACCAGTCCGGTTTGGACATGTCGGGCATGAAGCACATTAAGCAGGAGCCGGTGTACGACCTGACACCTGTACCCAACCTGTTCAGCTACGGGGGCTACCAGGACACTCAGCTGGGACCCAACAACGTCAGCATGGGAGAGCTCGGTAAGACCGCCCGGGGTTTCACTCCGTCTGTCTGTCGCTCTGCAGAGTTTTCACAATGAAATGTACAGATGGAAAGAGCTGGAGTCCTAGAACTGATCCAAGGTCAGACTGTGTGTTTGCTAGTCCTTAAAACTGGAGAATCTCTACACAAACCTGATCCTCACATGTAAACAGCACCGCTCCATCTTTCCTCACTGACCTTGTTTGATACAGTTTTACGGTTTTATGATGAATGGACGGCGATAAATCCGAAGTTCTCCTCTCTTTCAGACCGCATCGCTCAGAATATCATCAAGTCCCACTTGGAGACGTGTCAGTACACAACAGATGAGCTGCAGCAGCTGGCCTGGCAAACACACTCCTACGAAGAGGTCAAGATGTACCAGAGCAAGGTGAGCTCTTAAACAGCTGATTTACACTTTCTGCTGCCAGGCTGCAGGTAAACAGTCTTTCTCTGCTCCAAGGACTCCAGTATCAGGAGGATCTGGTGAAGTTTGATGAAAATAAAAAAAAACACAATCAGTCAAACTGAAAAGGAAAAAAAAAAGAATGGATTAATTCATCTATAAACTAAAAAAAACCACAATAATCTCACAGTCATCCGTTTCTAATGACGCTCAGATTTAGGATTTATCAGCAGCTCTGAGACTGACAGAGAGGAACCGCCGGTTTATTTACGGCTGCGTATGTAACGTCAGTTCTGACCTGATCTGGACGTGTTTGTCTTCAGCCTCGGGACGTCCTGTGGCAGCAGTGTGCCATCCAGATCACCCACGCTATCCAGTACGTGGTGGAGTTTGCCAAGCGCATCTCAGGGTTCATGGAGCTGTGCCAGAACGACCAGATCCTGCTGCTGAAGTCAGGTGGGTTTACTGAACCGTGTCGACAGAGGAGCAGGTCAGATGGTGGACTTCCTTTAGTCTCTGGGAAAGTTTAGTTTCTTTGGGCGTACACTTACATCTGTGGTCGTCTGCAGGAAGATCTGAAAACAAACTTTATAAACAACTTAGAGTCTGAATTTATCTGACCTCTCTGCAAAACAAAGAAACCTGTCAAATGTTGATAAATCCGACTTCTTTATGATTTTACAGCTTCTTGGTTTATATCAGGATTTATATGAAGGATTAAAAATGTCTGAAATCGGTGTGAAATTATCCCAAACTGATCCGTTTGTTCTGGGTTTTTCAGGTTGTTTGGAGGTGGTCTTGGTCCGGATGTGCAGGGCGTTCAACCCTCTCAACAACACCGTCCTCTTCGAGGGGAAGTACGGAGGCATGCAGATGTTCAAAGCTCTGGGTAAGACGCCGTTATCTTTGAATAAATGAGGGACTAACTGAAAAAAACTCAAGAGCGGGTTATTTTTGTGCAAACAGGACCAGAATAAGTGAACCCAAATCCCTCCTCTTCTTCCTCCTTCTTCTTCTCTCTGACCTCCTCGTCCTCCTCTCTGTTTCCCTCCAAGGTTGTGATGACTTAGTGAGCGCCGTGTTCGACTTTGCCAAGAGTTTGTGTTCCCTGCAGCTGACGGAGGAGGAGATCGCTCTGTTCTCAGCTGCTGTGCTAATTTCCACAGGTCAGTGCACATCATCTCATCTCTGTTAGAAAAGTGAATCAATAAGGAGGACCGGACCCATCAGAACCGGACTCTTTTCAACAGAGGACATTTACTGCAGTCCAGGAAAAGGAACCTGACCTTCATGAGAAATCATTAAATAATACTGAGTGACAAAAAAAATGTAATTTATGAAATATTCACTCAAAATAAGAAGTCATAATTATGAGATAAATTCAAAATTTCACGATTAAAAAATCAAAAGTTGGATAAAAAGTCTTAAAAATCACATGAAAGTGAAATTTTCTGATATTAAAAGTCAACATGAGTCAAAAAGTCAAGAGTGTGAGATTAAAAAAGTAGAAACTATGAAATTAAAAGTCATAATTATGAGGGAAACAAGTCGGTTTTTATGATTAAAAAGTCATAATTATGGAATTGGGAGTCACAACTACAAAAAATAAATAATGTGAGATTTTTAATACAAGTCATAATAATGAGACAAGAAAGTCCTTTTTCTATTTGATGAAAAGTCAAGATTATTGAAAACAAGATATAATGAGTGAAGAGGTCACAATGTAGAGTAACAAATCTGTAAAACTGATCAAAAATATGAAATAAAAAAAAGCGACTCTGAGGTTAAAGTCATAAAAGTTAAATAAAAAGTCACAATTATGAAACAAAAGTCATGATTATGAAATAAAAACGTTTAAATTATTGGATAAAATCATAATTATGATGTAGAAGTTATAATATCAGGATAAAAGTCAAAATTATTTAATACAAACAATAACTGTGAGATAAAAGTCAAAACTGAGTAAAAGTGAAACAGAAAAAGACAATTATGATTAAAACTGTAAATATAGAAAAAGTCGTAATTATGGAATAACAATCTATAACTTAGAGGAAACAATAATAAAAATGAGATAAAATTAAAAGTCATAATTTTGAAATAAACTTTTTAAAATTCTCATCATTTTAACTAAAAACAAAATTATGACCTACTATCTCTTACTTATTACAATTCTTTCTCATTTTAATGACTTTTTATCGTGGTTTTTTTTCAATATTTTTATCCTCTAATCTGTTCATTTCATCTCACAGTCGTAACTTTAATCCTGTAAATATGACTTAATATTTAAGTTTTTATTTTTTCTAGAACCTCATTAGTTTTTTTTAAACTGGCAGAAATTTGCTCCTTTTATATCTAAAGTTATGAAGAAAACCCCCATAATCAGCTGTTTTAAGAGACCATGACCTTCGTTTACTCTCTGACCTGTGTGCGTTCGCTCTAAACCGATGACCCCTGGACTTAACCACCATTTCTGTTCTCGTTCCTCTTAGACCGGCCGTGGCTGATGGAGCCTCGGAAAGTCCAGAAGCTCCAGGAGAAGATCTACTTTGCTCTGCAGCACATAATGCAGAAGAACCACATGGACGAGGACGCGCTGGCCAAGGTAAGCTCAGCCTCTAGGAGAAGGAGAGGAGTCCGAAAAGTTCTCCAAAGTTCCTCCATGATCAGCTGGAGTTCTCATGACCTTCTCTTCCTCTCTGTCTGGCAGCTGATCAGCCGAATCCCAACGTTGTCGGCGCTCTGCACGCTACACACTGAGGAGCTGCAGGCCTTCCAGCAGCTCCACCCAGAAACCGTCAACGTCCTCTTCCCCCCGCTCTACAAAGAACTCTTCAACCCGGACCCCAACTCTGCAATGACCATGCCCAAGTGACTGGCTGAGGTCCCCGTGCAACAAACGGCGTCAGCGGAGGACCAAGAAAACGTAAAGACAGCCACGTCTGACGAGGCGCCAATGGATGTGTCGACCATGTCATCGCCGTGGAAAACACACGTTACTGAGCGCCCCCAGCCTCATTTGGACTGGGGGTCTGGGATTCACCCGCCAGAAACTTACAGTTATGGCCAACCATACTAGGAATGTCCAGCACTTATCCCATCCTGTTCACCGATACAGTCTGAAGAATGTATATAAACGAAGGCGCCTCGGGCCACGACCTGAACCAACCAACCAACCAACGAACGTACAAACGAACGAACGAACGGGGCTTCCTCCTCCTCCTGTCTGAACTGAACTGACTGACCAGAAATGTACAGACTTTCAAACTTTTAGGAACAATTTTAAGCTGTCAATCTTTAAAAAAAAAATGGGTAAGTTAATTTGTTTTAACTTTGGAAAAAAAACTTTTCGTTTGTTGATTTTTTTCTGGTGAAGAAACGCGAGGCTGAAGACGCTGGATGGGGGCGGGAACTGTGGATTTAGAGAAGCTATTGTAGATATTCTTCTAGTGCAGAGCGGATTCCAGTATTACTTCTTGTTCTGTTAAATAAGTTAGTCCTAATTTAAATATACAGCAGCAGCAGCAGCGGCGGTCCACGGCGGCTGGCTTTACCTTGTCTATGTGTTCTTATTTTATTTGATAGTTTCTTGTGTACAGAATTTGTAAAGTTGAGACTTGTAAAAGAATATTGGGGGTGAATACCGGGAGTGGATTTGGGGTTTTGTTGATATATAGAAGCCTTGTCTGGATTTATGTAAAGAAGGAAGTGACATCCTTCTACTGAGAACTTATAGAAATGTAAAGAGAGCATATGAAGGATTTTAAAGAAAATAACGGCTAATACTTTTCAATGTGAAGAAGATTCTATATACAGAAATATTCTATTTTGCAAAAAAAGAACCTGGCAGGTTTGCCGTCCTATCAATCATAGTTTTTTCTCGCTGCAATAACAACGTCCAACTAAAGCTGGACTGCTTTCGAACAATCAACCAATCAGAGCTAGGACCTCATTAGAAACCCCTCCTCTTCCCCTAAACCCCGCCCCCTTTTCTTTCCTAGAGTTTTGACACTAGATTCTGCATGAAACACACAGAGGTTCTCCGTTTAAAAGACTCTAAAAACTTGAATTTAGCTGAAAACTTGCCAATCTGTAGACCCTGTCTGAGCGCTGTACGCCTCAAACCCTCTCATCAATATTTGCACAATCCAGTCTGTGGATGTCGTCGATCACTCCAGGCTGTAAATATGAAGGACCCTTTTCTCTCCAGAGCAATAACTTTCACACTGCCTCTCTGATCCTCCTCCTCATCCTCCTCCTCCTCCTTCATTCTTCAGAAGAACAGGGTAGACGTTTAAATACTAGAATGCACTATATGACTGAATTAACTTCACATGAACTCCACAGCAGACTCTGTAACATGAAACCAAACCTGAGGACATAAAGCACAGTTTTAAATAAATATGAAGAAACGCAGGTCAGCTTCTTTGACGGACTTTTAAAGTCAGACCTGAAATTCATGCAAAACTCTGTGATAGACAATCACTGTCAGGCTGTGACTCTGTGACTCTGTGACTCTCTGCATCTCTGCGCTAACGTGTTTCTAAAAATCTATTCGCTGCGTTAGTCCGACTGAAATCACACGACATCTAATGTTGCGTAGTTGGACAAACATACGGAGATGATGCAGGTGAGGATCGATTCTCCTGTGTGTTTACACTGCTCAGTGTTCTGAGCATGCTCAGTGCAAACCAGGTAGAACAATCTTGAATAGGAGTTGTAAAGTCGTCAGTGTTTCATCCTGTTAGCCTCTTGCTAATTTTTGTATCGATTGTTTTGGTTGATTATGGACTTTGTCAAATTTCAGCCGACTGTTGTGGAGGCGTTAATCAGACTGGAAAGACTGGGACAAAGACTTTAGTCCAGTTAAATTTTCCAGGTTCAGTAAGCTGGACTCAGCTGTTTTTAAGCACTTAGAGAGAAATCTGTTTCCTGCAGTCTGCGCCGTTATTTGATGTTGAGGAGCGTTCGGCCACTCTGTGCACTGCTCTTCTTTTTCTTACTTTTTTAAATGAAGAAATTATAAAATTATTGACAATCCAAGATTTTAAGGACTTTTTAGCTAAATAACAATCTCTAAATATTTAATGACAAATCTTCTAAAATCACATCATTAAGGTTCTAATCAGACTGATCAGATCTGCAGACTCTGTCCGGGTCCACATGGAGACGGGAGTTTAAGAAAATGTTGTTTTTTTGTCTCCTGATACTCGGTGGACTGATTATCGGTTATTCAGGCTGATTGATTTTTTACATCTGTTAAAGTTTATCGGCTCCAAATATCAGTCTGATGAACATTTACACAGGATTAAATTAAATCTGTCGACAGTCTGAGTTTGTTAAAAGTGAAAACTCTATCACAGTGTATGAAGCTCTAAATTCAGCGCTCTGTATAGAGTTTAAAAATCTCTGTTTACCACAGTGAGAGACGCTCCTCTGACCGACTGATTACACTTTATCGCCACCTGCTGGCCACATATTTAACAGCTCATTTAAACTGTTTCTGTAGTAATGTAGATTTTCTCTCAGATCATCATTTATGAACTTAAAGTGGAGCTCTGACCGAGCGGGTTCACCTCTCACAGGTGACGACAGACCAGGTCGTTAAAAACACACGAGCCGTTTACAGAGAGTTCACAGAAACACCGAACAAACATCCGTTTCATACTTCTCCCCTCCCACCATCCCCCAGACCCAGACCCAGACCCAGACCCAGACCCGGATCAGAGGCCAGTGACTCTAAAGACAATCACTTGCTCATTAAGGCTCGATGCACTACACAGCATCTCTCAGGGAGCAGCTCTTTTTTCTGACTTTGCATTCAAAGAGGGTTGAATAATATTTTTGCAAATTTACAAAAAAAAGAGAATAAAGAAATATAAAAGAAGAACTTTTTAGGATTAAAAAAAAACACAAGCATACGCTGCTAAAGTATGCCGGCAAGAATCTGCCCAGACAAGGCTTTGACAAGTGTGTGTCTGTCTGTGTGCGTGTGTGCATGTGTGTGTGTGTGTGTGTGTAGAGCATGAATTCACTGTCCAGATCTCTGTTGGACAGACATGGTCACGACGTAGCACATGAAGAAGAGAACACAAACGCAGACTCTCTGTCTGCCGCACACTCATGTTTACAGCTCGTTTCGCTGCTTTGGGGACGCAGATGATGGGGGGGGGGTAGTAAGCTGTGAATCAGGAGCCGCCACACAATGACCCCACAATGACCCCACAATGACCCCACGATGACGGGACAGTGAATTTAACTCTGGTGACGATGAAGATGAAGATGTTTTTGTGCTGTTTTTATTTTCCCTTGTTAGACTGTGAATCAGAGGGGGGGGCGGGGCGACGAGAGGGGGGGGGTGTGCTGGAAGGACAAAAAGAAAAGAAAGAAAGAAAGAAAGAAAGAAAGAAAGAAAGAAAGAAAAAGAAACGCAACACTGTAAGTAAGAAACTGTAGCAATAAGAACTGGAGGCATTTACTACTGTCATGTTTGCATTGTAAGATTATTTTTTATTTTATTACTATTTACTATTATTATTATTATTATTATTATTGTTCTTATTATGACTACTATTCTTCTATTACTCTCTTAGCCTATTGTTGTTCTGTTCTATTTGCATGAACGTTTCATTGCGATGAAACACGGGGGGGTGGGAGGGGCTTCTTTGTGTTTTCTCTTCTCATGATGATATTGGGAGTTTGGTGGGAGGGGCCTGGGCGGGGCGGGGCGGGGGGCGTTGGCAGGGTGGGTTCAGGGAAAACTCCACCTCCATCCGTCAGTTTTTTTTTTTTTTTTTTCCACTGAAGCTGAAAGGATTTTTAAATAAATGCTCTTATTTATACAAACAAAAGTTTTAACATTTGATCTGAAATGTTCTTTTTTTTTTTTCTCTCAATCTTTGAATGTGTGAGTTGGTTTAACCAGTCAGTGAACCGGCCTTACTGAACCAGATCAGAGACCCTTAACCTGCGACCTGGAGGTGGGGGGGCGGGGTCATCTTTTCTGAATGTTTATGGAGTAGCCTGAACGCATCATACGCCTTTACCGCTCCATCATCGCAGACTCACACGGGCCGTCCGAACACGTGTCGGTCCGAAGAAATTGCGCAAACGTTTTTAATAAAGTTGGTTTGAATCACATTTCTGACACGCCGACCCGAAACCTCCATTTCCTGAGAACACCTGCGTGAGTGTGAACGAGTGAAAGAGAGAGAGAGAGAGAGCGAGAGAGTGAGGCGTCCGCGCCGCCAACGCTCTGTAAACTCTCTCGATACATTACACATACGTGCAATTGGAGTCGTGTTGAAAACGGTTAATTTATTGTTTCGAATGTCTTTGCGTCCCGACAAGAGCAAATAAAACTAAATGTAGCAGATCTGCAGCCGAAAACCTGAGAGGAGCGCGAGCTGCAGATCCTCTGAGTCACATGACCGACCAGACAAAACCATAGACTGTATCTAGAATGGACGTCGTCTGCCTCCTCGCTCTGAGAACAGCGCCCTCTGGTGACGGGCTGCAGTATAGGTCATAAACCCCGCCTCCTTATGGAGCTGTGGACAAACTTTATAAATGAATGACACAGAATATAAATGTTTCTCCCCCCTGGTTGTGATGTTGACATGTAGTTACTGTCAGACTGGTTTGTGCTCAAGTCCTCTTTTTTCTGTACAGCTCCATTTTTAAAAGTTATTAGGGGGTTCATGTTTTCTATGATTGACACCTGGTACAGCCTATTGGAGGACAGAGAAATGGAGAAAAAACGCAGAAATACTGAGAAATTTTTGGCTTCAAATCCGTAAACTGGCGGGAGGCGGAACCAAGTCGTCCAGAGTAAATACAGTCTATGAGAAGAACACGATAACACCAAACAGAACCCGACTTTCTTTTGTTGTTTTCAAAGTGCCATAGTCAGAGAGGAGAGGACGGGCAGAGCGGGGCGTAGACGCTTTACTGTGAGTTTACTGTCAGAGAACCAATCAGAACAGGGAACTCCAAGAAAACTGTGTGTTTGACGATCACAGCCACAAAAAAACACATTTACATTAATGATGATTTTAGTGGGTTAGAGAGGACGCTGCAGGACTCTGAACTCAGACTCCACTAAAACTCCACGAGCTCTGCAGGTTTTCCATTTTCATACGTGTGTGTGAGAGTGTGTGTGTGTGTGTGTGCGTCCATACATTTGCATTAACCTGTGATTGATCAGAGGGGTCAAAGTTCAGAGGCGTGCAGGGCCCTGACTGAGTCCTCCTTTCAGATGTACATACAATGTGAAGGTCTGAAGTGATTTTTGTTAAATTCTATATTTTATCGCTTTTGTAGACATTTTGTTGTGGGAAGAAGAAAAAAAATAAATGAAATTTTATGGGTGCATGTCGGTGTGTGTTTCTGATTTTTAATGTTTGAATTAATTTATAAAAAAATCATCTTTGGTACATTTATCAAAAATAAACACGTTAAAGAGTCTCTTTATGAAAATAAACTCAATATTAAATATGAACAAATAAAAGCATGCATATGATTCAATAACTGAACTTTTTAACATGTTAATATTATTAATAATAATACTTCCTGTCTTTTCAAAATAAGAGCATGTTTTAGTTTTATTCTTCAAACCTACATCATAAACCTCTGAGTCCGGTCACAGACGGCTCAGTATCAGTTCGACCTTTTCACCTGTTTCCAGACGACACCTGTCATAGTGTTTCTGTGCACGTGCAGGTCAAAGTGCATGTGTCTCTGACCCTACTCCCTGGGTCAAAGGTTACATCCGGGTTTTATCCTCTCCTCCTCCTCCTCCTCCTCCTTCTTCTTCTTCTTCTGTTTCCTTTCTCCCTGACGGCGGCTCTGCCCCGCAGCTGTCCGGACGCTTCCTTAAATCTGAACAACAGAAACATCGGTTAGCGATCTGTCGCTGCGCTAACACAGTCATTACCACAAGAAAGAGAATCCTGACAGGCCTGGGAGGAAGTCCGCACATCCCGCATGAATAATTTGGTTTGATTTGTTGGAGAAATCTTGGAGAGGACACAAGAAGAGGAGGAAGAGGAAACACAACGCACCTTTGAAATCTCAAAACAAGTGTGTGTGTGTGTGTCTGTTGTGTGTGTGTTTGTTTGTATGGGTGTGTGTTTGTGTGTGTGTGTGTGTTTGTTTGTTTGCCCGGCTTGTTTGTTTTCCAGCACAGTTTCTTTCCGAGCAGTTATCCTCTAGATGCCGGTATCGTGCCTACCCAGAGACGTTAATTAATAGCTAATCAAAGCTAATGTCTCAGCAGCACATCGCCAGCACAAAGACATGATTAATACGTAATCAAAGGCCGCGGAGCACAACGCACAAAGCAGGGCCCACCCCCACGCCTCAAACGCCACTGTTGTTCGAGAAATAAACCGACGCCGCCGCTTAATTAGCCTGCTGCTGGTGTGTGCTGTCTTCATTTGAAGTTGTCGGGGATTTATCTCGGAGCCAAGAGCGGCCTCCTGAGTGACGACACAGAGGTGACACACACACACACACACACACACACAGACGCACACACGCACGTGAAGTGAAAGAAACACACAAATCTGTACACGAGGATTAAAGACAGACTCATGTTGTTGAAGACAAAAGTCTGATTTAAATGTTTTTATTTAACTCTCTCTCACACACACACACACACACACACACACACACACACACACGTGTCTGACCTGTAAGCCCCAGTTTGCGGCAGCAGGTCCCACAGGAGTGTTTCTGCAGGAATCCGTTGACGGCAGCGTCTCCGAGGTTATCGGGACCGAAGAGCATCTCTCCTCTGCCGCCACTGAAACAGAACCAGAACCAGAACCAGAACCAGGTCTCATCAGAACAGTCTGAATAATAATAATAACTTCATTTGTAATTTACTCATAAACACACGTGACAAAGAGCTCCACTGTTAAAAACAGATGTAGATCCTCTAGATGCTGCTTTTATTCCAGTTTTAGAGTCCCGGATTAGATCTTCTGTTTTAGTCTTTTAGTCTTTTTTATTTTTAATTTATTTTTATTTTTATTTAGAGAAATGTTAAAAATTCAGACATGAGAGAAAATCCATCATTAAAAATCCTGCGGTCATAATCGGAGTGTAGATTTACAGATTTATGTTGTCTTACCTTCGATCGTCGGCCATGATGACTGTCGGATCAGTCAGCTCCTCTCCAACTCCTGAGGAGACAAACAGACAAACACGTGGTTACACAAAAAGGACTGAAACAAACCGCACACAGACACACACACACACACACACACACTGACCCTGTATGTCCAACACCAGCAGCTCTCTACACGAGTACTCGAACGTCCAGTGAGAGAACGCCAGCAGCATTTCCTCCAGTGAGCAGCAGGGGGCGATCTCTTCTCCTGTGTTGTTGTTATACTTCCTGAAGTCGCCCGTCATGTTCCTCTCGATGGTTAACCACTGTCCGTTTGAGTGCCAGAGGACGAGGGAGACATCGAGGAACCTTTAAAAGACAAAAAGAGAGATACTGAAATGATACAGATATTGATCATATTTGATAATAACGATCATTAAAAGTCCATCGGTGGTTGGTTCATTTAGTCAGAGTTGAAAAACTGATTTTCTTAGCTTTAATAGTTTAATAGTGAAAGTTTTGTCTCTTTAAAGTAAATCTGGTTCTTCATGCATCATGCATCAACTCTGCTGAGGCCAGGAAGCCTGTCGGACCTGCAGGACAAAGCACTCTGGACTTGAGGGGTCATTAAAGGTCAAACAGACATGGATTCACCCTCAGTCTGCATGTAGACAATCCAGAGCAGCCAGCTGAAGCGAACAGAGAGCGGCGATAAGAAATGAACCTCAGAGCTCCACAGATCCAGAGAGGGACGGTTCTTTAGACGATGGACGAGTAAATATAAAACACCGCTAAAGTCAAAGAGGGGCGTCAGCGAAGCAACGAGCAACAACAAATAAAAATAAAAATGATTAAAAATTAAAATGTCTGTAAAAAAATGAAAAATAAAAATAAAAATAAATATGATTAAAAATTTAAATGTCTGTAAAAAAAATAAAAATGATTAAAAATTAAAATGTCTGTAAAAAATATAAGAATAAAAATAAAGATGTAAAAAAAATTAAAATAAAAATGATTAAAAATTAAAATGTCTGTAAAAAATATAAAAATAAAAATAAAGATGATTACAAATTAAAATGTCTGTAAAAAAAATTAAATTAAAAATGATTAAAAATTAAAATGTCTGTAGAAAAAAATAAAAATAAAAATGATTAAAAATTAAAATGTCTGTAAAAAAAAATAAAATAAAATAAAGATGATTAAAAATTAAAATGTCTGTAAAAAAAAATAAAGATAAAGATGATTAAAAATTTAAAAATATTTGTAAAAAATAAAAAACTTTACACCTTCTTCAAGTTTCCTCTTCAAATACTCACAGAGATAAACCCCTGACAAACACTCGTTAAAGTTCTAAAGACACACACACACACACACACACACACACACGCAGACCTGGGAGAATGGTGCAGCTCCTCGGGTTTGACCTGGTTGAAGACTTCCATCATCTTCTGCGCCGCTCTCTGCTGCTGGATCTCCTGCAGAGGTTTTAAAGACCATGAGTTCAGACCTGGTCCAGGTCTAATCTAACAGGTTCATGTTCTCCGTGAAGGTCCACTCACTCTCAAACAAAGCTGCAGAGCCGTACTACCATGGAAGTACCTCTGCCAGGCTCGCACCACCTCCGGCCTGAAGGCTTTGACCACGTAGACCAGACTGGGTCTGAGGACTTCCTGCTCCGCCCAGGTACACAGGACCCTGCAGCCCTGCCTCAGACCCCCGTCCAGAGAGCCCTCCTCACTGGAGAGGGGCTGCAGCCAAGCAGACAGACCCTGAGAAGACCAGGACGAGACGGTGCTGGACTCAGAGGGGACCTCCACCAGGGAGTAGACGCTCACCTCTTCACCTCCTGAAGAACAAAAGAGAGAGGAGATCAGAGCGAGAAAGAAGAGAGAGAGAGAGAGTGAGAGAGAGAGAGAGAGAGAGAGAAAGAAGAGAGAGAGAGAGAGAGAGAGACATGAGATTTAAGGAGCAGAAATCAAAGACAGAGACGTCAGAGTTACCCAGAGCAGAGACCGGCGTGAAGGGGATGTCGAAGGCCAGTCTCATCAGGTTGTTCCTCTCCATGGCTGTGAAGCAAAAAAACGAAGAGCAGAGACTGAAGTGAGAGAGCGAGAACTTCTCATGGACAACAATCGAACTCCTACAAACATCTTCATACCTGAATAATGAGGATAGAGAGAGTCTGAGGACTGAAACGAAGGGCTCTTCACTGCAGGGAGGAAAACACAAAAATAACATTTAAATTAACATATTTAATAATATTTAATAATATCTTTATTATCACTGTTTCAATCTGAAATATGAGGTTTTATTCTAGATGTTCAGAATCACCTTCAGGAGCAGGTCCACTCTGTAAACTAGGACAGAAACAAAGAAGAAGAAGATGAAGAGTCTGAAGGTTCGAGTCTGAGAGAGTTTCAACGTTCACTTTAACCACAGCAGAACAGACGGAGAGCGGACTTACGAAGACCTGAGGCTCCCTGATTTAGCCAAACTGTTCCAGACTGAGTGAGGGGGGCTCCTCAAATCCTGAGGACACAGATCAGACACACGTTAGACCCTCACCCTTAAAATCAGGGTCTATTTTCACAAGAGTCCTCCTTCTTGATTTTCAGGGTAACTTCAAAACAGAGAGCAGTAGATGAAAACTAAAGAGACAGTGTCAGAGTTTTGGAGGAACAGGGTCCAAATAAAACTGTGAAGACTTTATATCAACAGAAGTTTTAGATAATCCTGCTGATGATAAAAAATCTAAAATAACTTCGGTGTTAAAGTTTGTTAAATCGTCTCTGAATCTGATTTAAATTTGGGGGAAAATGACGCTAAAAATCTGAGACGTTTGTTTTAAAATCGTTTTTGAGATGATTTCCTCGATCATCAGTGAACATGAAAACTAGAAACTAGAGTAAAAAGTTAAAGTCAATATCTGAACAGTCTCTACAGCCTTACACATGATCATTGGTGCAGTGAAAAACAGTCGTGTTGTAACTCGAGAGCGTCTCTGAACTGACTGACCTGATGAGTGAACGTTTGTTTCTGCAGAAGATCCGCTGGTTCAACGTCTGAAACAGAAATAAAACTTAGATTTTTGATTAAAACAAATCCTGTTTCATGATATAATATAATGATTTATAATCGATATAATTTAATCTAATTCAGTGACTCAGGGTGCGTTCCTGCTGTAACAGGAGGTCCTCACTGAGCTGACTGAGGCTGGTCGAAGCCGACCAACACGCTGGTTCTCCTCTTTGTCTCTTCAGTCTCCTCCAGCAAACATCAGACAGGTGTTTCTGCAGGGTCACCTGTGTCCATCACAGGTGAGGAAGGAGAGGAAACCGTCAGTAAATGTGGAGCTCAGATTAAACAGATTAAATAAAGTGATTCTTGTTCTTATCTACAGAGTCTGGGCTGCTCTCTTGGATCTTCACGGTCTTCTTGTTCTGGATTTTCTCTCTGCAGTCGGCCTGAGTGAAGTCTGAGGACCTGGACAACTCTGAAGAAACAGAAACAGCTGATGAAGAGCAAACACTCCGACCACGAGATGTTCCTCAGGGTCTGCTTCACTTACCTCGGCTCCTGCTGCAGCGTCTCAGTGTTCCCTCCTTGAAGGTCTGATCTCCAGGTGAACCTCCTCTGTTCATGTCAGCGTGAGGAGCTCCAGAGAAGGTCATGTTCTCCACGCTGGACGACAGGGACCTGCAGTAGCCGTAGGGACGCTCTCTGGACACAATCGCCCGCCTCGAAGACTTGATGGTTCTGGACTGAGAATTGGACAGATCATCCTGAGAAAAGGCGGGGTTCACCAGACCCTCAGAGACGTCCTGAGGGTCTGACAGCAGGGGGGCTCTGCTGGAGGTTCTGGATCTTTGGCTTTCAGACGGATGTTTCTGACCCTCGTTCTCCTCTTCCCCATCTTCATCCTCCTCCTCTTCCTCCTCCTCTTCCATGGAGGTTTCCTCCTGATTGGGGTACAGGTACGGGTCACACGTCCAGAGTTTATGATGAGGAGACTCCAAACCTCTGGGAGGAAAAGGAGAACCTGAGCGGGACGGTCCACAGGACTCACAGGAACTCTGACCCCTGAAACCACCGAGAAGACCCCCGCCTCCATGAAAGTGAGAGGTGGGGGTCTGGGATGAAGGTTTGGAGCCACAGTGCCAACTCTCAGAGAGATGTTCAGCAGGAGTCCACTGGAGAGAAAAACGAGAGAATCAAAGACTGGAGGGAGGAAATGACCAAATATGGAGACTCTGTTAAGTCTCAGGTACCTTCTTTGCTCCTCCCTCCTCTCCTTCCTCTGAAGGTCCTTTACTCCGACTTCCTCTGAAGTGACTCTCCTGAGACGCCAGCCGGCTCCCCGCCACAGAAAACGCCTTCAGTAAAGATGGCGGAGTACTCTTACGGGACTGCGACGCCGTGACGGATCCACACTTAGCCAGGCGCACCTCCTCCTGGTGAAGGCTGTCTGAGGCGGAGAGCAGGTTCAGAGTGTCCACGGCCAGAACCGACAAGTCCTGGAGACGACCCAGCTGAGAGTCCAGCTCCGTCAGACTGTCCTGAACACAGATGACCTTCTCTGAGACCTCGCCGACCACCGAGACCATCTCCTCTGCTCTGAGGGGAGAAAACATGGACCCACGAGTTAACCGGGACTTAACCTGGACTTAACTTGGAGTTAACCTGGAGTTAACAAGTCTTAACCACGAGTAAACCAGAGTTAACCAGGAGTTAACCTGGACTTAATCTGGACTTAACCTGGAGTTAACCAAGCGTCAACCACGAGTAAACCAGAGTTAACCTGGAGATAACCAGGAGTTAAATAAAGTCAACCTTGAGTTAACAAGGAGTCAACCTTGAGTTAACTTGATATTAGCCATGACCTAACCTGGAGTTAACCGGGACTTAACCTGGAGTTAACCTAGAGTTACCAAGTGTTAACCACGAGTAAACCAGAGTTAACCTGGAGTAAACCAGGAATAAACCAGAGTTAAACAAAGTTAACCACAAGTTAACCTGGAGTTAACCTTAACTTAACCAGGAGTTAACCTTAACTTAACCACAAGTTAACCTCGAGTTAACCATGACTAAACCAGGAGTTGACCAGAGTTTAACAAAGTTAACCATTACTTAACCAATACTTAACCACTTATTAACCATAGTTAACCATGACTTAACCAGGAGTCAACCTTGAGTTAACCAGAGTGTACCATGAGTTAACATGACTTAACCTGAACTTAACCACAAGTTAACCTGACGTTAACCATGACTTAAGCAGGAGTCAACCTTGAGTTAATCTGTAAATAACCATGACTTAACTGGTAGTTCACCATGACCTAACCAGGAGTTAACTACAAGTAAACCTGAAGTTAACATGACTTAACCAGGAGTTAGCCACGAGTTAACCCACAGTTAATCATGAGTGTTATTGAGAGTAAAAACAGTTTTTTAACTGCAGTGTAAAGTGTAAATTGTAAAGTGTAAATTGTAAATTCGTCTTCGTAAAAATCTCGGCGTTGTCAAACTAACCTCTCAGCTGTGGCTCTGATCCTCTTCGCCTGGCTGCTGTTCAGATCTTCGCTCCTCTCCAGAAAGTAGGCCTGGACACACTTCTCCTCAAACTCATGGAGCTTCTTACGACCTTCGTGACCCAGCAGGAGCTCTGGAAACACCAGGTGAGACAGGTGAGGACATGAACTCGTACCTGTGCCCAGACAGCCGATGAACTACTTTTCTATCAACACTCACTGAGCCCAGAGCCCGTCCCCCCCTGCTCAGAGTCTCCCCTACATCTCCTGTAGATGGCTCTCAGTCCCAGGGTCATGTGACTGAGGAGGGTGAGAGGCGGGGGCAGCCACGACCTTTGCTGGTAGGTCATGATGTAGCGGTAACGGTTGTACTTCCACAGTTTACTGGATCTTGACTCCATGTCAAAGTAGATGTTGCTGACACCAAGAAGACACAGTTTGGGTTTATTAGGATCAAATCTTCCTCCTCCTCCGACACAAACGTTCAAGATTCACTCACTTAAAAAAGGCGATGAGGATGTTGACCATGATGATGTACTGGAAGAACAGGTAGACGGCCTGGAGGAACGGGGTGAGGAAGGCGGCGGGAGGACATGGCTGATCTTCTTTACAAGCTGCAGCAGAAACAGGAAACCATCGTTGGTAAAAGACGACTGACAGAGACTCACTGAGAGGAAATCTGATCGGTCTTAACCTTCCTCCTGTGTTCGCTTTTACCATGTTAGGGGTCGGTTTGACCCGTGTCTTAAATCAACTGTAAATAAAAAACAATTCTCTGTCATCTAATTTGATTCTCATCTCTTCATTTTCACGGGAAGAGGATTTAAAGGGATATTTAAAAGAGCATTTTAGCCTCAGTGGATGACGGTCAGCTCCGCCCCTTTAACCAGAAACTGATGGAGAACCTGCTCAGAAACTAATTCAGCTGCTTTAGAGACTCAGACCCAAAACCGTAGCCCAGTTTGAGTCCTGGTTCTCCCTGCAGTTTCTCAGTTCAGGGTTCAGGGTCTACAGTCCTGAAACACTGACCCTCGATCTCCGCCGCGTACACCTCTCCGTAGATCATCCAGTAGGGCTGGAAGACCACGTCCCGGGCTAAACTCCAGGACGGCTCCTCGTCAGGAGACAGAATGGACTTCCTGGACACCCCGAAGCTCAGCAGCACGATCGCCATCATCACCACGATGAAGAACATGTTCCTGGTCTGAACAGAGAGAGAGAGAGAGAGAGGGGTGAGTCCAGATGACTTTTGCCCTCTTGATGTATCCCTGACTTAGCTCCACCCACCATCTTGGTGATCATGGTCAGGTAGGGACCGGCGTGTTGGTTCACAGCCAGCAGGTCCATCACCCTGACGAACCAGAAGATGATGTCCAGACAGTAACTGATGCGGCCCGCCGTCCGGTACGGCTCCGCTGACAGACGCATCACCAGCCCCGCGAGGAAGAGGAGGATGGCGATGAAATCTGAAATGTTCCAGTACTCCGAGAACCAGATCTTCAGCTTCTGGCTCAGCTTCCTGGGCTCAGACATCAGAACCTGGTCCAGAGGTTTAGATTTGAATCAGGTCTTCTTCAGCTCATCATCATCATCATCTTCATTTTAATGTTCCTCGTGTTCCTCACCTCTCTGGTTTTCTCCACCGCCATCGATACGATGTAGGCGATAACCAGCCACTCCTGGACGCTGGGCTGATCCCCCATCTTCACCAGGACCACGTAGGAGAACAACATCAGGAAGGCCAGGTAGGAGATCTGAGGATGAAGAGAAGGTGAAGTCATGGGATATCACACACAGTTTAGAGAGGTTTACTGGTGATGATGCGTTTCCTGTTTCAGCTCCATGATGACCACGTACCGTGTGAAACCAGAACTTGACCACAGGAGCTCTGTAGAACTCATAGACCATCCTGATCCAGGACAAGAACTGCAGGGTCATCGAGGAAACTGTTTCTGACACGGGACCGAGACGGCGGTCAGGGGGGGAGGGGCCTAACTCTGCATCCTGACCGCCCTGAGAGGAGAGGAGAGGAGAGGAGAGGAAAGAAAAGAGGAGAGGAGAGGAGAGAAGAGGAGGAGAGGAGAGGAGAGAGGAGAGGAGAGGAGAGGAGAGGAGAGGAGAGGAGGAGAGAGGATAGAGGAGGGAGAGGAGAGAAGAGGAGAGAGGAGAGGAAAGAAAAGAGGAGAGGAGAGGAGAGGAGGAGAGGAGAGGAGAGAGAGGAGAGAAGAGGAGAGAGGAGAGGAGGAGAGGAGAGAAGAGGAGAGAGGAGAGGAGGAGAGGAGAGGAGAGGAGAGGAGAGAGGAGAGGAGAGAAGAGGAGAGAGGAGAGGAGGAGAGGAGAGGAGAGGAGAGGAGAGAAGAGGAGAGGAGAGGAGAGGAAAGAAAAGAGGAGAGGAGAGGAGAGGAGAGGAGGAGAGGAGAGAGGAGAGGAAAGAAAAGAGGAGGAGAAGAGAGGAGAGGAGAGGAGAGGAGAGGAGAGGAGAGGAAAGGAAAGAGGAGAGGAAAGAAAAAAGGAGAGGAGAGGAGTTGTATTTTCAGATGTCATTGTCCGTCTTTTTGTGTTTCCATTTTCAGTCCGACTCATAAACCAAAGAATTCAAAAGTGTTGAAAACCTCTGAACTTAAAATCTTCTTCAGTTTACGAAGTGAACGTTTAACCCTTTGAGCTTTACCGTGGGATCTGTCCCCTCGTGTTCTGGTCCAGGGTTCACAGAGTCCAGTCCGAACAGCATGGCCTCCTGGGATTGAGGTACGTGACACATTTCAGCTTTGCTCTTAAACTCCAGCAGCAAAACGGCGGGAGGACAAAAAAGACTCAAAATGATCTGAAGAAGAAGAAGAAACAACAAAAGCGTCGTAAACTCAGACTTGAACTTTAACCTCATCTGGGTCCTTGTCTTCACTCTCGGACTGTTTTAAAGATCTCAGGTCTCTTCAGGGTTTCGAAGCTCACCTTCACGCAGGAGTTCTTCCTCATGTTGAGCGGTCCGGTCCAGAGATCTGTGAGGAGTGTCTGTGTGCAGGAGTGTGAGACAAACGGTCTGTGACACGAGGAGACGGCCATCTGCAGACAGGTGAAGTGACTCCACGCCTCCATCTCTGAAGTCAGCAGCTTCATGGCCATCTGTTCGTTCTGACGAAACGCACAGTCCAACACATCCACCGCCAGCTGACCAAACTCTCTGAGACAGGAGGGGAAGAGTGCGGTCGGACAGACGGGCCGAACCAGATTAAAAGGTTCAGATACAAACCAGAACCAGAACCAGAACCGCTGATGAAGTCTTGGATTTAAGCCTCCATCAAATATAAAGAGACACATTTACACTCACAGCGAGAACGTCTTCAGCCGCTCTGCGATGTTGTCATCCATGCTGCTCTGCCGCGCCTCAAACGCCATGGAGCGGTACAGCTGACAGGCCACGGTGGCCCGGGCGAGAGCCTCCTCGCCATGCTGCCAGAGAAACAGCGCCATCTGCTGACGCTGCTGCAGTACAGCCCACACGAAAAGGTCGTTGAAGTTAAAGGGAGCTAAGAGAGGAGGGTCAGCGGGGCGGGGGCTCGACGAGATCTCTGGACCGCTCTGAGGGGGACCGTCCCGGTCCTTGGGTTTGTGGGGCTGAGCCGTCCTGAAGAAGTGCAGGTCCTGGACGCTCCTGCTCATGTTGGAGTTCAGGATGAACGCTCTCCTCTGCGAGGACGAGCTGTCCCGTCTGCCCTCCTGAAACACAGACACAGACATGTAGACCCTCTTCTCAGATCTAAACAGATCAAATACACAAACTCTGGGGCTGACTTTGTCCTGCAGGAAGCTGTAGGCCGCTCGGAACTGTTTCCTGGTGTAGGTGCTTCGATACGCTCCTCCTATCAGGTACTCGATCACCAAACCCATGTCGATCAGAGAGAGACGATAACCTAAAGGAAGAGAGGTCTGCGAGGACACACGAAACCAAATTAACACTGATGTCAGGGTCCGTCTTCACCGTCCTCTCAGGTGTCCACATGCTGTCCTCTCACCTGTTTGGCATCTTCAACGAGGTGGTGGAGGAAGCGGTCAGTCTGCCCCTGTGACTGTGGAGAGAGATCTGCGTTTTAACTTTCAAGAACAGAAACAAACAGAGAAAAGACTTTTACAGTAACTGATCTGGTTTCTTTGAGGGACTTCTTATCCCAGACTGATGAATTAGTAAACAGGCTTTAATACACAGAAGGTAACAGAGAAGATGTGGAGAGAGAGCCAAGCCTGAGTTTACTGACGATGGAGAGACTCTCAGAGGAGAATAAAAACAACAACAGGGAGAGAATCCTGAACACACTTGACCAGGAAACATCAGAGAAAAACACTTACAGAGGATTACTGCCACGCTTTCTTACTGTGTGACTCAAAACTAAAGATTCAGTTTCAGGAGCGGTGCAGAAAAATAAAGACGAGTTTGAGAAAATATTCCTGCAAACAGAAACGTAAAAAGTAAACTACTGTATCTTTAGTTCATTAGTGCGAAACATCGTCCTGTTTACATCTGATGGTTCAGACTAAAATTGTTTATCACAGTCAGTGTACCCTGCAGTTACTATACAGACCACATGGGGGCAGGATGCCTCTCTTTGTGTTCTGATTGCTTATAGAAGTGTCTTTAATTTACCTGAGAGTGAAACTTAAATATGTCTAATTACAGGTGAGTGAGAGAAGATCTCTGCGCAAAGGACTGAGCGAGCGCTCACAGAGACACTCCGACTGTAGGAGAGCTGAGCGGTAAATTTTAAAACGTTATTTTTAAACCATGATAACGAACCTCTCCTTTAGTGGTTTTTATTTTTATAATTAAACAGAAAAGTTGTGAAGAAGGACGGCGGCTCCAAACACGGTGAGTCGACTTTACAAAGCTCAGCTGATGAATCTGTTCGACATGATGGGTCTGATGTAACCCTCACACATAAAACATCCTGATCTGAGTCATTGGTATTAAGTATCACGACTCCCATGATCCTCCTGGTGGTCCTGGTGTTTGAGGGTTACCGTGTTGTAGAGCTCCTCCAGGCGATCCACGCTCAGGAAGCGTTTCATGGTCATGCCGTTATCGATCAGCAGTTTGACAAAACTGACTCTGTCCATCACCAGAGCGTCCAACATGGCCTGCTCCAGAGAGCCCACCTACACACACACACACACACAGCACACAAAACCGATCAATAAACCGATCAATAAACTGATTTGAAGTTTATTCATGATAAAGAATCAGGTCTTCATCAGGTCTCACCTGCCAGTGCTGTCTGAACATCAGGACGTCTTTCTGAGCGATGTCGGCGCGGTCCCAGGCCAGCGCCATACTCAGCTGTTCTGCAGGACTCACCTTAGTGCCTGATCAGCGCCATAACAACAGGAAATGACATCATTACTGCAGGAAAATAACCGAGTGACACCGCCGAGAGGGGAAAAGGCCACGTACCCTTCAGAGTGGCTGTCAAGATGGCGGCGTCAGGCGCCATCTGGTCCTCTGACTCTGAGTCAAAGATGGTTATCTGTTCAAAGACAGATGGGCGGAGTCAGTGCGAGCACTAATAACCACAGAGTCAGTCTCAAACAGGGATCCACCTACAGACTGTCTGTGCTCCATACACCTCAGGAGGAGTTTAAAGAGCCGAGACGCTTCTTCTTCTGCCACTCCAAACACGTCTTCGATCCGGGCCAGAAAGTCCGCCTCGATGTCGGCGTCCAGCTGTCTGTAAAAACAGTTAAATTAGTGATGAGTAAAACCGTCACTTTTAGAGTCATCTGACGCAGCAGCGAGGTGGAAAAGGTCAAAATAAACCTGCTGACAGTCACAGTTTTTCCTCCAGATTGTAAATGTTTGTTTTTTTAGTTTCCAGCCCGTCATGAAGAGTCGATGAAACTACAAAAACTAACTGTCCTTGAACACACCGATGATTCCTGTATGAATGAGTGTCATGTCTCCGCGGTTACAGGCGTCTGCAGCATCACGACCTCCCTGTGATCAGAGACCGCTGGGATTGTTTTAATAAAGTTCACCCCTCCTTCACCTGTCCCCGTGTTTTTGACCCCGGGTGTCGGCGGCTGTGGTTTAGGGGTGATAGGTGTACCTGTCTCCAGACGTCTGCTTGTGTAAGAAGGACAGCAGGTCGGCGGCTCGGCCCGATCCTTCGAACACAAACACCGGCACAGGCGGCACGCTGCTGACATAGTCCAGGACCGTGGACACCACAGCGGGACCGCCCTCCACCACCACACACACCACGGGTACGCCCTGATTCAGACCTGCAGAGAAACAAGAACGCACATCAGACCCCCTCGAATCCTCCGCCTCCTCTCATATCTGTGGGTACAGGACTCACGAGGGTGGATCTTCTGCTGTTGGATCTGTTTCTCCAGCGTCCTCCTGAGGCCTTGTTGGCAGCCATGTTTACACAGCGTCCCGTCATCCACAAAAAGGAAGTGGGAGTGGAAACGGTTAAGGCGGGCCCGCTTACTCAGAGGGTTTCCCACGGGCTGGTAGGGCCTGAACACCTGAACCCCACAGAGAGAAATTAAAACCAGAGAAGAGAGAAACAAACCAGAAGAACTTCAGTCTCCTTCATCCATGAACATCATCTCAGCGCTCACATCTCTGCCCATCAGGTCGCTGTTATTTTCAATCACTCCCCACGGCGTGATGCCCACTGTGTTCCTCTTCCTCAGATCGTGGCCTCCGAATGTTTTCACTGCCTCGCCCACATACCTGGACACACCTAGAGAGAGAAACACAGAAACACGGCAAACATGAAAGTTAAACACTGAAGACGGACTTCACGCTCCCACACGCCTCGTTCCTACGCCCCTCAGATTACTCCTGTGGGGGGGCGTGTGACTCTCAAATATCACATTAACGTCACGTCATTTTCACCGATGAACAGATCAGACTAGAGGTGGTTTTCATTTGAACACAGAGCAGCAGAAACAGAGAGAGAGATCTGACAGGAACAGAAAAAACAGACGGGTGACGGTGAAGAAAAACGTCTCTCTTGGTGTCAAGGTGAAAAAAATGTATATAAATAATAATAATAATAACTTTGTTTATAAAGCACCTTTAAAAACAGAAGTTTACAAAGTGCTTTGACTACAGCTGTAAGCACAGAACATCAGCACATGAAAATAAAAAACACATAAAAACAAAAGCTCAGTTAAAAACAAGTCCTCTGAATTGTAGGCCTGTTTCTTGTTTCGTAAGAAACCCAGAAAATACAAGAACCCTACAAAATAAATGGGACCATGAGGACAAAATAAAAACATAAAATGAAATAGAAAAGGAGGGCAGGAAACAGGCTAGTAAGTATAAAAGAGGATATTAATAATAATAATAATAAAATCATAATAAAATAATAATGATGGTAATATAAATGATAAAGTGGAATAAAAAAAAATAATAAAATAAAATAAATAAATAAAATAAAAAACATTAAAATCAATGAAGGACCTGAGAGATAAAATAAGAAAAAATTATAAGTAAAACAAAGGCTAAAAGGACAGTCTAAAAGTCTAAATAAGAAAGAGGTAAAAAGGAGAAAAAGAAAAACGGTAAAAGACGGCATCACATGAAAGCAAGTTTGTAAAAGTGAGTTTTTAAAATTGATTTAAAAGAAGCGACTGTCTCTGCTGTTCGCCTTATCTCCTCTGGCAGGTCGTTCCAAAGTCGAGGAGCTCTGATGGAGAAAGATCCATCACCTTTAGTTTTGAGCCTCGACTTTGGAACAACTAGGAGGCCATCGCCAGAGGATCTGAGGCTGCGAGTTGGCTCATAAGGTACTAAGAGAAGCAGATGAGGAGAGGCTGGTGTGTTCACGTGTCTGAAAACATGTTAACACGTTAACCAGGCCTCACTGTCGCCCTACAGCTTCTCCAAAACACTGAAACCATCTCTGCTGTTTCTGTGGAACAAGAAACCCCCCGACTCAAACTGTCCCGACCTTACTCACTGTTACATCTCTATCTGAAAACACTCCTCCTACAGCACGTGTAACACCCACCTGTGTTGATGCCGTCAGTGAGAATCCACGCCCCTGTGCTCAGAGAGGCCGTCATGAGACCTTTGCTGAAGGCCTGCTCCACTTTAGGAGGCAGGGTGAAGCTTTCAGAGCCCCCCTGGACGGTCAGGAGGAGTTTGGGTTTCTCCATCTGCCACTCCCTCAGCATCAGCTGGAGCAGCAGGTCCGGCCTCGAGTCCACGGCCACTCGAACATACTGAAGAGGAACCACAGAGATCTGCTGAGGCTCTCTGACGAAGACTTCTTTAAACCCCAGAAGCTGATCCCCAACATTTACACTCATCACTCAACACGCTGTACCGTTGGCGGGCTGACTGACCTTGGCTCGACAGACGCGTGTAGCCGTGTCCTCGAAGTCCACGATCCCGTAGGCGTTGGTGGGACTGGCTTTGGTGTGGAGCTCTACAGACCAATCCTCCCAGTCCAGGCCAGGACCAGGATGGAGGGTCATGGGGCGAGTAGACCCCTCCCATGAGTGCTCCCCTATCAGGCGGCCACAACAACATCTGACCAATGACAGAAGAGTATCATCTGACCACAGTATCGTAGATCTCTCATTCACGTTTTCTGATCGACTTCATTCACCAACATCTTTAACGTCCTGGAACTACTTTCTGCGGGTGGACTTGATGTGATCTGTTTCATCCGCTCGTCTCTGACGTCGCTCCTTCTGCAGATTCATAACCGTTTTAGCCAAGGGCTTCGACCAATCAGAATTAAGTATCTAAAATTCTACAACAGAAAGTTAAAGCTCGGTCATTTATCCACCGATACCTCTTATAAGTGATCTTAATGTCAAATTTGTTGCCCGTCCTCTGTATTTGTAATGTTTTATACACTCCTTTAATTCCTGCCTAACTAATTAGTTTAATTTCCATCTTAATCTGTTCAGTCAGATTTTACTTCTGTCATTCTTTGAGATTGTTTCTCATATTTTTTGGTCTGTTTTCTTCTCTCTGTCTGTCTGAACCTGAACCTGAACCTGCACTACATCACTTTACAAACAGGAATTTTCAGCTTTTTCAGCCTTACTTCAACATGTTTGCATTTTGCTCTTTGTTATTGTATTATATTTTATCTATTGTATTACATTTTTATTTATTGGAAATTGACCTGTGTACTAATTTCGTACCACAGACTATCAAAGGTGTGGGATATGACGAATAGAGTTCCTTGAATCCTTGAATGTATTTGGAGTATTTCCAGCTGATACACTGTGAAGTTTAGTGTTGTGATTATTCCCATTCTGATAAGTATTATCGATGTCATTCTTAAAACGCTGAAAGGAAAGGTCATTTATCATAAAACTCCCACAGATGAAGTCGGACTGTTGGGTGTAATTCAGCTGAAGCTTCGTTCAGTTCTTCATTTCCTCCGGTTTTCCTGTCTCTCTATCACTTCCTCTTCCCCTTCCTTTGACTTCTGATCTCAGTGGGTGTGACGTGTGACAGAGCACCAGATTCACACATCTCTCACTGATTTATGCACCTCCTTGGGGTCTAAAAAAATGTTTAAAATGTTCATTATCTCGTCTCACATGGAAACAATCAACAAATTTCCAAATTGGGCAATAAAGCAGCAGAGACCTCAGGAAGCGAAGAGAGGAAACAGTGAAGTAGAAGGGGAGGAGGAGGAAAAAGCCCCAACAATAACACCAGCTCTTCTCTGGAAATGGGGGGTGTGGTGATGTTGAAAAGAAAGTAGATGTTTTTAGGAGGAAAGACACTCAAAAAATCCATAATTAATAAATCATACCTGACCAAGCTTTGGCATACTTGGCATACTGGAACACATCTGTAAGAAACAGGAAATAACACATTAGCAAAGAATCCACATGGTCTCTATTCCTGGAAGGAAGGGCTGAGAGCCAAATAGTTCTGACTGGTGCTATAATTAAACCACATTCTGTCTTAATAAACTCTAATATTTGTAGTCCTTCTGAGGATCATCAAAACTTTTACTTCTGGAGGCTCTTCAATTCACTCAGGCTCCAGTTTACCTGTGTATGTCCCGAGAGGGGGAGATAAACTTCACACACTCTCTCTTGAAGAAGGTTTCCTCAATCCAGGACTTCCGTGACTGGAATAAAAAGGGGAAACATTAACTGATGGTAAACAGATCCTGGAGCTGATAAGAGCTCAGTTTTCAGCAGCACTGTCAAACTTTCCTAGACTGTTGGTAGAGACGATGTTATCTGTTATTAGTGACCTTCTCAGTGACGCTCATTGCAGAGCCGGGAGCCGCCTACATGCCGAGGTGACGGTGAATCACAGAATCCTGAACTTCTCTCTTAAAACCACAGACGGGGTGTGAGCCAATCTCTCTGTAAAATACGTCATTATTAAAAAGTTTTCTTTCAGTTTCCTCCAGTCTTTGAAATGTGGCCTGGTCCCTCTCTCTCTCTCTCTCTCTCTCTCTCTGCAGATTTTAACAATGGACTCAGTGAGCGGAGCGCATTAATGAGAGGAAACACACACGCACCCTCTTCCTGAGATTAATACAAAGGACTGAGAGTATGTACGCTCACAGTGTTGGTACTGTAAATACATCTACTTCACAGATGTTAGACCTCATCGTGGATATTACCAAGTTAATCATACCTTGTTAAAAATTAAGAATGACCGCAGAGAGACTCAACCTTCCTCCTGTGTTCGCTTTTACCATGTTAGGGGTTGGTTTTGACCCGAGTCTTAAATCAGCTGTAAATTAAAAACAATTCTCTATCATCTAATTTGATTCTCATCTCTAGGTTACCCTGTTCGGCTTCATTATCCATGAAAATATTGATGATAATAGTTTTAGTTGTGGTCCTCTGGGCCTTTCTTTACTCCTCACACAGACATCTACTGAACTGATCTCACATGTCCGGACATGCCTGATGTTGTTTTTTGAGCAGGAAAAAACAGGCAAAATAAGAATCCAGTTTTTGCTCTAATCATTAGTATTGATCTAACCAGGTCAACAGCGACCCTAACACGACAAGTGCCATAATTTTAATAAGAGCATTTTATAATTTAGTCAATTTAATTTTTTTACTTTGTTAAAATCGAGGTTCCTGACAGAGCCAAAAAGTCTTGTTGCAAAAAAAGCAGATTTAAGTGGTTCTTTTAAGCATTTTAAGCAGACCCTAACACAGGAGGAGGGTTAGCACAGATCATTAAAAAGTGTAACAACCTATCCCGGTCTCCCCTATATCTGCTCTTACTTATGGACTGTAACTTGTTCTGAAAAATGTATGACTTTTACCCATGACAGTGTAATGTCGTTATTTATCCAATACATAAACAAAAAATCCAAGTTTTTCTCGAAATTTGCCGGAAAATAACCTTTTTTAGATAATAACATCGTGTAGCAACGATGAATAAACTCTTTAAATCTTTGAATTATGTCATTTCCCACAGCTGACCCTAACCCTAAAGACGCTACTTACTGTCTCTAATTAAAACACTCCTGTAAAATGATGCTGTAAGGTCATAAAGTGTATATTACCGACAATATTTAGCCTCAAAGTGTAGTAACTGCAGTAAGCGTTAAAAACGTTAAATTGGTATGCATTCACTTGATATTGGAAAAATCGGACAACTGATTTCTCCAAACGAAAATAATGCTTAAAGGCTCCCTCAGGTTAAGACTGTGGTTCGGAGGATAGCGTTGGTTTAAAAACTATAATTTAATTTGTACAAACTTTACCTTATAGTTCCAAATGATTATAACAGTTTACATATGTGTTAGGTGAGATAATGATGATTTAATCCTGTTTCCTTTCTTTAAATCTCCGACCGCCCTCCTTAAGAATTCCGAGTCCTCGAAGAGACCCTGAAGGTAAAGTGGTGAAAGCACATCGAAACTTTGCTAACAGGAGCTATGCTAAAGGCAGCTAACGTGATAAAGTTATTCTAATACACACGCTGTTAACTTTTAACGTTTTCCTGTTGTCTGAGTTTGTTTTGAAGAGCTTACCATGTCTGTAAAGTCCACTTAGAGGTCTTTAAAAATGTTTATAACGCCTTCATGAGTGCCGCCGACAGAGAGCAGCCCACCGCCTCATCATTCCTCCCTCTGATCAGGATTATCGGACTGTTATCAGCCGAAGGTCCAAAGGGCAGAAGGAGAGAGCAGCCTGGAGGAGTTCATGACCTCCTCCTGATACACACACTCCTCCTCTGAAGAAGAAGGAGAAGAAGACCGAGCCTCCTCCTCCTCCTGAGCTGTCCACACATGCTGACGGAGGCGCGGCTCCACCATCCATCCTCTGTTTCTGACCCACGACAGGGACACGCTGCTGCTGAGGGAGTGGGTCACTTTGACAGGCTGCTTCCACACACACACACACACACACACACACACACAGGCTGTCTTATCAAATAGACATCCTTCACCAAAACATTCTCATGCTCATTCTCTCATCTAAAACACCAAACTGTAAAGCAAATGTTTGTAAATCAACCGTCTAATATGAACAGATCAGTGTTTTATTTACATTCTGTGCTTCAACTTGTATACTCTTAGATCTGCTGACTCTCTGGACTGTTTCAATAATCTCCTAAAGACTCACTTCTCCTCTCTTACCTTCTCATAACCTGATTTCTCATCTGAATTCAGTTCTTACCCATTTTTCTATCCTGTCTTTTGTGTAAAGTATATTCTTACCTTATCATTGAGTGTGTTTTTTTAAATGATATGATTTGTTCCAAATTTTCACTTTGGCTCAAAATTTGTTGGTTTTTTAAAGTGCTCTATAAATAAAGTTGACTTGACTAAGTTAGAAGTTGTTTTTCTTGCTATCGCCTCGTTCAGTGTTTATTTAAAACCCTTCGATTAAAAATGTGGCAAAAAATTACATTAATTTAAAAAAATAAAAACAAGCAAATACAAAATCACATAGGAGAGGAAAAAAAAGATCCTTTTACAATAAAAACTGTTTTTCTAATTAAAAGATTTGATCGCTAACCAAGTGTGTAAATTACAGGTAAAATATGATTAAAGGGATATTCCGGCATAAAATACAAACACACCATAACACAGAGTTAGACACCCCCTCCAGAGATGAATGTTGCCGACCGCTTACTTCTCTTCATTTCTTCATTTGCTTCTCTTGTTTGTAGCGAGACCTCAGGCCAGTCCATTACGGACTACAGCGGGGTGCCGCAGCTCAAGGAAGAACATTTATGATAATTTCTTTATCATTTCCTTGAAGTAATAATCACCATATTAATCATTTTACAGACGCGGTAGTTCTTCTGCCTTAGAGTCTCGGTCTGATTGTATTTCCATGAAGAAATGATCATAAATGTTCTTCCTCGAGTTGCGTCACCCCGCTGTCGTCCGTAATGGACTGGCCTGAGGTCTCGCTACAAACACGCGGCTGCTGGAGGAGAGTAGGTGAGTTGTGTTTAGTCTCTTTGCTAAAGAAATGAGTCAAAGTTAAAAAGATGTTTGGTGTCTAGTACTATGGCTGTGACCCTATATGTCCTGTTGATGAAGTTAGGTGCTGTTCTGAGCATTATTTGTGGCTATAGAGTGGCGTTTTGGTTGAGGCCTTTTAAAAATGACAGGTATGTGATTTTGGCTAAAAACTTCATAATCACAATTTTGACCACACTATTTTGATAACACTTTAAATAGTAAAAAGACTTTAAAACCCTACACATGTATGAAACTTTATTCTGTAAACTCCTCTGCACTGAAAAGCATTGTTCACTTCTGAATGCAACCTGTTTTAACACTGTAGTTCAACTTAAAATAAAACGATAACTCCAGGATTCTGGGTCCATCCTTCAGAGGTTTACAGGAAAGTCCACACTGCGTTTCTTTCTCCTCTGCTTCTTCGATGTTGCCTCGCTTCAGTCACTAAGATCTGACACCAGTGTGAGCCTCACTTCCTCCAGTCTCTGTCAACCTGACATGGTGACCTCAGGTGGTTTCATCTCACCTGGAAGAATTTCAAACAGCCTTAATGTTCTTCTGAACATCATCACATCTCCCTGCTGATATCAGAACAGATCATCCAGACTCTCTGCACCTATCATCTTCAGGTTTCCATACAATCAGAAGAGATGTCTTTGACTTTGGTCTTGTTCTGTGTCTCAGATTGATCAGCGTTATCTTGGAGCAGTGAGAGGTCGAGTGCAGGTAAAGGAACCCTCCAGTACTGGAACGAGTTGTAGGCGCAGTCCTCTGCGTTGACCTCTTTATCAGCCTGAAAGTGACGGAAAGATTTGTTTTATTTCAGTAATTTCAGCCACGTGAGTCAGAGACATGAAAACATATCATACGAATTACAAGATTTAGGCAAAGAGAATAACTGGATTATAACAAATGCTATTTCATAATAAAGAACTGGGTTTTTTTTATTACGAGTTTATAGAGATCGACCGATTATCCCTTTGTCAACAGCCGATGAGAAAATTCAAAATGTCACCATACAAGGAGTAATGATCATTTTAAGGACCTGAAAAAAACACATGGAGATATTTGAATATTTAGGGGTGGTGAGAGTATTTTCTCATTTACAGAGTGATAAATAGAGATATCCAAAGTCCCCTCCTCCCCCCTCCTGACTCTAGTATGTCAACAAAATAAAACAAGAATTCTTAGAGGGTCTTTATCCATTGTTGAGTTTTCGGTTCTGTAAATGTATGTAAATGAGTGCATATTTAATTAGATATTACCTCATTTACATATTCAAACATAAAATTTGACAAAACTTGTAATATAAAAAATATTTGTCTTAATGTAACTTATAAACTTGGTAAATTTAAAGGTGATATCTGTTTGTTAAAAATTTTACCCTATTTACCTGGGGGGTCTCCCCGGGCTTCCTAATATCATGGACGCCATCTTGAAAATGACACCTTTCCAGTGGTCAAACTTTGGTAAACTTTGAGTTTGTTATTAAGGACATCTAATACTATAAAAAAAACAGCTGAGAAACCTTCGTTAAAATTTGTTTTCTTTAGGGGTCAGGTCATATTTGCACCTGACTATCTCCTCACATGTTATCGACACATACAAAATGTCCCCCTAACCTTTATAACATGTATTAATGAGTGTCTGTGATGATTGACAGGTTACTGCAGTTACAGAGCTTTATTATAGGTGGATGGTGACACCTAGCGGACATTTACTGGTATTACACTAACTCGCTCCCACGCTCTCTTACTGCCTGCAGGTATATCCGATAAAAACATGTTAAATCTCTTACTTTATCAGCGTTTGTGGGTAAATCTGTCTCTGGACCTGCACGCTCTTCCCGCGCTCGTTTCTTGGAGCTCGTGAGCGCCCCTGAGCTCCGTCGCTCGTGGAAACTTCCAGGTGTTTGCACCGTCAGGACGTGAGCTGCGTGTCTCCTGACCTCGTGGTGAGTTGGTCTAAGATATAAAGAGACTTCATCCTCCGTCTCCTCCACTTCCTCGAGGTAGTGCTGCCTCTTTCTGCAGCGGCCCCCCAGCAGAGCCAGCAGGGACGGGGGGCTCACACCCCCGGAGGAAGGAGCCATGATGCTGCCCAGCTGCAGGTCCACACTACGGGGGGAGAGGCAGGACTTCTTAGAGGGACAGTCGTGGATTAAAGTGTCCTCGGAGCGTCTTTTAGACATGATTAGAAGCGATAGTGGGGAAAAATCAAGAGAAAATAACACAGAGACGAGAGGCAGTCACTCCTGCGTAGACGTCTGAACAAGTGCGTGCACCGGTAGTGAAGTTACCCGAGAGCCAATCAGAGGAGAGCGTTGCTGTCCAACCCCACCCACAGCCGACACACTTCCTGTGCTGAGGGACTTTCTTACACTGTAAAACAAATATAATGCAACACAATTTCAAGATAAATGTAAAAATGCTAATCGTACTGCAAAGGAGCCTGTAGTCCATCAGTGTTTTAATAGAATATATAATTTCATCAGACTCACTTCAGACGAGTTTTTACTACTTAAAGTAAAGCAGAAAGAAATATAAACTTCCATAGCTGTGATTGAGTTAACCTAGGCTGTGGTTTCATTTCAGAGACCGCATCGGGCTAAGAGCACTTCTGCACCGTCGAACGGTGCATTTGAAGCGTGCATGACGTCACGACGGCGCGAACGGTGTCCCATTGAGGACCATGAGGGCCATATTGAGATTTAAGACTTTAAAGACTTCGAGATTTAAGTCGTGAATTTACGAGAATAAAGTCATTAATTTATGAGAATAAAGTCGTAACCTGTTATTTCAGAGGAGACTTGTTAAAATAAGGACCATGAAGCATTTGAAGGAACTGTGCTTCAGTATAGGTTTCACAAACAAGGAGATACTTCATCCTCTGGCACATCAGCATCGCATTGTCATAAGTATAAAGACTTAAAAAAAAGAATATATGAGAAATACGTCTTTTCCACGGGGGAAAAAAATGGTGTACTTGAAGGAAATCGCTGCTTTTGTGGGGGCAGAAATGAATATACTGAGGATATATCCGTTTATGCAGCCGTAAATATCAGTGAATGACATTGAGCTTTAGTTTATGATGTGAATCCATATGCCATAATAAGGTGTTGGTGTCTCTGCAGGTGTAGGTTACCGCCGGTGTCAGAGACGTGGTGCTCGTCGGAGCTCGACTCCCTCTGGATCACAAATGTTGATCATCATCAGTTTGATTGTTGCTTCAGTTACCACTGTCTGCACGGGCGCAGTACCTACTCTCTGCCTGCGGGGGCCGTCTTTCCCCACCGCTCATCTAGTGTGTCCGAATTGGGCCAACGTGTTCAGTATGAAGGAGTAGGATCTAGCAGTAGCATGTAGTATCCGAGCGGGCAATTCGATCACAGCATTGGTTTACGCTTTTTCTGCCTCTAACACAGACTGAAAAACTGAAACCACTCAGACCAATGCTGTGATTGCACCCTGACCTCTCAGCCATTGTAGAAGCCCCGCCTCCTCCTCAGACAGACTTCAATCACAGATCTGTTGTTTCTCTAACTTTAATTCTTGGTCAAAATCAACATGAAAAAATACAAACAAGTGAAAACTAAGGTGTTATCCGGACAATAGAGACGGTAAATCTTCCTTCTTCTAATTTTTTCATCCTTTTAACTCACTTTAAAACAAGTTTGAGATAATTTTTATCATTAAGGGTATTTTTTATTTATCAGTCAAGGCATCGATTCCAGTTTTAATGACATAACCTTGAGTAGGATTTGAACAGAGAAGGATCAGGACCACCAAGGAGAAGCTGACCAAACTGTCAAGCTTCGGGCTTTCTATAATGGCTGATATTCGGAGGTGCACTAAATTCGTGAATCTGCTGCACGTCAGTTTTAATTTGCAGATACAGCAAACAAACCTGCGGATCCTGGAGCGCCGTCTGATCGAACTGAATGAGGGAAGCTGCACTTTTTGCACAGAACCTCAGTTTTTCTTCAAACTCTTAGACTTGTACAATGACTGCAAATTTTTAGGTTGATGTTTTTGTTTGTTTTTCTCTCTCAGTTTGATGCACAAAGGATCTGTTTCAGGTCTCTTTGGGTCATCAGAAGGAATGCACTGCACCGTTTAGATTCCAGGTCGACAACTTCTTCTGCAACTAACTATTGCTTTTCACTCCCAGGTGTGGTCAGGGCTGCACAGTTGATGAGTTCGTCACCACATGTCTGCACCCACATCACAGGCTGAGAGTTATCTGTGAACTCTTGGCTCTACTCTGCTGATATCCAGAGCCCCAACTGTGCAGCCTTGACTGCAGTTTGCAGGTATTTAGAGTATCTCATTCATGGACTTTATCTATTCAGCCGGCCTCTTCCTGAGTCTGAAAGGAGCAAAGCTGAGTGAAACAACTTTGACATCCAGGGTCGAAACTAAACGTCCAGAAAGCTTCTTCAGCGTCTGCTGCGGAGGCTTCAGTCCAGGTTTCAGCGTGACGACCATCAGTGTGTTGGGCGTGTGAGGGTTTCAGGTGAAAAATGACAAGTTTGGGATTAGAAATGTGAGTGATGTTTATACAGGATCACTGTTCAAATCACATCCAACAGAAATGTCTCAGGGTCCGATGGGACGAGATCTGCACCAAAACATGAGAGCAGAAAGCCATTCTTGAAATCTCGTGGTCTGTAGAGCAAATACTACAAAAGCTTTAGGGAATGAGGTGCTTGTGTACGTCGTCTACCTCTCCACAGACACTCAACCTCCAAACCTACACGTCCCGACTTGCATTTTGTGGTGTGACATCTGCCGAGATACTGTCGTAGTCCCTCCACCAGAGATGAGATGGCTTCCACACGCCTTCCTCCACTGAGTCCAGAGTCCTGTACCCGCATATTCTGAGACGCCCTCATCGTTTCACGAGCTCACATCTCACCGTGCATTCCTTGACTTTTATTTTGTAGGGTCTATATACAGTATAGCCTTCCTTACATGTGGAACAATTTTAAGAAGTATGCAATTACATTGGGCACATTTATATGATGCTTTCACACCTTGTCATTCTTTCTTGTAACACAGAATCACATTGAAAAGTGCTTTCATTCCATTCATTGAGTGTATTTTATTAACATGCAAAGGACCAGATGTTACTCGACTGTTAAGCTGCACATTAAAAAACCCATCAGAGTTGTTATTAATACCACAGGCCTGAATATTATTCATATCAAGGCTTGGCACAGGCCTTCAGACAACCTGCAGCTGGGTTATACTCTAACAGGTCCTCGTACTGTTTGATCAAGTGTTACCTAAGCGGCTACTGAAGAAGGATTTACTGTATCTGCAGAGTTTGGGTGGCTATAGGTATTGTGTGTGTTTGGGATATAAATGGAGTGTTTATACGTTTTTTAAACATAGATTTTAATTTTAGCATCACTTGAATTAAATTGCAATTGAAAGTTGGAGCTTGTGTTTGTTTTTATTTTAAGAAGAAAGCTGCTGATGTTAACTCCCTAATCTTTTTGATTATTTGTGCTTTTGGTTTCTTCATTATTATTATTATTATTATTAACTGAGAAGTACTATGAATGTACTAAAGGGATAAAGTGATTTAACTCCAGAATTGAGTTAGCAATAATTTATTTAAAGCCTCTGTCTGGAGTTTGGCACCCCCTTGTGGACAAACTTATACCTCTATATCCTTATAGTAGACCATGTGGCTTGTGTGTCCACATGGCTCACAGGATAAGAACATTGACTGGGACTCCTGAGGTTCAAACGTTATTCAGGATGAATTTTAAAGTCCAGGAGCAAAAGTACCATGATAAAAACACGCAGTGCTCTTCCCCAACTGTAGTCTCCGGTGGCGCAGTGTGGTAGACATCTAACACCCCAATGTGAGCCATGTGTTCTGGTTGAAGACCGGCTCCTGGTTCGAAACCCGCTCAGCCCAGGAGTGTAAGGTTACCCCCCGGTGTTTCCAGAGAGATAAAATAGCGGGGTTATGCTACAGGAACTCAGAGCAGGCTGAACTTTAGAGTAAGGATGGGGAGAAGGGTTGCGGGGGGGATTAAAGGGGGGGGCGGCGGATGGCCGGGGCCTGAGCAGAGGACGTCCCCAATAGGCAATAATGGCGGACCGGGAAAGAGTCCAATACGGACCCGAGCCTACCGCATAAAAATGTATGTTTTTTTCTCTCTTGTAGGCCTGCACGATATACGTGTGTGCGATTGTCACACCACAGAGCCTGCGATGTCGGAGGTGAATGAACTCAGTTAATTTCAAGGGTAGCTGACTGAGATACACAGCATGTGACTCTGCGTGTGCTGTGCAGCGATCCACCAATCACCTTCGTCCTTTACTCAGTTGCCAATCAGACTACCCTGCCAGCTGTCAATCAAAATCAGAGAGGCGGAAACCCACCCCTGCACATGTTCTGCACATGGAGGCACTCGCTGCTGGTGTTGAGCCGGGAAATGCGCGTCCGCTGAGAATTACTTTCGGAACTTTACTGACTGTTTAAGCCCAACAAATAAGAACTGTCCTCTTTCACTTTCCTATCTAGACACTAGACTTCAAAATTCACCTTGTCCTGAAGAAGGCTCGAACACACCACCTCAGGAGTCCCAGTCAGTCTCCTTATCCTGTGAGCCATGTGGACACACAAGCGAATTGGGTTCTTTTTTCACATATCGCTGTGCTTTGTGGACTCGAGACTTTACAATTATTCTAGAGCTGAACAGGGTAAGACTTGAACCCACGATCTCAGGAGTACCAGTGAGTCTCCTTATCCCCTGAGCCATGTGGACAAAGAAGACCATCATGTATTTTTTTTTTTTCATATATCACTGTACTTTGTGGACACTAGATTTCAAAATTCACTTAGAACTGGGCAAGGTTGGACTCGAACCTATGACCTCAGGAATCCCAGTCAGTGTTCTTATCCTCTGAGCCACTTGGACACACAGGATTATACCATTTGTTTCCTCTTTCAATTTCCTGTCTAGACACTAGACTTCAAAATTCACCTTGTCCCGAAAAAGGCTCGAACACACCACCTCATAGTAGCGTCTGTTCACTTGAAAAAATGGCCTGATTGTTATGCGGTGGATAAAAGCACCAAATTTGGTACACACATTCTTCAGGGTGTATCTCATCATCTCAGAAGGGGTGCCCAAAAATGCATGAATGAAAATGGCTCAAATGGAGGTTGTATACCTGACCCAGCACAAAAGTCTCTCGTTGATTTATTTAGCAGGAAAAAGGGAGTCGATCTCTGCTGCTCTGAAACCACATCTGAGTCAAAAAACAAAGACAAAGAATAACTTCATACTGCAAAACCAAGTGTGACGCATGTCAGGAAACCTTATAAATCACAGCATGAAGATGGCGGGGGTTTTAATGTCGGACGTCCTGAATTGGCTCATCCCCAGTCTGTCATGAAATTGGTTGAATATTCAGAGATTTCTGAGTTTATGTCGAAATTAAATCAGATCAAATTGCTGCAAAAGCTTTGTTGTAACAACTAAACTTTTACGACCAGCAGAACTCACTTATTTTTCCTTATAAAATAAATAATTTAGTTGTGCTCGTTTTTGACATGATATGGCCTTGTTGGAAATCAGATACCCCGTCATTTCTCTGCTGAAAAGCTGCCGTTTCCATCTTTTAAAGTGCGTCTTAAATGCAGGTTGTTGAACATATTGAATAAACTCGTTTTCTTTTCCTTCCCAGCCGCCTGCGGTCTGTGAGGACAAGCAGCAGCAGCAGCAGGAGAGCGCCATGGAGGAACTGAAAGGCATCCTGGTAAAAGGATCTAACATCAGCTTTGATAGAGAGGTGTGGTCTGAGGGGACGGTCTGCTTCCAGATGAGTTTAAAACTCCATACAGGAGCTTTAATAAGTTAATATTATTGCCTTTTAGCTCTTTAAACACCATAACAGCGCTGTCAGGATATTACTGTATCCACAGAAACCATCTTTCCTTTACACTGGCGACATGAAACTGCATTCGCCACATTTCAGAAGTAGCGCGCTTCAAAATAAAAGCACATATCACAGGACAGAATAAAATACCAAAATAAAAGCATGACAAACAAATGTTAAATAATGTCCTCAGTCAGAGAACTGATGATGGATCATAAATCTGAATATTTTTAGACATGAATAAAAACATGCTCCACTCTCGGTTTTACTGATGGAGATGTTTTATTTATCGTCAAGTTTTCCATGACAGGAAAATCTGATATTATGTCAGCCCTACCAGGGGTCTCACCTCCATCGATAAATCCAGCTGCAGGTGTAAGAACAAGTAAATTCATTAGTTAAGATAGGTCAGATTATCCAGGTTTACACAACCTTTAACATGTGGATAATAAATAATCTTAATCTTAATCTGTGTTGGCGGACAGTCAAGTCTCTGCAGTGACGGTTGTGTTTTCCCGCAGGAGACGGTGAAGCGCAGTCCCAGCCGAGGATCTCAGGAGTCAGGGCCGTCACCGCCCGGGAAGAAGGACAGCGAGCTGGAGGTCATCCTGAGACGCCGGCGTAACAAGGCGGGAGAGGCTGGCTCCGGAGGTAAACACAGAGACGGAGGACGATAAAAGCCTCATGGTCTCATCTTTTTTTCTTTTTGTTTTGAACTAAATCTGGTTTTTATCTTTACAACAACGAAAACTAAAGTGGTTTCATGAACATTTTTGGAGTTTTAATCTACCTCTTAAAGTTGTAAATATGTGTTGTCAAATCACTGATTCAGTTAAAATTAAGACAATATTCCTTTACAGGAACAAGACTGGCATTTGGAGACCTTCGGAGGACTTCCTGGTGGAGTTGCCAAATGTCCCCGCCCTCAGGCTCGCGTCACGACTGACTTAAAGAAAACCCGCGCAGCATTTATTTTTTAATTGTGCGACCTTGCACAGACACAAAATAGTAGATACGTACAAGCACAATTCATCCAATGATTGTTTGGTATGAAGGAGTATGAGGGCCATATTGAGATTGAAGACTTTAAAGACGTCGAGATGGCTATTCGTATCGTCGACCAAAACATGGCAGAATGACGACTATTGAAAAGGATATTGACCATGTTTTATATTAATATTGAGGGAAATTAAATTTTGATGTATATAGTTATTGTTTTATCTCCCAGCCCTACCTACAATGAAAACAACATTACACCCAGAAAAGTAAAAATAAAGAGAAATCTCAGACTTTTAAAATGTTTGGCTTTATTCCAAAGTGAGATAAGAAACCAGGAACGTGAGTGAGAGTCATCAACTTAAAAACATTCGATCTTTAAAGCTGAAACATGTTTACATGGACAGAGCAGAGTGACCAATAAGGCAGCTACCAGCAAAGTATCTGAAAAAATAAATACACTTTCAAAAGCAAATGTTAATATGCAGGCGCTCTCTCATACACACACACACACACACATACACACACATGCACACGCACAGGCAGTTAAAGTCACTGGAGATGAGAATTATAAAGATCGGAGGCGATCAGCAGGTTAAAGAAATCGACTTTTTCTGGCTCCTCGCTGACACGCAAAACACAAACGATCATCAAACTTCCCTCAAACTCTGGATCTGAAGGACATGAAGCTTTAGTTGTTCTGAATGTTACAGAGGATTGTGATTTTGGCCTAAACAGAGCAGAGACAGGGTCTGTGGAGCTGGGTTGATCTCCTCAGGAGCTGCATTCTCACAGAGAGGAGACAGTAGAAAAGTTTCCTCTCTGGCCTCCTTCTTTCAGTGTCAGTGTTTCTCTCTTTTCTCAGTCTCGCTGCTCTTTAGTTATTTCTCCTCAGGTAAAGATTTATGAGGACTTCCTGTCACGTCAGGCGGTCATAACCCTCCCTCCGCGGCGCTTTAGCAGCCGGCGAGGAGCTCTGCTGCAGGTCATCGTCCTCCTCCTGTCCGTTAAAGTACAGATCTGCAGGTTTTCGTGCCACAAAGAAAACACAGTCGTAGACGTATCTCAACATGGAGCGCTCGTTCTCCGTGTAGGTGGTCTGAACCGACTCCTTCTCCACCTGCAGGAAAACAAGAAAAAAATATTTTAGATTCATGAAAGTAAAGTGATGTGAAGTGTTGAGAAGAAGCCGAGCTCTGTGCTCACCTCTAAATGGAAGCCAAGGTTCAGGATGGCTGTCCTGATGTCTTCATAAGTCAGTTCAACGGAGAGCTCATTGGCCATGTTCTCAAAGTGATACAGCAGAGGACCTAAAAGAAGAGACGGACTTTCACTCAGAGATAAAACATCCCAGAAAACTGCACTTTTAAGGTTCGTTTGTTTGTTGGTTTTTATTTGTTCGGCTCATGGCCTTTTTAAGCATTTCCATCCATACAAAAAGAATTTAACAAATCCATCACATGACTGGAAGGGAGCAGGTAGAAGACAAAGCTGATTTTACCTTCCCCTCACTCAGAACAGAAAAAACAATAACGTAAAAGGTCTGTCCACTTCAGGTTATTTTCCTTTAACTTTACAAACAATACTACGACCACATAAAAGGAAACAAACTAAAGCAAAGTCAGAACGTCTGAATATTACAAAACACGACTCGTCAGCTTCATATTTTATTATTAGACTTTCTTTCTACTTTGTTTTAAACTGAAATCTACTTCATATTCAGAGGAGGTGATTGAGAACTAGACTGATCACCAGAATCAATAATGGCACTGGTATCAATAACATCCTGTCAGTCCTCATCACTGCCTCTTTAGTTTTATTTTACCGAAGTTTTCTGCTTAAGATGAAAATGTGGAAGTGATTAAAACTGAGTTTCATGGATAAATGTGAGATAATCACACAATAATCTCATAACTTTACAGGATATAATTTGATCTATTCTTCATTATCGCTGTGAGAAAAGTGTGTTTTTATTTTCTATTCTTGCACTGAGAGCTTTAAAAAAGGAAGTTTTCTTCAGTATCTAAAATATCATCACAAACTCACGTTTCTAAACTTTACTGTCAAACTTGAACAAGTAAATATCTATGCAGCGCGTGCTCACCCAGGTTTATCCAGACTCCCCCCGGTTTGAGAATCTTCCAGATGGTCTCCACGTACTCGATTACGTTATGAGCCGTGTCGATGAAGAAGCAGGTCGCCACACAATCCCAGGAATCTGTCAGAAACAGACACAAAGTTCAGACGTGACCTTCAGGTCTGAAAGGGAGCAGCTGAAGCGCTTGTTGTTTTTGTATTTTAAATGACGGATTATCTGCAGAAAAGGTGATTATCAAAGATTCACCTCAAACATCTTCACCTCCTCATTGTCTCGTTAACAAAACCTAAAAATACTTTCTTAATGCCGCCAAACAAACTACAGTATCCTGATCCACCTCGCCACAAACATCTCCACACTGAGCCGTGAAGTTTTCACCGACCTGGTTCGTTGTAGACTTCCACAAAGTCGCCTGCTACCATGGAGAAGTCTGTGGTCAGGGGTAAGCTCTGAGGGTCGACGTCAGGGAATGTGATTGGTCGTGTTTGGTCCGTGGATTTCTTGATGTTGCTAAACTGGTGGATCCAGGGGTACAGGGTCAGAGAGTTCACGTTTTCACACCTGAATAAAGCAGTCCAAATGTGTGAGGACAGCTGTGGATGGATGGAAGTGGTAAACTGATGTGTATGAGGTTAAACCGCAAACAACTGAAAGTGAAGGCCACGGTCTGATCGGATCGTTTACACAGTTTTCATCATCATCATCATCATCATCATCATCATCATCATCATCATCATCATCATCACAGGCCCAGATAGTTTGGATTTATGTAATCTTAAGAGGACATTGTGTGTTTTGTGAGGCAGTGCTGGTGTCGGTGGACGTGGTGCTGTACCTGTTGAGGACAAAGTTCGAGGAGAAGAGCATGAAGAAGCTCCACTCGTTGCCCTGGCAGGTGTAACCTAACCGAGCTATCTCCCAGGCGAGACGTCCGAGCCCGGCGCCAGGGACCAGCACGCTCACCTTAGACACATCACTGACATAATAAAATATGTAGAATGCACATATCACATGGAAAACATGGAGAAAGTCACATGATCAAAAACATTCTAAGAATCATCCGTCTGCTTGAAAAATGATCACATTATGGATTTATTTTTGTTGTGAACATGCATCATGTCAGCGTGAGTGAGTGAGTGTTTCCTACTATTGGTCGCTCGGGAAGAGTCTTTGGATCTCTTGAATGATTGGCTGGTAGCAGGAGTCCCTCTCAGCTCGGCCCGCCTCACTCCAGTCTCTGACAAACTGCTTTATCGTTGATTTTAACTTGTCCATGTCGAAGGTTGAGGACGGGCGCGACTTTTGTGGATCCACCTGAAGTTGGATTTAAAGGAATATCACTGACAGAGCTGTTTGGACAAATATTAACCCCCATCCTATGTGTGTGCGTTAGGCCTGCACGATATATCGTTTGAACATCGTCATCGCGATGTACGTGTGTGCGATAGTCACATCGCAGAGCCTGCGATATTGGAGGTGAATGAACTCATTTAATTTCAAGGGTAACCGACTGAGATACACTCCATGTGACTCTGCATGTGCTGTGCAGCGATCCACCAATCGCCTTCGTCCTTTACTCAGTTGCCAATCAGACTCACTTCTCAGTTGCCAATCAGACTACCCTGCCAGCTGTCAATCAAAATCAGGGAGGAGGAAACCCACCCCTGCACATGTTCTGCACATGGAGTGAGACGTGTGTCCGCTGAGAATTACTTTCGGAACTTTACTCATGACTATTAAGCCCAACAAATAAGAACTGTATGGGTTTTAAATTGTACATTTCCGTGGACCACTCTACTATAAGCAATGCGCGTTTTGCGAGGTGCATGCAATTCTCGGAGGACATGCGTTTCTCGGCACAACACCGCTAACAACAACAACAACGATCGCAAAATGAACAACGAACAAGCGAAAACCACCGAAAATGAAGATATTGTTGCCCAAAAGAAAAGGAAAGTCAGTTATCTGGAATTATTTCGGTTAAAAGAAGGATGATGTCGACCAAAACACGTCTTCTGTGTTCATCTGTTGCCACAATAACGTCCCAGCACAATAAAAGCTGAAAATATCTCTTGAGACAGACAGAAGCCGTTCTACTAACATTAACAAAAAGAGGTAAGATCAGAGCAGATGAACTGTCCTCAAGATTTCAGCAGTGCAGCAAAACATTAAGTGCTATTCAGGTCATCTGGTGAAAATTCCTGTATTTTTAATATCGCAATATATATCGCAGGGTTGAAAAAAATCGCAATATTATTTTTTCCCAATATCGTGCAGCCTTAGTGTGCGTGCGTGTGTATTCAGTATTTGTACAGGAGGTCAGAGCTTACCCTCGATCCGTACTCGATGTTCTCAAACATGTTGAGGCTGTTGTGAATGATGGCCTGCAGCACCTCCTGGTTGTGGTCGGCACACTGCCTGATCCGGGACAGGTTCGATAAAACATTTGGCAGCAAATTCTGGTGGTGCTTCGGTAAACTCAGGAACTGACGCTCGGCCCGTTTGACCTGCTCCCCGACATGGACCCTGACAGAACAAGAATTCAGAGAAGGTTCTGATTCATGTTTTGAGTCCACAAATGAAGATCAGTCTCTCATTAAGAAGGAGTGTTAGACTCTCAGGATTTGTGTTATCCTTCAGATAGGGTTGTGGGAGCTTTACATGGTTTACAGTTGAAATAACTTCATTTTTCTCATAACTGGGGTTACTCAATTATAGTAATTTTGTCAATGTTTAATTTCAGTGATAATACTGACTAAATTTAAAGGGATATTCCAGCGTGAAATTAGGTTAGAATCAAACACACCGTAACCCAGAGTTAGACCCCCCCTCCAGAGATGAATGTTGTCGACCGCTTGCTTCTCTAGTTATACCAACTTTAGTAACGACCGCAGGATAGAAATACAGAGAGCCACGCCCTCAACCAAAACGCCACTCTATAGCCACAAATAATGTTCAGAACAGCACCTAACTTCATCAACAGGACATATAGGGTCACAGACATAGTACTATATTCAGAGTTGTTCTAACTCCTAAGAAAACTTAAGTGGGGGCGTTTCTCCCCTTCTGTAGTCTATAATCTGGGCTAATAAACTTCTACTGTAGTAAAATGAAAAGGTAAAGGTGTTTTTATTGAGCCGAATTATCAATAAAATCATGATTTTGTTAACAGGTATGGATTTATGTGCTGTTGAGTTAATATATTTGAACAAGAGCACAGTAAAGTTAAATCAGCTAATTTTCCAATGAGGTTCTGTTACTGAACAGAACTACACCATGATCTACTGAGGTTAGTACATATAGGGTCACAGACATAGTACTAGACACCAAACATCTTTTTAACTTTGACTCATTTCTTCAGCAAAGAGACTAAACACAACTCACCTACTCTCTTCCAGCAGACGCTTGTTTGTAGAGAGACCTCAAGCCAGTCCATTACGGACTACAGCGGGGTGCTGCAGCTCAAGGAAGAACATTTATGATCATTTCTTTATCATTTCCTTGTAGTAATAATCATCATATTAATCATTTTACAGACGCGGTAGTTCTTCTGTCTTAGCTTCTCGGTCTGATTGTATTTCCATGAAGAAATGATCATAAATGTTCTTCCTTGAGCTGTGGCACCCCGCTGTAGTCTGTAATGGACTGGTCTGAGGTCTCTCTACAAACAAGTGGCTGCTGGAAGAGAGTAGGTGAGTGGCGTTTTGGTTGAAGTTTGTTTATGGCTCCTCAGACCTCTCTGTATTTCTATCCTGCGGTCGTTACTAAAGTTGGTATAACTAGAGAAGTAAGCGGTCGACAACATTCATCTCTGGAGGGGGGGTCTAACTCGGTGTTACGGTGGGTTTGACCCTAAACTAATTTTACGCCGGAATATCCCTTTAAGTCTGGTGTGAAATAGTTGTACACTCACATTTTGAATCTCTGACATCCATCTTTCATTTATATTGGAAATATAAACATCCTCACACCTCCTTTCCCATTAAGAACCAGTCTACAGCGTTATAACTGTACTCAGATGGTTCCTGGACTGTTTTAATGACCTTACAGTGAAAATCTTTCACACACTCGGACCCTCTTCAGTCCTCAGTGTCGGTGGGTAACAGGGTTTGATGACACAGAGGTGTTTTCAGAACATTATCAAAGAAATTCCACCTTAAACTGGTTAAATAAAGTCTGAAGTGTCTTTTGGAAACACAAACTTAAACCTTACATAAAGAGAGAAACAGAAACGGTGATGAACAGTTTCCCTCCAAACCGAAAAACAACAACAACAGAATCAAACTGTCTTCAAATACCGCCATGTTCATCCTCACTCACCGGTAATATCGAAAAGCATCGATTATCCTCCAGAAGTGAAGTCTCTCCAGCCGGGCCTCCTCCTCCGGACTGGACTTTATCCTCTCTTTGTGGTAAAAAGGTCCACTTTGAGGTCCACTTTGAGGTCCACTCTGAGGTCCTCCTGCTGCTGCTGCTTCGGCCATGTCTGAAACTGTTCTACAACCGTCCAATCAGAATGCGGCGTACTTCTTCTTCGCGGGGTTGGTCAGCTCGGACGGTACAAGACACAGTGCTGCCCCCCAGTGTCTGATGTTTAGACTGCAGATAATGTTTATTATGACGTTCTTCTCTCAGGTCTGAGTCCAGTTTATTAAAACACACATGATTTAATAACCTTTAATGCCTGAAACCTTAAATTATGGCCAGAAAATTCTAAAAATTTCTGGAGCTGAAATGTTTATTTGACTTATTACTGAAATGTCCTTAAAATTTAACAATTATATTTATTTATCTTGTTTGACTCATTAGATGTTTTTGGAAACTGATAAACCACAAGAGGACTTTTTTTTTTTCAGTAGTTTGTTGATCATATAGATTTGATAGAAGTATATAAAAGTATGTATCAAATATGGTACAAAAGGCATTAAAGAGCTACAACAACCATAAACCTGAAGAATATCAAAGATACTGAAGCTAACGGTTTCAGGAAGCAATAACACATAATTAAGCTGAATTATTCAACACCACAGAACAATTTTACTGTTAAATCTCCTTCTTCAGTGATAGTTTTGGAGATCAGCAAGTCCTAACTTGCCTAAATGACAAAATTAGACCAAAAAAAGGAAAATTTCAGGCATTTTCAAATAGAAAATCTCCGCTTGTCTATTGGATTACCGTGACAAAGTGTCCTCTGGCTGCTCCTCCTGAATTAGAAACATGAAAAATGCTCTTCCGTTGATTTTTTAGTTAATAATTGTAAATAAAATACTGAAATTGCTCTCAGGATGACCTTCTTATAAAAAAACGTCCTTTCATTTTCTTTCAGTGTATCAAAAGTGGAAAAAGGATCTCATAAAACAACAGTCAAAAAGTGCACTTTGATGGTTTCCCTATAGAGAAAATAGGGTGAGACCTTCTCTTGATATTTTAAACTGATCAAAAAGTTTATGTTTGATTTAATCCAGTGTTTGTGAGATAATTTCAGTGCTTAATGAGTTTATTTTACTCTTTTAATTAGATATTCAGGTTTAAATCATGAAAAATAAAAGATGAAATCTCACCAGAATGAGGGCCTCGTTCTTTTTCATGAACTGATGATAATTTTAAGGTTTTCTTTCACTCCACTAAAAGTTGTATAAATATTCACCAGACTGCAGCAGTCAGAGATTTAAATGAACATTTTAAACATGGATCTGATCCATAGCTGCGGCTGTTTGCTTTGTTTCTGATGGTTTCTGTGGATTTATTTAATTGTTTAGTTGTGGGATTAATAAAGTTTACTAACCTCGTCTAATCTAATAACAGATACAAATCTCTGATGGTGATGGAAACGTCAACAAAGAGAATAAAAACGTCTCAGACAGTCAGCACAGGACACCAGCTTCTCTGAAGGGTTTATTGGAGAATCAGCAGCTCTGACCCGGCGAGGCCTTCCTTCAGTCCTCAGATGGTCGGGTTGACGATCTTACCCATGAAAAGGATGTTTTGTGTTTGGCGTTCAGTGATGACCACCATAAACGGGCGGTTAAACTTCAGAACGGGGACGAAGCGCATAGACATGAGGGTGATGCCGATGCCTGTAGCGGCTGCTGCGGTGGCGCCGGCTTCGTCAACATCCAGGGTGGCTTGGTGCACGACCTGCAGAGGTGAGGGTGGATGGAGGATAACGGAGAGATCAGATATATGATCATCACACAGGATCAAAACATGACTCAGACAAAGAGGTGAAGCCTGAACGCTTCCTCTGCGCCACAAAACATTGTGACCCAGTAACTTCTAAAGGTCAGGAGTGTTAGGGTCAGGGTTAGGGGTCCTCACCTCTGAGACCGCCAGTTTCTGTCCCTCTGAGATGCCGCTCAGGTCTGCGCGGTCTCCGAACATGTCTGACATTCCCATACTGATCAACATGTCGTTGAGCTTGTACGAGGACTTGATGGAGAACTTCGGGACGTAGACATCATGCATGCTAAAGGTCAAAGAATAAACACACAGTGACTGATCTGACAGGATGGAGTCACGTTTAACTGTTTCAAATATCTCCAACAACTGAAGTCCAGATCTCGACCCTCCTCACCTGGGCCGCATCCACTTCAGCCACTTGGTGACATGAGCCGGACATATGGAGTTCTCCAGCGTTTCCATGTTATCAGGCAGCAGCAGCAGCATGGAGAAGGAGTCATTGAAGGGGAGGTGGAGCACTGAGGTGTTGATGGCTTGGTCATGGTAGGTGTCAAGCATCTCCTCCATATTCATCATCTGGACTTTAACCTGAAAATTAACGATAAAGACACAAAGTCAGGGAAACTCTCAGTTCAGGACGCACATGTCGAGTTCAGAGTAAAGTTTAAACCTTCGTGTTCTCGTCCACGTTGAAATCAGCCTCTGCGGTGAGCGCTGTATTAAATGGATTCGCCCACTGCCCTGTGTGATGGAGATCAGCAGAGATGTCATATAGAGATATCTAAACTCAGCACGCCGTTTCCTCTGAGAGACGCTCACCTTTGTAGTAGATGTAGCTGATGAGGTACATGACCGTGCTCGGATCCATGTCCTCCACCAGCTTGTCTATCTTCCCGTGGGTCTTCCCCGCCACATACTTGTTGATGGTGTCGGCGCTTTCTTTGGTTTTGGTGAAGTCAACATTGAACCCATCTGCAGAGTAGAACTGCCTCAAGGTTTCCAAGAACTCGGGCCGTGCCTCAAAGCGGTTGTCGGCGAATACGGCGGTCCCCTCGCTGACTTCTTTGTTCATGTTCATCCTCTCCATGAGGGTCTGAAAGGCCTGATCCACATCTGTCTGCGTCAGGAGGGAGTTGTTGTAACCCAGACCGCTAAAAAGCTGCTTATGGGTCTCCCCGCGGGCGCCAACCGACAGGGCCGCCAAGGCCTGAGACACGCTGCTGGGGGAGTAGAAGATGTTCTTGCCTCGAGAGTCGGCGTGTTCTGATAACTTCTTATAGAGTCGGAAAGCAAAGTGATTGTTTTCCCTCAACACTATGGCGGGGCCCCTTTCAGCGCCACCCTCCTCCGCTTGATCTCCCTCTTCGCCATGACCGATGTGGTGATGGCCTCTTCCTACGCAGATCACTGCTGATAGGATCCAGAGAGTCAGCGCGGCGTGCATCATGGCGATCTGAAAGACAAGTTCAAAAGTACAGCGTTGGTCATGAGGGTTACACAACCTTATCATCAGCAAACACTCATGTGGGGATTTACTTAGAGAGTACAAACAAAACATGATGACAGGCTGAAAACTAACCGAGTCATTCAGAGAGCGCTTTAACCCTTTACTGCCTTTAGTATCATATTTGATTTGTACTTTTATAAACTTCTATCAAATCAATATGATCAACAAATGACGAAAATAACACCCAAATACAGTCCAATAAATGATAAAAATGTCCTTCTATAGTTTATCAGTTTCCAAAAACATCTAATGCATCAAACAAGATAAATAAATATATTTGTTAGATTTTAAGGACATTTTGATTTGTTTGTTTTTCAGTAGTTAATTAAATAAACAAAAAAATGTGAATTTTCTGACCATAATTTGAGGTTTCAGGCATTAAAGGGCAACAATAACAAAAATAAAACCAGAAGAACACGCTTTAAAACCCGGAGGAAACAAGAAGACGACCAATAAAGACGACTGATAAAAACCAGGAGTGTTAGACTGAAGACCTGAAAGACAGTAACTGATATGAGCTGAAGGTGGTGTTGGGCGATAAAACGATAACAATATTTATCGGAAATTAATTTGATATTAATATAAAACATGATGATATGCTTTTTCGATAGTCGGCATGAAAAAGGAGGAAAGGTCGTTATCTGGTTCAGAGCGCTCAGGTGTAAAAGACACGGACACAGATGTCCAGTTTAGTGGATTTATTTGACCGTGGGTCTGCTGATAAAGACACAAAACAACAATCAATAAAGAACACACACATATATTTAATATAACTCTGAATATAAAGGACTGTATTCATCAATTAATCATATGATTTATGACTCATATATTGTAAACAAATTATCTCACACGGTAAGAATCAGCTGAACATCAAACAGCATGAGACGGTATTATTTAAGGTAAACTTTACATTAACAGAATAAAGCTTCAAACTTGGACAGTGAAACATCATCAAACCCGGATGTGAAGGGGAATAAACTGTAGGGTAAAAACAGGTAAGAGGAAATTTACGAGCTATCCAGGTGGAAAAATAAACTTCCGCAGGTATATCACAAACAGGTGAGGTGTGTTCAATCACATCGAAACGTCTATGGTGCGTTTAAGGGCGTAGGACAAATGAAAACTCTCCATAAAACTCAATATAACTGAACAGAATTTACTCAGAAACACTGAAACAACATGAGCTCTCAAACAGGCATTAAGACATGTTTTAGTAGACGGTACGGACAGCCAATCAAAAGGGGAGTTGCTCCAGGTCTGCTTCTCGCTGAACCAATCATGTTCTGAATTAGAACCAAGTAGCAAAGACTTCACAGATGCAGTATAGACATGATACCAATAAACACTGTTAAATTTCAATAAAAAAATATCACGATAAACTTTTTCCCATGTCGCCCAGCCCCACCTGAAGGCCTGAGAACTGAGGGGTCGTCACATCATCATCAGACTGAGCAGAACTTTAACAGTCAGAGATGTTTAACAGAAACCGTCAGGAACTTTGTGCACGTTTCAGAGCTGAATATGCTGCTCCAATAATAACGTTTTCATTAAAATAATGATTTCTTATGTTTTTTGCACTTCAGCTGCATCATGATGTGCTTCAGTTTCGTCCCTCACAGCGGTCACAGCGCTTTATTAACTCTGTCTTTATCAGCAGAGAAGTGTTTCTTTGACTGTCACCTGAAAAATCACCTGGACCTGAAATGAAATCAGTAAGAGTAAACCTCTCATCGTCCTGTCACGTCTACATTTCTCATATTTTTGATGTCAAACACAGATATATTCATTCTCACTCGTCTGTTTCCACACTTACTGTCTCTCGGTTGCAGCCTGAAGTCGCTCTCCCCCTGCAGACAGCCAAGCACAGAGGGACATGTCCTCTTTATACGCTTCATCAGTGAGCTGAACTTTGTCTTTGTTTGTCCTCCTGCTCAGGTTCTTATTGACTCTGTCCTCCTGTGTAACCATCACTGTTAACCATGTTGTCCTCCTGAACCTAAAACCAAACTGCTGCACAGGACTGAAGATCCACGACGGGCAGAGGAATCCCCCCGAGTCACCAACTTACCAAACCAACGAGGGAATAAATCAGTTTGTGAGACAGACGAGAAAGTGAACGTTTTTTTGATCATTAAACAGTCAGACAGAAAAAAAACTACAGGAAAGTGATGCAAAAACATCAGAATGAGCTTTTCTTGAAGACTCCAAAAACAGGAAACTGGACTGTGTAGAGCTGAGAAGACGTTTCTCCTCTTATCCAAGAAGCTTCTTCAGCTTCTTCTACGACCCATTCTTTCCAAATTCCTCCCAGTCGTTGTCTGTCCTCTTCTCCAGTAAGATAAATATTTAGAACTGAAGAAGCTTCTTGGATAAGAGGTGAAACGTCTTCTCAGCTCTACACGGTCCAGCTGCCTGATTTTGGAGTCTTCAAGAAAACCATGACCTGGATGAATGAGAATCTACACGGACATCAGTCAGAGCTGAGAGTTTATTTGAAACATCTGCTCTGGTTTTTACAATCACTGCATCCTCAACATTTAAGAAGAGACTGTAAATATGATAAATATGATAAATATGATAAATATGATAAATATGATAAATATGAACATGATCTCAACAATAAAACAGTAAAAGAACCTGCAGAATCAAACTGAAGCAGCTCATGACAGAAATGTTCCTTCTCCTGCAGCAGCATCAGTTCCTCTCACAGGTTTGATCAAACTGAAATGATCTGTATCAGATTCTATCCTGTCTGTTCTGATCTGCAGGATTTCAGGGTTCAGTGCGGACCAAAGAGTCGACCGTCCAGATTGATGAGCTGTCGGAGGAAGCCTCGGTTGGGGATCACGCCCCGGTTCTCCTTCACCGCACAGATGGCCTCCACCAGGGTCAGGTTCTGCTTCAGCATCAGGTACGCCAGGACGAGAGTGGCCGAGCGGCTCACTCCGACATGACAGTGGACCAGAACTTTACCTGAGAGGGAGACAAACAGACCCCACAGACAGACATCAGGACCAGTCCGATCAGACGGTTCCTCAGTTTGTTTTCGTCCCTCACCTCCTCTGCTCAGAGCTCGGTGGATAAAATCAGCCGCTGCCTGGAAGTTGACGCTCAGGTCAAAGTTCACAGAGTCGTGGGCCTCGATGCCCATGTAGGTGATCCCCATGCTCTCGTAGATGCCCGGCTGTCCTCTGCGATTACTGTGAGCTGCATTTAGGATGTGAGTGACTCTGTGCAGGGACAGATCAGCCGGGTTCTCGGCACTGTGCCTGAAAAACACGAAAACCATGAGAAGACGACACAAAACCAAACCGATGAAGCTGTACGTTATCAGGTCTCACGATGAAAAACAGTCATATTCACTTTAATCCAAAAACATCATCGTTCACGTTTCACTCAGTTTTGTCAACCATGAAAAATAACAGAGGAGGAGACAGGAGCGGATCTAAGCTCAGTCAAACATCACTCTGTTTACAATCACAGCTGATCGGTGTAAAATCCACTCGCTCCGTCAGACCGGCAACTTTCCACATACAAACTCTGTGTGTTTCTGCGACACACTATAGGAGTTAGTTTTGGATAGGGTGAGCATATCCTACATTACTACTACTACATGTGACTCTGTCCCGCGTAATAAATGTTGAGGGATTTTCAGGTCGAGTGTTTTTTTATGCGCTAATGGATTCTCATTAAAAACCTCGTTAATGTTAAAATTGTGAAAATACAGCTGAGAAAAGACGAGGGCGGAGCAGCACACGACTTCATGACCTTCACTAATGAACACAATTTAAGTAATTTTTCATCTCTGATGATGTTCGATCTTTTCACTGTGTGTTTGATTTTTAACACGATAACATTATTGAGTTTCTTTAAAATAAAAAGACGGTCATCATTAGTCCTGATTTATTACGACAACCCAAACAGGAAGTCTGTTTGATCATCCAGGTTCATCCCTAAAACATCTGTTAACTTATTTCTCAATTACAGTCATAGCGCCCCCCTGTGGAAATACAAGGTACTAACCTTCGAAAACCTCCGATCTGTACCAAATTTGACAGGTTTGATGACGCTCCTAGCCTGAGTAGATCTATCTCATTTTGTCTTACTGTTAGCGCCACCTAATGGAGCATCAACTTCCTTTTGCACAACTGAATAAGGCTGTAAGATTTGCGCTTTTTTAATTAGGGTGACCATATTCCTAATCCCAAAAAAGAGAACATTACGAGTAGTAAATTTTGAGGGTTTTTCAGGTCAGGTCGAGAGTTTTTTTTACTCGCTTCTAACTCAGTTTGTCCACGCTACACAAACTCAAAACTTTCATACAAAACCGCAGACATTTGAAGGGTTTTATAAACTCCCCCTGACAGACCCCAAAAAAGAGGACATGTCCCGGTATAAGAGGACGTATGGTCACCCTAGTTTGGGAGAAATGAAGGTGGCTGACTAAACTATCAGGAGGCAGCCATCTTTGTTTGAGTCTGTCAAACAACCTTATATCTGTGATCAGCTGATCTATAAAAGGCCCAATCAGAAGCAGTGAAGGTAATAAAACTAAAAATACAGACGCCGTACCGGACAAAACAACATGATGGTATACAGTGATAGAATCAAAGAGCACATGAGCGTGTGATTTTAACCCAGTTTGAGGTTTAAAGAGTTCGTGTTCTCGGTTATTTCAGCAGCAGAACTTGAACTGAACCGATGACGCCCTCCTGTGACCTGCTGCTCCGTATCTGCTCTGATGTTCTCATGTCTGAAGTTCAGCTTCAGGTTTTAATATTTTAGTCTCAGTTAGTGGAGACATTTCTCTTTAAATCATAAAAATGTGAATTTCATATCACTGATCAGGTTTTCATGTAAAGAATATTTCAGTGGAACTTTGGTGACGGTATCAACTTCACAGGTTCGCACGTTCTCCAGGACACCTGAGACGAGTTTCCAAATAGCAGCGCCGTAGTTTACGCAAGTTCCTGATGTGGAATGTAACTTCAGGGGGTTCAAGTTTCACGCTCTGCATTTAAATCTGATTTATGATCCGTTCCTCTCTCACACATGTGGACCAGATCCAGGTCTGAGCGGTGGTGCCCCGAGCCTCATTTTTCTCACAAAGTCAGAATATTTCAGAAAGAGTTTCAGATCAATCGGACCGATCCAGAAGGTCTCTACCAAAAAACAGAAGTGAGTCACTTACTGGTCCCCGATGTAAAGCCTGGGCCAAACTTCGTCTGCATGGCTGATAATGGCTTTCCCAGTAAACAGCAGGCGCTCCAACTCAAACACGGCCAAACCAGGTGAGCTCAGGTCAATGTCCACTTTCCGAGACGGAGGTTTGTCGTTCCAGGATGCAGGAAGTTTTGAAGTATAAGACATTGTTCAGGAAAATCAACACGGCAGGTTTCCCTAAAAGTCCACTCCAAGAAAACTGTCAACCAAAGGTCAGAAATCAGCTCTTCTTTGGATGGCGTGTAAGAATTTAACCTCTCAGGGGAGATCTGGCACAAAACTGAGCTTCAGTCAGCTGTGTGAGGACCTCTGAGTTAAACTCGGTTAAATGAGCGACAGTCTGCGGCTTCTTCACCTCAGATTTACTTCCCTCAGGGTGGCCCGAGTGTTGTCAGGCCATATGACCCCTAAATTAAACCCGGCCTGTGCGCCAGGAGCCCTCGGCGGCCTGTTATGCTTTTGCATCAAAATAGCTGCCTATTTAAAGACCTGAACGCTGGCTGGCAGAAGTATGAAGGGAGTGTTGACCCGGGCAGAACTTTCAACCGGGCAGAAATAACAAGAAAGTCTTCATTTTGGAGTTTTCATTAAAGGAGGCGAAGCTTCAAAACTGTCAGGAATAAACTGGAAAATTAATCTGAGAGAGTTTGAATCTACAGGAGCATCTCAGAAAAACAGAGTTCTACTGATGGGTCTCTAGTTTCCCTGTAAGGTGTCCTTGAGTGCCCTGAAAGACGCCCACAAATAAAATGTTTTATTATTATTTTAGAAAATGGAGGAAAAGTTCAATATTTTCCATCTTTTACTGAAGAAAATATGATCAACTTTAAACTCGTCACATCAGAATTAAAAAACCTTTTGGGTGTTTTTCTGTTTTAATTTGGATTATTTTGGCCCACAGTCTGAAACTATCGAACAGTCCTGGTTCAGACTGCTGACAGGACAGTTTTTCAGAAGACGATCATGGACCCCCTTAAAGGGATATTCTGACGTAAAATTGACTTAGAGTCAAACCCACCGTAACACCGAGTTAGACCCCCCCTCCAGAGATGAATGTTGTCGACCGCTTGCTTCTCTAGTTATACCAACTTTAGTAACGACCGCAGGATAGAAATACAGAGAGACACGCCCTCAACCAAAACGCCACTCTATAGCCACAAATAATGCTCAGAACAGCACCTAACTTCATCAACAGGACATATAGGGTCACAGACATAGTACTAGACACCAAACATCTTTTTAACTTTGACTCATTTCTTTAGCAAAGAGACTAAACACAACTCACCTACTCTCTTCCAGCAGACGCTTGTTTGTAGTGAGACCTCAGGCCAGTCCATTACGGACTACAGCGGGGTGCCGCAGCTCAAGGAAGAACATTTATGATCATTTCTTCATGGAAATACAATCAGACCGAGACGCTAACACACACACACACACAGACGAGTTCAGGACATGGTCGACTGCGTTTTATCAAGTCCAGATTCAGTACTACCTTAAGCCCACCAGGAGGTTTTAGAGACCGTCTTGCTTCAGTCTGAGGACCAGTTTCGTGGAGATGCAGGACTGTGATCCTGCCCACAGCGCCAAAACCAGAACCTTCAGGACTCTTCTTCCTTTTTGTTGACGTGAAATTTGAGTTTTTATGAACTTTAAACCTCAAAATATCAAAGTCCAAACTAAAGGAATTCAAATAATCGCTTTTTTTCACATTTTAAAACTCTCATAAATTCAGACTCTTTGATAACGTTCAGATTTTTTGTTATTATTATTATTATTTCAGTGTTTGAATGATAGTTCAATAGAAACACAGAGAAGAATAAACGGGTGGATCCCTGTTTGAAAAATATACCCACGTTATTTATTTCTCTGCTTTTTTCTCAGGTGTTATAATTTCAGGATCATCAGGCAAAGATTCCCATCTTGAGTTGTAAACATGCATAACATGTTAAACTGTACAGCTGAGCTCCATCCAACAGAAACTGAACACCCAAATGAACACGGATGACAGGGTGAGGCTTTTTTTTTTTCCATGCAAAGCTCTGTGATTGGTTTTTATTTTTTCGTTCTTACAGTGTAAAACAATCTCCTGAAATATTATGGCACTCTTTCTAAAACAAGACAACTGATCGAACATAACGACAAAGATTCGCTCTAAACAACGACAATGACGACATGGATTGTGATGCAAACGTGGGTTCGATTTAACGAGGACAAAAAAAAAAAGACATGATCCAAACCGACATGCAAACAAAAAGAAGAGATGATGGTTTTTGTTCATTTACAGCGAACTCTTTGTTCTGAAAAATACAACTCTTTTTCTTTAATCATAGAGCGTTCAAAAAGGGATAGAAAGACCTCTTCATGTTCAACTTTAGACGTCTGTAATAACAGAAGCTTCTGGAGAGAAATACACAGCATTCATATGTAGGTCTGATTCCAGGAGGCAGTGTCAGAAATGGGACAGCAATCTTCAGGGGGTTTCACTAATCTGCTACGATCTGGGCCCAGTTCGGAGCTCAGAAATGTGCCGCCTGGACCGAAGTGCATGCGGGGCTTTGGAGCACACGTGGAAAAGCATCAAACTTATTCCTGCGGAGAAGAAGCGCTGACCGGTGGGCCTAAAAATCAGACAAGATGGAGTTCATGCAGATGGACTGAGATGTTAGTAGACGGCTGACGTAGTGCTCATGATGTAGGATCAGACTGGAGGGGACCTACAATCCTGAGGGACAGAATGAAGAGAATCCGGATCAGTAGAGACCAGGATCAGTCCTAATGTGGCACTGAATCTCTCCGTCCTCAGGGACTGTGCCCGGCCTCTCGCTGGTAAAGTCCTGACAGAAAAGATGAGCCCAGCTGAAGTGTCGGGTTGTGCAGCACCAGCGCAGTCACTCACTGAGGCTGTCAGTCCTCTCTGATATGTCGGCACTTCTCACACCAGCTCACCATCTAGACCAGCAGGAGTCCTGGTTCCAGTGAGTCCCCGGTCTTGTCCTACTTAGAATGTTGATGGAAAAAAAAAAAAAACCCTAAAGAGAAAATCGTTCTGAGGACCGAGGCTAAACCCTCACTGAGTCCATGGAAGATCTGGAAGAAGAAAACAGAAAGTTAGTGGCCCACAAACCAACACCCAAGTCCAGTTCAGAAAGCTTTCTTCTCCAGCTGGTCCAGGATGGCCTGGATCCTCTGGACGGCCTCTTTCCGAGCCTGCCGGACGTTCTCCTGTCCCTGAGTCTCCACAGAGTCCAGCTCCAGCAGCTCTTTGGTCAGCAGTTCCTCCAGACAGCGATAACTCTTATCTGTCTTTTTGCCAACAAACTCGTCCACGTCTTCATGAAGCAGCAGGACTCTGGACATCACCTGCTGCACCTTTGCTAGACCCGGGTTCTGGTTCTGAGGCTGGGGTCCCGCCTGGCCTGGACCTGGACCTGACGCTGGGGCTGGAGCCGGGGCTGAGGGAGGTGGATCAGCTTGGGCCGGATTAGGATCACCTCTTCCTGTTCTGTTGTACATTTGTGGAGGTGAGCTGATCTCTGCAGGCTTCCCATTGGGCTGGGTGTTGGGAGGTGGGGCTGGTCTTGGTTTTGGTCCCACAGGTGGGGGACGTTGGTGGTGTTGGTCCTAAAGGGACAGAACAGATAATGATATATACTGAAAATTAATTTCCCTCAATATCAATATAAAACATGATCAATATGCTTCTCAATAGTCGTCATTCTTCCATGTTTTGGTCGACTATACGAACAGCCAATGAAAAGGGGAGTGTCTCCGGGTCTGAACCAATCATGTTCTGAATTAGAACCAAATATCAACCAACTGCAGCGTCGTAGCAGACAGCAGCTCCACCCAACCATAGCACTTTAACAGGTGAAGCCGACAGCACTGTTGGTGAGAAACAAAGAAAATGAGTGCTACCCCCGACAGAAATGACCATGAAGGCTCAACAGATGACCACATCAATGTCAACCACAACACTGGCGTTAGGAAAACGTCGGTGGTGTGGAGGTATTTTGGTTTTTGGAGGTCGGACATGAAGCAGAGTAATGTGGACTGTAAATTATGTCGAGTACATGTTCTCACAAAGTCGGGGAATACCTCAAATCTTTTTCACCACCTGAAGCAGCGCCACGCCGCAGAGCACGCGCAACGCAAAAGGTTACGAACCCCGAGAGGAGCGAGGAGCCCATGGCGCCTGAAACAGACGACCATTCAGTCGGCTTTCTCTAGAGCGACGCCTTACGACAAAACGCCAAAGAGACACAAAGACCTCACAGATGCAGGAGATTATTGTGTTGGAAAAGACATGAGACCAAGAAACACTGTTAGATTTTTAGATCCTGACATTCATCGATATTGACGATATGAAAACAAATATATCGTGATAAACTTTCTCCCATATCCTCCAGCCCTCGGTCCAGCACAGAGTCTGAAAACGGCAGAACGGTACAGATTCATGATTTTGGAGCCTTTTTAACTAAAATAACGACAAACTGAGTCGCAGAACTTGGTAGAAATAAAGATTATATAGACGTACATTTTCAGATCCACTAAATATTTTAGTTTCTCTAAATTTATAAAGATGAGTTACTGAGAAGAAGAAGCTCTTTGTGGTTTTATTTGTCTTTTCTTTTTTTTCACAGAACGAGCAGGAAACAGCTCTTCAGTTTAGTTCTGATCCTCTCTGCACACGTGTGACAGAGCGCCTCAGTCAGGCAGACATTTGTTGGCGCTAAATCCAGTGAATAATGCAGTAATACTGAATATTTTCCACTACAGTCATTAGAGTAAGAAGCAGCCTTTTGTGAAGGTCTGAACGAACACAGCAGAGGAGATTTCCTTGTCCTGACGTCTATCGAAGAATAAAACTTTTTTCTCTGTTAGATTTTTGTTTTTTCTCGTCCTCAAACTTCTTCTGGAGAATCAAATTCGCCCTGAAACAGACTCTCACCTTGGGTTGGTAGGGTGGTGGAGCCCCACTTCCAGTCCCTGGCCATGCAGGAGGGTGGGCTGGACGCACAGGGTTTCCATAGTGGTTCTGTGGGGGCTGCTGGCCCGGCTGCCACTGCTGCTGTGACGGGGGTGCATACGCAGCAGAGTGTGTCCACCCGTCGCTCTGGGGACTCGGGTGGAGAGGCTGCCCAGTGGGATACGGGGGGTTTGGAGGCATCGCATGACCACCTTCACTGTAGTGAGGGTACGGTCCAGAAGGATATCCAGGACCCTGAGGGCAGGAGACAAAGACATAGATGCACCATTTTCAAAATATATATGTATATTTTCTTAATCACAGCTTTAATAAACTCCAGCGTCCTTCTCTGTGTTTCAGTGAGCTCACCCCTGGACAGTGTGAACCTGGATAGTGATGATGTTGAGAGTGTGGCTGCCCAGACGGGCCGCTGCTCTGCTCAGCTGGACAGCCCTGATTAGGATAAGGACCTGGAGCCGGTCTCTGAGGGTCAGCACAGTAGAAAGGGTTGGAGGGGTGGAAACCGCTGGTCGAGTACTGACTCTGGGCCGGGCTGTAGACACCGTGACCGTTTGGATAACCTCCAGGCATCACCTGAAGAAGAAGGACCAGAAGAAGTTTATCTACAGCAGAGAGACGGAGTCTGTTTATCTCCGAGCAGAAACACGTTATCAACAACGTTTCACATCCTCTTCATTAACAAACTAAAATATTAACATATTAGGAAAACGTCGGAGGTGTGGAGGTGTTTTGGTTTTTGGAGGTCGGACATGAAGCAGAGTAATGTGGACTGTAAATTATGTCGAGTACATGTTCTCACAAAGTCGGGGAATACCTCAAATCTTTTTCACCACCTGAAGCAGCGCCACGCCGCAGAGCACGCGCAACGCAAAAGGTTACAAACCCCGAGAGGAGCGAGGAGCCGAAACAGACGACCATTCAGTCGGCTTTCTCTAGAGCGACGCCTTACGACAAAACGCCAAAGAGACACAAAGACCTCACAGATGCAGGAGATTATTGTGTTGGAAAAGACATGAGACCAATAAACACTGTTAGATTTCAGTTTTTATATCTCGAGCCGTACGGCGAGACTCTTGATTTACCGGTCGATCTACGTGCCGATCCTCACCTATGGTCATGAACTTTGGTAATGACCGAAAGAACAAGATCGCAGATACAAGCGGCTGAAATGGGTGTCCTCCTCAGGGTGTCCGGGCTCAGCCTTAGAGATAGGGTAAGGAGCTCGGACACTCGGGAGGCGCTCAGAGGAGAACCGCTGCTCCTCCATGTCCAGAGGAGTCAGCTGAGGTGGCTCGGGCATCTGGTTAGGACGCCTTCTGGACGCCTCCCGTTAGAGACGTTTCAGACATGCCCCACCGGGAGGAGACCTCGTGGCCGGCCCAGGACCAGGTGGAGGGATTATATCTCTCGCCTGGCCTGGGAGCGCCTGGGAATCCCCCCAGAGGAGCTGGTGGAGGTGTCTGGGGTGAGAGCCGTCTGGGCTTCCCTCCTGAAGCTGCTGACCCGGATGAAGCAGAAGAAAACGACGACGATATATATCGATATTGACTAATATGAAAAAAATACATCATGATAAACTTTGTCCCAGATCGCCCAGCCCTAGTCTGAAGACGTAGAGACTTCATTGAAGCAGTATTCGTGGTTGTGTTGGTGTGATATAGTGATGTAAGTGTCCTCACACAGTCGCAGCCTGTTATAAACTGAGAGGCGGAGGTTAAAAAAGCTTAAGAGACTTAAGGTTAGATTTAGGTCCACAGTACAGACTGGGATTTACAGCGTGTTGAGGTTGTTGCATCATGATGTGTACCTGTGGACTGTACTGAGGCTGAACTTCTGATCCCGATGGGAAGCTGTTTGCATAATGTCCTGTTGAATGAGACTGGGGGTACCAGTAATGAGAGGGGTAACCTGGATACTGGGGGGCGTCCTGAAGAGAAACAACACAAGAGAGGACAGACTGATGTTTAGAATCCGAGCTACTCTTAGTCCGGGTTTACAGTCATACATAAAATAAACAACATCAAGTGTTTTAGGAGCTTCAGAGATGATCAGAGACAGGAGGATAAACAGCAGCAGCTCAGATTTACTTTAACTCATGGACAATAGAGGGTAACAGGAGAGTCAGACATTTAGAGGGAAGCTGTTTAGTTCATAATTATTCACATTTGTACAATGATAAATCTTCTCACGTCCAGATAAACGTGACAGATCAGCTCACAGCTCAACTAGCAGCAACTATTACATAAGAGCAGCAGTAGCAGCTAGCTCCGTTAGCCGTTAGCTCACACAGATCTTAAATGTTTACGCAGGTTAATAAAGACAAAAACATTCATTTATATCACACTCTAAAACATTAAAAACACACAGATTCTATTAAATTTAGATTCACTCTCTCACCATGTCGGTTCGGTGGGTTTTTTCCTCCGAGGTTCGGGTCGAGGCCAGATCTCAGTTCTGACGGTTTAACAGAGATTCTTCCCGGCCACCGTCCCGTAAACTGCCATCGCCAAAGAAACACCAACCTTTGAGAAGTCTGATGGTGTTTCTGAGAGTCTGCTCCGATCTTCAGCACAGACCTGGATGTTGTTTTTTTCCTGTCGGAGTGAAGTGGAGCTCAGGTTCGATAAGAATCAGGAAATGTTTGAATGACATGAAGCTCAGGAGGAAAAGGTGGACTGTCCCTTTAAATCAGAGATGGAGGTTACACTACAGAGGTCTCACTCTGATTATCTTTTTCTAAAACCACGAACTACAATTAGCAGAAAACGGTACGGAGGATGAAAAGAGCCACTAAAAACTCACCGAATTCAAACATTAATCTCAGGTTATATTTCTGTCATGAACCACATATAAAAAACAGTGACTAAAAATCTACTCTCAGAAATTTGATCAATTTTTAATTTCAACTTTTACTCTTCTAACCTTTTCCCAGCTCTGACTATCCTTCAAATAAACCAACAACGTATCCTGACCTTTCAAAATTATCATATTTTTCCATTGGCCCTTAACTTTTTTTACACTCTTCCGTCATTTGTTCATTTGTTGATGCTCTTTGTATAGACGATCTTTGGAGCTGAATCTGCGTCAGCGGACGCTATTGGTTGCTCGGTAAACGTCATAGAAGTGTCACATACTTTATTTTATTTTTTACATATATTTTTATTCAGAAAACAATAAAAAAATTATATTATACTAATTAATCACGAATTACCAAAAAGAAGGTTTATTAAATAATCTGAAATAATCTGAATGAGGTTCAGGGGGGTTAAGGGTTAAACGTCTACAGGAAGTTGATCCCAGCGTGTATAAAGACACTTCCGGTGGTTTCCCGAACAGAAACACATTTTCAAACATGCACACTTTAGCAACATTATTACAGTAAAATAAGAGAAACAGAAACACACAAACACTCTGAAGATGAACTACGTTCCGGGGACGGCGAGTCTGATCGACGACATCGACAGTAAGAGAAAAAAAAACGATTTTAGGGGGAAAAAGGAGAAAAAAACGGTTCAGACGATGGCAGAGGGTCCAAATAAACCCTTTAAAATGTGTTAAATTCTGACTTTAAACCTGTTTGTCTGTCTGTGATCTACAGAGAAGCACCTGGTCCTGCTGAGAGACGGAAGGACTCTGATCGGATATCTGAGGAGCATCGATCAGTTTGGTAAAGTGATCAGATCTCAGCTGGTTCGATCAGAAAAAAAGACCCAAAACTTCAGATTAATCCATGTTAGCTCAGTCAGTCAGGACTCAGGTCAACAGGACTGTCTCATCCACATCTTTAATGTTTCATTTATTTCTGTATATTCATGATAATCTACATTAAACTGGATTTAACCCGAAAACACTAAAATTAGAAACACCATCACTGTCACTGTCGGGTGATTTTTACCTGAAATAATAAACCCGAGAAACAGTCCTTGTCATCAAAATAGGACGATAGATGACACATTACAGTAGTTTTCTCTTATTGTTAACTCTCCTCCTGTGTTAGAGTCTGCACTGACCTCAAAAGAAACACTTAAATTAGGTTTCATTTTGCATCAAGACTTTTTGACTTTGTCAGGAACCTCGATTTCACTGACATAAAAATAAAAAAATTAATTGACTAAATGATAAAAAGCTCTTATTAAACTTATGGCACTTGTCATGTTAGGGTCGCTGTTGACCCGGTTAGATCAATATCTAATAATTAGAGTTCAGTATAGATGTCTGTGTGAGGAGAATACTGACAAAGAAAGGCCCAGAGGACCACAACTAAAACTATTATCATCAATATTTTTATGGATAATGAAGCCAAACAAGGTAACCTAGAGATGAGAACCAAACTGGATGATAGAGAATAGTTCTTAATTTACAGCTGATTTAAGACACGGGTCAAAACCGACCCTGAACATGGTGGGTATGCAGTAAAGTGAACACAGGAGGAAGGTTAACTGTAATGTCCAAAGGGAGGGGAAAAAGTGACATGAGGGGACCAGATATAAATACAAAACAACTGAAATTAGGCATAGGCATCAACAAAACATTCCTAAAAAGATATATATATTTATATATATACACAATAACAGCTGCAGGAGAGAGAACCAAAATATGTCAGATTTGGAGTAAAAATGATTAAAGCTGACTTAAATATTTCTTATCTCCATCTGAATTCTCTTGAAAATCATGACTTTGTGATCGTTATTCATAACCACTGTGCTAAATAAAGATATCATGTAAACTCCAGGACCACTCTACTGACCTTATTCCCTACATGCAGCTATCAAATCCACCCAAACCTACTTTACCCTCCATCACTAAAATCACCCCGTGAACACGTGTCTGTGGGAAAAAGCTGGTTTTGGAAAATCAGGGAAACAAATATGTCTTCAACCCAGAGACCCGTGATACTCAGACAAACACAACATCAGGAAGATCACCTAAAAACAGGTTTGGTCACTGGGGGAAAATCACCCGGAGGTAATCTTCTAGGGTTAACCTCTCTAACCTCTCTCTATTTTTTCTCCTCCAGCTAATTTAGTTTTCCATCAGACTGTGGAGAGAATTCATGTGGGCAAGAAATTCGGAGACATCCCCCGAGGAATCTTCATCGTGAGAGGAGAAAATGTGGTGCTGCTGGGAGAAATAGTGAGTCAGGAAATCAACCTTATTTTCACTGATTCAGAGATATGATGATGATGATGAGGATGATGATGATGATGATGATGATGATGATGATGATGATGCTGATTGGGTTTGAACAACACCAGAGAACTCAGGTTCAGGTGACTTGATTTGCACATGTAGGTAGATTTGTTTTGCAGCAAACCGATGACGTCCAGTCCAACTTCACAAAACCAGCAGAATAAAAATTACTAAAACATGATTTCTGAAGTATTTCAGCTCCACCAAACACAGCTTTAAGGGAGAGGGATGCATTAATAGATATCACTCTGATAAATAAATAGATAAACGCTGAGATAAAACTCAGGTTAAAGCAAGTATCAAACGTACATAAATATGTGCTCCTGACGTGTGCAAATATTTCTGCATCTTGTTCTGCTCAGTTACAGCAACAGGGAGAAAAAATCACTTTTTATAACTTTGTTCTGCACATTTTTACTAAAAATCTCTGTTCTGACAAAAACACTTTTATTGCAAAGAATAAAAATCATCATTTAAAATTAAGGTACCTGCTGTAGCTGCTGTAGATCACAGTTCTGCTCATCAGTCTTTTCTCTTGTATACTTACTTTATAATCTCTGAGGATGCTCTTTGTCGTTTTTTATTGTTTTAATGCACATACAAAATATCTAGAAATGTGATGAATGACATAAACAATAAGAACTTTATAAATTTATGACAAACAAAGTAAGAGGAAAAACTAAACACAATAAAATAAAAATGGATTTAAGTCGAGAGGAGAAACTCTATAACCCGAGATATTCAGAGGAAGTCTGATCTGAAAGTAGAAACCAGTTTTATCCCAGTCTTCAGTAAATTCATCTCCTTATAAACCAGATCAATCTGTTTATCTTATTAAGTGAGAAACTCTTTTTTTTTTTTTCAGTCAGAGTCTGAACAGGTAAGAAGTGAAAACAGGTGCAGGACTCAAACTCAAACCTGATTAAAGGTTGTATAAAGACGAGTCTCTGAAACCGGGTTCACTCTTTACAACAGATCAATAAAAACATATATAACTAACATAAACCCATGGATGGCAGAGGTGAACAGGTTTAAGACACCTAAACCTTTTTTAAACTGAGAGGATTTTTGTCACAAACAGAGTCTCTGATATATTTTTAACTTTGAACCAAACAGGGTCACAGCAGAGACACTATAAAGAACATGGAAACAGTCTTTTTCTGTGTTTCTGAAACATTTGTAAAAGAGGATTTAACAATAACTTTATTTTCTTGAACTGATTGGAGTCTTAAAAAAAAGACGCACCTTTCACACCTGTCATCTTACTAACATGTTAACTTCTCCATCTGTCCCAGCTTTAAATAAAAATGTGTTTGTGGACATCAAACTCAGAACGGGACATTATTGAGAAATTTCTCATTCTGTTGTTTTTGTGCTAATTTAAGTTTAATTTGGCGTTTGAAGATTCTGCTCCTCGTCTCACTCTCTGTCTGTTTTTATTTGACACCGCCTCATATTTGATCTGAAAACGTATTTGTACCCTGAGTGTTAATGTCAGAGTCATTGTAATTATGAGTTTCTGTGAAATAATCTTCATCTGGTCTAACTGCTGACGTAGGAGGAGATTGAGTGTGTACGTCAGAGTTTCTGGTCTGGTCACACTCGTGTATTTTTGTGTGTTTTTATATCTTTGACTGATCACATTGACTCTGTCTCTGTCAGGATGTGGATAAACCCTGCGACACGCTCCTGCAGCAGGTTTCCATCGAGGAGATCCTGGAGGAGCAGCGGCTGCAGCAACAAACCAAACAGGAGACGGAGAAAGTGAAAATGCAGGTGCTGAAGGACCGAGGCCTCTCCATCCCCAAAGCCGATAACTTAGACGAGTACTGAGACCGCCGGACTGGGGTCCATCTGGACTGGGGTCCATCTGGACTGGGATGTTTTGTGTTGAATCTGAGAGATCATGAGTGTGATTGTTTGTTTTTTTATGATTTGGTAAAGGCAGCGTCGTCACGCTGACCCTGTATACTGTAACAATATTCTGATTTGAACTTTAAGAACGTCAGCTGCTCTCAGTTTATCAGATCATGACAGGAAAATCATGTTTGTATGAGATCAATTTAACTTAGCATTTATGTTACGGCAGCACTTTGTTTGTGACCCAGTGAGACGTTTGATTTGGAGACATGTGAAAATGACGAGTCCCTCTGCTCCATTAAAGAGTTTAGTTTTTCATTACGGAGGGAGTCCATGACCCGACACTCCTGAGTGGGTTTAATGTTGTTCACTTCTTTATATCATGATGATGTTGAAGGTCCATGTGAGAAACGCTCGACTGCGAAATAAGGAGATGATTCACGAGGAGGACCGAGTTTGGGACGAGAATCAGAATCAGAGTGTCTCGTGGTCCTGATGGAGCAGAAAAACAGCAGAAATCCATCATCATCATCATCATCATCATCATCATCATCAGTCAGCAGAAGATCAGCTGGATCAGTTTGGAGGAAGAGGAGGAGTTCATGTGAGACAGCTGCTGAAGAGGAGCGCCTGTCCGCCCTGTCTGCAGGAGGAGAAGGAGGAAGGCCTGCTGAGAGGAGCAGGAGGAGAAGGTGGAAGGCCTGATAGAGGCAGGAGGAGAAAGGCCTGATAAGAGGAGCAGGAGGAGGAGAAAGGCCTGCTGGGAGGAGGAGCTGACCTCTTTGTTGCGGAGGTGTCTTGACTCCATGTGACCCCGCCCTCACTCTCAGTCAGAGTCTGTAAGAGTGTTTTATTATTTTTATTATCTCTGAAAACTGAACGACAACCTGCAAACGGAAAAACGTTTCCAGAATAACGTCAATGACGGTGGAGGGACCGAAGTACGACTTCCGGGTGACTTTCAAAGTAAAAGAAGTCAAGGTACTCAGCTAAGAGGCTCAAAATAAAACAAGATCAGATGTTCCTTTAATAATCCCACGGGGGAAAATTCCAAATTTACAGCAGCATAGTAAAGATACGAAAAGATAAATATTAAAAGACAGACACTTTGAGTTACAAAAAAAGATGTACATGTATTTACATCTGTACAGGATTTACATGATAATAGGATTATTGGATGTTTATACATGGTTGGGATTTAAGTCCTTAATTTTCTTTATGTTCCCTCTGCCAAATCTAAACAGAAGAAAGATAAAAAGGCAAAGCAAGTTTAGTTTATTGATTTTAGCAGCAGGACAATCAGAAAAAGTTTTTATTATAATTAAAAAGTTAATCGAAACAATTGAAATTCAAGAAAACTAGATATATGTGAAAATATGCTGTAACAAACAGAGTTTAAATAAAACAGAGTTTCAGATTAAAATCAGTTTGTTAAAGTTTATCTTTTAAAATCATCTTTAGAGAATAAAAATTAAACCCTGAGACTCTGTTACTTTAAATCATTCAGATAATTAGAGAATGAGTCTTAATTCTGCAGTATGTCACCATGAAAAGGTTCAAAGTTAAGATTTTTATCCCAAACTTTACAAACTCTTAAATATTCACAAGGAATACCAGCAGGGGGCGACTCCACCCCAGACCTCATTAACCCCTTTATTCTAATTATTTATTATCCACAGCCTGTTAATTATTCACGGTCTAATACAGGAGGAGACTCTATCAGGTGTTCTGGATTTTTTACCTGGTTACACCTCCAAACAGGCTCTGATTGGATGAATCCTTGTTGGCGTTGTGATGATGTCACTGATCAGGTAAATTGGGTAAAAATGAAGATTGTTTATTAAATGTTTTGAGGAGTCTCTGACCTCTCCCTTTTATAATCACGATCTTTGTTCAGTTTGTTTTGTTTCCATATCCTCTAAACCAGACGACTGTTGAAGTTTGACTCATTTACAGTAACTATAGGTCACATGTCTTTTTAGCTGCTCTAACCCTTATCTAATTATTTGGCGTGTCTTTTGATTCTGAACACCCCTGACCCCTGACCCCTGAGGACCCCTGGACTTTGGCCCAGTAGACCCCTCCAGGTGTCACCAAAGCGTCTAACAGGTAAGAAGAGAAACATGTGTCCAAGTCTAAACCTCTGTTTCCTTTTAAAAGTTTATCAGCTGTTTTTTTATGTTTGGTATTTCAGATAAACGCTGAGATAAAACTCAGGTTAAAGTATCACACGTACATATATATGTGCTCCTGACATGTGTGCAAATATTTCTGCGTCTTGTTCTGCTCAGTTACAGCAGCAGGGAGAAGAAAAATCTCCTTTTATAACTTTGTTCTGCATATTTTTACTAAAAATCTCTGTTCTGACAAAAACACTTTTATTGCAAAGAATAAAAATCATCTTTTAAAATTAAGGTACCTGCTGTAGCTGTAGATCACAGTTTTGGTCATCACTCTTTTTTTCTTTCATACTTACTTTATAACCTCTGAGGATGCTCTTCGTCATTTTTTAAAAATGTTTTTATCACTTACAAAAAATGTAGAAATGTGATGCAACGTCACCGATGAGAAAACATGAACAGTAAGAGGAAAAACTAAACACAACAAAATAAAAATGGATTTAAGTCGAGAGGAGAAACTCTATAAGCCAAAATATTCAGAGGAAGTCTGATATGAAACCTGTAAATATGTTTTACCCCATTTTACAGCTAATTCATCTTCTTATAAACCAGATCAATCTGTTTATCTAAAGTGAGAAACTCTTTATTTCTGTTTTTCAGTCCGAGTCTGAACAGGTAAGAAGTGAAACACCTGCAGGACTTGAACTCAAACCTGATTAAAGACGTCTTTATTTATAAAACACATTTCATACCAAAGCAACTCAGTGTGCTTTACATAAAAACAAACAAACAGTTAAAACAGGAGAAAAAGATGAAGTTTAAGATGATTAAAACGAGCTCAGCCATAAAAACATGAACAGAGAAATGTTTTAATCCTGGATTTAAAAGTGTTCACAGTTGTTGCTGATTTCAGTTTTGATGATTCAGTTTAATGCTGCTGTTTCTGGGCTTTTATTCTCTTAATAAGTGAGCTCTACATCCGGTGCAGTTGTCGTGTCTCCGGCTTGACTCTGACCCACAGGCCCCGCCCACTTTGATTACGCACGGGCCGGGGAGGGGGGCGCGCTGATGTCCTCTCCTGTGCGCTCAGCCAACCCCTACAGCCGCTGTAATGTAAAGCTGGTAGTATCCTGGTGTTCCGTGGAAAGAATCCACTCTAAGGACCCGGTTTTCAGACCTCTGTCTGTCCGTGACCCGGAGGTTTTCTTCGGTGGGGGATCCCGCAGCCACATTACGCATGGAACGGTTTTGGGGGGATTGGAGTAGAAATGCTGCGCCGCACTTCCAGCCCACAACACGAACCATGCCCAGCTTACATTGCAAGACAACCTCTGACATCCTGTTTTATCCACCACGACTCTGATATGAGTGAAATTTTCACGGATACCGACGAGGAGTGAAGAGAAAAACCCGGAGAAGAAGAAGAAGAAGAAGAAGCTGAAGGACGTCTGAGCTGCTGCTGCTGCTGCTGCTGCTGCTGCTGCGGGCGCTTCTGTTCCGACGAACCTCTGCATTTGGGATTTTTGATGGAGCTGGAGAACATAGTAGCCAACACTGTACTGCTCAAAGCCAGAGAGGGTAAGTTGACACGTACAGGAGCTGATAGAGAGGGAGTGAGTGGGCCTGGCTGTGGGTTAGGAAGCAGGAAAGGTGGAAGAATGGGAACGTTAGTCAGCCTGCGGACTCAGCAGGTAACAGCTCCAGATGCAGCAGAGAAGGAACCTTCTTCTGCACTTAGACTGTCATGGTGAACGAGTCCCGTGGAGTGGGATTCATCAGGTGATGAAATTTAACTGCAGATCAGTCCCACAGACCGTGACAGAGAGGACGAGGTTTTCCCACATATGTAAGAGAGAGAGAGAGGGGAGGGGGTCTGCCTCCCACATCCGCTTTCTTCTCTGTCTGTGGAAATGAATTCACTCTTTCGCAACATTATACATGCTGAGGCAGGGAAGACTCACTCACTCACTCACTCACTCACTCACTCACTCACAGAGACAGAGGAGGAGAAAGGAGAGAGTGGGCCGGCTGGCATTTCCACGGTGATCTGCTGACGTGACTCGTGTTTAAGAGGCCTGAACCCACAGAGAGAGAGTCTGCTATCAGAGCAGAAACACTCCTGAGTCTGAAGGCCACATACAGATGGAGAACATGAGGGTCCGTTAAAGACCCTGATCAGGCCTGCAGGTGAACATCAGGCACTTTGACAGTCTGGGTGAAGTCTTCAGGGACCCTGATCCAGTCTGAGGTGTAAAAACCACCACCTGGATCACCTTTCTGTGGAGATCTGCTGCTGTGTCCTCAGGTACGGTGGCCGAGAACCGACACTGCTGCAAAAAATAAAGAATGCAAAAAAAAAAAAAGAAATCGAAGCTCGCTGCAAATTAAAAAAAAGCCACAACAGAAGTTAACGATGCAAAAAAAAAAGAGTTACTTACTGTAAAAATAAAAGGATGCAAATAAAAAAAGTCACAACAGAAGTGAGCTGTCGAGGACCAATAATGATGATGCACCGGTGTTTTACGATCTAGACACAGAAGACGTGAAATGAAACAAGAACCTTTCCACGAACTTCTTTGTTCGTCTTCTGTCCCTAGATCTTAAACCCCGGTGCATCATCATTATTGGTCCCCAGCAGCTCACTTCTGTTGTGACTTTTTTTATTTGCATCCTTTTATTTTTAAAGTAAGTAACTTTTTTTTTTTGCATCGTTAACTTCCGTTGTGGCTTTTTTTTAATTTGCAGCTGGCTCTGGTTTCTTTTTATTTTGCATTCTTTATTTTTTGCAGCAGTGTCGGTTCTCGGCCGCCGTACCTGAGGACACAGCAGCAGATCTCCACAGAAAGGTGATCCAGGTGATGGTTCCAGGTGACGGTGCATCATCATGATCGGTCCCCATCAGCTCACTTCAGTTGTGTCTTTTTTTTATTATTTTAATTTATCTGCACTGTTTCTTTTTTTTATTTGTAGCGGGCTTCGGTTTCTTTTTTTTTTTTTGCATTGGTAACTTCTGTTGTTCCGTTTTTATTTGCAGCAGTGGCAGTTTTCGGCCTCCGTACCCCTGGAATGATGTAATTTTGAAACCTGCAGTAATCCCACATGTGTGTGTTTTTGTGGGTTAAAAGTGCACACAGGTTTGTGAGTGTGAGGGGTTTTTTAAGGCGACGGTCTCTGTGGAGTTTCAGAGTGACGCAGGAGAAGACAGGCGGTGATGACATCCTCTGAAAAAGAGGCTGCAGAGAGAGAGAGAGAGAGAGAGAGAGAGACTTTACTGGGAAATAATGGAATAATCAAGTGAAGCAGGAAGTCGACATGCTGTCGAACCCCAAACTAAGGATTCACCCGCCTGCAGGTCAATCTGGACGCTTGTTTCATGCTGCAGAGCACGGCTGCTGCGCCGGCTGAATGAAGCCTCATGAATTAATAAGAGCAGCTAATGACCCGTGACAGATCGAGCTTGTCCCAGCTGCTCCGTTGGTGCTCATCCAGACCTGCACTGAGTGTGTGTGGGAGAGAAAGGGGCCTTTTACAGTCACACATGAAAGGATGAGACGGCTCTTTGAGTGAACGGCTGAAGCACGACTTTCTCTGCAGCCTGACGGTCGGGGCCTGCAAACACAGCTGCATCAGCTGATCAGCAGAGCGGGGTTGTTGCTCCGCACACGTCAGGACATGTTACAGGTTGTTGTGAGCCTGAAACCGGTGTCCCTTCAGCTGTGAGCAGGTCTGCTCCTCTCTCTCATGGATGTCCCCGTCCTCCTGCATGTTCTCAGGGGCTCATTTCAGGTCACGTACCAACAACAAGAGAGAGAGGCTGTGAATGGAGCGAATGAAGAGTGTTTATTCCTGTTTGTTTATGCGAGTGTGTCTCAGGCTGGAGCTGAAGCGAGAGGGAGACGCATCCTCTGTCTCCCAAAACGCACAACAGGAAGGCCCAGTTTACTCCCAGAGAGTCCGCACACTCGCCAGATCAGACCCGAGGCTTCAGTTCAGAAAGATCGGTATCTTAAAGGGTCCACAAGACCCTCAGGATCTCACTGTTTAGACCTTTTTACAGTGACTGAAACCAGAGTGCAGAGAGGTCCAAACACAGAAATAACTGATCATTTTAGACTTCATCGTATTTAAAACTAAGAAGTAAGTGTAGATATATAAGTTTATGTATATATGGGATATGTGTTTGCTCTATCAGGACAGGAGTGGATCAGCACAGGACTCCATAAACTAATGAACACAATAATTTTCCATTTCTAATGATTGATACTCATCAGCAGATCTGAGACACAAATATTGCAGCTTTAAAAAAGTCACTTTAGGCAGAGGATCGGTCCTGTATATTTGTGTGACACACCGCTGCTGCTGTTCCAAAGAAGAACCCGTAGTTCAGCAAAGTTTTGTAGCTTTAATAACTCAGAAAACGCCTCTACAGTGACCAACGACTCCACGCGTACATCAGATATAATATGTGTTCACTTTCAGACGTGTATCATCGCAAAACAAAGAACATAAAGCGCTGTCAACGAATATTACGGCTAGTTCGGCTCACCTCTCCACCCCAGTGCAGGTAAGACCGCCCCTTATATGACCTACCGGCTTTCAAACACAGTGACCATGTGACCCAAACCCAGCGAAACCAACGGCAACCAGACAGAAGTAACTGAACCCAGGATAACCGATCAGCAAACATTATGATTCCTAAACCCAAACTTCTCTAGAGGAGACGTTCCCTCATGAAACCTGTTTGTCAGGCTTTTATTTTGATAGTTCCTGTAAAGAACATGCTTTTATTTTGAAGTAGTAACACACTGACTTACAGATGAGTGCGAAAACAAGCCTACAGTAATAAAACCAGAGGAAGAAGAAGCAGCAGCTTTTAGTGAGCTAGATTTAGCATCCCTCTGAGATTTCTCAGGAATCAAAAACAACGTTCGAGTTTCTGATCGACTCTTTCCGACTGTTTTTTTAACTAAAACTCAGACACCTGGAGTTTCTGTGTGAGTGATTATTCCCGCTGATCTCCGTGTTTTTTTATCAGCACTTGTGGAAACTAGATATTGATTAAAAGAAGCAGAGATGGAGATTATCCGATTAGATACTTTAAACCTGGGGGATCAGAAAGGATTGAGGGTCAATATGCTGCTTCATGTTAATCACCGAGTGGAAAATGTCAATCACTCTGACGACCACAGCAGCAGCAGCAGCTCTGATCATATTGAAGCATATCCTTGTGTGACCGCCATCTTACATAAAGCCAAATGGTATTATACACTTTCAGTCAGATGCAGCCCATACGCTGTTTAATCAAATTGATCGTTACATAACAAAGTGAGTGGGCTCCTGCTCCATCCTCCTGTGGAGCTGATCCACGCTCTCCACAGAAGAAGACACTCTGTGGATGATGGGTATCTGAGTCTCCTCTGAAGTCCAGTTAGTGGCAGGAAACGGCGAGGAAAGCTCTGCTGTCGTAAAGATCGATGTGAGCCGAGGAGATCTGGGGTCACAGCAGATCCAGAAAAACTTCCACTGACTTCAGCCTGACGTGGTCGTTTGGTCCAGTGGGCTCGGTCTGAACCGGCCTTTTTGACGTTAGATAGAGCGGGGAGCAGCAGGGCGGTGTGTGTGTGTGTGTGTGTGTGTGTGTGTGTGTGTGTGTGTGTGTGTGTGTGTGTGAGCAGCAGAGGGGTGTGGGGGTGAATTCCTTTGTTAAAGTGTAACCTGAGCCCAGCCGCTATGACGAGAGCAGCATCAGTGCAGTAGACCCTGAGCTTGTCCAGTGTGTGTGTGCGTGTGTGTGTGTGTGTGTGGGTCTAACTGCCTCCCCATTCACAACTCTTTCTGGCAGCAGGTCCAGATTCCAGGCCAGGCGAGCGAACGTCATCGGCTGTCTGAGTGAATGAGAGTAAGGGGGAAAAACTGCGTCGCTGCGTCCAGATGCCTTTCTTGAATTGCGGTACCAGAGCCGGGTATTTAGTTTGGGCTACTAGCCTGAATTCCACTCCTGATGCCTGCTGGCTCGCTCGCCCTCTCTCTCTCTCTCTCTTTCAGCCTGCCGTGTTTTTGCAGGTTGTAGCTGCACAAGTTAAGAAAACATGAGAAAGTCCCTGCTGTCGTATTTGGGCGTCATTTCAGGACAAGGAAGTTCTTCATACGGTTCCAGCAGGTCACTGAACGACGTGAACCTCATTGAATAACCGCAGAGGTGATCGATCAGGTTATGAAAGAGAAGAAAACGGCCTCCAGCATTTATGGAGGTCGACTTAAGAGGTGATATGATGAGGATGAAATGACAAGTGATGATAATGTACAGATGTTAAAAAATCTCTATGATAAACGAGTTTGCGTTTTATTGTCGCTCTTTTTGTCCGAGTTCTTCTTCACATCACTTTTCCTGGTCACGGCTGACTGAATTGGATTTTGAGGCTTACACCTGGTGGACAGTGGAGGAACTGCAGTTTATTGTACTTCAGCGTTAGCTTTGGTATTTATCACTAGAGGTTGGTGCGTGTTTGACAGACTCTGTTACAGAATCAGGTGGTTTCTATGTAACCCCCAATTTCCACGGCAACGACTACAAAAAGGTCGTATCCGCCGATCGTAGCTGATCGTAAACTTCCTCCTTTCCGTTCCTCTGCGGATCGCCGGACTCCTCAGCTGATCACAAGAGTTCTATTTTTTCTGGACGCCGGAGCATGGCGGATAAATTCAGCACAGATTAACCCGTGCTGGAAAGGAAGTCGGGCACAGACTTCAAAATAAAACATCCGGCTTCTTTTCAAAATAAAACACTCCGTGTTTCAGGAGGATCGTATTTCACACCATGCAAACAGGCGGAGACGAACAAGTGAAAGGTTTTTAGATGTCATTTCACCCCGATGACACCATGGATGAGGAGATGCTGATTCTAGAAGTCTAGAAGTAGATTTCCTCCTCTGGAAGGACACAATCTACTGCTTCTATGTCTATGTGTCTGTCTTTAGAGAGACAACTCGTTATCGTGAGATTGAACGTGAATCTGCAGGTTCTTGTGAGTTCTCGTGATTCCTGCTGTCTGTAATCCGCCACGAAATTCAAAAGCTGTCTGCAGAATTCATGAGCTTTAGATATTTCCAACCCTCACAATGAGGTTTTTAGTAAAACTAAAGATCCATTCGACTCTTTGAAAAGTCTCAGTCTGGATTGCATCAAACCTTCCCTGTGTTGGACCTTTTCGTGACCTTTTGACCTCCCAGGATCTGCAAACGCAGCTGATCAGACAGAACAACAACCTGAGATAACAGACTGAAGGATTCGTCAGCACACGCGTTTGTTGTTTCGGCTCCGGCTGCTTTCAGGGCGTATGATGCAGGGGGAGGGGGGAGTTTCTTTATCAGGTGACGGCGGTGCGGCGGGTCTCGGCATGTCGCGGAGCTGCGGCAGAATTTCTATGAAATAAGCAGGAAAACCTGTTTGAATTTGGCTCCACAGAGGTGTTTGATGCTCGGCCCGTCAGCTCAGACGAGTCTTTGTTCAGCAGAGTCTTTGATTCAGACCTTATCTTCCTCTTCCTCTCAAATATAAACACGAACCTCCTCCTTTTGAAGGACGGCGCGCTGACACGGCGTTTCAGACTGTTGAGTAGTGAGGAGAACCGTCTGTCGTCTCCTCGCCGGGTCCTGAGGAGGAGATCCTGATCTGTTGGTGACCCTCATGTCGGTGTCATTGAACCCGGGTCAGTACCGTTTGGGTTGTGACCTCGTTCCGCCGCAACTTCAGCACCTCTGCATTATGTTGAGTTAATTTTGGCGTCGAGGATAATGAGGATAAATAAATGTTGACGCACTAATTTTACATGACTAAACAGACATTGACGTAAATGGAGAGCAAACATGGAGGACGGCGGTGAAATCTCCGTTAACAGACTCTGACGAAGAACCAACCGATGATCCGCCGTCAGGTAGAAACCCTCGCCGCTCCATCGTGGTGTCTGTTTACTGTTCAGGTCTCCTCAGGTGAACCAGCAGACCCGCCATGCTGAGCGGCGTCCCAAAGATCTCCACCTTGTTTCCTCTCATGGTCGTGTTGAAGCGCCGCCGACTCTGAGCGACTGTTTTTCATCTCCGTTCAGTTTGAGTTTGAATTTTTACACGAATGTTTGAATCTTTAAAATAATTCCTGATCTGGTCGAACACGGAGACTCAAACCGAAGAAAAAGCAGAGATACCGATTCCTCCGTCCACACCGCGCCACAAGGCTGGCTGTGTTTTGAGTGGGAGTGTGACTCATTTCTTCTTGAGTGGAAAAATTCAGCTCTCTGGCTCTCTTACTATCTCTATTGTTATTGCTGCCTCTGCCCACACATACAGTATACATAACTCAGCTGGATGCAACAAGTTCACTCCTGTTCTCCGGAGGCTGTCGAGTGGAATTCTGGGATATATAGGAGAGATAATCATCTAAAGCAGAAGTAGACAAGGTGGGCTGAGGGAAAGTGGAAGCAGAAAAATGTGAATTTTAAACGGCTGTCAGTGAAGCTCTCCAGGAATGCAGCAGCATTAGCGGCGCTTCAGCCTTTTTCAGGGTTTTTTTTTCCCCTTGTGTCAGACAGGAAAGTGATGAGCGGAGCGGCTCTCTGTTGTGTCTTAGTGCACTTTAGAGTCTGAGATCTTCTTTACTTTGCTATCATGTCTTTTTAATGGAGCGTACAGCGAATATTTGCTGAGCATTAATCCCGGAATAATCAATACGGCGTCTTTTAAAGCTTCTCCGCTAATGTCTGCAGGAGCGCCGCGGCTCCACTTCACTTTATAAACTCACACACTCACAGTTCGGAGCGAGTCCAGCTCCTGAAATGTAAATGTATGAAAATGAGGAAGAAGCTGAACATTATTCAAAGATCCTGAGGAGAGACGTAACGCTCTGTCAACAAAGAGCGTTCCTCACAGGAGCTTTAAAGGGATGAGGAAGAGTTTTTCAGTGTTTGAGTCTGAAACTGCAGAGAGACGTCACGCAGGCCGGGCTACAGTTTTTACACGACCTCCTAATATGTCTGATTTAGAGACTCTGACCCAAACACACATCTTAGTTTTAGGGCTGTACGATAAATCGATTTTAAATCCTAATCAGATTATTTGATTTTGACGATGTTAAAAAAATTAAAATCCTCAAATCGATTTTCCTCTCTATCATGTCTCATGCCTCCAGGCCACCGTAGGCTCCTCCCCCTTCCTGCAGTTCCCACACACACCAGTGTAAACAAACATGGCGTTTGCAAAAGAAGGCGATAATTTTGTGCCTAAATAGGACAAGAGCGAGTCAGTCGTGTTGAATTGGTACGACTTCACAGTTTAAGATGAAGAGTAAACCACTCCCTGCTGTAAAGTCTGTCTGAAGGTGGTTTCAACCCGTCACCACGGAAACAAATTTCTGTCATATCTGCGTTTCATCCACACGGAAACGACGACCATTTCATCTCCGTGTGGATGTCTATCTGCATCTCTGGAAACGATCATGTGACACACAGAGTAACTCTATTATGGCGCCAAAACAACCTTTATACACATGCTCTGTACTCTTCTTCTGCCTTTTGTGCATTTCCTGTGCAGCGTTACAGCGCCACTTACTGGCTTGGCATATGAACTACATCGTTTTCAGTGGTTTGGTTTTGATGAAGTTTGGTGAAGTTTTCACTGAATAAAAAATCAAGTTTTCAGAGAAAAAAAATCGCGATTTCATTTTTGGCCCAAATCTCACAGCCCTAACTCAGTATCTGTGTTTTCGCTTTACTGAGACATGATCCACCTCTTTACTCTGACACCAGAAAGCCTGTTTGTTTTTACTGTATTTGCAGAAACATGTTTAAAAAGTATCTGTGATTCAAGAGTCGCTGATATATTATCAGTTAAGATGTATTTGTATCTCGGCTTTTCATAATCTGATGTGTGTAGAGTTTGTTGTCTCAGCTTCAGCAGCTAACTCCGTGAGAGCTGAACTCTGACTCTGAAGACACTCGGACATTCAGGTTTTAGAGACAGGAAGTAAAGGAGCTCGGAGGATGTTGGATTATCTGCAACAAACCCTCATAATGTCGTCAGCCATGTTGACTGAAAACAGGCTGAAATGGCGTGAAGAAACCCCCCCTGTCTTCATACGACTGCGTCTTCGGGCGCTCAGTTTAGACACGAGAAAACACCCAAAATACTCAGGTGTGAATGTTTCTGTGGTCGGTGTAGAGACAGTCTGAGAGTTTGACGTCAGAGGGAGGCTCGCTTTAACGGCGCTCATGGGAAACTTTGGAGGTAAAGATTAAAATCTGAGTCTTCAGGCTCACATGGTCGAACTCGTCGTCTGAGGATTGTTTATGTTTTAACAGATTTATGGTTCCTGTGGTTTCAACAAGAGGTCAAAAGGTCAAGCCTCCAAAAACCTGAAACAGCAGCTCTCGCCGTCTCCACCTCAGCTCCTCCAAAAGCTTTGTGTGTTTCCTTGGAGGGACGCCGCCACCGCCGTCACGGGGACAAAGAACGTGGAATGTCAACATGAGAGTAAGACGTGGAACAAACATCTTCACGAAGAGCGTCTCAGAGAGGAGCAGTGATCCCTCTGAAGATGGCGTTTTGTTTCTGCTGCATGTGTGCGCACGTCCAAACGCCACCACGCGCTCCGTCGGCCTGATAAGTTCTTGTTTTCACTGGAGGCACTTTCACCCGTGTTTGCTCGCTCGTGACGTAACCGCGAGAAGAATATAATCATCGCTCACAGAGATCCAGGATTACGCCGCCATAATGTTCAGCGGCCTATCAAAACATTTATGGAGGTGAGCAAACACGCCAACGCCATGTCGGAGCGCCGGATCGAGCTGTTAGAGCCAGCTTCATGTGGACTATGTCCTCCTGGATTTTTATGGATGAGCAAACAGAGTGTGTGTGTGTGTGTGTGTGTGTGTGTGTGTGTGTGTGTGTGTGTGTGTGTGTGTGTGTGTGTGTGTGTGTGTGTGTGTGTGTGTGTGTGTGTGTGTGTGTGTGTGCCTGCTGGGTTATATAATTCAAGTCTATTGAATATTTCCCTCCTCACATTCCATATTTTATATATTTATAGCTCGGCGTTCTGGTGGCACATGACAGGAAACGTTCCCCGCCTTCCTCGCTGCCTTTGTCAGAGTCTCTCTCCCCCACGCCACCCTGCCCCCCCCGCTCGCCCAGGATCCACGCTCAGTTGTTTCTTTATGAAGAGACGGCGTTACTCTGGCGATGGCTGCCTCTGAGGTCACGGACCGGTTTGACCACCTCCGTTTGTATCAACACATCGCTCTGCCCTCGGGCTGAGCGCTATTTATATCTGTAATGTTTACGGGGACATAAAGGCAGGAAAACAGACACGTGTGTGTGTGTGTGTGTGTGTGTGTGTGTGTGTGTGTGTGTGTGTGTGTAAAGCTTTGGTTGTTAAATCTGCTCCAGGCGACATGAGCGTATACGACTGAGTGTTTAAGGCGTTATCTTCATCATCATCATCATCATCATCATCGTCGTCGTCGTCGTCGTCTCTGCAGCTGCTGACCTCCCTCCTCTGTTATTGTCTGTGACTGAATCTGACTTTATAACCCCTCATTAAGTGCTTTACCATGTGACACCCCTCCCCCAGGTAGGGGGCGTACGTCACAGATGTTTGCTTCAGCAGATGTTGTCAGGACCGCCGTGATAATGGCGGCTCGTTCAGGATGGTCATGAGGCGGCTGACATGACATCATGGTGGAACAGGGCAACAAAGAGCGTCTTCCTGCTATAGTCCTCCCCTTCTGCTCGGGTCTGGGCAGCGTTTCCCCGTGACTTCCTGTGGCACACAAACTAAACTTTACCCTTAAACGTCCTCCGAACGACAACGAGGTGAAGAAGAAGAGTTTTTAGGATTGACTCTGCGCTCACTTTGGAAATATACTGATGTTAGAGTTTATCCTCCAACTCAGAGCTCAGAGTAAATGTATGAATGATTGTTCTTGACTCCTGTCTTTGTTTTCGTGGAGGTAAACGTCTGTTCTGGATGTTTCTTAAACGAAGAGCGTGAGTCCACAGAGAGGCAGGAAAAGGATGTTTTAGTGCGAGTGCAAACTTCTCGTCTTTGCTCCACGCTCTTCTTCTTCTTCTTCTTCTTCTTCTTGTGTGTTTGCTGCCCCGTTCTTTTGCATACACAGGAGCAGCGGCGCTCACCTGCAGCTCTGATGCAAATAAACGCCGAGAATCGAACAGCTCGACTTTGTGGCGGAGAAGGAAGCGGAGAACAAAAGCGCTTGTGTCGTCGTCTGGCTTGTTTGTGTCGATACCTTGCTGACCACGGCGGTGTGACTCAGCCGTGAGGCCGACATTTAACACATCAGACAAAAGAGGTGATGTGAGAACGAGCCGGGGTTGGATAATAACGAAAACATAATCAGGCCTTTGTGTCGAACGGGGAGGAAATTTGATGTTGGCGGGAGGGAGCGGGGAGGAGGACTGTTGGACTGAAGAGACCGTCTCAGTTTTTGCAGAAGTGTAGTGTAGGTGTAGGTGTAGACAATAACACACACACACACACACTCTCAGTTCACGGTCGGCTCTGCTGCAGATGTTGTTCGAACATACATGCCAGATGCACAGCGTGAGATTCAGGATGTGGTTTGGGCTGGTTGTCCACAGCAGATCTGAAAGTACGTCTGGAGTGACAGTGTAAGTGGAGGTGTTTCAGACCACAGAGGCCATGTGTGTGTGTGTGTGTGTGTGTGTGTGTGTGTGTGTGTGTGTGTGTCAGCGACATGCTGGTTAAAGGCCGGGATTCTTCAGTGTGTCAACACTCTGTGAAGAAAACCTCACAGCTAAGCAGGGACGTTTTTGAGCGTGTGGACGGACGAGCCCCGCAGAACAGCTCCACTCGGTTAAATTGGGCATGAGGACATTACTAGAGAGAGGTCACAGCAGAACACACACTCTCACACACACACTCTCACACACACACTCTCACACACACACTCACACAGAGGTTTGGGATGCCGGTAACCCCCTGGTGCCGTGCCAGACGGATGTCGTTCCCCCTTGACCTTATTTTGGCTTCACTCGACATGCCTTGATGATGTCAGAGCCGCTAAGCAGAAACATAAATAAAGGGCGGCGATCACACCGCCGCCGCCATCATGGAACAAATGAGAGTGAGGAGTTCCTGTGTGCAGCAGCAGCAGAGCGCTCTCTCCTCTCTGTGCAGAACATACTTGAGCTCATGTGTAAGTGACGGACCATCAGAGACCGAAACACGGAGCAGAGAGGACGAAAACACGAAATCTTCGCTTCCCTCTTTGTTGATATTTACGACCCTTCTGTAAACTTCCCCTCAGTCCTGTTAGTTACATATTTCCCCTTCAGCGAGCAGATATACAACAGCCGGCGGCGGCGGCGGCGGGGACAAACAATGCAACAGAGAATTTATTTTTGAGGTCACGGTGATCAGAGATGTCAGGAGACACCGAAGCCAGACAGGAAATGTCTCATTATGTCCAGATGGACGAGTCTTTTGTATGAAGATGAATAATTTTTTATTTGCATGTTTGCCAGAAGAGCTGGGCGTGTTCCTGTGTGGATGTTCAGGCCTCTGCTGTTCCTGGACTCGGTCCTAATGTTCGTTACAGCTGCACAAATTAAAGACACAGACGATCGGCGAGCTGTCTGGAGGTTTTCATCTGCACACCTGTGTTTACTCTTCCTAAACCTAAAGTGGAGTTAGAGACAGCTCAGGTCAAGTCTTCATTATTTAAATCCAGACTACAGAGGGTCATCGAGTCCCAGACATGAGGTCTGAGTATCCGAACACGTCTAATTACCTTCATTAACCAGCAATTAGACAGAAACAGCAACCCAACAAATCTAATTTATCTGTCTTTAAGGATTTATTATGAACTAAGAGAGAGACAGCGCGCCGCTGCTGACCTGCTGCACCGAGAACAAGAGAGAGAGAGAGAGAGAGGGAGAGAGAGAGGGAGAGAGAGAGAACAAGAGAGAGAGAGAGAGAGAGAACAAGAGAGAGAGGGAGAGAGAGAGAGAGAACAAGAGAGAGAGAGAACAAGAGAGAGAGAGAGAGAGAGAGAGAGAGAGAACAGGAGAGGGAGAGAGAGAGAACAAGAGAGAGAGAGAGAGAGAACAAGAGAGAGAGGGAGAGAGAGAGAGAGAACAAGAGAGAGAGAGAGAACAAGAGAGAGAGAGAGAGAGAGAGAGAACAGGAGAGGGAGAGAGAGAGAACAAGAGAGAGAGAGAGAGAGAACAAGAGAGAGAGAGAGAGAGAGAGAGCTCTGCTAATATAATCATTAACCAGAGTTTCTACATTCACTGTAGGTCTGAGTTATTATCTTCATGCTCATGTCACTCTGTTAATATTCTTGGTTTTCATCGCTGTTTCCACCGTCCTTTAGTTTGTTGAAAAAGTAACATGTTTTATTTTGATGCTAATATTAAGAGGTGCATTTATTCAGTCCTCCTCCGTCTTTTTACCGTCTTTCTGAAATAGACGATAACGTTCAGCTCCGTTTCTTCTCATCTCTAAAAATCAGGAATATTTTCCTGCAGATTTTGTTTCACAGACTCGACAGCCTGTTTCCTCTGCAGGGCCGTGTCCACACCTGTGGACTGGGGGGGCTCAGCTGGAGCGCTGACATAGACAGGGGTGGCCAGATTCACTCACATTAACCCTTTTTACTATTACTATTTAACAAAAACTAAAAATAGTATGTTTTTTTACAATCTGCTGTTTTTACAGTTATACCAGAATTATATTAAAGTTTTTAAAAAGTTATTTTCTTATTAAATTACTTGATAAATCACCAGAATAATCAATCAGATAATCGATTCATGGCAAAGGTAATCAAGTAATCGGATTCCTGCTTAGCAAATATTTCAATGATATTTTTTTATTCCTCATTTTAAATCTAAATATGACAGATCATTGACAGATCGGTTGGTTTTAATGAAAAATTAAGGAGGTCATGAAACACAGAAAAATGTCTGTTTTTTAGTTTTAATTAGTTTTCTGTGTAATAGGACGTCCTTACACAATAAAAGGGGAAAAAATAGCTTCAGAAAGCCGAGCAGGAACCCACTGACCTAAAGCAATGTTCTCTAAAGCTGTGAAATAGCGACCTTACGCAACTCTAAAACAAAGAGGGTTGATCTGACCAAAGTGGTAAATGAGGTCAGTCATCGGCGGGCAGCGGCTGAGTCGGGATGATGTAGGTGACGGTGACAGAAAATCCTCAAAAAAACTCGCCTGATTACAGGAAAGGGAGTCAGAGGGGAAGGTGATGGTGGCGAGGAGACTCCGAAGAGGCAGGAAGGGGAGATGAGGACTTGAAGAAAATGAAGGATAAATAAATACAGACAGAGAGAGAGAGAGAGAGAGAGGGGAAAGAAAACAGGACACAGAGAGAGAGAGAGAGAGGAACTCCATCATCTGTGGATGTCTCAGCATTGTGTGGAAGTTGAATGCCTGGGTGGAGCGATAAAGTTTGGTACAATAATTTGACACGGCGTTGACCCCTGACAGGAAATCTGTGCCATTTGGTGGGCGCTTTCATCCACAGACGCCTCGCAGTAGCGTTGGTTTTAGCCCGGCCCCCTGAGGAATGACCTTCTGCGCTCGTTGGCAGACGTCATGATGTTATTAAAGAGATGAAAATAGTTGTGAGGAGTAACCTTACGTCTTTAAACTGTTGAATCAGGAAGTGTGTTCCTCTGGTTCGGTCTGCGGTGGTGTTGGTGAGGAGCAGGTGCTGCAGACAGTTAATGATTCTCCGAGGGGATATTCTGACTCGGGTTATTAATACATTCATGCTCAGTGTTTGTCTGCGGTGATACGGCCACAACTCTGTGTGTCAGCGCCGGGATGATGCAAGATCTGGATCAGCTAACATCAGGCTGAAAAAAGAGAGTTAAACCTCAACAATCAAATCTACGAATGACCCTAAACTACAGAGGAGTGAACTCGACGAAGTTACGACGAATTCTCCTGATTGGACAGCTCGTGTTTTAGTGCTCAGATGAACTCTGAGACAAACCAGAACTGTGAAGAGTCACTGTAAGAGTCTGAAACTCCAGATTACAAGATTAGGAGGATAGACTTTATAAGCTTCGGTTTCGTCACTCATTTATTATCTGAAGTGGCGTTTTGACGTGGTCACCATATTGGAAATACTAAAACAAACAAAGTCGGGCCTTTAGCCTCGTCCTGAACAGCCACAGTGTTCCTCTGATTCGCTGAACTTCTAACTTTATTATCTTCAAAATCAACATGTGACAAATAACCACTTCAAGTTCAGTGTGTAACGAGAGAGAAATGAAGCTGCTGTAGATGTGGGTGGGCGTCTTTGAATGAGTGTGTATGTGGTTTCAGAGCCAGCCTCTAGTGGACACTCCAGGAACTGCAGCTGGTGGGGCGTCCAAGCTGTCTGTGGTGGGTCCAAACAGTCCTGACCCACCAGAGGCGACCAGAACACCTCGAGTTATGCTGCTCAGAACCTACAATCCTGAGTGTTTGGGCCACATTTAGAGATAAGGGTGTTCCGATACGATATTTATGTCGGATATCGGTCTGATATCAGCCAAAAAAACAAATATCGGATTATATCGGCCTGCATCTAAAATCTCTGATATCAGCACCGTGATACAAGCAGTCCATTCCAGACTCCACGTCGGCACCTCTATCTAGCAGCGCCTGGATTCAGCATGAAGAGCCACATGATCACAACAACAGTGTAAAGTGACAAAGTAGTAAAGAGTAAAAGTGATGTCGGCAGTATTTTTCATTAAAGTCTGAAAAAGACATCACAGCTGAGTGCAAAACTTGTCATACACAAGTTTGTGCCAATATCGGATCAATATCGATATCAGCCGATACTGAAGGCTACAATATCGGAAACAATCGAAAGTCAGACAGTTGTTATCAGGACACCGCTATCTAGAGAAAAGTTCAGATTTGAGGAATAAAGAGAAAAGTTTTTGACTAAAATGGTGTTTGTGACCTAAAAACTGAACGACAGTAAATCTGTGTTCTCCAAATATTTACAGGATGTTATCTCACATATTTGTTTTGTTTCTGTCTGAGGAAATATTCATTCTTGGAAACATCTAAAGACAGTAAATGACTGTAATAGTCCTGCTGCTCTGTGTGTCGTTCACTTTAGCAGGAAAATGTAAAAATAGAGACAAAGAGGAAGAAGAGTGAAGTTAGAGTCGAGCTGGTGAAACTTTGGCCCAGTGCGCTTATTCAACGAGGTTAACGTCCAGGAGTTCACGCTGAGGAAGAGTCGACTGTGGGCCAGACTCAGCTCTGAAACACTGATGCTAACTCTTCACTGTCTTTATCATGAATCAGGTCACAGTGACGACGTCGTCGGTGTGATTTTCAGGTGATTTTCAGGCGGCAGTGAAGTGAAGGCCGAGTCAGGACTGATGGAGAAACCGTTAAAGCTTTCACTGAGAGGCGCCAGCATGACGTCGTGCCTCTCACATTCCTGGGTTATTACTTAAAGATGTCTGCTCGTCATCGCCGCTCTCATGCTCTCAATGTTGCCTCTCACGCCGGGCGAGCAGCAGATTTCGGTTAAAGGAAATCCCTGTCAGTTCATTAGAGCGCTCCTCCTCACTTTTCAGGAGGAACAAACATGACGTGGAGCCGAGCAGCAGCAGCAGCAGCAGCAGCTCAGGTCTTTAAACCTCATCTAGACCGTTTCTGATCCAGACTGAGGCTGTGAGCTGGTTTCTGCTCCCCGGGGTGAGATGTTGCTGATGCACGATTATTCAGAGCCGAGGAATCCAGTCTGGCAAAGTCCCGGGTTCTGATGGGAACCGAGCTGGTTAGAATAGGCTTTCTGTCTGTGTGGATACACACACACACACACACACACACACACACTGTTCCACATTCAGAAAAGCTACTGAGTGAGGAGGAAAGTAAGGAGAGAGAGTTTTTCAGAGGAAGTGAGACCTAATCCATGAATTATATACAGAGAGAGAGAGAGACACAGCCCCTCTCTCTCTCTCTCTCTCTCTCCCCTTGTCGTTCGCCCCGTCAGACCTCCGTTTGCTCTCCTCTCATGAACTTAAACTTTCTCACTCTCTTGTTCTTCTCAGGTGGAGGAGGAAAACGTAAAGGGAGGAGCAAGAAATGGAAGGAGATCCTTCGCTTCCCCCACATCAGCCAGTGCACTGAGCTGGGAAACAGCATAGGTGTGTATGAGTGTGTGTGCTCACCTGTGTGTGTGTGTGACAACGTTCAGTGTTAAATTGTGTACATGTGTGTGTTTTCTTCCTGCAGAGAGGGACTATGTCAGCATGTGTGAGAAACAGCCAATCGGACGGCTGCTCTTCCGTCTTTACTGTGAGACTAAATTCAAGCTGCAGAGATGCATCCAGCTGCTGGACGCTATGGTACGCACTCAGGTTTGCACTTCAACTCCGCCCCTTTCCTCTAAATCATCATGTTTTTATTATCATTGTGAACAGACTCTTCCACCTTTAACTGCAGGTTTACTAACATTTCAGTGAAACTCTGGGTTTCCTGACACAGAGTACAGATTGTAGTTGTGTCCCACATGAGCTAACTACAGGGTGGGTTTGTAGAATAACACCTAACCTAACCAGAGAACATCAACTCTGTGGGTGGTAAAAGGCTCTTATGTAATCGCTCTGAGCAGAGATAGAGAGTCTGAAGACTTCTGCAGCTGCAGCTTCACTCCTCAATAAAACATCCAGTTTGACAGAAATCATCGGTGAGACGGTGTTTAAAGCTCCTGTGAGGAGATTTCTCAACTTTATAAAACTGACCAAAGGAAAAACGACAACCTCAGAGTTATTTAATCCCATTAAAATATTCACAATAAAGGGTGAATGAGTTTAAACATATTCAAGTATAGAATAGAATAGAATAGAATAGAATAGAATAGAATAGAATAGAATATTCCTTTATTGATCCCCCATGGGGGAAATTTTTTTGTCACAGCAGCATCACAGACAAGACAAAAAGTGCAAAAATGCAGTTATAACAATAAGGGTCCTAATATTAAGAACTTAAATAAATGTAATAATTAAGAAAAAAATTAGAAAAGGTAGAAGAAAAAATAAAGCTTTGTACAATATATACAATTTAAATGCCATAAAAAAAGTGGTGGTTTAAATTAGTTTTGTTACTGTTCATTGTAAAGTCCCATCCTGCAGGGTGGGAGTCTCAGTATGTGCAGCAGAAGAGAAGCAGAGACAGATTTGTCCACAGGGGGCGCCAGAAGTGATGCAAACTAAGAGCTTTAAAAAGTGAAATGAAATATCAGTATTTATGAGACATGCAGGGTCGACTCGCTCAGGTGTCTCAGCATTTAAAGAGTTAAAACTGACAGAGCAGTTTTCATCATCGTCACGTCTTTTCTCCATCTTCCCGCAGCTAAAAACAAACATGGCCGCCCCCTCCTTCCTTTGCGTGTGTGACGTCAGTGCGTTGTTCCACATTATAAGTAGTCTGAGTGAAAACCACGCTCTCATCTGTAAACATTAAACGATTCCTCGATCATTTTTTGTTATCGTTTCTACAACCTCCATCAAAATACTCCACCCTACAGCGTAACAAATCCAAAGGTGTAGCTGACTTTAAACTCACCACACGGCGTATTCACGACCTTACATGGACGTGTGGGCTGGTTAGGAAATAGGAAAAGGAAATATTGTAAATCCAAACCACCAACTGATCCATTTTAACGTTCGTCAAAGAACATATTTGACCCCCTTTACAAAAGCAGTTCACAGCCTGGACTGAACATTTTACCAACTTGATCACTTCGTTAATTTCCTACACATGTTCTGAGGACGTGTAAAGGCTCATGAGTTTGGGGGAAAAAAGCTTCAGTAATATCCGAATCGATCAGGAATCAATTTCACAATAGCTCATGCTAGCTCACCAAACCCCTTTCAAAATACCCTGAATTTACATGTGAGCACAAACAGACCAGTTTTTCACCCTTAAAATCTCCTGTTAGTCTCACTTCAGGTTAAAGTCTGGAAATATTCAGGTAAAATAATCACATATTTCTGTTCACACGTCGGGGTAACTCAGAACTTTTCAGGACCTCTGTGCACGTCTGAACGAGGCCGTCATTTCAGCGAACTGAATCACAGAGGAGTGAGAACCCTGACTGTCATGATTGTTAGTCGTCTCTTTAGTTGTTGTGAAAACAGTAAAATTTCAGGACTTTTCCTCCGCCGCCTCACTGTCATCAGAGCGTCTCCTGAAAACAGGCGGGTGCTGCGGGGTCATACAGCCGGAGGAGACGATTAAACTGAGTAGTGATTATTCAACAGACACAGACCCTCCTCCTCCTCCTCCTCCTCCTCCTCCTCCTCCTCCTCTTCCTCCCTCTGCCCCTCACCCGGCTTGTTGTCCCCCCTTTCCAATCTTTCTCCCCTCGTCTAGACGAATACCTCCCACATGACACATTTAAGTCTTTATCTCTGCCCAGAATATCTTTGGGGGTCATGTGACGGAGCAGAAAGGACGCCATTGTTTCCCACACCAACACCCCCTTTTCCTCCCCTCTCCTCTCTTCCTCTCCTCACCCCCACCTTCAGCCTGCCGGCCCCAAAAGTGACCGAAAATCACCCGCACCCGTTCATCCCAAACACATGTTGGCGCTAATTCTGCCGTCCATGTGACGCGGCGTGAGGCGGCGTGAGGCGGCGTGAGGCGGCGTGAGGCCAAACTCGGCGTTGAGCTTTAAACGGAGCGCTTTACTGACTGATATCAAAGTGATTAAAAGACATGTGAGTGTGTGAAGTTCAGAGTGTGTGTGTGTGTGTGTGTGTGTGTGTGTGTGTGTGTCTGTGTGTGTGTCAGAGTCAGAGTGTGTACAACAGAGGAAGGAATGTGCTTGGGGGGTTTGAGTGGTTCCTCTTACATCACGAAAAGGTGTGTGTGTGTGTGTGTGTGTGTGTGTGTGTGTGTGTATGTGTGTGTGTGTGTGTGTGTGTGTGTGTGTGTTAGTTGGATCCCTGCTGCGTCCAAAAGGCTAAAAGGGCGTCTTCTTTTCCCCTTTGGCTGACCCCCCACCGGCAAAGGGTGGGATTCAGACAGCTCATTTACTGTGTGTGTGTGTGTGTGTGTGTGTGTGTGTGTGTGTGTGTGTGTGTGTGTGTGTGTGTGTGTGCACCTCCCTTAACAAAGCCTCAGTTAATCAACCTTTGGCAGCCGTCATAATTCGCTCTTTTGCTTTTAAAGATCTCGAACCTCAGATCTGCGGTCCTGGTTCATGTTCCTCCTCATGTCTCTCTGATTCATTCTCTCTCTCTCTCTCTCTCTCTCTCTCTCTCTCACACACACACACACACACACACACACCCACACACACACACACACTTTTACTCTTACTCTTTCTTACTTTTACTCTAAACTCCTTCTGCAGAGTTTGTGACGCCGTCCGTTTTTAAAGCCGTGTTTCCTTAATCTCCTGGCTTATCTGTGTGTGTGTGTGTGTGTGTGTGTGTATCTATAAATGTGTGTGTGTGTGTGTGTGTGTGTGTTTTGTTGTGGAAAGCTGGTGACGCTGGTGTGACACACTGTGACACTCCAGGACCTCAAGGAATCCCACCGTGTTTACTGTGCGGTTTCCAGGCAACGCAGGGCCATGTTGGAAAAAGGCCACTGATAGAAAGAGGAGAGGCAGCGTGCGGCCCCCGGGCGCCATGTGCCGCCCCCTCCCCCCGCTCCCTTTTTGTGACATGTTAAAAGTGCTGCATAAGAACTGCGTCAGAGCGCTGCTCGAATGTCTGACAGAGAAGTTCAGCGAGGCTTTAGGTGGATTCAGGATCCAGTTTGAGTTCTGGATCTGAAGTCCGGGTCTAACCCAAACTGCTGACTCCTCATGAGCCGAAGATCCTGCAGGTGGCGCTCCTCTTGTTGCTCCAAAATCCCTCGACTTTGGAAGGACCAGACTCAGACCAGAATCAGGGACGTCTTTCAAACCCACTTCAGGATTTTACTTTTTCTCACAGTCTTCACTGATTCATTTAATCAGTTCTCCTCATATATTTAGACTTTCACATAATTCATGTGTTCATACGTCCTCCTTTTCTGTCCCTGATCACTTTGACTGATTGATTTATCAGTTTGGTTATTCCTCAGTGTCCTCTCGTTGATTTAAAAACAGATATAATGTTAATAAAAACCTGTCGTTGATTTCAGATCGAGTTCATTTGGTTTCTCTTTAAGTCGGTTTAATGTAAATGAAGTGTCCTCTTGTTGTTCTCTGCATGACTTACATGTAAATAAAAAACGCTCTAGTTACAAAAATCAACAAAGTTTGATCTTCTTTGTAAATGTAAATAAAGTGCGAACAGATTATAACCCAGTTTTCAGACTCGTATGAATCTACATTTTTGTTTTTATGCAGAGTTTTTGTTTTTCGATAATTCCTCTAAAGTCCCTCCTAGTTTACACTAATTTAACACCCCGGCTGTGCTGCCTTTAAAGACGAAGATAAACAGTTAAAAACGTTGAATAAGTTAATAAGTTATTCGTTTTAAACATAGACTGTATCTAGAATAGACGCCGTCTGCCTCCTCTCTGTGAGAACAGCGCCCTCTGGTGACGGTCTGCAGTATAGTTCATAAACCCCGCCTCCTTATGGAGCTGTGGACAAACTTTATAAATGAATGACACAGAATATAAATGTTTCTCCCCCCTGGTTGTGATGTTGACATGTAGTTACTGTCAGACTGGTCTGTGCTCAAGTCCTCTTTTTTCTGTACAGCTCCATTTTTAAAAGTTATTAGGGGGTTCATGTTTTCTATGATTGACACCTGATACAGCCAATGGGAGGACAGAGATTGAGTAGCTCACCCGGGGGATACGCTGTTTGAGCAGAGCGTCATCACAGTGACTCGGCGAGTTTGTTTTATTGGGCCTCTGAAATCGCATCAGAGTGAGCGCTCTGTTCGTCATGTGGAGCTGCGTGGGTCTCCTCCGTGTTTGCTAGCTTCGTACAAAACAAGCGTCTGTACACATGTTACTGCTGTATTTTTCTGCTTCTGCCTTAGAGACCATCTGTCTGTGAGTAAAGTTTAAACAATGTTGTTACTTAAAGACGGTTTTAAGTTCGTTATGTTTACTGACTTATGTTTTATTCCAGTCTCTACGCCAGTCTTGTAAAGTTAAACCTGTTTGGGTTTTTTTTTGGTTGTTTTTGCGAACAGTGGAGTCGCCCCCTGCTGGCTATTACAGAGAAAGCATGTTTAAAGCAGCTCTCCAGGATCCACCTCATACATACATACATGTGTTTGAATAAACTGGACTCTCTCTGTCGTTTGTTGAATCCTCATGATTCTGTGTCGACTTTTGTTGTGATGTGATTTAGGAAGACTACGAGGTGACTCCTGATGAACAACGAAAAAGCAGAGGAGACCAGATCATCAAGACTTTTCTCTCCAAACAAGTAAGACTCTGAATTTAATCATCAGGTCATAAATGTAAGAATCAGCTGATTTTCATTTATACATGCATACGTCCGTATACGTCACCGTGTGTGTGTGTGTTTCTACAGTCACCTCAGCACGTGGAAATCGCGGAGGCCTTTGCAGACCAGTGCCGAGAGAACCTGGAGCTCAGTCCATGTAAGGAAATCTTCAGCAACTGCAGCAAGTGAGTCCACTGTGTGATTTTAGTCCTGGCTCTCACCTGTCTGCTGGATGCTCACCTGTACTCGCTCTACCTGCTCTCTTTTTTCCCTCCTGTTATGTAAGAGAAACAGCACAGATATTGTTCAGTTTTATCACTTGATGAGTGCTCTGACTGAGCTGACTGTTCTGTTGTGTGTGTGTGTGTGTGTGTGTGTGTTTTGTGTGGGAGCAGGACTGTCCATGACTACCTGAGTGGAGCTCCGTTCTCTGACTACCAGAACAGCATGTACTTTGACCGGTTCCTGCAGTGGAAGGTGTTGGAGAGGTACAGAAATAAAAGCTCTTTTTTCGTTCCTTCTCTGATCTGATCGTGTTTCTGCTGTAATTTCACTCAGAGATGATCTCCACTCTGAGTTTATCCTCCTCACAAAGTGTTTGACATCCTTCCTCCTTTTTAATTTGACTTCCATCATAATAAAGCTGCTGAGATCAGACCGTCACAGCCTCACGTACTGATGTGGACACCTGTGTAACCTCAGAAAGGTCAAAACAGCAGCTCCACTTCGTTTAGTCGTCAGTGTTTTAATTGAATTATATGTGGAGTGAAGAAACAACCAGTACGGACCTTCTGACAGGATCTGTATGTGGACAATAATAATAATATGTAGTTTTTTATATCCTCCTAACTTATATTTATTTATTTATTTGGAACATGTTTGCAAAGAAATAAAATAATAGAAAAATGTTGTTTATATACAAATGAGAAAATGAAGGAAATTAATTATACACGTTCAAAAAGAAAAAGAAGATGTAAATACTTATATATATACACATATATATGTATATATGTGTATAAATATATATATATATATATATATATATATATATATACACATATACACATATATACATATATATGTATATATGTGTATATGTGTGTGTAATATATATATATATAAATATATATATATATATTTATCTGCGTGAAATATATTCGCATCCAATGACTGGACATATGAATTACCTTGAAGGACCATATTACCACGAAAATCCATCTGTTCTCATGTTGATTCTCATGTTGATAAAAGTATAACAATTTTAAAAAGATATTTAGAATGGATCAAAAATATATAATTTATTTTAATCATGATTAATTATGATCACAATTCGATTAACCGCGATTAAATATTTTAATCGATTGACAGCCCTAATATATATATATATATATATAAACATAAAAATAAGCCTATATCTATATCCAATAGCCACACACTATTTAGCAAACTTACAAACAGAAGACTAAATTTACATCATAAATATGGATTAAAGGTGATTCTTGATTGGCTGTGAACATGTGGATTTTTTTTTTACCTTTATTTGCTCTGATAATAATTAAAGTGGCCAAATATTAAAATAAAGCAAACAGGTGAGGAAGCTTCTCTAGTGAAGAGTCCTGTAGCTGCAGACAGAAGCAGATTTGATGTAGAGTGCATTTCAGAGTCAGCCGGACGTAAACAGCAGCTCTCAGAGCGGCTCTCAGAGCAGCGCTGATTGTATCCGTGTCTGGAAAGTGAAATTACTTCCAAGAGGCCCCACCCTCTGCACAGGAAACAGACGCAGGATGGTATCGAGTTCTGCAGATAATACCTCCGTCCTAATCAATACGACATGAGCATCTATTAATGGGATCTGCTGTGTCTGTGTTCTGTCAGGCAACCAATCACGAAGGACACGTTCAGACAGTACCGAGTGCTGGGGAAGGGGGGATTCGGCGAGGTAGGAGACGCAGCTTTTGTTAATTGTTGGAGATGATGATGATTTGAAGGTGTTGTGAGTCACCATCTGCTGTTTTTTTATTTTAGGTGTGTGCCTGTCAGGTTCGAGCCACAGGGAAGATGTACGCCTGCAAGAAGCTGGAGAAGAAGAGGATAAAGAAGAGGAAAGGAGAGTCGATGGCTCTCAACGAGAAGCAGATTTTAGAGAAAGTCAACAGTAGGTTTGTGGTGAGTCAAAACAGGAACTTGGTCTGGATTCAGTTTTCTGTCCATGTGCGCTCTTTCCTTAACAGCGTCTGTGAATTTCCTCCTCCAGGTGAGTTTAGCGTACGCTTACGAGACCAAAGACGCTCTGTGTCTGGTGCTGACCATCATGAACGGTGGAGACCTGAAGTTTCACATTTACAACATGGGGACGCCGGGCTTCGACAAGGACAGGGTCCAGTTTTATGCTGCTCAGATCTGCTGTGGGCTCGACCATTTGCACAGGGAATCCATCGTCTACAGGTAACAGAGAGCGCCGCCTTTCCCTTCAGTCCTTCACCGTTTACCCCGACTGACTGACTGTTCTTAGTTTTTTTTAAAAGGCGTCTTGAGGCTGAGCGCTCGCCGTCTGTTTGAGTCAGGATGTCAAACCAAACATGATCAGACTGAAGAAATGAATTTGCAACGAAGAACTAAATTTGCACGACATGTTTGCATAACAAACCAGAATAAGTCAGAGAGAACGAGAGAGAGAGGGAGAGAGAGAGAGAGGGAGAGAGAGATTACTGTAACCATCAGATCTGAATCACAGTTAGAACAGAGCTTCTGATTGGTGGAGAGTTTGGAACGCAGCCTCTGATTGGTCAATTGATGCAACATAAAAGTGTAGAAGTGAAGAAATGATGACTTTGAATGAATTTGCTGAACGAAAACTTCGGCTCTACCTTTTTGAGTTTTTGTCACTTTTTCAGTTCAGTTTATAAATCCTGTCAGTCATGAAGTCTGAACGTGTTTTTATTTCTTCACTCTGTGTTTTTGTAGAGATCTGAAACCAGAGAATATCCTCTTAGATGACAACGGTGAGTTCTGAAAATGTTTCCTCACAGAAGTATTTTAGCTGAATACTGCAGGTCGACACAATCACAGATAAACACTCTTATATATTATATATAATTGATGATAATCTGAATTTAACAGGCTTTAATGCTTTCATGTTATCTTAAAGGACACATCCGTATTTCTGACCTGGGGCTGGCTATCAAAGTGCCTGAAGGCGAGCTCATCAGAGGCCGAGTGGGGACCGTGGGCTACATGGGTGAGAAAAACAAACTCACGTTAAACTTTACTTTAATTTTCATCATTAATCCTCAGAAATAATGAAAACAGATCTGAAAAAATGTCAACATGATGAGATCGCAAAAGTCCAAATTATAAAACAAATTTGTAAAAAATTAAATAATCAAATAAAAACGACAAATTTTGAGGGATTAAGTCCCTTTAATTAATTTTATTAAATATTTTAATCAATATAAAACATTTTTAACTGTGACTTTTTGATCGTTTACGTCATTTAAAATGTGACCTAATTTCATGATTGACTGTTTATTTTATGATTACTACTTTTCATATCAAAATATCACTTTAATGTCATTATTATGAGTTTTTATGTGGACCGTGGCCTTTTCTGTAGTCGTGACTTTTTAGGTTAAAATAATGACTTTCTGTCTCAAACATATGACCTTTTATTTTATTATTTGATTAACTTTTTTTCATAATTTTAACTTTTATTTCATCATTTTTATCTCATTAATTTGTCATTTTATATTCAGGAAACGATTTTCCTTCTCATAATACTGACTTTTATTTCAGAATAAAGACTTTTTATCTCACACTTTTGACTTTTTGCCCCAACATGATGATTTACTTATTATTTTAACTTTCTGTCTCATAGGAATGACTTTTTATCTTTTTTTATAGTTTTTATTTCACTATTGCAGCTCCTATCTCAGAATAATGACTTTTTATTTCATGATGACATTTTTTTATATTATTAGTTTTTTTTATCTCATAGTTTTAATAACATATTAACTCCCTCATAGCTTTGACTAACAGTCTCATAATTTGTACTTTTAATCCTTTTATTATGACTTTAATTTTTAACATCACAAAATGGTGGCGGTCTCATAATTTTGACTTTCTTTCTCGTCACGATGACTCAGTATTTAGACTCTGTATTCTCCGAGGACCAGTCCTCCTCCCAGTTTGTACTGGTGGAAATGGGCTCTCATACTAATCAGATAATCACTCTAACTAAACAGAACTGTTTTCTGTCTCTGCAGCTCCAGAGGTGATCAACAACGAGAAGTACGGCATGAGTCCCGACTGGTGGGGGCTGGGCTGCCTCGTGTACGAGATGACCGCCGGACGATCGCCCTTCCGCGCCCGAAAAGAGCGAGTGAAGCGGGAGGAGGTGGAGAGGAGGGTGCAGGAGGAGGAGGAGGAGTACAACGACAAGTTTACAGAGGACACGAAGGCCATCTGCAGAATGGTGAGCGTTTGATGGAGGAATAAAAAAAAGGTGTGTGGAGGGAGAGATGGAGGAATGATGATTAATGTGGTGACTCATCTCTGCTGCCGCTGCTCACCCAGCTGCTGACCAAAGACCCGAAGCAGAGGCTGGGGTGCCAGGCGGACGGAGCAGCGGGCGTCAAGGCCCACTCGTTCTTCAAAAACATCAACTTCAAGAGGCTGGAGGCTGGAATAGTGGAGCCTCCCTTTGTGCCTGATGTGAGTAATTTATCCTCCTGAAAATCGATGGTGCTGCAGAAACAGGCTTTGAAACTCTTCTGTACTTTGACTTTTGTTTGAATCACAAACGGCTTCAGCAGGAAGAAAAACTCTCTTTTCAAGAATAGCGAGAATATTTCCACGAACTGCTAAGATAAACTTGTCCCTTTCTTGCCCTCTCTCTTCTCCCGTCGTCTCTTATCACCGTGGTCGCTGCCCTCCCCCAGCCCCGGGCGGTGTACTGTAAGGATGTTTTGGACATTGAGCAGTTCTCCACAGTCAAGGGAGTTAATTTGGACCAAACTGACAATGACTTCTACTCCAAATTCGCTACAGGCTGTGTTTCCATCCCCTGGCAGAATGAGGTAAGTGTGTGAACTTCGTATGACAAACGCCCGCCGCAGTTTCACTGCTGCAAGAACTCGCTCGCCGAAGTTCACCAAATCTGCTCCACTTCCTCCTCTGATCTCATTTCTTCTGTTTTCTTATCTAATCTACTTTTTCTTTACTCTTCTTTTTCTTCTCAATGTTATAACCTCCTCATCTCCTCTTTTCTTTCCTCTACTCTGAATGTTTGTATCACATTTATCTCCTTTCCTTTTTCCTTCTTTCCTTTCCTTTCCTTTCCCATCCTTTCTTTCTCATTTCCCTTAAACTCTCATTTTATTTAACTGCTCTTTCCTTCCTTTCCTTTTCTTCTTTCCTTTCATTTTTCCTTTTTCACTCTCTTCTCTCTTTTGTGCTCTTCTTTTTATTTGTTTGTTTATATTTCCTTTACTTCTTTTCTTCTTCCTTTTCTCTTTCTTTCTCCATCCTTCTCTCTTATTTTTCTTTTCTATTCTTCTGTTTGTTTTCCTTTCTTTTCCTGTTGTTCTTGCTCTTTTTTTCCCTTGTTCTTTTTCTTTCCTTTCTGTCATTATCTCATTTCAACCTTTCTTTCTCTCCATTCCTTTCTTTTTTCCTTTCCTCTCCTCCTCTTTTACATTCCCTTTTTTCCTTTCCTTTCTGTCTTTTTCCATCCTTCCTTTTCATTTCCTCCTCTTTTACCCTTATTTATTTGCATATTGTTTCTTTCTTACCTGCTTAATTGGGTCTGCTTTTCATTTTTTTTTTTTTACTTCTTTTTCTCTTTGCCTTCTTCCACTTTTCTCTGTATCTACCTTTTTAAATTCTCTTCTTCCTCTAATCTTCTTTTCTTTTATCATCTTTTGTCTCTTTTTTACTCTGCACTTTCCTTTTATTTTATCTTCCTTTGATTCTTTTCTCTCCTCTGCTTTTTTTCCTCATCTGACCTCATCTCCCTTTGTTTTTTTCTTTACATCTTCTCCTCCTTTTCTCTCTCTCTCTCTCTCTCTCTCTCTCTCTCTCTCTCTCTCTCTCCTCCAGATGATAGAAACTGAGTGCTTCAGAGATTTGAACGTGTTCGGGCCTCAAGGGATGAGACCTCCGGATCTGGACTGGAATCAGCCGCCAGAGCCACCCAGACGCAGCCTGCTGGACAGGATCTTCAGGAGGCATGTGAGTAACACACACACACACACACACACACACACACACACACACACACACACAATGATGCATTAATAAAAACAAACCCTTACACATCCTCTCTCTCTCTCTCTCTCTCTCTCTCTCTCTCACTGCAGCACCCAGAAGTGTCTATCTCCCACAGCCGTGTGCAGTCTTCCAGTGTAAACTCTGTGGACTCCATGTCCAACTCTGCCCCCTAGTGGCACATTGAAAGTGTGGGAGCCACGCACACACACACACACGCACGCACACACACGTACACACACACACACACACACAAAGGGAAGGAACTCCAAGAGGGCTTCCCCACTGCTGATTGGTCCACAGCCGGGGCCTGAGCAGCAGCTGGAGACAGCCTGTCTAAGAGCCGACATGGTCAGCCCGTGGGGGGGAGGGGGTGACCAGGCCCTGACTGAGACCCCGGGCATTTGTAGTGGGACGATCATCGATGTTGCGGAGACGTTTGGACAAACTTTACTTACCCTCAGGATCGTTGGACTACAGAGCAGAGCCACTGATGTTGAAGAAATCAGAAAAGGATAGAAAACAAGCTACTATTCAGGGGATCACTGTAAAATAAAGACCACCACAGGGAATAGAAGATGGGGTCTTGGTGAATTTTGTTTTTTTTTTTCTTTTCAGACAAGGAATTTCTTTTCCACTCACTTCCAGTCCTTTTGAACTTCCTGGCCTGTATCGTGCACCACTTTCTCCTCTCCCTCTGAACATCTCCAGCTCCTCTTCTTCTTCTTCTTCTTCTTCTTCTCTGTTTTTTCTTACTCCCATACCTCAGATCACTCCTAAACATTCAGAACACATCACCTCGACAACCTCAGCATATTATGTACATTGCCTTGCAAACACTCAGGCCAAAGATCTCAGCTTAGTTCTGTAAAACTGTTGTCATGTTGATTTCTTGGTTTTTTGAAGGTTTTTTCCGCTGTTTAGAACCACAGGAGGGTCGGAGTGTGTGACCCTTCCTCTAAATATGAGCCTGCAGACATATCATTACTGCTTTAAGCACACATACAGTACACACAGTCAGATAGAGCTGCACAGACTGAGTTGTGAGAATCGTGTTGTGTTATCATTGCATGGAAACGTGTAAGTATGGACGGCTGTATCCTTTCCGCTTCTGCATACCTCATTCCACCATCATTACCATCGGACAGATTCCCAGTCTCCCTCGGTTTACAGTGTCACTTTATAATATTTGACATTATGTGGAGTTTGATAGAAAACAAACAAACAAACAAAAAAACATTGAATATGCTGTACAGAACCAGAGAACTTCTTTTTCTTCTTCTCTTTATTTTTCTCGCTCAGTTTCACCACACAGACCTCATTCGCCACGTTCACATGACAGACGCTTCCCTCCGGGTCGACAGCAGGAGGCTGAAATGATCGTGTCGGACTGTTGTGTTCAAGGTTCGAAAACTCATCCGTGAGGCTAATCTGGACTCTGGTTTTAATTACACTGCCTCATAAACATTTAGAGACACTTTACAGCTGCAGATCAGCTCCTGCGGCGAGGCTTCTATTTTGGCCGGACGCCGCAGCACGCCACATCGATTTAGTGCAGCGCAGCGCGAGCAGCAGAGGAAGTTTTATGCGGCTACAGAGTAAAATATCCGGTTAGTTTTCAAAATAAAATGATAAATATAATTATAAATAAATAATAATAATAAATATAATAAATAATAATATACATTGAACTGTTCTTAGCTTTATTATAGGAGAGGCCGGCGTTTTGGGATATGGGTATTTATATTCACCGCCGATCTCATTCAGTGTCTCACGTGAGATTTCGTGAGATCTCGTCCAGTCTCGCAAAAACTATCTGTAATATCACGAGAGCTTCTTCTCCGATGGTGGCAGCGGCGGATCAGATCCGGTGGGTGCTGTATGCTTGTGTATTTGATCCGCCTTGATCAGGATCCAGAGGAATTCCCGGGTTCTGATGGTGGAGGCGCAGATAGCCTAGCGGCAGTGGCGATTGCTCTAAGACTGCAAGGGAAGCTCGGCTTCCCTTAAAATGTCACCCCCCAAAAAAAAGAAAAAGTGGTGAAATACGTACGGCTGTGTGTACATTTCATTAACTAAATACGCACTAGAAAGCCTTCATCTTTTGTTCAGACACTGTGATAAGAAGCTGATAATTATAGGTAACCGGCATAACTTCGTTCTCATTCATCCTCGCAGCGCCTCAGCGCTTTAAACAGCCGGACGCTGGGCTTCTGCTGACTTCAATGTGGAAGCTTAAAGTGGGTTGTTCCAGCAGCGAAACTAGACGCTCATTGGATAAATGCTGGGCTTTGTCCCGCCCAATGGAAGCCCAGCTTCACTGGAGTTCTATGGCGAGAGGGCGGTCCCGACTTTCTCCCGGACTGCAAGCTTCTGCATCCATGATTGGATGAGCTGTCTGAGGCGAAATCCTTTTTGATTGACAGCTAAACAAGCGAATCAGCGATCTTGAAGAATAAAACACCTACCAGAGCATTTTCCAAGTTATTCACTCCGTTGTTCTTAACTGCTCCGGAGACTTTACCGATCCTCAGCGACTTTTGTCTTTGTTAAAAACGACTGCCGTTGTGTTTGGCGACTCTGTTCTGTTACATACTAATAAACAAATACAATTATGATGTAGGCCAGAAAAATGAGCTTCCCCTCCTTGAAAGACCAGCAGCCGCCACTGCCTAGCGGTTTATTTGGCGGTTTAATATCTGATTTTATCATGTCGCTGCAGGATTCGTTCAGATATGAGGAACATATTTACAAACTTCCCGTCCACTCAAACTAAAACTGTGATGATCGTTATTTTCAGGAGGCTGATGTGACTGAACTTAAAGCTCCTGTGAGGAACTTCAGCTTGTGTAGTTTTGGCGCCCCCCTGTGGACACAGAAACTCTAGCTACTTAACAAATATCTTCTGACTGAATATCTCATCCTGCCTAGTATTAAAGGTGTGTCCATTTTAGTGAGTATTAAAGGTGAAAGTGTGGTGCTTACCCCCCACAGTTTTAAAAACAGCTTCGTAAAAATCATCAGTCCCGTCACCGTCGGCTTCATTTGTTTTTATTTATCTTTAAAAGGCTTTAATATGAATTTAAGTCCATTTGATAAATTTAAAAAACGCTCACAGTAGCTTTAACTGTTTTCTCTTTAACCCAAATGAGTGATTTAAGAGTAAACCTTGAACACAGCAGTGAAACTCTGTGAGACACGTTTACCTCCTGAGTTCACGGTGTTGGAAAAAGGTGGCGCTCATGTGAACCCGGTGAATGGAGTAGAGGGGAACACATGCACTCAGCCTGACCTACAAGTTGCACAAATTGAAATGCTGTCATGCTGTTTCTTCTTCACCAAATTAAAGCTGTTTTTACCTCCTCTCATTACGGCACATCATAGTCTTCTCCATGTTTGCGTATATCCTCCTAAACTGAAGTGGTCTTGTTCTCCCTGTTTGCCTTTTTTCCATGTAGGAGATACTGCTGCACAGCCATTGTTGTCTCATGTTCAGGTTTTTTCTATTTCGCCCCTTTACACTGACTCTCCTCTGAATGGGTCATCCTTAAAGAAACAGGGTATGGACCATCAGAATCTGGTTTAATGCGGATCATGTGTGACAGGAAGGAGGAGAGGAGGACACCCGAGGATCTCTGCAGAAAGACGTGGCCTTCTCTCTCAGCAGCAGCAGCAGCAGCGAGAATCTTCATCTCTCCTCGACTTGTTTTTAAGAATGTTTTCCCCTCTTTGAGTTAGAGAAGCTGGTCCATGCAGTTATCTTCATCCATCATCTCACCCTCAGCTGGTATGTTTCCTCTCTCTGCGTATTTGATATAAAAAAACTCTGTATCAGACTAAAGTGCCTCCTTGTTCGTACGACCTCCCAAACAAAAACCACAAACATCAGCACTTTGTTCACAATCTGACCGACACATGCTCTGTTTGTTTCACCGGGGACAAAGTCAACACACACACACACACACACACAGACTCACATACAGACTCACATACAAACTCACACAGAGACTTACACACACACACAGACATACACACTGGACTCACACACATGGACTCGAGGACTCACATACACAGACTCACATACAGACTTACACACAAAGACTCACACACAGACTCACGTACAGATTTACACACAGATTCACATACACACAGACTAACACAAAGACATACACACACACACACACACACACAGACTTGCACAGACACACATAGTTACACACAAATTCACGCACACAAACAGACTCACACAGTCTCTTATGCATAGACCTACAGACTTACACACAGACCCACACACAGACTTGTATACAGATGCACAGACTCACGGACGGACTCACACACACAGAGACTCACACACAGAGATACACACACAAACACAGACTCACTGACAGACTAACATACACTGACTCACATACACAGACTCTCATAAACACACTCACTAACACTCACACACAGATTTACACACACATATACAGACTTACACACAGACTCACATACACAGACTCACACAGACACAAACACTCTCACACACAGACTCACATTCACAGACTCACACACAAACACAGACTCTCACACACTCTGACACACACAGACTCACATACACACTCACAGTGACACAAACACTCTCACACACACACTCACACAGACTCACATACACACTCACACACACACACACTCACACAGACTCACATACACACTCACACACACACACACTCACACAGACTCACATACACACTCACACACACACACACTCACACAGACTCACATACACACTCACACACACACACACACTCTCACTCACATACACACTCACACACACACTCTCACACACATAGACTCACATACACACTCACAGTGACACAAACACTCTCACACACACAGACTCACATACACAGACACACAAACATTCACACACACTCACACACACACTCTCACACACACAGTCTAGTGTCCTGAAGGTAAGGATGGTGGATGGTTCGAGGCGTAGAGGATCGATTCTCCTTCTTAATGTGATGTACAGAAAAGTGCTGAGTGCATGTGAAAGACAGACCCACTGTGTCCTTCAAGTCTCAATAAACTCTGTGCGATAGTTTGACTACTTCTCAGTCCGCCTGTGTCTTTATTTACCGTCTCCATGGTTACCGTAGAGCCGCCACCCCCCTCCATACTCAAATACATGGAAATGATGACAGACTCACTTTTATTATATTTACATATGTGCATGAAGCAGGTGACCACAAAGACCTGCTGTCATGACACATACACACCTCAGGTCGAGAATAGGGGAGACCGGGTTGGTTGTTTCTTTTTTTTTTTTTATTATAAACATCTTTTTAATGGAAAATATTGGAACTCTGCTAAATTTTGAACACAGCCGTGGTTCTTTGCTTCGGTTGTTACATGTCATAAAACAGCAGAAAGAAAGAAGATGATTATTTTTATTTATTATTATCATTTTGGAAGATGATTATTAAACACTTTTAAAAAATGACATTTTAAGATTCATTGTGAATCCAAAACACTTTAATTCAAACTGTTAAGCTGTTTTTATTTTTATATCTACCAGAAGTGGAGCATACTTCAAAATAAAAGCATAGTTTAAGAATGCAGGAAAGAAAAAAAAAAATGCGAGAAAGAAAATAAAAAATAAAAGCCCCTTAAATGTTTTTTTTTTTTTTTTAATGAGGAAAGGTCTCCTCTAAAGAAGTTTCAGTCTCAGTTCTGCTGGTGTTTATGAACGTATTTATCCTGATGCTCCACCTTTCTTAGTTTTACTTCCTGTGCTGCTTTAAAAGTTTTCCATAATTATCGTTATCATGATATTTGATGGTCACGATAATCATGAGTATAATCATGATAATCACAACGAAGATTTCACCTTCAGTTCAACACGTCTGCAGACAGTGTGTCCCATCGTCATTACAACAAACAAAACAGTATTTATGAAAGTGCAGAGATGATCTCTTTGTCTGGAAATCCAAACTCTCACAGAGACTCACTGACTTTTCAGGGACTCTGTTTTTGGAGGAGACTGTTGAAACCCTAAACCAGGCTGGTCCAGGATCAGCATAAGAGAAATGCCAGAGGACTGCGGCTCATTAAAGCAGAATGCTGCTCTTGTCAAATAGGGAGTCATTAGAAACAGAAGCATATGACCCACTTTAGCTCCTGATTTCTACTCTGAAAAAAGAAAGACGAGGCGTGGGTGTGTGGTCTGTCCGCTGTGGCTGAGTAATGGGCCGGATAGTTCTGGGTCTGTGTGTTCTCATGGTTAATGAGAGGACTCACCTTGCAGAAGGCCGCAGTGATGTAAGGTTGCAGGTTAAGGTAACTTCAGTGTTTCTTTGGAGTTATTTAATCTGTCCGTGTTTTCTCTGAGAGCGGCTCGGATCACTTATCAGATGGCCTGATGTTCTCCATCCATGCGCTGTGTTGACTCTGACTGGATGTCTGACATGTTGCTCACTGAGACAATATTGCTGTTAGATAGTTTGGATTTTGATTGGACGTGGAGGGTAAGGTCATGAAAACATGTTATGGACAGATCACAGTGAGCAGTTTGACGGTGAAGATAAAACCTTCAGGAGAAGTGAGTCGATATCTGCGACAGAGAGGCGTGACGCTGATGTTTGGATGTTGGTATTTTATTTGTGAAGTGTTTGACAAGTTTGACCGCAGTGGAAAAACTGACCAGGCTGCTTTACAACAATATGAAACCCTCTCTGAAAAGCTTTCTTTTATCGTTAGTGCTGTTTTACTTTCTCTGTATCATCTGTGTGCAGGAAGAAAATAAATATCAGAGAAAACAGTTAAAATAGAGTTTTATTGGCTGAAGTCTGTAAAAATGCTCCGAACAATCACCCTTCTGATCATTGAAAATAAACTATCCAAAATAAATAACAAATGTCATATGATTAGACCTAAAGTATTCCTAATTTTACTGAAACTGAAAAACGGTTAGACTTTCCTAACTGTACGGAGGCAGGAGATTAAATAAACCTGAAAATTATTTTAGGTCCTGATCATGAGGCAGAAATATGAAATTCTGAGAAGGTAAGTCAGAAAGGTTATAATTGTTTGTCAAAAGTCAAAAAGATTAAAAAATCATGCAAAAAGAGAGTCATAGTTGAGAGATATAAAGGTCAGAGTTAGAAATAGTCGTTATCTTAAATTCATATATTTTTGTTATGAGATAAAAATGAAACTGAGATAATTAATCATAATTTTCAAACTCATCATTCTGTTTTATCACAGAATTTCTACTTTTATAAAATAAAGACTTTTTATCTCATAATCACGACTTTCTCATAGTTTTGACTTTTAAAGTTATGATGTTATATCTCCAAAATTGACTCATATTTTCAGATTTACTTCCTCATGAATATAGATTACTATCACACGATAATGACTTTAATCTCATAATCATGACTTTTCATCCTGTAATAATAACTTATTCTCTCATTTTATCTTTTTTATCACGTTATTTTGAATTTCTTTTACATTTTAATGATTTTTCATGCATAATTATGACCTTTCATCTCACAGATATGTTTTATCCCATAACCATGACTTTTTATTAAATTTCTATATCATACCTTCTTAGAATTAGGACTTACTTTACTATTAATTTGACTTTTTGTTTTTAATTTTAACTTCCTATCGAGGATACTCTTTTCACTCAGGCCTGGTTTTTAGCGTTTAGCATTTAGCAGCATCCTAGTTCACAGACACTAAGAAGCAGGATGCTAACATTATGCTAACATTAGCCTTAAGGTAATCAGTCTGTCTGACAGTATTCAGACCTGAAACACAGCTGGATGCTCTTCTGGTGTTTCTTCATGTTCTTCATTCGCTGATCGATCAGCATCTGTAAAATATTCATTTCTTTTATTTACAAAGTTAACAAGAATCTAGCTGTTAGTTTCTACTCTGAGATAATCACAAAAAATTAAACTCTTCAACAAAAGTGAGATTTTAAAGTGGAGCAGAAAGAAAAGAGAAGTTTGTGCCCTCCTTTTTCTGACCCTGAGGGGACGAATGAATCATTCAGAGTTCCTCTCAATGACCTCCTGATGGGTGCTGTCATCATCCAGAGAGGCTGTTCGCTACATGGGTGTGTGTGTGTGTGTGTTCATGTGTGTGTGTGTGTTCATGTGTGTTCATGTGTGAGCAGTGTAGTGGGCCCAGGCACTGGACGTTATCTGACACAGTGTTTGTGAGAGTCTGAGACATGCTCGTCGTGTCCGCCGGGCGACCTTGGCGAACACGGCCGTTGGCTGAGAGAGGTGATGTGTGTGTGATGTGTGTGTTTATCTATGAGACGATATCACGGCGGCCTTGTGGGCTGAGCTCTTATATACAGAGGCTCTCAGACGGCCTCAGACAGAAACACGAGTCCTCTCTCTAACAGAGATCTCTCTGCCGCTCGTCCACGTCTTCCAGGTTTGAATATCTGAGATTTTATTCTTAAAACTTGTAGAAAACTCCTGAAACAGAAAAATGCTGCCTGCAACCTTCAAACTGTGTGCCGGCATCTCCTACCGGCACATGAGGAACATGACAGGTGAGTGAGAAGAGCCTGTTTGACTGTCAGCTCCTGCCTCGGCCTAGTTTGACTAAGTTTGACGCTGTTTCCTCTAAAGCTGCTCAGTGTTTCCTTGTTCACGTTTCTCTCTTTTATTGAAGGGGTTATGAATTACACTAACTGAACTCCTCTTCCCTCTCAGGTCTGAGGAAAAATGCCATGGTTGCCATTCACCATGAGCTGAACAGACTGGCAGGTCCAGGTCCGAGTAACTGGATCAGTCAAGTCCGCAGACGAAGCTCCATCCTCAGTGAGTTTTTCTTCGATCGCAGCGATAAACGGTTTTTGGTTTGGGTTTAAAGAGATGTGTAACCAGTCTGTGCTCCTTTAGGTTCTCGTATTGAAGAGGAGGAAGGATACAGCGAGGAGGAGATGTCTTATGTGAAACAAGGTGAGGATGCTCTGAAGAAGGCCATCAGCATCCTCAGCGATCAGGACGGCTGGACTCTGGAAACTGTGGCTGTGAGTATCACAGGTGCATCAGGAGAAATCCAGGAGATGGTCTGAGGTTATAGTGGATTTTTCTTTACAGGCGAATGGAGACAAAGTCCTGAGTAAGACTCTGCCTGACATCGGGAAAGTGTTCAAGCTGGAGGTGACGCTGGAGCAACATCCTGACAGTCTGTACCAGGAGCTGGTGGGAAACATAGAGCAGATGGGGGAGTGGAACCCCAACGTCAAGCAGGTGAAGGTGAGAGACTCAGCTCAGAGCGTAAACAGGGACTGTTGTAGACCTTCAGAGGACTGAAACCAAGTTTCTCACCGGGATGTGACAGATTCTTCAAAAGATCGGCGTGGATACGATGGTGACACACGAGGTGTCTGCAGAGACACCCGGGAACGTGGTGGGACCCAGGGACTTCGTCAGTGTCCGCTGTGCCAAACGCCGCGGCTCCAGCTGCTTCCTGGCTGGGATGTCCACGCAGCACCCAAAGATGCCCGAGCAGAGAGGTGTGGTCAGGTGAGTCCCAGAAAAACGATGAACGTGTTACAGAAGACGTGCATCATGTGGAGAATAAACAGAGGAACACAGAGCAGTTATACTAAAGGTGAAGACCAACAACTGCAAACTGAAGCGTCTCTGGAAAAGGAAATCACAGCAGAAGGATCCTGGAGCAGCTGTATGATACGACACCATGATATAATATAGTATAATATAATATAATATGATATAATAATGTATATATACAGTATTTATGTAGCTCCAAGTCAGAACCAAAAGAGCTGGTCTAACCTTTGGATGGAAGATCCAACGTAAAGATCTGGTACAACTCTGAACCTGATAAAATAACACTGAAAAAATATGAAACTGTAAAATACTCTGAGTTATGGTATGATATATAACATCATATGGTACATATTTATACTATACTATTATGATAAAATACGACATGTTAGGATATATTAGGAAACATTACAATATTATACAATACACTACAATACTTCATGACACGAAAACATACAAGATACAGAACTATACAATATGATATGAATATAACCACACACTAAGATTCTATATAATATTATACAATATGATAGATTATGATCTAATACTATTTAATACCAAACATCATGATATGAAATGATATGATAAAAAAGATTTAAATATGTTTTCTCTACACTTTACAATAAGACAGGAAACTAAACGATACGGTTTGATGTAATTCTGCGAGATCTGAGAAGTGATGAGACAAAAAAACAAGTTTTTTAATGAACTTCCTGGAAAACTGAGGTTTTAGAGATACGAGATTTCTGTGACGACACGAGACGCTTCATCATAGAGAGATCACAAGTAGAACATACAGTACACAGATTTTCACGTATTTCTATATACAAATACATTTAAAAAACAACTACACACACCTCAGTGAGACAAAGACTGTTTGTGTTTCATATTTTAACCACTGTTCTCTCTGTGTTTGTCTCAGGGCGGAGAACGGCCCCACCTGTATAGTCCTGAAACCCTGCGCTGAAGACCCCGATAAGACCAAGTTCACCTGGTTGCTCAACATAGATCTAAAGGTAAAAGACTAGATCCGGTCTGCTCAGATCTTTAACAGTATTTCATCTGATCTAACGGCGTCTGTGTCTCTTCAGGGCTGGATCCCAAAGACCATCATAAACAAGGTGCTCTCTCAGACGCAGGTGGACTTCGCCAACCACCTCAGGCACAGGATGGCTAATAACGTTTCCATGGAGATGGCTCACGCCTGCTGACACAAGATGCCTCTTGAGGGTGGCAGATGAGATTGTGAGGATGTTAATCTGAGACTTTAGGAAAAACTGAGCCCTGGTGTTGAGTTTAATAGACCAAAGTGTGTTAGTCCCGCCCCTTTTAGTAGAAATATTAACTTTCTCCCAGTCAGGATTTTATGAACTGTGTGTTTGGATTATTTAAACCCATCAGAACAAACTGCTCATTGTTTCCTGATTACAACCTGTTTATTGTCCCTCCTCTGCTGTAAAACTGCACTTTTATTTCACTTCTTTATTTATTAATGGGTCACACACATGCATTACATTTCAGTGAATAACTGATGTGATAACTATGAATTTGTTTTTCTGCTGGTTTAACAGTTTGGGAGGAGATTTCTGTCTTTTTGTGATGCATGAGAACCAAAATAAAAGCTTTTAAAACAGTTCTTTTACTTTGTTTGAATCAATCAGAGCGTATTTAACACACTGACGGAAAAGCAGAGAGGTATAACGGTCATCATGCAAAAGACGAGGCTCAAACTGAACCTGGAAAGTCTGCAGAGATCCCCGTTCATCATGAAGGAGGGGAAGAAGAAGAAGAGGGAATGGAAGGGCTCTTTTTTGGAAACCTTGAAAGTTCATAAAAAATGTCTTCCTCCTCCTGAAGGATTTCCAGCGTTAAACTTTGCCAGATTGAGCAGGTGTTTGGCTGTTTACACGTGTGAGGAGCCCAGCATCGAGCGAGGAGGTTTGGTGGGAGCCAGCAGCACATTCCCCGAGATCAAGTAACGATGGATTTCATCCCAAACAGGAAATCTGTCCTCCATTATTGAGAGTTGTGTAACATTTTCCTATCTTGCGCAGTTTTGATCGATCCAAAAGGTTTTGTAACAGCTCATTTTCCTGGCTGTGGTGCATATTCACTCCCCGTCTCATTCGGTTAACAAGACTCCGAATACTCGCCAGAACAACATCAGGTTTAGTATTACACGCCATGAAGACCTGAAGGAAGTTTCCAGCAAGTAGAAATCTGCTGTGACTGTTTTTCACTGTTTTCAATCGTGGCTCTGAGGATCCAGGCCCCGGAGACAAACGCCCAGTTTTGTTGATTCTGACTCTAAATAAAACAAACTTCATCAGGACGGCTCAAAGAGTTGGCGAGTGTAGAGCAAAACAAATATTTTTCTTCTTTGAAAGAATGTTCCTGTGGGTAATAATTGACATCAGCTTGAAATGCCTCAAAATCTGAACATAAGCAGATGTGAGGAGGTCTGGAGCTCCAGTTTCACTACATGTCTAAAAGTGAAGAGCGGAGAATTTCGGGGTTAGGACAGCGAAATTATCCAGGGAGACAAAACAAACGACCCGGCAGTCATACTGAAGCCCTGGCACAGATGACAGACTTGATTAAATTTGTTTGGTTTTTCTGTCCAATATCCATCCGTGTGTCCTTGACTGAAAATCCACTCCAAACATCAGTCTCCTTTCTGTCGGGGAGACCAAAAATCTGCACTGTTTCACAGAGACCCCAAACACCATCACACGTCTGAGCTGGTTTTATATGGAGGCCTCAGGTGTGACCCTCACTTCATATGATGAATTCAAAAATTTAGGATCTTAATTTTGCATTAAGTCTCATTAAATCTTGTTAACTTTAAACTCAGAATTCTGAGAGTTCGCAGCATGTGGGAGGTAAAAAAGTCAAAATAAGGACTTTTCTTCTGAGAATAATGAGTTTAAAGACTTTTTCTGACTGTTTAATTTAAACTTTTTTGGCCTGAAGTCAAAATTCTTTATTCAATCTGAGAATTCTGGGATGAGACAAAGTTGATGTAATGTTTCTCTTAGAATTAAGAGTTTAAATCTGATTAATTGAGAAAACAACCAAAATTTACTCATTATCATGTGAAAACTAACATTTCTATCTCAAAATAAGGAGAAAAATATGTCAAGATTCTGAGAAAATAACCGTAAATTAGTTGTTATCAGAAAAAAGGTGTAAAAAAAACATGGATGTGGAAATTCTCTTTGGAAAAATTTAACATTTCTCTGCTGATTTTTCAGAAAATCAGAGTCTGAGCCGATGGGAGAGAGAAAAAGAGGTCACACTCTCTCTCTCTCTGTTTCTCTGTTTCTCTTTCTCTCTGATATTACTCTTTCTCTCTTCCTTATATTATTCTCTCTCTCTCTCTCTTATATTACTCTCTCTCTCTCTCTCTCTCTATTTCTTATATTACTCTCTCTCTCTCTCTCTCTCTCTCTCTCTCTCTCTCTCTCTCTCTCAGCATACAACAATATCTGAATGTAATGACGTAATGAAGCTAGGGTCTGACAGGAAACCACAATTCCCAGGATGCACCTGAAATTACTGTGGCCACTGGACGGGGGAAGGGAAGCTGAGATTGGAGGGAGAAACAGTCAGAAACTGAGGTACTTTTAAAATGCTTCGTAAGCCATAATGTCGTTGGACAAGTCCCTGCATGTAATATTTTATATTATTTTAAATATACTCTGATGACAGAAGCAGATTAATCCGTGCGGAGCTGTCGCATTTCTCCACCGACTCCATCCCCGTTACAGTTGAACAGCGCTACAGCTAGCCCGTTAGTTAGCCTGACAGCTGGCTTTTCTGGGGTTGTTGGCTTGGTCTTAACTCTTTAATTGCTCACGATACTTATGACATTAATAGTTCAGGGTTTTGCGGGAATTTCTGCCTGTCTTTCGTGCAGTTTAAGTGGACAGTCATTGTGGGTTTGAGGAGAAGCTGAAGCTGCGTCTTTGTGCCTGCGGGGTTACTAGCTGACATGTTGCTAAAGCTAAGTGCTAAAGATAATGTTGGTTAGCTGTCAGTGTCACAGCGGTACAACACTCTCATCATCCCAATAAAGTCCACTTTTTATCAATATTTTACCATATTATTAAGACACACTTATTCCTCCTTGTTGTGATTGACTTTGTAAGTTTAATTCAGTGCGTTTGAATGTTTTATCTTTAGTTTTGCTGTGATTTAATGAACCTGTTTTCTGTATTAGAAGGTTTTAATAACAGTAGATGATTCAAAGTGAGCTACTACTATTATTTAACTATAATTAACAAATTTGTGGTGTTTTATAAGAACTGTTTGTGCTGTTTTGGTTACGATCCGGTACTTTGAACAAGGACTGGGCGATTTGGCCAAAAAAATAATCACGATATATTTTGTCATATCGTCCGATCTCGATTATTATCACGATTTCTTTTAAATTGCCAGTTTTAAAACATCTGTTCTAAAAACTTAAGAAAGTAGAAATTGGTCCAACATTTTATTAACATACAAAGTAAATAACAAAGCAAATTGAATAAGATACTCTTAAAAATATATAAAAACAATTTTAACTCTACAGTACAACAAATGTAGATAAATACTGAATAAATGAACTAGTTTACAGCCCTGAGTGTGTTTGCAGGTAAAAGTATAAGGAAGTTACATTTAAATAGGGTAAAACTGCTTTAATTAGACTTTAACTTCCATAACATGAGCATGCACACTATAGGTAATCTAACCCAAACCAATATAACAGCTGTATATTAAAAAAATCCTCATTCTGGAAGTTTCTCAATCATCTGTTTCTGTCAACATGATCAAACAGGTGATCACTGTATTTCATATTTATGTTTGAAGACACAGAGGGTGGTGCAGCTGAACTTGAGGGTGTTATTTGAAAGATAATAGATGAGAAACAGATTTGAATTAGAAAGAGACCGATAAATGAGGCTCATTATTGGTATTTTGAAATAATGTGCATTAGTTAATTCCCGCGCTTATAAAGCCAGTATAAGAATAAATCTAATAATTACAAAATCCTGACAAGTGTTTCATTTAAATTGTTATGATGTACAGAAAAATGGAGTTTAATATTGCCTCCAGTATGATTTAAAGTACAATTATCACCCGTCTGACAATGCCAGTAAAAACTGGAAATGTCAAAGTTCTGTAAAAGTGGAGTTCATGGTGTAGTGGTCGAATCGGGTTATATCAGATCAGGGATTGGCTGATGAATCGGTTGGCCAGTTGAGCTAAAAGCTCTTTAAAGTGTCTTTTCCATCTCAGTGACACATCCTCTTTAGTGTCGTATATTTTAACCATCCTTTGGTCATGTTTTCCAGATATTATGTGACAGCCCCTCCTAAGGACTCTGGCCTCACAAGAACTCTACCCATGACCTATATCTCATTCAGCACCTGCAGTTCTCACCTCGGACGTGAACTGCTGTCTCATGTGAGGCTGAAGACATAAAATAAAAAAAAGCTCTGCTGCGAGTAAACTGAACTGGAACTGTCTGACTGTCAAAAGAATGATTTGTCTCCTACAAGGAGAGCCCAGCCCTGAGAAACAATGTCCTTATCTATCTTCTGTGCACCTCTGATGGGGTTGAGGAGTGAACCCAAGAGCCGAGCAGATCTGTGGAGGAGAGGGAAACGGCAGATTTCTGCGAAACTCGAATGTTGATGGGTCGCTGTTTCCTCATGTCAGCTCTTGGAGACTGAAACCTGCACATTTCTGTCAGTTACCACGCTTCAGGTTGGACTTTTCATCAGCTGTAAGAGACTGTACTGCCATCAGATTCACAGAACCGTCGCTGTTACACAGAATCAAGGGAATATGATGAGTAAAACTCGCACCGGTGACCATCCTGCAGAGTCCTCCTGGTGACCGCTGATTTCTCTGTTTGTATGAGGAGGAACGGAGAGGAGCACAGATACATGCAGACACTAAAAACGTGCACTACAGACACCATGGTGGTCATCGCATCAGCTCGTCAGCCCATCTCAGACTACAGGAGCCTTTAGAGGCCAGGACCAGGAACACACCCGCCAGCCGACACACTCATATGCAATGGAAGAAGACATTGATGTCACAGCCCACACGGAGGTAACACTACCTCACCTTTGGACTCTTAAGTTTCTAATCGGTAATCTTGTTGGAGTGTTTTGGTCCACAGTAACTTAACATCATCAAAACAAATTAACCTCTGCTGCTGAGCGCTTCAGTTCAATGAAACTTCACGTTGTCTCACCATATCCATAATAACTTTCTCTTCCTGTTTGACTCTGTGGTACCAATGAAACATGCTGGAGCTCATTTGTTTAAGTGTTTCTGTCACATGTGTTTAACTTCAGGCCTAAGGTCAACCGTGCTGCCTCTGCTTTAGCTGTAATCTCTGCTCTGGCTCGCTTTGGATGTTGCCATGGAGGCAGCTGACAGGGCACTTCCCTTATCCCCAGCTTGGTTCTCTAGCCTCAACATTACTCCTTCTCCTCCCTGGCCTTTAGCCTTGTGTTTTGCTCCTTCTGTAAACAGTAGGATAAGTATGTCCCCTCGCCTGGCTGGATGCAGCCTAACATGGCAGGGACGGTTATCCTCAGAGGAGGTGCAGCCCTAAAGAGCCTCCTAAAGAGCCTCCTTCATGCTTAATGCGTGCGTCTACTTACATGAGAGGTATCACGACAAGTAAGAAGAAGTGTTTGGATGAGGTCCAACTCTAAAAAGTATTTAGAGTTTAGATTTTGTTTATTTTTTTTCACTTCCTGGATGCCAGAACAAACAAAAAGTGACGCATGCAGCCATGTTGGAAAAATGAAGGCTGCAGTGTTTTTACATTCTGCACATATTTGAATCATCTGCTCTGTTTCTAATCTCCTTTTAGGGCCTGAATGGTTTGTCCCATGAATGTAAACCATTAGAGGAAATCACCAATGGACACTCCAACCATAAGCCTGTGAGTGCAGCAGCAGCAGCAGCAGCAGCAGCAGCAGCTAAGAATAAGCTCTTATTGATCCTGTTTAATGAGTTTTTCCTGGCCGCTCTTTTATTTAGATGTCGCCTCTCTAAACTTTTTATTTCTCAGGTCATGAATGGACTGATACCGAGTCACAATGTCAGAGACCACACCAACGGCAGCGCACCACTCAGATCCCTGCCGGTACTCACATCTCTGTCCTCACTCACTCCAGTCAATATGAGACAGTTTGGTTTTAAATTTGACGTTAAATTTATTTGTTGATCTTTCAGATTTCAGCGCTGAAGCAGAACGGTCTCCTGCAGACCCTGGCAGCCGGAGGGGACCAGCCTAAGCCTACAGGTAACACACCCAAACTCCCACAGCCTCTCATTTGTCTCTCGCCTTCTTCCCACTGGAGTTTGTGGGTGTATCCTAGATACCAGGTGGGTGTTAGAGACACCCCTCCCCCAAGAGTGCAGGTTGCTTGGGTCTCTGTGACACACACAGGGATCAGGTCTTTGAGTCAAGAAGGATTTTTAACTAAGGATGGGTGTTGGGCCTTTTGGCCGAGTAGAAACTCATCTCTGTCTCAATAAGCAGTAAAGAGAGAATATGAGGTGAAAGTGAAAGTTCAGGGGTGAAGGGTTTAGTCAGTTTAATATGATAAAGTGACAGTCTGATGATAAATAAATACACTGCAGAGTCTCAGGGATGTAAGTCTCGCATCATCTCAGCACTTTTCTCCAGGATGGTGAACCGGTCTGTAGAAATGTTCCTGTTTCTGTCCAGGATTTCCAACGCAGACTCAGCGCTCGACAGTGCGACCGTTTCACTCTCATTTATGACTAAAAATAGATGTGTGCGAATCATAAAATATATTTAGGGTCACATGTGCGCTTAAAAAAATCTGCCGAGGAAACAAATGTTTTTTTTCCTGTAAATACGGCGGTGAAGTTAGTTTCAGGTTGGATATATTTTCCTGTAAATACGGCGGTGAAGTTAGTTTTAGGTTGGATATATTTTCCTGTAAATACGGCGGTGAAGTTAGTTTTAGGTTGGATATATTTTCCTGTAAATACGGCGGTGAAGTTAGTTTCAGGTTGGATATATTTTCCTGTAAATACGGCGGTGAAGTTAGTTTCAGGTTGGACATATTTTCCTGTAAATAAGGCGGTGAAGTTAGTTTTAGGTTGGATATCTGACGGACATTCTCTGAGGATCTACCGGTGTCTTCTCACTCTCCATAACCGGGAATAACAACAGCAGCGCGGTTAAATCTACTTGACACCCTCACTGTCAACGTCGGTGTTGAATAAGGGACCGTCAACAAATTACCGGTTGATGTTCTCAGAAAAGGCTGTTTTCCTTCAATAGCTTCACTGTCATGTGACCAAAAGACCTAAAATTGATTTCTAACAATAGTACTTATGTCCACCAATATGAGAAATATTATTTGATCAATTTTCATTGTTCTCCTAAAGCTCTTCATGTGCTCCTCACTTTTTCAACTTTGGAGCACCTGTGAACAAAGTTCGTGTGAAGCCCTGAGACCGTCGAGTCGATCCTGTGAAGACCTAAAGGAGTAAAATGAAACTCTGTGTGTCACCTCATACTGGATCCACGTCCACCCAGACTCTGTTTTATGTTTCCTAGAATCTGATGGTGGCTCAGACCATCCCTCCTCCTCCTCCTTATCACGCTCTGGATCCATCTGCCTGATAGTTTTATGAAATCTGGCTGCTCTGTGTTTGACAGGAAACATCTGAAACCTCCCTCTCTGGACTTGTTTTTTTTTTACTGAATTGTCCTTTAATGAGCGTCTCCACCAGAGGAACAAATTTCACAAACTCCATCCAAACACAGCTCACTTATCTTAGAAATATCTAATTCTGACTTTTCTCCACAGAGGATGACGATGATGATGATGATGATGATTTGGAGAAGGCGAGGCAGGAGTGGGAGGCTCTGGAGAACGTTCAACCAGGTGAGATCCTCTCCGCTGTTTCACCTGTTCGTGTTTCTCCTTTTCTCTTTGTCGTTTATTTTTAATGTGATGTTCTGCAGCTCTCACAGAGGACTCGAACCCGACCCCGCTCATCTCCTTCAATGAAGCCCTGCAGTACTTTCAGACCACAGACCTCGGGGACTTGCTGGTAAGGAACGCCACTTTGCACTAACTCTCTAACTGGCGCTCACGGCCCGCTCTAAAATCGAAACAAGTCTAAAAGATGGACGCCGTTATGAGCGAACATAAGAAATGTGCGTGTTTATTAATACACAGGATTTAATGATTTCAGCGTCAGTGTTTCTGCACAACAACAGAGTTAAAGACGAGATTTTACGCTCATTTCCAGGTTTTTCATCGTCTTAAAAGTCATATATTTGATTTTAAAAAATGTTCAGCGCCTCTGTGAAAGCACTCTGGAACTCTCCTCCACTGTTGCCATGCTGTAGGTTTGTCACCACTGAGTTGATTAATGTTTCTATGAAATACGGCTCCATGTTTTGGATCCTAAATCTTTCCTGGAAAGTTTGGAAAGACGCACATCGACGGTTTGTTCCAGGTTTGAGTTCAGCCGTTATTCCTCGTGTCACTTCCTGATTTCTCCCCGAGTTTCCTCCTCCATCCTATCCTGTATCCTCTCATATAAAGGTTAAAAAAACAACGACTAATAATTTAGAGAACCGGTGGGTTAGTGTTGACATGCCCTCATGAAGAGTTCTTCAGTCTGTTCGGAGCAGCCTGCAGTTTAATCCTGGGATCACTAAACACACATTTACTTCACCATCACAAACTCCGCCGATGTTCAGTGTCGACATCGAACATGTTGATCAGAAAAAAAGCATAAAAGCAGGTCTTTAGATCTCCATATATCCACTCATAATCTAGAAAGACATTAAAACTAACTGTTTCATTGAGAAACAGGAAGTGAGGTCACCTGACAGTGAGTGAAATAAAGACTTGACCATGTGTACGTGACAGGGGAACACCATCAGCGGGACACCATCAGCGGCTCCTTCAGCTCCGAACAGACAGATCTGACAGATTACAGCCGATTTATCGTGTTAATGGTGATGTAATTATTTCTTTTGTCTGTAGAAGAACATCCAACCCACCATACGCAGGACCGGTCTCGCCGCCATCACACACTTCCTGTTCGGACCTCCTCGGCTGCACAAAGAGCTCCTGGAGGAGAGGGATCTGGTCTTCGCCATCGCACAGTGTGAGTGTTGGTTCGCCGGGCCTGTTTGTCCGATCGTCTCAGTTCTTCAGTTTTTAGATTCGCCTGTTTGTGTGTTTTTTTTTTCTTCAGGCCACGTGGACAACAGCCAAACCGTCCACATGCGTGTCCTCCAGACCATTTATAAGAGGCTGATCGGCTGCAGGCTGGACTGTCCTCGCTTTGGGACACACTGGGAAAACATCGGCTTTCAGGGTGAGACGGGTTTGGACCCTCGACTGTTTACAGACGAAGCATTTCTGGACTCGTCAGTTTCACACAGAAACAGCAGAGCTTGTGTCAAAGCGGTGAAGTGTTATAGATTTCTCTACGTGAATAAACCGATAATCTCTGTAAGAAATGTTTTAGAAACCTCGCTCTGATATAAAACTCTAAAATCAATGTTAGTGAGGGAGACCTGAATCAAAGCGGGGATCCTCTCTGACTCTTGGTTCTGGTTGGTTCACATCCTGCAGGTACAGATCCAGCCACCGACCTACGCGGCACCGGTTTCCTGGGACTGATGCACACTCTGTACTTCGTGATGGACCCAGAGACCCTACCGCTGGCCAGAGACATCTACAAGTTATCACAACACCCCACACAGGTACAGTATCCCCGGGTTTGAGGGAGGAACCGTTGTTTGATTGACGCCGAGCGCAGCAGGGAGTAAAATCTCTTTTTCTCTGTTTCAGAACTTTCCATTCAGTGTGATGTCAATCAACATGACCCGCATCGCTCTGCAGGTACTCAGAGAGGAGGCCTTGTCCAAGTGAGTCAGCCCTTTAGTTTATCAGCAGCGTCCTGAGGTTGTTTGTTCATACGTGTGTTTTCTCACTCTGACGCCTCTTCACCGTCCAATCAGGGAGTGCAATCGTCGTCAGCAGGTTGTTGGTGTGCTGAATGAGTTCTACGTTGCCACTTATCTGCACCTGTACCAACTGTGGAAGACCCAGCAGAAGACCATCGTTGACTCTGGCTTTGTGCTAAAAGGTAAAGAGAAATGAATCGAGTTTGTAATCATCTAAGGACGCAGCACCCGGCTGAATAACGTCTCTCTAAGATCACCTAACAGCTTAAACAGACGGACATGACCATTCTTATCCAACTTTAAAATGTTGCACTGGTCCTTTAAACCAGTGGTTCTCAACTGGTCTCACTCTGGGACCCACATTTTCCCATGGTCCTTAAGTCACGACCCACTTTTATAGAATTCAAACCAAACAAATTAATTTTTTGTGTTAAAAAAATCCTTTAAAGACTCAAATCTTTAACACAAATTCAACCATTTTATTGGGTAAAGTGCATTTTTGAGAACATGAACTGAGGACGACAACGACTGACGTTGCATATAAAGAAAATATCAAATATTACATAAATATCAAATTGCACAGAATAAGCTATTTTTCAAAATAAAAGACCTGTCAAACATCATCTGTTGGCGGCCCATCCAGAACGTGTCCGCGACCCCCTTTTGGGTCGGGACCCACCAGTTGAGAACCACATCTTTAAACTGTGAATCTTTGCGTCTCACTCAGCAGCAGGTCACAGAAACAGACTCGGACACAGACAGACGGTCGGTCCTCTCGCTGTGAATCTCTCTGTTTTTTTCTGACCCCTCAGAAGTGGAGCTGTTTGCCAAAAAGAACCCCAAGCAGATGCTGCGCCGACTAGAGGTCTTCCTGAAAGAGAAACGGGCAGGTGGGATCCCCCGCGGGACGTCGCCAGACCCTCAGGCCCAGCAGTCCTCTCCCGGCCTGGGGGAGCGTGGGGCCAGATCCGGGACGGGGGGCAAGGGGAAGGAGATGCACTTCACCGGAGTGTGTGATCTGCCGCCAGACATGGAGGGAGAGGCCAGACTCATCTAAGCTAGACTCTGCATGAGTGAGTGAGTGAGTGAGTGAGTGAGTGAGCGAGTGAGCGAGTGAGCGAGTGAGCGAGCAGTCCCTGTGTGAGTCTATCTATCACAGTATGTGTGAGTGGCGTACTCTCAGAGAGCTAAACCCCCTCCAGACCCTGATCCCGGACCGTCTGTCTGAACCCATTTGAACACTTCCACTCCTCCCTCTGACGCTGGAGTGCTGCACTTTGATCAGATTAAGCTAAGGGGTCTCTCAGAGTCCGATTTGATTTATTTTTTTAATTATTGATTTCTTTCTAAAGCATTAAACGCTCGGACACAAAGACGGGATGCAGGTCAGGAACACAAGATGTCACAAAACAGCGAAGAAGAAAGTGAATGTTTGCACTTTTCTACGGATTTAGTAGCCTGATGGATAGCTGCCAAATTCTTGTGGTCAAACTCTACCTGCCCAGAAGTCCAGAACACACACACGCACACACACACACACACAAGTACACACGCACACCCGTGTCTCCAGGACCTTTTTGTCAGGGTATGTTGGTGTCGCAGAGACGGGAGCATCTGAACAGGCTCCCTGATAAAACTCTTTCCATGAGCACGCTCACGGCTCATCATGCAAGCTAAGGGCTGCTGCTTCGTCCGATTCGTTGTTGAGGTTGAAGCTCCACAGAGACGGCGTGAGAAGTGTGTGGTTCAGCGTCTTCTAGATCTCCATGGATGGATGGATATTTGTGACCGGGAGCAGGAAGTGCTTCTAAAGCTCTTCTCCTTCAAAGTTTGATCACTTTAGCATTTCCTGTCTGAGCGTTGATGGAGTAACCGTCATCAGGTGAAGGTGAGCTGTGGTCTGGATGATGAAGGTGTAGCCTGTTGTTGGTGTTTGTTGTCAGAGGTCTGATAGACTAGCTCCAGAGCTCCCCGTGAGTGGGGGGAATATATTTTAAATAATTTATAAAATAACTATCTTAGTCTTTTTTTCTGAAGGGGACAGCTGTAATAACTTTAATGTGCTAAAGCGCTTCAGACAGCTGCTCTTTAAAGGGATATTTCACTCATTTTAAAGGGAGCTTGGATGAGTGACACGCCTCTACTCAGTGTTTCAGCCTCAGTGGGTGTCGTAATGTTAATCACCATAACCCTCCGATCAGACGCAGTGATGTGTTTAGAGTTCGTTATTTCAGCTTCAGCAGCTAACTTTGTAAAAAAACACTGAGAGCTGAACTCTGAAGACGCTCTAAAGTTCAGCTGTTCTGACTGAAGTCCTGAATGTTGAAGAAAGTGGAAAAAAACCCTAAAAACTAGAGCTCACTCAGAGTCCTGTTTTTACTGGTGTTTTCCCAGTAAAGGGGTTGATTAATTATTGACCAACACCTGCTGTTCCTTTAACACTTCCTAGTCACGTGTAATTCATGCAACCTCACCTCCGAAATACAGAGACATCCCTTTAAGCCAGCTGACGGGCGGGTCGTTTCACAGAGACGTCTGAAACTCTTCTGATTTAGAGACGCTCCTTCGTCTCCGTGTGTGTGTGTTCGGATCGGTCACGACTTCAGTCGAGGTCTGGGATGAGCTTTCTCTACATTCCGTTAAAAAGCATGTGATTGTAATTTCTTTTGACCAGTTCAAAGTTTATTCCAGTGTGAGTGTGTGTGCATGTGCGTATGTATGTGTGTGTGTGATGACATGGACGAGCTGATATTGATGAAGGGTGCCTCTCTCAGGAGAAGTATGGTACAGTATGCAATCGCAGCTCGGACTCAATGATAATCAAAACGATAGTGCTGTGTGACGATAGAAATCGTTCTTAACTTCAGGGTTTGTGCGCTTGTGTAAGCGGATGTGTGTGTGTGTAAGTGTGTGTGTGTGTGTGTGTGTGTGTGTGTGTGTGTGTGTGTGTGTGTGTGTGTGTGTGTGTGTGTGTGTGTGTGTTGTATGACAGGAACTGACTACAGATGGGGTGCTTTCCTCTGCACACAATAAGCCAGCTTTACTAAGTACTTGATCCATCAAGCTGCACAGTTGGTACTTCAGTCATTTTAAAAAAATGGTACATAACATTTCTGAAGAACACACTCTTTTGGTTGGCTTTTAAACACACACACACACACACACACACACACACACACACACAGCTGGTTTCAGAATGGGTGGAGCTCCTCAGCAAAGCTGGTTCCTGCTCTGTGCTAATGTGAAACCGTCTCCCATCACCGTAGTCCAAATCTGTAGCATGTTCAGGTAGCACTAGTACTGTAGCATCTTATAGCCTCCTCCTCCTCTCCTCCTCCTCCTCCTCCTCTTCCTCTTCGTAAAGCTTGTTGATGTCATGTCTCAGTTACAGTCTGTAGTGTCGATGAGTGCGCAAACTGTTACTACTATAGCACATTTATTTCCTATTTGCATTTTCAGTCCCCGTCAGTGGACACACATTCAGGTGGCGCAGCGCGTGTTTTAGAGAGATGTGGGATGAGTTTGAGCTCTTTTCAGACACGCAGCACCCTGGAAGTTTCCAGAAAAGTTCAGGTGCTCTTTCCCATCCAGATGTGTCACCAAGTGTCACTCGGAGCCTGTAATAGATGATCGAACACACTCCTACATCTCTGACAGGACAAACAGAGACAGAGGTGGAGTGATGGACACCTCTCTGAAAATCTGAGATAAAAGTTTCATATTAGAAAAACAAAAACATGCTGCCTTATCCAGAAAAATAAGAAATACCACAAACTCACCACCTTTGTAATCGATTTGCACAAATGCAGCATTTTCAACCAATTAAAAAAAACAGAGAGAGAGGACTCCAGCTCACCTGGACTTCACCCTGGAGTGATACCGGGGAGCTCGCAGGAAAAAGTCCAGGTGAAGTCAGCGCCCACAGGGTAAATTCTGGACGTTTTCAGGACCTTGGTGCGTGTGTGAAAAGAGCTCCGGTCGTGTTCTCAGGCTCAGTTTGTCTTCTAAGAAGGTAACAGTGAAAATGGTGCCTACACCCAGTGGAGCTGTGTTGGTTGGTCCTTGCTTCCTTGTTTTTTCTTTCATTTCAGCCACTGTGCCACATTAGACCGCCTCCATTCATGTACCGCAGTGAACAGAGTTGATGTGACCCTAAAACACGCCGGCCTCGTGGTTATCGACATAAAAACGCCCGGGCATGTACGAACCGTCGTACTCCTCTCTCCACTGAAACGTCAAAACGAGCTGATGTAGTTTAGCTTCTCGTTTGCAAGTGTCTTGATTGAAGAGAAAATTTGCACTGTTGTAGATATTTGATAGTATGTGTGGTGTATGCGAGAGGAAGCAGGCCATCATGGATAGCCATAATAACGTTGATCATTGACCCCCCGCCTCATTACACAGGATTCATTTAGCCCCCTCCTCACTGAGAAAATTGCACCATGGATATGATCTCATGTTCAGTTTTATTCAATTCAAACTGAGGAGCAGTACAGTGTATGTAAATCAGGAAGTTTGTACATAGAGAATTAATGATTGTAACTGTATGATTGTCTGTAGGGCATTATACTGAAACACATTGCTTACCTCAAGACTTGAGACAAATCTCTTCTTCTTCTTTCTCTCCTCTCAGTCGGACTTTTTTTTACGTTTCCTTCTACCTAGGCCTTCTCTCATACAAATTGGATATGATGTTATATGATGTATATTCAACACCTGAAGCACTGCGTAATAGCAAACTAACACAGAAAGCTGGTCGATGTTGAGTGTATTCTATTAAAAGACATTTATAGAGACTATATAGGCCCATGTGCGCTCTGATACACACCTGCAGATCTCAAAGCTCCTGTTGAAAACCACCTTTAATTGGCTGCTGTTGAAATAAAGCCTGTTTTCTTGTGGCTTCAGTGATAGTTGGGTATACTTTTGCTGTGTTTAAGTGTTCGGTGTCCAGGAAAACACTCAGAAACAATCCAGTCTTTACAGCTACAGTCACAAACAAACACCTAAATATTTGATTGTAAAGGTATCGGCTTAAATAGCAGTCTTAATGCGGTGTATGCTTTGACCTCTGACCCTGGTATTATACAGTATCCAAACAAGGCCTGATTTATCCCCTCATAGCACCAAAAGTGTTTCTATTTTTATTTTTCTGAAGTTGTACTCGGTCATGTTCTTCTGCGTTGATCATCGTTTAGAAACCTCCTCAGTTGTGAAACCAGAACCAAGAGAAAAAAAAAAAACACAAAACGGGTTCTTGCAGGATGTCGGATGCTCTGAGAGGTGTGGTGTGAAGTTCTGCAGCAGCTCGACAAATACAATCACTTCTCCCAAGATCCTGCGCTTTATATGAAGGTGTTTTACTGTTGCCGTCATAGTCATGTCCCTCAGAGCATTTTATGACTGTACCTTGATTGTAGAAGCCCTATTTTATACTGAGAGTAATTTCAGAATACAGTATGTGCTGTTGTACATTTAATGTATTGTATGGAGAAAGCTAAATAAATGCTGTTTAAAAACTTATGCATCTTCTCCTCTTTGTCTCTTTTCATTGAACTGAATCGTTTCACACATTACAGCTGTGAGAATCTTGAGGTTTGGCGCCCCCTGTGGACAAACAAGTCCATGTTTGTCTTGTCTTTTACATGCTTTTACTTTTTTTTAGTCATTACAAAAATGTTTTAAGCATTTTTAATTAATTGATATTTATTTATATTGTTTCATTTGTTTTATAAAACACTTTTCAGCATCGAGCATCAGAGAAACCTGCAGGATTAAGGAGCCTAAGGCGCTCAGAGACCCTGGAAAGGTCTGTGGTAAGTGAGTTTATGAGACATGGAGATCATTCATTCTGGTAATTATGGTCAACAGCTCAAAATATGAGGAAAAACAAGTCAAAATAAAAACAGTATGATAAAGTAGAATTGATTATAGAGATGCACCAGTACATCAATCAATCAGCAGCTGCTGCAGTGAGCGCCGACACTTTAACTTCCCAAGTTACTTTAAACTTTTTTATGACCTTTGAGGTCTCTCCACTGTCTTTCAGTTTTGAAGGCAGAAACAGCTTTTTAAACTGTTTTGTCCTCAGAAATCTTTTAGCAGGTTTGAAGCAAAGTTGTTGAGCTTCAACAATTTCAAAAATCTTTCATTTCTTAAACTGAATTTTAAGTGTGTAATGATTGAAAAATACTGAAATAAAGACAAGAGGAGCAGTCAGTGGAGACTTTAAACCAACAAAGAGGACAGTTAGAAATTCTGTTTCATCTTAATTTATTTAACATTTTCATCTGTGAACTCTTCCTCCTTTTTGTTAAGCTCTGGGCTAAGTTCTCATCAGCTGTACATTCAGATATCAGAGTCAGAAATCGAGCAGATTTTAGTGTAAAATTGTGACTTTGCACCCTGGTATGTGTTATTGTTTCAAGAGCTGTTCCCTCAGTCAGCCACTAGAGGGCGCACTTTGATAGATCACATACTTACAGGACTGAAGCTTGTAGAAATCACATTATAGTTAAAGGTGATCCAGGCTGGTTAGTATTATAGCACTGCTAAGGACAAATAATCAGCTGGTCTGTGTAGGGACAGTTATACTTCCCTTCCAGTATTGTCATGTTTAGTCTTCAAATCTGTGTCAGTTTACTCCTGTGGAGTTCAAACCTAATCTTTATTTATTCCCGGTTTGGTTGTTGACTTTAAAGTGAACCTCAAAACTTCCTCTGATGCTTCAGCATTTGGGCGTCACACAAAAACTGGCGAGCTGCCTCTGCACTCTTAAAAGTCTCCGCTTCAGTTTAAGGTTTTTCTGTCTGTGCGTCATCTTTCAGCAGAAACACAAAGTCATTAAACATGTGAAGAACCTTACATTAGCTTGTTTTCTAGAGTACAGGTCAGTTGTACTACAACATAAAAACACTTTGGGGAGTCACAGATTTTGGTTCTGGGTCGGTAAAGTCGGGATGTCTCAGAGGAATCTTGGGGTTGTGTGTTTCTACATCTGTCCTCAATCAGACTCATGGCTCCAGTCCCACAGCACCAGATGACTGAGCTGTGGTGGACTTGCTGAATCATAGCACACACACTCAGGATGGAAAATAATTTCAGCCAAGCCTTTATCACTAATCTGGATCAAAATACAGGCTCCAAGAGTCATTTTTCATAAGCCGTGAATGTTTTGCTTTGCTGTCTGTGCAAATAACTGCTTTCCTAAATGTACACGTGGTTTCAGCGAAGAGTATCACTACAAGAATGAACTTCAGCTAAATCAGTGGGAGGCCTATTAGAGGTTATTAATGTCAAACACAGACATCAGTTTTCTGTGTCCTGCTGGACTGTTTAGGTGTCCTCATGCTCACTGTGAGAGATGAAGAAATGAGAGTTATATAAGTCTGTTTCCATTTGTACCTAGTGAGCCTGCTGGAATACAGCAGTTTTCTCACTCTGTCTGGCCTTCCCTCCCCCCACTCTCCCCTCTTTCACTCCCTCTCTCTCTCTCTCTCTCTCTCTTTCTCTATCTGATGTCATTGTTTCCTGCTCCATAGATGAAGGCTGTGTGCTAAGAGTCTAAATTTAATGTTTACTGTCCCATTTCATCTGACTTCATGAAATTTAAAGACCCCAATAAAAGAGAAGCTGGATCCATTAAGATACATGTCTACAAAGTGTTTTTGCTTCTGTCTGCATCACAGTTAAACTCTGTGTTTGAGCCGCAATTATAGTGCGCAAAGTAGCAGCTCAGGTACAACGCAACATTACATATTTGCACTGACAGAACTGAATATAAGTGATCTGAATGTGAGACGTATTGGTACTTATGAGGCTGTACAAGCAAAATAATGCTCCTCTGAATTTTTTAAAATGTGATTAAGATCATTATAAATTACTTACTAATACTTATTTATACTGCACTAGGTTTGTGTTCATTTTGGCGCCACCTGTGGACTTGTCTCATCTGCAACATGCCTGAGCCGTATCTTAATAAATTAAACAAAAAATTTTAAATCTCATCCTGCCGACTTTTTTACACAGCAATTCTCTGAATATCACGCATAAAAAATGTATTAGAAAATAATTCTTTGTCAATAAATGAAAAATAAGACTGAAATAAAAATCACTTTGTCACTTAAGATCTTGTTTTTATTTGTCATAAAAAGACAAAAATTATGAATTTTAGTCGGTTTGATTGTTGATTTTAAAAACTCCTTACAGGTGCTTTAAACTAAAGCTGAAGCTATAAAAATGTCATCCAAATTTATTCACTCTATAAACTAAAAATATATCCAGTATATTATAAAAGACCGTTTCTCTGTAAGGTTTTCATTTTTTTAAATGATAGTTTATTTCTATAAATATCTTTAGGAATTTCCTGTGTGGGACTAATAAAGGAGTATCTTATTTTATGTTATTTTTGCGATTGTGCTTTTTTCTCTGAGAATACTATCTGGGTAGGTCATTGTTATTTCACGTAAACATAAAAGCAGGACCATAGATCAGTATTTTTATGGATTAAAGTCATAAATATCTCATATTCAGAAAAACGTTTTTTCGTAATTCAGAGATGACCATTTAGTTAAATCAGGAAAAAGTCCATCAAATATCCTGATAATATTGAGATAATTATCATCAATTATCATTGTAAATAATCATTTAAATAAACGGCAGACTTTCTCTATAATGAAGCTAACACACTCTTCCGGTTAGCTACTCAGAGCTAACGCTCGCTAGCTAATGCTAATGTTAGCTTAAATGTTCTGGATCTTTTCACCAACATTAGCTAGCTAATGTTAGCTTAAATGTTCTGGATCTTTTCACCGTGTTTTCTTCATTTCTCCACAGTTATCGTTCTCCTTTCACACATTTCTTCAGTATTTATTACACGAATATATTTGAACTCTCTCACAGGCCTGCTGTTTGGCAGCAGATCCCCGAGGATTTTAATAAAATAAGGTTATAATTATTGTATCTAAAATCTCCATTAGTTTTTAATTCTTCGTTTTATTTTAGGTTAATGTTCCTGCAGGATTTGAGAAGGATTTGGGTTAACTTCAGTGAATTCAGCTCCTGTTCTTTAAAAGGTAAGGTGTGTATAATTGAGATTTGTGAATATCATTAATGGATTCATGTAAAAACTTAAAGGTAGCCTCAGTTTCTTAAACCTGCAGTAATCTTTCTCAGTTTTCTTCTTAGTTTATGAGTTTAAAGTCCTGCTATGTGAGTTAAGGTCAATCTGTCAGAGTATTTTAGGTTTAAAGTGTTGTATTTGTCATGAGGCCTTAATATCTCAGAGGAAATGTGTATGTGACAAAAAAGATTTATATTCTTTTGGCTGGTAAAAAATATGACAGACTTGTGGATTTTTTAATCTTCCTACCACCTGATCTGGTGGGTTCAAAAGTTAGTTTTGGACCCTGTGTGTGTTGTATATATTATCACAGTGTCATAGTATAAGTAAATGATAGTGCAGTCTTTTTCCATTTCTTTGTGGTAAGGCAGAGGAACCCATGTCAAAATGGGAGAGCTCATATCTTCCACTGGATTTATCACTGATTTGGATTTATCACTGATTTGGATTTATCACTGAGGGTACAGTGGTAAGGATTCCTCTCCCTGCTGTAGAACAGCTTTGGAGGGAAAAACAGAACTTTCCAGTGAGCTCCCCTGCGTGTCTGTATCTTCGACTGTTGTCTGTATCCCTGCCAGTAGAAAAGGCCTCGGCTTGACCTTACTGTAGTCTGAATTATCTGCTGCATACTTTGGTTCCTTGGTCATATCCTGCACTGATTTCATTAGAAGTCGCAATGCTGTTGTCGTGAAAATCAAATTCTTCACAGTCTTTATTATGAAGTGGAAATACAGCCTGTATGTATACGAGCTAAACTACTTTTGCAGGTGTGTGTGTGTGTCCACCTGAAAAGTCACTCAGTTTGGTGGATTCAGAGGAAAAACTCTTCTGCCTGCACAATATTTTGATTGCCTTGCTTTATGCCAATTTCTGTCCTTCTTGTACAGTAATTCTCCTCTCAGAGGAAGGAGCCAGTGACCTTTTGGTGAATTCAGAAACTGGGGCAGTAAAACTCAACTCAAGGTGATTACATTTAGGAAAGTGCTGCATAGGCAAGGTAATGTGAAACCCTTTTCCCCTGACGTGTTTGCTCTCCAGGTTCACTTCTCTTTTCTTCAATTGGAACTTTAAACGATGTGTTTGCAGTTTGAAAGTGCAAAAGCCAGATATGCTGTCATTGTAGATCACCAGGGAGGACTAGTCAATGTCTTGATAAATAGTAAAACAAACTATATGTCGTGCATTTGAAGGCCTTGACAGGCTATGCAAACAAAGGTTCGAGGAAACAGGAGGAGGGGGGAAAGGTTTGGGGGGCTGTCAAAGAAAACACTGAATTTTAAAAGGTTATAATTCTGTCATCTGGTGAAACTATCCTCCTGGTTTATGTGTGTGTGTGTGTGTTTAGGTGCTCCTCCGTGGCCCCTCGTGTCTGCCATAACCTTTCCTCCAGAGTGCAGAGTGCACATGCTTTATTTGTATTAATTCCTCCCTGTGATGATAAGCAGTGTTTGAATCCCTATTTGTTGCCCCATAGTCCTCCTCCTCTTCCTCCTCCTCCTCCTCCTCCTCTTGTGGAATTCACTGTCCTCGGAGTCACTCCCCTCTCCTGCTGTTCATCTCTGTGGTCAGTCTGCAGGACGAACACTCTTCACTGAGGAATCCACCAGACGAAATAAAGGAGCTGTCTTCTTTCTGAGGACGTGCAAACCCTGCAGTCTGAGGCCTCACCTGCCCTCCTTTCCTCATCCTCCTCCTCCCCTCTTCACCTCCTGTCTGGGCCCTGCACCTGTTGTGACTCGTCGGCCAGGTGAAGAGGATCCTCCGGCCTTATGCTGTTGTTTCAGCTGACCCTAGCTGCAGGGCAATTAAGAACCCAGTCTACTCATTAGGCTGGGCTGCTCCTTTGCTCTCTCTCTATCTCTGTCTCTGTCTCTCTCTCTTTCTTCTGTAACCCACCTCCCTCCCCTCCCTGCCGATCCCCACCCCCCTCCCATCTCATTTCGTCTAGCCCACTCTGAGCCTGCTTGACGCTGCGTCTGTGGAGCTTCACAAGTTTCCCCGCTGGAGTAAAAGTGTGGCTCACATTGCAAAGAGAGGAAAGTAAAGAGTGAAAAGGATTTTTTTCTGGTGGAGGGAAGAAGTTGGACTGTTGAAGCAAAAGGATTGTGGAGTTGGACCAGCAGCAGGTATGAAAAGCCAGGCTGTGGTTGTGTCTGTGGCTCTGCTGGCCCTGTGCTGCCTGCTGATCCCCAAAGGAGGGGAGAGCGCAGGGGGGATAGTTTCTCTCCGGGAGGCTGAAGGGAAGAGGCAGGCAGGGGGTCAGCCGCGAGACCAGTCCCCGGATGACCCAGAAAGTGAGCAGCATGGACTCGCAGTGGACCCACACCCACTGGAGGGGGGTAAAAAACACAGAAGAGACACAGAGAAGGCTGCACAGACAGGTAAGAGGAGACAGTTTTGGTTTTAAATCAGTTCAGATACGAGTGTCTCAGGTATGAGAACAAACACACAGTCCAAGTCCAGGTGCTCACCTGGGTCCTCACACCAGAGAAGAAGAAAAAGACACTGACTCAAGCATCTTGCAGGCAGATTTTTAAGACACTGACCTTTTCCACTGTGTCTGTAGCTGCATGATTAATGCTGACTCTGGTGCACAGTCACGCTTTTGACCTAAGCTCCATTTGTAACTCATACACATCAGCCCAGAGCAGCTCTTTGATATCCTGAGTGATGGGTCTGCTCTTAACACGCTGCTGAGGCGATACTGATACATTTATGAGTGTCTGGGCCGATTCTCTGTCATTAAAACTGACTCGTGGTAAATAGAGCTCAGCTAATGGAAAGAGAGGGAAGTGTTTTCCATGAAAGTGTCTCAGAACTTCAGACAACCTCAGAGGGAAATACTGATGGACCTCAAACAACCACTGAAATGAAATCTGGTTATCTGGATTTTCCTGCAAACTCTGGGTTTGACAGAGGAGGAAAGAAATAACTACATAGTTCTGTTCTCAGTTTGTTCTCGAATGATCGAGACAAATTAAAGTCAGGATTACATAAACCCTGGATTGTTGTCTGATTGGTTCTGGAAGATTTCAACCTAAAAGATTGTTTGAAATGTAGAAACTGAAGCAGAAGAGGGTTCAGGTTCGGTTCACAGTAGATGATTGATTAGGTCGGTAAAAAGAGCCTCAAAAAACAGACGAATGCATGAATATTTATTCTGCGTGTTTAATGTGATTCAGACTAAAAGACTCTGGAAACCGCTTTTCTTCTCCTTTGTTTTGTTTTTGTCGTCAGGTATTCTGGGCAGGGTGAGAAGAGCTCCAGAAGAAGGAAAGAAGAAGAAGAAAGACAAGAAGAAAAACAAAGAACCAAAAGATCCAAACGCCACCAAAAAGCCCAAAACAGACAAGAAGAAGAAGAAGGACAAACAGACGACCACGACCCCGCCACCGACCACGACAGGTGAGGACTGGAAGGAGTGAAGTTTAGACTCGAATGACTTTGGACTTGAATGAGTGATGTTGACCTCTTGTTTCTCTGATGCCTTCAGCGATCCCCACCGAACCTCCCACTGAACCTGACTCATACGTGGACTACCCCTATCCTGACGTCGGTGAGTGACAGACACCGGGAATGAAAACAAAGGAAAAGGTGATGTGTAGGTTATTCTTACGCTTCAAAGATCCCTCCGTTTATATCTCCAAAGAAAGAACTAGTTTAGAAAAAACTTCCCATCATTAAACTACAAACATCAGGAAAAAAAACATGAAGATCTAAAAAGTCGTATTTCAACATATCAAGTCTACGAAGTTCACAAGACTTGGATTGATGGATTTTTAGGTTGTAATCTGTGATACCACATGAGGCTGTAGATGAATATTTCTTCTTATAAAGTTGGAAAACCTGGTTTCTGATTGGAGCTTAAAAGATCAGCTGATCATGGATACAACCTCTAACAAAGATGGCAGCCTTCATTAGTGTTAGTGAACAACAGAAATGACTCGATGTCATTAAATTTATTCATTAGTCATCTCAGATTATCTTTGTTTTTGTGTGGCTGCCTCTGAGCGTCATGTCAGTGTTTTCTAAGACACACAGAACTGACAAGACGGTATCAACAGGGTCGATGTTTGAGTATAAAGACGAAGAAACTTGGTGGCATGAACTAGTCAGAACTGGTTCTGATCAAGGAACCGTTCTCAACGTCCAACCCCAGAACTGGAGCTCTGGAATGAATTTTTGAGGGATTAAAAAAATGATGTTTGACAGTTTAAAATACGAACAGAAACAGAAGTTTTATATTAAAATACAAACAAAAGCAGCTTTTTTAGGACGCTCCAAATGGTTGATTTTAACATCAGTCTCTCCCCTGACAAAGCAAATAGCCAATTCTAATGAAGTATTTTTTGGTGGCCAATCTGAGAGGGGTCTGTGCCACCCTCAGCCACCAAAGTGGACTCACCCCTGGTCCTGGTCTGTTCTGAGTCGCTGATTTCAGACGTCATCATCATTCAGTTCAAACTCCGTCCCTGAAAGTCAAATTTGTTCAGACCAGATAAGAGACTCAAAGTTTATCAAAGCGTACTCCCTCTGTTTCCTGTAAAAGTCTCATTTCACTGAGACACCCTTTCAAAATAAAAGCACTGTAAAACAAAAGTATCTCTAAACAATCTCTGGAGGAACATTCAGAATATCTGTGTGAACTCTGAGCCGTCGCTCATTCTTACTCTCTGTTTCTCTGTAAGATGAAGACTGGAAACCAGAGGATGATGATTACTGGGATTCCTATCCCTCACCGTCCAGCCCTGCACCTGAGGTCACAGACGCTCCATATGACTACTGGAAACCTGAGGGGGAAGACCCAACCGCTCCAGTGACAGACATCTATGATGACTACTGGAAACCAGCAGAGAAGGAGCCCTCCACCCGGGTACCAGACTCTGACGACTACTGGACTCCAGACGGGAACGATCCCTACGCCTCTGTGACCGATAACTACGAGGTCTACTGGAAAGAGCCGGACCCCACACCCCCTGCCCCAGAGGTCGATAGGAAGGCTGGGACAGATGAGGGTGATTACTGGGATGCCACATGTAAGTTAGACTCTCTGCTTTGTTTGGTTTGAGGATTTTTGTGGAGTGGTTGGTTTATTGGACGATAATGACCGTTCATGGCTGCAGGAGTCTTTGTAAAAACAACTCCAAAGTTCTGAGCATTAACACAAGTATTATTCGAACAGAACCGGGCCCAAAAGCTGGACTTTGATTCTGATATTCTTCAGATTAGGTTACTCTTGAAGATAAACAGATGTGAGGGACGATGTTTTGTGTCAAATCAAGACGTGGAGGCGGGTGAGAAAAGGGGCGACCTGTGAAGTTTAGTCAACTTCAGCGAGAGGAGATAAATTTATGTCCAAGAAAATCAAATAATGAGGTTTGATCTAATGACTCCACTCAGAGAACGAATTAAGTAAAGGCTGCCTCGTCCACAGGGGGCGCCAAAACAAATCAAAAGTTCCTCACTGTAGCTTTAATGTAAGTTTCATTCATAGCACGGCTGTTTGTGTCTCTACAGTCACAGCTGAGATGAATCAGAGTCCTGAAATGTGTTTCAAAGATGGGGAGCAGGAGGCGGTTTAGAAGGATCTCCATCATGAACCAGTTTGATCCCAGAGACAACCACATGACTCATCTGGGGTCCGTGTAGAAACAGACACGTAGCTTTCCTTTTACAAACTCAAATGGAACATTTTAAATCTGAACACAATGATAGGACGTCGGACAATAAGCTGAGAGCGTTTCCTCTCCCCTGATTTCATGTAAACGCCTCTTTAGTTTCTTAAATTCAGAACTGTTTTAAATTCTCGGTGACTCATGGTTTAAGATTTTGAGCCGTAATGAATAAAAACTGCCGTCAGAGCGAAAGTCTGGCTGCTTTGTTTTTGTGACTAATTCAGTAATTTGGTTAAGTTTCCATTTTTAATGTTTCCATGGCAACAGAGAGACACTTAAGGCTCCTATACTTTCAAAATACGACGCACTATGATAAAAATGAGACCTCTTTCTCATGGCAGAATAAAAGTGCTGAACAGACACCGAGTGTAAAAATCCTTTGGCTCCTCAGACGTGGTTTTTAGACACCCCCCACCCCCACCCCACCCCCCCAGCCTCAGTCCACCTGAAGTAGTCCGCTCCGTCTGGCCTCGTTTTTCCACACGATCTGATGTTGGAAACATTCGGCCGAGTTCTTCTGTCGCACTCATCTGGACCTGACCGGACATGTCGTCATTACTGTTAGTTTCCAGCAGCTGCTCCTCCAACATTTCCACTGATTCACTCACTCACTCACTCACTCACTCACTCACTCACTGGTCCGGCCTCCTCTGCAGCTCTCTCTCCTGTGTCTCAGTCCACCTCTGTTACTCAAATCAAGGCTGTGCTTGACCTTTACAGTTTAACATGAAGTTTGTTTTCCTCTTCTTCTTCTTCTTCTTCTCCTCACAGACGAGGTGCCGGATAACCTCCCGTTCCCTGATGGTAAAGAGGTCAGCCCTGAAATCATCGTGGAAACTCTGCCAGGTAACGTCATCATACAGGATCTAAAAAGTGAAGAACAGACACACACAGAGCGGTTCGATAATAAGTGATACAAAAACATCAAACAGGTTTAATTAACAATCAAAGGAATAAAAGGAAAGCCGGTCTGATGACCTCTGACAGATGATCCCAGAGTCAGAGATCTGCTGGACCTCCTGCTCCTCCTCCTCGGGGCACAGACAGCAGGCTTCGCTGCGAGGATCTGAAGGCTCAGGTGGTGCTCTAAGTTCAGAGATATGTAGGAGCAGGAACATGGAGAGATTTAGGAACTACCAGGAGATTTTGAAGATCAGTTCTGAGCTGAGCGAGGATCCAGAGTAGAGAAGAAAGGATGGAGGTGACAAAGTGATGTTTCCATGACCTTAAAATCTAAAACTGTGAATGTTTAATTGTTGTTTTGGAGTTACTTAAGGACAGTGAAAGATATCAGTGCATGGATAACGGTTTCTACATCAGAGGGTCTAAATGAGAGAAGCTGCAGGTTCTCCGTAGGTGGAGAGGTGGTTTAGGCTGTGAGCAGTAACAGTAGAGTCAAAGAAACGTCTGTTTGTTCTTCTCTTTACTGAAGACAGTTGAGTCGGTCAGGTTTGAGGAATTAAGAAGCAGGAGGTAAATCTGAGTGTCAGCGGTGGATGCAGCATGTAGAGACTGAACAGTAGTGGACCTAAAACTGAACCCTGGGGAACCCCGCATATGATAGTTGCTGGTGTGGAGGAGGAGTTCCCAGTTAAGAGCATTTCCAACCAAGTTTGACTCGTGTGTCAAAGGTCGCGCTGAGGTTTAAAAGAACCAGGATGGAATATTTAGCAGCATCTGCAGCACAGAGGAGGTCATTTTCAACCCTCAGGAGAGCTGCCTCCATCTGCGGCGTTCATGAAAGCCAGACTGGAATCCTCAGAAATACTTAAAAGGAACAAAAAGAGAAAAACAAAATTTCCCTCAAAAACAAAATTGTTGAAATTGTTTGGGATGTTCAGGTCTAGACCAGGCTTCTTTAGTCCTACGGGGACCAGCTGTTTCAGACGACTGTTTCAGGAGCTTTGATGAAGTTCTGTCAAGTCGGGATATCGAGAGCTTCATGGCTGCAGTTCTTTGTTTGAGCTGAGGGAAGGACACGAAGAAAAGGTCAAAGTTGAAGCGATCAGATGTGTGATAAAGAGTCACTTTAGTCCGTCTGAGTCTCTTCGCTCTACTTCTCACACAGCAGTGGGCGGATTTCTCCTCCATAACTGTCCTGTCGTCACGTCACAGCGTCGTTTTCATTCTTGTAAATCCAAATGAAAGATTTAACGACTGACTGACATGGTAGGCGTCACAGCGGCGTCCAAACAGACAACAGACGATGTGGTTGGATAAATCAGGGCTAAACTATCAAACATCAAACTTTGTTCATCTTCTAAAATCTGACTCCTTCTGTCTCTGTGTCCAAATGATCGACTGAGACGCCTGATTTGTGTGTTTTTCTTCACACAGAGGAGCCGACAACCACTTCTCCTTATGAGGGGACGTGGTATGAGGATTACGACGAATATGGTACACACACACACACACACACACACACTGCTGCACATGTTGTCAGTGTGTTTTCAAAGAAATATCTGTTTTCCATTTTCTTCAGGGAGGAAAGAAGACCGAGAGACTGATGACAAATGGATGGAGAGGGAGCGAGAGAGAGCGGCGAAAGAAAGAGAGAGAGAGGAGAAAGGTGAGGGACTCACATACGGATCATTTTTGTTTCTTACATAACTCCGTTTTGCTCCGTCATGTCAGACTATACATGATCTGATGGTTTCCACAGCAGAGAAGGCGGCCTGTGACCGAGGTTCAAAAGTCCAAACCGATGGCGTTCGCTCTCCTAGATTACATTCCTGTTCTAAGACAATGCAGATGGGATTTCCTGCTGTACTGATGTAGGGACACGCTTTAACTTGCACGACAGGGACAAGAGTTCAGCCTCGCAAAACAAAACGAAGATGAAGCTCCGAGCTCTCTCAGGAGCGAGAGGAGGAGGGTCAGATCAGTGAGGGTGATAGTAAAGAAAAGAGATCCGTGAGCAGAGGGTGTTGAAATGTAATCGCCACGTGTCGTCAGCGTGGAGAGAGGTTAGCCGGTGGTTAAAGCGGGCCTGAAGACACTGATATATAACTCTGTCAGGGCCGGTGTCAAGAGGGCACTTCCTGTGTGCACGCTGCGCTGCCATCTGACGAGAAGCATTTTGGCCGAACTTCTGCAGCTGGAGTCAGCAGATGTGTTTCTGCACATGCTCAGATGGGTTCGAGGACATGGATGCATGTGTTTGTCTTCTTATACATGAGTGAGAGGAAGCTAACAGCATGTCTCACACTCCCACAGTATGTAAGACTCCTGGCGACCACACGAGCAGCAATAAACTACAGACTGTTGATGTGGTACAGAGCAAAGTGTGTCAGATCATGAATAATGAGAGCGAGAGATGAGAGTCTTCTTCAGTCGCAGCTCTCTGGGTCGGGATGATCCGAGTCTGATCAGAGACTGGGAAGGAAATCACAACATCTGGGTTGTTTTTCCTCGGCGCTCCAGCCTTCCAGCTCCCCTTTGGGACTTTTGGCACATGAAATCTGCGAAATAATGAAGAGTTCCTCGATTCTGGGCGGAGAGAAAGAGAGGAAATATTCAGCCAAGAAAAAACAATTTATCCTGCATTAAGTCTGTTTTTTTCTGGCCTCTTCTAGAGCGAGCCCAGAAGCTGAAGGAGGCGGAGGAACGGGCCAGGAACAGACCGCGAGTCTTCAAAGAGCCAAAGAGTACGTCCGCTGTCTGCTACAAGCTTTGATAATATAATGAAGGCATGTTTTGATTGTCTCTGTGTACGTGGCAGAGTGTCCACCCCTGGGGATGGAGTCCCACAGGATCGAGCCAGACCAGCTCTCAGCTTCCTCCATGTCTCAGTATGTCTTTGCACCTCAGAGGGCGAGACTCAACATGCAGGTACACAACAGTCAGAGCAGGACTGCTGCCGTCTGACATACACTACAGCCATCACTTACACACTGCCAGACTCAGATTAAACACCAGGTATTAGACACATGTTGGAAAAGCCTGTTATTGCAGAGTCTGTGGCTTCTATTCGGCGGTTTTCTTCTTCACTTCACAGCCAAAGAATCTTCTCAGCAGCTGAGTGATAAAAACAGCAGAGAAATCTTAAATCTGAAACTCTGATGAGGACCGTGACGGTCTGATGAGCTGCTGTTTCTTTCTGCTCTGGCCTCTCTGGCTTTCAGGGCTCAGATGATGAAGACAGCATGAGAGGAGGAGCGTGGTGCGCCAACGCCGAGGACAGGATCCACTGGTTTGAGATCGATGCTCGCAGAGAGACGGAGTTCACAGGAGTCATAACACAAGGACGAGACTCATCCAACGAGTAAGACACACACAAACGAGCGAATATGAAGTTTGTATCACAAACGTAAAGAAACGAAGGTAAAATGGTCATAAAGTGTGCTCTGTGTGTGTGTGCCGTCTATTCTCAAAGATAAACTTTACTGTAATCTTTGACCTGAACTCTGAGGTGAAAACAAAAGTAAGGAGGATAAGATGGAAGTTAGATTCAAACTTTAGCATCTTCTTCTTCCCAGGAGCGACTTTGTGACGTCTTACTTCCTGGCCTTCAGTAATGACAGCAGAGAGTGGACCACCATCCACGATGGATACGCAGACTGGGTGAATCCACCTACAGTTACATCTCTCCCTTTGGCTCTGTCTCTCTCTCTCTTCTTCACCTCGCTCACTTCTCTTCTTCGTCTCTTTCATTCAGCTGTTCTTCGGAAACAACGATAAAGACACTCCTGTGATGAATCAGCTGGCCGAGCCCGTGCTGGCTCGATACATGCGGATCATCCCTCAGAGCTGGAACGGATCTCTGTGTATGAGGCTGGAGGTGCTGGGCTGCCCGGTGCCAGGTGAGTCTGAGATGCAGAAACACACGTGTGCCAACGAAAAACCTGCAGAGAGAATCAGGTGAATGTGTTTATCTTCACAGATCCAGTGGAGCTTCAGTACAGGCAGAATGAAGTGACTCCTGTTCACTACCTGAAGTTCAAGCATCACAGCTACACTGAGATGGTTGCAGTGAGTATCTTCTCACACACACACATGCACGCACGCAGACTTTTGTGACGTCAGGTGTGCTGTACAAGTCTACAGGAGGAATGGGACACACTCATTGTTTGTCATATACTCATTGTCAAATCTGAGTCCAAGTCATAAAGTATGATAAAAATATCGTAGTAAAGTATGATGAAAATGTCATAGTACACTTTGATAAAAATTTCATATTTTATTATGAAAAATGTCATAGATTAATATGTTAAATATCACATTTTAGTATGGATTAAAATGTCATATTATGATGAGGTAAAAATGTTATAGCATTGTATGATAAAAGGATTGTATTATAGTATGATGAAAATATCATAAGAATGCATGATAAAAATTCCACATTGTAGTATGAAAGAGTCATATTATAGTATGTAAAACAATATCCCATTTAAGTTTGGATTAAAATGTCATAGTATAGTATGGTAAAAATGTCATATAATAGTATGTGAAAAATATAGCATTTTAGTTTTGATAAAAAAATTCACATTTAAGTAGTAGTAGTAGTAGTAAAGTGTGAAAAAAGATAATATAATAGAATGATGAAAATGTCATAGTAAACAATGATAAAAATTTCACATTTTAGTATGAAAAAATGTCATAGTATAATATGTTAAAAAATAACTGAATAGGAGGCTGGCAGATAACTCGGCCTGTTCGCGCGCCTGTCTTCAGACCAAAGTCCCAGCTGCAGGTGGGGCTCAAATCTGAAGCTGAATGTGTGCTGCATGTTATCCCTCATCTCTTTCTATTTACCACATTTCCAATATATCGTATCAATCAAAGTCAAAGTATAGTATGATAAAACTGTCATAGTATAATTCTTTAAAAATTTCATATTCTAGTATAAAAAATTTCAAATTTTGTATAAATAAAACATCAAATAACAGTTTTATAAAAATATCATAGTATAGTATGATAAAAAAAAATCATATTTTAGTAAAAAAAATATTGTAGTATAGTATAATAAAAATGTCATAGTATATTATGATAAAAATGTAATCATATGCTATGGTAAAAATTTCAGATCTTAGCATGAAAAAATGTCACAGTATAGTATGTAAAAAAATCATAGTTTAGTATGAAATAAATGTCAAATTTCAGTCTGAAAAAAAGTCATCGTATAGCATGATGAAAAATGTTGAAGTACAGTAAATGTGTGTTTTCATGTGTGCAGCTCATGAAGTCGGTGCATGACGAGTGTCCGAACATCACCAGCATCTACAGTCTGGGCCGCAGCACCAAAGGACTGGAAATCATGGCCATGGTCATCTCTGGAAACCCCACAGAGCACGAGATAGGTGAGTTTGTGTTTAGTACCACCATGAAAGGGGGCGGAGGAGCGGCTTTTTTAACAGTCACATAACTCCATGTTTTCAACAGACCTTTTCAATACCAAATGAATTCTTCACAGCATGTTTTTTATTACATCTAAAAGCACAGCCAGCTGTTTTCTGGACACCAGACTGAAATGTGATCAGCTGAATTAAAAAACCTGCAGGCTGGTGGGTCACGATGGCACCACAGAGGATTCCTGTAAATCCTAATAAACAGCAGGTGGGAGTCTGGGGATTATGGTGGAGGACAAACAGCCACAGTCTCCTCTGTTGTTCCTACAGGTGAGCCCGAGTTTCGCTTCACGGCCGGTCTTCACGGGAACGAGGCGCTGGGCCGGGAGATGATCCTGCTGCTCATGCAGTACCTCTGCAAAGAGTACAAAGACAGGAACCCGCGGGCACAGCGGCTGGTGGAGGGGATCCGCATCCACCTGGTGCCCTCGCTCAACCCTGATGGACAAGTAGAAGCTTATGAAGCAGTGAGTGAAGATAACCGTTGATAGTCACGTCGCCTCTTATGACACATGAGGTTCATGCTGCACCTGTCTCCCATCCTCTTAAACTCTTCATCTGCAGGGATCAGAGCTGAGCGGCTGGACCACAGGACACTTCACAGAGGCCGGCTTCGACATCTTCCAGAACTTTCCAGACCTGAACAACATCCTGTGGGATGCTGAAGATAAGGGCCTGGTGCCCAAAATCACCCCGAACCACCATGTGCCGATACCTGAAGGCTTCGAGTCCAACAGCTCGGTAAGGACTGCAGCGTTTTCAGACTGCAGGAATCTGTCTGGGTCCAGGGTTTTATAACTAATTAATAACTAATTATCAATAATTTCTTAAAGACCATGATACAGCTGATACGTCATCTTCAGGTAAAATTAAATCAAATTTCCCCGGATGCTCTGGGGTCTTCAGAAAAGCTTAATTCCTCACATTTTGTAGTAATTGGAGTTTTAATGAAGCTGAAATTATCTTTAAACTTTTAAAGGAAATCTAAAATCATTTCATTAAATGTTGTACTTGTTTCATTTTACCATCTGGCAGATCTGAAGGGTTGTCGGCTTTAGCTGAGCCGATCCAGATGATCCGGATCACATGAGAGTGTTTATTAGGGTGTAAATGACAGAGCGAAGGTGGCGTTGACCTCCGAGAACCAAACTGGAGTGGAGCCGTGATAACTTCGGCTTTTCGCTCGACTCTCTGTGTGTGATGTGGAGCTCTGTGTTTTCGTTCCAGATTGCTGTGGAGACCAGGGCCATAATCTCCTGGATGAAAAGCCATCCATTTGTGCTGGGTGCGAACTTCCAGGGCGGGGAGTCGCTCGTGGCCTATCCTTATGACAGCTTACGCCTCAACAAGCCCGCCGAGAGCCAGAAACCCCACAGCCGCAGGAAGAGACAGTAGGACTACCTCCGTCTTCTTCTGTGTTTGAATTCTCTGAAGGCGTGGCTCTCTGTGACCCGCTGTGATAAATAACCAGAATTATGACCCGCAGGTACGAGGAGGAAGGTTTTGATGTAACAGAGTGGGGGAGGGGCTACCAAGAGGAGCCAGAGGAGGACTGGAGAGGAAGAGGGTATGCAGAGCCGGAGGAGGAGTGGAGAGGTCACGGCTATGAACACAGTTACGACCGCAGCTACGACCGTGGTCATAATGGTTATGACCACGGTTATGACCACGGTTATGATCGCGGCTATGACAGAGGCCACGACCCCGGTTACGACCCCGGTTACAACCAGGGTTATGGTCGCAGAGAGGAGGAGGACGACGAGAGGGAAAGGAGCGCCGGCTACCAGTACAGCGAGCCGGAGGATGAACCCCGAGCCATCGCAGACGAGTCTCTCTTCAGGTGGCTGGCCGTCTCGTACGCCTCCACCCACCTGACCATGACTCACAGCTTCCGCGGCTCCTGTCACGGCGAGACCTCTGCAGGGGCGCACGGCATCGTCAACAGGGCCAAATGGAAGCCGATCACAGGAAGTAAGTGGAGGCCAGAAGGTCAAACACATTTCTGTCTGCAGGTGTCTGAACTCTCAGTCTGGGTGACAGCACCCCCTGGTGGTGCTTCAGTGCACTACAGGCTCTCACTTCACTGTGCTCCGCCCCCTCCAGGTATGAATGATTTCAGCTACCTGCACACAAACGGCTTCGAGCTGTCCATCTTCCTGGGGTGTGATAAGTTCCCTCATCAGGACGAGCTGGCTCAGGAGTGGGAGAAGAACCGAGAGGCGATGCTGACCTTCATGGAGCAGGTCAGTCCCTCGCCATATCAGACATAATATTGATTTTACAGTGAAAATAAACCGACAGTCATACCTTAAAGTCATAGCTGTGATTCTCTGACAGAAGAAGAAGCAGCAGCTGTTAGTGAGCTCGCTTTAGCATCCCTCAGAGATGATCAAACACTGACATTAAAGATTTATGATGAATCAGAAACAACGTTAAAAATAACCACTTCAAAATAAAAGCAGTTTTACCATTATAAATAAACTCTAATCTAGTTTTATTTTACAGACATGATAATGGTGAGGTTAGACTCAGATGACAGTCCTGTTTCAGTGGAGCGGGATCGTGGCGTAAAAGAACTTTAAAGAACCTTATTTTCTCGCTCAGGTGCATCGTGGCATCAGGGGGATCGTGAAGGACCAGCAGGGGAACCCCATCGGAAACGCCACCGTGTCTGTGGAGGGGGTCAACCATGATGTCACTACAGGTAAAAAGAACTTACCTGTTTGTTAAAAGTGGGCGTGGCCCTTCGGTTACAAACTGTGAAAACTTCTCATAGTGTCTTTAAAGTGAAATTAGTGATAAAGTTTGGATGATGTAATGGAGGGCAACATCGTCAACATTCGTCCTCTCCTCTTCGCTGCAGCGCCATCAGGAGACTTCTGGCGCCTGTTGAACCCGGGGGAGTACCGTGTGACGGCCCGGGCTGAGGGTTTCTCCCCTGTGACCAAAGTGTGTGTGGTGGGCTACCAATCAGGAGCGACCACCTGCAGCTTCAACCTGGCCAAGTCCAACTGGGACCGAATCAAACAGGTGAGTCACTACCGTCCTGATGCGGCGATGCTTTTGCGCCGTTACAGAATCAGGTCAGGTGCGGCTGCAGAACATGTCACATGATTAACCTGTTAGTTCGTTATTAGTGGGATAATAAGTTTCTCTGATGTCCGCACAGATCATGGCTCTCCACGGCAACAAGCCCATTCGACTCAGCTACAGCAACCGATTACAGTACCCTGCCGTCACCAACGGCAACAGCAACAGGCGTGTGTCTAACGGCAACAACGGGTACTCGGGGAGTTCACGCGTCAGCGCAGACCGACAGAGGAGGCTGAGGATAGCTCGTCTGCGCCGCCTTCGACAACAGAGACTAATGAGGTTAAGATCAACGACGACATTACCCCCGACGACCACGATTCCCACGACGCCAGAGACCACCACATCCTGGTACGACTCATGGATCATAGGGGAGGGACAGTCATCGACGCCCGGCGGTTTTACAGACTCAATCCTGGATTATAACTACGAGTACAAGATCGATGACTATTAAAGCGAACGCACACGTCAGTAAAACGCACCAGTCCTCTCATTCCTGTCGTTCCTGCCGCCACGCCGTACTCTGAGCGTCAGATTTCTCTTTGTAGGAGTGAGCGGCGGTAACCGGCAGAATGGAAACTATGTTATCTGTAAAGTGTATCTGTTACCTGACAAACTGATCCTGTTCTTTGTGGTTCTCGAGTTCGACGGGTCACACTGCGTCCCTCCTCTCGCCGTTGTGTTTCAGCCTTTTTCAAATGAACACTTCTGTCTTCATCAAAGTGTTTTATTGTAGATGCACATAAACAAAACTTCAGAGTTGAACTATTTACACTGTCTTCATGGATGGCAGACGTATTTTTACAGTATGAGCAGTCAGTGAAGGTCCGTTTGTAACAGAGGAGGGTTCTGTAGTTTCCTCTCACACAGCTGTAAGAAAAGAGTGATTTTTCTAATAAAGGCTCGTTCAGACACACGCCTCCTCTTCTCTTTTGTAGCACATCAGGTCAAAGTGATCCAATGACCTCTTCCTCTCCAGGATCGGTTTGAGTTCTCTGACCGAACGCTCGCCTGGTCCACGGTGAAGGTCAGACGGTTCATCAGATCTGATCCCTCAGTGGCTGATGTTCATCTCACTTTCTTCGTCTTCTTCAGCAGAAAACGCAGAGAAGCTGACCGGCTCACACTCAAGAGTACGTAAATTAACCAAACACACAGTCTGGGTGGTGCTGAACTCGGGGACGGTGACCAGAAGCACTTCCTGCCCATCAGGACCTGTTGAGAAGAGAAGAATCACACCGTCACACGAGTACGATGGGTTTTAGTGTCAACAGGATCATTTTAGACAATGTCAGGACTCGACAGTGCGACCGCTTCACTCACATTTATGACTAAAAATAGATGTGTGCGAATTGTAAAATATATTTAGGGTCACGTGCGCTTAAAAAAAAAATCAGCCGAGGAAACAAATGGTTTTTTTTCCTGTAAATACGGCGGTGAAGTTAGTTTCAGGTTGGATATATTTTCCTGTAAATACGGCGGTGAAGTTAGTTTCAGGTTGGATATATTTTCCTGTAAATACTGCAGCGAAGTTAGTTTTAGGTTGGATATATTTTCCTGTAAATATGGCGGTGAAGTTAGTTTCAGGTTGGATATATTTTCCTGTAAATACTGCAGTGAAGTTAGTTTTAGGTTGGATATATTCTCCTGTAAATACGGCGGTGAAGTTAGTTTCAGGTTGGATATATTCTCCTGTAAATACGGCGGTGAAGTTAGTTTTAGGTTGGATATATTTTCCTGTTAATACGGCGGTGAAGTTAGTTTTAGGTTGGATATATTTTCCTGTAAATACGGCGGTGAAGTTAGTTTCAGGTTGGATATATTTTCCTGTAAATACGGCGGTGAAGTTAGTTTTAGGTTGGATATATTTTCCTGTAAATACGGCGGTGAAGTTAGTTTCAGGTTGGATATCTGACGGACATTCTCTGAGGATCTACCGGTGTCTTCTCACTCTCCATAACCGTGAATAACAACAGCAGCGCGGTTAAATCTACTCGACACCCTCACTGTCAACGTCGGTGTTGAATAAGGGACCGTCAATAAATTACCGGTTGATGTTCTCAGAAAAGGCTGTTTTCCTTCAATAGCTTCACTGTCATGTGACCAAAAGACCTAAAACTGATTTCTAATAATAGTACTAAGGTCGATCAATAAGACAAACATTATTTGATCAGTTTTCATTGATCCCCTAAAGTTCTTTGTGCTCCTTACTTTTTTAACTCAGGAGAACATGTGAACAAAGTTAGAGTCAAACCCTGAATGCAGAGTAAAGAGGCTGCCTCAGTGACCGTTAACATGAACTACTGCAGGATTAACAAGCAAACCACAGAGCACAGAAAACTACCACAAAACGCACATAAGCCGGAGTCAGCTGACTGCTCCAAGTCAGTGAAGCCTTCAGCCGAGCCGCAAAATACAACCCCGAAAATAACCAGAACTGTGCTTCTGAACGGGGTCTGGATCAGGAGATGGTGACGGTTTTTACAGTAAAGAAACAAACTTTCAGTCGGTGTCTCAGAAGTTTGACAAACATGAAATTCACCAAAAACATTAAAAGTTAAAACGCTGATGAAAGAATCGACCTCCTGCTGCAACAGAGAGAGTCCCTGTAATCCAGGTCCAGATTTAATCCAAATGTATTAAATTAAGATTCACGGATTACTGCAACTCTACGAAGGTAACACGACCTTCTTCAAAATGACTGCGATCTTTAAGTTACTAACTTCAGCGTGAAAACAGCGAGCGACGGGAAATTCAGCTCTGCAGTGATTCAGATCATTTCCCTCACAAAGATCCGACTCTTCCGGCTCCACCTTAGAGAGGAGTCAGAACTGAGACCTTCAAAACTAAAACATACTCCCAGCTCAGTACGGTCTTCTGAAATCCAACAGTTTCTGCGACCTCACCTTTGATGAGCTTGGACTCTAAGCTTGGTGCGTTTCCACTAAAGTACACATGGGGGCACTCCTCCAGGATGAAAGGGTCTTTTTGGTAAAACGGGTAACAGCCTGAAAAACCGACAGAAAACTGTGAGGAGCTGGAAAATAAGAGCTCAGAGAGTTTCTGTTCAGGTTTGCATCGTCTGGTCTGACTGACCGAGAGTGTCAGGGGCTGTGGGGGCCAGGTGTCGGAGTCGCAGCGTCTCCTCCAGGATCTCCAGGTGATTGTCTCTGCAGCTGTACCTCTGGATGTCGCTGACGTTCTGACCTGATGTTCCCAGGAACCTTTGAGGAACCACAAACATGAACGAGGACTGTCAACACGTTTGTTTGTTTGTAGTTAGATGACGAAGGCGATCATGTGACCTCTTACCTCACTCCGTCGATGTTAGCTTGGTGTGGGTTGGAGGTCAGGTGCAGAGTCGGATACACTGAAGACAGAGGGAACATGCAGCGATGGAGGGGCTGCTGGGGAAGGGTGTAGTTGGTGGGGTCATACTGGCCCGGCATGACATCCACGGAAACTGACGCCTGAAAACATCAGGAGGAAGAAACAAAGAGACACCCAAATCTGAATCATCGGTTTTATTTGGTCCACAATGGTTTCCAGAACGTCTGTGACCTTCTGAGTTTATGGTCTTTTAACAGTGAAGAAGAAGAGTGTCCGTCTCCACTACATACTGATGTTCTTGTACACTGAAACTACAGAGTTAAACGATCAGACAGAGACAGCACAATTAGAAAGACTGAAAGATTGAAGGTAGAGTCAAAACCTCTGACTGTAACTCCAGCGCGGATTGTCCCTTTAAAAATACGGTGACTCTGCAGCAAAGAATGAAAACATGAAAAATGACGACTCACCACAAGCTGAAGCAGCAGCTCGTCCAGCAGACGCATCGCCTCCACGCTGCTGGCCTGGGTTTTCTTGGTGAGGTACTTCGCCTTTACAAACAGAGAAAGCAGAACAGGGACTTTGATTGATTTTATATCAGCTGGTTTGTGGTCCGCTCTTTCTGATAAGGATCATCGTGTGCAGATGTGTGTCAGCGCTGAACCAGCTACCTTGGTCGATGCGTCCTTGTCCTGGGTGTTTTGGCTCAGAAGGTTTCCAGCCAGCAGGACTCTGGAGATGGTTGAGGCCCCGCTCTGTTCCCCCTGATCGCCCAGTTGACCCGTCACCATGTCGATCAGCAGCTGGAGCCCCAGCATGCTGTCAGCGCGACTACTGCCGAGGCCAAGTCCTGAAGCCAGGAGCACAAACCTGCAAAACAACCAACGACCCCTCAGAGAAACATGATCAGACCTGGTCTGGATCCACAGATGATCTCTGTGAGTGTTTACCTGTCCGAGCTGAGAGCAGGTCTGGGTGTCTGTGGAGGAAGATCAGCCGTGCAGAAGTCCTCCACTGTGAACTTCCCATCACTCCTCTCTGCTCCGTAAACAGCAACAACACTCCCTGAAAGAGAAAGGGAAACAGAGAGGAGAAAAGACTCAAACGATGATCCTTGATCTGATTGTGACGATCTTCAGAGAGTAATGTCTCTGTCTTACCTGTCACACACTTGTCTCGGTCAATTTTTCCCTCCAGTTTGATCCTCTGGAGCTCGTCCTCCAGGTTCAGCTCGTCTGTTTCACTGATGTACTTGGAGCGTGGAGGCTGAGGGAGCAGGTTGTGCTGCAGGAGACAGAAAAAACACACATCAACCATCAGCTGTGAGCTGGTTTCATGAAGAGAGGGTCAGCCTGTGAATCAATAATCTCTGCAGACCTCTTCACTGATCTCTTTGAGGATAGACGGCTGCAGCTCCATACGCTTGAACAAGGTTCCCACAATGCAACACTGCTCCCCTGTTTGGAGATCGCACAGCTTCCTGATGTGAACGTCTGGTCCTGACAGGTGACAGAAAGGACAAATATCAGGGGAAGGCGTTAAGTTGGAGGTGTGTGTGTGTGATTATTCTTCATGCGTAGGCCTGTGGCGTTGTCTCCATCTCAGTCCCTCACAAATGTAGAGTTACTCAAACTGTCAGTCTGTGAATCTTCTCCAATAAAAGTCAAAATGATTTCATCTGATTTGTTCCTTAAAGTATTGAGCACTTATTTCATCTGTAGTGTTGGGAATGAGGGGATTAAAACATGCCCTCAAAATGAAGTAAAACTAGATTTTTCCTTCCTGATGTTTAAACACAGACCAAAAAATTAACACATTAAATAACTCAGTCCGTGCACTTATTAAAGAAATAGTCACTGGGATAGTTTTTCTTTTACCTCTCTTATTTCGACTTCTTGTCTCTTTGTTTTAATTATAATCTTAGCTTATTTTACCTTTTAGGTCTTTTAATGTTTCTATTGTTTTCTTCTGCTCATTTCATTTTATCATAACTATTACCATCATGATTTGATTATCATTATTAATATCCTCTTTTATATTTACTATCCTGTTTCCTGCTCTCTACCCCCCTCTTTTTGTTACATTTCTTCTTCTTACCTATTTTATGTATTTATTTTGGTCCTCATGGTCTCAGTTTATGTTGTAGGGTTCCTGGATTGTCTGAGTTTCTTATGAAAAATGAAATTGGTCTTTAATTCAGAGGTTTTGTTTTTAACTGAGCTTTTGTTTTTATTTCCATGTGCTGATGTTCTGAGCTTTACGACTGTTTATCAAAGCACTTTGTAAACTTCATGTGTCTTGTCTGATTTAACTACTATTATTATTATGAACTATTATTAACTATTATCATTATTATTATTACTACAGTATATTTTTGGAGCCCACCTCCCTGCACACCTGAAATTTAAGTGTTTTGCAGAAACAGAAATTGTCCTCAGACTCCTCAGTTATTCTCATCTCCTGTTAATGTTGTTTATAATTCTTCATTATGTTGTTTATTTTTTCATTGTTGTTTTTATCTCAGTAGTGATTTTCCTCTCCTGATAATGTTGTTTTTATGTTTAATTATTTATAATAAAGTAGTTATTTTCCCTCTGGACTCACCCCACCTCTGCTGGTTAATGTCGTTTATATTTAATTATATATATTTAATTATATATATATATATATATATATCTTCATTCTGTTGTTTTTATCTCAGTAGTGTATTTGTTCCTCTGGACTCACCCCACCTCTGCTGGTTAATGTAGTTTATATTTAATTATATATATTTAATTATATATATATATATATATCTTCATTCTGTTGTTTTTATCTCAGTAGTGTTTTTGTTCCTCTGGACTCACCCCACCTCTGCTGGTTAATGTTGTTTATGTTTATTTATATTAATTATATATATATATATCTTCACTCTGTTGTTTTTATCTCAGTAGTGTATTTGTTCCTCTGGACTCACCCCACCTCTGCTGGTTAATGTTGTTTATGTTTATTTATATTAATTATATATATATATATATATATATCTTCATTCTGTTGTTTTTATCTCAGTAGTGTTTTTGTTCCTCTGGACTCACCCCACCTCTGCTCGGCTCTCTCGGACAGTATAGGTCTCATCTGCATTAACCGAACCGCATATATATGAGCGTACTGCCGGCTGAAGTTCCTCTCTCCGACCCGGTACCGGTCCGAACAGACTCCGTAGTCCGGGGACATCCTCTCGAACCGCGGGCCCTGATCCTCGGAGGAACCGGGCCGGGACAGCAGAGAGGAACCGGGCCTCTGGGAGCTCAGTTCGGAGAACATGACTGTGCTAAAGTAGAAGAAAAGACAGAAAACAGGAGATAAGTTTACAGTTTTATACGTTTAAAATGAAAATGTACCGCGAGAGTTTGTAAACAAGCTAGCATGATAGCTGTTGTAGTTTTCAGCGAGAGCGCCAAATATTTACTGAAAACACGGAGATTTATGAGCTGCTAAACTAACAAAGACACTATAAAGACTGTACCTTTGAAAACAGAAAGGTCCTGATTCCGTTTTATCGGTTTTAAATCAGCTGTTGAGACACTTTACAGGTAATACATCCAGTCCGTGACAGCGAAAATTCCCGCGAAATCACTTCACTTCCTGTATTTCTTCTTCTCTGGCGTTTGATTTGGCTCGCAAACCAACTTTAGAGGCTCATCACCGCCACCATCTGGACAGAAGAATAAATCGGATACGGCTCAATTTACCCCGCTCCTTTTTTGTCCTGCTATATAATGGTGATGACAGTTCTGTTTACACTCATTCTGTTGGTTTGCAGGGATGAACAACATCCTGAAATATCTGCAGATACACAAGTTAGAGACAAAACTAGGACTGACTTGATATAGAGATCTGAAATATGAAACATGGATCATCTTACCCCACTCTCCCCTACAGTTTGTTGTTCATATCTCCATAGATATATCTATAAGAAAGGCTAGATGACGCTATGAGGCGGAGTCGTCCCATACGGCCTCCATCTTACTCCAGTATACCATGCTGGTCCGCTCTATGGTAGCTGACGGGAGGTGAGTAATCTACATGATCAAAAATACTCTTAACTCGCTGAAATCTCGACAGATTTACAAATGGTTTAGTTTATTACAGACCTTAATAATGTGGCTATGAGTCAGGATGTTTGGACATATTAAAAAGGTAGATTTACTTTGAGAGAAAAAAAAGACTTACTATGAAGAACAGTTGTTTCACTTTGGGTTAACTTTGAGTCGCTTTGTCGAGGCTGAGACCACAATCCAGATTTTAATTTCTTGTATGACAGCCTATTTATTTATTTATCTAGTCTAAGTGTCAGTCTTTGTGGATGGTCTTGTGTTTATCAGCTGTCTGACTTGGCTAACAGACTCGCTGTGAGTGAGACCAAGTACATATTACAAAGTTGACCCAGTAATTTTACATCAGTTAAAGAGTTAGTTAGTTAGTTAGTTAGTTAGTAACCTTTATTTAACCAGAGGCAGAAATGCTCTTTAGATTCAACAAAACTGAAGTTACACATGATTTCCAAACTGTTTGGTTTGTTAAAAAATATCTAAAATGACAACATGAGGCAGAAATTTATATTGAAAATAAATATTAATGTTATTGTTATATGTTATTATAGTTATCCCGATAATAGAAATATTGCTTATATAACATGTTTGTAGGCCTATGCAGGAACATAACTAAAACTCTGAGGTTTGTTACAAACCAAACCATTTGAAAAATAAGTTTTCAATCTTTGGTTATTTAAATGTTACATGAACCGTAGACTGAAATGTTAGGAGTGGGCGAGGTGACCGTGGCAAGATGGCCGCCATGAGCGGACGTCGGTCTCCATTGGCTACAAGCGTGCGTAAGCCATCTATCGTTTATATATCTATGGTTATTCTCTCACTGTCGCGCAGAAACAGCGTCATCCACCCCGAGCATGAGTCGCAGCGTGTTGACGTCATAATAGTGCCGCGCAGACTCGCCATTTTCGTCGCTCTTTGTGCGCCACTGTCCGATCAGAGTTTTAATCGACCGATTAATTTACTCGGGATCCAGTTCTGTCGTCAAAGATGCAGGGAAACAGAGGCCCACAGCAGAACCACGGACCGAACCGACCCGAAGACCCAAAGAAACCCGGAGGAACCAACACGAACGGACAGCAGCCCGAACCCAGTGAGCAGACCCCGAACGAGGCCTTAACCCTGGACCTGCAGAGCTTCAGGAAGCCGGGGGAGAAGACCTTCACCCAGAGGAGCAGGCTGTTCGTGGGGAACCTGCCCACCGGGATCACCGAGGCGGACCTGGAGAAGCTGTTCGCCAAGTATGGGAAGGCCAGCGAGATCTTCATCAACAAGGACCGGGGGTTCGGCTTCATCCGGCTGGAGACCAGGATCATCGCCGAGATCGCCCGAGCGGAGCTGGATGATACCCCGTTCAGAGGCAGGCCGATCCGGGTCAGGTTCGCGACCCACGGAGCTGCTCTGAGCGTCAAGAACCTCCCGGACTTCGTGTCCAATGAGCTCCTGGAGGAGGCCTTCGGTGCCTTCGGTCAGATCGAGAGGGCCGTGGTCATCGTGGACGACCGTGGGAGGCCCACGGGGAAGGGGATCGTGGAGTACACGTCCAAACCAGCAGCCAGGAAGGCTCTGGACAAGTGCAGTGATGGAGCTTATCTTCTCACGGCCTTCCCACGGCCGGTCACCGTGGAGCCCATGGACCAGTGTGATGATGAGGAGGGTCTGTCAGAGAAGCTCATCGTGAAGAACCAGCAGTACCAGAAGGAGCGAGAACAACCTCCACGGTTCGCCCAGCCCGGATCCTTCGAGTACGAGTACGCCATGCGCTGGAAGGCCCTGATGGAGATGGAGAAGCAGCAGTACGAGATGGTGGACCGCAACATGAAGGAGGCGCAGGAGAAGCTGGAGGCTGAGATGGAGGCGGCCAGACACGAGCACCAGGTGATGCTGATGAGGCAGGACCTGCTGAGGAGGCAGGAGGAGCTGAGAAGGATGGAGGAGCTCCACAGTCAGGAGGTGCAGAAGAGGAAGCAGGCCGAGCTCCGGCAGGAGGAGGAGCGCCGCAGGAGAGAGGAGGAGATGAGGATGCGCAACGAGGAGATGATGAAGAGGCAGCAGGAGGGCTTCAGAGGGAACTTCCCTGAGAACAGGGAGCAGGAGATGAGGATGCACATGGGTAACCACGGGATGGCCATGAACAGGAACTCTCTGGGGGGGAACTCTGGACCGGCCAGTACCGCCGGGATGGCTGCAGAGAACACCTCCATGATGGCGGGGCCGGGGAACAACAACATGCCCGGAGGAGGAGGAGGAGGAGGCGCAGGGGGGTTCCCTAGAGGACTCCCCGGAGCTGGAGACTATGGACCCAATAAACAACGCCGATTTTGAACCATGACATGTCTTCTTCTCCTGTTTCATACTCACTGTATTCTAAAGTTCATGTAGAGAGTTTTACTTTACGAACTTTGAAAAAAACTGTTGCATGTTTTTGTTTTTTTTTACCTTTTTTTTTTTTTTTATTTGTACTTTGGAGACACATTTTAGTACAAAGATGTCCTAACTTTCCAAATGAGCCATGTGTTTGACTTTGTTCCTCACCTAACTGTAGTTTTCATAGGGAGATGCTTTTGTCCTGGACATGCTGACTTTTCTGAAATAAGAATAAAATCATGATTCCCTAAAAAAAACTGGTTTGAACTTTAAATCAACAATTAGACCAGGAGAGGTCACTGCTCCACCACGGTGAAACAGAAACACACTCCATCTGACTATCAGGATGATATCTGCATCAGCTGATACCAACATTTCTGCTGATGAATTAAACGACTGATATGAGCTTTTCAACTGACGACACTTAGAGAGCAGATATCAGCTGATGGTCGATGTTTCGCACTGATATGATTCTGAAACTGATAATATTTCAAAAATAGCGTCCCATCGTCTCACATTAAAATCTAATAAACTAGTTCTCTCGACCAGAAATGTTCTTGATCAGTTTTGAATAAATTCATGAAATAGATCTGCTATAGATGTCCAAACATTTCACATCTATTAAAGAATATCTATTGAAGAAGCAGCTCTGAACTTGATTATCTATCTATAAATAATGATAGACTATAAATCAAACTCCTGAGAGTGTTAGAATTGATCTTCTGTTATTGACGTTACTTAAAAACAGCTGCATTATTCACTATTTTAATTAACTTTAATGAGTGCAGATATCAGCTGATGGGGATAATTATAAAATGCTAATAACCGTCCTGATGAAGACACAGTTTATCAGTTTATCTCTGATTACTCACACTGGCTGTATTGAAAGTGTTTTGGAAACAGACACGACTTAACGTCTATATCTAAAAAAAGATGTTTGTCCAGTTTTGTTCTTAAACAAACCGTCAAAATAAAAGCCTGAGGTCAATTCTATCACAGGAGAAACTTTGTTCTCTTTACATGAAATGAATGTTTTTATATATTTATGTCAACATATCGACCAAAGTAAGTCTGAAAATATCTGCAGATCAGTATTTTGGATTCCTGGTGATCATACAGAACATTCACACACACAGATGTTTCCCCTCTTGGTCTCGGTTCAGTGTTTAAACACAGCTGTTCATCAAAGTTCTGGTTCTGATTTAAGGTCGTAAATTTCATTAACACAATAACAGTGAAGACCAGACTGCCTTAAAAATGTAAAAGCAGACTTTGGCCAAATAATCAGAGAGGTTAAAAAAGCCTCAACACAAGTGGATCACACACAGCGCAGATGAATCCATTATAATCTGTGTTTACTCACATGCCATCATAAGGATATTATCTTTGTGTGTCTAATTATAAAGAATATTCATTAATGAGACATGAGGATTACAGGCCAATAAATCAGAGCTTCACATTATTACTCTCAACACTGCCATGACAACATGAAGTCTGTCCTTTCCTGTAATGAAGTCTGACTCCTCGCAGCAGATTAAACAAATAACCCTGACGTTTGTGACTCACTGACTGTCTGTCCTGATCACAGAGAGAAGAATAAAGCGTCTACTGTCCAAACAGGGAGGTTATCTGCTCCCCGGTGATAGCAGCGCTGATACGTTCATACAGAGAGTCTGAGAGCGTCCAAACTCGGAGAAAACAAGCCCAGAGTAACGAGGAAGAAGGATGAATAAGAGGTTCAGAGAAGGAAGTAAGAGTGAGGAGGAGGTCTGATTCATTCTTCTGTCCTGCTGAAGAAACTAGACGGCTGAAACTGAGAAAGAGGACGAGAGTTTGAGTCATGCAGAGTTTTACTTTAACCTCTGTGCTCGATTTAAGAATGATGGTCAAAGTTTATCAGTTTCAAACTCACCAACATGTTTTTCCTCTCTTCAGTTTTTAACGTAGACCGCTCTTTGGTGACCTGCTGAGATTACACCTGTCGTTTTACTGAAGCTCTCTTCCTCAGGAGTGACCTGCTCAGGATCAGCAGCAGCACCTTCAAACGAAGAGAAAAACAGACAAAACATGAACTTCATGGGACAGGGAAATAAAGACATGCAGAGATTTAGAGTGGACAGTCAAGACCAGGAAGACTCCAGATCTCATATTTGTGTGTTTTCATCATCGTGCAAAAACAATCAGAGATCAATATTAAACATAAGACGTTTTTTAATAGAGATAAGAAACTTATATGTCAGTTTATGAAAGAGGAAATTAACCAGAGCAGGAAGGATAATTCAATAACTGAGAAAGGGCAAGAATCAATAAGTCTCAATTCTTCCTTAGAACTGTCAGATATTTAAACAAAATTATTATTATTATTATTATTATTATTATTATTATAACGTTTTTTTCAATATCATTATTTTTATTTTCAGTATTATTTTTAATCATTGTTTTTATAATCATAACTTCTATAATAATAATTATTTATTTTTTCCTTTTTTACTGTTATTTTTTTTATTTTTTGGTCTTGTTTTTTTTATGTTGAGTTAGTATAAAAGTATAAATTTTCCTGTTTCTGTATTTAAACACAGTCCTTCTTCTGTCTGCTCCACCATCTGTAGTTTCATCACTAAACTTTTTTAAAACTCCTGTTAGAAACTTTTTCACATTAACGTCAAATAAACTAAAATGTTATAGACAAACGAAAGAAAACCAGACCATCAGAATAAAGCTGGTTATGTTTTAAATGTGTTTTTTTTTTTTATGCCTGAAGACCGTCTAAAGACCGTCACCACGATTGACACAAGCTGAAAGTTCCTGACAGGAGCTTTAAAAAAAAAGAAACAAACCTCCCTCAGAGAAAGTTTGTGATGATGAAGAAAGACGGAAACTTTGTCGGTTCTGAGTTCTGGACGGGTTCAGCAGGATCAATAACAGTCGTTGTCATGGTAAAGTGAAGGAGAAGCAGCAGGTTAACAGCCGTGATAAAGAGTGAAGAAAAGAAGAAGTTTGATTAAAACACACATGAGTAAAGTCAGGGTGGTAAACACAGTAAACATTCGACGACGAGTCAGTTACTAAACAACTTAGAAAACACATCCAGCTGTTGAATGACTCGTCACCCTCCCTGATAAAAGAGACAATCTGATATAATCGCAGATATTGGAGGATCCTCGTATCTCCATCGCGTCAACGTTTATATCCTCTCAGACGGTTTTCAGCTGATAACCGTGACCTTCTCGAGGAAACTGCCCTTCACCTGTAATCAGAGTCCAAACACGGCGAGATAACCAGCCTCCCGGAGCGTCCAGCCAGCACAATAAGAGCTTCATAAATAGAGTTTGATAAGAGCTGCGCCATAAAGAGGCGAAAGTGTTTGTTATCTGAAGGTCAGATCAGCAAGGTCTGAGAGAAAAATCATCCAGATACGGACTTTTTCAAACTCTGAGGCTGACAGGACACATGGACACAAGTTTCCACTCAAGTCTTTGTCCTCCAGACTTCAGGACTTTGACTGTAGAGGAGCTCCTGACCACTTGATCATCCACGTCTGCACAAATAAATAACAATAAAAGACTATCATCTCTATAATTATCACATACGGCAGATTAAATCCATCCATGCATTAACCACGCAGGTGTTTTTAAAGTCTAACCTTTGACCTTGTTACCTGACTGCACACCTTCGTTAAATTAAAAACTGAATAACTGATGAGTTTGATTTTATTTTTACGTTTACACTGATTGAAAAGGTTTTAACAGAGGAAATACTGTGAAGTTTGAGCACATAAGACAATAGATTCAGGTCCTTTTTTTACTCTTTATTTATGCATTTGTGGAATAAAAACAAACAGGATACAGAATATAAAAATATTACAGGCTTTGAAAAAACAGCATTAATATAAATAAATCCACATTTTTCTCACATCCATGACCAAAATCAAGTACAAATACAGGTTTTGTTTTTACTTTGAATAGTGAAGCAGCTTGAATGAAGTCGGACAGATGACGAGTTTCATTACCGCTCACTCCTCCTGATGTTTAATTTAATTATACAAACAAAAGTCTGACATTGAAGTGTGTCAGCAAACTCAAGCATGAATTACACTTTATCATGTTATTATGGCGTTTAATACTGAATCTAAAATTATAAAGTTATACAGACCCATTTTTAAAGACAGGACTGTGACTGAGTCTGTTTGTCTGACACTGAGGAGAAAGTTAAACTCGAGGGTTTTCTCAGGTCTGTAAACTGATTCAGAAAAACACACACAGAAACTTTGCACTTTCCTCTTCATTGTGAAAACTTGCAGTAAAATAAAAAGAGTCATAAAGCAGTGAAGATGATAGTTTAGCCGTTTCACTCGTTTAAAAAATAACTCTGCTTCTTTAAAAAACAGACTGAGGAGCTGCAGGATTTCCCTGAGCGCTCGCTGGTGAATTTCAGGAGGTCAGACAAAAGGTCAGAGTGTAAACGTGGTTCACAAACAGCAGCAGGTGTTTCATCCAAAATCACGTCATGAATGAGACACCAGGCGAGCTGTGAGTTCAACCAGGGACTAAACAAAGAGCGCACACTTTCACCTCGAGTCAAACTGTGAATCACATTTATTACAGTTTTTTATCACGGCTACAGTCGTATACCAGTGCTGAAAATATCTGCCTTTTTAAAGAATATTAAATAAACAAAACAGTGAGTTTATAACAGTAGAAGAAGAAGAAGAGCTGGAGAAGAAGCAGCAGCTGCTGGCGAGTTAGCTGTAACATCTCTGATTAAAAACGTAAAATCTGATGTTTTATTATGAATCAAAAACAAGGTTAGAGTTTTTTCAGGTTACTGATCAATTCAACGTTTAGACTTTATAACTGATTTTACTAAAGCTCTTTAACCAAAGATCTACCAGAAATGGATTAAACTTAAAAATAAAAGCAACCTCAATACGAAACAGAAACTATCAAAATAAAAGCCTGAGAAACACTTTTTCCCCCTATATATCAAAAATAAAACCTTTATTGTGAAATGTCATGGCCACAATAATCATGAAGATTTTAAAGGTCTGATGGTGAAGAGTCTCCTAATCTGTGGGACGATTACTTTAATTATTTTTATAAAACTTTAATGAGTGAAGGTTCGAAGCAGAAGTTCAGATTATGAAACAGTAAATTTGATCATAAATCACAGATTTACAGTTTTTTTCAGACTTCAGTTCTTCCTGTTCCTGAGTGTGATTCAGTTTTAGAGCTTCTTTTGGAAATGTGAGAGTAAATATCGCTTTTGTTTAGCTGAGTCACATTTATGTGGGGACAGGCGCTCATAAAGAACACTGTGCTCCTCTCAGGGTCATATAAAGATAATGACAGAAAACTGAAATAGATTAAAGAGATTAATTAGAGCATCTAGATTTATTAATGAACAGAGAACCTGATTGAAAACTGTTCATTTTTATAAAACGGTCATATTTTAAAATGAGCGGCCTCCGTTAATGATCAGGTCCCTCTGTTAATCCTCATCAACAGGACTTCATTGTTTGAGTTTTGGGGTGTGCTCCGGTCTCTGAGGTCTGCTGGGACTTATCAGCGTCTGACAGAACAAAGAACATCAGCATATCTGCCCCATTTCTCCTTGTCGTTTTTCCATCTGAGTTTATCTTGAATCGAAATGCTCACACACCTTCGCCCTGATACCTCTGCTCTCCTGTGGCATAACAGCGCAGCCTTGGCTGGGAGTTTTATCTCAGCGCTGTCCTTGACATCTTATAAAACATTATTTTATTACAGATCCAATCTACCATCCGAGGATGTGATTCAGGAAGTGAAGAAAGCACGGCCTCTGTTTATGTCTTTGGGATCATCCAAACTGAAAATCATGCAGAAACAGAAACAGATGAATTTGAACAGAAACAGGAGTTTTAAGATTTACACCAGAGGGTTCAGATAGATGGTCTAAAGGTCAAGTTCAGACCTGCTGTGGGATCAGCAGCTCTCTGCACACCGTCACATAAACTCAGGACAATATAAAACAGATCTTTAGGTGCTGTCTGTCTTTATTTATTTTATGTCGGCTCAGCTCTTCGACACCGAAACGCAGTAAAGAGGACTCAGTGGCGCTCTGACGGGCAGGGCGCGGCTCTTGTTTGAGTCTCTGCTGTAGTTTCTCTCTGCTCAGGATCTCCCCAGCAACCCTATCAGGGTCCATCTCTCGTTAATAATCAGTCAGACGGATTGATCATGCATATTGCGATTGGCCGACAGCAGCATCAGACCAGATAAGACAGGTGTGACATCAGAGGAGTGCTGACATGATGTTCCTCCTCCCTCAGCCCTGATACTGTCAGACAGACACACAGACAGATGACAGGAAGGAGAGGACAGCTGAGCGACCACAGAGCCCCTAACCTCGCCGTCTAACCTCGTCTGATGTGTCCTCAGCAGTGATTTATTTACACTCCGTTTTTTTTTTTTGTCTGAACCCGAGGACCTTCTCTCTTCTGTCGCTGAAAACCTCTCAGGATGGTGGTCCGAGGCGTCGCCCTGATCCTTTTTCTGGCCTGTGGGGTGAGTTTGGATCTGTACCAGGACACGGTCAGGACTGATGATTGTGATTTAAACACCAAAACAAATGTCCTCTCTAAAATACTTCATGGATCTGAATCTGGTTAGACTAAAGTTCATTCTTACAGTTAAAACTCAGCGCCTGTTTCAGAGTTCGGACAGAGTCAGAGAAGTGCCGATGCGGCAGTGAGTCAGATAAATAAACTGATTAAACTCTGCCAAGTGCTGTAAACACGTACGGAAGCCTTCAGGTGCCAAAAGAACATTAAAAACACCCACAGTTAATTAAACACAAAGGGACAGGTGAGGGCTGTGTTGATCGACTCTCATTCAAAACACAAACAAATAAAAACTGCTGCATGTTCTGTAGTTTAGTATTTATGTATTTTATGTCAGCTGTAAGAAATGTTATTTTCTTATATTTAGAAAAAATGTCTAATTAATATCTAATTTAAGTTAAAACTGTGCGGGATTAATGAATTCATTTATACCTAAATATGAACTTTTAAACCATGATTTATTTTGAGTTAAACGTCCCCATCATGTCCGGGTGACCAGGGTCAAAAGAAAATAAAGAAATAATTAAATAAAATATAAGTTTGTATAATTAGAGGAAAATGTGTTTAAATCCAGATTTTAGACCGTGTATCAGTGAAGTTTGGAAACTTGATCTAATTGTTCAGATCGTCACAGTCAGTCTTTTCCAAAGATTTAATCAATACTATTTAGTTAAAAATCAAACAGACACTTTAATATTTAAATATTTAAAGGTTTATTTTGCTGTAGTGACACGTGAGGATTGAAGTAAACTTTGGACATACTTGGTTTTATCTGTCATGTCCGTCACGACGTTTACAGTGAACTCTGGGATCATTTAGATCCTGTAATGAACTAAAAAAGACGAGGACGACAAAAATAAATAAATAACTGGGGTCTGAAATGTTTATAGTATCATGACTTTGTCCTCCAAGAAATCTGAAATTTATCTAAAAATTCAGAGAAACAAATGTATAAATCCTCAGATTAAAGTCAGACTTTTCCATCTCATATCTAAAATCTGAATCCTAAATTCTGCCTGAAAAACAAAACTCTGAAAAAAAACTCTCATCTGTGAAATCTGGTTTTAAAATCAAAGATTCTGACTTTAATTCTCGGTTAAATCAAACCTTTTCTTCCACAATTCTACTAAGATTAAAATTCTTCTCAGATTTTTGACTTTTAAACTGAACTTTTAAATTAGGATTCTTTGAAAAGTTCACTTAAATAAAAAAAAAATCAGAACTTTTAGGTCAAAGTGAAAATTTCATTTTTTCTCAGAAATCTGATTTAAAATCAGAATTGAAAGAAAGGGAAATGGAAGAAAAAAGAGAGATTTAGGGAAATAAAGTAATGATTCTGACTTCTTTTAAAATTCTTTCTTTTAAAGTAGAATTGCGGGAGAAAAGGATTGATTTAACTGAGGATTAAAGTCAGAATCTTGATTTTAAAACCAGATTTCACAGATGAGAGTCAGAATCTTGGAAAAGTCTTTCATCTGAGGTTTTATCAATTTGTTTCTCTGAATTTTTAGATAAATTTCAGATTTCTTGGAGGACAAAGTCATGACACTATAAAAATTTTAGACCGCAGTTATTTATTCATTTTTGTCTTCCTCGTCTTTTTTAGTTCATTACAGGATCTAAATGATCCCAGAGTTCGCTGTAAACGTCGTGACGGACATGACAGATAAAACCAAGTATGTCCAAAGTTTACTTCAATCCTCACGTGTCACTACAGCAAAATAAACCTTTAAATATTTAAATATTAAAGTGTCTGTTTGATTTTTAACTAAATAGTATTGATTAAATCTTTGGAAAAGACTGACTGTGACGATCTGAACAATTAGATCAAGTTTCCAAACTTCACTGATACACAGTCTAAAATCTGGATTTAAACACATTTTCCTCTAATTATACAAACTTATTTTTGTATTTTTTTATTTTGTTTTGCTGATATTTTAGTTTTTTCTTGAATCGCAGCTTTTTTAAAGAATCCTAATTTAAAAGTTCAGTTTCAAAGTTAAAAATCTGAGAAGAATTTTAATCTCATCCTCAAATTCTGACTTCAGTGTCACACCATCTAAAACACGTTTGAGGTTTTTTTTTTTTACTCCAGATTTGATCTCAGAGTTTTAAGAAAAAGTCAGTTCAAGAAAAACGGACCTCAAAGACAGAAAGACTGTCCTTTATCGTCTCCGTAGTTCTGTTCTGACGGCTCTGTCCTTCTCCAGGTCCTGTCGGATCCCCAACATCGGCCCGGCTTCTGTGCTTTCTATGAGGAGTGTGGTCGAAACCCGTCACTGGGAGACACTCTCATTCCTCCGATCGTCCCCTGTCTCAACTACAGCGCAGCCCGTCTCATCAGCGGAGAGCACTACCGGAGATTCAAAGAGGTCTGTCCCTCCTCGTTCAAACATAGTGAAGCTCTCTACTTTGTTGGTTTGTAAGAATATTGAACAGATTCCTCTTGTCGGCACTCAGCCTGTCTTTGACTCTCTTGTCATGTACCTGTTCTCGCCGCAGGTGTGTCCTATTTTAGACCAAGGGGAGGGCAACACGTACGCCTGCTGCTCCTACAAACAGCTGGGGTCCCTGAGGAACAGTCTGACCCTGTCCAAAGCCGTGCTGAACCGCTGTCCCTCCTGTGCGGAAAACTTTGCTACTGTTCACTGCATCAACACCTGCAGCCCCAACCAGTCCGAGTACGTCAAAGTCACCAAAGTCATGAATGTCACCAACTCTCTTGGCAAGACACGGGAGGCGGTGATCGGTTATAAGGCGTACCTTAGCAACAGCTTTGCAGAAGCCGCCTTCAAGTCATGTCAAAATGTCAGGATCCCCGCCACCGGAGGCTTCGCCATCGCCACCATGTGTGGAAGGTATGGAGCCAAGCTGTGTAACGCCCAGCGCTGGTACGACTTCCAGGGCGACTCCAGTAACGGTCTGGCACCACTGGACATCGACTTCAACCTGGTAAAGGCGGGGGACATGGCGGGACTGCCGGAGGGTGTATTTCCCTACGATGATCGTGCTTTAAGGTGCAATGAGACGACACCATCAGGAGGTGAGGGCTGCTCCTGCCAGGACTGCCAAGAGTCGTGTCCATCGATGCCGGATCTTCCTCAGCCTCCAGGTCCATTCAGACTGATGGGGACAGACGGCTTCCTCGTGATCTGTATCATCTTACTCTGTCTCCTGGTATTCTCCTTCATTCTCTTCATCGTTGTCTCTTACTGGACGAGATATCAGAGAAAGAAATATAAAACCACGAAGAAGAATAAAGCGAAAGACCAGAACAGCAACACTGTGACTGAGCAGATCGTTTCTCCAGCAGAGGTGACGTGTGCCGACAGGAACAGCCTGGCTGCTCAGGCTTTCCTATCGGCACAGTTCAGACGTTGGGGGACGCTCATGGCCTCCTATCCTCTCTTGGTGAGTCCAACTCAAGTGTTTCAAGTGTTTTTCTTTCACCCTGAACAAAGTCATTCATGGTCCAACTGATTCTCATCCAAGGTCCTCCTGACATCAGCTGTAGTGGTGGCTGTTTTCGCTGCCGGTCTCAAGGACATTGAGCTCACCACTGACCCGGTCGAGCTGTGGTCGGCCCCCGACAGTCGCGCCCGCCAGGAGAAGGAATTCCACGACAAACACTTTGAACCTTTCTTCAGGACAAACCAGCTGATCTTGACGGCACCTGACAGAAAGGGTCATATCTACGACTCTTTGCTGTTTGGACCGCAGAACTTTAGTGGACTGGTGGCCAAAGACCTCGTCATCGAGCTGCTGAAGCTCCAGGAACGAATTCAGGTAAAGAAGAGAAGAAGCTGGTCGTTGGAAGTTTGCTGAAGATAACTGTTTCAGATTAATAACTCGAGCTTGTTCCTCTTTACTGTTTCAGAAAATTGAGTTTTGGTCCGAGGATCTGAACCGCACAGCGAGTTTAAAAGACGTGTGTTTTGCACCACTGAACCCATCGAACCCTGCGCTCACGGACTGTGCCACCAACAGCGTGGTGCAGTACTTCCAGAACAGCTTGGACAACATTAATGCAAAAGTGAACATGACAGAGCTGGGAGTGACCAAAGAAGTGGACTGGAGGGACCACTTAATCTACTGTCTGAAGTAAGAGTTCAGAGAATTCAACCAGAGAGAAAATAGATTTACCTTAATGATGTTAACCCCCCGACTCTCCTCTCCAGCTCCCCCCTCTCCTTCAAGGACATCACTGATTTGGGGATGAGCTGCATGGCGGACTACGGCGCTCCAGTCTTTTCTTTCTTGGCTGTGGGAGGATACGATAGTGAGTGACTCTTACTGAGATCTGAACATGAAATACCTGAACTGAGGTCTTTGTGAACTTACTGTATCATACGTCTTTGTAGATGACGACTTCACCAACGCTGAGGCTTTCATTATGACCTTCTCCCTCAACAACTACGCTCGAACCAACCCCAAGTTCAAAGTGGCCATGCAGTGGGAGACGGAGTTCCTTAAGATCGTCCAAGACTACCAGAAAGACCCCGCCTGCAGCTTCACCTTCGCATACATGGCTGAGGTACGGTAAATGTTCGGCTGATCCAAAGGTGTTTCCGTCTCTGATGCTGATAAAATATTGATATTAAGCCAAAATAATCCTACAGTAATACCCTGAGGTCGTCGTAGGTCCTTAAAACTGTCATAAAACTGAACTGAGATGAAGATGAAGCAGATGTTAGCTTTTAAAAACTGACGTTAAACATTTATTATTGATGAAAAACAACGTTCGAGTCTCTTCAGGTTACTGATCAATTCAACACTTTCTGTTTTCATTCAGTTCAGGAACTCAGAGGCCTTCGAACAGGGTCCTGTTTTCCAGGACTATGAACCGGGACCAAATAAAGGCCCAGCTCACTGAAAGTCTCCGAAGGCTTTGGTCTCTGTAGTTGAATCATTATGTCACTGAAAGGGTCTGTAGTGATGAACAAGGTTGGCCAACTTTAGCAGCTAGAGCAGCAAACTTTAACAACAATCCTACAGACGCCATGGTGAGTCTTCAGTTAGACTGTTGACTTGGTCTGTGGCGGTTCATCACAGAGAAGAAAAAAACCTGATTTTGTGAGAGTCCCGCTCCAGAGTCCCTTATCCCGTTTCTCTGTTTGGTCTGGATGTTTGTTCACAGAGGTCTCTGGAGGACGAGATCAATCGAACAACAGCAGAGGACATCCCCATCTTCATGATCAGCTACGCTGTGATCTTTGTCTACATCGCCGTGGCGCTCGGGGAGTACTCGTCATGGAAGAGGGTTCTGGTAAGACTTCAGAGTCTGCTCTGGTTATTAGTGAACTTATTTATGTTCCCCAGAGTCACTTTGTTATTCCCTGATATCCGATCATGCTCAATAATTAATCTCTTATAATATTCTCATCCAGAAGAGACCATCCTCATCTCATTTCCTCACTTCTTACCTTAGGTCCTAGTTTCTTTTGTCAACTCATTTGATTTAAATAAGTGATTTATTTCTGTTAGAAATTACTTTAATTTAATCTAAAAGTCCCAATTCAGACTTTTTTTCTTCTAAATTCAGATTTTGAATTTAAGAGTCTGAGAAAAAAAAGTCAAAATTCTGAGAAAAAAGTTAAAATTCTGAGAAAAAGTCAAAACTTTGAGGAAAAGTTTTACCCTCCAAATTGTTGACCTTCGATCTTCCTGACGTCCCTGAGCCTTCTGTTTGTCTTTATTGAATGATCATTTTAATCCAGATAAAACCCTCTGATCCACGTCATCACGTGAACACGGTTTCTCAGAGTCTGTTTCTCATAATCTGCTGAGTATCGAGTATTCGCGCCTCCAGAGGAACTTTCAGGTTTTGTTCTGTTTAAACGGACGTGTCGAACATGTGCCTGGGTTATCTGAGGCATTCACTGGAGAAGTCAGGTTTATGAAAGAGAGCTTATCATGTATGTGGAAGAGCGGAGGAGCTGTTTTCGCACGACTGTGTCAGCTGTATACGTCTTATCTTGAGGACCATAGGTTTATTGGCCGTGAAGTTATACAATATAGGAGATGTGATACAGTGAGAGATATGAGGAAAAGTTCACTGGGTTTGATGGGAACTGGTTTCTTATCGCTGCGTCCTGTAGGTGGACTCCAAGTTCCTGGTGGGTCTGGGTGGGATCCTGGTAGTCGGCTGTTCGGTCCTGGCTTCGATGGGTTTCTACTCCTGGATCGGTATCCCCTCCTCTCTGGTTATCCTGCAGGTCGTGCCCTTCCTGGTCCTCGCTGTTGGAGCTGACAACATCTTCATCTTCGTTCTGGAGTACCAGGTGGGCGCCTTATGTGATGAGTGAACGTTGCAGGTGGGGTGGCGTCCTTTTCAGTGGTGATAACCCTCTTTACCTCCGTCACAGAGAGACGTCCGCAAACCTGGAGAGAAGAGAGAGGAGCAGATTGGCCGAGTCCTGGGGAACGTGGCTCCCAGCATGCTCTTGTGCAGCCTCTCAGAGTCTGTCTGCTTCTTCCTGGGTAATAATAATAACTTTATTTTATGGCAATTTACAGACAAACAGTCGTAAAGCACAGAACATCAGCTCCGTTAAAAACAAGGCCTCCGAATTGAAGGCCAATTTGTCATAAGAAACCCAGAAAATACAAGAACCTACAACATAAAATGAGACCATGAGGACCAGAATAAAAACATTAAAGGTTGGAGTAGGAGTTGGAGTTGGGTAGGAGGTTCTGAATTACTCTGGTGCACCAGAACCCCTGGTGTGGTTAAGACTTTCCTCCAGTGCAAAAGGGACCCCCGGTGTTGACCTCTGGTTTGTTCCCTCAGGGGCCCTGTCCACCATGCCGGCGGTGAAGTCCTTCGCTCTGTATGCTGCTCTGGCGGTGCTCATGGACTTCATCCTCCAGATGACTGCCTTCGTAGCGCTGCTGTCCCTGGACGCCCGGCGACAGGACAAGAACCGCTGTGAACTCCTGTGCTGTGTCACAGTGTCGACTGAGCGTCCAAACAAGCCCAACGAGGGCGTCCTGCTGCCCTTCATGAGGAAGTACTACGCCCCTGTGCTGCTGAACCGCTACTCCAGATTCATAGTGGTAAATCCCACAGTTTCCCAGAACTCGGACTTTAATCTCAGAACCAGAGTTCTGGTTTTAAATTTTTTAGAAAAGTCAGTGTTAGAGAAGATCAGACCTTTATTCTGGGGTGGTTCTGATCCCCTTCTGTAGACGTTGGAGTTTTCAGAGTCTATATTTTGTCTCCTGTTTCCCTCAGATGCTGGTGTTCATCTTTATGTTCTGTGGATCCTTGTTCCTCATGTTTAATGTGACGGTGGGTTTGGACCAGGAGCTGGCCATGCCTCAGGTCAGTTCTCTCAGGAATCGACCCTCCAGCTGATCCTCCTTCTCCTCTGTCATTAATAACTCATTCATCATCTCTTCTCTGCAGGGCTCCTACATGCTGGACTATTTCAAGTATCTGTACAAATACTTTGAAGTAGGAGTTCCTGTTTATTTCGTGACAAAGCGAGGTTTCGACTTCACCACCGTGGAGGGCATGAACGCCGTCTGCTCCAGTGTGGGCTGTGACCAGTTCTCCCTAACCCAGAAGATCCAGTACGCCACCAACCACCCTCACCTGTGAGTTTGGTCATCTCTGATATCAGGACATCTCAAACCTGAAAACAACAGAGTAAACACAGATGTATATGATCAAAGGTTTCAGAAATGCTGTAGAGATGAATTTCATCAGATCAGATGATGAAAGGGGCGAGTCGAGCCCCTCAGATTCCTGCCACACTCTGAATCAAGTCTTATCATGGAGCTGAAGTTCAGTCAAAGTCGACAGAAACCCGTTCCTCCTCCGCTGAGGGTTTCTCTGTGTTCGTCCTCTACATGATTCTTCTCTGACAGATCCTTGAACCTGCTGATATCACAGTAGCAACCTCTCACATACAAGCCATCCGATCCGAGTTAATGATCAACTCCGTTACATGATATCGTCTGAGCAGATAAAATGAGCTGAGAGTAAACACACCGAAACCTCCCTAACCCGAACCCCAGGCAGTCAGACAGTCAGGTGGATTGGCTCTGAACTGTGAAACCCCCTTTGGAGGCAAATTTAGATTTTGGGCTCTGGGTTCGAGGACTTGTCATTCGCCACGTTTACATGTGCAAAATATCTTGATCCGATTAAAAGTTGGAGGGATTCGATAATCTGAATCCACTGTTTCTATGTGTGTAAAATCAAATAATCCGATCATGACGTGCCGATACCTGCACCAAGATTTATCAGATTAGAAGCATTCGGACATGCGCAGAGTTGTCTGATTTCGCTAAAACAGCCGCAGAAGAAGAAGAGTTGTATTTACGTCTGTGCTGTCGACAAACCAACAAGTTTCCCCCTCTGTTAAACGGTGTCACTAGATGGCGCCCTTGCGTACTTATTTTACTCTTCTGTCAAAGGTTGGACTGCGTGTGCAGATGTGACATCATTACGCTGTATGAACGCCTCGTTATGTTATTGGAGGAGCAGACATGACACCTGCGGTTGTGTTTTATGCCCGTTTTCATGATGAAGCCTCCTTTACCGACATCGATAATAAGCCGAAGACTTAAGAGTGAAGATCGAGTCAGGTAAGAGAGTCACGATCGGAATTACTGTTTTCATGGACGCGTTTCGGAATAACGATCGACATAAACCACCGCTCTCGATCGGAAAACAATTCCTTTACGATTGTGCCGAATAGGATCAGAATCTTCCGATCGACATGTTTACATGACGCATTTTTATTCCGATCGGGCATTTATTGCGATTATTTGTGCTCATGAAAACGCAGCTATTTTTAGAGTGAAAATGAATAAATATAATCTGATCAAAATATTGTATTTAAAGAAAATTTAGTCCAATTAAAACATCAACCTTTCATCTGTTACTAGATTCATTCAACGTGTTTCCTCCAAACAGTTAGTTTCAGAATAATCATAAAACTTTATGATTTCATTATCTGGAGATCACGGTGACATAAGATTATCGCAGTTATTACCACTTCAGTTACTCTGAGATAAAGAGGATTAACTTATCAGCTCCTTCAGGTGTTTTTGGATCCTCCCTGACGGACTCACTCCCCTGAGCGAGGACAGAGTTTAAGAGTAAACCGAAGAGAGAGCTGTTGGATATATATTTATGTTTAGGTGTATTTATATATAATCTACATATAAAACTACAAACATGGCTCTATATTTCTGCTGACTGCAGCTGTAGAAACTGTGCAGTGTGGAAACATTGGTGAATGAAAAAGGTTCATGAATTTATTAAGATGATATAAAGAGGAGCTAAATTCACCTTTTCAGCTCCTGGAGGAGTTTTGATTTCCATGAATGTTTGACTGAATATGTTCCTTTCATTTACATATTACTTTGATATCATGGCGGCCACTCCTGCCGTATTTTGACCCTTTATGGTCTGGCGTGTCGTAGATCCTACATGGCGATCCCGGCTAACTCCTGGGTGGATGATTTCATCGACTGGCTGAACCCCGGATCCAGATGTTGTCGTATTTACACCCTGGGTCCCAATGCCGGAAAGTTCTGTCCTGCAAGCGAATGTGAGAACCACTTTGAGGATATCCCACTTTAACGCACTTTCCCATCATGCACTTCTTTGATTAACACCTAACCTGCCTTGAATTCATAACAGCTGCATTTTTGTGTGGGAAGAAGTGTATGTCCACGCCACCGGACGGCGTCCTCAGACCCACAGAGGCAGAATTCAACCGCTTCCTCCCGGACTTCCTGGGGAACAGGCCGGACCTTCAGTGCCCCAAAGGGTGAGTACAGCAGCTGAACATGTAAAGTAACCATGGGGGTCAGTCAGGACCCCTCCTCATGTCTGGTCCTGTTTTTGAACAGAGGTCTGGGAGCGTACGACACGGCCGTGGTCAAAGACGAGAACGGGACGATTATAGGTATGTGTCCGTTTACGGCTCAGAGCGTGTCTTCAAACATCTTTGAGACCTTCTGTTGAAACCCTGAGGTGAGCTGCTCTTCTTCTTCGTCTGTTTCCAGCCACTCGCTTCATGGCGTACCACACGACACTAACCAACTCTCAGGAGTTTACCGCCGCGCTGCAGAAGTCCAGAGAGCTGGCTCACAACATCACTGAGGGCATGAAGAAAATCAACGGGACCTCGCCGGACTTCGAAGTGTTTCCTTACACGTACGTAACTCTCAGAGTTTGTGTGTTTCCTCGCTTTGTAACCTTCAGTCTACGCCGTGTGTCATCTACTTCCTGTTTCCTCCTCCAGGGTGACCAGCGTCTTCTACGAGCAGTACCTGACCATCGTATATGAAGGACTCTTCAACATCTCCTTGTGTCTCCTGCCCACCTTTGTGGTTTGCTGTCTGCTGCTCGGTTTGGACCTGCGCTCCGGGTTGCTCAACCTGATCACCATCATCATGATCACCGTGGATACCGTCGGCGTCATGACTCTGTGGAGCATCGATTATAACGCCGTGGCTCTCATCAATCTGGTGACGGTAAGGACACGTCTGAGATCCTCGCCTGGTTCTGAGTCTTCAGGTCCAGGAGGATCTGCTGTAGGTCTTGGTTTGAAGGGCGGAGTTCTTCAGATTTGGAAATCACGAGCTCATGTCTGTCTCTGTCCGTCTTCTGTGTGGTTTGCAGGCGGTGGGAATCTCTGTGGAGTTCGTGTCTCATATGACGAGATCGTTCGCTCTCAGCACCAAACCCACTCATGTGGAGCGAGCCAAAGAGGCGACCGCCAACATGGGCAGCGCCGTGAGTCCCCGTGAAGCTCTTCAGAGCTCCAGATCAAATCTGTGACTCAGGGTTTGACACGTGATGACGTCTGTTTTGGTAAATCCTGTTTCTTCTGGATCTCGCAGGTGTTTGCTGGTGTCGCCATGACCAACCTGCCGGGGATTCTGGTTCTGGCGTTTGCAAAAGCTCAGCTCATCCAGATCTTCTTCTTCCGACTGAATCTGGTCATCACGCTCTTGGGGATGGCTCACGGACTCGTGTTCCTCCCTGTGCTGCTCAGCTACTTCGGTACGACCCTCAGAGGTTCTTGTTTTGTGTGAATCAAAGAGTTTTCACAGGATCAGGTCTGACGTTTCATATTCTGACGTTTGTGTCCTCAGGTCCGGGTGTCAACAAAGCCGTGTTGCTGCAGCAGCAGCAGGAAAGAGCCAAGGAGAGGCAGCTGGAGCTGAAGAACACAGAGAAGCCGGTTTATGATAACCTGAGCTTCGAGGAGAACGAGGTAAAGCAGAGCGCAGACATAAACTCGAAGAACCCTGAAGACAAAACTTCACAGATCTTTGAAAACCAGCAGAAGAAGAAGGAGGAGAAAGTCGATCGTTTCTGAGAAAACAGTTTCTTAAGCTCTGAGAGTGAATACCTCTGAAACCGAAGGAAGAGAAGGATGGACACTGAAAAAAAGGACAAAACGAGGTGTCAGGTGTTTGTGTCGAAAAGGAAATCAGTAACTTAACTATGTACCTCAATCAGAAATGGAGCGGTGGGAATGAAGACGGGAACAGAGCGATATATTTCTGATCCACACGAGTCCGGACCGGAGCGACTCGTCTGTCTCCAGAAGAGCTGCAGCTGAGCGCCGTCCGAATGTCGACTTTCTGACGAGACAGGAAGTGGACAAAAGTTCTTGAAAGTGTCATTTTGTATGTTTTTTATTTTTCTGTGCTGATTTTGTATGTGTGAAGAGTTCATGTGTTCAGAGGGACTCAGAGGGACAAACACTCCAGCCTCCACTTTGACCTCCGTCCTTCAGGAGCTTCATGGTGGAAACGTGTGCAATCAAGGAGAAGATGACGAGTTTTCGAGGAAACTTCTGATTATTTATGGTGCAGAGGAGGATCTCCATCCATGACTGAAGAAGATTATACTTTATGTTCAACACATTTTGAGTCCCTCTGTGTGTCGTAGTTTTCACTGATTCCTATTTATTGATTGAATCCAGATTTTCTGTAACATGAAGCAGAGACATGAGAGCGCTGAATCAGTGATATTTTTTACTATTTAATTTATTATGATCTCTATTTTAAACGACTTTAAATGTTCTTACAGCATCTGTTCACATTATTTTAATAAATTTTTAAACATTTCAGTAAATGTCTCTTTTTTATAAAAATGGTGAAGGGGTTACGGTTTTTGGCACACCCCCTGTGAAAAGCCCCACGTACAGTCCCTGCTGGTTCTGGATCCTTTCCAGGTTCAGGTCTACCCTGGAGGACGCTGAATCATATTTGATCCACCAGGAGGCCAGTATGTACTAAAGCATCATCCAGGAGGTTTTTTTAAGACACCAGGGGGCGCTGTGACCTTCATGAATGATCTCAGACTGACAGAAGCACAAGTCGCTGAATAACAGCCCAAAAAGTAGTACACTTAAAGTTCATTTTATTAAGTATGCTTGAGTATATCAACTATACTCCCGACCATGTAGTTTTAGTGTACTACAAAGTATACTAATTTAATATTTTGGACTTAATTGGAACATTTTTAGTTCATAAAAGTAAAGTATACTCTGTAAAGTCTACAAAAGTACACTTTAAAGTAATACACTTCTCGTCCCCTCTGTAGTCTATAAAAGTACACTGAAGCATACCTTTGTCTGTTTACTTATTTTTTTGGGGTGGGGGGTGGGGGTTTGCCTTCAAACGGGAGGACAGAGGGGTAATGAGGGAGACAGAGAGAGGGGGGACGACATGTAGCACAAGGTCAGGACAGGAATCGAACCCGTGACCACAGCAGGGACCACAGTCCCCAACACGGGACGTGGCTATCTGCACGCCAACTCTGAAGTATGCTAGTATTTCAATAGTAGTATATATTTGTATACTTGGCTTGTACTGCATACCTAAGAGTATACTCTATAAGAGAATATACTCTTAAAAAGATATACAAAAGTATTCACTGACCAAGTATACTTAAACCCACGGCACAAATACACACTGAAGTATATCTTGAGCCTTTATAAGTAAAGGTTGAATATATTTAGTCTTTTATTACAATTCTCAGTACGAGCCAAGTATACTGAACAGTAACTTTGTTAAGTATACCTCTGAAAAGTCCATTAAAAACATTAACCTTGAAGTACACTTCAGCATACTTCACCTGAAGAGTCCTGGAGGTTTTTTTTTCCGGATAAAGAATCGAGGGTCAGAGTTTTTGGGTATTTCAAAGTTTTTTCGTTTTTATTAACAATGCATCCCTTTGATAGGATTGTATGTTTCAGGTTTCAGGTCATCAATGCCCCCAAAAACATACTGTACACATTTTACAAGGGAAACCACGATTCAGGCAAAACAAAAAAATCTTTTTAAATTATAATACAGTCTCCAGGAAAAAATATAAATAACTTTTTTTTTCTTCTCTGGTCGAGCTCACTCTATGGTACAGACATAAAATAAATAGATCGGATCTGACATCACTCAGCTGATCTATGAATCATCTTTCTATGAGTCCATTTGTGTAGCAGCATTAGAGCAAAAAACAAGCCAATGGAAACAGAGATCCTCGTTTCCCTGGAAACCTTTTACAAATCCTTTAGTCATCGCACTCCCCGCCTCCCTCCCTCCCCTTCCTCCATCTCAGCCAATGACAGACAGTGATATTGCATCGTGGAAACAGATTCAGGGGTTCATATATTCCTACAACTTCATGGCGACGTGTTATGGCAACCTATTCTTCTTTAAAAAAATGCTGAACGAGCAGGAAACACTTGGCGGTGGTGTCACACGATTGCCATGCTTGTTGCACATGCAGGAAGTGAAGCACAGAGACAAGGCGGCGAAGAGTCGGGCGGCTGCTGGGCTTACGCGGGATCGGAGACGACGTCAGGTTTTGGCGAATGTTTGGAGAAATGACCTTAAAATCTCTCCGATCATCATCACGCCGCCTCCTGAGAAGCTTGAGTCAAAATTCGACGACTGCAGAGAGACACAAAAGGTCCTAAAGAGTCGAGGAGGGCGGAGACTTGAACTCGGTCTCACGCCGTTCTCCTCTGGGTCCGTGTACGGGGGCGTTCAGAGTGCTTTAGGAAATCCTCGTGATGTTTGATTGTCTGAGATACAGAAATAGAAACGTCTGTCTGTGCTGACCAGAGGCTGAAGCGAGAGAGGCAGAAACACAAATCTGGCTAAAACAGATCACAGGTCAGGACCGGGTTTGGACCAGGAAGGTTCCGGAAACATGAAAACAGCAGGACCCTCTTTGTAGTGTATGTTTGTCTGAGAAAGAGAAAAAAAACAAAAAAAACGCAGGTCTGAGGAATCACTGGGAGACACGACGACGACGACGACATGCCGTTTTCATTGGATGAGAGAAAAACACGTGGAGAGAGAGTTGTTCCTTTTCTTTGTCAAACACTGAGAGTCTTTGAATGATCCGGCTCGTCTTTCAGAACCGCACCGATGTTCTACCGGGTTCTGCTCGAGACCGGATCCGTCTGAAAACAGTATTTGGTTAATGGCCCCCCCTCTAACTGTAAACGGTAAAAAAAAAGTTTGAAACAGCATTTAGGCGTGTCAGGATACGTTCGTTTACAGAAGTCCTTGTTTGAAAACTCCAGCTCCTCCTCCTCCTCCTCCTCTCAGAAACTCGCCCGGCGCCTCCTCCTCCTCGCAGCCGTGTCTTATTTTTCAGTCTTTGAGTCCGTGTTTGTCGGCGGCAGGACCGGGCTGTGTGGAGAGACTGAAACATGAACAGGGGGGATCAGGACTCTGCCGGGGGGTCGGCGTCCTCATCGGCAGGTTTTGGTATCTTCGTCAGGATCGCCTCGGCCTCCTCATACATCTGAAAAACAAACAGGAAAGAGGAAGGTCACATTCTTAACAGTCTTTTATTCAAACAGTCGAGAGGAGCCGGGTTTCAGTAAAGACAGCAGCTCCAGTGTTAGCCAGAGGGGGCAGCACTGAGCAAGTCTTGATGTGGGAAAGCCTCTATGCCAAAAATCTGCAGAATTTAACAGACACAATAAAAAATCTTTAACCCTTTCATGCATGATTTATGAGAGCTTTTTTCATATGTGTTTTTATTCCTCTTTAGGCAAATATAAAAAGATGCAATTGAATTTTTTTTTCAGGAACTCATTTTTCAATGTCGATTCAGCTGAATTTAACAAACAAAATGAAACTGTGAAAACTGTGAAGTGAGAACCTTTTTAAAGCAGCTAATTTTATGTCTTCTTAGATTTTAACATATTCGATAAAATATTCAAAGCAATGGAAAAACGTTGATCTTCGCTCTGAACTAATGAACGACAGATTTCTTTAGATTTTCTACAAAAAAGACAGAAAAATACCGTCCGTATCCTTCCAAACACACTCTGAGAAAGAGACACGGTCTTCAGTGTTTCTGCTTTTCTACTCCCTCTGTTCAGTCTGACTCTGATAAAACATGCAGAGATCAAACCAGAAAACAAACTGAGGCAGGTCAGCCTGAAACTGGTTATCTTTGCTTTTCCAAACATTTCAGATTTTTCTCTGTCCCTGATTTTTGTCATCCTCAGCATCTTTAACTACCTGACCACTCACAGCATCTTCTTCACTCTGCTATCGTCAGCTGATCCTGAGCCTTACTTTTCATCGTCACTCTTACTAACATCATCTTCACTCGACTCAGTTGGGAGGCGCTGTTTCTTACTGGCATGAATTGCACGTCCTGGAAGAGTTCCTGTATGAAGCGTCTGGAGGTCAGACGAAACGTACAGTGAGCCAAGAGGTGAGAGACCTCCGAGTAGAGGCAGATGTCATCGAAGGCGTACGGGAACTTCTCCTTTATCCTGCAGGATTCAAAATTAAAATAACATATTAGACTGAAGAGACGCTGAAGCTCACAGACTGTTAAAAAACAAAAGGGAGGTGGTTTACGTTAGTAGTCCTGTTTCATGGCCTTTGGTTCCCACAGAGGAGCTCAGGTTGATGATGAGTCGGAGGACCTCCTTCCTCAGCAGGACCCTGGAGGCCGGACCGTCTTCTGAGATCGCTTTTCCACCTGAACGACGAATAAATCACTTCAATTCACCGAAACAAACACAGACGATAACAAAGGTTTCAGATTCTCCTCAGACCGATTCTTCCTCTGAGCCTCTGAGTTCGTTTTATTCTGACTTCGAAGCCTCATCAGTGACTTCCTGTTCAAAATAGAGCGAATTTCTATGGTTGTCATTATTGATCCCTGTTTGATTGGTGATCGGGTCACATGTGAAGTCATGAAAACAGCGACAGAGTGAAAAAGTGAGACTGAGAGAAAGTTCAGCAGAGATCCAACAAAGACCAAGACCTGAACAAAACTCTCAGTCCAGGAAACACCTTCAAAATAAAAGCATGAGTATAAATGAGCACGGTCAGGAAAACAATCAGGCTTTTATTTTGTAAAGCATCAAGGAAGTGTGACCATATAAGGCTTCTTCACTGTTCCAGATATACCTGCATCCTAACAGCCCTGATTCACACACACACACACACACACACACACACACTCACCTATGACGATGTCACCAGGCGTTGGCGTGCTGCAGATCGACCCCTGTGACACCGCGGCGTCGCTGCAGCCCGACACCCCGGAGAACTTGGACTGAGGCATCACCTCCAGACGATGGCCGCTCTGCCCGCCGCCCCACGACGGGAAGTCGACGTAATCTGCCAGAGAGCACACCGCAGATGATCACCTGCTCTGAGGTTATGATCATGTGACCAGCAGGACGTGTGTTTTGGCTCACCTGTGCGGGGGTGTGTGCTGTTGATCTGTGGCGTTGTGGGGTATCCGAGGACGATGGCGCCGACACAGTAGAGGCAGTTTTCCTCGGTGTGGTCCTGGAGGCCGGTCTCCTCGGAGCCCACCGTGTGGTTGGGGGTGTCCCCTCTGCAGGCGATGAGCTCCGAGATACTGAACTGCTGCTTCAGGACCGGGATGGCGGGGCGGTCTCCTAAAGAGAACGAACGGCGTGAAAACAAACTTGATCAGATTCTCACGCCGCTGTGATTTTTATAACCATGAAAAGAAACGTCTTTTACCGTCTCCGTCACCAAAGAGGAAGCGTTTCCGCTCCTCAGACGGCGGGCTGATCCTCTGCTGAAAGTAGGCGGAGTCTCTAATGTTGAACATGTCGT